CGACCGCGTGCTTGCGACCGCGTGCCGCGCCGCAGACCAGCGCGCTGCGTGCGCGCCCCTCGAACGACGTCGCTGCACGTGCGATGACGTCGATCTCATTCTGAGCGCGCGTGGGCGCCCCGCTGAGGACATCGCTGCGTCTCTCGCGCCCAGCTGGGTATTGCTTCGCATGGCCGCGCTCGAGGACGACGGGCTCAACCTGCTCGGGCACTGACGGAGCGGGGGGGATGTCTTGCAACCCCACCAACCCCCCCCTGCGCTCCAGCAGGTCGTCATCGGCGGGGTGCCCGCGACGCAGCCCGCAGCAACAGCTCAGTGGCTCCTCGTCGGTGCGTCGCGATGATCGCGTCCTCGCCCGCGGGCAGCGCGGCGAGCGTGCGCGCGTGCCTCGCCTCCAGCTCTGCTCGCAGGCCCCGGGCAGCGCGAGCCGCGGACCGTTCTTGGAACTTCAATCCATTTCTCGATCCTTCTGCACTGGACCGCCCTTCCTGGTGCTCAACAAACGCCCCGAGGTCCAGGCGAGCTCACAACCACCGAACCTCTTGCTGCGTTCGCCCGCTGCCCCTTGCGCAACGACGCCGAACACGCCCGGAAAATCTGCCCCCCCGCGCGCGCTCTGTCGCAACACGTATCCATCAAGCTCGGTCCTTCACAGACAGCGCCCGTATCTCGTCGTTCGGGCCCGTTTCGCGACCACGACGATTGCCTCGCGGGTTCGTGTCCGCAGGCCTTCCCACGGCGCCGCGACGCCTCACGGAGCCAGGATCCACGTCGTGCGCGGCCTCCCGAACGACAACGTCAGCGAGCGCGGGGCATCGACGAACGAGGCGGGCCGTGCTGCACCTGACGCGCCGCAGGAGGCTGCGCTCACCGCACCCCGGTCGCACGTCCAGAACGCCGCGGCGAAGGTCCTCAGCAGGCTGAACGTGACGCGATTCTCCCTTTCAGCGCGAAACCAAGTGATCGAGGCCGCCTCGAAGGCTGCGCTCGTCGCGGCGGTGCGCGTCGCCCGCGGCCTGTTCGCCTCGGCCACTGCAGCACCATCGTGCCTCTCTCGCTGCGATGCAGGCCAGCGAGCTTGCCAAGCACCCGGCCGCACCGACCTCGCCGCCCGCCCTCCCCGCGCAGGCTGCGGCGTTCGTGGTCCTCGGCCTGACGCTGAACTCCTCCTTCGACCACCCCGGGGGTGTCAAGAAGCTGTTCTCGGCCGGACAGGTGCGCCGCGACGCCCGAGCCCCCGCACCGCGCACGCCACACCAGCCCGAACACGCCCTGAGCGTTGGATCCGATGCGGCTCGCGCAGGGGGCGGCAAAGACCAAGATTGCGTATCCCGCGATGGAAGCCTGCGTGCGTCTTGCGAAGGTGCTCGTCGCGCAGAGCATGGCCACCGCGGCGCTGGCCGCCGCCAGCGTGTCGCGCAGGACGACGGCGCGTGCCGCGTTCGGCGTCGCGGGGATCGCGTGGTCGTGCGCGCTTGCGTGCGCCAGCACGGCGACGTTTAAGGCGTGCCTGCCGACGGCCGTGGCCTCGCTGGCCCTCGGCACCCGGCTGCTGAAAGCGGACAAGCCCTCCGCGCTCGACGCGCTCGCGGTGCAAGCCGTCATGTGCGCGCACGTGCTGCAGTGGGTGCTGCTGTTCTCGCTGGCGGACCCCCTCGCGCCGTGCCAGCTCAAGTTCCTGACGAAGCTCGGGGTCTGGAAGCTGCTCACGATGACCTCGGCGCCCCTGCTCGCCTTCGGCGCGATCGCGGCGTCGAGCAACGGGACGGCGCGCAGGGTGAGACACCGCGACGTCCTACTTGTGCGGCTTCTGGTTGCCGCCAGCGCCCAGCACGGTGCCGCGGACCGCCGCATCTGATCGATATTGTGATGCTCGACCGCTGCATGCGAGCAGGCCGCCTTCTCAACCAGCGGTTCCGTCCCCGGTGTGCGCAGGCCGCGACGACGTCGTTCCTGTTCGTTCCGATCACGGCGCTGCTCTGCCTCTCGTAGACGGACGTCGAGCCGGCGCCCGCGCGACGCTGAACTGCACGCGCCAGCTCAAGGGACCGATCGCCGCGCCCTGCCCCTCGGATGATGTGATGATATCACCGCTGCCTGCGGCCGGTTACTGCACCGTAACGCGACGCCCTGCAGCCGGATCTGGCCGCCCCAGCGTGCGCACGTGAGCTCGGCGCCATTTCACGCGTGTCCCCTGCGGCGCACGTGAGAAACGCTGCGCTCGTGGGTTTTGCGCTGCGTACGCAGTTGCGCTTTACCGACGGAGCGCGAGCAGGTTGCGACGCAAGCGTGAGCTGCGCGAGCAGCCACCTCATCGAGCCGCCCGTGTGCCCCGAGGAGCCCGGCGCGCACGCCGCTGTCAGTCCCCCCCCCGCATCGATTCTACCAGCGATCGACACACCCCCGCTTCCCGCCTGGCAGCCAAGGGGCTGCTCGGACCTCGCGCTCCGCACTCACGTTCAACTGATCTGCTCGTTGCCTAGGAGTATGCTCGCGAGGCCCGTTGCGTTCGGTCGCGGTGCCGTCGCGCGGCCCTCGGGCGCCGCAACCCTCAACGCGAGCCGCTGCGTTTGCGCGCCGCCCGTTCGAGGTCGATTTGCACGCTCGCCAACTCTCGCTGGCACAGACTTCCACGTGGCGGCCAGGATCGAGCCGGCGAAGCGCAGGTGCGCGCGGAAAACGCGGCAACGCTGTTGATGGGACTTTGAGCGTCGCGTGGAGCAACGCGGACGATAGCGGGAAAGTAGCGACCTTACGACCCGTTTTTCGCGCTTGCCTGAGTATATGCAGGCTCGTGTGCGGCGCCGAGAGCCAGCTGGGGCCGTTTTGGAGTCCGGAGCGCTCGGAGAGCCTGGAGCCAGGGTACGCCTGGGACGTCGTCTTGTTGGCCGCGGTACGCCCTCCCGCGCGCGTCCGCGCCACCTCAAGTACTCACCAGCCCACAGCCGCGGCGAACCACGCGGAATCCCCACGCACTCGCCCACCACACTGCAGGGCTGCTTCTACGGCGCGCTGGCCGTGGCGCTCCTGACGCAGGGACAAGCGAAGCTAGGCGCGCAGTACGCCGGCGTTGCCGCCCTCTCTCTCGCCTCCGCGGGCGACCGGAGCCCTCGCGTCGCGGTCGGCGCCGCTGCGGTGTCATGGTTTGCATCCATGGCTGCAATGGTGCCTGCAATGCTCGAGCAGCTCGAACCCGCGGCTTTCTCGATCGCAACGCTGCTCGGCGGGGTGGAGCTCCTCTTCGGGAGGTCCCGGCGCCGCCCTAATCTCGCGGCCGCGGTCGTGGCGGCGATTGTGTCCATGCACGTGTGTAGCTGGTGTTTGGCATTCGAGGAGCTGTCGTACGCCGAGCTTACGGCGCGTAAGGTGCACGGCATTCCACACCTCTTCCTTGTCGAGGCGCCCGCGCTGATGTACGGCTGCATGGCAGCCTGGAACAAGAAAAATTCGAGAATGGTGCGTTCCAGCACCGCCAAATGCGCCGCAGAATCGCACCGATGCGGGACCGACAACGCCTGTCCCTTTTCATCGCACTGGCCGCCGCGACCGAGCGTGTCTGATCGATGCCGCGGCGCGCCCTTGATGTCCAGCGCTCTCACCTGCTGCGGTGCCGTTCGCGAGACCGTGCCGTGCAGGCTGCGATCAAGTCCCTGATCTTGCCCCTCGCTGCTGTCTGCAACTGCGTCCTGCCGAAACTGCTCATGCGCGTCTAGACCGGAGCGACGGGGGGTCAGCAGTCAGTCCCGCGCGGCATTCCAATGTTACATCCAACCAGAAAGCAGAGCCCCGGTCACCGCGGCGTGCGAGGTTGCTGCGCGGAGCCAGTAGACCTGCAATCTACCCCTTCTCCCGCGATGTGATGATGCGGCGACACGACACCGTGACATCTGAAACCGTTAGTCTGACACACCTGTCTGCGGCCTTTACAGCGCTGTCTTGCGCCACCGCGCAGCATGCAGCCGGCCCTGGCCCCCTGAGCGTGCATTCGTGCATCGCGCGTCACCCTGTGCGTGGCCCAAGCCGCGCATGGCCGAGGACTGCCAGTATGCGTGTTGAACGACGCCCGACGGGTGCGCAGTTGAGTCGTGTCGACGGAGCGCGAGCAGCTCGCGACGTGATCCTCACTCGCATGAGCAGATGCTTCACTGACCTGTCCTTGACGTCCGAGCAGCTCGGCGCGCACGGGGCTGTCAGCAACCCCCCTGAGTCGATTCTACCAGCGATCGACACACCCCCCGCTCCCCGCCTGGCCGCCAAGGGCGTTGCTCGGACATCGCGCACCGCACTCTCATCCGATCGGCCTGGTCATTTCTCTGAAGAATGCTCGCGAGGCCCGCGCTCACTCGCGCAGACGTCGCGCGACCCTCCTCAGCGTCCGCACCACGTCTCCCGAGCGGGTGCGGCTGTGCGCCGCCCCGCCGAGTTCAGTGCGCCTCCCCTGCAACGTTCATCGGTTCAGGCTCCCGGAAGGTGGCCAAGATCGAGCCGGAAAAGCGCAGGTGCGCGCGGAAAATCCCGCGTTGGTGCTTGATGTGACGTCGAGCGTCGTGGGGCAACGCGGACGATTTCCGACGACGGGCGGCGTGCTGACCCACGATTCGCGCCTCCATCGATCCTGTCCAGGTTTGCGTGCGGCGCCGAGAGCCAACAGGCCCCGTCTTCGAGTCCGGAGCGCCCTAAGAGCTGGCTGCCAGGATTCGTCTGCGATGTCGTCCTGTTCGCCGCGGTACGGCTGCCAGCGCGCGTTCTCACAGCCTCAGGTGGTCAACGACGTCGCGCCGCTAGCAGATATCGCGCTGACTGCTCACACATGCGCCTCGTGCCAACTGCAGGCATGCGTCTATGGCGTCCCAGCTGTGGCGCTCCTGAGCGAGGGAAAGGCGCTACTGGGCGCACAGTGCGCCGCCGTCGCCGCCCTCTCTCTCGCCTCCACGGGCGACCGGGACCCTCGCGTCGCGTTCGGCGTCGCTGCGGTGGCCTGGTTTGCGTGCACTGCTGCGATGGTGCCGCGTTTGCTCGGGTTCGTCCCCACCGCAGTTCCCATGATCGTCACGCTGTTGGGCGGGCTGGACCTGCTCTTCGGGACCCGCCGCGCGCCTCTGCTCGCGGGCATGGTCGTGGCAGCGATCGTGTGCACGCACGTGTTGTTCTGGGGGTGTGTGGTGTACGCGGGTGCGGCGGCGGCGACGAGCATGACGGGAGATTTCGGCAGCCTGGTTTTCTTTTCTTCGGTGCCGGCGCTGGTGTACGGCATCATTGCGACCTTCAGCACCAAAGACTCGAGGATGGTGAGTTCGATCACGACGGGAGGGCAGAATCGCACCGATGCCGAGGCCGACGTCTACCGCTCACCTCCGTCGCACGGACAATTGCGGCCACGTTTGTCTCGACCGACGCCGCGCGGCTCCAGCGGCTCCCTTGCTTGTCAACGAGTTGTGCTGCCAACCGCCATGCCTGGCCACGAGACTGTGCGACGCAGGCTGCGATCAAGTCCGTGATCATCGCCCCCATCGCGCTCGTGATCCTGCCGAGTCTGGGATCGATCTAGACCGGAGCGACGGGGGGGTCCTCAGTCAAACCCACGACAACAGCTACAGTCGCTGCTGCGCGCATGACTGCTGCGCGCTACCGGCCGTTCAAGCGGCTGGACATGGCAGGAGGGGCACGGGGCGGGGCTTGGAGGCGCGCTGCGGGGGCGGGGAGGACCATCGGGCATGTGGATGTCAGACGCGACGTGATGCCGTTGCTATTGTCGCGCACGCCGTCCGGCAACTGTGACGGCGTGTCCGCTGGATCCTGAAGTTCAGGGGCGAGAGACAGACCAGGGCGCTGCGCGAGCCGCCCTGCCTGCGCGACCCCGAGCCGGGGGGACTATTTGGAACACCCCGCTATTACCACCCCCCCTGACTGGCTGATGTGGGCTCTCGGCGGCGGGTCGCGGCAAGTTGTGCGGGGCATTGATCGGTCCGATGCAGGCGCGCGGCGTGCTGGCAGCCTCGGCGCTCAAAGGCAGCGCAGCGAGCGTGCGTAGTGCCCGAGGCCCGGTCGACTATGAGTGCGCCTGGAGGCCCGAACCACTCTCTAAAAGGATCTCTGCTCATCTCCCGGGGTCTCCCTCATCTACCCGGGTCAGGACACGCTGGTTGATATCAATCCGTCGCAGGTGCGCCCCCCGATTCTCTCGACGCCTTCTGGCGTGGCTCACAACCTTCCGAGCCGTCGTTCAGCGATCACCGCGGTTGTTCGCGGCCCATCGCCTGGTTCTGGGCCCGCTGCTCTATGATATACGATTACCACGCAGAAAAACAGCCATTACTGGCTGGATCTTGCCAGGCAGCGCACGACGATTGCTGCGTGCCTCGCAGGTCGCAGCGCGGCGCGCAGAGTCGTCACGGCGCCAGAAATGACGACGCAGCGGAGCATCCCAACACACCAGAGGCGAACCTTGATGCAGAGGCGATACGACGAGCCCTCGTCGCGCTTGACGGGGCGAGGAAGCCCACACCGGCGCCCGCCCCGGGCTTCCTCTCCTCTCTGTCGCGCCTGCCGATCTTCATCGCACGCGGCGCATTTTACCTCGTTTCTCTGAGCTTCAAAGTCGCCTTTTTTGCCGCCTCGACGCTGGTTGCGGCATTCCTGGTGAGCGCGGACGCCCGCAACAACTCGCAACATTGCCGGCATGCGCCGCGCCCATGTCACGACAGCACACGAGCCGAAATCCCGCCCCTGGCCCGCAGGCATCGTACTACGTCGTCGCGGCCCTCGACTTTTTGAACCCGGAGTACGCGGTGCGTGTTCCCTGCACTGTTGTATTGGGGTCGCGCGCGGGCCGTCCGCGTTGCGAGACGCAGGACACGATGCGCGAGTGTCGCTGTGCCATCGCAGGCGCTCGTGACCGCAGCGGATCCGGCGGGCCTGCGCGACATTCTCGCGTTTACGCGCGGCTATTTCGGGGGCATGATATGGCCCGTACTGAACGCGATCGGCGCGCACTTCCTGGGCGTCGCGGCCTTCGCGGTCATGTCCGTGTTCGGCGCGAGCGACCGCGTAGCCTTCGGGGGATCCGCGATGGCGTGGGCGATCACCATCGCGTGCACGGGCACTCCGCAGGAGATCGCGCTTGCGCCGTTCATACTGACGTGTTTCTGCGCCCTGGAGCTCCTGCGGGGCCAGAAGTCGCCAGCCGCGGGCGCGTTCCTCGCGTGCGCGGTCAGCGTGCTGCAGGGGCACTACATGTGGCTCATGATGCAAGACGTGTGGCACTACGCAACCATCAATTCAAGTATGATGTCCGTGATTCAGAGGGACTTCGCAAGGGCCCTCGGGGGCAGAGCGAACGAGATCATCAGTTGCGCAGCATTCCTCGCGGCCCCCGTGGCGGTCATTGGCGTCATCGCGGCGATCAGTGAAGGAAAAGCACGCGAGGTGCGTTCGCCAGTGGTGGACTGCCTGATGCCCTGATCGGTGGCTGCCCTTCCAGTTCGCTGGCCCACACGCATCGCAGTGCCGGAGCATCGACGGCGCGTCCGAGCTCGAGCCGCTCCCGGAGGCCCGAGGGCGTCTCTGCGCAACGTCGACGCGGTCGCGCGATCGCTGCCCGGGAACACGTCGCGACCGGGACCGAGCTCCGGGAGCCCGCGAGCGATCTCCAGCACCTGTTCCTCGAAATGCACGCACTGACGCTCGACGTGCGTTCGTGGGCATGCATGCAGACAGTGTCGTTGATAGGATGCCTGGGGTATTTGTGTGCTTCCGGCTGGTTGGGGGTGCCAGGGGTGTTGTGACACACGGGGGACCGCAGCACGCCGTGCTAGCGAGGGGCGCAGCGCCGGCGCGTGAGTCGCGAGCTGCACGTCGCGCGTGAGGCCCCCCTGCTGCCACAACACATCTGGTGTGAGCCGCTGGTCCGTGGGCGCTCTCGGAGCGCCAGGCGCCGTGCCGGAGCTATCCGCAGGGGCGGCTGGCGGCAGATGGCTGGCGCGCGGGGCCTCGGGCGCGACGCGACGCTCCACCGCCGCTGCGCGCACCGCGTGGCGAAAAGGGACGCGACGCACGACGTCGCTGGGCCAGGGCGACAGAGCGCGACCGTCTCGCGCTGCGTACACGGCATGATGTATGCAGCTCGCGCCGCCTCGATCCCCCAAAAGTGCACTGCTGACTCAGGGGGCGTGTTCTACTAGACGTCGCGCGGCGCTAGCTTCCATCTCAGCTCCGAGCCCAAGGGGGAAACTAGGACGCCGCGCACGGCACTCACGATCCGAATGCTTTGCTTAGGTTCAAAGCGCAATGCTTGCAACGCTAGTGCCGCGCCACGGAGTGAGCTTGCGCCCCCCCTTGGTGCCAAGTGAGGGTCTCATGAGCCGCTGTCGGCCCTCCTTAGCCCACCAAGCACCGAAAGTTGCGTTTCCGGAATATACTAGCCTCAGATGCAACGGAGACGCGGCGAAACGCCGAGAAAATTGCAGGTGCGGGCGGCCACAGCTGCCGATGGCGAGCCTGAGGTGACTGCTCGCTTTCTGGGCCAGCGCGAGCCTGGTTCGACAACACGCGCCATTTCAGCCACAATCTGCATTGTCCTGTAGCTCAGTGATCCAACGGCGCTGGTCAAGTACCGATACGCGGCCCAACCGTCCGCTCAGCGCGTTCTAAAGCTCCCTGTAGCGCCATGCTATTGCGCAGGTCTGCCAGCGGCGTGAGGGCGGCCCGGACCCCGTACTCAACCTCCTGGGGGCCTGACAGAACGTGGCCACAGAGCCTGGTTATCGACGCCCTTTTGTTCGGCGTGGTAACGGCCTTTCCGGCGATGTTCACTCCGCGCAATCACGCACCTGCCCGATGGCCCGCCAGAAGGAATTCACGCGTCGCGCTGGCCCCACTCTCGCGCAGACGGCGTACTTCGCGGTCAAGGCGATCCCCTACCTCCTCCCGCTGCACGAAGTGCAGTGCCCCGAAAACACCCCCGCCGCGTTACAGCTCGTCATGGTATGGTCCCGCCCGGCCCCGACACCGCCCGCCCGCGCGCGCCCTGCGCCGCCCACGCACCGCGCGCGACGCCGGACGCCCTCGCAGGACGCCTGCACCAACCTGGCGCGGCGAGACATCAACCAGGCCCACATCTTGGTTGGTCTAAGTGCTGTGTCTGTCCACGCGCGAGACTTGGTGGCCGCGATGGGCGCGCAGTGCGCGGCGGTCGCAGGCCTCGCGTTCTACTCCATGGGCGGCAGGAGCGCGCGCGTCGCGTTCGGCCTCGCCTCGGTCACGTGGGTGGCGGTGCTGGCGATGGCGCGCGACACGGCGGGTCGCTTGCTCGACGCGTTCCCGGGCACGGCGGCCGTCACGCTGCTCGGCGGGCTGGCGCTGATGCTGTCGCGGCGCGCGCCCGTGCGCGCGGGCCTCGCCGTGGGCGCGATCGCGTACGCACACCTGATGTTTTGGGTTGGGCTGTTGGGAAGGCAGCCGCAGTCGGTGTTTGGTGTCTTCGGACTCGACGTGGTCAACACGGCGGTGTGGGTCACCGCGCCGGCGGCGGTGTACGGCGCGATCGCGACCTTCAGCAGCCGGGACTCGAGAGACGTAAGTCAATCAATCAGACATCGACAACTTCATAATATCAAGTTCAAGAACAGTATTATTGTTTGTCTGTTTGTGTACAACATGCTGCCTTCCATCGCTCCGGCGGCCACGACCGCGGTTACCCCGTCGACGCCGCGCGGCTGCATCGCACGCCCGCGCCCCGCGCTCCCTGACCCCCTCCGCCGCTGCGCCGGGCCTCAACCATGCTACGCAGGCTGCGCTTCACTCACTGATGTTCCTGCCGCTCATCTCTCTCATCCGGCCGATCTGAATGCGCGGCTGGACCCAGCCGCATCGGCTACGGCGCGGCACGCGCGAGCCCGGAGCGGCCGGGCGTCGCGGGCCAGGCGGCGTGGGTGCTAGCAGTGGCGGCGAGTGCCTGTGCCGTGGCTGCGCGGGGCGGGGCGTTGAGGCGGCCGGGGGTGGCGGGGGGGGCGCGGGGCGGTGCTCGGGGGCGTGCTGGGGGGCGTGGGGGCTCGTGGAGGCATGTGACTCGCCCGCGCTGGTGTGCTTGGCTTCCCTTGGCCGAGCTATGGAGCAATCGGGGCGCGGGGATCGGAATTCCTCGACTGGTCGTGAGTCGGTCCAGCCTCGGCCTGTGCGCGACTGCGCCCTGGCGTAATCGAGCGTCGTCCGGGATCGGTAGCGGCAGTTGGCGGGCGCGACGGTCAGCGGACATCGTGTGCACACGAACGCGACCTCTCAAGTCGCGCACAAGCCTCCAGGTACGCGCGTGGCTGCAAATCCACCCTGCAAGGCCTCGAGGCTCCGTGCGCCAGCGAGACCTCCTCACCGTGGCCAACTCTGCGAATTTCTCGCACCTGATTCACGAAACTATGCCGGCGGGTGGCGAGCGCGTGTGCCGTCGCGCCGTGCCGAGCGCCAGCGGCATCGATTGACCGTCAACCGCTGGGCGGCGCCGGAGGGCTTCGCCGCGCGCGCGCTGGCCCCGCGGTCGAACGCCAATTCCGTCATTCACCACCTCGACCTGCGCTCCTCTGCCGCGATGCAGCGATCCGCGGACCCTCGAGGCGCGCCCACGCCGTCGCGCAGGTGGGCTGACTGGGCTCCGTCACGGGGCGCGCGCTGGTAGATGGCGGCCGCACAGGTACGCAACGCAACGGCCAGCGCCTCCACTTCCCGTCCAAAGCAGCCAGAGGCTCGCATTCAGCCGCACGGTTCTCTACTCGCCTGTGTGGAGAGTAGCAGCTCGGCCCCCCCGCAGCCGGCTCTCCGCGACCTTGCACCCGCAACGGCCTTCCCCCGCCTGCTGGGACAGAGACGCTCAGCAGGTACCGCGACGCGGGGCCCCCACTGGCTGCCCTCACCGCCCCCGCTACCCCACAACCGCCTCCGAAAGGGCATTGGGAGGAATGCCCTCCGGCTGCGCTGACGTGGCAGCCTAGCGCCGGAAACGGCCCGCAAGTACACGGAACGCACTTCCAGCGACCCCCCTGCCCACCCTGCGCGGCTTGAGCTGTTATATCTGCGCCGTGGGCGGCGAAGTGCCTTGGGTTCAACAGGGTGCGCCGCCAGCGCGTACGGCGCGGCGTTCGTGCTCATTCCCCGGCCTCTGGCTCCGGTGCCTCGCAGCCATTCACGCCCAGCCCAGCACCGGCTTTCGCACCCAAGTACAACACGCCGGACGAGCTCGCCGCTGACGTGAGACCCAGCGGCCGCCCCCGTCCCGCACCGGCCTCCCCGCCCCGCGCGACCGCCGCCCACGCATCCACCTCTCGCCCACGAAGCAGCAGGGCCGGGGCTCCGCCCACAAACGCCACGCCCGCCTCTCCGCGTCCCACCCGCCCACCTCCCGCCCCAACGCGTCGTGCGCCGCAGACCGCCCAGTTCATCGAGGACGCGGCAGTGCAGATGGAGGCCCTCGAGCAGGAGATCAAGGGCCACAATGAGCGGCTGGAGGCCCTCGAGAGCGGCGTGAAGGGCCTGGAGCAGAAGGTGCACAAGGTGGACCAGACGAATGAGCGGCAGGACGAGATGTTCCGCGCCGTGAAGGAGGCCGAGGAGCGCATGAAGGAGCGCCAGGACCAGTACGAGAAGGACATGAAGCTCGACGTCGCGCAGCAGGTCGGGGGCCGCATCGGGGAACTGCAGACCATGATTTACCAAATCAAGACGCAAGTCAACAAACGGGGCGCCGACGGCGACGCAGCCAGGTCCGCGCCCGCCCCCACCGCCGCCCCCACCCCGCCGCCACCGCCCCGCGCCCACTCCCCCCCGCCTCACGCGAAAATTCCCCGCCAACCCCGCAGCACGATCCCGTCGGAGCAGCTCGACCGGCTCGCGGACCTCACCGAGCGCCTCGGCCGCCTCGAGACGCTGAGCCGCACCGCCACGCCCATGCAGTCGCCCCTCAAGGGCGACCCCCGCCTCCCGGCCACGCCGTCGCCGTCCCGCGCCCGCATCACCCTGGACCAGGACACCGCGGACGCGCCCGCCGCGCCGGCGGCCCCGGCGCGCGTCCTCGCCGAGTCCGACATCGAGGCAATCGTCCGCCGGGTCCTCGCGGAACAGTCCCCCCCCCGCCGGCCGTCGACGCCCCCGGCGGCGATCGAGGGGTCCGAGGACGGCACGCTCACGGCGCGGCTCGCGGAGACGAGCTCGGCGGTCGGCGCGCTCGCGACGCGGCAGAAGGAGGACGAGGCCGGGATGGCCGCGTTCAGGGAGACGGTGACGTCGCGGCTGCAGCACGACGCGGAGGCGCTCGAGCGGCTCTCGGGGCGCGTGGCGGCGCTCGAGGCGGCCCCGGCGGGCGACACGGCGGCGCAGGCGCGCCCGGCGGCGCGGTCGGGTCTGGCGCGCGTCGTGGTGCGCGTGCTGCTGGTGGCGGCGGTGCAGCTGCTGCTGATGCGGCTGCTCGCGACGGCGGTGGCGCCGGAGGAGGGGGCTCCGGTCGAGGAGGGCAGCCTCGCGGCGATGATCAGCAAGGTGCGGCCCAGGCGGACTGAGAGCGAGGGGGCGGGGCGCGCACTCGTGCGCAGGTGCACGGCGAGCTGCGCTGGACAAGAAGCGCCGCCTCGGTTGCTCGCGCGTGCGCCTTGTACGCGCGGGCGCGCTCGCTGAGCGCCGGCGCTGCTGCCCCGATCGTTTGCCGTCCTTGTCTCGCGTTCATACATCATTTGCATTCGCTTTCTTGTTCCCTCTTACCTTTCTCGTTGTTCTCGTGCTCCTTTCCGATTCCGTCTCGTCCCGTGTCCCTCGCGTGCTCCGCAGACGGCGGCCGCGGAGTCCGACCACAGCGGGGCCATGAGCGCCATCCTGGTGGGCAGCGGCGCGACGGCGGTGTTTGGCGGCGTCATGCCGCTCCTCCGCATGATGCGCGCGGGGCACCGCTGACGGCCGCGGCGCAGGCGCCCCGGGGCAGCGGCGCGGCTGCGCGGCCCGCGCGTGGCGCCGGCGAGCGACCGGACACCCCCCCGGGGGTGTTTTCTCGGCGCTGACGTGGTGCGGTCGGAAACGGGCCCCCGCCCGTTTCTGCTCTGCTTGCGGCGACGAGGGTGTGATGGCACGCGTAACGCGAGATGCGCGCCGGCCGGTCGAGTCTCACGCGCGGCGGCGGCCAATGTGCGCGGGTCGTCAATTAGCATGTTGTGTCTGGACAGGCGCAACAAACGAGCTCGTCCGCTCTGCTGAGAGTGATCCGGGCGTCCGCGCGACCGCCGAGGTGCCTGTGTGACTGCTAGTCCATCACACGTGCGATTTGCATTGCGTTCGCGCCGCCGCGGTCGGGCCAAGCTCCCCCCGCGACGACGCCAGTCCTACAGCAACTGCGTCGAGCGCTGCGCGCGTTCTCCGGCCTCGCTGGAGCCCTGCGCTTGAGCATGCAGGGCGGGCCGCGAGGAGGCCCGTCGGCCCCGCCCAGCCGCAGCTTTCGCGTGTTTTCACGAGAACATGGTCTCGCGGCATCCAGGGATCTCCACGGTCCTGATATTCACGGTCGACGTCGGGAGGTAGTCCGTCTGGCGGCCCTTGTAGCCCATGGTGCTGCGCGGGCCCAAGGGGACCTCCGGGCTCGGCGTGGGCCACCGACTAGGACTCTGCTGGAACTCTTTCAGCTCCGTGTTGAACGCAGTGGACATCTTGCGCACGCCCTTGCCCTCCAGGAGGTGGCCCTTGTCGTCCGCGATGAACTCCGTCTTCCCCTTGCGCGCCGCGAGCAGCCCAGACGCCGTCATCGTCGACGACGGGCTCTGCGTACACACACCCGGGGCAACACGCGCCCGTGAGCGACGGCGGCGATCGTTCCACGCATGCACGCCCCGCCAGACGCGAGCCCGAGGCACGGCCTCGGCGCTGCGGCGTCGAGGGCCACGACGGCCCCCGGTGCCGCACGCGACGCGACGGGGTCAGCAGCCAGTGCCACGTCCCCGTTCCGTGCTTCCCAGGCACTGGCGGGGCGAGCGGGGAGCCTTGATGGGCGGGGACGTGCAGTTCGGGGCGTGCGGCGGCGGAACGGAGCGCGGAACGGGCTTGCGCTGTCGCGTTGGGTGCCAGGGGTGCGGGTGTCCGCCAAGGCGGCCTGTGCGCGCACGGTGTGCGGGTTCGGCGCACCTTGTCGCCTTGCCGCTTGACCTCCCAGTTGTTGTTGTGCCGGAACGCACTTTCGTACTGGTTGGCTGCGTAGGGGGGCGCGGGGAGGCGGGAGCGCTGGAGGGGGACACGACCGGGGCGGGGGGCGCGTCGCGGGACGTTTCGGCCGCGAGCGACGGACGCGCCCCCTCTGTGTAAAGAGGGCTGGCTGCATGCATCGGCCGGGGCGCGCCGAAGGCCGTGGCGGCGCGGCAGCAGCATCGCCGAGCAGGCAGCATTTTGGCTGGCCGTGCGCGGCGCAGGGATCGCGATGCAGCAGAACTCGGGCGAGGTTCACCTGAGAAAATCATAGACATCTTGAAGCGCGCGTTTCAGTACGACTTGAGAAGTCAGGTGCGGCGTGCACGCGCTCGCAGCAGAGATGCCTGTTTCCGTCGCGCTCCCTCCGTCACGCGGCCACGACGTCCGATTATTCAATAGGAACTCGACGGCGACAAACAGTAGCTGATCACAGAGTGCGCGGCGCCGCGCGTTCGAGCACGCACGACGCGCCAGGCCGCACAGGGGCCGAAGCAAGACCCCTCTCTCGCCGGACCCCGCCTCGACCCCCCCCCGCACAATCCACATTTGCCCCCCAGACACAGCCGCCCACCCATTCTCCGCGCCCGCGGCGCCGCAGCCCCGCACGCGCCCCACCGAGGCCGCGAGCGCGCGTCGCACCACCAGCAACCACCGCGAACCCGCCTCCTGCCCCGGTCTGACGTCGCGCGCGCCGCCCCGCGCCCAGCGGCGATGGCCTCGGCCACGTCCGACCCCGTCGGCGCCCCGGGGCCCTCCGGATCCGCCCCGGCGACCCCGGAGCGGTCCCGGAAGGACCCGCCCAGAGCGTCGCCGGGCAGGTCTGGGGCGAGCCCGCTGCGTAGCGGCGCTTCGCCGGCGCGGGACGCCGCTCCGAAGCCGAAGCGCCCGTTCTTGAGGCGTGGCGAGGGCACGAAGCGCGCGCTCGACCCCACGAAGCGGCGCTCGAAGCCGGTGATGCTGTCCGCCAGTGAACGGGACGCAGGGGCCGCTGCGCCGGCGTCCGCGGCGCCGCAGGCCGCGCAGTCGGCGCGTGCTGCGACGGAGAACACGCGCAGCGCGAACGCACCGCGGAACGCGCGCGGACCGCGCCAGGGCGACGCCCGTTTGGAAGCTGGTACGTCGAACGGGACGCGCGGCGCGCCTAGGTCGCCCGTGCGGCCGCTCAAGGGCTCATTCGACGAGGTACGATGGCGTCCACACAGTCGCAGTGCGAAACGCGGATATCATGGCGTCTGTGCGGCACAGCAGCGGAAGTGCGTCCTGCTGCGTCGCCGGCCTCGCACGCAGCGCGCGTCGCCTTTCCGCGCCGCCGGCAGCTGCCCCGCTGCAGTACCTACGTCGCGGAATCGCCGCGGATCGTTTCCCGCCCGCCAGCGCGCCCCGATCCGCAGCGATCGCTCGATCCCGCCCACGCGCTCCGTGTACAGCTCCTCCCGGCCGCACACCCCCCCCATCCCCTACCGCGGCGCCAATCCCGTCGCAAACGATGGTTCTACCTTGCGAATGGCCGCAGGTGAGCCATCGGGGCCGGAAACACCCCGCAAGTCCCGCGAAGCCGCCGCCTGGGGACGCGGCGGCGGCGGAGCTGCACGAATTTGAACTCCTCGAACGCCAGGTGAGGTCCTACGAGCTGTCGGCGCCGCAGAGGCTCGGAGTGTCCATGGAGCGTCGGTTCCGGCCGCGCGACGGCCCCGAGAGCCCCGGACCGCAGCGAACGGCCGGGTTTTGTGCTGCCTGGTCGTGTCTGCGGACGTTTGCGCGCGGCTGCGTGCGCGGAACCGCGTCCCCGCGCCCCTGCGTGCACCGTCGCGGCCCTGCAGATCGAGCTGGAGGTCGGCGACCTGGGAATCGAGGTGGAGTCGACGGGCGATGGGTCTGACTCGCTCCCAGCGCACGGCGAGCTCTCCCCGCTGCGCGCGACGGGCGCGCCGGAGGGGTTCAGCGGCTACGCGAACGCGCTGTTCGACGGCGGCGACGGCGACGACGACGGGTGCGGAAAAGCGTCGCACCCACGCGCACTTTTGCACATATATATGCTGCTGTACATGCAACTCCATCCCTCAGACGGGTACACCCCTCTGGGTTACGCGGGGCGGGCGTTTACGTACGCGCGCGGCCCCGGCACGCGTCCGCCGCGTCTCCGCGGCCCCAGACCGAGGCGCGGAGAATCAGAGGGGCGTTCCTATTTGATCCTGCGCTCATATCTGATCCGTTTGTTGTTTGCGGGCGCAGGGACGGCGGCCTGCGCGGCGTGGCCGAGACGCTCCGCGAGGACACGGCGCGGTTCATGCGCGAGCTCGGCGGCGCGCCCGCCGCCGTCGCAGAAGCCTGGCTGCCATCGGACGACAACAACCCCCCGGCCCGCCTCGGCCTGGCCGACCCAGAGGGCTGGGAGCAGACGAACGCGTTCGAGGCCGCGTCGCCGCCGCGCGGTGCGCGGAGGAACCTCCAGGACTCGTACGACGGCCCCGCGCGGTCCGAGTCGGCCTTCAGCCCCGACCGCGTCGCCGTAGCGCCACCGCTGCGCACCGCCGAGCGCGCCGCGGCGCGCGCGAGCCAGGAGCAGCGCCGGAGCAGCGCGGCGTCGACGCCCGTGCGGGCGCCGTCGACGCTGGACGCGGGCGCGGCGGCGGATCCGCCTGGCGCGGGGAGGGGGGGGTATTCGGAACACCTCGCCGAGTCAGGGGTACCGCGCCGCGCAGGCCGAGGCCGCGAGCCGGCGGTCGGCCGCCGTGTCGCGCGGCCGCAGCCGCGCGAGCTCCGCGGCGCCGTCGTCGCGGGCGAGCTCGGCCGGGCCCCCGAGCGACGCTGGCGGCGAGGGGCGCGGCGTGCGCACCGACAAACTGCGCGCGCTGCGCGCGCGCGCGGCAGCGCGGGGATCCGACGCGCTCCGTGCGGCGCAGAACCGCCTCAGCGCGTCGGGCCGCGGGCTCCTGCACAGCCCGCGCGGCGGCGCCGAGGGGGGGGAGTACGTCGACGATGGAGGGGGGTCTTCCGTGGTGTCGGGCGGGGCGGCGACGGACGCGTCCCTCGAGGTCACGAACCCGTACATCCGCGCGATGTTCGAGGCGAACCGCCCGAAGCGCCCCGCCTCGGCCGCGCAGCAGCGCGCGCGCCAGCAGCAACACGCGCGCGGCGCCGCGCCCGCGCCCGCGCTGCCGCCCGAGGGCGGCCCGACCGCCGACGGCGGGCTCTACCTGCCCCCTGCGGCCGTCGACGAGGTCCTCGGCGAGCTCTCGTCTCTGCGCTCGGAGAAGGCACGCCTGGAGCGCACGCGCACCGAGGTCGAGCGTGAACGCGCGCGGCTGCAGCGGGACCGCGAGGCGCTGGAGCGCGAGCGCGCGTCCTTGCGCGAGGAGGTCGCGCGCGAGCGCGACGCGGAGATGCGGCGTCTGGCGCGGGACCGGAAGGTCCTGGACAAGCAGGCGAAAGCGCTCCTGCAGCTGCCTGGGAAGAAGGAGCGCAGCGAGGTGGAGGCGAAGGAGGAGGAGCTGGCGCGCGTGCGCGAGGAGGCGCGCGCGAAGGAGTCGCGACACCGTCTGACGGTCGAGAGAATGAAGCGGGAGATCGCGGCGCTGCGGGGGAGGCTGGAGGAGGCGAGGGAGGAGGTGCGGTGGCACGAGCAGCAGGCGCTGGGGCGGGCTGGGGCGGGCGAGGGCGGCGCGGCGCGGGCGGGGCCGAAGCGGACGGTCGGCGGCGCTGGGCGGGCGGCGGGTGCGCGGGCGCGCGGGCGGCGCGGAGCGGCGGCCTGCGGCGGAGGAGGCGCGGCCGGCGGCGGCGGGGTGGCGGCGGCTCGTGGAGTCGCCGAGCGCGAGCGAGGCCGAGGACGCCGCGGGGGAGGTGTCTGCGGCCCCCCCCGGGCGTGGCGGGGGGGCGTCGCGGGCCCACGCGGCGCGGGAGGACGAGGCGGCGGCCGAGGCGCAGGTCGACCTGACGTGCAGCGGCGACGACATCGACGACGGCTTCGACGACGACGACGCCGGCGCCGGGCTGTGGAGCGCGCCGCCGCCGCCGCCGAAACAGAGCGTCGCCGGTGCCCCGCCAGTCGGGGGCTCGGTCGCGGTGCAGGGCGCCGTGGCGCCCGCGGGCGCGCAGGCGCACATGCAGCCGGTGTTCGGGCAGGACGCGTTCCGGCCGCTCTCGTTCGCGGAGCGGCCCGCGGGGACGACGGGGTCGGGCGCGGAGCCGCCTGCAGCGCCGCTGACGCAGCGGCCGTCCGCGAGCTCGTTCGCGTTCGAGGCGCCGGCGGCGAGCGAGGCAGCGAGCGGGGACCCGTTCGCGGGGCTGTCGGCGGAGCGCGTCACGCCGGGCATCGAGCTGGCGCGGAAATACCTGTCGGGGGTGTCAGGGGGGGGCGTTCCGGGACATCCCCCGTCGCGGCCGGCGGACGGGCGCGTGGAGGAGGTCCGGCCGGACGGCGTGCGCAGCGTGGTGTTCCCGAACGGCACACGGCGCGAGAAGTACCCCGACGGGCGGCAGTGCGTCACATTCACCAATGGCGACGTGAAAAAGACCTACGCCGACGGCACGGTGGAGTACTACTACGCCGAGGCGGACACGTGGCACACGACGCGGTCGTCGGGCGTCGAGGTGTACCACTTCTCGTCCGGGCAGGTCGAGGCGCACCGCCCTGACGGTGTCAAGGAGGTGTTATTCCCTGACGGGCTGGTGCGCGTGGTGTCGGCGGCCGGGGACGAGACGGACGCGCCGCGGTCGTCGCTGTGCGCGGAGGTGCTGGCGCCGCGGCCGCAGCCGCGGTTCTGATGGAAGGGGGGGGGGAGTGTTGTTTGTTTGAGAGTTGTACTGGGGTGTGTGAGTTGCGCGGGCGGGCGAGCATGTGGTGCGGGTACGTGCCGTGGCGAGTCGCGGGGTGCTTCGGGGCGAGTCACGGGTCACACGGCGCGTGAGGGTGCATGCTGTCGCTCCCGGGCCATCGCGTGTGCGCGTGCGCGCGTTGCGACGGCGGAGGCGCGCGCGTGAGCGGACGCGCTGGCAAGACGACTGCTTCATCGTGCCATGGTGTAGCATGCTTCAGGCGGCTCCGGCAGCCCTGTTGCCGGGCGCGCAGTCAATACAAGTTGTCAGGCATGGTCAGGCATTTCACGTGGCCGTGCAGGAACAGCAGCACGAAGAACAGGATCGTCGCGGGCACCGTGAAGGCCAGCGAGCACAGGAGCCCGATGCCCGCGGCCCGCTGCTCCTTGAGCTTGCGTCGCGATGCCAACAGGTCCCAATTACCCCCCCACAGCACGTTGCACGACGGGTACTCGCGGTTCTGCTTGTTGCGGTGCGTCGCCTCGCAGGAGAAGTCCGTCGCGGGCTTGTCGGGGTGGTAGTGGCACAGGTCGACGTCGATTGGCTGTCGGTGCACTGCGCACGGGTCGCGGCCGTCCTGGGGTCCGCCCGGGTCGCACTCGCGCTTGTTCGAGAAGGTGTCGAACGGCGCGACGGAGGAGTCGAGCGGCGTGACCGTCACGGGCACGTCGCAGCAGTACCACGTGTCCCCGCCGCTCGTGACGTAGGTGCTGACCTGACTCGACACCCCCAGCGCGCACCGGGCGTCGAGGTAGCCCTCCGAGTCGACGCCCTTGGCGCCGGCGAGGATGACGGTGCCGGCGATGACGGCCGCGAGGCTGTAGATCGCCCCGAACACCATCACGAGGATAAACGAGGCCACGAAGTGACGATGATATATGAAATCCATAATCATCTGCAGCCGCGTCGCGCTCGGACGCTTCGGGGCCCCGTTCGCGGCCGGCGTGAACCTGTGATCGTGGGAAAGAGAGCGCGTGCCGCAGTGAGGCAAAGAAGGCCGCGTGCGGGGTCCTCCCCCAAGTGCTGTTTGACGCCACAATGCTGTGCGTCGCGCAGGCACGAGCGCGCTGTTCGGACTGCCTGGGCGGATCTCTGGCGTACCTGTACCCGTGAGGAACCGGCTGGATCGGAAGCCCCTGCTCGGCAAGCTCCGCAGCCGCCTCGGCGGGGGGCGGGGTGTATTCGTACCCCGGGGGTGTCTGTAGAGGACGGAGGAGGACGCGGAGTTCACCACAGCGACGGAGTCGTACAGGGAGGGCGCAGGTATGCACGTGAAAGTCGCTGAAACCGCGCACGAGGCAGGACCCCGGCAACTGATAAGTGAGCACGAGCCCTGCCACGGGCGCTTCCCGCGCCGAACTTCCGCCATCATGGCGTCTTTCGGGCCACTAAGCACCGACGTGTGCGAGGTGTTCCGTCAGGGGTCGCTGCAGGCCCCATATGAGGCCGCAGTCACGGAAAGATCCATTCCCTCAGAAGAAGCGTGTGCCGCGCGGGCGCCCCAGTGCCAGGGAGCGAACCTGTCCGTCCTTCATCGTCTCGTCTCGCTCAAGAGATGCGCTCCTCCGCGCTCGCTTCCCCTACGTAGGACCCTCCCGCTCCAGGACGTGCCCCTTGCTGTCCAAATGCCCCTCGTGTGCTCTCCGCACAGCAATGCGGCCGGGCTCGCTTCCGGCCGACGGAACCGCAGTGTCCTCCGGGATGGCACCCCGGCGGTGCTCCCCCAAGAGCCCAGACGCGTTTCTGACCCCCTGGGGCGTGCTGCAACGCACATGGATTCTACCCCGGATCCCCCCCCCCGCACGCGCTCGAACTTTGGCCAAGCAACAGCAGCAGCCGAAGACGAAGCTGGGGCCCGGCGTCGCGCCGGGCCCCCACCGACGCCCCTCGTCGCCGCTGCCACCCGCTCCATCCATGTGCGCCAGCAACACGAACCATCGAGGCACATATCAGCGCAGCACCCGCGCTCGCCGCAACGAAGGCCGCGACGCTCAGCCGGCTGCCGGGGCGGCCGAGGGTCGACGCGTACGGCCCCGCGCACGACGGGAGAACGGAATAAAGATGCGGGCGGGTAACGGCAGTGCGGCTGCGCGCGTGTTGGTCGTCGAGGCCGGGCCAGGCCCGGAGAGCGTCCCAGGCGCGTCGGGGAGTCTTCACACGGTCCGCTGCGGCGGTGCGGCTACACGGGGACGTTGACGGCGCGGAGGTACGAGACGGTGTCGCCCAGTGGCCGCGCCTGGAGGTCGAGGACGGCCTCCTCGGGCAGCTCGATGTAGAACTCGTCCTCCAGGGCCTTGTAGAACTCCAGGCGGTCCAGCGAGTCCAGGTTCAAGTCCTGGAGGGGGGGGTATTACGACATGGACGTTGACGTGGGCACTGCGGGTGGTGGTGGGACCGGGAGGGCCCCGCGAGCTCCGGAGAGAGCCACCGGAGCTCGCGGGACCGATGCGGGTCCGTGGGGAACCAGGCACGCGCGTCATCGGGGCGGGAGAGGTGCCGGGTGGTGGCAGACGCTCCGCGGCGGCGGCTCGGGCGGCGCGGGGCGGGAGCTCGCGCACCTTCTCGAGGTTGTCGGTGTCCTTGAAGCCGTCCTTGTCCGCCAGGTGGTCGAAGTGCTGCAGGACGTGCAGGACCCCCTTCCTGATGCCGTCCTCGTCCATCGCCATCGCCAGGTCCCTCCCGCCGTGTCCTCCGCCGGCGTGCGCGCTAGAGGACGTGTGCAGGCCCTGCGGGAGCGCGCGACGGCGGGCGCGCGGTCACACGCGGGCGCTGTGGCGCACGGCGGGTGCGTGAGGCCCTCGCCAGGGACGCTTGGTCGCGTGGGGCGCCCGAAAATGGGGCCGCTGTTCGGTGTGAGGCAGCTACATGCATGAACGGGTGCGCAAACGGCACGCGAGTCTCCAAGTAGGACGGAAACGCCCTCGGAAGTTGCGCACGCTAGTCTGCGAGCCGGCGAGGGGCTGCTCGCGGAAATTCGTCGGCAGCGGCGCGTCTGGGCGCGATAGGGGTGGTATGAGGACGTGCGCGCTCGGGGATGCGGGCGGGATCTCCATTCACGCGGCCTGCGCAGGCGCCTTGCCTGTACCAGGCTTCCCCATGCTCCCTCCGGGCCCCGGAAGCGCCTGAGGATGCAAGACTGCAAGCCCCGCGCTATTTGATTCAGCATCCTTCCTCCGCCCCTCAGGTTCCCGTCTCAGAGCCAGGAACGCGCACGCCTGACGAGTTTCAGCTCCGATTCACGTCGCCCTCGCGCCGTGCCGCCCCGCCAGGCCACAAGCTACCGCGCAGAACAAAGGTCTCAATCTCGACGTCCGACGGCGGCCGCGCGCGCCGCCCCGATCTCCCCCTCCTGCGCGCACGGCCAGCCAGTCCCCTACTGACTCGGCTCGGGGCCCCAGCTCCGCTCGCGCACGCCAAGGGGCCCGGCTCGCGCTCCCTGCGCCACAACTCGGCGCCCCGCGAGCACCGCTAGCCGTTCGGTGAACGCCGCCCTCTCGGATCCCCCGCAGCGCGACTCACCTCGACACTGGTTGTTGCCCTGCGCCATCTCTTGCCCCCTTCGCCGACGCCCCGGTCGCCGCATCGCCTGCGATGCCCAGGATCAAGGACCTCAATCCCGAGAAGTACAAGGACGACGACCAGCAAGTGCGCCCCGCGCCACCGCGACCGCGCAGCACCCGCGAGGCTGCGCGTACCTGCCGCACGGGCCGCCGCGACACGCCGCCCCGCTCGTTTCGGGGGACCGTGCATGCACGAGCTGTCCCTTGCATGAGCGCTGCGCGGAACTGCTGGCTCGCGGACGCAGACGACCCAGCGCGCCCGCCCAGCGCTCCGACAGCCCAGCAACGCAACTGGGGGTAAGAGGGCCGCGGGCGCCCCTCAGCCCGCGTACCCGCGGATCCGCGCCCCGTTTCTCGCGAACTCGGTATATATGAGGCCAGGTCTTTCCTTGAACCTCCGTCTCACCCCATCATCCGCCCTCCAGCGGCCATCATGCCATCTGCGCCCCTTCGTGGGCCAACCCTCGCCCGAATCGCCGCCGCTTCGCCGATCGCGCCGCACCCCCGCTCTCTGCCTTGATTCCGCAGTGGCGGGCCACGAAGTCGATCCACGACCACTTCTGGGCCCCAAACAATGAGTCCAATCGTTATCTTGCGTCAATGGTCACAGAAACGTCGCGAATCTACCTGCGCAAACACGACAGGTCCGCAGCGCCCGCCTGCCCCCTGCCGTGTGCGCGCAAGCCGCGCGCCACCCGTCCCGCTGCGCGGCCAATCGACAAGGGCAAAGCACGCGTGGCACATACGTGCAGGTATCCGCCGGGCGTGCCCGGCGTTGCGCGCAGCGGCCCGTACGCGCTGCCGCCATCAGGTGGCGAGGTTCCGGATGACGTGAGGAGGTCCCTGCGGCACGTGGCGAGGGAGTACGGGATGGAACCTGCGACGACGGCGCTGGGCCGGCCCACGCACCTGTCCCAGCGCCCAGGCACCGCGCCCGTCCAGGTGCGCACGCGCATCATCCCCCTCACGATTCGGCGTCGCTTTTCGCTGCGCATTCGCGCGCCACGTCGCGCTGAAGGCGCAAATCGCCCACCGGTCTTCGCGCCCGCCCCACGCCGCCCGCAGTACGGCATCCCGTCGGACGCGGCAGTCCTGCGCCGCAACGCCGCGCTCGAGGAGGAGGCCCGCGTCGCCAACTCGAAGAGCCGCCGTCTCGACGAGGAAGTTGAAGACGTGATGGACGCAATCGTCGAGGAAGTCGGCGACATCGAACCGAAGGAGGACGCGGCCCCCGCGGCCCCAAAAGACGGCGAAGAGGCGGCCGAGGAGGCGTCGAGCGACGACGGGTACCTGTCGTCGGACCTGACGTCGGACGAGGACTCCCCCGGGGGTGCTGGCGCCCGGCGCGGCGCACCGAGCGGGCCGGTGCCGTCGGCGACCCCGCGGACGTCGCAGGCGCGGCAGCGGAGCGCGCCGTCGGGGCCGGACGTGCGCGCGTCGGCGCCCGCGGCGACGGGCGCGAGGCGCGCGCGGGGGTCGTTTGCCCGCTCCAGGACGATTGGGTACAAGAGCGCCGTGCTGTCGTCGCTGACGCGCGAGGAGTACGAGGAGTACAAGCAGCGGGCGTTCCGGCGGACGTTCCGCAACAGCAGCGCCCCGCGCGCCGTGGACGCGGACGTGCTCACGGGCCACCCGGTCCGGGGGAAACACCCCCCCCCGGAGAACGCGAGCGAGGAGGACATCCTGCGGCTGCGCGAGGAGGAGCTGTGGCGCCGCGCAAAGGTCCGGACGTACGACACGGAGCACCACGAGCGCTCCCGCGGCGGCGCCGGCCCGTTCTGCTCCCAGTACGTGCATTACAAGTACTACGGGTACGCCGGGCAGGGTGCGAAGACGTCGTGGGCGCACAATCCGAAGTACTCTCCGCTCGAGGGGTACCGCGGGCCGGGCGAGAAGGGCAGTCTGACGGACCACATCCCGCTGGAGGTGACGCGGTCGACGCAGTTCATGCTGCACGGGCGCGACAAGCTGCAGGCGCACAACCGGACGGCGCGCACGACCACGGTGGACCTCGTGACGGGCCGGGAGGTCGACACGGGGATCCGGGGCATCAAGCAGCCGCTCGAGGGACACATTCTCGAGGTATGATGCGTCTTTTACACATCAATAGCATGCGTCTGCGAACAGCACGGATCCATGCCGCCGGACGGAGCTCTGCCCCGGTGCTGCACTGCGCTTGAGCTGAGCCGTGCGAACGAGAGCGGAGGGCTGCTTCGGCAACGCAGACAGCGGCAACGCATCTCGTTGTTTGTGTTGCGTGGATCGCAGTGCGATGACCAGGGGTGGACGACTGTTCGTTCGTTGCGTGCAGGAGCGGCGCGAGGCCGAGGCGTGGCGCAAGGAGATGAGCAAGGCCAAGTCGACGCGCAAGGCGACGGTCGTGACGCACCGCGCGCCCCGCCGCTACCACGGCACGCGCCCTTACCACGAGAACTACCAGCACTACAAGTACTTCGGCTTCGCGGGGCGCGGCGCGACCACGGCGTACGCCCACAACCCGAAGCTCCGCGCCCTGAAGGTCCTCGAGGCGGACCTCGAGGAGCTCGTGCTCGACGGCAAGCCGGCGGTGCGGGCGTCGGCGGCGGAGACCGGGGCGTGAGGATGTGGCGCTGCCCGCGTCACATCTCGAGGAGGCCGGCTGTGAGGTCGCCGAGCTTCTCGAACACTCTGTCTCGGAGAGACTCCGCGGCCTTGCGCGCCGCGGCGTCGCCCTTCCCGCCCTTGGTCACGGAAACCTTGAATTCATATTCGTCGGGCTCGTTCACGCTCTCGAACTCCGTCACGCGCACCTCGCCCTCGATCTCACCGTCGCCTTCCGACGCCGGCGCCGTCCACTTCAGCGTCACCTGCGCGCACCACGGACGGATGCCGCGCACCTGTTGCGAACGACCGCGTCGCAGCGCCGCGGTGCAGCGACCGCGGGTCCGGCGGCCCGTGCTCCGCGCGAGAGGGAGGGCGTGCAGCGCGCGGTACCTTGAGGTCGAAAAGCACGAACTTCTTGCCTCCTTTTCGCGTCGACACGATCGCCTCCCCGCCCACCTCCGAAACGCCGCACACCCTGACCGGGCCCGGGAGCCCCGCCGCTTCCGCCTCCAGCCCGATCAAGAACCCGTCCTCCTCGCAGCGCCGCTGACACTTCGCGAGCACGTTGCGGTCCTGCGAGCGGGGGACCTGGCTCCACGTGAGCGCCGCGCCCCTCCAGGCGCACCACGTCCTGGAGACGCGTCGATAGCCGCTTTGCGGGCTCGCGTGCTGTCGACATGGCCTTGCACTGTGCAGCAGAACAAACCCCGGCTGGTCAGTGCGGCTGGTCGCGCGGTGCCACGACCGGCACAGGTGCGCTCCGGTGCTCTGCCGCGGCCTGCGCAATCCGGAGCAGATACCCGCACACGCTCTTCGTCAAGCGACGCTGCGATGCTCTGCGTGGCTCACGCGTCGAAACCGCGGCCGCGCGACCCTCCACGCCATCTGCGCCGCGCGCCGCGCCGCTGCTGCCGGCAAAGCACGCACCCCATCCAGGCGCGTCCCCGCTCGCCTTTGAACATTCAATCGGAAAATAAGCCTCCACCGACGTGACAGAGGAACTACCAACGTCCCGGGCGCGTCCAGGGGGGGTGTCAGGCGCTGACAGCGCTGTCCGGGCGGCCTCCTCTAGAAGGTGGGGAGGCAAGGCTCCCGCAGCACGCGCACCTCCCAGTGCCAGTTGTTCACGTTGCGGCCATCGTCGCGGTCCGCCACAATCCACCGCTCGTCGCCCTTGCCCCACTCCGCCATCGCCGCCGCGCCCGACCCGCCCGCCCTGCCCACACGGCAGCGCAGCTCCCCTCACGCCGCGAGCGCCGCTCGCAGACAGAGTAGTAATTGACCACCCGCGCACGAAACGAAATGCGGGTGTGCTATCGTCCTGATCAAGGCGGCAGCGTGCTAGGAGTACTCGCGCGAAATGCCATGTGAGCGTGCCATCATGTGCCAAGGGAAGGCTCTGACCTGCAATCAGTTAGAGTGAGTGGCGGGCGTCGTCAGCAACAACGCGGCGAGCCGCGCGAGTACTGGACGACGCCCGCCAGCCGACGCGCCGAAGTGCTGGTCCACGTCCTAGGCTGCTTGTACCAGGGGGTGTCGGCAGCCGGCTGGGTGACAGCGGTGACTGAGTCTGCGGCATTGTCCGCGTTGTGTGGCGACGCGCCGACGGCTACTCAGCTCTCCTCGTCATCGCCGTCCCCCGCGCGTGGCCTGTCATGCGAAAAGGGATCATACCTCGGTCTAGCGGCCACGGAATACGCGCATGGCCAACATGTCAACATCGGGGGGGTAACAGAGTGCGTCATGTGTGCGGGCATGGCTGGATAGTTCCGAGCCAGCTTCGCAGCGCCGGGATCATGTATGAGGGTGACGAGTTGCAGGGCGCCGGGCACGCCCTGTCAGCAGGTTGGCCAGTATGGTCTGCAAACTGCACGTGGCGACGCACGAGGTCAGCCAGGCCCGCCGGCGTGGCAGGGCCAAAATGCGGGCTCGGGTGCGTCCGGCAGGCGGCGCGGTGGATCGCCAGGACCTGTCGCATGCAGTAACCTCGATGCGTACGCATGTAGCGCATCATGGCCGACATCTTGGCTACGTAGCTGTCGCGGTCAGTCACCTCGCTGGACACGCGGATGTGTTCGGTGCGGACGATGTTGTAAAGGTGTCGTCGCAGCAGCGCACACGAAGCGTGGGGGTACTGTATGAGGTGAATGTTCTCAGGAAACAGACCGCGTTTGTCATAGTGCGAGATCAGGAGGAAGCCCTGATATTCGGGATGCGGACGCACGCGGAGGTCTAGGAAGGAGACACCGTCGAGCGGGTTCGCTGGGGCGTCAAATTCGACCTCAAGACAGGGGGGGTACATGTTATGTATACCAGAGATGAGATCTACGATCGACGACGGGGTTTCGGGGGGCGGGGTGGGGGGGCGGGGGTGGGTGTTGAAGTAGCGGTACAGTGCGTTCGCGAGAGAGAAATTGTCGTCGATGTAGCGCCTGGAATAACGGAAAGACCCCAAGACCTTCAGCCAAGCGACGTCGCCAGTGCTCAACCAGCGGTCGCGAAACTGGCAGAGGAACGCGAGCTCATGCCGGAACATGTAGCAGTTCGCGAGGTGGGGGGAGGCCGAGAGCCCCATGGGCACACCGCAGGTCTGGTGATATACGACGCCCCCGAACACCACGTAGGCGCGTTTGACGAGGATGTGCACGAGACCATGAAGTTGCTCGATGCTCGGTGCCCATTTCCCAACCATGCCGTCCGCGTCCGGCAGCTGCGCCACCCACCACCACGTCTCCCTCGCGTCAAACGCGGGTTGCAAGTCGATCAGGAGGTGTTGCCCTGGATGCAGTGCAAAAACAGCGTCGATGTGTTCGATGACGCAGTCGATGAGGCCGGTCCCGTGGTCCGCGCTCGTCTCGTGCCGGATGTGCGTGTAGAGCCGCTTGATGTCGGCGCCCAGCAGCAGAGGTGGTTGTTGAGCATGTATCGCTGAGCGTGGTGGGTTGTCATGTAGATACGCGGTCACCATGTCACGCATGCCGCGGCTGGAGTCCACCAAGAAGGGCGCGAAGCTGCTGCAGAGGTCCTCCGGGACGCCGTCGAAGATGGAGCTCCAGACCTCCACGAGGGTGGCGTGGCACATGAGCGCGCCGAGGGCCTTCGTCAGCAGCTGCGCTGCGGGGCGCGTGATGTCGCTCGAGCAGTCCGAGATGTACCGCACGTCCACCTTGGCCTTGTGAAGCTTCATCGTCCCGTAGTAGTGCGGTAGACCACCGCACTCGCGTTCGGTGCGTATTCCTGGTAGCTGCAGGTTGTCCAACATAGCCTCCGTCGTGTTAGCGACGTTCACCACGTGCCTGGCATGCGTGATGTTGGCATTTGCCGGCTCGTTGACAGCGAAAGCGTCGTTGCTGTGCAGGTCGTGCAGGAGGACCTCGATGTAGGCGCGCCGACACACGAAAACCAAATTCCCGGCGTTCTTGTCCATGGTCGTGATGGTGAGGCGTGTCGCGTCTCGCCGCAGAGCCACGCGATCGTCGGGCTGAATGTCCGCCAGCGGCGGGGGCCATGGAAGGCGGAACCCGGGTTGAAGAGCGGGTTGGAGTGCCGTTTGCGTAGCAGCAAGTATAGCATCAATGTACGGCATGCACGCTGCCGCGTCCATGTCGGCGGCCTTGCTGACGCGTTTCGTCCACCCGAGCAGCGGCTTCTGGTAGGCTTCAACGATGCTAGCTACGGTCGCGCTCGTGGCTTGGTGCAGCTCCGGGACGTGTCGGTGCTTGGCACCGCCGACGGCGAACAAACGGCGGTACGCGGTGCTCTGGATGCCCGCCGCAGCAGGGTCCAGCGTGCAGAGGTGCCGCACAGGCTCGCCGTCGATCTGCCAGTAGGGGTCCTCGAGCGTGAAGTGGCGTCGTAGGTCCGGTCCTTGGTGTTGCGCACAGTCGCACTGCGTCGCCATGATGTCGTACAGGCGACTGCGTGCAAACTTGGCAACTCCGCTGTGCGTGCACACCGAGCGCGACAGCGGTGGAAACCTGACCGAATAGCGCGGGGCCACCAGAAACAAGCCATCCATACCTTCGCGGATACGCTCAGGTAAGAGGTTGAGAAAGTCATCATTATTGACGAGGGTTTCGAGGGGGGCGAGGCTAGCCAGGGGGGTAGGGAAGTCGTGGATCATGAGGGTACGGCTCCCGAGGTCGATGTCTGCGACGGGAGGGTAGTGGTGGTTGATGGCGGCCTGCAAAACGGTGCGGGCACTGTCCAACATCTGCTGTGTGTAAAAGGGCTCGTCGAGACCCAGGTTAAGCGCATCGGGATGCATGTGCGACACGCAGTGATGGAGGGAGAAGAGGTATTTTCCGATGTTCGCTGCCGTGCAATGGTTCACCGCGCGTCTCCAATGATCGTGCTCTGTGTCGCCGGCGCGGCGGAACAAAACAACGTCAAGAAGGAGGCGAGTCTGGTAGATATACTCGCGTGTACCGAGGCGCGGAGACATGCCTGCGATAGCGGGGGGCAGGGACAACGCTGGTGCCGTAGTTGTGAGGCAGTTGTCAGCGTCGAGGTGGATGGTACGTTGATGCGTGGAGGAGATGGCAAACGTTGGCTGGAAGAGGGTCGCCAGCGCTGGGAGCCCACTCGGGCCGGGCGGGACGGGGAAGTCGTTGTGGGGGATCGCTACGGGGTGGGGGTCAGCGGCGATTTGGAACGCCAGGGGGGATAGAGGCCATGGGGCAGCATCAGAGTGGCCAGCTCCGTAGCCGAAATTCCACATGCCCTTGCAGTAATTGAGGCCGCCGGGGTATGTGGAGCCCAGACAGCGTATCATGGTCTGCTCCCAGGCCAGGGAGTAGGTGCGGAACTTGTGGAACCAGGCCTTCAAAGCGTCCGGGCTAGTCGCCGGCGGGATGGGCACCTGGCGTGCGAAATTGATGCGAAAGAGGGGCACGATGGTGAAGTCGCGCCACGGGACATGGCCGTTCGGCGACTGCGCCCACACTCGTCGCATAAACTCGTAAAGCGGGGTGTGCACGGCGTTCGGATGGTGCGTGAATGCTGCATCAAAGTGCTCCTGCAGTCGTTCGATCGCTGTGCGGTATGTCTCCCCGACATAGTAAAAGAAGGGGTATTTCCGGCACAAGAGGACATAGACAACCCCGCGCGCCGCAAGCGGGGGGTTTGCCGTGACCGATGGTAGCGCGGCGAGGTCCGAGAGCGCCGGCGGGGGCGGTGGGAAAGGAGCGCTCGGTGGGGGGCACGGGTGCGGGTATGCGGGCGCCCGTTCGTCGCGGGGCACGTAGTCCCAGTAGGGTCGAGGGGCTAGTGCGGAGGCGGGGTGGGAGGGTGTGTGGTGGGGGCTAGGAGGGGGCCAGGCACGGGGAGATGCCTGCGGAGCAATAGCGGCCGCGATGCGGCGTGCGTGCGTGATGCTGGGTCGAAAGTTCGGGTCGTGGTCATTTAGATTTGCGACATGGTGGAACAGGGTGCCATTCGAAAGGTGGCCACGCAGCGTGCGCGCCTCGGCGGTGCCGGCCTGGTCGCTGAGACGCAACGCTGCTTGGAGCCGTTTCCTCCGTCGGCGACCGATTGGAGTGCGCATGGTGAGAGGTTTTGGGGGTGAAAAGAGGGTGGTGTGCGGAACTAGACCGAGGATGCAGTAATCAAGCCACGACGGGAGGGCGACGATGACGGGGAGAGCTCTACCTAAGTTGCGCGTTCCTAGCACGCCGGGCGGTGAGCCACGGACGTGAGACGGCGGAGTCAGTTAGCCGGAGGCAGGCTCGTCTACGCCGACGGTTGAAGGCCGGAGTAGGGAGGTAGCTCTCAGCTGGCACTGCGCCAAAGCCCCATGTTCGAGGCCCGGCGCAGCACAACACGACACACAGAGTAGTAATTGACCACCCGCGCACGAAACGAAATGCGGGTGTGCTATCGTCCTGATCAAGGCGGCAGCGTGCTAGGAGTACTCGCGCGAAATGCCATGTGAGCGTGCCATCATGTGCCAAGGGAAGGCTCTGACCTGCAATCAGTTAGAGTGAGTGGCGGGCGTCGTCAGCAACAACGCGGCGAGCCGCGCGAGTACTGGACGACGCCCGCCAGCCGACGCGCCGAAGTGCTGGTCCACGTCCTAGGCTGCTTGTACCAGGGGGTGTCGGCAGCCGGCTGGGTGACAGCGGTGACTGAGTCTGCGGCATTGTCCGCGTTGTGTGGCGACGCGCCGACGGCTACTCAGCTCTCCTCGTCATCGCCGTCCCCCGCGCGTGGCCTGTCATGCGAAAAGGGATCATGCAGACCGCGCCGACGGCTACTCAGCTCTCCTCGTCATCGCCGTCCCCCGCGCGTGGCCTGTCATGCGAAAAGGGATCATGCAGACCGCTTCCTCGTGCCGCAGCTGCTCGTAATCGCGCAGGCTCGTGTCACACTCGGCGCGCGCCCGGCCGGCCCTTCGCGGCGCGCGCGCCCGCGCACCTACACAGACTGTCATGCATCAATACCCCCGCCCCGCCGGGGAGGTTCGCGACCCCACGCCGCCAGAAGCAGCACCATACAACTCGTGCATGCAACGCGGAGCGCCGGGCGTGCTCCGGCGCACCAGAGACGCCGTGTGCGCCGCGCCGCGGACGCCTACGCTTCCGAATAGAAGGTCACCTCGCGGCCGTGCAGCTCCTGCGTGGGGCGATCGTTGAGCGCGAGGCCGCCCTCGCCCGCGACGTACTCCATGAACCGCAGGATCTGGTCAGCTCCGACGGGGAGGTCGTTCAGGAGTACAAACCAGGACACCCCCTCCGTGCAGGGGGGCGTCGTGAGGCTCCCGGAGTAGGCCGCGAGCGAGTTGCCCGGCGGCAGGAACGCCCCGAGCGGGAACCCGGGCGCGGGCACGCCGCCGTCGTCGCCGTCATCGCTGTCGTCGGTATCGCTGTCGCTGTCGCTGTCCGAGGCGCTGCTGTCGGCGTCCTTGGGCGGCGCCTTGTCGAGGAGCATCTCCATCGCGGGGTTCGTGACGCCTGCGCACGTGCACGTGACGCGAGGGATGGTGAATCCCTCGTGAGGCCGGGGTGCGGGGCGGCGGGGCCACACTGCGATGCTGGACGCGGCTGGCATGCGAGCCCGTTGCTTGCAGCGAGGTGGGGGGTGCGAGACGCGGGTGCAAGCGCTTGCTGATCCAGCGCTGACAATATGATAAATAAAACAACACACCCGGTGGTGTGTTGGCGTGTGCGTCTGACTCGTTGTCGGGAAACAGTGCCTGTCTTGGCGCACCTGGCTGCGCCCCGAGGAAGACCCCGAGCACCGCGAGGGCGCCGTCGTCCGCGACGTGCACGAAGTGGCACTCGGCGACCGACGAGCGCCCGCCGCGGGTGTGCTCCGAGGGCGCGTGGCAGTGCACCTGCGCCAGCCCGTACACGGCGCCGTCCGCCGTCGTCAGGTTGCCGGACCCGGGGGGGAAGTTCGCCTGCATCGTTCCGTGGCCCGAGTCCACCACAGTCGCGTCCACAGTGAAGCCCGGGTCGCTCCACGTCAGCTGCATGGGGGGCGCGTCGGCCTGCACGCCGGCCGCGGCCTCGGGAATGTCGATCGGAGACTGGCTCTTGCCCTTCTCGCACAGGCCGCCCCACTCCTGCAACGCACCCACACCGCGATTCACTTCGCTGCACAAACGCGATCCGATCTTTGAGCACGGCGCGCAGCTAAGGTCGCAAGGGGCTAGACGTGCGTTGGGGCGTCCGGGGTCGTCACCAGCGGGCCGTAGATCTCGCCGTACACCCAGCTGTCGCCGTTGCGCGCGTTGTTGCCCTTGGCCGCGGACACCCACGCGAGGAGCGCGAGCAGGATCGTCAGCATCTGCAGCCAGAGCACGGCAGGCAAGCTGCGGGTCAGCTGCGGGCGGGGGCTGCGCGTGCGACGGAATCACGGGCCATGTGTGCAGCTCAGAGACACAGCGAACATGGTGCCATGCTTCGTCTCGCGCGGCCGATTCGCCGCCTGCTGCTGCGCAGGGGGGAGGTCTGTGTAGCAGCTGGTCTCACCAGGCCTGCCGTGATGACAGAGGGCGACTTCAGGCCCCACTGCGACCGCGTGGCAGGCTGCTGCTCGGCGCTCTCCGGCTGGACGACCGGCTCCTCCGTTGCGGCCTCGTCCTCTTCCTGCCCGACGATCGGGGTGTAAGCTTCCTCGTTCGGCATCGTGCGCGGTCCTGCGTGGCCGGGCGGGGCCGTGCGCGGGGCTGTTGGCACCCAAGTAGTTGCATCCACGCGGTGCGTGAGGTGCGCGGCGTGTGTCGGTTCAGCCCGTGTCCGGACAGATTGTGGCACCGAGAGCGTCAAGCGCCAACCAAACGCTCGGCGCAACGGCGCACGACGAGGCACGGACGCATTCCATTCCTCCCTGATGTGCTGCCTCGCGGTGTGGCGCAGCAAGACTGGAACCAACGATTCAACGTGGAACAAGGGCCGGATGCTTCGAACTGGTGCATAAGGACTGGTGTGTGCGGACGGTAGCAGCGCCTTACCAGCTCGACAGATCCTGTGCCTTTTTCCCGTCGCCCGTAGTCCGTTCGAGCGCTAGTGGGTATCCGTGTACTGCCCGAAGAAACAGCAGTTGGGACAGCGGCCGCGGCCGTCGCCCCTTGTGGCGCAGGTGCCGCTCACAGGGCCCCCGGGGCAGTCCTCGGGGGCGCCTCTCGCCACTGCAGTACGAGGCTTTTGCAGCCTGTCCGGGCGGGCCGCCGCGCCAAAGTCCGCGAGTCCGGTACCTCCGTCATCTGAGCGTGTTGCCGGCGCACGGCATTGGCGAGGCGAGCCACACGTAGCTGCGTTGGGAGCTCCAGCAGTGTGCTGAGAAAGTGCGCATCTGCGTGTGCGCCTTCCCGGCCCCGCCGGTGCCTCCGCGGGGGTTGGTGCGATGACGAGTGAGGAGAGCGACTCGTTTGCCATCCAGAAAGTAGAGGACTTCACGCCCGAGGGTTTTCGGTGCGCCCCACGCTGCAACGTGGCAGTTGGCGGGCCGATGAGGGCCCGAACGGCGCGTACACGTGGCGCGGGCAGCCCGTTCGTGGCCAGATACGAGCGAGACCGTGATCCGTCGCTGCATTTCCCTCGACTCCGCGAAATGACCCTCGATATGGGTGTGTTGAATCCACAGATGGGTATCTCTGAAGCTCATCTCATACGTAGACCCCACCGGGCGGCATCGCAAGTGGGAGATGGTGTCCCGCAGCACCCGCGCCGGCGACTGCGACGGCGTCGCCGTCTTCGCCAGGTTCCGGCACCCTGCGTCCACCAGCGCAGGCACCCTGGTGCTCATTTCGCAGTACCGCCCGCCCCTCCGCCAGGTCCGGCCCGCGCCCGCCCAGCCGCCTCGCGCCGCGCGCGCCGCAGGAACCACCTGAGCGTCAACGCACGTGCGATGCGCGCAGGTCTGTTTGGAGCTTCCCGCGGGCCTTGTGGACGCCAACGAGAGCGCGGAGGACGCCGGGCTGCGCGAGCTGCGCGAGGAGACGGGGTACGTTGCGCACGCGAGCGACACCGTCGCCGCGAGCCCCGTCACGCCGAACGACCCGGGTCTGACTGACGCCAACATGCGGCTCGTGGTGGCCGACCTCGACGCGCGGTCGGACGCGAACCAGCGGCCGCGGGCGTCGCCTGACGAGGGCGAGTTCATCACGGTGCACCGGCTCGACCTCCCGGACGGCGTGGGCGGCGGCACGCTGTGCGATCGGATTGACGCTCTCGCGGCGAGGCTCGGGGCGGTTGTAGATGCGAGGCTGTACGCGCTGGCGACGGGGTACGACTTGGGCGCGGCGGATGCGCGGAGGGCGGCGGGGCCGGGGAGCTTCGGGGCGCTGGCGGCGTCGTGCGTCGTGGGGGCGCTGGCGGGGGGGGTGCTCGCGGGGCTGGTCATTGCGGCCCGACCACGCGTGTGACGGGCAGGGAGGAAGCACGTGACGGCGTGGCGACCTGTCTCGACCGCGTGTGGACGTGGAATCGCCTTCACAGAGTCACGCGGCAACCAAGGAACACCACATGACGATAAGCAACATGTTCTTTCGATGTCAGGGCCCGTGTCCAGGCACGTAGCCGAGCGGCGACGTCACGTTCAGGTGCATCTTCCCCGTGTCGCCCGTGGCGCTGAACAGCGCGAACGTGTACTTCCGGCCGCGCCGCAGCCACACGTCGGCATCCACGTTTTCAAACCACCCCCTCCCGCACACCTTGTTCGGCACGAGACAGGTGTGCATCGCCTCCGGAGGGACGGCGTTGATCATGTGGGTCTGGCCCGGCGCCTGCAGCGCCGGCTGCGCGCGCCCGTGGTCGACCAGTATGACCTGGCAGCCTGTGTCGACAGACCCGCAGGTGCTGACGTGGACTTGGGTGTCGATCGACGGCGTGAACGAGTAGAACACGGCTGCCGGGCTGCCGCTCGGCCCCGAGGCCTGTCCCGGCGCCACGCACGTCACGGGGGGGGGATGACTCAGGCCCGGTACCCCGGTGTCGGCCTCCGCTGCGAAAGGCAGCGCTGGGATGGTGCGGGGGCGCTGCGGGGAGGACCCTTCCTTCTCGCGGTGGTCGAGGACGCGCAGGGTGTAGAGCGCCTCGCGCGGGGGGAGGCCCTGGCGACCCGCGCTCGAAGAGACCTCGCGGACCTGCGCTTTTGAAATAGGGAAATGCCAACTGTCTGCAAAGCGGATGTTTCTTCCCGGCGCGCCGTGTTTGGGGCCGCCCTGGCCGCGACACGCACCGATATCCGTATGAAATACACGCCCCCGTAAGGACGGTGCGGCCAGAAGTGGAACACCTCCGGCAAGGGCTGCTCCGCGCTGTCGCGCGTCAGGCGCAGAGTGGTCCTGTCGAGGTGCGCGAGGCTGCCGCCGTCCCAGGCCGACCACACCCACAGCGCGACGTCCGCGGACTCGACCGGCGCACCAGGCGCGATCTCGACTCGGACCGCGAACCAGCCCGCGTGGCCCTCGGAAACATGGACTTCCTGCAGTGGCACAACACGAGGGAACTCCGAAGGACTAGGCCAACCAACCAGCAGCGAAGCCTGGAGAACAACTGTCCCAGTCAGGGTGCAGCGTCTGGCGGGGCCGATCTGTCAGACAGCGGCCTTACGTCAGGGAAGAAGGTGATGATGTCAGGGACGCGCGCGTCGACCACGAGGTCCATGGTGTCGTGCCCGGCGAGTCCCCCCGGCTGCCGAATGTCTCCCTCCGGCAGCCCGCGACGCTCGCCGTCTCCCTCGGCGTCCGGGCCGCCTCGCAGGGCCCTGCCGCCGACAGCGCCTTGGTTGAAGATCGGAGGCGGCGCGGGCGGCGACGTGGCCGGGCCAGCAGGCGGCGTCGTTGCGGCGGGGTGCCTCGGCGTCCTCCTCGACGCCGACGTCAGCAGGTTGATCCGCACGGCTTCCGGCGACAGCGTGGGGTGCTGCGCCAGTTGCAGCGCAGCAACGCCTGCCACGATCGGGCACGCCATGCTCGTGCCCGTCATCCGCGAGAGCGCCTGCGTGCTCTTCATGTCCGCGCCCCAGACGCGCACCCCGGGCGCCACCACGTCCACGCAGGGCCCCCAGTTGCTATGTCTGTACAGGTGCATGCCGACGTCGATCGCGCCGACGGTCACGGCCCCAGGGACGCGCGCAGGCGACCGCAGGCACGCGTCGGACCCGCTGTTCCCCGCGGCGGTCACGACGGTCACGCCCAGCGCCAGCAGCGCCCGCACCGCGATGTCGATTGAGCGCCTCGCACCCATGTCCAGGGACAGGACGACAACCGCGGGGAGGGTTGCGTGCGCCGCGACGGACTCGAGCCCCGCGAGGAGCGTCTCCATGGTGCCGATCTTCCTGCACCCCGTGAACACGCGCACCGGCACGATCCACGCCCCCGGAGCGACGCCTACCGTGCGTCCCGCCGCCAGCGACGCGACGTGCGTGCCGTGGCCGTGGCAGTCGATGTTCCCGGGGTCGTTGCTGGCGAGGTCGTTCGCGTCCCAGCCGCGCAGGACGCGAGACCCCCCCCCGGGAGTCGCGAACTCGTCATGGTCGGACCGGACTCCGGTGTCGAGGACGTACAACGTCACGCCCCGCCCCAGGGACGCCCGCGCCTCGACGCCCGCGTCCAGCCCGATCATCTCGAGCCACCAGCTCCGCAGGCTCCAGCCCGCGGACTTGAGCACCCGCTGGTGCTCGGCCGCCCCGTCCTCGCTCTCACTGTCGTCGCCGGGATCCTCCAGCGCTACTTCCCCGTCCTCCTCGATGAAGTCGATGTCCCGGCGGAACCGCATCGCCATGGCCGCGAGGTCCGTCGTCGTCAGGGTCGCCGAGAAGCCGAGGGGGCCGGGAGGGCGGAACACGCGCCTGCACGCCCCTGCGCACACATGAACAATGCACGTGGTTTTGATTTGAGATTGCAAGCGCGCTATCAACGCAAGCGATCGGAAACCCGCCCCTAGCGGGTCGCGCAAGCGAGGTGCGCGGTCTCTGTGGCCCAGGCTTGCGCGCGTCGCGGCGAATTGGGACGTTGACGTCGAGATGGGTTCGAGTCACCTGAGAAGTCGTGCACGTCAGGATTCGCGGCGTTGGCGCACACTTCGGCGACGACGTGCTCGCTGGCGCCGAGCTTCAGGATCACGAGCCACGCGCGCGGCGCCTCGGCGTGCGCGCCCGCGCCCGCGGAACCTGCGGAAACCGCACAGACTCGACGCAGGTGAAATTGCCCCGGGCGCCATCAACGGGCCGAACACTGGGCAGCACGAGGCCGCCGCCGTGCGTGTCCGCGACCGGGATCCCGCGCCCGTCGCTCCCGGGCACGCACCGTCGTCGCGCGCGGGCTGAGCGGGCTGCAACGGGGAGCGGGAGGCGTCCAGGCGCCGCTTAGCTTGCATCGCCGAACCCGGCAGCGACGCGCCATCGCTCCTGCGTCTCGCGCGAGAAACGGAAGCGTACGTGCTGACCGTGTGCGTGAGGTGTGGCGCGCGATGCCAACGGTCGGGGTTGGACCAGCGAGAGCGGCGAGCAAGGCCAGGGCAGGTGGCTGACTTCCGTTGGCGGCACGCCGCGATTACCCCGCGTCATGCAGCGGATTTCAGGCCTTATGTGTCAATATTGGTATGGAGAAGCGATTGACGGCGAGAAATACGATCTGTGCGGAGGATTGGGTCCGGAAGCCGGCAACCCGTCTCGCGGTCAGTGGCGCAGATCGAAGCGCGCTACGGCACTGGGTCGGATCCTCGGGGGCGCACACGTAGATTGGCGGGAGTCCAGATAGCTTGTGCTCTGCGAGCAACCCCCGTCGGTCATCCCCAGTCGACCCCACGCAGAACAACCGGCACAACACCAAAAGGAACAAGACCAGAGCTTTCATGGCCACCTGTCAGCACTGCAACGACGTTCCTGGCCTCTCCTGCATGCCGACCGACAGCTTAGATCTGCCGCTACCTCCTACGCGCGTGCAGCCATCAATGACCGGAGAAACACGGATGGACACGGCAGTAGAAGTAGGGGCCTTTGCACATCGCTCAGGGGCGCGCGAGCGGCCGCAGGGCGCCCGAGAACGGTCGGACTACGCGTTCGAGGTCACGCAGTTGGGTTCCTATGCCTCCGATGCGTCAGCGCAGCGCTCCGCGGAGCACCCCGGCCTGCATGAGCGCTCCTCGCGCCGCGTCCAGCACGAGACGGAAGCGCGCGGGGCCCAGGTGGACGCCGCCGTACCACCGCGTCACCACGACAGCGGCACCGTCCACGCGCGAGTCCTGCACGGGCGCGCGGCATCCGGCGCCGCCCTCGATCACGCGGTATAATGCTGTACCCACACACATGCGTCAGGGTACCACCGAAATTGCAGCAAGGCGGGCAGCCGAGCAACGGAGAACTCGAAACTCGAGAGGAAGGTGGTCGAGGCCGTGCAAGGAACGTGCGGGCGCCGCGAGCGACCGCACCTGCAGCAGTCGGAGCAGCTTGCCTCCGGCCCAACGCTCCCCGGGATCGCCCGGGCCGACGCCGTCCTCGCAGCCCTCGTCGACCTCCCCGTCCGCCAGGCGCACGCGGTAGGCCATGATGTTGTGCGTCGCGTTCGCCAGCTGCGCGTCGCGCATCAACGCCCGCACCACCGCCGCTACCTCCTCCTTGCGCGACACCCGGCACGCGTGCCCCTGGAACGTCGACCCGCGCTCCGTCAGCGTCCGCCCATGCACGATGCGCGCCATGACGTCGTCCACCAACGCCTCGCCCGACAGCTGCGGCGCACCGCCGCCGGCCGCAGCCGCCCCCACCGCATCGCTGCGACCGACCGCCTCGCCGTCGCCGCCGCCGTCGCCGGTCTTGCGCTTCTTCGGCCTCGCGGCAGCCCCGTCGTCCTCCCCGCTGTCGGATATCTCAATCTCCTTCTTCTTCCTCTTCGAAGTCTTCGTTTCAGCTTTCCCACGGCCTTTCTTCGCCTTCGCGCCCTTCCCGGCCTTTCCCCCGCCACCTTCGACGTCCCCGTCCTCCAGCATGATCGACTTCGACTTGTCCTCGCCCGCAATGCCCTTGATCGCCTTTTGAAGCCGCGCAGACTTGACCTTGGCAAACCGCTGCCGGAAGCTGGCAAACTGATCCAGCCGCAGCTGCACCTCGCGCTTCTCCCACGCCTGCAGCACAGGCACCAGCAGCTTGTCCGCCTGCTCCACCGTCCACCCGAACCGGTCCGCGCACAGCTTCCGCAGCAGGCCCACGTCCGGGCGCCCAAAAGATAGGCGATCCTTGTTCTTGTCGATGCGGGGGTTGCTGTACGCCTCGATGACGGCGCGCGACGGAAATCCCTCCGGCACGCGCCACTGCCGGCGGGCGCGCAGGTGCCGCCGTCGAAACTCGTCCGCGACGCTCGAACTGCCGTCGTCGTCACTCAGCTCGCCGTCCTCCTCCGCGGCGACCGCGCCGGCGTGCGCACGCCGCGCCATGCGCTCGTCCGCTGCGTGTACGCCGGGTTGGGCCCGCTTGGATCAGTCGGAGGTGTCGTGGTGAGGTCGCGTGTGCGCAGGGAGGGCAGCGGCACGTGTGACGGTCGTGGAGGTCGCGATAGCTGTTTGTCAAGGGGGGGCGCACCGAGACGCGCAAGGTGAAGGATCTCGTCGTCGGGGGCCTCGATCCAGTCGCGGAAGGCTTGCAGCCCCGACTCGGAGTCGCCAAACGCGCGGAGAATCTCTGCAGCGTTGACAATGCCCACGCCCGAAACGCCCTCCGTGTAGTCCGACCCAAGCAGCAACGCCATCCTGCGGACACGGCCGAAGCATCCACAGCGTCTCGACACGACATGCACAACGCCCTCGCGCTATCAACAGGGAGATGCACGATCAGCGCTGTCCACGCGCGAACGGGAAGCGCCAACCGACCTGATCAGCGACTCGCGCCGCATTCCCAGCTCCTGCTCCACGTCGTCCATCCGGTACTCCTCCACGTGCCGCTTATTCGCGAACAAGCTGCGGTACACGTTGCGCGCCCCAAACAGCACCGCGTCGCTGTCGTCCGTCACCACGCCCTCCACGAGCCCCGCCATCTCCAGGAACGCGCACTGCGCCTCTGCCTCCATCGGCGCGATGATATACGGCAATCCGAACATCTGCAGCATCTCCTGGCACTCTGCGTACATCTCAGGCGTTGGCCGGTCCGCCAGACCCGCGCCCTTGCGCTGCTGCCCGCGCGCCGCAGTCACCTCCGCCGCCGCCTCCTCCAGCGCCCCGTCCAGCCCCTGCGGCAGCCCCTCCCACGGGTCGCCTGCCCCCTCGTCCGCAGCCGCGCCCGCTGCTGCTGGTGCCTCCTCCGCCTGCGCGCCGGGCTCCGCCTGGTGCTCCGGAGTGGCCGCGTCTGCGCCCGCGTCGCCGCCGCCTGCCGCCCACGCGAGCACCTGTTCGCGCACTTCGGGCGGCAGCTGTGCCAGCGCTTCGTCGTCGAGGCTGTGCGCGGCAGCACCGCCCGGCTCGCTCGGACCGGCGGCCGGCGCGGCGGGCGGCGCGGCGGCCGGCGTGTCCTCGGCAGCCGCGGCTGGGGCGCTCGCGTCCGGCACGCGTGCGCGCGGCGACAGGCTTGGTGCAGGTGAGGTGGTGTGTTGGGTTGGAGAGGGCTGTCGTGGGGGCGTCGGGTGGCCCAAGACGGGACGATCATCGCTCGATTTCTCCACGGTGTTACCGTCCAGCTGCTCGGCCTCGTGTCCTGGTCTTTCCTGCGCTCGATGTTCTTGCATTTCTATTTCATCGTCGTCAGAAGACACCCGTTTCGCTTCGCCCTCCCCGGCCGGTCCCGCGTCGTCCTGCCCCGCATCCTCCCACGCGAGGTCCTCGCTGCTCTCGCTCGACACCTCCATCGCCCCGCCGGACCCTCGCGCCGCCCTCGCCTCCCCCGCCTCGCCAGCGTCCACATCCTTCGCCCTCCCCTCGCCCTCCTGCCAGTCCCCGAGCTTCCGCCCGAGCGTGAAGCCACTCGTCCGGCTCCACAGCTTCTGCCGCTCGCTCGCACGCTGCCGCCAACCCTGCGCCTGCTCACGCGCACTCATAACCCCAGCAACCATATCCGATACCGCCGCTCCGCCCGCGCCCTGACCCTCGCCGTCCTTCCCTCCACCAAGCCCCCCTCCCACGCGATCCTCGCCGCCGGCGCCGCCGACGTCCTCCCACTCGAGCCCGTCGCCATCGCTGTCGCTCTTGGCGGTGGGGGTGTCTTTCGGAGCCACGTCAGGTCCTGCCGCGGCGCCCTCGCCCCCGATGGCCTGCTGCAAGAGCGCGTCCACATCGATGTCCTCGCCTTGAGCCTGCGGGGACAGCTCCGCCTCGTCGACCGGCCCCTCACCCGCCAGATCACCGCCCCCATCGTCGACGCCCGTTTTGCCCGGAACCGCGCCGTCCCCGCCTTCTCGCGCCTTCGGCGGCCGCGCCGGCGGCGGCGGCATGTCGCAGCCGTCCCCCGACACCCCCACGGGCCGCATGATGGCAGCGAGCAGTCCCCCCTTTTCCGCCACTTGCCGCAACTGCTCCGGAGACAACAGATCTTTCGGTCTGTCCGCGACGACCTCGTCCTGCACCTTCCCGCGCCGCGCTGGCCCCCACGGCGCCTTCTGCGCAGCCCCAGCCCCGCTCGGGCGCAGAACATACTGTTTGTCGACTTCCGACATGACCCTCTTGGCTCTCTCGCCCGTTTCCGGATCCACCTGCGTCATCTGCCCCTGCAGCTTGTCCAGGTTCCTCCGGATCTCCGTCGTCTTCAAGTACGCCATCACCTGCGCGCGGCTGAACTCCTCCGGCACCGCAGCCACTGACTGAAACACCTCCCTGTTGCGGACGTTCTGCCTCTCCCGCATGCGCTGCATCGCCTCGAGCTGCATCGACGGCGGCAGCGCCGACAGCGCCTCGAGGTCCAGCTCGCCGTCCGGCAGCTGCAGGTCGTCGTCGTCGCTCCCTGGCCGCTCGATTGCATCACCGACGATGTCGAGGTCGCTGCCGTTCTCATCGCTGCCGTTCGCCCCGCTGGGCTCCCCGCGCTCGCCCGCGGCCTTCCGCGCACGCCGAGCACGGATCTCCGCGAGCACCGCGCGCTCGCGCGCGCGCAGCGACCCGCCTTCGCGCCGCGCACGTCTCGTGCCGCCGCTGTCGTCGCCGCCGCTGTCGTCGCCGCTCGGCGCGTCCGCGGCCTCGCTCGCCCTGCGGCGCCGGCGCACGATCATATCGGTAGTCAGCGACAGGCTGGTGGCGAAGAGAGGTGCGAGACGAGGGCTGCAACAGCGAAAAGCCCGACTCCAAGGAGTCGCACGAAACAGCAGACATTTGTCGATGTTCGAGGCCTGCACGGTCATTCGGAGCCGCGAAGCACAACGACTCACCACTCCCGCTCCTGCTCGGCGAGCGCCGCGGCCAGCGCAGCGTCGTCGTCCGCGTCATTACTCCCCCCCGCCGTGTCGGTCTCTCGCGCCAAGTCCCCCGCGTCCACCCCGACGCCGTCCTCCGCCGCCCACTGCGCGGCGAGCTCGTTCGCGAGCCGCTCGTCCTCCTCCGCGATCCTCCTCGCCTCCTCGTCCTCCCCGTTCGCACCCGCACCCGCAGAGGCACCGCCGTCGTCCTCCTCCTGTTGCTCTTCGTGCGCAGCGCGCTCGGGGGCGCCTCCGCCGTCCCCAGCGCCGGCGTCCTCTTCGTCCGAGAGCTCGACGACCTGCTTGCGACGTCCGCGCCCGCGCCCGCGCCCGCGCCCGCGTCCCCGCCCTGTCCCGCGCCCGCCGCCGTCGCTGCCGGTCTTCGCGGCAGCCTTCTCCTTCGCGGCGGTCTCGCGCGCGTTGCGCACCTGCTCGAGCGCGTGCTTCTTCATCTTCGCGAGCAGGAGCTTCTCCGCGGCCTTCTTTAGCCTGCAACGAGGGATGGACCGCAACTCAAGGAAACATGACTCGCAGTGCACGCGCCGACCCAGACTGCCGCCCGCGCGGCCCGCGCCAGGTGCCGCACGCATCCGCCGTCGTGGGCAGGGACGCGCCTCTGCTGGTGCAGGTCCTGCTGTCGGCGTCGCGAGGCAACAGTGCGCTTCTTCAGGGCCGGCGTTCCGCCATCGAACACGAAGACCGGGCGAATCCTGTGGAACAGCAGCTTGCAGATACGCCGGAAGAAGCCTACCAGATGCGCGTTGCGGACCAGCTCCCCCCGCTCGTCGCGCATTGCTTTGATGAACTGCGGAGCGGACGTCCAGACGGGCACGAATGAGACTTCAAGAGACATGCGCGGTTGCGTGCTCTCCAGGGTAGCTGCCCGGAGAGCCCGAAAACAGCGCCTGCGGCCTCCTGGAGCGGCGCGTGCGTCGAGGATCCCGCTCGCCTGGATGAGCCAGATGCTTGCATCGACAGCGAGCTTCTTGTTTCCCAGTGCCTCGACGTTCACGCGCCGGCCCACGGGCTCCAGCAGGGTCCAGAGGCCGTGAACTCCCATCCCGCCGGCCGGGGGGCCGCTGGGGCCCCGTTACCCGCGCAAAACGGGACGTCCCGGCGCCCGCGGCACCTCTCCTCCCCGCGCACGACTGCGCCCTGCTCTGTGGCTGATTTGATTCGACGATCACTCCATACGAGAGGCTCTCTAGTGGTCTGACCCCAAGGGTGCGTGCGGCACAGTCTCACTGCGCCGCGGGGCTGTGTTTCCGGTATAAAGGAGCGCTCTGGACAGTCTGGTCCTGGGGGCGCTGTGCTGATTGGCAGCGCGTTCCGCGCACGCTGGCGCTTCCTCCACATCTCGAGTATCTCGAGCATCGTACGATCTTTGCGGCCGCACCATGGTCACGGCGGAGACGGCCCCTGTGGCACCGCAAGGCGTTGTGTGGGTCGTGGGCGATGAGCCAGGGACCGGGCGGTTGGTACAAGGTGCGACCAAAGCCCTCACGAGTTGCGCTCGTTGGTCGTTGGCGCCACGCCGCGGTCTGCGACGTCTGCGGTGGCGCAGCGGCAGTGAAGTGACGTCCCTCGCTCATTCTGCCGCCTTTCGATCAACCCTGTCCCCAACCTCGCAGCTCCACGGATGATTCTCGTGCCACAAGTCGCAAACATGACGACTCGCGCCCAGCAACGGTATTTCCCCCGCTGCAGAGCTCGTGGGCGGATCAGAACGTGCAAACGGTGGCAACGGAGCCACGACGTGGCACATATCGACAAGATACTACGATGCGGACGCGCGCGTCGTCGCCATGCCGGTCGACGAAGCCGTCTCGCGAGCCGAGCGCGAGCCTGACTCAGCCCCAGAGGCCCTGGTCCTCGTCTGGACCCCCCCGCCCGCACCGTCGGGCGGCGAGGCGCCCGTTCCGGCTGCGCCGTGCTCCGGCGCCTTGTCCGGGACGGCGCTCGAGTCCAGCAGCTTCGCAGAGGTTCGCCTGCTCGCGGTCGACGTCGCCGCGCCCGCCGAGAGACAAAGCGGCAGTCGCCGCGCGTCGCAGTCGTCGGGGAGCGAGCGTGGCGGGGAGAGCGCCGCAGGACACGAGCTGCGCGTGCCCGAGGACGCGCACGCGTGGAGCGTCGAGCACGGGGTCGAGGCGGTGGCGGTTTGTCTGTCTGACATGGGTGTTGACTCAGGTGCTGTCGACGGAGCGGGGGACCCGCAGGGTGTGCGGCGCGTACGCGAGGCGCTGCACGCGCACATGTGGCCCGGTCTGCGCATAAAGGGCCGCGACGGCGCAGGGGTCGGCGCGGCGCGTGCTGAGGCGGAGCCAGCGCCGGAGCTGACACAGGGGAGGGGGGGTGTTCCTGGACCTGACGGGGAGGACGCGTTCCAGGCGGCGCTCGACACACTCTTCAGGACCCGCGGTGCGCGCACGTGCTCGGAGTCGACGTTCCCAGCTCGCCGTGTCTGTCCACACAAGTCTGTCTCGTTTAACACCCCCCCCTCCCTCCTTTTCAACCGGTGGCGCCCCCTCCGACGACGTGCAGAGGCAGCAGGCGGCCTCTCGGATGAGGAACGGCGCATCGCGGCGGAGCGTGCGGTGCTGGGCGCGATGGCTGCGCTGGGGATGGGCAGCGACGAGGAGGAGGAGCAGGGGGCGTGGGAGGAGCTGCAGGGCGGGCCAGAGGCGCACGAGTGCGGGTGCTGCGACGACCGTCGCTGACCTGGCGTCCAGGAGCCGCTCGGCGGCGCCTTCGGCTGCCGCGCTCGTTTGCTGCACAGGCTCGTGCGGCATGTCGCTACGGCCGCGGAGATGCGATGCGATGCGGCCTCGAGCCGTAGAGCCGCGGGCTGCGCGCAGCCGAGCGCCGGGCGGGCTTGTGCGGCTGCATGGTCATGCGCCCTCCGCGTCGCTGGGCGAGAGCAGGGGTGCGCGGCCGTGGACTGTGCGGGGTACTTGATTACATCTCCTGGCGCGTATGGTCACCATAGAATCAGCAGGATTCATCCATGGCGGGTTATCGTAATGAACATGACATGATATGAACATGATATGATATGATATGATGTAAGGAATGCAGTCTGTCTTCTTTTGTGTCTTCAGCTCTCCTTCCGCTCGGCTGCGGGCTCCCCCTGCTTGTCCCAGGCCCAGCCGTTCCTCGGCCGGTTCGCGATGCGGGGTCGCGGCGGCGCGGCTTCCTCGCCCTGCTGCTGCTGCTGCTGCTGCTGGTCAGCGCGCAGTGCTGCAGTCTCCTGGCGGTGCTGGTCGGCCTGCATTTGCAGCGTCGCGGCCGCCTCCGGGACGCTGCGGTAGAACTCCTGCAACGCCGGGTTCCAGATGTAGTACCCTGACACGATCCCGAATCTGCGACGCGAAAAACGGAGCTGACTAGCAAGGTCTCGAAGTTGAGCGACGACGCGGCCCGTTCGATCGAATCAACCTGACTCAAGCATAGAACAGTCACGGACGCGCACGGGAGGCACGCGGTTGGCGGCGTCGCAGCACCATGCAGGCGGCGGGAGCCATCTTGGGACACAAGGTTCAGGTTCACGCACGCGATCGCGATGGCGGTGCTTGGAGATCTGATCACGCCGAGCGCCTTGATTGCCCACTCGGGCATCGGCGTGGGCCGATGGCTCCGTCCAAACATCGCCGCTCGACCCGTCGCACGCACCCACCCGCCCTGCGGACCCTTCCCGGCCCTGCGCGCCCACCCCTGACCACGGAACGACAGAATTCGGCCTCTCAGAACCCTCTTAGATATAGGCCTCAGAGCCAGGTGCACGAATCAAGTCTCGAAAACTGCCTTGGAGCGCTCCCGAGCGGCCCTGGTGTGGGCGGGGCCAGCCACCCACTCCCCGCCGCGCCCCCGCCACACCCCCGGGGCCCTCGGCGGCCGGCGCGCGGCACGTCTGCGTCGCCCCGGCCCCGCCTGCGCCACACCGCCGCCTCTGTGGCGGGAGCAGCCCTCGGATCGCGCAGACAGGAGGTCGTCGGCCGGGCGCTGGTTGTTGCCTGGCACGCAGCGGCTGGCGATTCCCGACGGATCCGACGGCCGTCACACGTGACGAAATTCACACTGATCGCGAGCCAGTCACGTTAAAAGGTCATCCGCGTACCGTTTCGGAGCCATGGCGCGCTGGGGTCACCTGTCGCCGGAGGTGAAGACCATGCATATTGCAGAGGTGCGGGCGCGGGTCAATCACGCACATCGGCGGCTTCTGGCGCGGTGCCGTGTCTTTCGTAGCCAGCTCCGTCGCAGGCATCGCGTAGCGTGCGTCGCTGCGCGGCCACGGGGCCGCTGCGGCCGAGACGTGCTGGCATGGCATCTGAGGGGGGGAAGATGCCCAGCACATGCGGCACGACGCCTTTCGAGGCACCATTGGTCTCTTTTTGGAATGCCATGATACGTATAAGCTACGTCGCGTGCGTTGTGTCGCGGGAACGTCGCGGCGGTGCGCGTGCGGGGCGGGCGAGTCACCGCTGGTGCTAATGAGCGGCGCTGTGCGCAGGACGTGAAGCTGGCGGCGGAGCTGGACAACGAGTTCGGGACGCTCGCGTTCGACATCGAGCAGCGGATGATCGTCCTGGACAAGTACCTCCGCATCCGCGTCGGAAAATGGCTCCAGAAGCTGTCGTCGGTCCTCACCCGCCGGGTCCACTGGAAGCGCCTCCGCAACGACTACGCGAGGTGCGCCGTCGCTCCCGCGCGCCGGCCGCAGCCGTCTCACATCAAGCTCGCTCGCTGCGCGAGCGGGGCCCCGTTTCACCGCGCCCTGCGCGGCACCGGCGCTGCTACCCTCGCGCACGCAGCATGCGACCTCTGAGCGGTTCCGCGACCTGCTGCCGTTGCAGGACGCTGATCGAGTGCCTCAAGAAAGGCCGCATGCAAGCGCCGTTCGACAAGTGCCCGCCGGAAGGTCCCCTGCCGGGGCTCGCCCCGTGGATGGTGCACGGTGCCAAAGTTGCCACGTCGTCCGGGCGGCACACCTCGAAGGACTTCCCGGGCGGCACGAACGCCATGGCAGTGCAGACCGGGTGCGTCCGGGCCCGCGCGCGCTCTGTCCGGCCCCGCGCACCCAGCGCAGGCACTCTCACACGCGCACTGTGCCGTCGTGGTTCGCTGCAGGCGTGCGGCGCGCAGGCTGTTCGGGGACGCCTCGGCCACGCGCGCGCTCGACCGGTACGACGGCCGGGAGCGCGGGACGAGCCCGTCGATGAGCCCCGAGCAACTGACGTACCCGAATCGCATCCAGCTGGCAGACACGAGCTCCGCCTTTTCCGGGGGCGACGGCGTGGGCGCCGCGAAGACGAAGCGCGAGCTCGAGGCGCAGCTTGGCGCGAGCAGGGAGCGGACGAACGAGCTGGAGTGGAAGCTGCTGCGTGCGGAGCGGGGCGCGCGTGACGCACACGTCAAGCTGGCAGGGTGCGCAGTTCGCGCGTGCCGCCGCGGAGCTCGCGCAGCTTGGTGCGTCGAGCGGAGGTTTGCGCTGACAGATGCGTTGCGTGCTCGCTGCAGGGCCGTCGGGGAGGCTGCGGCGCGGCGGGCGGTGCGTGAAGCGTCGTCGGACGACCCGTTGTGCCGCAACGAGATTGGGCGCCTAGTCGACAAGTACGAGCGGAAGCACGACGCGATGAAGGGCTCGCCGCTCGCCGTCAGGCTGTCCAAGGTGCGCGCGCCGCCCGCCGCCGGCCGCCGTGTTGCTCTCTCTGTTGCCAGCGTGTCTGACGTGCAACAGTTTCTACCTTGCGCTGCGCCGCCGCAGTTCCGCCCGCGATCGCTGTTCGACGTCGAGACGGCGGACATGAGGAACCAGCAGGACCACGAGGACTGGGAGAAGGCGATCCGCGAGTTCCGGCGTCAGACTGAGTATCTGCGTCAGACAATTGCGCAGATGGGGTAGGGGGGGTATTGCGCTCACCCGCGGGCTGTCTGAGGCGCCGAGGAGCGGCGGCGAGAAGGGGAGGCATCTCGTGCGCACGGCCCAGCTGCGCGACGTCGCTGCACCAGCACGGCGGCGCGGGACGTGCGCGAACTGCAGCTGACGATCTATCGCGCAGCCTGTGAACGAAATCGAGTTTTTGCGGGGCGGCAGCCTGGATCGTTACGTGCGGCCAAGCTGCACCTGCCAAAGGCTCCTCCGCGGCGCGCCTGACGTGTGGGGGGAGTTGCACTTCAGTCTGACACCCCGAGCGCCGCCGGGGCGCGCTGTAGGGCCGCGGTGTGCGCGGCGGCGCCCAGTCTTCGCAACCATGATGTCGTCACACGCGTGTCTGTGCGCGTCGCCCGTTGCGGCCCCCGTGCAGGGCCGCAGCACGTCCCGTCGTGCCGCTGGCAGCGTCGCCGCTCGCCGCGCGGGCGCCGTCACCGCCGTGCGCGCCCCCGGCCGCGCCGCCGTCCGCGCGTTCGGCGACGTGCGCGCGGCGCGCCTGGCGTCCCGGCCCCGCGTCGCTGCTGCTGCTGGTGCGCTCCCAGCTCCTTCGTTGCTGCAAGCGGCGCTACATCGCTTGGTCGTCCCCCGAGATGCATCACCAGCGCGCTCGCGACGTACTTCGGTGACGAAACATCTATGTTCGCTGATTTTCTCGTCACGTCTTGCCTTGATTCGCGCGAACGGCCGCTAACTCAGCTCACTGGATGACCCGCGCCCCTCTCGCCGCTCCTGCGCGTTTCCACCGCCCCTGTTGCCGTGATGCGCATACCTCACAACGAAACCTTCTCGGGGCAGCCGTTCCACACGCGGTCATCACGCATCCGCTGCAGCGGCCCATCCTAGCCCCACTCCGCACCACCCGCGCTCCCCGCCCGTTTCCGGCGCCGCGCCCCGCGATCCCCCTCCACCGGCGCATCCCCGCAACGCCCATAGCCGCCGCGCCCGCGCCTGCGTCCGCCCGCGGCACCGGCCCCGGCCCCGGCCCCGCGCGCCAGAGCCTCCCACGCCCGCCACAGCCAACGACCTCCCCTCCCGTCCTCCCCGCCACATCCCTCCGTCTGCGACCGCGCCACCCTCCCCATCACACCTCCCCCCACCCGTCCGCGCGCCCCCGCGCCCACACCGCGCAGGCAACGGCTCCCCGGCGGACGTCGAGAACGTGGTCATCATCGGCTCGGGCCCCGCGGGGTTCACCGCGGCCATCTACGCGGCCCGCGCGAACCTCAAGCCCTTCCTCTTCGAGGGCTACACCGCCGGCGGCGCCCCGGGCGGCCAGCTGATGTCCACCACGGAGGTGGAGAACTTCCCAGGGTTTCCCGAGGGCATCACCGGGCCGGAACTGATGGAGAACATGCGCAAGCAGGCGTACCGCTGGGGCACGGACCTCGTGGTCGAGGACGTGGCCGAGGTGGACTGCTCGCAGCGGCCGTTCGTGGTCAAGGGCGCGGACGAGACGGTCGTGAAGGCGCACTCCATCATCATCGCGACGGGCGCGGTGGCGAAGAAGCTGGGGATCCCGTCGGAGAACAAGTTCTGGTCGAACGGGATCTCGGCATGCGCGATCTGCGACGGCGCGTCGCCGCTGTTCCGCGGGAAGGAGGTGGCGGTGGTGGGCGGCGGCGACAGCGCGGCCGAGGAGGCAGTTTACATGACCAAGTACGCGTCGCACGTGCACCTGCTGGTGCGGGGCGACAAGATGCGCGCGAGCAAGGCCATGGTGGACCGCGCGCACGCCAACCCGAAGGTCACGGTGCACTACAACACCACCGTCGACGACGCGTACGGCGGGGAGCACATGGAGGGCCTCACGCTCAACGCCAACGGTGCGGACCCGTGCGGACGCGCAGCGAGGCAGGCGTGCCCGCTGCAGGCGCGCGCGGCCGCGGCACGCGGAGGCCGAAGCACAAATGAATTGACATTGATATATGTTCTTTGTTTCCTGCCAATCTGGCCTGTATCTATCGGCCGAGCGCGACACCAGTGCTCCACCAAGCGCCACGTATTGCTTGTTTCGACGTCTCAGCATGCTTGCGACAAAACCCCCCCCCCCTCCGCGACGTGGCGCCGTGCAGGTGAGAAGAAGGACCTGAAGGTGGCGGGGATGTTCTACGGCATCGGGCACACCCCCAACTCGAGCTTCATGAAGGGCCAGATCGAGACCGACGAGACGGGCTACGTCAAGGTGGACCACCGCGGCATGACGACCGTCGAGGGCATCTTTGCCGCCGGGGACCTGCACGACCACGAGTGGCGGCAGGCCGTCACCGCGGCCGGCGCCGGGTGCCGCGCCGCGCTCGCCGCGGAGCGCTGGCTCGTCGAGAACGACCTCGCCACGCAGTACAGCACCGTCGACCGCATGGCTGACTCAAACGTGAGTGACACTCCCCCCCGCCCATCCACAGCGCGCGCTCGACCCTCGCAGCCCTCGCTCCGCACCTCTCAGCCCGCTGCGATGCGCCACAGCGCAGTCGACCCACGCAGCGCGTTCGCTTCGTCGCGGGGTGTATTGCAGGACACCCCCCAGGCCAAGGAGGAGCCTGCGGCGGCCGAGGCCGCGAACGGCGGCGCCGAGGACGGCGAGCTCCCGGGCTTCAACCCCGACGGCCACAAGCACAGGGGCGGCGTCGCGCTGCGCAAGTTGTACCACGAGTCGGACCGCCTTCTGCTTGTGGTCTACACCAGCCCGACATGCGGCCCGTGCAAGTCGCTGAAGCCGATCCTGAACCGCGTCGCGGACGACTACCCCGAGGACATCGAGTACATCGAGATCGACATCGAGGCGGACCCGGAGATCGCGCAGGCCGGGGGGGTGAACGGGACGCCGACGGTGCAGCTGTTCAAGGACAAGGCGATGGTGCAGAGCCTGCCGGGCGTGAAGATGAAGGGCGAGTACAAGAAGATCATCGACGGCGTGCTCGCGGGCAAGGTGGCCGCGTGAAGAGCGGCCGCGGCGCCTGCGTTGTGATGCTTGTCGACGACGGCGACGCCGCTTCGCGCGGGCGGTCATGCGATAGAGCTGTCACGGACATGCGCGTATCAACAACTCTTTTGCGTTCGGGGCAGCGTCGTCTCGCGAACAGCAGACGTCAGGTGTTGCCCTGCAGTATGTTACCGACGCGCTCGGCCACCGACGTCGCACCAGCCGCCCTACGGTGCACGCCTACACGCCTCACACTCGCCCAGCGCGCGCGGACCCGTCATATTTCCGTCCAGTCACAGTCCCCTGGTAGAGCACACAGCCGCGCGGTCAAGGTCGCGGTCACTCGTCCTGCACGAGCGCGACCAGGATGTCGCCCATCTCCTCGCACCCGACCTGCGTGCACCCCTCCGACATGAGGTCGCCCGTCCGGTACCCCTTGTCCAGCGCGTCCGAAACGGCCTTCTCCAGCTTCGACGCGACGCTCTCCAGGCCCAGGGAGTACCGGCACATCATCGCCGCGGACAGCACCTGCGCCATCGGGTTCGCCTTGTCCTGCCCCGCGATGTCCGGCGCGGACCCGTGCACGGGCTCGTACACGCCCGGCAGCGAGCCGTCGCCCACCGACGCGGATGGAAGCATCCCGAGCGACCCCGTGAGCATCGACGCCTCGTCCGAGAGAATGTCCCCGAAGATGTTGCCCGTCACGATCGTGTCGAACTGCTTCGGGTTCCTGCGACAACGCACCGCGCACCCAACGCACCCTCTGAGCCCGCGCAAGCAGCCTCCGCGAAGCAACGCAGCGCGAAGCAACGCAGCGCGCGGCCGCGCACCTGATCATCTGCATCGCCGCGTTGTCGATGTACATGTGCGTCAGCTCCACGTCAGGGTACTCGGACTCCCCCAGCTCCGTCACGACGTCCTTCCACAGCTGAGACACCTCCAGGACGTTGGCCTTCTCGACGCTGCACAGCTTCCCGCGCCGCTTCCGCGCCGTCTCGAAGCCCACGCGCGCGATCCGCGCGATCTCGTCCTCGGTGTAGATCTCGGTGTTGACCCCCACGCGCCTCCCGTCGGGCCCCGTCGAGATCCCGCGGGGCTCGCCGAAGTAGATGCCGCCCGTGAGCTCGCGCACGATCATGATGTCGACGCCCGAGACGACCTCCTTCTTCAGCGTGGAGGCGTCCGCGAGCTGCGGGAGCACCACCGCCGGCCGCAGGTTGGCAAACGCCTCCAGGCCCTTGCGGAGGCCGAGGAGGCCGCGCTCGGGGCGCTCGGCGTTCGGGAGGACGTCCCACTTGTACCCGCCGATCGCTGCGAGGCGGGGACGGGGTCGGGGGTGTTTTAGATGGTAGAACCGGCAATATTTAAATGTTGGGAGTTTGGTGAGTTGTTTTGCGCGTGTGGGAAGTCAGGGTGCGGGCGCGGACCAGCGAGGAGGACGGCGTCGCAGTTCTTGCACTTCTCCATCGTCTCGTCGGGCAGCGGGGTGCCGGCGGCGTCGATGGCGGCGCCGCCAATGAGCGCAGTCTGCGTGTCGAACGTAACGCCCTCAGTGGCGCCCGCGGCCTTCAGGACGCGCATCGCCGCGTCCATGATCTCGGGGCCGATGCCGTCGCCCGGGAGGAGGGTGATCTTCGGGTTGCCCGCCGCGGCGGCGACCGCGCGCGCGTGGCGCGCACGCACGCCAATGGCGTGGCGCGGGGCCGCGTGGCGCACTGCACGCGCGGAGTCAAACAGCGCAGCGCACTGAGATTCAACGGCGCCGGGATTGCGACTGTGCGACCGGCTGATTCAGCGGGAGCTGCGTCCCCAGGAGCCGGGGCCTTGCAAAAGGAGAATCGAGCTGCTGTGGTTCCCGTAATTCGCCAATCAGCGCGATGCGCTGCGGAAGAGATGCTCGTACTCTTCAACATGCTGGAAGAATACAGCCAGGCTGTCCCGACCGGACAGGTCGCGGGATGGCCGGCTGATAAAGTGGCGATAGAAACCCGCCGTGGACGCGAGGGTGTAGATTCACGGCGATGTGCTTTGCAATCAATGCAGTCTACAGGCGCAATGGATTGCATCACGATCGGTGTCGCGGCGCCTCGGCCACATGCCCGCCGATGGCAGCGCCATCATGAGAAGGAGTGCTGGAGCGCCGCACCTGAGCCAACCTGGAATCGCATAGCTCCTTCGTCCGGCGCCCCCGCCTCGAGAATAATGCGTGCCGTCGCGCCGGCCCGCACATGGCGCGGCAGAGCCGCCACGGCTGCCACGGAGGGGGGTAGCAGCCGTCGCAGCGAGGCAGACTGGAGCCTCGCGCCGCTCCCCAGTCCCCCACAGCCTCTCTCGCTCCCATGGGCGGCGCCGCGCGCTCGGCCACGGCAGCTCGGGCAAGTCGCGGTCGGAAAATCGAGGTCACAAAAAGGGAACCGCGAAGAAAGGAGCGCGAAGACACCGCGGGGAATTCTTTCGCTGCTTGCTGTCCACGCTCCGTCGCGGCTCACGGGTTTCCCGTCGCCAACACCTGGCCTCTTACGGAGGGAACAGCCCAGAGTCGCCCCGCAGCGAGGCAGCCCGCTAGGGAGCGGCCCAGCGCGTCTGTTGCCTCGTGCGCTGTGGCCTTGCAGCAGCGCCGAGCGCCGTGGGCAGGGGGCACTCAGCCCCTTCCCCGGGCACTCTGTGTGTTAAGGAGTACGGAAGCAGCCAGCCGGGCCGTTATACCAGCGTCTTCGCCCTCGTGGGCCCCAAGCGGATGCCTGTGTGTCGCTAGCAGACGCCAAGCGAAACGTGGCAGGAGCGCGCGCCGGTGCCATGAAAGTCAAGGTCATCAATCGCAGCGAGGAGCAGTTCACGAGGGCGCGCAGTCAGGATGTGCGCAAGGTGCGTCCACGCCGCCGCCCTGCGCGTCTTGCGCACCACCGCCACTGCACGCGACGCCCTGAGCTGCGCGTTCCGCGCCATCCAACAACCCTCGGCACCCAACGTTCCCTCCAGCCCCCACAGCGTCCCTCGACGCGCGGAACGCCGCCCGCCCCGTCCTGCGAGCCTCCGTCGCGGCTTGAACACCCCCCTCCACCATCAACACGCCCCGCAGGTCCACAAGAACCTGGACCCCTCCCTGCACCCCATGGAGCAGGCGCACGAGTACGTCCGCGCGGTGAACGCCGCCAAGCTCGACCGCGTCTTCGCGAAGCCCTTCATCGCCGCGCTCCCGCACGACGACGGCGTCACGTCACTCGCCAAGAACCCAAAGCGCCTCAACTCCATCCTCTCGGGCTCCGCGGACGGCCAGGTCCGTCTCTGGGACGTCGCGAACCGCCGCTGCCTCCGAATCCTCAAGGTACTGCACTCCCAAAAAAGATCCACACCGTTCGCGCCCCTGAGACTCCGCCCCGCCCCCGGATCGCGCGGCACGCCACCCGCCACCTCTCTGCCCCGCTCCCGTCGCCCGCAGGGCCACTCCGCGGCCGTGCGGGGCATCGCGGTGACGCAGGACGGCCACAGCGTGGTGTCGTGTAGCGACGACAGCACGGCGCGGCTGTGGAAGGTCCCCGCCGCGGCGTTCGACCCGGGCCCCGTCGTGGAGGAGGTTCCCGCGGTGATGGAGTTCCAGGGCAAGGGCGCCTTCCGCAGCATCGACCATCATTGGCAGAAGGACAGCTTCGTAACGGCGGGTTCTGCCGTCGAGGTGTGGGACCACGCGCGGTCGGAGCCGCTCCGGACGATCCAGTGGGGCGCGGACTCGGTGACGGCGGTGCGGTTCAACCCCGCGGAGCCGGACCTCCTCGCGTCGTGCGGCGCGGACCGCTCGGTGGCGCTGTACGACCTGCGCACGGGCACTGCGGTGCGGAAGCTCATCATGCAGACGCGGAGCAACGCGCTGGCGTGGAACCCCGTCGAGGCTTTCAACTTCACGGTCGCGAACGAGGACTGCTGCCTGTATTCGTACGACATGCGGAAGCTGTCGTCCGCGAAATGCGTGCACAAGGACTTCGTTTCTGCGGTGATGGACGTGGACTTCAGCCCGACCGGGCGGGAGTTCGTCGCGGGCGGGTACGACCGGTCGGTGCGGATCTTCCCGTACAACGCGGGGCACAGCCGGGAGGTGTACCACACGCGCCGCATGCAGCGTGTGTTTGCGGTGCGGTTTTCGATGGACGGCGCGTACGTGTTCACGGGGTCGGACGACATGAACCTGCGGATCTGGAAGGCCGAGGCGTCGGAGCAGCTCGGGACGCTCCTGCCGCGCGAGAAGCACCGCCACGCGTATAACAAGAGCTTGATTGAGAAACACAAGCACTTGCCCGAGGTGAAGAGGGTGGTGCGGCACCGGCACCTGCCCGCGGGGATCTACAAGACGGCGCGGACGCGGAGGGAGATGGAGGAGGCGGAGCGCCGGCGGACGGCGCGCGTGGTCGCGCACAGCGCGCCTGGGAGCGTGAAGTTCAAGGCCACTCGGAAAAAGAAGATTGTGCAGGAACTCGAGTGAGGGTGACTGGTTGGTGGGAAGCCTCGTGCCGGGTGCGGCTGGTCCCGGGCGAGGCGCGCACGTGTGACGCAGGGCCACGGCGCTCGCACGCGTCGCCTCGCTCGAAGTCTCAAGAACGGCTGCAACATGATCCTATCATCATATCATCAAGTGTTTGTCTTTGGTCTCTGAACCCGTCGCGCCTGGCGGAGACGCCGGCGCCGCGCGGCCGCGGCCTGCGGCTGCACCGGGGGCCTGCGCCCCGGGCGAGGCAGCGCGACGTGCGCCCCGGGGGTGGCAAAACCGCGGCATGACGTGGCACGTACCGACTGCTGCTGAGCGATCCGTGCAGCGGCTCGTTGCCGGGCGTCGCGGGCCTGCGCGCCGCAATGAATCGCATCGAACACGTCGTCTCCGGCGCGTTGTCCCTCTGGTCAACGTATCTCGCCTCCCAGAGCCCCGCACGCGGGCGTGGGACCAACCTCCACGTTGGTCCTCGGGCCGGCGCCACCGAGGGCGGCCTCCGCTCGGAGGGCCCGGACGGTACAATGGAGGGCTACGCACAAGCCAACAGGCGGCGATCGAGAGGTGCGTGGCCCACGGAGACGCCGCGGCGGGGCTTTGAGGAAGCCAGGCATGCATCTCGGAGCCGCGCCCGGCACACGTCGTTTCCGCGGCCGTTGTCGCCGCCAGACGCATGGTCGAGTGCTGTGCGACGAGGGCGGTCGCGCGGCGGATGTCGTTGCGGAGGGCGGAGCGAGAGCGCCCGGAGGTCCCTGGTCGATCAACAAGCAGGGCAGCCAGGCCCGGCCGCGTGCGTCCGTGCCTGCCCCGCCTCGCCGCCTGACCCGCGCGCCCGCATTGGAATGGACTTGCAGCGGATGCAGGCCGCCTGACCGCAGGCAGCCCGGCCTCGAAGCGGAGCGGAAACGTCTCCCCAGACTGGCCCTACGCTGGTGCGCTGCCCGGCCTCGCCCGCCGTCCTGCGCGCCTCGCGCGAGCTTTTCGCTGATCTATCGACTAGCAGTACCCCGCTCCGGGGGAAACTCGGGCAGGAGACCCACAGCGGCGGCCTGCAGAGGCTCGGGTGCCCGCCAGGTGGCAGTGGTTGCGCAGCCGAGCACACGTCATCCGGCCCCGGGGCCCTGCGCGCGAGAACACTGCACGCCATTTGTTTGCACCGCATCCATTCCACGCTCCCGCGCAGTCGCGAGCCTTGCATCCCCTTCCGCGCGACGCGGCGCCCCGCGTGCACAACGCCACGCGCCCTCCCTCTCTCGCGGGGGCCCAGCACTCCGCGTCCGGGCCCGCACGCCTCACGCGGCCCCGCCTCCGCCGCCCGCACCGCAGGCCGGTCGCCAGAGAAGGGGTTTCTCTTCAATTCCTTCGGCCCAGGGGCGTCCTCGGCGCTGACGCCGTCGCGGCTCACGCCGTACGAGGACCGCGCGCCCCGCCAGCGACAGATGCAGACGCTGCGCAAGTACGGCGGCGAGAAGGCTGCGCGGCTCCTGGGCGACACCGACGACGAGGACCTGGGCGGCACGCGCAGCACGCCGCCCACGCCACTCCCGCCCAACGCGTCGCCCGCGGTCCGGAAGGCCGCGACGCCGCTGCGCGACCCCGTCTCGTACGACCGCGGCGCTCCGTCGGACGTCTTGCGGGACGGCACCGCCAGCATCACGACCCCGGGGGGGTCACCCATCCACCTCGAGCTTTCGCGGTCGTCGCCGCCGCCGGCGTCGCCCGGCGCGTCGGTCGCCGAGTCGCCCTCCGTCAGCGCCGTCAGCCCGCAGCAGCCCAACGGGCAGGGCGCCCCCGCGGCGGAGCTGAGTCCCCCCCCCGACGAGGACACCTCCTTCCAAAGACCCCCCCTGCGCGCGGGGTCCTCCTGGAAGACCGGGTGGGTCGGGGAGCCCGGCGCGGGGTACTCCGCGTACAGCAACCCCCTGTCGGCCGACCCCGAGCCGGAGCCGCCGGCGGCGTCCAGGCAGCTGGACTTTGCAGCCACGGAGGCTGCGGGGGTGAGGGACGCGGCCGCCTCGATCGAGGAGGGCGCGCGGCTGGTGGACCGGGCGGCGGGGTCCGGGAAGGTCACGGATCTGATCGAGGAGAAGGAGGCCGCGGACGTGGGGATCCAGACGTCGGAGTCCCTCAACAAGAGGTGCGCGTGGTGTTGCCACACTGTGGTGGCTGACGCGCGAGGGGGCGCTCCGCCTGCTCGCTCGCGTGTTTGTCTGTTTTTTTCCGCGTGACTCCATGCGTGCACGCGTCCCGCGGGGGGGCGGTTGCGGCACGTACGACAGTTGCCGTGCGCTGCCCGCTCGTGCGCAGGTTCCTCGTGCCGCCGCGCCAGGAGAGCCTCGTTCGTCTCAAGACCTCGGCGTCCTCCGTGGTGGACCCCTCCCGGCAGTCCTCGAACGCCGAGCTCATGTTCACCAGCGAGGGCGTCGTGCCCATGCACAAAAACAAAGTGTACGAGGAGAGCGGGGTCGGCACCGAGGACCTCGCGATCGATCCCGCCCGCGCGACGCCGGTCCCGCCCATCGCGGAGGAGACCCCGCAGGACACGGCCCCCGCCGACGCGGAGGAGGAGTCCCTGGAACACACCCCCGCCGCTGGCGCGCCGGTTCCGGGAGCGCCGGGCCTGGGCGACCGCATCGTGGCGTCGATCGCGCGGCAGGCGTCGCCGCCGGAGTCGCAGCCGGAGACCCCGCGGCTCGGGGCGCGCGACGGCGCCGGTGCGTTTGGGTCCGCGGTCGTGGAGCCCGTCGTCGCGCCGGAGAAGACTACGTCCGGCGCGTCGCACACGACGACGGAGAACCTCGAGGACGTCTTCGTGAAGGCGGCGCCGCGCGGGGACAGCCCGCTGCGCACGCTGATGCTCATCCAGCTGGTCGTGCTGGTGGCCATGGCAGGGCTGTGGGCGCTGACGCGGATTCCGGGGCCGCACGTTCCGATCGCGGCGGCCGCGTGCGCGAAGTCCACGTGGTGCACGGGCGCCGCGGAGTGGGCGTCGCGGACGCAGCGGACGCTGCTGTCCGGCCCGGCGGTCCCGCTGACGGTGGACGGCACAGGGAGGGCCACGGCGGTGCTCGGGTCGGTCCGGCACAGCCAGACGCGCGCGGCCGCGGAGAAGGCGGCGAAGGAGGAGGCGGCCGCGAAGGCCGCGGCGGAGAGGGCGGCGCAGGCGGAGCGCGAGGCTGCCGAGAAGGCCGCCGCGCTCAAGGCAGAGGCGGACCGCAAGGCCGCGGCGGCGAAGAAGGCGAAGGAGGAGGCGGCGGCGAAGAAGAAGGCCGCCGCCGAAAAAGCGGCCGCCGAGAAGGCTGCCGCGGAGAAGGCTGCTGCGGAGAAGGCTGCTGCCGAGCGCAGAGCAGCGGAGGAGGAAGCGGCGCGGAAGTCCGCCGCGGAGAAGAAGAGGGCCGCTGCGGAGAAGAAGAAGGCCGCCGCCGAGAGGGCCGCCGCCGACAAAGCTGCGGCGGAGAAGAAGGAGGCAGAGGAGCGCGCGGCAGCCGCTGCGAGGAAGGCCGCGGCGGAGAAGGCGGCAGCGGAGCAGCGCGCGGCGGAGGAGCGCGCCGCGAAGGCCGCCGCGGAGGCCGCTGCCGCGGAGGCCGCTGCTTTGAAGGCGGTGCAGGAGCCGAAGGCGCCGCTCCGGGAGCGCGTGCTGCAGGGCGTGCGCGCGACGCTGGCGTTCGCGGTGTTCTGCTTGCGGCTCGCGGTGACCGCGGTGGTCGCGTCCGGCGTCCTGGCCGCGGCGGCGTCGCTGGCGCTGCACACGGGCGCGGCCCCGAAGCCGCTGGTCGACGCCGTGGCGCGCCGCGACCCCGTGCTGGTGGCGTTCCTCCGCGACGCGCCGCGCAAGGTGTGGTCGCGCGGCGCGGGCGCGGTGGCGGCCCTGCAAGCCCGCGCGGCGACGCCGGCGGGCAAGGGCAAGGCGGGCGCGTCGTCGTCGCGGCGGCGCTCGAGCGTGCGCGCAACGCCGAAGCCGACACGCTCGCGCGCGAGCACCGCGCGCACGCTCGCGGAGGTGGACTTCGCGGGGTATGACAGCGCGGAGGACTCGGACTGGCACCCGGGGGCGGAGGGCTTCGACGACGACGTCAGCGACGGCGAGCTGTCTGCGTACGTCGACGAGGACGACGCAGACGAGCTCGCGGAGCTCAGCGGCGCGGAGGACGGCGACGCGGGCGACGACAGCGGGGGGGAGTACTGGGCGCCCATGGAGGAGGCGGGCTTCGGCGACGGCGCGGGCGCGGCGGAGCTGGCGCGGCGCGCGCTGGACCGGAAGAAGTCGCGGCTGCTGGTGTGGACGGAGCTGCGGAACAACCGCGTGCTCAGCCGCACGCAGACGGCGCGCGGGATGCCGCAGATGATGAATTACTACTGGTTGCGGGGCCGCACGGTCAACTACCTGCTGCGGGGGGAGTCGCTGGCCAAGGGGCGGGCGAGCGAGGTGCCGGCTGCGGGCGTGCTGAGCCCGAAGACGGGCGGCAGGCGGGGGCGCATGAGCGTGTTGTGATGCCGTTGCGTGTCGAGTGCGGGCGAGGCAGGGCCGGGCGCGGGTGGTTCAGCTGCGCTGCGGGGGCGTCGTGCGGCGCTGGCGTGGCCAAGCTGCGGCCACCGCGACGGCCCCGACATAGGGTTGGATACTTTGCCAGTGCAGGTCGCGTCGCAGTCGCGACAATTCCGCGACGCGCCGGAATTCATGGGGCGAATTCCGCGCCGAGAAGAACCCTCGTCTGTGAGCGCCGTGCCGGGGTGATCGCGCCTTCCGTCGCACCCGGTGGTCGGTACTGAGAGAAAGCATGCCACGCGGGCCTCCCTCCAGGCGTAATGGACGGGAAATGCGACCGCGATGGGCGTGATGTCGTCATTCTCCAACCGCGGCTGCATTGAACGTCCCTCCCCATCGACCCTGCGCGCTTGTCGGACCAGGGGGACGTCCAGCGCAGCAGGGTCCGGCCCGGCTTCCATGGGGACGGTGGCAGGGCACGATCCGGCAGGTTGCGTTATAGGAGTCTCGTAGGTGAAGATGCGCTGCTTGGGAGCCCCGCGGGCCGCTTCCACGACGGCGGCAACGGGGCCGAAATGCTCGATGGCTCGGCCTGCGCGGCCTGCGCGGATGACGGCCGCCGCGGCAGAGGGGAATGGGAAGCACCGAACTCCTCGGCACTCGAGCCCGCGGCCGAGCCAGCGGAACGTGCGACGGGTCAAGCTCGACGCGCACCACCGCTCCAAGGCCTTCGCGATGACCGTGGAGCAGCTCACGGACGGTCTCGTGGGTGATGAGCTCGACGTGGAGATTCTTCAAGAATTCAGGAGGCCGCGTGACGCGGACGGTAGCATCGAGGACGTGCTGTCGTCGCTCAACGACGTAGAGGCGGCACTGGATGAGCTTGCGTCCCTGGACCGCCAGGACGGCGCCGGCCCCGCCACGGCCGACCGGGACGGCATCGAGCGGCAGGCGCGCGAGCTCCTGGAGCGCGCCCTGGCCTCGGAATCCGCGCTGGACTACGAGGCCCGGCTTCGCAGGGAGGAGGACAGCGGAGGAGCGCAGCCACGGGTCACCTCGCGCCGCACCGTCGTGCGCAGGACCGCGAGGAGCCCACGACGCGCGCCCGAGGCGTCCGCCACGGCGCACATTGCGCCGGAGAACGTCAACCTGCGGGTGACTGGCCGGCCGAGCTCGTCGCGCCTCTCTCAGAGCGCCCGCCGCGCGGCATCCGCGCGCTCCTCGCGGACCGCCGCCTGGGGCTCGCGCAACGTGTCCGCCCTCGCACCCGAGCGCACCCACACGCGCCGCCCCGCGTCCACCGAGGGCGCCTCCGACGGCATGAAGGTGCGGCGCCCGCCCAGCCGACACCGCCCCGCGCGGCGCCCGCGCGCCCTCCCCCCCCGCCCGCCCCCGCCGCGCCCGTTCCGCCCCGCCACCGCCCGCGCCCGGCCCGATCCCGCCCATCGCGCGCCCCCCGCGCAGCACGGCGCGCCCAACAGCTCCCTCCCCTCCCCACCACTCCTGGCCTCACCCGCGCGATCGGGCGCCGCCACCGCGCTCGGGCCCCGCGCCGCCCCCCACATTACCTCGCTCCCGCCCCGATCGCCCCGCCCCTCACGGCCCCCGCCCGCCCCCCCCCCGCACCGCGCAGATATTCCTCCGGAACATTGGCAAGCACAAGTTGCTCACGGTGAGCGAGGAGCGGGTGCTGGCGGCGCAGGTGCAGGACCTGCTGGCGGTCGAGAAGGTGGAGGAGAAGCTGCGGGAGGAGCTCGGCAGGTGCGCGCGCGCCCCACCGGGCCGCCCCGGCCCCCCCGGTGACCCGCTGACAGGGCGCCGGTCTCGGCCGGGGCCCCGCACGCCCGCGCCGCGCGATCGCCCGTCCGCCCCCCGCGTTGCGCGCGTCTGCGCGCGCCCTCCCGGGCTCCGCGGCCCGCCTCGCACGTGCGCGCGCGCACGGCGCCTGGTCTGACGGGGCTGCTGGTGTGCGCGCTGTGGTTGCAGGGAGCCTTCGTCGGCGGAGTGGGCGGAGGGGTGCGGGATGGCGGACGGCCCGGCGTTCCGGGAGCGGCTGAAGGTCGGCCGGGACGCGAAGCAGAAGATGATCGAGTGCAACCTGCGCCTCGTCGTGTCGATCGCGAAGAAGTACACCAACCGCGGCCTCGAGCTGCAGGACCTGATTTCCGAGGGCATCCTCGGGCTCGTGCGCGGCGTGGAGAAGTTCGACCACACGCGCGGGTTCAAGTTCTCGACGTACGCGCACTGGTGGATCCGGCAGGCGATCACGCGCGCCATCTCGGACCAGGCGCGCGTCGTGCGGCTGCCCGTGCACCTGTACGAGCAGCTGTCCAAGGTGAAGAAGGCCGAGCGGGAGCTCGCGAACGAGCTCGACCGCGACCCGACGCCCGCGGAGATCGAGGCGCGGTGCGGCGTCCCGGCGAGGAAGCAGGACCTCGTCAAGCGCGCGCACCGGCAGCCGCTGTCGATGGACGCGCCGCTGCGCGCGACGCCCGGGGACGACGAGTCGCGGACGCTGGAGGACGTGTTCGAGGACGACAGCGAGGTCACGCCGGAGCAGGCGGCGGTGAGCGCGCAGCTGCGGCACCACATGGACGAGGTGCTGTCGACGCTGAGCGAGCGGGAGAGCGGGGTGCTGCGGCTGCGGTACGGCCTCGAGGACGGCCAGGAGCGCACGCTCGAGGAGATCGGGCGGCACTTCGACGTCACGCGCGAGCGCATCCGGCAGATTGAGCAGAAGGCGCTGCGGAAATTGCGCTCGCCTGCGCGGTCGGGGGTGCTGCACGAGTACGGGAGCGAGGGCGAGATGACGCAGGTGCGCGCGTCGTCGTCGGTGCAGCGCGGCGGGTACTAGGCGGCCCGCGCGCAGCCGACGGTCTGTGAGCCACCACCACGACAAATAGACTCCGCCCACTGCTTTTTTACGAATCGCTCGCGGCCCAGCCGGCCCGCTTTCTGGTGCGGTGTCCGTGCGGCACCGTCGTGCGAGTGCGCCTGCGCCACCGCCGCTCCTTCCGCCGGCGCCGGCGAAGCCCGCGCGCCCTCGCCGTCGCGGGTGACGTCTCTGGTGGGCGACGCGCCTCCACCGACGGCGTGGGTTGCGCGAGGGGATGCGGGCGGCCCGGGGCGCGGCGCGGTGTCAGAGCGCGCGCTCCTGGACGCGCCGTGGACGCAGGCAGGACGGCCGCGATGGTCAGCAAGCCGTGAGGTGATCACTGGTGCCTCGTCCGGGCCGCCCGTGGCGTCGGCGGTGCTGCCGCGCTGGCCGGCGTCGGCGATGAGGCTGCGCTCGCGCGGCAAGGGCCGGCGCATGGCCGGCCTCGTTCTCGGCGTCGTCCGTTGCCCTGCCCGACCAGCTGGGTCGACTCGAGCCGAGTCGGCAGGCCGGTCCGCCGCCCGTGGCGCTGGGTGGTGTTTGGCGCGCCCGGGGGCGTGGCTGAGTTATTCTCGCGTCGCCTGGCAGTCTTGGCACTCGCCAAACGTGGCAGACAGTCGGCGCAGCTGGCAGCCACCCACCGGGAGCCTGCTTCGCCCGGACGCGAGCGAGCGGCAGAGGTGTGCGCGCACTCGCGCCTCCCGCGCAAGAACCATTCACGCGTGTCCATTCCAATTGTCTTGTAGTGAGGGATTCGCACTGCCCGCGACGCTCGCGCGGCTTGACCTCAACTGATGACGGTTCGCCGCGCGTGACGCCGAGCGCCCTCCCGCCGCCCTGCAGGTCGTCTCTCTCTGTATCCCCCTGGGTACCTGTGCATCGCGCGCAGGGGCAGGTCGTCCCCGCAGGTCGAGGGCGACCTCCCCAGGTACCCTCGTCCCTAGCCGCTCGCTGCAGCAACAGCGACAGTCAGAGCGCAGAACATGAGCATCATTAAGAAGATCAAGTCGGCGCTGGCCACGCGGAGGGGCGAGGCCGCCGCAGGTACGAGCTCACCCACCCGCACCCCTTGCCTGCTGCATGGCCCACCTGCGCGCAAACACGGAGCGAGAAGTGGCGCGGCCAGCGCGAGCTCGCCAACAGTGCTCCCGCCTCCGCTCCGTCGCCGCGAACGCACCAATTCGCCGCGCCTGCGGGCCGGCAGCCGCGCTCTCGTAATGGGGCCCGATGCGCGCTGCCGCCGATGCCGGCACGCGGGCCCGAGTTCGCGGCACCCCGGGCGACGAGAGATCTTTCATCCCGCGTCCTGCCGATCGCCTCGCGCACGAACCGCGCGCCCCCCGTCGATACGCCACCCCGCAGGGAGAGCCAGCCCAGCACCGCAGCTCAGCGGAAATGAGCAGGAGGCGAGCTCCGCCAGCGACAACGTCGACCGGCACGGAAAGGTCCGTCCAGCCCCGCGCCCGAGCCAGCGTTTCGTGCCGCGCACGCCGCGTCCCGCCCCAGCAGTTGAACACGCCCTGCGCCCGTTTCTCTCCGCAGCTGGACAAGCTGACGAGCCTGAAGAAGATCGGCCTGTCCGACCGGCCGGACGTGCCCGTCGGGGAGATGATCGTCATGCCCAAGGACGCCGAGGCCAAGCGCGACGCCTCCCGCGCGCAGTGGTGGGTCGTGGGCCACGCCTGCCCCGCCGCACTGCGTCGCAGCGAGTGGTGCGTGAATCAGTTCGAGCCCGTCAAGCAGCTCGGCAAGGGCGCCAAGTCCCGCGTCTGGGAGGCCCGCGAGACCGCTTCGGGCCTCACCCTGGTCCTCAAGGTGCGCCCCGCTGCGGGCTATCAGTTGGGGCACGAAAACGCGCGCCCCGCCCGCTGGGCCCGCGGACCGACGCGCCCGGCCCGCGCCCCCGCGTCGCAGGCGTACGACCTCCGGAAGATGCACGGCGGCGAGATCGCGCAGCTGGAGCGCGAGGCGACGATTCACTGCAACCTGCCCCCGCACCGGAGCGTGGTGAGCCTGTTCGCGGCGTTCCAGGACTCGGTCGCGTGCTACTTCTTGATGGAGAAGGGCGGGAAGGACCTGTACCAGACCATGTCGAAGCGCGTCACGTCGTCGGAGGAGTGGCTCGTGCGCACAGTGGTGCACCCGATCCTCGAGGGCCTCGCGCACTGCCACGCGCACGCGGTGATGCACCGCGACATCAAGCCGGAGAACTTCCTCTTCGGCGTCGACGGCCGCCTGCGCGTCGCGGACTTCGGGTTCGCGATCGACGTGTCGAAGTACCGCCCGACGACGCGCCTGGGGACGCTCGAGTTCATGGCGCCCGAGGTGGTCACGTCGGGGCGGCAGCGCGACGGCAGCACGCTCCCGCGCGACAAGCGCAAGCCGTACGACTTCGGCGCGGACGTGTGGTCGGTGGGCATCATCGTGTACGAGCTGCTCGTCGGGCAGACGCCGTTCGCGCGGATGACGCTCGCGGACACGACGCAGGCGATCGAGACGTCGCACGTGTCGTACCCGCCGTTCCTGTCGACCCACGCGAAGAGCTTCCTGCGCGCGTGCCTGGCGCGCAACCCGAAGGAGCGCGCGACGATGGCCGAGCTCATGCAGCACCCGTGGGTCGTCGCCGCGGTGGGGTCGCCGACGGCCACGCGCCGCGTGAGCCGCAACGTCGAGGCGGTCATGTCGTCGGGCGCCTACGCCGCCGAGTGCACCAAGGACGTGGACGGCATCGTTGCCAGGCAAGGCAGCTGGGCGTCCGGTCCCGCGACCGGCTCGCGGAGCCTGTACGCCGGCGGCGGCCTGCCGTCCGTCGCGAGCGACCGCCGCTGCACCGCGGAGGCGACGCCGGCGCCGGCGCTCGACAGCGCGGGCTCGGGCTGCCAGGGCACGCTGTCGCGCCTCGGCCGCCAGGCCGGCGTCCAGCAGTCGAGCCCCGCGCCGTGCCTGCACCCCGTCGCCTCGATGGGCGGCATCGCGAACGCCTCGTCCGGCAGGACACTCCTGCACCAGACGCTGACGCCCAACCGCGTGCGGCGCCCGCGGGCGGGGTCGGCCTCGGGCCCCGCCGGCGTCGCCGCGACGTGCACGCCCGCGCAGAGGATCGCGAACGACGTGCGCGCGCTGCGGATGCAGAACAACGCCGGCGACCGCGCGTCGATCGACTCCAACACCGGCAGCAACACCTTCATGCGCACCCCGCGCGTCACGGGCCGGACGTCGCTCGACGACCTTGTGCCGGCGGGCCGCACCGCGAGCGTCACGCAGGCGTCCAAGCTCGGACCGGCGCTCGTGCACCGCGACCGCATCGTGTCGTACGCGTCGACGGTCGCCACCAACAGGCTGCGTTGAGCCGCCGGGCACGGCGTAGCACCTACTCGGCCCGGCAGCCCGCGTCCAGCAATGCATTTCCGACATACTCTACCTCTCTCTTCCCGCCAACCAGCTCCTTCCCCTACTCCATTGCCGAGGGCACTCGTCCTCTGGCCCTGGAACGCCTCGACGGCCGCCGCTTTAGACCCCCCTCGTTGACCCCTTCGTTTCCCCCTCCGTTGACCCCCCGAACCTCCACCCAGCCCACGCAACACCCTTTGAGTGTCATTCAATCATATCATCCTATCCTCAACCAGGCGTAGAACTTTCGAGCAAGAGCGTTGAAGCTTGGGCACACGGCAGGGAGAGCCCAGGCCCGCGCCTGCCGCGCACAGGCCCGAATCAACAGTACAACTCGCAGCGCAAGGTCAACACACCGTGACGATCTGACGCAAAGCAACTCGGCAGCTACAGTATGTGCCGACACGTGCGCCCCGTCGACCGGATGGTCGACAGGGCGCTGGCGCTCTGCAGACCAGTGTCTCAAGAGCGTGGTTGCGAGGAAACCTCACAAGATGAGCTCCATGCGGATTTTCCTCCCCCCCCCCTCCCCCTCCCCCCTCCCCTGGATCGCATCGCCTCTCCGCCTGTGCCTTCATGGCCAAGGAGCCGGCGAACGTGGCTCTCTGCATCAGTGCGGCTGCCGTGACGCAGCCTGCATCGAGAGGAGTGTGCCCCTAATGGAGCATTACCTGCCTGACCCGGAAAGCAGCGACCCTTTCTTAACTTGTTGATACCCTCATCCGTGTTCTCACGTCTGTGCATCGATCGCAGCGGGCACCGGGTGCCCCCCCAAATCCCCAAGCCCCCCCCCCACCCCCTCTCCAGAAACCCCCCACCCCATAGCCCCCCTTCCCCGCCCGCGGTCATACCGCCGGCAAACAAAGAACGTGTGCCCGCAGTACAAGAGGGCCTTGCGGTCCCCGCAGCCAGTGCATCCCCGTGGCTGTACCGACACGACCACGTGGTAGAGTGATACGCCGTGATTTGCTCGGGTGTGGTGATAAGTCTCTTCTACGGACCCGAGAGACAAGTCCGGACAAGAGAAGTTCTGTGAGACGGGTAGCACAGGTGTCTGGAGTGGCCATCATGCAGCGTTGCGGCGAGGGTGCTTGTAGGTCAGCGAAGTACTATAGCGTTCCAGGAGCTGGCGAGCCCTGATGGTGATGCCGGCGCGGGTGGTGATCGTTCCTTCGCGGAGCACCGCATTGTACTCGGGATCGTTCGCCGCGACCATAGCGGTGGAGGGTTTGCATGACTCACCACCTAGTCGGATGATCTTTTCAGGGCCCAAAGCCTTACGGCTGACAACGCGAAGAACGAAACACCTCACCTCAGCTCAGCGGTCGCTGCTCTCGGCCACCCCTTGCCTTGGTCAATGTGACCTCCGATTCGACACTTTCGTCGGGCCATTGTCCATTACACGTTATAGCGACACGATGGCCGAGTTGTTCGCGTGCAGGATCGCCGATGCGTTGGCCTCGACGCCCCACGACGGGAACACGCACCCGGCGAGCGTGACGTTGTACCTGCCGAGCTCCGCCCAGGACGGCGGCGCGCGGACCTCGATCGCCGTGCCGTTCGCCCACGCGGGGGCGGGGCCGCCGAAGAACGTGCAGGACGTCGACGCTGGTGCGTCATCCGTGAGGGCCTCGTCCGGGCCGTACGCCGCGATGCCCTGGGCCAGCAGGGACAGGCACGCCGCCAGCGTCGTCGCGGACGGCGTCGTGTCCAGGTCGCACCAGACGCCGAGGAGGAACGCGAGGAGGTAGTGGTGATAGTGGCTGTGCACTGACCCGTCGGCCCCTGCGATCGAGGGGGCCGCCGAGCCGCTCGCTGTGAGGGCGGACCGAGGGGGCTGCGTGCTCCGCGGCGGCGGGTGGGCGAAATGAACGAATCTGCGACGCAAGCGCAGCGTGGGCGGTCCAGTAAGACCAGGTGTGCCTCGCCTGACAGCATGGCGGTCGTGAAGGCGTAGTACAAGCAGATCGCGGCGTTGCGCGCCACGTAGACCCAGAACTCCGCGCGCGGCCGCTTCTGGACCCACGACACGCGCAGGTGGTAGCCCAGCACCCCGACCACAGCCGCGGCAAGCACCGAGAACAACGCCGCCATCGCGGCGCTCCACTGCGCGAAATCCGCGACGGAGTGCTGCAGCGCCTCGATGTTGCTCAGCAGGCTCGCCGCCGCGCCCGTCAGGACGAACGTCGGCAGCGTTACCCACCAGCGTTGCACGACCACGAACCGCCACCGGCGGTCCGCGGTGACCCCTGTCAGCACAGCGAGGATGAAGGCGTAGCGCAGCAGCGCCGTGAGGGCCTCGAACGTCGCGCCGTGCGCCCACACGTCCTCGCCGTCGTAGGGGAACCCCCCCATGCTGATTCCTCGAACAACGAGGAAGTATAACGTCGTGACGAGCAGCCAGGAGGCCATGCGGATCTGCGCAGGGCCGTGCTTGGTCCTCCGCACCGCGTCGTAGCCGCTCCGGAGGCGCAGCCACGCCCGGGGGGGCTGCCGGCGAGGCGCGGTGCAGGGGGTGTCTGCGCGTTCGCACGAGTCCCGCGGTCCCGAACGGAGGCTCTTCGTTGCATCGTCCGTGGAGCTGCCCGCCTGGCAACCCGCTGTCTCGGCGTCTTCGCCTTCGCGCACAACCTCGGGTGCACGGTTGCCGTCTGCTTCAACATGCGCCTCTGCGGTGGCCGCGCGTCGGGGCGTGCCAGAGACCTGAGACACGCGTTGTGGCGCGACGTCGCATGTCGTACAGGGGGTCAGCCGGCATCTACCACGCGCATGCCGCACGAGGGCCTTCTTGCTGATGAGACCGGGGCGTGGTTTGCGGGACGCAGGTGCCACGAGACATATATTGCCCAAGGAAACCACTCTCGAGATCGCGAACAAGGCGTACGGACAACGCGACCCGCTGTGAGCCGCTTGCGAAGCCGTGGCGGCCGCCGTAGGGCGAACAGAATCTCACCGTCGACAACGACGTTCGCCATCGCCCCTGTAGATCCCGCGCATCGACACGGCCTCCCAGTACCCCCGCGCGCCAGGCGGCGCGCCCCCAGAGGAGCCTGCGCGCCCTGCTGGCCGTGCCAGGCCGTCCAACAGATTCCAAGTGCTGCTCCTCTCGAGCCTGCGCGACGTGCAGGACCAGGTGCAACAGCGCTGCTCGCCCGCGGTCGCCTGAACTGCAGGAGCGGAACACGCAGGGCGTCTGAAGGCGCGGAAACGCGGGCGGACGAGGAGGATGTTGTGTCGTCAGGTCGACGGGGTGTCCAGCGCCGTGTGTGACACACGCGAGGCGGCCCGCGCTTGTCAGGCCGCGCGGGCCGATACGCTTGCATTCGCGGGAGTACGAGGGGCGGGGAGCAGAAGGAGTTTGCGGCCCATGATGGACGTGGCGCGGCAGTGTTGAAGCCTGGGCAGGTGCACGCGTCGTCGCGGCGGACAGAGCAGATGACGGCCTGACGGGAGAGTCGCGGGGGCGAGTGGGTGATCTGGGGACCAAGATGCCGAGGACCAAGAGGCCGGAGCGGCCCGCTCAGGAGAGCCCGAAGCGCAAACGGGAGGGACCGCTTGCGGAGGCGAATGAGGGCCTGCGGGAGATCGACAGGCAGCTCGGGGAGCTCTCGAGGGACCTGAGGTACATTGCAGGTGAGCACGCTGCGCACCCGGCGACGCGGAAGCGTCGGAGACCCCGCCGGTCGCGTCCCAGGGGCATTCCCAGTGGGTTTCTGGGCAATTCGCGTCCCCGCGGAGGGCGGGAGCTCGTTCTGCGCACCGCGCCATCTCACGTGTCAACCAGTCCGTCGTGGGGGCCGTGAAACACCGGACGTTCCGCTCGCATTGCGAGGAGCCCGACAAACATGTAGTTCAACATCCCCGGGACGCTGGAAGCGACGTCCGCGCGCCGGTCGCTGTCGCTCACGAGCTTCCTCGTCTTGCTCTGGTCGCGCTGGGCCGCGGCACGGACGTCTCCCGCGCCTGTACGGGGCGCACTGCTGCACACTGGCTCTCAACAAGAGAGTGCCCCGCGTGCCCGCTTGCAGCCACGCACGGCGCTGTCAAGGCTATCGGGCTCGAAGAACACGACAAGAACGCCTCGGCGAAGGTGGCGCGCGACCGCTGGGACCGCCGGTTGCCGGGCGTGGTGCTCCACAAACGCTCGCTAGTGGGACATGCGCATCCTGTGGTGTCCGTCTGCTACATGATGCGCCGCAACTCGGTCATCACGTCCGACAACCATACGCTGCGCATGTGGAACCACTCCACCGGCAAGCAGGTCCGCACACCCTCGAAAAAAAAAGCCCAACGCCTCACTGCACACACAGGTTCTCTTCGCTCGCCCAGAACGCCGGCCTGACGCCCGCAACCGGCCGGAACCCACCCCCAGCGCCACCGCAACTTCGTTCCCGCAGACCAACTGCATCGTGCTGCCCCGCTTCACCACCACGGAGCACCTGGTGTACGACTCAGTGCTGGACGTGGTCCTGGGCGTCCGCGACAGGCACTCGATCGTGGCCTTCGCGGGCTCGCTGCTCTACCAGGTCTACCAGTCCGAGCCGGAGGACTCCGCGCTCCTCTGCGCGGCCCTCAGCCGCCGCCAGCGCCTCTTCATTACGGGCGGCCCCCACGCCACGCTGGCGCTGTGGGAGCTCCTGCACACCGACCGCACGGGGCAGGCGCAGGAGGACGCGAGCGCGGTCCCGAGCGACCCGCGCGGGGGCACGCGCATCAAGCTCAAGTGCCGGCTGCGCTCCGAGCGCGCGCAGCAGGGGGAGTGGGTGTCGGCGCTGCACGTCCCCGGGTGGGAGGACACGCAGGAGTGGGTCTTTGCGGCCGTGGCCGAGAGCGTGCAGGTCTGGGACCTCACGATGGGGCTCATGGTGATGCGGCTCGACTCGCTGCACGACCTCCCCATCGGCGCGCTGTCGTGGCAGCCGCACCGGAGAATACTCCTCACGGGGAGTAAAGATCAACTGATGCGCGTGTGGGACGTGAAGCGCTCGCTGCTGCAGACGGACCACGTGCGCGCGGACGGCGAGCACCGCGTGCAGGCGATGCTCACGGAGACGGTCAACGCGCACATCGGCCCTGTGTGCGGGCTGCACTGGGACTTGTTGTCAAACATGATTCTGACGCTCTCGCACGACGGGACGCTCCGGGTGCTCGACGGGCACAACTTCGAGCAGCAGGACTTCTTGCAGGTCGTGCAGGACTCCGAGGGCCGCCCGTCGGACTGCGGCATCGGGTATGACAGCGAGCAGTCTGACCTGCGGCTGGGCTCGCTGACCATGCTCGACCGCCCGATCGAGGGGCAGCGGTTCGCGTTCGCCGTCGGGACGACCGTGCTCGTGTGCGAGCTCCAGCCGCACAAGACGCTCCTCGCCGTGGCGCCCGCGAACATCGCGTGTTTGTGCCCGCCGGTGCAAGTGGGCGTCCACATGGGGCGGGGGGGGTCCCAGAAGGCGCTGCAGCCGCCCGACGCGAGCAGGGCCGAGGGCGACGAGGACGACGTGGACCCGGCGGACGAATCAGCGGCGTACAAGTTCGCTCCGGGCGATCCGATCATGAAGGACGAAGTCGCCGTGCTGACGGACGACAATCGGATCCTCCTCATCGCTCCGTCGATCGGGAGCGTCACGCGGGAGTTCAAGCCGATGTCGGCGCGGCTGTCGCTGGACCGTTTGGAGCAGGAGCCGCTGGTGGGGACGGACACGTCCTTCTGGAAGCGCGCGTTGATGCTGTCGCACGGGCGCGTGACGGCGGCCGCGCAGGTGCCCGGGCTGAGCGAGGTCGTGCTCGGGTGGAGCGACGGCGGCCTCGAGATGCACAACTTGGCGGTGCGCCCCCGGCCGTGCGCGACGGTGGCGTGCGCGTCGTTGCCGCGCGTCGTGGTTGCGAACGTGCTTGTCATGTCTTGCGGGTGTGTTCGTGTCGTGCGACGGTCGCGGCGCGGTGCTGTGCGGTGCAGACTGGCGCGATGACGGACCTGGCGATCCGCAAGGGGGAGTTCTCGGTTCTGCATCCCGTGCAGCGGCGGTCTGCGATCACCTGCATCCGCGTGTGCCGTCCCAAGTCGCTGCAGCGGCAGCAGGGCTTCACCGCCGTGTACAAGAAGGCGATCGAGGCGCTCCGGGACCAGGAGCGCGAGGGGCGCCGCGTGCGGGTCTTCAGCGACATGGCTGACGTCAGTCTGTCGGAGTTGTACCGCCGCATGGGCGTCCTGCGCTATGTGTCGCGCTGGAGGCGCAAGGCGGCGCGGCCGCTCGTCATCGCGGCCAACTCCAACGGCCTCCTGCTCCTGAGCAGCGCGACCAAGCCGGTGCTGGAGACGTCCGCCTCGAGCTCCGCGGGCCGCCAGGGCAAGGTGCTGGTCGTGCAGGCGCACAGGCGGGCCATCGTGGGGGTCGAGACGCAGGACGACGTGAGCCAGTTCGTGTCGGCGGCGGAGGACGGCGAAGTCAAGGTCTGGGGCATCTCGCGGCTGTTCGGCGCCACTTTGCGCGACGCACAGGCGCGGGGCCATGTGGGCGTTGTGGTGCCGCTGATGCGCGCCGACCTGCAGACAGAGGTCACGGCGGTTGGCCTCCTGCGTGGCATCGCATCGGTCCCCATGGGAGACGGGTGCGTCGGACCTGCGACCTGTTCCCGAACCCCCTCCTAACGCTGTGTGCGACGTGCAACATGCGCGTTCCTGAGACGTTGGCCCCGCGCTTCGCCCGCCTCGCAGGAGCCTGGAGCACCACTCGCGTGAGACGATCGGGCACGCGAAGAAGTTCTCGCGGAAGTGGGTCAACCTCGCACTTGCCAAGCGGGACAGCAAGCGGCGGGAAGAAAAGTCCACCGACGTCCTGGTCGTCGGCTCCGCGGACGGCAACGTCTGGCTGATCGAGATTCCCACTGTACCAGCGACGCAGCTGCAGCTCCCTGAGGCCAGCGAGGACAGTTTGGGCCAGGTGCCGTCCACGGGCATGGTGCCCGTGCCCAGGGGCTCTCCGTCCACCGTCGGCGCCGCGCTGACCGCCGCCGCGATGGTCGCGAGCGTCGAGGGCGCGAACCTGCAGCTCGCGCAGCGCAGCAGCCTCGACTGGCTCCACGTGGACGATTTAGCCCCCCTGCCGCACCTCACCTGCGTCGCGCAGAGCAACGACGGAACCAGACACAAGGTGCGCCCGAACGCGACGCACGAACGGGACGCGGAAGTGCGCGCCCCCTCCGCCGCGCCGCACGTCGATCGCGGCACGCCCCCTGCGCGCGCTGCAGGGCCCCGTTTCGAGCCTGTCGGTGGTGGGCAAGGACCTCGTGACCTGCGACCTGGCCGGGCAGGTCATCGTGTGGGACACCGTGACGTGGCGCCCGGTCGTCTCGATCAAGTACCGCGGCGCCGTCTGGCAGGTCGCGCTGTTGGGCCGCGGGCTGTCCTACATCACGGCGCACGGCACGTGCGTCGGGAAGGTGGAGCACCGCAACCTGATGCACTCGCAGAAGAAGCAGAAGATCGTGGCGAACACGGTGGACCGCATGCAGGTCCTGCTCAGATCCGGGACCGACCGCGCCTCGAGCATCCCCGGCATGGCGGCTGTCTCGAAGAAGCGACTGGTGGGGTCGCGGCAGAGCTCCTCGGTGTCGCTGGCCAAGCTGCCTGACGTGGACGAGGCGTCGCCGACGCGGCAGGAGCGCGAGGACGTCGTGCCGGAGCCGGCGGAGCCGATGTTCCACCCGCTGCGATCGAAAGTGCAGTTCTTGCAACCTGGGAGCAAGATTGCGCGCGACCTGGAATACCAGGTCTCGATCATCCGCGAGGGCAAGCAGGACACGGAGTCGGACTACCAGAAGCTGCTGATGGACATCCAGGCGCTCGCGCTGCAGGAACCGGACTCGGTCAAGCAGATGCGGTTGCGCAGGGAGTTGCAGCAGCAGTTCGCGGCGGGCCGCGAGGTGTCGGCGACGCAGGCCGCGGCGCTGGGCTCGCGCGGCCTCGGCGTCACGCGGGGGCCCCGCCGCAAGGCCTCCCCGGCGCAGGACGCGGCCGCGGGCGCGCTGGAGACCATGAATTCGCGACTGAAGGAAATGCAGGCCGCGACGCCCACGGGGCGCGGCGGCCCGATGCCCGGGACGGCGCCCGCGGGGCTGCCGCAGCGCGGGAGCTACAAGGGCGTGTTTGAGCGGCGGCTGGGGCGGAAACACGCGCCGCAGAAGTCGGAGGACGCGCATGGGTTCGGGGACAACCCTCTGGTTCGAGTTGCGAGCCGGACGAGCTCGCAGCTCGGGCTGGGGCGGCAGGAAGGCAGTGTGGGTCCGCACGCGGAGGGATCGGCGGCGGCGGAGGAGGGGAACGGCGCGGCTGGGGACGGAAGCGCGCCGCCGACTGCTCCGCCCGCGCACCGCACGATTTCCGTCGGCGTGGAGCCCCAGCGGGAGGGCTCGCTGATCATGACGGCTCCGGCCGCGCACCGCGACAGCGAGCTCGGGCAGGAGCGCGCCGGGTCGGCGCTGCCGGCGCCCCGCGTCTTGGCGGACGGGGCACAGGTGTTCGCTGTGCCCCAGGTCGACACCGCCAAGCACGTCGACAGGCTGCCGTCGCGGGGCGAGAGCGCGGGAGGCGACAGCTTGCGGCTGCCGCCGCTGAACGGGCGGCCCGGGAGCACGCGGCTGTCTACGGCGGCGTCGGCGACGCAGGTGAGCCGGGCGGGGCGGCCGGCGCGGCTCCGGACGACGGCGGCGCGGCCGCCGGACGACATGGAGGGCGTGTCGCTGAAGACGCACGTGTTGGCGCACGAGGACGACTACAAGCAGGCGATGATGAAGAGCTTGATGGTGCCTACGGACGCGCGGCCGCTGCTGGCGGGCAAGTGGTCCGCGTCCGACATGGACACGATCGGTACGGGGGCGCAGAACTGGACGGACATCATCAACGCCACGATGGGCGTGGACGTCGGCCTCGCGGTGCGCGCCGGGAAGGGCCGCCGCGCCAAGGGCATCCTGGACGACGCGGGGAAGAAGAAGAAGGGGAAGAAGAAGAAGGGGAAGAAGAAGAAGAAGGGGGCGCCGAAGCAGACGGAGGCGGAGGCCGAGGCCGAGGCCAGGCGGCTGCATGCGGAGGCGGAGCTAGCGAAAGCCAAGGCAGTGGAGGCCGCCATCGCGCTGTCGTCGCCGCCGCCGCGCTCGCCCCTGAAGAAGCAGTCCACGCATCTCCAGCTGCTGCACAAGGAGGTGTCCGTGCGCGCCATGCCGCTCTCCGCGATCCAGGAGGGGAAGCCCGAGCCGGAGCTCATGGACCGGCAGAGCGCCACGGAGGCCGACTACACCGCGATGCTCGCCGCGTACCGCCGCAACAGGGAGGCGCTGGCAGCGGGGCCGTCGGTTCGGGGCGGCTCGCCGCTGGGAACGGTCTCGGAGGCCTTGACGCCGTCGCCTACCAAGGTGTCCCGGGAGCCTGTCAGGCGCCCTGCCGGACAGGGCCTCGGGCCGGAAGGTAGCGGGACGCACGTGTCCTTCGCGCAGCGCGGCGCGGTCGGCGTCAAGGGCCCCCCGCAGGAGCAGGGTCCGTTGCATATATCCCGGGTCGCTCACATCGCGCGGCAAGCGGAGGCCGGCCCGCCCGTGACGGAGGAGTACAGCGGGGAGGCGCACAACGCGGCGGTGGCGGCCGAGAAGGAGCGCGTGCGGCAGGAGCGGTTGCGGCGGAAGGCGGCGCGGCGCAAGCACAAGCAGGCTGCGCGGGCGCGCAAAGAGGCTGCGCGGAAGGAGAAGCAGGAGGAGCAGATGGCGCGGTTGCAGTACATCCTGAACTGCCGCGAGCTGCCGAAGACCAAGGAGCTGGCGTTCCTGGCCGGCATCTGAGCTGCGTGGCTGTGTGCTTTCTGCGGCGAGAGCGCCGTCCTATATTGTGCGCGGAATCCCTGCGATGTGTGACACGCTGGTGACGCGCGAGCTACGCCGCCACGTCTCATGCGCTACAGGCCGCGCCGCGGGGCGCCCCAGCTGTCAAACCAATGATCGCTCATTACACTGAAAGATACAGCATGCAAGCAGCGCATGAACACGCACGTCGCCGCAACGTGCCGCTCGAGGCCGTCTACGTATCACCAAGCACCTTGCCAGATCCTCGTCGCGCGGAAACACATGCCAGCTGCGCCCTCGCCGCCCCCGCAAGGCGTGGCCAGTGCTCCATGTCCTGGGCTGGCATCGCCCACGACAGCGCCGCCAGCCAGACCTGCATGAGCGCAGCCATCGCGCACATGAGCAGCCCGGCGAGCCGCCCGCCACGCCGGTACCGCCGCTGCCGCTCCGCCAGCGAGTCCTCCCCTGCGTACGTCTCCGAAGCCTCGTACACCGCCTCCGTGCGCTCCGCGACGTCCCGCCAGTTGTACATCCCGCGGATCTGCGCATGCTGCGCCTGCGGATCCGTCAGATGCAGCCGCTGCAGCGCCCTGTCCACCGCCGCGACAACAGATGCCGGATTGGGTTCTGCCAACTCCATCATCGTTGGAGGCAGGACCTCCGGCACGCCCCCGACTGCACGGCAAGAGGACACACCCAACGCATCGGACGACAACACGCCGCTCCGAGCTCGCGCCTTCAGGCGCCGAAAGCGTGGATAGGAGCGCACGAGTCCGTGTGGCGTTTGTTCCGAGCTCCGACGAGGGCGCGGGCGCGCACCTGCAGTCGCTACGACCAGGAGACCGGAGCACGCGGCCTCGACGGCCGCCATGCAGAACGACTCAGTCAGACTGGTCGTCAAGAACACGTGCGCCTGACGCAGCACTGCGCCCACCTCGGGGCCCGGCTCGAGGGACCCCAGCAGCCTCACGCGCCCCTCCAGCCCCCGCGACACGACCATGTCCTCCAGCACCGGCCGCTCCGGCCCGTCCCCGCCGACCACGAAGTCGACGCCGTCGTGCTTCGCGCAGACCTGTAGGCAGCAAGCCGGGAGGCAAGTCTGCTGCGAGATGACCTGACTAGCCGCGCACAGCGATCATCACCGACCTGGAAGGGCAGCGAAGGGCGTGTTCCTGCGGGAGCCGGCGGGGGTGCGGCACCTGTGCAACAACGCTAGTAAGGAGCCGAATCCCTTTTCGTGGGACGAGGCGGGACAGACACGCGACGACGACCCGCTCCGGTGCCACGGCGCGCCGCCGGCGCGGTCGGCCGGCGCAGGAGCACCCGGACAGCGCATGCGCGGGCAGCGCGGCGGGGGCGCGGGGCGGAAAGTGGTCGGCGTCGATGGCGTTGGGGATCGCGTAGACCTGGTCGGGCGGCACGCAGGCGCGGAGGACGGTGTTCTCGCGGGCGATGTGGGACACGCAGATGATGCGGTCCGCGTCGGAGAGGAGGAGTTTCATGAGTTTGTTTATTAGTACCCCCCCCGGGGAGGCCAGGCCGAGGAGGGAGTGGTCGGTGAAGACCAGGCGGCAGCCCAGGGGCTTGGCGGCGAGCATCGCCTCGAGCGCCAGCACGGAGAACGCCTGGTGGCAGTGGACGACGTCAACCTGCGGGCACAACACACGCCCGGGGGGGGGTGTTGCGGCGGCGGGGCGCGCGGGGCGGCGCTGGACGCGGGCGTGGCTGGTGCGGAGAGGCCGGAGCCGGGGGCGCGCGCCTGTTCGCGGACGACGATGGACCGCAGCAGGGACTGGGACAGGAAGATCGACGGCGCTGCTACGGAGAGCGGCATGCACCATCTCGGCGCGTAGAACACTTTGATGTCCCCCTCCATGTACCGCACGCCCTTCCGGTCTCCTGCGACGCAAGCAGGTGCGCGGCGGGTGCGTCGCGGCGCTGGAGGTTGCTCCGCCCCACGCGGCGCGCGGAGCGTCGCCTGGGCCGGAGCGCACAGCGGACAGCGATCGGTGGAACATGCGCGCTGCGGCGCTCGCGGAGGTCGCGGGTGCGGGGCCTTGCCGTACGCGTGCGTGAGCACACAGACCCTGCAGCCTTGTTTGGCCAGCGCCTGCGAGAGGTGCAGGATGTGCGTCTCGATTCCGCCGAACTGCGGGTAGAAGAAGTCGCAGACCATGAGGACGCATCGCGCCGAACGACGCGCCTCCACCCCCGCGGCCTCGCGCATGGCGTGCCAGGTCGGTTACTAGCAGCACCGCCAGCGCCGCGAGGGCTGCCGCGCTCCCCGCCGCCTCGCCTCCATCAAGCGTCTATCTGACCCCGCGCGCCACCACGTTTCCGCATCGCCGATACGCCGCGCCGGCGCTGAGTGCAGCCCCACTGAGGGCTGCATACACGACATACAGCAGTGCTGCCCTCCGTCCTTCGGTGAACGTCCAGGGCCGAAGCGCGCAGCAGGGCCGAGGACGCAGGGCGGAGCTGCGATGGTCCGGGATGCAGGGCGGGTCTTCTGCCGCTCAGCGCTGCTGTCAGCTGCTGACGCGGGTACTACTGGCCCTGGGCCGCCCAGGGCGCGCGCGCGCCGGCCGGCCTTTCTCACGGACCGCGCCGCCATGCGCACGGTAATATCAGGCTGAGCACGTCCCAGCGCTCCACGCATTCCAGGACGCTTCCTGCGGAGAGAGCGGAGGGCTTCTCGCTGCTAGGATTCCGAGCGAGGTGCGTGCTGAGCGTTGAGGTCGCTTTCCCGGCTCCGCGGCCCGATGTCAGTGCCAATTATGCGCCGGTGCATCCCCGGGCGGCCCGATGGCACCGCCCGCGCCCCCATTCGCCCTCCTTGGGATGCGGGCCTCTGGGCTCCCGCGGCCCTCCGACGCCCCCGCAAACCCGCATGTCGCGATGCCACGCAGCTCACAGACGCGACGGTGTCCGAAATCTCGCTCCTGGTGTCCTATACCTCTGCCGTGGCAACGCGCGGCGCGTTTTCGTTTGCGTGTCCCTGAGTGGTGCTTCCGTCGCCGCAAGTGACCCCACGCACCGTCGGTCCGGCGTGGTAGCGCTATCATCCTTCGAGCTTTCCAAAATGCCCAGACATTGTTCCACTCCAGGGCCTCTGTGCGCCGGGCGAGCGCGCAAGAAGCATCGTGGTCAGATGCACCCGCCGGGGGTCGATGCGCCCTTCCCGCGGCCCTTTGGCGCTCCGTCGCGACCGATTCGATCGAGCTCGATCAAACCACCGTGTCGCATGCGGGTCTTTGGCCGCAGGTGCACTCGATGTTCTAGCTCTCGTGGCGAGCGCTGGATTTCCCGCACTGGCGCGTCTACCTCCACGAACAGCGCCCGCACAGCCACGGGGCCGACGACAAGGATGGACTACGAGTACTCGGAGGCTCCCTACCTCCCCGAGGACCCGGGCGCTGGCGCCAGAGCCCCCCTCGCTGGTTCCTCCCCCGCGGCCGCGGCGTGCCAGATACCGGGCTCAACCGCACCGCACGGCGCTCCCACGTCCTTCACGTCCGCGTTCGCGTCGTCCAATCTCGGGAAGGCCGGCGGGCTACCTGAGGCGGAGGACTGCATCACTCACCAAGACTGCGCGGCTGCGCACGATCAGGACACCCTGACCGGGGACATGCACGCACAGCCCTCCCAGGTGAGATGAAGGACCTCGCATGCCGCTTTCCGCGCAATTTGGGCGGGTGCAACGGCCCCACGCAGCCCTGCAGCAGGTGCCAAGCCCGCGCCGCAGCGTCCGCCGGCCTGCGCGTGGCCGCAGTCACCTCCCGCACGAAACCGTCGCTCCACGTCCAAAGTTCCCTCTCGCGGCACGCAGGCGGTCCAAGACGGAGCGAACGCCGCGAATTCAGGCTTCAGGCCCGCCAGCGCTGCCCAGGCCCCGGGCGGCCCCCGCCAGCCGCCCCTGGACATCCCCGCGCCCCCGCTCCGCGCCACGACCTCCGATGTCGACGACCTCCCGGAGTCCTCGCGCTCCAGGCGCGGCACGGGCTTCAAGGCGCTCGCCAAGCGCCCCTCCCTCCCTCGCATCCGCGTCGTGCACGCCGGGTCCGGCGACTCGTCCCCCGTCGGCGCCTCCCCGATCTCGGCGTTCCCGCGGCCGCCGGCGGCCTCCGCGCCGGAAGGCAGCGGCCACAGCGGCCGCGGCTGCTCCCCGGAGCGCGCCCATGTCGAGTCTTCCCCGCCACAGCTCCCGGCCGCGCCGGCGTCGCCCATGCGCGGCCTCGCGGGCGCCGGCCGGCGGCCCTCGCGCCTGAAGCGCTGCTCGACGGACGGCGACCACTCGGAGGTGGCGCACCGGCGGTCGCTGTCCCAGACGAGCCGCCTGTCGCCGCCCCGCGACCACGGCCCGTCGGCGACCGCGCCGCGGCCGATCCCGCACGCGGTCGACGTCGGGTTCGACCTCCCCGGGGGGTCTCTCGGCACCAGCGCAGCCCGGCGCAGCGGAGTGTCCCCGGGGGGACTTGACGTGGTCGGCGAGGACGCACGGGGCGTCGTGCCGGGCACGCCGGGATTCGCGGCGAAGCGGCGGCACTACCTCGTGCTCAGCGAGGCGGGGCGTCCCATCTGGACGCGCTACGGCGACGAGGCGTCGGTCGCGGCGACGGTCGCGGTGGTGCAGGGCCTGATGTCGTACGCGGAGAGCATGGACGACGAGCTGCGCTCCGTCGAGTGCGGCGACGGCCGCTGCATCGCGTTCCGCCGCTGCGGCCCGCTGCTCCTCGTGGGGTCGTCCTGCGCCGACGGACCCGCGGCCGTCTCGCGGCATCTCGGCCTGCTGCACGACATGATTGTGCTGCTGCTCGGACACTCGTTCCTGCACCGCATGGAGCGCTCCCCGGGCTTCGACGTCGCGCGCCTGCTCCAGGACGCGGGCGGCCTTCTCGCCGCGCTCGTCGACGCGGCACCGTGGTCCCCCGGGGCGCTCCTCGACGCCGTGCAGCCCCTCCCGCTGCCCCGCGCGGCGCGCGCGGTCGTCTCCGGCGCGCTCCTGGGCCTCGCGGCGCAGCACGGCCGCGGCAACATCGTCGCCGGCGCCCTGCTCTGCGGGCCCCTGGTGGTGGCGTGCGGCGCCGTCGGCGGCGCCGGGGGCCTCGCGCTGCACCCGCGGGACCTCTTCCTGCTCACGCACTTCGCGCTAAACAACGACGCGATGCGGCACTCCGAGAGCTTCGTCCCGATCGGCCTCCCTGCCTCGTGCCCCGGCGGCGCTATGGTGCATGCCTACATGCGCTACGTGGACCGCGCCGCCGACGTGGTCGTGATCTACCTCTGCTCGGAGGTCGCGGGGTTCTCCGCGTGCTCCGACGCCGCGCGCGCCCTCTCGATGCACCTGGACGACTCTGGCACGCTTGCGGCCATCCTGCGATCGGCGTGCAGCGCGGCGGGGGTTGCGCCGGCGGTCGCGCCGCCCGGGGCCGAGGCGGTCGCGGTGTCCGCGGACAGCGACGTCGAGATGGACCACGACGCAAGCGAGGAGCCGTCCAACGTGTCGGAGCTCGCTGCGCTGCGCCACGCGATCGGGGAGCGTGGCGGGGGCGCCGCGACTGCGCGCGCGCCGCGGCCCGGAGCGCTGCGGCAGCGCGGCCCCTCGGCGACGCGTCTGGCGCCCTGCGCGTACTCCGGAGACTACGAGAACGACGACGAAGACGGCGAGGAGGGCGGCAGCGTGGCCACGAGCGTCGACGTCGAACGCAAGGTCAAGGGCGCAGGGCTGTACGCGTCGTCGGTCGAGTCGCACAGCTTCGCGAACCTCGAGACCACGGGGGAGTCGCCGTCGCAGGCGGGCGCCGGGCGCAGCAGCAGCGTGACGATGCCGCGCATAGGCAGCCTGCCCGCGGGAATCCACGGGATGGTGCCGCGCAGCACGGGCCGCATGATGGCCGTGTGCAGCGGCGGCGTCAGCATCGTCGCGCCGCGCGCGTCCGCGAGCGAGGCCCCGCCGCGCGAGGCCCCGCGCTGCGCCGGCGTGCCCTGGTGGGCGCACGGCGCCCCCACCCTCGGCACGTGGGCGATGCGGCCGCTGGGCGCCGTCCCGCTCGAGGCCATCCCGCTCGGGACGCGCGGCGCGATGTCCGCGCCGCCTCCGCCGGCCTTCGACGGCGCCCCGAGCGAGTCCCTGCTGTCGTCGCAGTGGGGCGCGCACGCACAGGACTGGCCCGCGGGGCCCCCGCTGCCGCTCCCGCAGTCCGGCACGGGGCTCCTCTGGCACTACATGTGGGTCACGAACGGCCAGCTGTCGATGTCGCGCTTCCAGCACCCGCTGTCGCGCACCGCCGCGCAGGAGGGGCTGCTGCGGCATTACGTCGACGCTGTGCGCGCCATGTGTCCGGGCGGCGTGGTGCCGGCCGAGGGCGGCGAGGACGCGCGCCTCGTCACGATGGACTCGTACGTCGTGTGCGGGATCGTCTCGGGCGGCAGCGTGCTGCTGGCCTGCGTGGACCCCATGACCGACCCGTCGTCCGCCATGATGGCGGCGCGGAGGCTGCTGTCGTGGCTGCGCCTGAAACAGGCAGACGTGTTCCTGCAGGCGTGATCCGCGGCGCGCACGGCCCTGCCCTGACCCTCGATCATCGAGGGTGTCTGGACAACATCCCCCCCCCGTGGGCGTCAGTTCCGAAATCGGAGCTGACACGCCCCTTACCACCCCCACAGCTGAGCGCAAAGCTCATCGGTTGAGTTGGCGAACCACCAGAGAACCCGAGCCCCCGTGTCGCTGTCGAATGTCTTGCCCGCGTCGATGACGTGTTCTGGCCCACTACCCGGGACACCATATTCTCATCCTCTCCGCGCAACGTCTGGAACTCCGCACGCCACCTCCATGTCTCCGTAATCGCAACCTCAAACGCCCCGCTCACCTCCCGCGCAGTTCACTCCCCCCCACCCCTATTCCCTGCCTCCGCCACCACCACTTCCCCAAGAACCGTCCTCCGCACTTTTTCTCCGCCGCACTGACGTCGACCGGCACCCGCGAAGCACTGCGATGCGAATTCGCACCCGCCGCTGCTACTGCGCCCGCTCGTGCGCTCAACACCCCCGCCGCCCCACACTGGCCGTCTGCCTCACCATTCCGAACCGAACGAGTCGAACCCGCGCACCCCGCGGCCACCCGCCCTTCATCCAGCCCTCCCCGCATGACGACATTCGCGAGGCGCACAACGTGAACGAACCCCGAATCTCGAACCCTCCCCTTCCCAGCCCCTCCCTCTCCCTCCCACACTTCCGTGCTCAGCGCTGCGTCGCTCCTGCAGCTGCACCCGTGCACAGCGCTCCGATGACGCGGGGCTCCCCCCCCGGGAGCGTCTCTGCCTCCCAAGCAGACCTGCCCGGGAGGCCCCTTTCACCGCTGTCTGCGTCGTGAAGCTGGGCGTGTCCGCCCCCGTGCGACGCGTGTAAGCCCACGAGCGGCGTCCCGTACGTGTGCGCCCTGTCGTGGAGACTCGAGTCACGAGAAGCAGTAATTGAGCACCCGCGCACGAAACGAAATGCGGGTGGCCCATCTCACGTGCCCTCGAGCATGAGTGACTCAGAATTGCGCACATATTGTTTCACAGAGTCGCACCGCGGGAGACTGTGCGCAGGGGCGGCGCACATGACATGGCGTCACGCAGCGGCTTCCTCCTTGACGTGCTCGAAGTGGTCGCTCGCGCCCTCCCCGCCCCGCACCGTCGCGTCCCCGCTCGGCCTCTGCATCCCGTCGCCCTCGTGCTTCACCGCGCTCGCCACCGGCGCCACCTGGGCCATCGCCTGGGCAAGCGGCGCGACCTGCGGCACCGCCTGGGCCACGCTGGCGTCGGCACTCAAGAGCTCCATCAGCAGCTGGGGGTTGCTCAGCAGCTGGGGGTTGCTCAGCAGCTGGGGGTTGTGCAGCATGTGCGTCAGGAGCTCAGGCGGCACGGGCTGGAACGCCACCGCTTGCGGGAGCGCGACGGAGTCGGCACCGGGCGCGGGGGCCGCCGCGGGAGCCTCGACGTGCGCGGGCGGCACGACGGGCGCGGCAGCACTCGCCGTGAACAGCGCGGGCGCCTGCGGCACGCCGAGGGCGGCGACGGGCGGCGCGGGCAGCGACGCGACGACGCCCCCCTCCGCTTCCGGGGACGTGCGCGCGGGCTCCGCGAGCCCCGCGAGCGCGACCGCGGCGGACTGGCTCAGGTCGGACTGGCTCGAGTTCCGCGGGACTTGCCGCGTGTCGCGCGACCCGCGCCGCCGCCCGTAGGACCCCCCCCCCTGCGAGTCCGCTGTGTCGTACGCCTGCATGTCCTGCCGGCTCCGCGGCTGCTTCCCGCCCCACAGCGGGGGCGCCGGCAGCGAGCCGTGCGCGCCCTCCGCGCCCCGCCTGCGCTTCGGCGTCGGCAGGGAGTCGTCGTTGGCGCCGCGGCTGCGCACGCCCCACCCTGCGCCTCCCGGGCGCCGCGGCCGCCGCCTTCGCCGCCGCCGCCGCGCGCTTGCCGTGCTGGCCGCCTTCCGCCTGCGCCGCCGGGCCGCGCCCGCGCCCCGCGGGCGCCTTGGTGGCGCGCGCCCTCTCCGGCCCCGGGCCGCTGGCGCCGAGGCCGCGGCGCGAGATCACCGACTGCGCGCCGGTCTTCTCCGTGCCGCCCTGGGCGGACTCGCGCCGGAAGCGCTGCAGGTAGCTCTTGACGTGCATCGTGGTGATGCCGGGCTTGTTCATCAAGCGTAGGATCGCCTTCGGGGTGGAGAGGAACGGGCCGCCGAGCTCGTCCACGGCCGCGAGGAAGCTCGCGTGCAGCTCTTGCGTCCACTGCGGGGCGGCGGGCGCGGGCGCGGGCGCGCGTGAGGCGGCTGGCGGGGCACCCAGGAGGAGGAGCGCAGGGGAGGTTCGTTGAGCGGGTTGCGCGGGCGGGGTGGGGGCGCGCCTGGAGCCGCGCGGGCTTGGCGTCGCGGGGAGCATCTGACTCGCCGTTGTCGGGGGACGGCGCGGCGTTGCGCGGCGACCGCTCCTCGGAGCCGCCCGCCGTGCCAGCCGCAGCCCGCGTGCCCGGCCGCCCCGCATTTCCGGCCTTGCGCGACGACTCAGGGCCCTTCGCGGGGTCCTCTACGTCCTTCGTCGAGTGAGGAGTCCGGATCCTGCGCGAGGGAGCGCGTTCGGGCCCAGATTAGCACGCGGCGCGGGAAGATTGTGCACAGCCTCTACGAGGCGCGCAGGCCTCCGGCCTGGCACGCCCGGCGCGGCGGCGCGGCGGGCGCTGGACCCAATCCGCGCATCGCATGCGGGGGGCGCATAAAAACGGAATGGCACGCCCGCGGTCGCGCGCCCTGGCGCATGGCACTGGGCCATCCATGCAGCCGGGGCGGCCGCGCGGCGCAGCCCACGGCGCCGTCCGCGGCGCGGAAGCGTGATCCGGGGAAGGGGGGCAGCGGCGGGCCGGGCGGGGCCGCGCGAGGCGCAGCCGGGGGCGCGCGGCGGGCGTCGCGGTGGCAGCTGCTAGACAACATTCGGTGCGCCCGCCGACGCGCCCGCAGCGCCCCTCTCGCCCGCGAGAAGGACAGCGCGGCGCCCCTCGGCACCGAGAGCGCGCTTCGCGCCCCGGGAGAGCCGAGATTCTGCATCGTCCGCGCAGTCTACGGACATTCACCTGCCAGCGTCTTCAGCCTGCTCGCACCCCCGATCGCCTCGTTTCCCTCCGTTGCGTTTACCGGGGCTGGAGTCGAACGTGTTTCCCTTGGTTTCTCCGGGCAGGGTGCTGTCGCTGGGCCCCGGAGTATCGCTCATGGGCTGCTCCGAGCCTCCCGCTGGGCCGGCGGCCTCTTCTTGGCGGGAGCCTCCATCGCCGTGGCGCGCTTCCGATCCGCCCTCGCGCGACCTGTCGATTTGATTGTCCTCGACCCCGGCGGCCCCCGCGGACGCGCACAGGCCCGCGAGCAACGCGACGCCATCGGCCTTCGCCGCAGCCTCGCACGGGCCTCGCATTGACACCTGCTACGTTGCTGTACCACGCTACTGCATGCTATGTCGAAATCAGGCACACATCTCCGCGAGTCGTCTCCGGCCACCTGCTCTCCACGCGCCTCCACGGCTGCTCCAGACACGAAACCTTAGTTCAGGCCTCGCTGCGCAACATCCCGGGGGGCGCGCTACCTCGCCCTCACCGATCCCAGACTACCAGTTCCCACCGAGCCGCCGGGCCCTCGGAACGCGGCCGCACGGCGTCCCATCGCCCCACCCCAGGTGGTTGCCGCTGCACCCCCCCACCCGTGCCGTGTGCCCGCGGCGGCCCCCGCACGCCACGCGCAACCGACCCCAGACGAAGCCGCACCTCCCTGTCCGCCGCCTGCGCGTTCGGCTACGCTTCGCACGCCGCCCTCGCGACGCCGCGCGCAGTCGTGCGCCTGGGGGTGCACCTTGGGTCGCGCGCGCCCACCTCGCTGCGACGTCACACCGACGGGACCGCGCCGGTCCCAGGCGCCCGCGGCGGCCACGGGGCTCGGCTGCGTCGCGGCGGCGGGCTCGTGCGCGGCGGCCGGGGCGTCGCTGCACCCAAAAAGCAGCGACGGCACTGCAGTAGTCGGCGCGAGGGCGTCCGGGCGTCGAACGAGCCGCAACACGACTGTCAGCGGCGGCCCTGCCCGCCCACAGCGCTGCCGGCCCGCGATCGGCGCCACAGGCGAGCGGGATCGGCGATCCATCGGCTGGGCAAAGTAGTTGTTGCAATCGCCAGTGCGGAGAAGAAGGATGCGCACACAAGTCGCGCAGCTCGACAACGAGGGGGTGCAGTTCCTCCCTGCACGGGCACAGGGCTTGCTCACACGGCCGTAGCGCGCGCAGCGGCGGCGGCACACCCGCGCCTGCGCCCATGTGGGCGGCACGCGCTGCGTTGCCAGCCGTCCGCGGCGCGGCGGACCCGCACCGCCGTTGCCGCTTACTTCTTGGGCAGGCCGGCCTTGTACATGGCGTCCAAGTCGGCCTGGTAGTGCTTCTGGAGCTGCGGGCGCTTCAGCTTGAACGTCGGCGTCAGGAGGTCGTTGTCCACGGAGAACATCGTGGACTCGAGCTTGATGTTCTTCATCTGCTCGAACGACTTCAGGCCTGCGGGAACGCCGGGGCGCGGGGCGGAGCAGCGTCAAGCGCACGACGGCAGCAGCACTGCAGGCGCAGCCAGCACGCCCCTCCGCGGGGGCGGCCGGCGGCTCGCGGGCGCGGGGGGCGGGTCGCGGGCGCACCGTTGGCCTTGGCCGTCGCGGTGATCTTCGCGAGGACGTGCTTCTTGGCCTCCTCGCTCTGGCAGACCGCCGCGTAGTCCCCGGCCACGCCGTTCTTCTTCGCCCAGGCCATGATCTCGGCCTCGGTCGGCACGACGACGCCGACGAGGAAGCTCTCGAACGAGTTGCCGTACACCCACACCTGCTCGACCACCGAGTCCTTCTTGTACTGCTCCTCCACCTTCTCCGCGGCGATATACTCCCCCTGCGCCAGCTTGAAGATGTTCTTCTTGCGGTCCACGATCTTCAGGTACCCCTGCGGCGTCACGAGCGTCCCGATGTCGCCCGTGTGGAACCACCCCTCGTCGTCCACCGCCTCGTCCGTCTTGTCCTTCATCTTGTAGTACTCGCTGAAGAGCGCCTTGCCGCGCAGGCACACCTCGCCCGCGGGCGGGTCCGCGGTCGCGTCGTAGTTCATCTCGGGGACGGACTCGAACTTCATCTCGATCGACGGCATGCAGATCCCGACCGTGCCCGTCGACGCCAGGTCGTTGGGGTTGCCGACGAAGCTGGCGGCGCACGTCTCCGTGAGGCCGTACCCCTGGCACACGCGCGCGCAGAACGCGACCTTGAGGAACTCCTCGACGTGCTTCGCGAGCGGCGCGCCGCCCGACAGGATCAGGCGCACGTTCCCGCCGAGCGCGCCCTTGACCTTGCTGAACACGAGCTTGTCCGCGAGCGGCGACGCCGCGAGGTTGTCCGCGCCGTTCTCGATGAAGTACGCCTTCCGCGAGTACATCCAGTTGAACAGGAACTTCTTGATCCCGCCGGCCTTCTCGATCTTGGCCATGAGGCCGTTGTATACGCGGTCGAACACCCGCGGCACGCCCGGGAACAGCGTCGGCTTCAGCGCGCCGACGTCGTCCATCAGGCCCGTGACGTCCCCGCGGAAGTACCCGATCGACGCCCCGACCATGACGAACATCTCCTCCAGGACACGCTCAAAGATGTGCGCGAGCGGGAGGTACGAGATGAGCACGTCGCGCTCCGAGAAGCCCACGTCGATCTCGTCGCCGAACATCCTCGCGCCGACGGCCGCGGCCAGGACGGCCTCGTGCGTCAGGACGACGCCCTTGGGCACGCCCGTGGTGCCCGAAGTGTACATGATCGTGCACGTGTCGCTCGACTTGGGGACGAGCGGCGTGAACGGCTTGCCGCTGCCCTGCTTCACCGCGTCTGCGCGCCGGCGGGGAGGCGAGCGGCCGGCAGTTGGGTGGGCTGTCAACCCAGGAGGGGGGCAGGTGAGGGGGTGCGGGGGCTGGCGCGGGGCGCGCGCGCACCTTCGAAGGAGACGGTGTTGACGGAGAGCTGCGTCGTGGCCTCGCCGCCCCACGTGATGACAGTCTTCACCTTGGGGCACTTCGCCAGAGCCTTCCCAAGGATGTCCAGCTTCTTCACTGCGACCGATCGACGCCACGCGTGTGTGCACAGGGTGAGGGAGACTCGCGCCGACGCGGGGCGGGCCGGGGCAGGCCGCGGGACTCGCGCTGAGCCCGTGCGGCACGCGCGCGCGCGGGGAAAGGGGGGGGGGGGTGTTGTTCTCGTTCTTGTTGCTGCGCACCGTTGGCAAACACGATCGTGCACTCGGCGTGGTTGATGATGTACTCGATGGAGTCGTCGCCGAGGGTGTCGTACAGGGGCACGCAGGCCATCGCGCGGGAGTTGCACGCCTGCATCGCCATGTGCCACTCAGGGGCGTTGGTGCCAAAGATGCCGCAGCGGTCCTCCGCCTTGCAGCCCAGCTCGGCCATGGTCACCGAGAGCGCCTTGACCTGCGCGTACGCGTCCTTGTACGAGATCCACTCGAACGGACCTGCGCGGCGCGGGCGGAGAACCAGTCACTTCTTGCAGACGTCCTAGGTACGAGAGAGAAGAGAAGAGTTCCAGGGATCGTGGCCCTGGAACCGCCTTGTGCATCGCCTGGACAGTCGGCTCGCGTGCCCGCCACAGACCCTGAACACCGTGCCGTCTCGCGGCATCGGTTGGTCGCGGTAGAGAGGGCACAGAGGGCTATGTGCAAGTGTGCCCTCCCGCCCCGGGGGGCAAAGCAGCTCGATCCCGCACGGCGCGCGCCCACAGCGATCCACGTGGGGCGCTGTGGTCGCGGCGGGCACGCGAACGCGACTTGCCCGGCCGGATCGGGCACACGCGCGGGGGTCGTTGGTAGGCTGTAGCAACGCGACGGTCTGGCGGGCTCTGTGCGCGGCGCCTGGAGCAGGCAGGTGCGGCGCTGGACGGCAGGAATCGTGAGGGATGGTGCGCGCGGGCGGTCTCGCGAGCGCGGCGGTCTGAGCGGCCTGGGGCGCGCAGCGAGGAGGAGGCTGGCCAGGGGGCGGGCGTGCGGCAGGGCGCCGTGGGCGGGCGCGGGGCGCGAGAGCGAGGCAGGGGGCTTCCTCACCGGGCTTGCCATCCTCCTGGGTGCCGCGCGTGCCGAACAGGTTGCGCTCCGGGAACTTCTCGCACGAGGCGCTGCGGGCGGGAGATGGTGGCGTTGGGGCGGTGAGCGGCGGGCGGTCGGCGCGGATAGGGGCGCGAGCGGATGGCGCGGGAGTCGGTGCGGCTCGCGGGCGCGTCGCGCGCCGAAGGGGGGGGGGGAAAAAGCGGCTGAGGCGACCTCCCACGCGCCAGGTGAGGGGTGGCCGTCGCGGGGCGTCTAGCGCCGGCGACGGACGGAATGCCTCGCGGCGACGGAGGGATCGTTGCGTGTGAGGCGGATCGCGTCATTGGAGACGCTCATTCCGCCGCGATACGGCGAGGGAGGAAGGTACGTGCCCACGCTCGTACGTTGACGCCGACATGCGTCGCGCGGCGGCCCGACGACACGACCATGGCGCGCGAGTGACGCATTGCGTGCCGGGAACATCAGCCGCGTCAATTTTCGACGACGGCGTGCGCAAAGAGACGGGCCAGCGCACTGCCAAGAGCCAAGCGAGTCGATCTCCCGCGCCCGCACCTGAACGAGTCCCAGAGCGTCTGGATCCCAGCTGCAGGAGCACACTCGCCGCCCGCGGCGATGTTGAAGTTGCGGTAAATCCCCGAGCTCGCGGGCTTCCCGCCCTTGGCAGGAGTGGGGTCCGAGACGGCAACGGTGTAGGACTTCGTCATCTTGGCAGGTCCCGCGCGCTTCCAACGCTCGCAGAGTGCCGCCCCGCCCCGCCCCCGCGCCCCGCCGTGCCGCGGCGCCCCACCCACCTGACGCGAGGCGATCCAAGTTGGTTGTTTCTACTCCTCGTGGGCTGTCGGGGCGCTCCGCGGGCGGTTGGGCCGGTGCGGCGCGGCCCTGCGCTCACATCTATCGCGGGCGACTCGTCACGGTACAGAAAACGCGCGCGAGGCCGCATTCGTGCGCCACAGAGCCAGAACCAGCAGGGCACGCAGGGGACCCACGCGGATCGCCGTGGCCGAGGCTTCCGCGCTGAACCGCCGCATCGGCTCTTCCGCCCCGGGCTGCCAGGACGGGACGTGCCAGACGCCGCGCGCGTCATCGCTGGTCGCCGCGCACACGCGGCGCCCCGCTGCTCGTGCTCGTGCGCTGAGGTGGCAGATACGCGTCGGCGGCGCACAGAGGCTGAATTCGTCGGTGTAGGGGGGACGCTGAGGATGCTCAGGGCCGCGGCTAAGTCTGCCCTCGGGCGCGCCCTCGGTGGCGTCGCACACGCGTCGGACGCTGCGGGCGCACCACTGTCCCTGTGTGCAGCGCGCTGGTTCTCCTCAGGCGCGGCTTCCGAGGATGACGTGCCGGACGTTCCAAGGAACCTGCTGTTCCTCGGCCCTCCAGGCAAGCGCACAGACCCTTGTCAGCGCCGCGCCGCCCCGCAACAGCCCGCAGGGCATCCCTCAGGGTCGTGCCCCCGCCGCTCCGCACCAGCGGGTCCCAGCGCCGCGTTTCCGGAAATCCGGCCACCCGTCCACCTCGCGCTCCGCGACCGGCCTCCTCGCCCCACCCCACGCACGCAGGGGTCGGCAAGGGCACCTACGCCACGCGCGTCGCCGAGCGCCTCGGGATGCCGCACATCGCGGCCGGCGACGAGGTCCGCCGCCACATCCGCGAGGAGACCGACATCGGCCTCGAGATCAGCGGCATCGTCAAGGCCGGGGGCCTCATCCCAGACCTCACGATCCTCCGCCTCGTTGAGGCGTGCATCCACGACGCCCGCGCCGCCGGCCGCGGCTTCCTCCTCGACGGCTTCCCGCGCACGGCCAAGCAGGCCGAGGCCCTCGAGGCCATGGGCGTGCCCCTCGACCTCGTCGTCAACCTCTCGATGCGCGAAGACGCCCTGATTGCCAAGTGCATTGGGCGCCGCCAGTGCGGGAAGTGCGGCAAGGGGTTCAACGTGGCCGACATCGACCTCCCGCCGCTCCCCGACGGCACGCCCGGCATGAGGCTCCCGCCGCTGAACCCCCCGGGGGAGTGCATGCCGCACATGACGCTGCGCGAGGACGACAAGGAGACGGTGGTGCGCCGCAGGCTCGAGGTGTACCGGGAGACCGCGGGGGACCTCGAGGCGTTCTACCGCCGGCGGGGCGTCCTCATGGACTTCCCGATCGCGGGCGGAATCCCCGAAACGATGCCGAGGTGCGTTGCGGAGTAGCGAGGGCGTGTCGTTGTCGCGCTGAGGGGTGTGCGGGGGCGCCGCGGCGCGGCGTTGGCGCGCGGGTGGCTGGGCGGTGCGCGGCTGTGCGTGGCGGGGGAAGGGAAAGGCGGGTGACGTTTTGAGACTTGGTTTCGTATTTGTTGCAGGATCCTTGCGGCCCTGGAGTCGTGGAACGCGGACAGCGTGCGGCGGGAGCACGCGTGAGGGCGCGAGCGGCGATGCGGCGACCCGTCCTCGAGCTGCACGCGGAGAGGCTGAACCCTGTTGCATTGTTCATGTGACGACGAGACCTTGAACGTCGACTTGCGAGGCACTCGGAAGACGAGGTCGGAGATGAGCAGCGGCACGCCGACCTCTCCGCCCGTCAGCATCGCCGTCCTTCTGCGTGCCACTGTCGCGGACGTCCCGCCGGGCCGCGGCGCCACGTCCGGCGGGGGGGAATGACCTTCAACCCCCCTGCGGCGCCGGGGCGTCACCACCGCGCCGCACGACAGCCGCGGGACATACGTCCGATGTTGGTCTAGCTACCCGCGCGCCTCGTTGGATCTGTCCGGGCGGAACCAAGCGGCCGCGGTCGCTCGCACTAGAGAGAGGGTGCTACCTTCGGTGCCGCCTTGTGTCGCGACGGACGCGCGTTTGCGGGGCGAGACCTCACCGACCGTTGCGCGATGGCGCAGCCGAGCATGCTGGCGCAGCAGCCGATGCAGGTGCGTCGCTCGCGTCACAACGCGACGCTTCTTGTCCCCACCGCTTCCGCGGCTCCCTGCCGGCCCGCACGGGCGTGCCAGCGCCGCTCCGCAGCGCGACACCACGGTCCCGGTGCTCTCGGCCAGCTCAGGCGGTGCGCGGGAACGATGCTGCGCGTGGCGCGCTGTCGCGGGGCGCTAAGGGTGACCTGAACTCGCCACGCACGACCACGGCGCGCACCGCCGCCCCCGCGGCCTGCGGGGCGCGACGCTGCGCGTGCTCGGTGCACGCGCTCGGCGCGCGCGCACGCCCGCGCCCGCGACCGCGGAGCGAGCGAGAGAGCGTCTGCTGCGCGTGGCGCACGGCCCAGGGCGCCCGACGGGCCCGGAACGGCGGGGGTTTGCGCGGTCTGGGTGCCCGGGAGGCGGCTCGCAGGCTAGATCGAGGGCCTGAATCGGCCAGATGGGGTGCTGAGGGCGCGCGCGGGCCTGGGCGCGCGCTCTGTTGCTGCCGTGGTGTCCGAGCCCAGCGCGGGCGCGCTGGCGTGGTTTCCGCAGGCGAAGCTGGTGCTGCTGGGGGACATGGGCGCGGGGAAGTCGAGTTTGGTGATTCGGTTCGTGAAGGGGCAGTTCTTCGACTACCACGAGAGCACAATCGGGGCGGCCTTCCTCACCAAGACCATGCCCGAGCACGGGATGAAGCTAGAGATCTGGGACACGGCGGGCCAGGAACGGTACCACTCGCTCGCCCCCATGTACTACCGCGGCGCCGCGGCAGCCGTCGTGGTGTACGACGTCACAGACCGCCCTTCGTTTGAGAAGGCTAGGAGTTGGGTCACCGAGCTCCAGCAGCAGGCGTCCCCGGGCATCGTGGTGGCGCTCGCCGCGAACAAGGTCGACCTCGTCGACGAGCGCGTCGTCGAGGAGCGCGAGGGCGCCCAGTACGCCCAGGAGCAAGGCCTGCTATACTTTGAGACCTCCGCCAAGACCAACAGCAACGTGACCGAGCTCTTCCAGGTCCGCGCGCCGCCCAGAGCGAGCCGCGGCGTCGCGTGCCGCCCAGAGCGCCCCCCTCGTGCTGTGTGCTCAGTCTGTGTGTGTGTGTTTGGTGCAGGAGCTGGCGGCGTCGATCCCGAAGCAAGCGCCGCCGCAGCGCCCGCAAGGCGACGTCGATCTGTCGGCCGAGCCGGGCGCTGGCGGCGGGGCGGGCGGCCCGAAGCCTGCGTCTGCGTGCTGTGCGTGAGGGGTGGTGGGCGCTGCGAGGGTGCAGCGGTCAACGAATCGCACGGCCGGGTAGAGTTGCCGGCAGAGCGAACGTGCCCACCAGACGGATACATAACCAGCACGGCTGTGACGCATTGAGGAACATCGAAGAATGATACGTTTCGTTTCTTGCGCGGGTGGTCAATTACTTTTAACATGTATAAATCAACAATCAATAACACATCGTGCGGGAACGAGGGAGAAGTCTGCGTCTGTATGTTTGTAGTTCGCTGACCTACCAGCACCCTCGCCGCGAGGACGCTTGAGCGACCGCAACGGTGCTTATACTTGGCTGACCTACAAGTACCGCAGACGCGCGCAGCGGCTGGACCGACGACAGGCGCGGACAGTAACAGCGGCGCACTAGCGACAGTCACGCACACGGTCGCGCAACAGGCCACCGCGTCATCAGCGCTGCTGGCAGTGTCACAGTGCGAGCTGCGTGGCCACTAGTCATGTGGTGTCTCCTGTGCAGGGCAGCGTGATGTTGAATCTTGCTCTCGGTGCACATGCACGTGTTTGTGGGGGGGCGGGGGCCAAAGGAGGAAGAAGGGGGCAGTTGGGGCATCATCATGGAGGAGTGGCTCGAGGAAACACAAGACACTGCAAGTGCCCCCGCCACCGATGCCATGTCTCCCTGTGCACCCTGTCTGTCAAGTCTGCCCGGCGCTGTTCGAAGTCCGCGTGCGCGGATGGGAGGGCAGCGGAGACGCAGGGTTCATGCGCTGGAAGCTATGCCTGTCGAGCATTCAAATCGAAGACGGGCTTGAGGCGCAAGGTTGGTCAGAAGTCCTGCTGCGTACGGCAAAGAAGCTGGATGGCCCTGGACGCGCCGGTGGGTCGTTGGCGCGACGGCCCAGGACGCGGCGTGCCGCTCTGCCGCGCACCGCGTCGCACGGCGCGCGCCGTCGGTGCGGACAGAGGAGGCGAAAGAATGGTCTGTTGCAGGACAGCGCCGGGGGGAGGGCGCGGAGGTCGGGCCTTGCCGCCACGGGGGTGGTGGCGCGTGGGCTGCTGGCCTCGCCTGGTGCGGGCGCGAGGTTGCGGCCGCCGCAGGTACAAAAACAAACAGCGGGCGCGAGAACGATCGGTGGTTCATTAGAGACGTTCGCTCACCCTTGAGTTGGCCGAGCACGGATCTCTTCGATCGGGGACGGCCGGGGGCCGGAGGGGGGGGCGCTAAGGGGGGGGAGTGCTGTGATCCGAGGTGTGACAGTCGGGGGCAACGATGCGGTGTGGGTGGGTGGGGCGGGTGCGGTTGAGTGGGTCTAGTTTGAGGTACGAGATGCGCGCCGAACACGAGTTGTCGGCCGGCTTCGTACAACATGAAACATCAACGTCGAAGACAACAGGGGGGGGTTGTGTGTCACGCAACAGGGGGGGGGTGTTGAGGGCCGGGCAGGGCGCCAAACGTGCGGAGTCGCGTCCTTCGAGGGCGCAATGGGAGCCGACGGGCGGCGCCGTCGCGCACGCGTCCGTCACGCGACGGTGCTGCTCTTGCTGAAGCACCCGCACAGGCCGGACCTCCGCAGCGGCACGCTGGGGGTTGGCCCCTCCTCCGCGACGCTCCGGTACAGGACGCTGTCCTTCTGCTCGTGCAGCGGTCCCGGCACGACGCCGCTCGTGGACGACGTGCGCACCCACGGCCCCATGATCCGCGCGCCTGACGCGGGCGTGTTGTGTGCTGTCGTGTGCTTATCACTCTCGATCGAGCGGTTCGTGCGGGGCCCGCGGAGCGGGTCGTAGCCCCTGCCGCTGCCGCCGTTCCCGAGCTTCGACGACGTGACCCTCACCGTCGGCCGCATGTTCAGCTTCTGCGAAACAGCGCGAGACGAGACGAGGCGGCGCACGTCAACACTCGGCCCGCGCGGACGGCTCTCCAGCGCACGGCAGGCGCGGCGCGACCGGCGCGCTGCGTGCGGCATGCGAGGAGCGGCGTGGGGCCGGGCGCTTGCCTCGAATTCCGGCGCGACGGCGCCCCGCGCGGTGCTGGACTGCTTGAGCGGCATGCTGATGCGCGTTCGCCGCTGGTGCTCCGGAACCGCGCCCGCGGGCAGGGGCTGGCTCTGCTTGTTCCGCCGCGCCTCCTGCGGGGACTCCGTCGCCTCGTCGTCGTCCTCGTGCGCGGAGATGCCGAGCCCCGGACACGACTTGCGCGGGTGGCACTCCGCGTCGACGAGCTCCGTCTGGTGCCGCCGCGACTGCACCTCGGCCGCGGCGTGCAGCAGGCTGTGGTACTGCAGCCCCGCGGCGCCCTCCTGGGGCGACGCGAGGCTGTCGACGCCGCTGTGGAAGGGGTTGATGACCGACGGCATGCTTGCGAGCGGGCTCGAGGGCCCGTCGCCGCCGCTGCTGTCCTCCGCGAGCGGCCGCAGGGAGACGGTGCGGGACCGCCGCTGCGACACGGGCATGATGGGCACGCCGAACCGCTCGCTCGCCAGCACACTCTGGCTTGGGATCCTCTCCTGGGGCTGCGCGCCGCCTTGCGCGAATTCCAGCGAGCAGCGCGACGTGACCTGCGAGGAACGAAGTGGGGAGGCCGGGGCGCGGGCGTTCGGGGCCGCGGGCGCGACCGAGGCGGCACGAGGGCGGAATATAGGCCGGAGGTGATGTGCGTGCGTGGGGGCGCGGTGGGGCGTTGCGGGGGGGGCTGGTGGACTGTACCTGGTTCCGCATGGTAGCCTCGTCGGCGAACGTCACCTCGCCGACGGAGCTCCGGTGCTGCATGGTCGAGCGGACGCGCTGCGGCACCAGAGGTTTGCTACGCCGCGAGCGCCTGGTGGCGGGGTCCTCGGGCTCCATGGCGCCGTTTACTGCGCTGCGGAGGGCGGAGGGGCGGTGTACGCGATTGTGAGGAGGTTGCTGGCGGAGAGAGGCGCCGCGGGCGACCGGGCGCCGAGCCAGGGCGCGTGGGAGCACCAGGGCACTGGCAGCGTGCGGCGCGCCTGCCAGGCCCTTGTTTGGGAGCTGCTCGGGGAAAAGCGGCCAAGCAGTTCGAAGTTTGTGCGCAGCCCGCGTCCGCGCGCGGGCCTGTGGCGCACGCGCGCAGCCGTGGAGGAAGGCGGTTTGTCGCCGTACTGAGAGCAGCACTCAGCGCATCCGAGGGCAGCGAGCGCGTCAAACGCGTCGCTTATGCACGGGATAAAGCTGCAAGGTGGCTCATCGTCGCTTTTGGCACTCGAAACCGCACCGGCGCGAAAGAGGGCAATTACGTACGTGAGCTTGGGCTCGAGTGCGCAGCCGCGGGGCAGCGAGCCGCTCCTCGACTCCGCTGCGAAGAAACTCAGTTCGCCCCGAAGGCCAGGGGCGCCGGCGCACGCCTTGTCCCCCGAAGTGCGCGCGCGAATGCGCCCTCGGAAAATCCGCGGCCGCTCCTCCGCCGCAGCGCTCCCTGTGGTGCTACTTCGACTCTTGTGCGGGCCCAATTGTGCCTATCGCGATGGGCTCGTGCAAAGTTGCCCGCATGCGACCCGCGCGAACGCCTTGCCGCCGCGCGCCACGCCTGGAGGGAGCCCACTCGGAAAGAGCCCGCCTGACAGTCGTACGCTTTCCTCCTGCGCGCCTCATTCGTGTGTTTGGGTGCCCGCACCTGCGCAGGGTGCCCAGTGGCAGCGCTCAGGCACGGCATCCTCCCACGCCGCGTCCACCCGGCGTCGCCGCGAGCCTCAGAGGTGAGGTGCGGCACTACGGCGTTGTGTACCGGCAACTGACCGCCCTTGGACGACCCTGAGAACCCGCCAGCCACGACCCTCGCCCCCCGCGGCCGCTGGCTCGCCATGCGGGCGGACGCTCGGACACCGCGGCGGCGAAGTCGGCGCCCGTCGGCCACGGTGCACGTCGCTCTGGTGTCCGTGCTCCTTCTGTTGACGGCGCGCGCCGTCTGCGGCGCCGAAAACGTGCGCCAGGACATCGCGGAGTTCACAACGTACAGGTCCGTCGCGCGGGCCCCACGTCGCGGCCGCTTGGAACGCCACGCGCGCGACGCACGACCCGCAACACACGCGCCAGGCGCCCTGCTGGCCCCTGCAACCGCCCCGCGGCGCTCCCCGCCGCCCTGCAGCCCCGGCCTCGGATGGAAGACCCGCCTCGAGCACCTGTCGACCGTCAAGCTCGCCGCAAAGGCCCCCCCGGTGGTACACATTGTTCCGCCAGTCCTCCCCGCGAAGCGGCGGAGATCAGCGCAGCTGGAGGCACAGAAAGCCCCGCTCATCGCCGCGGGTGCGATCTCCATCCCCTAACCGTCCCGCAGCGCCCGCACCGCCCCCAGTCCTCGACGCACGCGCGCGCACGGCTCGCTTCTGCAGGCACGGGCCAGCGGCTGAGGCTCTTCACGCCCGAGGGCGCCCTGACGGACGAGTACGTCACGAGCGCCGGGGACGTCACGTGCATGGACTCCCTGGCCACCGCGCGCGGCCACACGGGCACGCCGCTCCTCGTCGGCCTGACGTCTGGCGCTGTCCTCGCCATGTACGTAGAGAGGGACACCGAGGTGCCGTCGGACAGCGCGTGGGCCGCGGTCCCGGGCGCGCGCCCCGGCTCGGTCTTCGCGGGGGCGACTCTCCTGGACCTCCCGACGCGCCACGCGGACGGTCCGGCGGGTTCGCCCGCGGCGGTGGCCGTGGCGGCGTTGCAGCCCAGCGGACCGAAAACGCACGCCTGGGCAGCGGTCGCGGCGTTCGCGGACGACACGATCGGGCTCTGGCGGCTCGGGGGCAAGGGCGGCGACGCCGTGTACGAGCTCGGCGCGTCCGGGCTGCCCACCGCGGACGGGCGGAGGTACGCCGCGACGGGATGGGGTCAGGTGGTCGGCGCGACACCGCTCGGCAAGTTCTGGGCTGGGTTCGGGCGCGCCGGCGCGCTGCTGACGATCGACGGGCGGTCCGGGCGGTCGCACCGCATCGTGGTGCGCGCGCGGCCCCAGAGCTGCCCATTCTGCTATGCGTCTTGTCTGGCGGAAGTTGCTTTGCGCTGAAACGCGAGCTTCGCGCCGCGGCGATCGTTGCAGTGCGGGAGGCCCGAGGCGGAGGGCGAGGAGGCGCACTGGGACGCGTTGGACTCGGCGGCGTTCGACGGGGGGAAGCAGCAGCGGGCGTTTGCGTTGAAGCTGGGGGGGCAGATGCTGGTGCTGACGGTGCCTCAGCACAAGGGCCGGCCGACGCGGTGCAACGTGGCGGCGGCGGTGACCGCGCACGGGGGCGACGCGAAGGTGCAGGCGCACATGGCGGCGCTCCACGGCTACCTGTTCATGACTCTTCGCGGAGGTGAGCGCGCAGTTTGAATCTCGATTGCCGTGCCGCGGAACGAACCGGCGTGCGCGCGAGGTGGCTCGATGCATGCGGCCGCCTGCCTCAGCGCAGAAGACGCCCGACGCGCTCTCGCAGGGTCGCGGGTGGGGTACGTGCCGGGCTGCGCGCGCGGGACGGACTGCGCGCTGCTGCTGGCGCTCAACACCACGCAGACCCGCGCCACCAAGATCCCCTTCGGCGTGCTCGCGGCCTCGATCGACTCGGCCCTGGACGTCTCCGCCGGCAAGGTGTCGGAGCGGGGAGCGAACCGTCACGCCGTTCCGGCCCTGACGGCCTCCGCGCACGACGGCCTGCTCGCCGTGTCGTGGCCGGACGGCCGCATCGACGTACTCGCCAACCGCATGTTCGTCAAGAGGTCGGACGGTGAGGCACACCTCAAAAGTCCCCCCCTGGTCACGCATGACGCACGCAACGATCAACGACCCGCGCAAGGCCCGCTGCCCGCGCAGGCAACAAGAAGGCCGGGATCGCGTCCTCCGCGGCGTCGTCCGGCGCGCACCCGCTCCTCCTCGCCGTCGTCGGAATCGGCATCGTCCTCTACATGCAGTTCCGCCGTCCCAGTGACCCCATGGCGGGCGCGCATACGAACAACCCCATGTTCGGACCCATGGCCGCGCTGGGGGGCCGCGGGCGCGGCTTCGGCCCGGGCCGCGGCGCGGGCCGCGGCCAGCTCGACGCGGAGGCGGTTCTGCGGGCGGCGCGCGGCATGGACAGGGGTCTAGGAGGCGGCGGCGGTGCACTCGGCGGGATCGGCGCCGGCATGGAAGGTTTCCGCGAAACTCCTCCGGCGCGTCGTGGCCGCGGGTCCCGCGGACCGTCCGCGTCCGGCGCGCGCCACACGGGCCGCGCGGTGCCCTTGTCACACGCGGCTGCACCTGTGCCCTCGTCCGATTCTTCGCGGAAGTTCGCAGACGGGCCGCCCAGCCTGCCAGAGCTCGGGGAGCGCGGGAGGGACGCGTGCGCGGGCGGTGCGGACGCGCAGACGACGGTTCGAGAACGCGGCGAGCTGCCGTTGGTGACGCAGGGTGCGCGCACGTGCGGGGGGCGCCTAGGCGCTATGGGCCTGGCGGTCGGTGCCACGCGCGGGCGTGAGTTCTCACCTGCGGTGCTGAGTGTCCCCGAGTGCAGGCGTGCAAGAGATGGAGCACTTGCCGGAGCAGTACGACGATGAGCTGCTGGGACAGCCGTGGGCCGTGGGGGAGGACTGGCTGTCGAATTTGGAGGCGTTTGGGGAGGAGGACGGGGCTGGCGAGGAGCCTACAGAGCCCATGAGCCGAGACGAGAGGAAGAACCAGTAGCTGAAACGCGAACAGAGCGCGGTGTCACTTGTGACGAGAATCAGTACGACAAACGCGTCGATCGGAGGCAAAACTGACCAGGACAGGGGCCGCCGCGAACAACGACAGCGGTGGAGTACCCGCACGTGTGTTGAGCAAGGTGGAGTGCAGGTGTCGAGGTCCAAGCACCTCGCAACACGCGGCAAGTCAGTACTTCGCTGACCTACAGGCACCCTCGCCGCGAGCGGGGCAGGCACGCGCCACGAGCACTGCGACGGCACGCACGGCAAGGAGTGTCACACGGGAGCACTCGCTTGGCGGATCCCGTTCCGCGGGATCTGCCTCGGCGAGCTGCGCTCTACAAGAGTGGTGGTTTACGTGGCGGCCTCATCGGCGCCCGCTTCGAGCGGCCGCCGAGTCGCAGGGCGCGGGCTCCTGGCGAGTTCTAGCTACCGCTGCTGACTGTCCGCGCAGGTGGCGCCGGACGAGCCGCGCCTGAACGCTGCCGCGCAGTCCTTGCACGGAAAGCATGCGGCGGGCAGCGGGCGTCGTGGAGCGTGTAATTCGCTGGCCTATAGCGAGGGGGCAGTTCGAGGGCGGCTTGGGTGGGTTGCGAGTGGGAGGACCAAACGGTTGGTTCTGTCTTCTTTGCAGAGAAGGTGAACGATCATCCACAATGGTTGTTCGCCTCTCGGTCAAATAAGAGTCCATGAGGTACGAGCGTGGGGCGGACGCGGTCGCCGGGGCGCAAAATGTGCGGCCGCGTGAGGGTCACTGCCCGTGCGAACTTACGAGTCGGTGGCGGCTGAAGGGGGGGGGGTCGGGAACGGGGGGAGGGGGGGGAGTGAAAACGGCATGTGGAGGGAACGGATGGTTCGGAGGGGGGTCGGTGGGGAAGGAATATGTTCAGGGCACCGGTTTGGGGCTGGGACCGCGGGATGGCCGCTCGCAACGGTGCGGGGGGTCCTTGAGCAAAGAGGGCGGTGGTAGGGGGGTGTTGGGGCAGTCCTGCTGCTGCCGGGTACGCGGGCGCGTGCGGGGGGTAGAGGGTGAACTTTGCGAGCGGAGATCGGGGGAGGGGGCCGAAGGGGGAAGATGGGGGGTTGCACGCCGGGGGCAGTGCCGCAGTGTGGAGGGGGGAGGGGGGTGTTGTAGACGGATGCAGGCGATGGCAAGGGTCCGGCAACCACCGAGCTACTGTGAGAGTGGACGGGAGCAGGAGAGACGGGCTGCTCCGCCTGATGCTGTCCCCCCAGTAAGCGCACAGCGGGGCCCCGGAATGATGGGGCAGGAGAGGATCGCCTTTCCGGAGCGGGCAGCGGGAGCGGGAGCGGGAGGGGGGCGCGGCAGTCTTCGGAGGTCCATGGCAGCGGCGCGGGGACTGCCGACCGCGCAGAGCAGGGAACACGGTGCGGGGGAGTGGCTGCTGCTGCTGCTTTGGGCGGGCTCGCGGGGTGTACGCGCGGGTCGGAGGGCCACGTCGGCGGGTTTGACGCAGCGAACACAGAAGAGTCCAACGCGAGGGAAGAACGTCGCAGGGGGAAGGGACGGGGGGGGAAGCATGCAGTGAAGAGGGGGGTGCTGGTTGCCGCGAGGGCGCCGCGCCTGGTGTCAAAGCACCGACTGGGGGCAGCATGACGGCCGCGCGCGTGGGAGCGCGTGGCGCCTGCTCGTTGTGGGAGCGCTGCGCCCTCGAGGGAGTCGTCTGTCCATGCAGCATGGGGGGGGTCACGGGGTGCGTCTCGCCGCTGGCGACGGCGTCGGCCACGCCCATCACGTGCTCGCTGGCCCTTGCTGCGTCGAGTCCGTGGACAGCGCGGAAGTGTGCCAGCTCGGCGGCCCCCCGCCCGCGATCAGGCTTCGGCCGGACACCACCTGCGCCGTGTGGCCGGCCGGCTCCATCGCCGACCGCGTCGCGTGCTGCGCCGCCGCCTGCTGCTGCGCTGCGGCCGCGTCCGCGCGCCCGAGCGCCCCGACCGCGTCCGCGACGCTCGGGTCGCGCAGCGCCGCCGCCAGGTACTCGGAGAGCGCGTCCTGCCTTCCCGCCGGCGCCAGGCACTGCTCCGGCAAAGAGTAGAACTGGGGCGGCAGAGGGGCCCCGTACGACTGCTGCTGCGGCGCCGGCGCGCCCGGGTAGCCCTGCTGCGCGCCGTCGTGCGACAGGAGGTCGGCCAAGGAGACGGGGCCTGCGGGGGCGGGCACCTCGGACGCGCGCGGGGTCGCGGCGGCGTCGCCGGCCACGAGGAGCTGCCGCAGCCACATCTGCTCCTGCATCCACCGCGCCTGCTCCTCCTGGAGCTGCGCGAGGCCCACGTCGCCGTACGGCGCGCCCGCGGGCGCGCTGTGGTGCTGCGGCGGCGCAGGCGCGCCGTGCCCCGGCCGCACGAAGTGCCGCAGGAGGCCCGGCGGGATCTGCGGGAGGCCGCTGTCGCTGCGGACCTGCCGGCCGCCCTCCCGGGTCACCGCGGACTGCGCCGCCAGCTGCGCCGCCAGCACCATCCGGAAGTCGTGGTGCATGGGCGCGCCGGCCGGCCCGGGCGCGTAGCTCGACGTGCGGCGCCCGTCCGAGCGGGCCACGTTGACGTTGTGCGAGTACCGGCACGAGTCGCCGCGGTCGCACGTGCCCTGCGGGTGGGGGGCGGCGGCGCGTAGGGGCGCGGTTGGGCGGCTTGCACGCGGCGGGGAGGGCGCGGGGGGCGGGAGCGTGGCGGGCGCGCGCCTGGAGGAACTCGAAGCAGATGTGCGGCTGCGAGGGGTCGTGCTCCGCGCCGGACTGCGACTTCACCAGGTTGTGTGTGGCGAGGACGGCGGTGTCGTGGCTGTAGCGGCACAGGGCGCCGCGGAGGCACTGCCCGCGCACGAAGTCGTAGCAGATGCGGCCCTCCTGGCAGTTGATCGCGATGATCGAACCCATGTCGTGGGAGAATTTGCACCCGGCGCCGCGCCTGCGGGACGGGCGAACGCGGTGGGTTCGCGGTCGTTTCGCGGCGGGTGTCGCGGATGACGGGTGGGCGCGAGGGCGGGGGCGCGGACCGCGCGGGCACGCGGCGTGCGGGCGGGCCCCTGCGCTGCACTGCTGAGATCGCTGTGCGGGGGCGCGGGGGCTCCGTTCGCCGCACGGTGCAGCGCGGGGCGGTGGAGGGCGATGTGAGGGGAGCGGCGTGGCGGCGGACGGCCGGTTTCGCGCGGCGTGCCGGGCGCCGCGGCATTAACTGTAGGAGGCGATTGTGTCGCCGTTGTCAGGCGCGCGAACGCACCTGCAGTGCCCCTTACAGAAGTCGAAGCATATCTGGACCTTGGAGAAGGCGTTGGGGCCGTTGGAGCTGCCCGAGGGCGACGGGCCGGCCTCGTGGGGGCCGGAAGTCTTGTGCGGCCCTCTCGCTCCGAGCACGCTGCCCAGGGAGCGCAGTCCGTCGTGTACCGCGGACATATTGAACTCATCCGCCGACATGGGGCCGGTGGGCGAAAAGGCGTCCATCGCGCGCGCGCAACACCGAGCGAGAGCTGCGTGTGCTCGAGCTCAGCCCGTGCGAGGGCGCGGCAGTCCCGCGTAGGGGGACGCGCGAGCGAAATAGACGTCCGGAGATGAAACGAACGTAACACTCACGGCCGGAGGCAGCCGCGGTCGCCACGCATCGGTGTGGGGGAAAACCACCACACGACGTTTGCTTTCGGAACAACGCGTCGCGGAGTCGTGGAGCTTAGATAGTGGTCGTACGGTTCGCATACGGCGCTACTGACATGTGGGGGCCCGCGGCCGCCCGTCGAGATCCCCCGGAACCGCGAGGGGACACCTCCCGGCTCGGTGTCCCCACTGGGGCTGAGCCGTACTGGACAATAACAGCCTTAGGCGACGCAGCTCGGTTTCCCGGCTCGAGGCGGACCCATTCCGACCAAATCCGAGCCCCCGCGCACTCAAGCGTCGCTGGGCGCCGCGCCGTGCCGCCTCGACGGCGCTCCAGGCGCCCTGGTCGCGTTCTGTTGGGCAGGGCAGAAAAAGGGGTCGGGGGGGGGCCGCCCTCGGCGTCGCGCGCGATCCCTTGCGGGCTCGCCTGCCTCGGGACGCGCGCAGCGGTGCCGACATGCATGCAGTTGGCGGGCGCACGGGCTCATGCGCCCCGCGGTCGCGCGGAGGCAGGCGGTCCGCGCCGGGGGCGGGACTTTCTTGTTGTCGCTCTCGTGGCGACAAAGCGCGCTGGGTCCCGCGAACCGCGGCGGATTTCGCGTTCCCTGAGCAGCGCGGGCGCGGAGGCAGCGCTTGACACGCTTGAAGTCGACGGCGTTGCCGTGCGGCCGTGAGGGTTCGTCACACGGGGATGGGGCCCGTTCCCGCACCGGCCGCTCACGCCTGGCTCTCCGCCCTCGCCGCGAGCACCGCCACAGCCTCGGCGACCGCCGCGCCGATCCCAGCGTCCCGGGCCAGCGCGGACGGCGCCATCATCACGTTGCGCACGGCGCCGAACACGTGCCCGTGCCGCGTCGGGCCGGGACCCTCGTCGCGCGCGGCCTCCGCTGCCGCCACGAGCCTTGCAGCGGCCTCCTCGGGACTCCGGAGGATCCCCAGCGTCCGGCCTGCACGGCGCGAGCGGCGGTGCGCGTTCAGGTGCGGGGCGCACGGGCGGCGAGGCGCGTGGTGGGCGAGGCGGCCGCTGACCTGCCAGGTGACCGAACCACTCCGCAGCAGACGGCCACTGCCGCATCAGCCCCGTCCGGACGAGCCCAGGGTCGAACGCCACGAACACCACCCGGGAGGTCAATTGCGTCTCCGCCCGACACAGCGTCGTGAACGCGGTCCCGAGGAGCTTCGACACCGCGTACGCCTCCGCCGGACAAAACGCCTCCTTGGCCGGCAGCCGCGGCACACCGGCGCCCGCGCGCGGCAGCCAGGCGAGGTGCCTCGCCGCCGCCCTAGATGACACACCTGCAGGCGAGCACGGACGGCGCGGACCCAGCCTCAGCCGGCGCCGAGACCGTGCGCTGCAGAGAACCAGAGGCCGCTCGCGGGCGTCCGCAGCGGCGCAGCAGGCGGCGCCGTGTGGTCTGATGGTGTCGTGCGGCAGGCGGTGACTCGCCTCGGTGCGTAAAGGACCCGAGGGTGACGACGGCTCCCCGGCCGCCGCTCTGCTCCGCCGCGGCGTCGAGCTCCGGCCACAGACACATCGTCAGCATCGCGGGCCCGATGGCGTTGACCATCAGCGTCGCCTCCACGCCGTTCGGCGCAGCCACCGCGCCGCCCGCGCCCCCGAGCACGGCCGCGTTGTTCACCTGCGAGGGCGCACATGCTCGCTTTCAGCGGCAGCAGGCGGGCGCTTCCGCGCCGCAGAACGGCTCCTCTTTGACTCAGTCCGTCTGCTGAGTCAACCAGACAGACGCACACCTGTAGGACCAGCGGCGGGAGAGTCGGGCGGGCTGCCCCGGTCGGGTCCGCGCACGTGCACAGCGCCGCGGGCCCTCCCGCGCGCTCCGATGCCCTGAGAACCTGCCCAGCAGCAGCACGATGCCCGTCGGGGACGCAGGGCGGCTTGTTGCGCGCCGCCGCCGTCGCCGGCCGCCACCAGGCCCCCGCCGCCCGCGTGAGCGCCAGCGCCGCCCGCCCTATCGAGGTCTCGTCCGACAGGTCGACCTCCACCCACGCCACCTGCACCGCACCGCGCGGCGGTGCTGAAAGTGTCGCGCGTGCTGCCACAGCGGCCCTCCTGCGCGGAGCAGAGCGCCGCCGGCCCGCGCGCTATCCGTGCGCGGTCCGCGGCGACGACGGCGACGTGCCTGCGAGGGACGCGCCCCATGCAACACTAAGTGTCTTGCAGCCAACAGCCCGCCCTCGGCGCTCCTGCAGCCCAGGATCACCACGTATCCGGCGCGCGCGAACTCCAGCGCCGCGGCGAGGCCGATGCCGGACGTGGCGCCGGTAACAAGCACCGTCTCGTGCCGCTGGCACGGACCCGGTTGCGAGCCCGCTCGCAGCGCGGGCGAGGCCGGCCCTGCGGGGGCGCGGCGGCTGGCGTCCCTGCTCGGTGTGGTCGTGGCGCGCTGGTGAGGGCGTCCGAAGCGCGGAAGAGCGAGAGCTGCCGCGTTGCAGGCAGCGACGGTGAGCCCCCAGAGCAAAACGCGCCAGAACGTGCTCGGCCAGAACAAGAACCACAGCGACCGTGGTCGGCCGCGCGAGTCCGGCATTCTGCCGGCAGCTGCGCTCAACGGCCGATCACTCCGCGCAGGCAGCGCCGCCCCTGAGCCCTGAACCCTCGTCGCTGTCGTGCCAAGCCTAGAGCCGCGCAATATCCTCTCGTTGCATCAGACAGCGATGTCAACGCGCAGAGCTCTGCGGGCACAGCGCCGCCAGCGGCCCTAAGCGCCTAAGCCGCGCGGCACAGCGCCTGTCGGTCCCGAGTCCGCGTTGGGCCTCTGAGGCCCCATACGGACGCGCGCGGCATTGCGGGAGGCTGCTGCGGCCCCGCGCCCATCCTCGCTGTCTCTCTCCCGTCTCCTGCCCACCGAATCGTCACGGCGCCGCGGCTGACGTGCGCAGGAGGCCGCTGCCCCAGCAAACCCTCGCTCAGCCCGGTGCGGATCGCAGCTCTCAGGTGCTTCCCGCATCCGGGCCGTCTCCACGCGCACTACATCCTCCGCACGTCCACCACGCACGCTGCGTCCGTGCCCCGGCTGCGACGCTGCGGGCTGCTTCACCCTGTGCACGCCAGCTCACGCGGACCGTGCCGTGCGTCCGGCCCGCGTCTGAATACGCGGCCCCGCTGCGAGGACCCCACATTGCAGGCAGTCGCTCCGAGCGCCTGCAACGCCGGCTCCCCACCTGGCGCAGCTCCCTCTGGCACCCTACAAGCCCCACCCTCCCTGTCGCGCACTCTGCGCGCGGGCGCCGGCTAGAGCTCACAAGCTCTAGGCGGGGGAAAGCTCTGCTCTCAGCGCCGCGCATCGCGCGCGTCCCGCGACCATGGACCGCTCCATGGACGTGAGCGGCCTTGGTCTCTCTAGCGTGCTCGATGTCTCGCTTCCGTGGGACAACGAGCCGGACCCGAGCACGAGAGGTGCGACCGCCTCGCACGCGACATGCCCCGCTCTCACGGCACGTGCACACCCTGGCAAATGTCGCGCTCGCGGAACGCGGAGCGAGGCCGCACCGCCATCCCTCGACCCGCATCATGCCCGCGCCGTGCCGCCCCGCAGCCGCGCCCCTGCGCCGAAAAGCCGCGCAGGCGCGCAGCCTGCCGTGCTCCCAGCAGCGCGCCGTCGCCCCGCGCCGCCGCTCGCGGCGCGTCCCGCCCGGCGCCGCCCCGTCCTTCCGTTGTTGCCCGCGCTGTTCCAGCGCCCGCTGCAGCGCCACCCGGACCGCCCCGGCGCCCTCGCACGCGCGACGCAGGGGGCTTCAGCCTCGTATACAAGCGCGACGTCCCGCTCGAGATCCGCGGCTCCGACGGCATCGATCTCCCGGCCGACGTCTCTGCGCTCGAGGCCATCACGGTGAAAATTCTCGAACGGTCCGTCCCCGCGCCCGCGCCGCCGCCCCCACGCCCCCTCGCTCCTCCCCGCCCGCCCCAGCGCGCCCAACAAACACTCCCCCCCACCTGCAGGCGCGAGTCGAGCCTCCTGCGCGGGGTGCGCGTGGAGCTGTCCTCGGAGGCGAACCTGTGGTTCCTGTACGTGCACGAGCTCGACCAGGGCTCGTTCCACGACCTCCAGGACCAGCAGAAGCTCATGCTGGACTTCAACGACTACCCGCAGCTGCTGCTGCGCATGCTCAACAGCTGCATCCGCGACCCCGCGCACTTCGTCGGGCTCCTCGTCATGCAGCCGGGCATGCGCGCCCGCCTCGACTTCATGGAGAACCTGGACTACAAGTGGATCGAACACCTGTCGGCGCCGCTCGAGGTGAGTGAGGGAGCACGTGGGCGGCCGGGCTGCTGCGGGCCGCGTGGTGGCTGCGCGGCCGGGCTGCTGTCGGGGGGCACGCGGGCGTGGTGCTCGCGTGGTCGCGTGCGCGTTCCGGCGCGCGCGCGGTGGTGGCTGGCGCGTGTGTGTGTATGTGGGGGTGTCGACGGGGCTGAGCGCGTGCGCTGGGCGTGTGCGCAGGTGGCGTCGGAGGCGGCGATCCGGGAGTCGATAGTGTACCGGTACAACAAGATGAAGGCGGTGACGGTGATGCTGCAGCAGCGGCTGACGACGCTGGCGACCATGGTCAAGGGCCGCAACCCCGGCCTCCTGCTCCAGTTCCGGGACATCGTGCAGAACGGAGGGACCCCCACGTCGCCACGGGGCGCGCGCCGGACCGCGGGCGTCGCGAAGCCAGGCGGGAAGCTCCCCGACGCCAGCTTCAACAGTACCCTGGGGGTGTGATTCCGCCGCGGACGCGCAGCCGAGGCGGGGCGCGCAGCGTATGTGCGCGCGCGCCAGCGTCACGGGCGTCCGCGCCTCGGCCCCAGCCGCCGTTCGAACGTGGCGCGCGCGACGCATGCATTTGCACACGCAGCATGCCCGTCGGGCCCCAACTGCTTGGAACGCGACCATGGCTGCGCCGGACCTCGGCCCGCGCGCGAAGGCCGGCGGAGTGACGGGGCGGCGCTCGGTGCTCCGCTGGAGGTGCTTGTGTGTCGCCAGCAGGGGTCGCTCCCGTGCGCGCGCCTGTGCGAATGACGGCGGCAGATCCGTCGCAAACGCATGTCTTGTCACGTGCGGACCGACGGCGCGAGCGCCGCTGCGCGGGGTTGCGGCGAGGGGGTCCTACGCGGCTATTGGTCGGTCCAGGAGGGTGCCCGACTGTGGGAGGGCCTCGGCAGCGCCCGCCGCTGTTGCCCGCGGGGCCGCATTTGCGCGCGCAGATAGCCTGTTGCAATAACCTACTCGGTCGTGTCGTCGCGGGCGTATCTCGGGTCCGAATTCCGTTGTACGGGACGTCGTATCGCATAAGATCGGAACGAAATGATCGCTGCCAAGGCCAACATCGCGTCCGTTCGCGGCCTCACGGCCCTGAACAAGACCGCTCGCCCCGCCCGCGCGTCGCTGCGCGTGCGCGCCGAGGCTGACAAGCAGCAGGTGCGGGCCGCTGGGCACCGAGCCGAACGATGGCCCGCGCCGGCCCGCGCCGCGCGCGCCCACACTCGACGCGCCCTCTCCGGCGCAGCCATCTCGCTATTCTCGGCGCCCGTGGGCCGCTCCCGCGCCCACGCCGACGCTCGAGCTCGCGCGGAGCCGGCGCTCTGTTGCTCCAAACCTCCTCCGTACCTTGCGCGCGGGGCCACGCCCGAGGCTCCCGACGCCCCCAGAGCCTTCCTCGGTCCACGCTGGCCCCACGTGCTCCTCTAGCCCCGCCCCATCGTCCCCGCCCGCGCCCCCCGAGCAAACGAAGCTCAGGCAGGATCCGCAAGGCTCGTCTGGCGTCTCGTGACGCGCCGCGCGACCCTGCGAGCCCCGCGCCGCACCCGCCGTGCTTCCCCTGGCCCCAGCGCGCCCGGCGCGCCCCGGCGCGATCCCTAGCGGCCGCACCGTCCGCGTCTCTCCGGCCAATGGCAGCTGCGCGCGGCCGCAGCCCTCGCATCCGGTCCCTGCGCTCACAACGGGCCGCTCCGGCCCCCTCCGCGCAGGTCATCACCCCCCTGAACGGCGACCCCTTCATCGGCATGCTGGAGACCCCGGTCACGTCGTCGACGGACGTGGCTAAGTACCTGTCCCAGCTCCCGGCCTACCGCACGGGCGTGTCCCCGCTCCTGCGCGGCGTCGAGATCGGCCTGGCGCACGGCTTCCTCCTCGCCGGCCCCTTCATCAAGCTCGGGCCCCTGCGCAACGTCCCGGGCACCGCTGAGGTCGCTGGCTGCCTCTCGGCCGCTGGCCTGGTGGTGATCCTCACCGCGTGCCTCGCCATGTACGGCGCCGCGACGTTCCAGGGCAAGCCCTCGCCCGTCGGCGTCAAGACTCTCTCGGGCCGGTACGTCCCCCGCGCCAGCACCGCCGCACGCGCCCCTGGCCCCTCATTCGCATCCCCCACCGGCACAACAACCTCCGCTCGTCGCTCCAACGCCGCGGTGCCCGCTCGTTGCGCGCGCAGGGACCTCCCCGAGGACCCCCTGCAGTCCGCGGAGGGCTGGAACGGCTTCACGTCTGGCTTCCTGACCGGCGCGCTCTCGGGTGTGGCCTGGGCCTACGCCTGCACCCAGCTCCTGCCCTACTACTCGTAAGCAGTGCCGCGGCAGCGCGTGTGATGTAAGCGCACGACCGACGCCGCCCCAGCCGTCCCTCAGCCTCATCTTACATATCTAGGCCTAGAACTACAACCACCAACTACTAGTTGCATCGAAACAACACATGGCGTCCTTTCCGGCGCGTGTCGCGACGTCACTCGTCGAGCCCCTCGAGCTCCTCGTGGCCCTCCTCCGCTGCCTCCACCACCCGCAATATCGCCACCGCGACCAGCTCCTGCCGTTCCTCGACGACGGCGTGCCCGGCGCCGCGCACCACCACGACGTCGCCGCTCCTGGGCGCCCACGCGCTCACGTCCGCGCCGCGCGCCGCCTGCACCGTCCGCCGCGCCGCCCCGCGCCCCACGACGCGCGCCGACATCTTCGCAGCGATCTCCCGGAACTTGTCGTCAGTTTCTCCGACGACACTGACAACAAGCGCGCCGCGCGCCGCCATCGCGCCGAGGGCGTCCCACAACGGCACCTGCGCGCCCGTGCTGAGGCCGACGAGCGCCCCGGCCACCCCGGCCGCCGCGGCGGGGCTCCGGAGCGCGCTGCGGCGGCGCTGGAGCATGCTGGCGAACCGCGGGTGCTTTTCAAGGCCCTGGAAGAGCGGCTGCGCGTACCAGGCGTCCAGGAACGCGGACGGCGCGCCGTCGCGCGAGAGGTGCTCCGCGAGCGCCGCGTCGCGCGCCCGGCGCGCGCGCGCCACCGCTGGGGCCCCCGGAGACATCCCCGGGGCACCGGAGATGGAAACCACAGCTCTGACGACGTCCGGGTGGCGCGCCGTGAGCGCGAGGGCGACGCGCGCGCCCATCGAGTACCCCGCGACGACCGCGCCCTCGCTCCCGCGCCAGCCGAGGTGGTCCGACAGCACGGCGAGGCTGTCGGCGACCGACTCCACAGACACACCTGACGTCAGTCCGTCTGACCCGCCGTGGCCGGGGAGGTCGACGGCCACGCAGCGCCGCTCGCGGCCGAGGGCGTGCAGCGTCGGGAGGAAGTCGTCCGCGCTGCCCAGGAAGCCGTGCAGCAACAGGATCGGAGCGCCCGGGCACGCGACGTGCGCATTCGGGCGAGCAGAGAGCACGCGCAGGCGGAGCGAGCCCGCGGGCGTGTGGACGGTGTGAAACGCCTCCTCGACCTGCGCCGCCGGGCCGCGCCGCGCCAGCGCGGAGTCTGACACGAGCGGAGACACCCCCGCAGCCGCGCCCGACCAGGCTCGCGGCGCGCCGTCGCGCCCGCGCTCCGGGCCGCTCGGCTCCGCGAGCACGTCGCCGGTGAGCCACGACAGCGTCCCGAGGCCGTGCGCGAAGGCCGCGCGAGACCGCCCCGCCGGGCTCTCGGCCCACATCGCATCGGTGACGGCAGCCAGCGCCGCCCAGTGCGAGAGCCCCAACGACGTCTCGAACGACGACGAAACGACGACGCCGATACCGCGCGCAGCAGCCAGGCGCGCGAGCGCCAGCGTCGCCGCGGCCCCGCCGCACCAGCCCGGCTTGACCACGGCGGCCACCACTCCGCTGCCCGGCGCCGACAACTCCAGCAGCCTGCCCTCCTCCACCGACTCGTCCAGCGCGACGGGCGCCCCCGTCTTGCGGTGCAGGTCCCGCAGCGCTCCGATCGTGGTGTGCCGCAGCGGCTCCTCCACGAACTCGAGGCGCGACGGCACCGCGGCGCCGGCGCAAAACTCCACGGCGTCGGCGAACGTCCAGGCGCGGTTGGCGTCCGCGCGCAGGGCGACCGCGTCCCCGACGGCCCTGCGGATCGCGTTCACCGCGGCGATGTCGTGCGCGACCGCCTCGCGTCCAACCTTGATCTTGATCGTGGTGTGCCCGTCGGCGGCCAGTGCCGCCGCCGCCGCACAGGCCGCGGGGATGTCCGTCGTGTCGCCGAGCAGCCCGCACACGGGCACGGGCGGGAGGGCGTCTTTCGTGGGAGCGAGGCCCGCGCAGGTCCCGAGGAGCGACGTCACCGGGACATTCAGCGCCGCCGACGCAGCGGCAAACACCGCGCTGCTGAAGCCCGCGGCGACCGAGGGCAGGAGGGAGCCCGGGGCGACGCCGATGGCCTCGCAGAGCCACTCGTCCAGCCCGGCCTCCGCGAGAACGGCCCAGAGCGGCAGGCGGCGGCCGCAGCTGACGTCAGCGTCTCGCAAAAGCCCCCCCAGGGTGTCCAGCTGCGCGACGGCCTGGCTCAGCGTCTCGGTGTGCAGCCCCGCGAGCGGCGCGACCTCGCCGTGGCCCTCGAAGACCTCCCCGCTCGCCGCGCGCAGCCGCGCCGTGACGACGCACCCCTCGCGGACCCCCCCGCCGACGCCAGTGGTGACGGGCTTCGCCAGCCCGACGCTGTACGGCCTGACGTCCAGCTCGAGCGCCCCGAGCGCGGGATCGATGTTGCGTTGCATCCAGGCGCGCGCGAGCGTGCCCGCCCAGCCGGCCGTGCGCCCCGCGATGGTCTGCAGCTGCAAATGCAACGCGTGGTTCTCGCTCCTGTCCGTGACCACCTCGACGATGCCGTGCTCGCCGCGGGCCCACGCGTCGTCGAGGGCCTTGTCGAGCTGCGCCGCGGTCGCGGCCCGCGCGTACGGCACCCCGTGCGCCCGGCACAGGTCCTCGAAGGACACCCCGGGGGGCGTCGCGAACACCGGCTCGAAGACCTCCTTCGGAATGGCGCTCGCGACGGGGAGGAAGGAGAAAATCCCGCCGCCGCTGTTGTTGATCACCACGACCGTCACGGGCGGGCGCCCGCGCGCCTCGCGCAGCAGATTGAGTCCGTTGATGTCGTGCAGAAAGGAGACATCCCCCACGAGGAGCGTCACTCCCCTCCCGAGGCCCTGCGCGTACCCGACGGCCGTGCTGAGCACGCCGTCGATCCCGCTGGCCCCGCGGTTCGCCGCCACGGGCACCCCGACCCCGCTGCTGCCCTCCTCGGCATCTCGCGGCCGCGGTGCGTACATGTCGACGTCGCGGATCGGCATGCTGTTGCCCAGAAACAAACCGCGGCCGCCTGGCAGCTGCGACGCGACCTTGCGCGCGACGCGCGGCTCCGTGATCGGCGCGTGCGGGTCGTCGCAGTCCCCGATCGCGGAATTCAGAGCCAGACCTGTAACTCTATCTAAACAAGACAGCGTTTCCAGGTATTGCGAGTCGAGCTCCCCCAGGACGCCGCGGTCGGGCGCGGCAAGCACGTGCAGCAGCTGCTGCGCGCCGCCCTCGATGCGGTGCGTCACCACGTGCGCCGGATCGTGCCGCCCCTGGCTGGCGCACGCCAGCAAGAAGGACGCCGGCTCCGCTCCGTCCGCGGTCGTGGCCCACTCCAGGAACTGCCCCACGCGCTTGCTCGTCAGGAACCCGCCCAGCTGCAGAACCACGTCAGGCCGGACTGTTTCCCACACCCCCTCCTTCCCGCCCAGCAGGACGTGGTCCAGGTGATGCACGGTGCCGGGCAGGCCGCTGCCCCCGCTGCCGGCGACGCGCAGCCCGCTCGTGGCGTCCGCGTACACCGGCCACGCGAGCCTCCGAGCGATCTCCGCGGCCGCGAGCGTCTCCTCCGGCGACGCGAGCGCGCCGACAACAAGCAGCCCGCGCCGCGCGCCACGCAGCGTCGCCAACGCCTCGTGCATCGCCGGACCGGCGCCGACGGTCCCCGTGGACGGCCCGAGGAGGCTCACGGGCGCGGTGAACGGCCGCGTGCCGGCCTCCCACCGCCGCAGCCCCTCGAGCGTCACGGCGCGCGGCCAGTCCGCCACCGTCGGTGCCAGGGGCTCGCGGAACTGCAGGTTGAGATGCGTGGGGCCCGCGTGCGGCCCCGTCGCGCGCCGGACCGCGCTCGACACCGCCGTCAGCGCCATCCGCGCCCGCACGTCCCCCGACGGGGGTCCCAGATCAAACTCCCACCGCACATACCTTCCGAATATCTTCACCTGGTCGATCGTCTGGTTCGCGCCCGTGTCGCGGAGCTCGCCCGGACGGTCCGCAGTGAGCAGCAGCAGCGGCACGCCGCTCTGCGAGGCCTCAACGACCGCTGGGAGCAGATTCGCCACCGCCGTTCCCGAAGACGTTATGACCGCCGCTGGGGACCCGCGGCCGCGGCCGTACCCGAGCGCGTAGAACGCCAGGGAGCGCTCGTCGATGCAGGTGATCAGCCGGACGCGCGGGTGCGACGCCGCCGCGATCGCCATCGGGGACGACCGCGACCCCGGGGCTACGCAGAACGTGTCCACCCCGAGGCGACACAGCTCCTCGACGATCATCCCCGCCCACAGCGCGTTGATGTTCGCGGCGTCCGCGAGCGCCTGCGGCGGCGCCAGCAGCTTCTCGAACGCGCTCGTCTTTAGCTCGAGCTCGCGCCACTCGGCCTCGGCGTCCGCGCCGCGCACGATGCCCACGCCGGCGTACAGGTGCACGAGCCCGCCGTCCGTGCGCGCACCGCCGTTGCCGTCCCGCGGGCCCGCCTCGGGCGACCGCACGAGCGCGGACCGGATCGCGACCACGAATTCGCTCGCCGACGCACCCACCCATCCAAACGGCGCCGAATACCACCCGCGGTCGAACGGCTCGACCTCCTCGAGGACCTGCAGCGCGAGGCCGCGCGGCTGGCCGCACACCGCGGGCGTCGGGTGCAGGCACCGCAGCAGCTCCGGGTCGGAACGCCCCGGCAACAGCTCCCCCGAAAGCCGCCCGTACAGGTGCTGCACGTGCTGCTGCCGCAGCAGCGCCTTCGGGAGCTCGACCTTGACCTCCCCGCACACCTGGCTCAGGGCCCTCTGCACCCACTCCCGCACCACCGTGAACTCCACGTGCTCCTTCGGGCACCCCATGAGCTCCTCCGCTAGCTTCCGGTCCGTGGGCTCGTCGCCCGGGGGCCCCCGGCCGCGCGTGCCGGCGACGGCCTCGCTCGCGACGGCGCGCCCCGTGCGCACGAAGAGCCGCTCCGGCGGCGCGCCGAGGAACGTGTCGCCGGAGGGGAGTTGCAGTAGAACCTGGTACGCCCGGGGGTCTTTTTCCTGGAGGGCCGACAGCAGCGAGAGCGGGTCGAGCGGAGGGCCCTCGAGGCCGATGTCCGTCCGGCGCGCCAGCACGAACTTCGTCAGTCCGTCTGCGGGGTCGGACCCCTCTACGGAGGCCTCCGCAGGGTCGTTGGCCGCGCGGCCCGCGGAGGGGCCCTCGAGGCCGTCGACGCCCTCGGCCCAGTCCATCTCGCACCCGGCCATGTCGAGGGAGTCGTGCAGGGGCTGCATCGTCCGCCGCCACTCGTCCCGGCCCGGAACGTGCTCGTGCGACGCGCGCTGCACACGCAGCGCCGGGTACCCGCCCACTTCCTCCGGCCCGATCGCTTCCAGCAGGGCGAGCGCGGACGCGGCGGCGGCCGCGGCCGTGGCCGCTCCGCGGCCCACTCCGCCCGCGTCCGCGCCCCGCGAGGCGTTCGCCGACCCCTCGTCCCAGAGCAGGTTGACCGAGAGCGTCGTGGAGTGCGGGCCCTCGGAGACCTCGACGGCGGGAACGAGGAAGAGGTAGGACCCGAAGGACTGCCACTCCGGCGCGACGGGTCGCGCGTGGCTGAAACGCATCCCGCCGTACGCGCGAAGAGCCGGGACGGTCGCCGACAGGAACCGCTGCATGTCCTCCCACGCCGCGCGCCCGAACTCCTCGCCGTCGGCCCCGCGCCACCCCCACGCGCACCCGATCCCCGCAACTGCGCACGCAACCGCACAACAACCCCGGGGGTGACATTCGGAGGGCGCGTGCGGCAGGGACGGCGCGACGCGGCGCGAGGGACGCGGGACGTACCTGCGCGGACGACCTCGGCGCCGCCCTCCGCCGTCGCGGTGCCCTTGCCGCCAGGCGTCGCGTGGCGCCGGCCAGCGAAGTACACACGGGGGTGGGCGGCCCCGGCCCCGGCCTGGCCGCGCAGCCACGCGAGCGGGGCGACGGAACGAGGCACTTCGACCTCGAGGCGCATCGAGCCCGACGCGACGTCCGGTGGGTTGCGGACGATGTCGGAAAGTTCGCAGGATATGGCGCCAGCGGCCGCGGCTGTTGAGACCTGCGCGGTGACCGCGACAGAGGCGGAGGCGGTCAGGGAGTGCGCGGCGGGGGGGAGCCGTGGTGACAGGGTGTCCGGCGGGGGCGAGTTCGGAGGCGTGAGGGCGCGTTGGAGGTCGGCAACACTCGATTGAGTGGGGGAGGGGCAGTGCATCCCGACCTGAGCAGGGAGCCGGCGGAGCTTGCGGAGCAGCACGGGGCTGTGGCGCGGCGTGGCTGGAACGTCCGGGTCGGAGAGCGCCGGCGGCGCGTCCTGCTCGCCGGAAACTATCGCGTCGGCTTTGCCGGCCACGGGAGTCGACGTGATTCGCCGCAGCGGTGAACAATCACCCGCCTGGCCGCGGCACGGGGCCCGAGGATGCGCCCGAAGCGACCGGAACACTGTCCCACATCGCTTGGCGGTCGTGTGGTCCGTCCGCGCGCGCGAGGCAGCCTCCCGCGGGGGCCCGGCACGCCGTGGAGGCAGCCTGCACCGCGCCGGGACAACCAAGACGCTCATTTCGTGCCTCACAGACACGAAGTGCACAATGTGACGAGTCTGGCGCGCTCTCGTTGATCTGTCGCGGCTCTCCAAGCGCCGTTGGTGGCGATAGAGCCGAAGGGGAGCGCGCGGAACCATTGGATGAGGACCGGTGAAGCAAAACACACGCTGTGAGCGTGCTGTGCGGGCACTATGCGCGAACTGTGGCGGACCGGTGTCGCGTCGGGGGGCATACCTGCACCGCGCGCTGCCGCATGTGTGTTCAGCCGCCTTGTGCGCGCCAGAGGCCCTCCTGAGAGGCGCTCGGGTTGGCGCGCCGAACTGGCCGGCCGTGCTCATCAGCGCGGCGCTCCAACGCTCGACCCGCTGAACTGGATTGTTACCGCGCGCTGTCGATCGATGCGGCCATCGAAACCACGCGGGGACGTCGCCAGCGCCCTCTCGTCCGAAGGGGCTCGAAAACGACCACGGCGCCGGGCGAACACGACCGCACCGAGCCGCGGCGCGAACGTCCACTACGGAACTATGTTTGCACCGCACGCCCCGCGGCCGCGAGGCTTCAGTCCGCGGCGCACGGTAGAACTCTCACCCCCCTCTGGCACGAGTCGGGCGCCCCCCGCGGCTTACAGCTGCTCACGGGGCCTCCCGGTCCCACCAGTACGCTCTCGTGCAGTCACACACCGCCGTGACGAGCATTGAAGCGCAACACCCCCCTGCACCGTCGCTGGGCAGCTTCCTTCTTCTGGCAGAGGCTTCAAGACCCCCCCCTGCCGCCAAACCGCGCCGAACACCCATAACAAGAGCGTCCCAAGCACAAACAGTTGTATCGCATCCATCCCCTGGTCCGGTGAAGCGCGCAGCGCGATGAACGCCGCAGTACGGCCGGCCAGCACGCCCGCGGTGGCAGCGTGCGCCCGTGCTGGCCGACCACGGCCCCCGGGCGTCGGCGCGCGCTGCGCAGCCCCACCGTCGGGCCTCTTCGCGACCGCGGCCGCCCAGCGCAAGCCCGCGGCGCGTCAGACGGCGGCAAACTTCTCCCTCGAACAAGCCTGGGGCACCGGCGTTGATGCGGAGGTGCGGGCCCACACGAGCCAGAACAATTCACTCCAGCGGCCGCGATGGCCTCACGCGCACAGTATCTACCGGAACAACGCACACTCAAGCCGCAGAGCTCCCCACGCACCACGTTTCCGTCGCAACTGCGCTACGGCGCGTGCTGCGAGTCGACCTGGGCGCCCCGCACGGCGTCTCTCGCTCACCAGGGCCGCCCCGCGCTGTGCTGCGTGCAGAGCCTGGCGCCCACGCTGTTCGCCGCGTCGCTGTTCCCGTACCTGGGTTTCTTGTACCACCTGACCAAGTCCAAAACAGCCCCCCCGGTGGCGCTGGGGGGGTTCTACTTCCTGCTCGTCTTCGTGGGCGTGACGATCCCCGCGGGCATCGTCGCGAAGACGCAGTACGCCGCGAGCCTGGCCAACGTCGACTGGCTGCACGGCGGCGCTGAGTCCATGCTGACTGTTACAAACCTGCTGATCGTGATCGGCCTGCGGCGAGGGATCCGGAAGGCCAAGGCGGACGCGGACGGGACGGAGGAGGCGTCGTAGCGCCCGGGTGTGAGCCGGAGCGACCGCGACGCGCCAGACTGTGGGTTACACGGGTGCAGCAGTCCTGGTTTCCTATTTGTTCGTTCATGCAGCGTTGCTGTGCGCGCACGCGATCAGGTCCAGCCCGGGATGCCGGGGGACGGGCGCGTGGGCGGCCGCGGGGTCGGCTCGCTCACGGGCGGGGTCGGCGGCGGGGGAGTCGGCCGCGGGGCCTGAGTCGGTGCCGACGTCGGCGCCGGGGAGGGCTTCGGCGTGCTCGGGGGGGCGATGTCTTCGACGTTGAGCAGCAGCTCGATCGTGCGCGGGTCGAACGCGCGCTCGACGGCTCCGATCTGCAGCGCCTGGAGCACCGACAGGGGGGGGGTGTTGGGGCGTGTCGCGAGGTACAACGCCGCGGCGCCGGCCACGTGCGGGGTGGCCATCGACGTGCCGGAGAGGTCGCGCGCGGCGGTGCGCGAGGCGATGTGCGCCGACCGGATCGCCGACCCGGGCGCCCATATCTCCACGCAGCGCCCCCAATTACTGAACGAAGACTTCCGGTCGTTCCGATCAGTCGAGGCCACCGTCACCACGCCGCTCGCGCGCGCAGGCGACACCCCGCACGCGTCCGCGTTCGAGTTCCCCGCCGCGACCACCGTCGTCACGCCCGCCGCCACCAGGTCCTGCACTGCCCTGTCCAGCGCCGGCGAGGCGCCGCCGCCCAGCGACATGCTCACGACCGACCGCCCGACGAGGCTCCGCGCGCGCGCGTAGTTGAGCACCCAGTTCAGCCCCGCGACGATGTCCGAGGTCGTTCCTGACCCGCTGTCGCCGAGCACCTTCACGGCGTGCAACGTCGCGCGCGGCGCAACGCCGTACGTCGCCCCCACGGCCGTTCCAGCGCAGTGCGTGCCGTGGCCCTGCCGGTCCCACCACGCAGGCTCAGCCGCGGTCGCGTTGCGCGGTCCGGCGGTGCCGCCCGCGAACGGCGAGCCCGACACCGCGGAATACGAGTCGGACACGCGCCCCGAGAACTCCACGTGGTCGGTGCGCACGCCCGTGTCGGCCACGAACACGTGCGCGCCCGCGCCCAGCACGTCCGGGTCGTACGCGCCGTCCAGTGGCAGCGATTGCTGGTCGACGCGATCCAGGCCCCAGGACGCAGCAGCGCCGGCGGCCCTCGGGGGCGCCACGTCGAACGAAGCGCCGCCCGGGGTCTCGAAGCCCTGCACAGGCCAGCGCTCCGCGGAGCGCGTCGGATCAGGGGGGGGAGTCATTTGTGTGCAGTCTGCATCTAAGATCTCCACAGGGCTCGTGTGACCGCGCTGACGCAGAAGACAAACATTGTCAAGCAGTCGCGGCGTGTCGCGGTCTGAGATCCGAGTCGGATCCGGCCGAAACACCCCCCTGACGGTCGCGGGCGCGTCAGACTGCACGGCGGCGGCGGACCTGGATGGTGAAGGCGAGGTCGCGGTCGATCAGCTCCACGCGGCCGGCGAGGGCCACCGCGAGCTCCTCGATGGACTGTCCCGGCGCGAGTCTGACGGACACCAGCCGCGACAGGTCGTCGATCTCCGCGTCAGCGTCCTGCGCCCTGGGGGTGTCTTCCGTCCCCAGGAGCTCCGTGCGACACGTGAGCTCGAAGCGCGGCGCCGCGGACGCCGCGTACACGCCCGCGGAGGAGCCCTCGTCGCAGATGTCGAAGATCTGGCCGTACTTGAGCCCTGGCTTGAGCACCAGGATCCACCGATTGGCGTCGCCGTCCGCCAGCGCGGTCGTAGAGGCCACGAACTGGTTGGCGATGGGAGGCACGCCGTCGGGGGACACGGGCTCGAGCCCGGACGACGCGGAGCCGATGTAGGCGACGACGGCGCGCGCGGCGATCGTCGCGACGGCTGCGGACTGAGGCTGGCGGTCGGGAGTCTCTACCAGGAAGATGCGATCGAAGCGCGTGGAGATGCCCATGCCGGAGTGGTCCACGAGCACGATGCGGTCCCAGACGTTCGGCAGCCCCGTGCGCCGCGTGATGCCGCGCGTGAGGCTGTCGAGAAAGATCTGGGCGTGCAGCCAGCCGTCGGCGTCGGGGCCGGAAACGACGCGGAACTCGTCGCGGAGCTCGGAGAGGACGACCGCCTCGGAGCGCGTGAGGTTCTCCGAGTTCTCGAGGAAGAGCGTCCCCTTCGTCACCGACTCGCCCTTGACGATGACGTCTAGGACGGCCTGGCCCGAGAAGAAGGGGACGTGCTGCAGGACAACGCGTCCGAACGGGCGCAGCTCGACGCTGAAGGCCGCCTCGCTGCCGTCGCGGGCCTTGGCTTTGTCTGCGAAGTTGCGCGACGCGGGCGCGTAGCTGGGTTTGCCCCAGAAGGTACGCTAGCACTACGACATAACGTAAGAACACTAGGCAGGTGTCCGGGGCGGAGACGCCGGCTCCGCTCTCGCGGTCGGCGCGACCAGCGCGCTTATGAGCTCGCCCGCGCGGGCATGTCTCCCGCGAACCGCGGCAGCGCCTGGAACGTGCAGGGCGGGGCGAGGAAACGCACCGTTGTAGTTGCAGTCCGCACATCCGACGCTGCCGTCGACCCAGTCTCTGCCGAGCGCGTTGTAGTAGATCGGGATGACGTTGAAGTCGCGCTGGACGGACGTCGCGTCCACGGACTGGCAGGAGGCTTGCGCGGAGCAGACCTGCAGAAAAACAGTTTTCGCGTTTGCTCGTCGTTGGGGCCGGCTTCGCAGGACGAACGGTGCGAGCTGCTTCGTGCGTGCATTGAATATGTAGCGCCGTTCGCCGACGTGGCGGCGGGCGCGCTGCAGCTCACCAGGAGGGCGGTGGCGGCTACAATCAGCTTTTTCAGCGAGACCGCCATCTTGGCGCGCAGACGAGTGCTGCGAGACGCAGACTGGACCAAACGAAATAGAGGTCGTACGACGAGGAGGTCGTTTGTCCGCGAGCGGGACAGGTGTGACCAGAGGACGCAGCCGACTGGGAAATCACGACCGCTCCTCGAAACCCCCGCTATGCTCCCCGGCAGCGTACACTGGCAGTCGCTTCTGCAACGTTGCAGGAGTCACCTGCAGCGCCGATCATTTCGCCAAACATCGCCCTGAGCTCCCGCACGAGTCCTCCTTTGCACAACCCCCCCCCCCACCTCGCAGCCCGTCGTCTGGCATGAGAGAGCGAGTATACCACAACGCACGCCGGGAGGCCACCCAGCAGCGACGGATCGGATCACACGAGATCCCTCAGGACCTCGACCGGCCGCCCAGTCTCCGCGCCGCACCCGTCGGGCAGCCACCCGGACTCCGAGTGCGCGCCCCGCGGGCCCACCGCCACCAGCTTCGGACACTCCCGCGCGTCCACGTGCTCCAGCCGCGGCAGCACGGGCAACCGCGTCAGCTCCGACGCCCGCGCCACCAGCCGCCGCAGCGTCGTCCGACACCCCCCCGGAATCCACTCCTCACGACCCCCCGGGACCCTGCCGTCCATCCTGCAGTGCGAGACATCGAGGACCTCGACGCCGGCCAGCCCGTCCGGGAGCACCTTCCACACGCTGTGATTGCGGGCGCGCAGGATCTTGACGCGCAGTTGCGCGGGAAGGACGACGCGCCGCGCCGAGCTGACGTCGAGGAAATCGAGCGGCGGGAGGTGGTCCGGGAGCGCGCGCACGACCGCGTCGGAGAGGTCGATCGACTTGAGGCTCCCGCAGCTCGAGGGCGGCAGCCAGTCGTGTGCCGAGAGGTCCGCGTACTTCGCACCGAGCACCTGGAGCCGCGTCAGGCCCGGGGGCAGCCGTTCGAGGCGCGTGAGGCTCACGACGAGGAGCTCGAGGCTTGCGCGCACCGGCTCCGGCAGCCAGTGCTCTCGGTCGAGCCACAGGCACTGCGTGACGTCGAGCTGCTGCAGGCGCGTCGCCGCGGCGGGGACGGCCTCGAGGAGCGTGCCGGAGATGGTCAGGCGCTCGAGGGTCCTCACGCTGGACGCCGGGATCGCCTCGTGTACGTCGGCGAGGTTCTTGCACCCCTGGAGGTCTAATTGAATAAGCGGCATGTCTTCGGGGATCTTCCGAATCGAGGAGTGGCACGCCACGAGGCTGCGCAGGCTCCCCGCGGAGCTGAGCGGGAGCCACGTGTCGTCCGCGGCGAGGAACTCGCAGTGCGACACGTTGAGCGTCTCGAGGTGCGCGGCGCAGCCCGGGAGGCACGTGACGCTGGTGTGGGCGATCTCGAGGCGCCGGAGGTTCTGCACGGAGCTCAGCGGGATCCACTGCGCCTCGTCGTTGCCGAGGACCGCGCAGCCGTTCAGGACGAGCTCGCGCAGGCACTGCATGGCCGGCGGCACCCGCGCCACGGACGACTTGGTGGCTCGAACTGTGTGCACTTTCTGGGCACTGCTCTCCGGAAGCCACGCCGCGCGCAGCCGCGGACACCCGTCGAGGTGGATCTCCTCGAGGCTCACGCAGTCCGGCGGTATCTCGCTCACGGTACTATACGCCACCCGGATGCGCCGCAGCCGCTGCACCGACGACGGCGGGAGCCACTCGGGGCCCTCCTCAAGGACCTTGCAGTCCTCGACGACGACGTCCTCGAGCGGCGCGTCCTCCGGCAACCGCGTCACCTGCACCTGCTCCAGCTTCAGGGTCCGCAACCGCCGCGCAGAGCTGCGTGGCAGCCAGGAACTGCCCGGCGCAGAGCAGGACGCGTCGCCCGCGGCGCTGTCGCCGCCCTCGATCTCGAGGTACTCGAGCGGGAGATCGCCCGGCAGCGCGGGGCACCGCCAGCCCCGCACGGTCAGGCGCCGCAGATTCGGTGTCAGGAGGCGCCCTGCGGCATCCAGAAATGAAAAGGCGTCTGGCCGGCCGAGGTTGTCGATCGTGAGCGCGACGAGCTGCGGGAGCTGCGGGAGCGCGCGCGGGAGGTACGCCCGCAGGCGCACGACGGGGAGGGGGGTGTGTGGTCCGACGGCGGCGCGCACGCCGTCCAGCATTGCGTATGCGTCGCCCGCGACGCTCGCGCCGTCCGCAGAGCGTCCCAGCCGCTCGCACGCGCCGAGCAGCGCGCCGACGTCCCCGGGTGCCACGCCGATCTCCCAGGACCGCAGGCCATCGATGTCGATTTCGCCGGCGGTTGGTTTGTTCTGCAGCAGGACGGCCGCTCCGCCCGCAGCGACCTCGTCGAGCGCGCCGGCGCCGCCGAGGCGGCTTGCCGTCGCGGACAGGTGGCGGAGCTGGTCGCCGCGGAGCGCCAGGATGCGCAGGAGCGCGCTGTTGGCGTCGGCGACGGAGAGCGTGGCGCCCGCGACGCCCAGGACGGCGGCGAGGGTCTGAGAGGAGCAGCTGGCTAGCGAGGCGAGGTCCTGTGCTGTCAGACACCTGGCGATGGCCGTGAAATAGGGCCCCGATTGGACGAGGTCGAGCAGGGCGCTGGCTGCAGCCTGCCCACTACGTGTTTGGCTCGTCTCCGCGCGAGTCCGCTTGGTCGCGGGCTCTGGAAAGCATTCTGTCCCGTCAGGAGGGGCAGGAGAATGGTCAATATCCACAGAAGCGCCGTCGAGGGCGGCTCTCGGGCGCTTGAGGTCCTGCGCAACGTGGGAGCAAGGGTCTGCGCTGTGAGACGCCAACGACGCGGTGCCGTGAGCGTCGCACACCTCGGCTGCACGGCTACCACTATCACCTTGCAGGTGACTCGCTCGGAGCGGTCGGGAGCGCGGAACCACGTCGCTGTACGGCGCAACGCTCTTCTTTGCTAGGCAAGGGCTGTATCGCGCCCTCAAGCGAGGATCACGGGCAAAATCGCGACGGTCCGCGAGACACAAGTCACGAGATCGCGTGAGCGGACGCTCGAAGTACCTGAGAGGCTCCCTCCATCGTTGCTGGCGAGGAGGGGACGGCTCCTGCGCAGAGGGCGCGGCGCGTGGTCAGCGCCGCGGCTCGTGCGGCCCAAACGCTGCTGTCACGGATCACGAAGCCACAACAGAACGGCCAGCGCGGGCGCGCGGCGGCAGCACTCGCACCCCGAGGTCGCACGCGCAGCTGGGGAGGTGTCACCAGCCTGGCTGACACGGCCCCGCGGACGACGCCGACCGCGCCCGGGTGCGCGCGACCGCCGCGGCGACTCGCAAGCAGCCCCGACGTGCGCGGGGGCCGTGGGCCTTCATCAGTGGTCAGAACACATCGTCGAATCCACTCACAGACTAAAGCTCCAAGCGCGCCCCGCCCAGCACCCTACTGGCCCGACTCCTTCGACACGCGCGTCCAGCGCTGCTCCCCGAGCAGGTACACCATCCCGTCGGTGTCCTGACTCATGTCCTGGCTGTAGTCCATCTCGGTTTCCGACTCGGCGCGCACGTCGGCCAGCGCGCCCGGTTCCGCGTTCGCGTCGCCCAGGAGCAGGCGCCAGACCTTCGCCGTCGCGATCCCGCTCTCCGGGAGGCCCTCGCTCGCCTGGTACGTCTTCAGCGCCTCCATCGTGCTGTCCCCCATCATCCACCACTTCATGTCTTCCTCGCCGCTGAAGAAGCCCTTCCGCATCAGCAGGAGCTGGAGCTTGTGCACGTTCTCGTCGCCGTCGCCCTCCCGGAGCGTGGGCCACCCGTCGGGCTTGGCCGGCGCGGGCGCGGGCACGTCGTCGCCGTCGCTGGACAGGTCCTCGGGCTCCGAGTCGGTGTCCGGGACGCCGAACTGCTTGAAGAAGTCGCTCACGAGCGACGACCGGCCGTCCGCCTCGGGGTCGGCGCTGACCGGGGTGGTCGGCTGCGTCGCTGGGAGGGCGCCGCTCTGCACGGGGGTGTTCGGTGCGCGCACGGGGGGTCAGTCTTTGGCAGACAGCTCAGGACTCACGAGCATCGAGAAGAAGAGGGCGCGGCGTCCGGGCGGGCACACCGCCGCGCAGCGGTGGCCGAGGCCCCCGGCGCGCTGCAGGGCGACATGCTGGCAGCCACTGGGTTCGCACGTGCGTGCTGGCCGGAGATAAAGACCCCCTGACGTGTCCAGCGCGTCAGCGGACTCACCGGCGAGCCCGTGCAGGGCCACGGCGGCGCCGGGGAGTGGGGGGGGTGTCATGCACGTCAGCGGGGGCCCGGGCGTCATTGGCCGCGGACGTCGTCCGCGTCCTCGATGAGCGAGGTCAGGAGGAACGTGTCGACATTGCTCAGGCCGCCCTGCCCGCCACGCACCTCCGCGAGCGCCCCGCTGTACGCCTCGGCCGCCTCCAGCGCCTCCAGATCCGCGGGGTTGACCGGCCAGTCTTTCGGAACCATCTTCTTGCCCAGCAGCGTCTTCCACTCGGCCTCCGCGACCGTGCCGGACTCCTCGAGGCCCTCGCACGCCTGGAACGTCAGCACCGCGCGCAGCGTCGTCTCCCCGAAGAAGAACGCCTCGATCTCGTCGTCGCCGGCGTAGTAGCCCTTGGCCATGAGCGACTGGTGCAGCTGGTGGACCCAGAAGATGTCGTCCGAGCCGTCGCTCATCTCGGGCGGCGGGCCCTTCGGCCGGCGCTCCGGGGGGATGTCGATGGGCTTTCCGGTGGTGTTGATGTGCGCGGGGAGGCGGGGGGGAGTCTCGGGCTCCCTGGCCGGGGCCGCGGGCGCCGGGGCCGCCGCGGGCGCGCTCGTGGCGGGGCCTTTCCCGAAGACGACGCCGTGGGCCGGGGCGGCGGGCGCGGGCGTTGCGGGCTCCGGCGCGGGCGTGGGCGGCGGGGTGGCGGGCGGGGCCGGCGCCGCGGGGCCGTTCTGGGCGCGGAGGACCGCGAGGAGTTCGCGGCGGAGCTCGCTGATTTCGTCGGTGAGCTGCCGCTCGCGTTCGCGCATGTAGCGCCGCTCGTCCTCAATGGCCCGGAGCTGGGAGTCGACCATGCGCGACTGGATGTCGATCATGCTCTGCAGGGCAGCGGAGATCGAGCCGCCCTCGGCGGCGTCGCGCGCCATGTCCACCTCGCCCTCGCCCTTCTTCTCGTCCCTCTTTTTGTCCTTCTTGTCCTTCTTCCGTTGTTTTTTCTTGTTCTCGTCCTTCTCTTCCATCTCAGGGCCCTCCATGTCGTCCGTCTTCTTCTTTCCGCGCCTCAGGACGCAGCGCCGAGCGGGCACGGCGACGTGCGCCCGCGCCAGCGCCGCGTTGCGCCCCAGGACGAGGCGGGTGTGAGGCCTGCGCAGACGTCGACCGGAATCGCGCTCTTTCTCGTACGCGGAGAGTTCGAACACCTTCTCTGCCACGCAGACGTGCATCGTTCGACGCCGGTGGGTCGCGTGCGAGCGCAGCACGGGCCAGCGTTGTGTCCGTGTGGGGTTCACGGCCACGCGGGGCGCCTCGTTCATCGACGTCAAGATCGGGCGAGCGGGAGCGCTCACCCGGCTCTGAGGAGCGCGGGAGCGCCGAGCCTCGCGTCCGTCCGCCCGGCGCCAGCGCGCACCGAGGCCGGGGGGCAGGGGGCGTGCATCACGGTCGCAGCGCGCATCTCGCGTTACCGGACGCTCGTCGGCCGGCGAGCAGGTCGTCGAGAGAACGAGCCCCAGCGCCCGTGCTCGGCACCAACAGTCCTTCGTCAGCGGGCCTGCAAGCACCAGTTGCAACCACCCACGCCGTCCAGACCACTTCCTGCGCCGCAGCGAGCCGCCCGCACGACGACGTTCCGTGCCCTGACGACGTCACGCAAACTGCGACCCGCACCGGCGGCCGCGCGGCAACGTCGCGCCGGCGCAAGCGCCCCCGCGGCACCCCGGGGGCGTGTCTCACGCGGGCAACCCGAGGCGCTGTCTTGGGCCCGCGGCGGGGCCTGCGCGCGGCACTCGTGGCCCGGCGGGCGGTGCTCATCGTTCGCCACGATGGCGAGCACCAACGACGACTCCCTGTACCCCATCGCGGTGCTCATCGACGAGCTGAAGAACGATGACATTGCAACGAGGCTGAATTCGATTCGGAGGCTGGGGACGATCGCGCTCGCGCTGGGCGAGGACAGGACGTGCCGGGAGCTGATCCCCTTCTTGAAGGACTCGACGGAGGACGAGGATGAGGTGCGGGACGGCCCAGACAACGCGCGGAGGGGCCGCCTGGCTCCTTCTGGGCGCGCTGGCAGCGCCTGCGGGGTGCCGCGAGGCGCTGCGGCCCGCGCGCGGCTCCTCCGCTGCGCTGTCGCCGCGGCCACGGCCGCTGGCCGCGGCGCAGGCCGCTGGCCGCGTCCCGCGCAATGGTTGACGGGCTTGGCAACGCCTCGTCTCTCCTGGCCCCGCTGCGCCGCTTCGGCGCGCTGCTGGAGGCGTGGCGCGATGAATTTGCCCAGCGGATACCGCTGCGCGCCCGCCTGGCTGCGAAGAGGGTGCGTCGCGCGGCTTGCGCGCGAGGTTGCGCGACGAGCGGGCCCAGTCCCCGGAGCGCGCCGCCTTTCGCGGAAGCGCCACCCGCCGGCCGCCGCGCACGATCTCATACCGGCTCCTGCGCGTACGGGACGTCTCCGAGCCCCTATGCATCCCGAGATCTGCCCCTCGGACCTCCCGGCCATCCCTGTTTGCTTTCCGCGCACCGCTGCGGCCCCCACGAGCGCGCCGCGCACACCACCACGATGTCCAGCCCCCTCTCAGCTGCTCGGCGCCCGCGAATCCCGCTACCAACCCCGCAACCACCCCCCAAGCACCACACCACTTGTGCCCCCCCTGCCTGGCCGCCCCCGCACCCGCCACCCCGCCTCCAACCGACTCCCACACCCCGCCACCCCCTCTCCCGCCTACTCCCCTCCATCCCAGCGCCGCCTCCCGCCCCGCGGCCCCCCCAGCACCCCGCCTCGCTCCCTGCCTTCCACCTGCCGCCTCTCTCCCGTCGCCGCGCCGCTCGCCCCGCCCGCCCCCGACCCCCGCCGCGCCCGTGCCGCCCCCGCAGGTCCTCCTCGCCATGGCGCACGAGCTCGGCGACTTCGTGAAGTACGTCGGCGGCCCGCGCAACGCCCAGGTCCTGCTGCCGCCCCTCGAGCAGCTCTGCATGGTCGAGGAGACCGTCGTGCGCGACAAGGCGGTCGAGTCGCTCAACAAGGTCGCCACCGAGCTCCCCGAGAACGCGGTCGGGCAGGCGCTCGTCCCGCTCGTGAAGCGCCTGGCCTGCGGGGACTGGTTCAGCGCACGCGTGTCGTCGTGCGGCCTCTTCAGCGCGACGTACGCGCGCGCGCCGATGCACCTGCGCGCCGAGCTCCGGCAGCAGTACGCGACGCTGTGCCACGACGAGACCCCGATGGTCCGCCGCGCCGCCGCCCAGCACCTGGGGAAGTTTGCGCAGTCAATGGAGATGGATCACGTGGCGCGGGACATCATCCCGCTCTTCAACGACCTCAACAGCGACGACCAGGACAGCGTGCGGCTGCTGGCCGTCGAGGCGTGCGGGCCGCTGGCGAAGCTCGTGCCGCGGTCGGACCTGATGGCGACGGTGCTGCCCACCATGGTGCGGTTCGCGTCCGACAAGAGCTGGCGCGTGCGATACAACGTCGCGCAGCAGATGTGCGAGATGTGCGAGGCGCTCGGCGCGGAGGTGGCGAGCAAGGAGCTGCTGCCGACGTTCACGGCGCTGTGTGGGGACTCGGAGGCGGAGGTGCGGTGCGCGGCGGCGGGCAAGGTGTCGGCGGTGTCGAAGCTGGTCGGGGCGCCGGCGGTCGTGCAGAAGGTCCTGCCCTGCGTCAAGGAGCTCGCGTCAGACACGTCGCAGTACACGCGAGCCGCGCTCGCCGGCGTCGTGATGGAGCTCGCGCCCATCGTCGGGAAGGACGCGACGATGCAGCACCTGCTGCCGCTCTTCCTCGGGCTCCTCAAGGACGAGATCCCGGACGTCCGCCTGAACATCATCTCGCGCCTCGAGGCCGTGAACAAGGTCGTCGGCGTCGACGTCCTCAGCCAGGCGCTCCTGCCGGCCATCCAGGAGCTCGCCGAGGACAAGCACTGGCGCGTGCGGCTCGCGATCATCGAGCACATCCCGCTCCTCGCGCGCGAGCTCGGGCAGCAGTACTTCGAGTCCAACCTGTCGGGCCAGTGCATCCAGTGGCTCGAAGACCAGGTCTTCTCGATCCGCGAGGCCGCGACGCAGGCGGTGCGGCGGCTCGCGGGGCACTTCGGGGAGGAGTACACGCGCGAGCACCTCGTGCCGCAGGTCGTCGGTCGCATCCGGCACCCGCACTACCTGTACCGTCTGACCATCATCAGCTGCCTGGCGCTGCTGGCCGAGGAGGTGTCGCAGGCGACGCTGTGCACGCACATCTTGCCGGCGATCATCGGGTGCGGCAAGGACAAGGTCCCGAACGTCAAGTTCAACGTCGCGAAGGTCCTGCAGAGCATCGCGGGGCGCGTGGACCGTCCCGTCATCGAGCAGACCATCAAGCCCTGCCTGCAGACGCTGCTCGGGGACTCGGACGACGACGTCAAGTACTTCGCGTTCCACGCCATGGAGAAGTGCCGCGGGTGACGCGGGCCGTTTTTTTGGGCAGGCGCGCCGCGGCCGCGCATGTGAATTCGCTGGGCCTGGTCCGGTCGCTGGCCGCGCGAGCGCGACGCCGCGTTGCTCAGGAGGGTAGCGCGCCCGCGCTGCGTGTCTTGCGTGGGTGCGTCGAGCGGTCTGCGTGCGGCGCGGTGTCAGGAGTTGGGGGAGTGCTGCATCTCGGGCGCTGTGCGGGGACATGGGGGCAGGCGCGCTGCGCGCGGACGCGGTTTCGTGCTAGCGCTGTGTTGGCGAAGTTGTAGGATGATCGGGACGCAGAAGGTGGTGCTCGGGGGCAGGAGCGTGGGCGCGGCGCGGGTGCAGGGACGGCGGCAGGCGCGCGGGGCGCTGAAGGTCTGCGCGAAGGTCCAGCTCGGGCCTGATGGGCGGCGCTTCATCAAGGGGAAGGCCTTCGTCGTGAAGGACGTGAGCATCCCGCGCGACGGCCCGCGATGCAGCCACCCGCTGCGCCTGCGCCCTATCTGCTTTTCCGGCCCGTTATGCGAGTTTGGGCGCACACAAGCGTCGCAGAATGGCTTCACGTACTTCGTAGTGGCGCTGAGATGCCTTTTCAGGCACAGCAGACAGATATGCAGCGGAGGGCGCCTTTCCACTCTGTCCTCGATATCTATGGCCGCGCGCAGCCACATCGGGGTGCCCAGCGGCGGCCCACATCGCCCCCGCGTTCCCTCCATGCGCCCCGTGTCCGATTCTCACTTTCTCCGTCGCAACTGCCTCCCAGCCGCGATCGCCGCGCCCTGGCCTGGGCACCCCAGCTGCGCAGTGCTCTGCCGGCCCCTGCCGCGGCTGCAGGCGCCTCATCCCCCCTGCGGCGCCCCCTCCCGCACCATCCTGCCACCACCCGCCCTCCTCGCGCCGCTCCCCTCCCCATCGTCCCGTCTGACAGCCGGAGCCTGACTCCACCCTCCCGCAGAACATCGACACGGACCAAATCATCCCCGCGGAGTACCTCACGCTGGTGCCATCCAAGCCCGACGAGTACGAGAAGCTCGGGTCGTACGCCATGATCGGCCTCCCGGACGCCGAGTACCCCACTAGGTCCGCACCACCCCTCAACGTACCTCCAAGAGTCGCTGAGGCGTGCCACCGCCTGCGACGGCCCGCCCGCACGCCTCCCCCGCGAGCGCCACACAGCGGGCCACGCCGCCGCCGGTCCCGCGCCGCCGCGAGCGCCGACAGAGCGCTTTGGGTCTCGCCGTGACTCGCGCAGGTACGTTGCGGACGGTTCGATGAAGACGGAGTACCCGATCATGATCGCGGGGAACAACTTCGGGTGCGGCTCGTCCCGCGAGCACGCGCCGATCGCGATGGGCGCGTCGGGCACGCAGGCGGTGGTGGCGCAGTCGTACGCGCGCATCTTTTTCCGCAACTGTGTGTCGACGGGGGAGATGTACCCGGTCGAGACGGACACGCGCGTGTGCGACATGGTCGAGACCGGCGACGAGGTCGAGCTCGACCTCGAGGGCAACGTCATGACCATCGTCAAGTCGGGTCAGACTGTCAACCTCAAGGACCTCGGTGACGCAGGTGCGCAGACCCCCCTTCCGCCCGCCCCGCACACGCGCCCTGATGTGCCGATGGCCTGCGCCGCGGCGCGCTGCGCGGGCGAGCGGGTCGACGCGCGCGCGGCGCTGGCTGCTGTCTGTGGGGGGAACGTGCGATGCGGGGCGGCGGGGCGTCGGCGCGACGGCGTTCGCGGCGCGTGGTGTGCTGTGCAGCGCCCGTGGTGGACGCCGGCGGGATCTTCGAGTACGCGCGGCGCACGGGAATGATCAAGACTGCGTGAGGGGGGTTGTCCGTCGCGGGGCGTTGCCGGCGGCCGCGTGGCGGGCGCGGGGCTGGCTGCGCGCGCGGGGGCGGCGCCGTGCGGGTGCCGCGGCGCGCGGCGCGGTCGGCGGCGGCGCGGGGCGAGGGGTGACCAGTACGAGGTCCGTGTGAGGGTTCGTGGTGCCTGAGATACTGGATCCTCGAGTCCGGGCAGCGCGGGCATCCAAGGGCAGGTGTGCGCCCCTGTTGTCGTCCGTGTTCGGCGCTGCGGGCCCGCAGGGGCCGTGTGTGACGCGCCGGATCTCGCAATCGCGGTCGGCCAAGGGCGTTCGTGTGCGCGGCGCCGGTGTTTCCGGATCGGGGCGCGCGCGGCGGGCGTCCTGGTTGGCGATGGCAAAGGTCGTTGCGCTGTGGCCGGGCGCTGGGGCCGACATTCTCGCCCGCGGTCGCGCGGTGGCGTGCGAGGGACGCGGTCGATCGCACGAGTCGCGGAGAAGGCCCGCGTGCGGACGGCACGGGGCGCTTCGCGGCCCCCTCTCGAGAGTGCTCACTCCCCTCCAACTGCCGGGCGCGCCCGGGCGCGCTCGAGGGGCGCGCCGTGACGCCGACCGGGCCACAACAACTCCCCGTCGAGGAGCGGAACTCATTGCTCGAACAACGCATGATAGACAAGTTGCATGTCCTCCTTGGGCGCGTGAAAACAGTTGAAGCCTGCTTCGTAGTCGTCCGTGGCCGGCTCTCGGGCACGCTGCGGGCAGTTTCGCCGTAGGAACGGCACGTTTGCTAAATCGAGAAACACGTGTGCTCGATGCTGAGGCGCGAGGACAGCGCGAACTGCGGCGTTCTCGCCCGGCCCACCGGAGAGCGGCAGGGCGGGCTCGCCGCGGCGTCGCCGTCGACGCATTGCGCGGCCATCGGGGACACAAGTATGCATACTTGCGCGAGGGAGACGACGGTGCCCTGCGACGGGCCGGAGGCGTGCCCCGCCGGTGGCGGTGGGATGCAGACGCGCATTCGCCGGGTCGGCCGCGCCGAGTCGTTAAAGGAGCTTGCGGACGAGCACGGCGTCTGCAATACCGGCGATAGCGCGTTCGAGATCACCCAACGCGACCCGAAGGTGGGCACACGGTCACTTTCCAGCCCATGCCCTCCCCATCGTTTCACGCCACGCCGTCGCCGTCGGGCCGCCACCCGCGCCCCCCCGCGGCGCTGCGGCATCTCAGTTCTCGATCTGCCGGTCGCGCCCGTCCACGCGCACGGCACAGCCCCCACGGCGCCGCGCCAGGGTCCAAGGCTGGCCCGTTACTGAACACTTGCTCACGAGCTTCCCGCCCGCTTGGTGCCACGGCGACGCAGGGCGACGAGTGCGAGTCGCTCGCATGCTACAACTCCGACGCCGGGGCGCCCTGCGTGTCCCCACGGCGGCCCCCGGGCGGGCTCGGGCCCATTGAAGAGGCGGGGGCACCCGAGGCCGTCGTAGACGTCGACCGGCCGACATACTTCCGCGGGACCAAGATCCCCTCGGCAGGTTGGTTCAGTGCTTGCCGCTTCTGTGGCAGCTGGACCGGAGCGGAGCTCGAGTGCGCCAACGCCGGGCGCGCAGTGCCAGTGTGCATGTGCGTTCCCCGACCCCCGCCTGCACGCCGTCTGCCGCCAGATCCCGCCGTAAACTAACGTGTTCTCGCGCACGCGCCGGTTCCGCGACGCCCGCCCGGGACCCGCGACGCGTGCGAGGCCGATCCCATCCAACGGACTGGGGGCGACCTCGGACGCTCGCGGGCGGGCACATTGCCCGGCGCGCCGGCGCTTCTCGCTCGTTCAGTCGCCGTCGATCGCGGCGCGCCGCGCCCGGGCCCCGAGACGGCCCCCGCGACCGCGCGCCGTCGACCTTTCCGGCCCCGACGATAACCATTCCGCTCCCGCCGCGCGCCCGCGGCCCCCGCGGCTGCCGTTCCGCGCCGAGCAGCCCACAGACTAGTTCCACTCCGCCCCTCAACGCGCTGCAGGCGGTGCCAGCAGAAGCTGCGCTGCGGAGAGCTCCTCCATCCGCCCCCAGGTGCCCACCTCAGCGACACCGTCCAGTTCATCGTGGCCGAGATGCGCGACCGCCAGTGTGCCTACACGGGACGCGTACAGCCCGGCTGCGACTTCGAGACGGCGCTGCTCCGGCTGGACAGCCGCGTCGAGGCCCTCCTCGCCCCCCCGCTCTGAAAGACCACCAGCGACTCTGCTCTCGCTCGCCCGCGCGGAGAGACGACCCCAACGACCCTCGCGCGGGCAGGAGAGAACGCTGGAGCACTCCGCATCCTGCTCCCCGCCCCCCACTCCCGCTCTCGCGATGCGCACTGGCTGCGCATCAGGCGCCACGTCCAGCTGGCCCCCGCCTGCCACCAACACCACCAGACCAGATTTCATTGCTCGGCATTGCAGCCCCAAGCTACCAGCGACAGTTTTACGCTTCCGCTAGCGTTATGTGCCCCCACGACGGCTCAACGCAAATCGAACCCTTCTTGTTGACAACACTCCCTGGTGCGCGGTACTGCGCCATGCGGCCGCGCCCGACGTCGTCGTCGGCCGCCGACGATGGACCTGTGACGTCGATACCAGGCCCGCACCGGACGCCGCGTGTCACTGTGCTGCTTGGTCGTGCGTCGCGTTTCCCACCGAACGTTTCCCTTCGAGCACACGGAGTTTGCGAAGGCCTGCTGCAACCTTACAAAGGACCGTCGTCACCCGCGGTCGTTCAGAGACTCGCGCAGCACGCTGTGCGCTTCCTGAACGATCCCCGCACTGTCTCACCGTCGTGCAGGTGCGTGCATGACTGCTCACATTGTCCACCCTGTCTGCTGTGTGAGTCTCGCCTGCCCTACCAGGCGAGACTTTCGCTCGCTCAAGCGTCCTCGCGGTGAGGGTGCCTGTAGGTCAGCGAAGTATAAACAGAGTTACTAGCAAAGTGCAAGCCCGCCGCTGCACCACTCGCAGGCCAACCGACCGCGGCAGCTGCCCACCACCCCGTCCGCGATGCCCACGTCCGCAGACGCCGATCCAATATCTGTCAGTGCACGCAGCACTCACATGCAGCCCCGCCGCGCTCATCCCCGTCGGGACGCCGCACGCGAGGCCAACCCGGACCGCCTGAACGACTTCGCGGCCCCGACAGCTGCCGCGCTCGACCCCCCGCCGCCCGGCAGGTTCCCGAAAGACACCCCCGGACCCCCCCCGCGCATAGAGTCCCCCGCCGACTGCCGCGGCGCCGCGCCGCGCGCCTCCCGCGCCTCCTTGCGCGCGCCGGCCCGCGCCCGCAGCTTGATTTCGTCCTCGATCGCCTGCATCTGCTGCTCCCAAGCCGGGCCGAACGCGTCCTCGCAAGCGCGCAGCACATCCCGGGGGAGTGCAGGGGGCGGGGCGGGCTCCGGCGCGGGCGGCGCGTCGTCGAGCCCGAGCGACTCGCGCTTCTCCAAGTTCGTCATCGGCACCGGGCGGCGCGACGGCGTGCGCGCCAGGGAGCGGCCGCGCATCGACGGCGAGCGGGCCACACCCCCCCCCCTCGTCGAGCGCGCAAACAGCACGCTCCCCTCCGGCGACCCCTTCGAGCCCTCCTTCGCCGCCTTCGCCATCGCCGCGAACTCCTCCAGCGTCTCGAACGCGCCCTTCGGCATCAGCGACGACGACCGCATGACCTGCCCGCGCTCGTTCAGGCCCGCGACGTTCCGCGTGGGATGCGCCGCCGCGAACGCGACCAGCCGGTTCACCGCCTTCATCGCAGCGTCCAGCACCGGCCACGGGTCGCCGCGGCGCCACGCCGCCTGCGGGGTGTCGTACTTTGACCGCGCCTTCTGCTTCATCGACGGCGAGCGCGAGAGACCCCCCCCTGACGCCGTCGTCTCGTCGAGCGTCTCCATCCGCGACCGCGACGACGCCTGCCGCGTCGGAGCCGGCCGCAGCTGCGGCACCGTCACCTCCCGGAACGGGTACAACAGCTGCGAGAGGTGATGCAGGCCCATCATCGCGCCGAAGGCCGCCTTCGCAGCGCGGTTGTGCCGCGTGCGGAAGAGATCGTACCGCCCCCGCGCGGCCGCGAGCGGCCACTGGATCGCCTGTGCCTCGCGCGGGTAGTTCTTCGCCCCTGCCTTGGCCGCCATCTGGCGCTCGTGCTCCAGGGTGTCGCGCATGTCCGCGAGCTGCGCCTCCTTGGCCGAGATCTTGCGCTGCGCGGTCTCGAGGTCCGCGTGCAGGATGTCGCGCTTCTGCGGCGCGTTGATGATGTACCGCGCGATCTCCTGCGGGGACGTCAGCTTCTGTGACTTGCACAGGTCGTCAAACACCGCGACGAGGCGCTCGGAGTCCGGGCCGAGCATGCGCTTCATGCGCGTGTCCGGGTCGAACTCGCTCTGGACGTTCTTCATCACGCTCTGCCGCCAGGACTCGGCCCGGCTCGGCTTCTGCACCGCACCACGCACGCAACACAAGTTGGACGCGGCGACGCGCGGGGCCGCGGGGGGCACGCACGCACGCACGCACGCACGCACGCACGCAGTCCACACAGACGCAGGCCCGGGCGAACAAACGCCACGGCAGCGGCGTGGGGCCGGCTCTGAGAGCCCACGCATCGCATTGCTGACTGCGTCCGTCGACGTCGACGCGCACCTTGCCGCGCCGGAACGAGTTCTTCTTCGGGCTGTCCTGGCCCTTCTTGATCATCCGCTTCGCGACCGCCGCGTTCCCCGTCCCAGCCTGCGCCGTCGCCGCCAGTGCCATCCCCAGCGCCGCCTTTGACACTAGTTCCGACACCTGGTCCCCGCCCGGCGACGGAGGCGCGTTCTTCGCCTTCGCCTTCCCCGCCTCGCCCCGCTGCTGCCCGCCGGGCCCGCTCATCGCCTCCAAGAAGGTCTGCGGCGCCGCCAGCGACAGCGCCAGCCGCGACTGCTTGTCCCACGACTGCGCCAGCTCAGGCCTCTCACCCCCCCCGGCGTCCTTGTACCCCGTCGCGAACCCCACGGGCTCCGCGCCCCCGAGCGACAGATTCCGCCGGTGCCCCTGCAGCGCCGCGATCGGCAAGCTCGGCTTCGTCACCGGCTTGGGCAGCGATATCGCCGTCGGCATGTCGCCCAGAGGCAACAAGAGACCCCCGCCGTACGACTTGCGCCGCGAGTGGTGGCTCGTGTGCCCCGAGTCGCTGACCAGCGGGGACTCCGCCCCCGCGGCCATCAGCGCCGCCTCGCCCGGCCCAAACGTTCGTCGTCGCCGCCGCGCCTTCTCGAAGGTAGACAGCTGCGCCGCGTTCTCCGCCTCGGACCGCTGCGCGGGCGTGCGCTGCGCGGAGGTGTCGCCCGTCGCCGCGCGCACGCTCATGAGCTTCGGCCCCCCCGTGATCGCCACCTGCGCTGGCAACGTCATGGTGACCTGCCGGCTGCGCCGCCCGGGCGTCGGCTCGGGCTCCCCGATCCCGTCGACCTTCTTCACCGCCTTCCGAATCATCATCAGCCCCTCGTTCACGATCTCCAGCGACTGCACGCGCGCCTGCTCCACCGCGCACATCTCGCGCACCGCGTCCTTCGTCGCGTGCAGCTGCGCCTTCGCGTTCTCCGCCTCGTGCTCCACGCCGACCAGCTCGCGCCGCATGTCCTGCAGGACGTCCTCGCGCCTCTTCAGCTCCTCCTGCATCCGCGCCGTCCGCGCCCGAATCCCCCGCAGCTCCAGCGACCGGTCGCCCAGCATGTGCTCCAGCGCCGGGCGCAAGTAGCCCTCCTCGTGCCACAGCCGCACGTCCAGCTTCTCGTGCTTCTTCCTGCGGTCCGCCTTGGTCGCCTCCAGCCGCGCCATCCCCTCCTGCATGTCCCGCTCGTCGTGCATGGCCTGCTCCAGCTCCCCCAGGGCGCGGTCCATGCGAATCTGCAGGTCGCGGCCCCTCTCCTTCAGCTGCTCCAGCTGCAGCGCAGACAGCACGGGGCGCCGCGGGCCGTTCGATGACGACGAGCACGGGTCGCCCGCACATATCGACCGGATTGTAGGGCCCAGCAGCGCGTCCGCGGCCAAGTGAGTGCACGCGGGGGCTTGCGGGTGCTCGTGCGGTCTCCAGCGACGCGCGGCTGCGTGCTTGCGGGCCACGTGGCGCGCAGGGGGGGGAGTTCGCGGCGGCACCGGCGCACCTTTTGTGAGAGATCGCTGAGGCGGCTGGTCCACGCCTGAACCATCTCCTCCTGGTGCCAGTTCAGCTCCTTGTTCGCCTGCGTCAGCTGGTTGATCGCCTGCAGCCGCGCGTGGTCGAACATGTGCGAGACGGCGCTTCGCTTCTCTCCGCCAAAAGGGTCGTCGACGGCGTTCGTCGAGCGCCGCTGCCGCCCCCCGCGCACGCCGAACGGCGCGTCCTCGTCCTCCTCGCTGTCCTCGTTCATCATTCCCCGCCGCCGCCGCCCATCCTTCGCCGCCGCCGCACCTTTCAGCGCCGGCCGCGGCGGCCTCGCCTGCGCCTTCTGCGCCGCCTTCCGCCCACGCAGATTGCGCCGCAGCCGCTCCGTCGCACTCCCGTGCCCGCTGTCCAGCGCGTCCTCGCCCGTGTGGCTCGAAGCGCCCGGTTCGGGTGACCCGGACCCGGCGACCATCTGCAGCTGCTTCGTGGGCGACGCCATGCGCCGCATTCCGCCCGGCGCCGCGCGGCGCGGGCTGCCCTGCGCAGAGGAAGCTCCGAACCGGGGTCCGCGGCTGCCCGGACGCGTGACAGAGGCGCTGACTGGACCGAAGTTGTCCGTGCCCGCGGTTTCGGGGCGCGCCATGAGGCGGCCCGAGCCCCGACCGGGCACCGTGGCGGGCCCGGCGTGCTCCCACTCAGGCGTCGCGGCGGTGCGGGCCGGCGCCTTGCCCGAGGGCAGCCACGGGTGCTTCAGGGACGTCCGTGCGGAGTACAGGGACTTGCCGCCCGGTGCCTGCGCGTCGAGCGACCTGTCGATCCAGGCTACGTTCGCGGTGTTCGTGCGCTTGCTGGGCATGGTCGAGGAGAGCCGCGAGGGATGGATGTGCGAGGAGGAGAGCGCGCGGCCCGGCTGAGTGCCCTGCTCGTGCAGACCCGCGTACCGCGGCGCTGCGTCCTCGCGGATCATCTGGAGCGCGCCTTTGAGCCCTGCAGACATCAATAAATGCACGCGACACGCGAGACCGTCTCGAACGGCTCTGACCTGGCCGCACAAGCCACGTTTGCACCCCGGTACATGCTGTGGTGTCTCGCGCGGGCTGCGGCGGCGGCCAGAGCGCAGTAGGCGAGCGGGCCGCGTACCCATGCCCTCGGGGAGCAGCTGAACCACCGGTTCCGCCCCCTTTCCGCCCCCCGTGCGCACAGAATGCAGGCTGGACACGGAGGAAGCCCGCTTGGGCGCCCTGCTCGGTGAAGCGGCCGGAAGACCGGGGTCCCCGGGCGCAGGCGGCGCAACGTTCGCCGCGTCCGCGGCTCCAGCGTCCTCCTCGTGCCCGTCAGGCGCGCCGGGCGGCGTGCTCGAGGGCTCATTCTGCGCAGCGGCTCCGTCAGCAGGGGCGCTGCTTGGCATGGGGGAGCTGGCTGGCTCGCCCGCGGCGACTGCCGCCTCCGCCATCGCTATTTACCGGACCGCTACCGCGACGTCGGCACCGTCGGGCCGTCCGAGCTGCGCCGGCGCACAGCACGCCCCGGTCGCCGGGTTGTCAGCGCAGCAACACGGGCGCGGCGCGCGCGGCGCGCTCCGGGCAAGAAAGCTCGCGTTATCGCCGCTAATCGCCGGAACAGATCGATTGGTGCGCCTCGGGCGCATAAAATCAGGTCGCACTTGCGCGCGCCGCGGCCTGTCTGGGTGTAATGTGCTGGGACTGCGTTGCCTGCTAGTGCGGGCGCCACGCGGTAAACGTGCGTCGCTGTAGTGCGACGGCGGAGTGTGTGACCCGGCGGGCGCGCCGGCGGGCCCTTGGGGCCTGTGTTGCGTCGCGGCGGGGCGTGACGGGCGCTGACCGCCCCTGAGCGGGGGGTGGGGGGTGCAGGCTGCGCGCTGGGGCGTCGTGGCTGGTTCGATGGCGCGGGGTGGAGGCGTGGTGTGCAGTCGCAGTCCTCAGCACTCTGTTCGGGATTCACATCGCCTTCCAAGGTCATTGAAGTGACAGCGGGAGTGGCTTGAATCTGCCGAGTGCGGAGACGCGTCTCGTCCGTCGCGAACAGAAGGGGAAAATGGCGTCGCTCCGGACTCCCGCCAGCAACGCTTTCTGCGCGTCGATTAGGTCCAGCAGGGCAGGTGAGCGACCCGTCGGCGCCGCGAGCCGACCAGCTGGCCTCGCGCTGTCCCTCCCGGCACGCGACGGCCCTCGTGCTCCTCCCTTCCCGTCGTGGCGGCCCCGATATTTCACGCCACGAGCCTCACCCGCCCGGCCACGCCGCACACCCATCGCCGCCTGCAATCGGCGGCGCTCCGCCCAGCACTGCCTCCTATGGCTCAGAGAGCTCGGGCCCGCTCGGGCGCCCCACGCGACATCCCAGCGAGACCCCCGCGGCCCAAACGGCACCCCTCTCTCCCCCCTCACCGCCCCGCACGGCCCACCCGCGCGCCTCGGCCCTCGAAAGACGCCATCCCCGCTCCCCTCGTGCGTTCGCCACCAGGCTCCCCCGCCGCGCACGTCCCCGCCGCGGACCCCGACGCCCCGTCTCCGCGCTGTCCGGCTCGACCCATCCAGCCTCTTTCGTTCGCAATGCAGGACGCACGCCCATCAGGGCTGCGGCGGCCGCGGAGCCCAAGCAGGCTGAGGACACTGGCTACGTCACCGTCGAGTTCCAGCGCGCGCGCGCCAAGGAAATGACCAAGTACTTCAACAGCCTCAAGGCGGTGCGTGCTCCGCCGCCGTTGCCCTGCCCGTCTGACCGCTCTCGCGCCCTGTGTCGACGCGGCTAGGCTGTGCGCGGCGCCGGCCCTGCGCGCCCGCTGCGGCTGTCTGAGGGCGCGCGTGCGGCGCGGTGCGTGTGTGCAGGAGAAGGCGGCGTTCGAGAACAAGACGCTGGGGTGGACGCCGAAGAACGAGATCGGGAACGGGCGCTGGGTGATGATGGGGCTGGCTATTGGTGCGCCCCCTAGCCCGCCGAGCGCACGCACAGACACTCCCGGGGCCCAAACTGGCCCCCGATGCGCTCTTTCTCTCGCGAAATCCCACTTAAGCGCAACGAAATGGCCTCTGGCTCCCGGAAGAGTAGCGGCGGGGCGTTTACCCAGCTGGACGTGCAACACAAGGTGACCCGACGGCCGCTTGCCGCTGCTCGCAGGTCTGCTGACGGAGTACGCGACCGGGTACGACTTCGTCGACCAGATCAAGTACACGCTGACCATCCTCGGCGTCGCGGACCTGGACCTGGACCTGTGATGTGCGGCGGCGCAGTCCACGGCCGCCAGGCGCGGGGAGCGACGTTGCGCGGACGCGCACGCGCGGCGGCGCGCACGAGCGTGCTCGCCGGGCTGGAGCGGGCGCCGATCGCTCGTGTCCTCGCACGCAACGAGCAGTGCTATGCGCTTGTGAGAGTCAGGCGTTCAGACGCGGACAGTGAGACGCCGCGCGTGCTGCAGCGCCCAGATCGCGCCGCCAGCGCCTTCCTGAACCCCCGCACCACGTCCTCGAGCGCTGAGAAGACGCGTGCGTGCGTGCGTGCTACCCGGGTGCTCCTCGCTCGACAGGAATTAAAGACTCACGCCTCACTCCCGCACGCGAGGGCGTGTGCGCGGCCAGAGTGGCAGGAACGGGAGCGCGAAGCTCCCTGCCCTCGCCCACCGTTCTGACTGCTCACCTCACTCATACCCCCCCGGCCTTTCTCTACGTGGACTTCGAACTCCCCCCCGTGCGGATGGAACCGTATCGTCAGGGCGAAAGTCCCCCCCCCCTCGCGCGAACCGCTGCCGAGCGACTTGTCCTCCGCCCACGGCATCCTTCCTGGCCCGCGCCGTCAGCGGCTGACATACGTGCTGGAGGCCCCCCCCTGGAAGTCCGTCGGGCTCCTGACCGCGTCGATGCCCGCGACCGGGCCTGGCGCGGCCGGGCTCGGGTGTTCGTGGGGCCACGAGTCGCTGCCTGAGTCGCCGGCCGCCGCGATCAGAGCAGCCGTGCGGCTGCCGCGGTGGTCGTTGGCGCCGTGCGGCGCGCCGCCGTCGGGACCGAGGTTCGCCTGCTCCTCCGTGGCATTGATGAACTGCGGAACGCGGGCCGCGCGAGCATCTGTGAGCGCGAACCAACAACCATGGAAACAGGTCTAGTTCTGAGCATGTTGAGGTAAAAAGGCAGCTGTGGCGCGCAACCTCGATGCAGCGGGCTTGTCCGGCGTGCGCACCTCCAGCAGCAGCGCCTCCGCCTCCCTGCGCAGCCGCACTGCGTCCCTGAGCCGCGTTTTCAGTCCCCCCACCTCCTGACTCAGCAGCTCCCGCTCCTCGCTCGCCGCCGCCATCACTGCAGCCACCCACGCACGCCCTCCCCGCTCAGCACACGCCCACGCACACGCAGCCGCGCAAATCACGCCCGCGTCGCAAGCGCCCCGCCGCAACTCACCTCGCGCCAGCTTCCGCTCCGCCGCCCGCGCCCGCACGCCCGCGTCCGCCGCCTCCCGCTCGCGCGCGCGCCCCTCGCGCCACGCCGCCTCCCTGTCCCTCACCGCGTCCCCCAGCGCGCCCTCCAGCTCCCGGCACCGCATCGCCAGCTCGTCGCACAACACGTCCACCGCCTCCCGGTCCTGCGCCGTGCAGCGCAGGTCCGCCGACACGCGCCGGAAGTCGCGCTCAAGGCCCTCGCAGCGCTCCACCCACGCGCGGCGGTCCTCGTCCCACGCCGCCTGAGCGTCCTCCTGCGACTTGCTGACCTCGTCCACCAGCCGGAGCACCTCCTCGCGCTCCGAGACGAGCTGACGCTGCCGGGCCTGGAGCTTGCGGACCTGCGGCGCCACATGACACGCTCGAGCCGTGGGTGCCGCGGGCGCGCGTAGAAAACGGGTCGTGCGCGCGTAGACAACCGTTGTCTACGTCAGAGTGACCCGCGCAGCATTGTGCGCTTCGGGGAAACGGGAGATGGGCCAGTTGGACACCCCAACAACGGGTCGGTGGCAGCGAGCTGGGGCGCGGGCGGTTGGTCGGACTGGGGCGGCGCGTACGTACCTTGTCACGGAGCAACGCGTTGTCCGCCTCGACGCGGTCGGCGCGGCGGATCGCGGCGAGGAGCGCGCTGCCCATCCGCGTCGCCTCCGTCCCGTCCGCATGTTCGGGGCTCGTGCCCGTGTCGCGCGGAACGTCCCCAACAACACTGTCGTTGCTGGCGCCGGCCTCCGCGATCGGCGACAGGTCTGCGATGGCTGACGCAGCGACCTCCGGCTCGAGATCGTCCCCGTCCCGCCGGAACAGCGGGTTCACGCTCATCGTGGCGCCCTCGACGCTGTTTGCAGGCCCCGCCTCTGCTGACACACCCCCCCCCGCCGGGCGCGGTCCCTCGAGGCGGACGCGCACGCGGGGCTCGCAGGACTCGGTGCGGTCGAGATCCAGCCGGAGCCGCACCCCCGACCCCCCGCTCCGCGGCGTGGACCCAGCCGAGAGACTGTGCGCGTCGCGGGCGATCTCCTCCGCGGCCGAGAGGCCGTGCCGCAGCGACGCGCGCATGGCCGCGAGGTCGCTCTCGGCCGCCGCGAGCGCCGCACGGAGCCGCGCGTTCTCGCCGTCGAGCTCGGCGACCAGCATCGGCATCGAGGCCGCGTACGCTGGCGGCGCGGACGCGGCGTGCGGCGCGGTCGGCGTCGCGGGCGCGGGCTGCTCGGCGGTCGACGGCGTGCCCGTGTGCGTCGTCGTCGTGGCCTCGCTGTTCCCGGGGCGCTGCGGGTAGGGCGTGGCGGAGGGCGCCGACGTGGTGCTGCGCGGCGACAGCGCGCCGATGGCCGTGAGGAGCTCGCGGAGCTGAGACAGCTCGCTCGTGAGGGCCGTGTCGCGATTGCTGAGCGTCGCCGCCGTCGCCGCCGTCCCTGCACGTGCGCGCGGGCGTTTCAGAGGGTTATGGAAACTCATACTGGTCTCTCCGGCGCGTGCTCTTCGCGACCGGAGCGGGGCCGCGTGCATGAGCTGCGGACGTCGCCGGGGTCGTCCACGCACCGGTCAGCTGCGTAGACATCCTCTCAAGGTCCTCCTGGACCGCTGCCACGGACGCTGCGACGTCAGCGAGCTCGTGCCGGGCCTGCTGCAGCTCCTGCTCCTTCACCTGCAGCTCCGCGCGCAGGCCAGCGACCAGCACAGCCACGTCCGGCGTGCCCTTGCGGCCCCGCGAGCTCCCCGACGCCACGGACCCCTGCAGGCTCTCGATCGACGTTCCCTGGTGGGCCTCGGGGCTCGCGTCGCGCGCCGGTGCCGTCTCGCCGGGCCGCCACGTCTCGAGCGGATCGATGTCTTCCTCGTCCGAGTCGCCGTGGAGCGCCGCGTGCGAGAGCGTCGCGGTGGCCGCTGCCTGGAGCTGTGCGGCAGCGCGGTCAGCATCGGACAGCTGGGCCTCGAGCCGGGCTGTGTCGCGCATGAGGACCTCGCCCTCTGCGAGGTGGTCGCGGATCACGCGCTCGCTGGTGCGTTGCTCCGCTGGACCGGCGGCTCTCTCCCGGTCGCTCGAGGCAGCACTGGGAGCCCGCTCAGTGTCGCTTGCGGGCGCGAGGGGCGTATCGGGGGCGTCAACGGCCGTGTTGATTGCCACGGACTCGTCTCTCGATATCGCGAACTGCAATGCAGCGCGGCGTAGGGCGCGAGAGATCAACATGGCGAGCAGCAAAAGAGGAGAGGGCGTCGCTGCGCGACGCAGACGACGCGGTCATTCCTGCGCGCTGGGGAGGCAGAAAAATCGGGTTACGTCGCCGACGGGCGGGTGGGCCTTTCGGGGGGCGCCCCGTGATGAACGCCGTCTCGATTGGGTCTCCAGGTACGTTCGAGGACAGCACGACGGGAATCGTGTCGTGGAAGGCGTCCTGGCTGTCGAGAGGCTGCTGGTGGAGCATTTCCATGATGTCTCGCTGCACGGAGCCGGTCCACTCCGTCGGCCCGCGCGATGCAGACACTTCGAAGCTGATGATCTGCGAGCATGTGGGTCCACGCTACACCACGCTTCGTGAAAATGATAATTTGTAATATCGCTTGCTCGGTGGCCGAGCGGCGCGAGCGGGGGCGCCCACCTTGGGCCGCCAGAGCCCATGTTTGCCCTTCTTGAGAGAGAGGCCAACGGTGAAGTCGCCGCCGCAGCTGAGGTCCACGGACGGCATCTCGTCCACCAGATCCTCGCTCGTCAACGACCACAGCACGTCCCGACGCCGCGAGATCGCTACGGTGGCCTCGTCGAAGCGACTCGACAGCACTAGGTGGTCCAGAGAGACGCGAAACGGAGTCTTCGGGCGCCGTCTGAACGAGAAGCGTTTCCTGATTTCTTTCGACGAGTCCATCGACTCGGAAGTCACCGATGTCCGCGCCATGGCCGCCCGTACTAGGCGGCGCGCCACGACCCTGGTGAAAAATCGAACCTTGAACTCTCCGAAACGAGGCGCGCGCCGACCGCTTTCAGCTCGATCGTCCGTAGTGGCGACCACACGTAGATCCCCGCCCAACGAGGAGCCCTCGCTAGCGTGTCGCGTCCAGGCCTGGACAGGAGCAGCAGCCGCGTCAGGCGTGGTGTGCAGGGAGGCGAGCGCGGCCCAAGTGCGGCGGACCGCAGTTCCCTCCGATCAGTCTCTTCGTGAGCGGACCGTGCGCGACGTTTCAGAGCAGGCGCCGCGCCCTGGCCTGCAACGCGTCACCCGCTGCCCTCACTTTCGCTCGCGTCGTCGCTCGAGTCTCCAAGAGCCAGGTTCTTGGCCTGGTTCCTGTGCCGCGGCAGCATCAAGTCGTCCTCCCCGGACCCCTCCGAGCCCTCGCCGGGCAGCGGCGGCCTGCAGCGCATCACCCACCACTCAACGCCATCACCCCGCGCCCCGCACCAGCGCACACGTCACCCGGCCGCACAGCGCGCGCACTGCCGCGACAGCCCGCGCCCCGCACCTGTCGCAGCGCCGCTCCTCCTGCGCCCACACCGCGGGCCACTTGTCGGGCTGTTTGCGCCGAATGTGTTTGATGCTGTCCTCGTACAGGACGTGCACGACCTCGCCGGTGACCTTGTGCCCCGCGGAGTCCGCGCGGTCCCCGAGCTCGACGTCGTCGATCACGACGAACGAGCCGTTCTTGATCCATAGTTTCTTCACGAATTTGGCCGGGATGATCACCAGCGTGCGCTCGCCGCTGGGGTACTCCACCTGCGGCGAACCGCGCGCGCCGGGGTGGGCGGGGACAGCGGGGAGCGGCGCGCGGGGCGCTGGTCGGACGGGCCGTGCGTGGGCGGAAATGCGGCTGTACAAAGGGCACTGGCAGGTGTTGCGGCTGGGTCGCCCCGACGTGTGGATCGTTGCGACGGAATCTCGCAGGACGCTTCGAGCAAGAGAGGAGCGCCAGGCGGGCTCGCAGCGGGCGAGAGGAGCGCGCTCGTGCGCTCATTCGCGCCGGAGGGGGGCGGCGTGCTGCGTAGCGCACCTGCACGATGTTGCCGCCGCGGACCTCGACTGCCCTCACGACCTTCTGCGTGCCCTCGACCGTCACGTCCTCGACGTCGGTGAACACGTGGCGCCCCCGCATCGTCGCCTTCTCTCGCGGCATTGCGGCTCGCTTCTTTCACCAGGCCCCCTCCGGGTGCCCCTCTCTGCTCAGGAGCCCTCCACGCGCCTGCGTCCCTTCCGCAATCGGCTTTCGGCCGACTCGAACGAGCGCAGTGCCTAAATGCAGTGCTGCGCGACAGCCTCCGACGCTGCACGCCCCCCCTGCCTCCACTGCAGTGCGCACCACTGCAGGCTCTTCTCGGCTCACCGGCGAACGTGTGCTTTCGTCACGAGACGCAGCACAAACGTTTCCAGCAGTGGGCGCGTCGGCCGCCGTTCCCCGCCGACCAGCGCGACGGCACGCCGGCCTCGGGCCTTGCTCAGCCCCAGGTGGGACCTCCCGAAGCCTTCCTCGTCGCCAGGTGTCCACGACGAGGCCGCGCAAGCGCAGTCCGATTGCCGCTGGCCTCCGTGCATGTTGTTCGGGCCGCTCCTGAGGGACCGGCGCCTCTGCACGGTTCTCTGCGGAACGGAGTCAAGGGCGCGTGGATGCAGCGGGGCTGACACGGCGGGTGCTGCGCGACTAGGCCCGCCATGTGGCGGAGGCAGGCCCGTGTGTGGGCTGCCGCGATACTCTGCGCGCTAGGTCTGCTGGCCGCCATCGGAGCGGCCTTCAAAGCCGATGAGTTCAAGGTGTGTTGCTTCCGGGGCGAATCGCGGACGCTGGGGCCGACAAAGGCTGCTTGCACGTGTGCCGCCCGCGCCCGTACAGATCTATGTGCGACCAGTGCTGCCCGGGCTCCCCGGCATCGCTCGCCGCGGGAAGCGCACGTCCAGCCTGGCTGGTTGCGCGGGGGCGCCGGTCCTGGTTCCGCCCTGCAGCGCGCCTGCGGCTGATCGTACGCCTCGCGGCTGTTTCCTGCGCACACCGCTGTGCGAGGCTGCGAGGGCCTCGGGCCGGGGCTGCACGGCGCTGCGTGCATTGCGTCCCGCGATCTTGCAACGCCCTAGCGCGGCCGATACAGCCCAGCCGATCCATGTTTTCGTGTTCCTTGCTGGTGGAGATCCATGGGATCCGCAACGCGTGATGCACGCCCGGTTGCGCGAGCCCTGAGAGCGCTACCGCGCCATGCCTCGCGCGTACACACCAGTGGCTGGTGCGCCCGTTTGCGTCGCAGACATGCGCCCAAGCGCACTTCTGCAAGCGGAATAGGGGCAAGTTCGGCATCGACCACTTCGTCGTGCAGCCCAGCACCGTCTCGGTGTCCGGGAACGTCGTCACCGGCAAGGCAAGCCCTCGCGCACCCCGCTCTGTTGCTCCTCCGCTGGCCTTGCACGTGAGTCAACTCCGTGCAAGCCGCGATGGTCAGTACACCCTCACCCACCTCCCGCAGGTTTTCAACAAGAAGGACAACGTCCAGCTCCCCCTGACGATCGAAGCCTATGATGGCATCTTCAGGTGCGCGCCTGGGCACCACGACACCTTCCTTTCCGCGCCGCCCCGGGCCCGCGTGTTCCACACGATGCGGTGCATCTTCCGCGTCCCTCGGGCCGGCCCCCCTGCTGCCACATGCAAGCGCGACACCACAGAGGAGTGCGTTGCGTCGTCCAGCGGGCGACCTTCGCCGGCAGCACCGCATCCGACCACCACACCGACACCGCCACCCTGGCCGCAGGATCCGTGTGGACGAGGCGCAGCGCCACGGCGTCACCCCACGCTTCCAGGTGCCGGAGGTGCTCGTCAACGACTTTCTGAGCCGCCCGGCAACGCTCACGACCAAGTCCAAGACGGCCGACGGCGTGGAGGCTTCCGTCGCGGGCTCGTCGCCCGCGCTGACGCTCTCGGTCCGCTTCGCGCCGTTCTCCGTGGTCATGGCGCGCGACGGCGCCCCCGCGCTAACGTTCAACGCGCGCGCGGGGTTCAGCTTCGAACACCGCCGCGAGAAGCGCCCCGACGACGAGGACGGCATGTGGGAGGAGAGCTTCCGTTCGCACCGGGACTCGAAGCCCCGCGGACCCGAGTCGATTGCCTTCGACATGACGTACCACGACGTGGCCGGGCTGTACGGGATCCCCGAGCACGCCGCGGACTTCAAGCTCAAGCCCACCGCGCGGCTCGACGCCCAGAGCGAGGGGGGGGTGTCTTTCCTGAGCGAGCCGTTCCGGCTGTACAACCTGGACGTCTTCGAGCACCTGACGTACTCCCCCTTCAGCCTGTACGGCTCGATCCCGATGCTCACGGGCCACAGCGCGTCCCGCGGCACCTCGGGGGTGTTCTGGCTGAACTCGGCGGAGATGTTCGTCGACGTCGCAGACCCCCCCGAGCCCCCCGGGGGCGCCACGGGCGAGCCCGGCGACAGCGCGACGCAGTGGATCGCCGAGTCCGGCGTCCTCGACCTCTTCCTGTACGCCGGGCCCACGCCCGCGGACGTCGCGCGCCAGCACGCGGCCGTCTCCGGCACCTCATCGATGCCGCAGCAGTTTGCGCTGGGGTACCACCAGTGCCGGTGGAACTACCGCGACGAGCCGGACGTCGCGGCGGTCGACGCGGGCTTCGACGACCACGTCATCCCGTACGACGTCCTCTGGCTCGACATCGAGCACTCGAACGGCAAGCGCTACATGACGTGGGACGCGGCCACGTTCCCGACGCCCGACCGCATGCAGCGCGACCTGGCGTCGCGCGGGCGCAAGATGGTCGCGATCGTGGACCCGCACATGAAGTCGGACCCGTCGTACCGGTTGTACCAGGAGGCGAAGGACAGGGGGTTGTTGGTGAAGAACGCGGGGGGGAGTGACTACGACGGGTGGTGCTGGCCCGGCGCGTCGGCGTACCTGGACCTGCTGAACCCGGCTGTGCGCGACTGGTGGGCCGACCAGTTCGATCTCGAGCGCTGGCAGGGCTCCACGGAGTCGCTGTACGTGTGGAACGACATGAACGAGCCCAGTGTGTTCAACGGCCCGGAAATCACGATGCAGAAGGACAATCTGCACTTCGGGGGCGTCGAGCACCGCGACGTGCACAACATCTACGGCCTGCTCTACCACGCCGCGACCGCGGAGGGGCTCCGGCGGCGCGGCGCGAAGGAGCGCGGGCCTGACGGCGACCGCCCGTTTGTGCTCTCGCGCGCGTTCTTCGCGGGGACGCAGCGCGCGGGGCCGATCTGGACGGGCGACAACATGGCCAAGTGGGAGCACCTGCAGATCTCGATCCCCATGCTGCTCTCCGCGTCCGTCGCGGGGCTGCCGTTCGTCGGCGCCGACGTCGGGGGCTTCTTCGGCAACCCCGAGCCCGACCTGCTCGTCCGGTGGTACCAGACCGCGATCTTCTACCCGTTCTTCCGCGGACACGCCCACATCGAGACGCGCCGGCGCGAACCCTGGCTGTTCGGCGACGCGGTGACCACGCTGGTTCGTGACGCCGTGCGCACGCGCTACCGGCTGATGCCGTACCTCTACACGACGTTCCGCGAGGCCAACGTCACGGGCGCCCCCGTCATGCGCCCGCTGTGGTACGAGTTCCCGACCGACCCGAAGGCCGCCGCGGGCGACTACACGGAGCGGACCTTCATGGTGGGCGGCGCGCTGCTGGCGGCGCCCGTGGTGCGGCCGGACCACGAGCTCCCGAACCAGGCCGTCACGGCGTACCTGCCGCCCGGCGGCGCGCCGTGGCGCGCGCTCGAGACGGGCGAGGCCGCGGCGGGCCCGCTGGAGACGATCACGGTGTCGAAGAAATCCATCCCGGCTTATTTGCGGGGCGGCTCGGTGCTGGCGGCGCGCGAACGGCCGCGCCGGAGCACCGCGCAGATGGCGCACGACCCCGTGACGCTCGTCGTGTCGCTCGGGGCCGACGGCGCCGCGCAGGGCAAGCTCTACATGGACGATGGCAGCAGTTTTGCGTTCCTGCGGGGAGAGTACGTCGACTTGGAGGTGCGCGCGACGACCGCTGGGAAGCGGATCACGGTGGCCGCGACGCGGGTGGGTGGCAACGCGGGTTACGCCGCGGGGGGGGTCGTGGTGGACCGTGTGGTGGTGTTGGGGGCAGAGGGGGGGGAGTGGGGTGTGGAGACGAAGGGGGCCGGCGATGGGGCGCCGGATGTGGAGCGGGGGCCCGTGTGGGTCGGGCGGGGTTCGGACGCGCCGGCGACGGCCGTGGTGGTGCGCCGGGCGGGCCTGCCCGTCTCGGGGGGCTGGGAGGTGACGCTGACATCAGCGTGATGCGTGTGTGACCCGTTCGACGTCGCAGACGCGCTTCACATGCGCCCCAACGACCGAATGTGTCAATCTTGCGCAGACAGCTCCCCTGGGGGGTGTTCACTGCTGCTTACAGTCCGGGGCAGCCTCTCCCTCGCCCTGGCCACCTGCAGACGTTCGACGCGAAACGCGCCCGTCGGTCAGAGCTGCGCCACACAGCACCGCCGCGTGCGCACGCATGCGGAGCGGAACAGCCCAGGACACCATGACGGTCGATGTAAAACAGCGCGGTGCATCTCACCCTCGCCCTCGCCGTCCTCGTCCTCGTCGTCGTCGTCGTCGTCGTCCTGCCCGTCGCCCTCGCCGTCCTCGTCGTCGTCGTACTCCTCGTCGTCCTCGTCCAGGTCCAGCGCCTCCCCCGTGTACCACCGCACCGCGTCCGGCACGAGCTGCTCCTTGAGCATCTCCCCGACCGCGTAGTCCGTCTCCAGACGCTCCGTGAGCTCCGTCATCTCCTGCACAGCGCACGCACGGCGGCGTGCAGGTTCGGCCCGGCGGGACACACGTCCCCCACACAACATAAACACAAACAAGAATCAAGCACTGCTGTCTAAACGTCAAAGCAGAACAAAGACTGCAAAGCGTGCGTGCCATCCGCCTTCGTCCTGCCGCGCCCGTCGCAGGCCGAGCGCGGCCCCCGCGCAACGCACAGGGTCGAGGGCGGCGGGGACCGCAGTGGTGCCGCGCAGAACGCGCAGCGGTGGTGGCGGCCCCGTGGGTCTCGCGCGGGTATGACTCAATAACGCGCCGTGGGCAGTTCTCCCGCGCGGCAGCTCGGCTGCCACGCGCGAGGCGGCAGCGTGATCTTAAGGCCCGCGCTCATGGCAACACCCCCCGGGCGCCCCGCAAGCCCGCCGCGCACGCGGCCGGGTCCGCGGCCGGCGCACGCGGTCCCGCGGCTGGCGCGCACCTCTTCGTCGAGCTCGTCTTCGTCGTCGGGGATCTTCGGCGGTTTGAAGAACTGGAAGAAGGACTCGGCGTCCTCCTGCTTCATGACGGGCTTGGCGTTCTTGCCGCCCTTCTTCGGCTTCTTCTTCACGATCTTCACCGTCAGGTCCTTGCCCTCCTTCCACTTGATCGGCGTCGCCGTCGACGACCGCAGCATCCCCGCGTCGTCCTCCGCCATCAAATACGTCTTCTCGATCTTCTCGTTCTCGAAGTACTCGTTCGGCCCGAACTCAAACACCAGCTTGAACCCCTCCTCCCCGTCCTCGAGCGGGTCCACCACGCGGATGTCGCGCAGCGCCTCCAGCGCCGGCACGTCCTTCTCCTGCACCAGCTCGGCCGTCTCCGGGCAAATCTGCAGCACCGTCACCCAGAACCGCGGAACGCCGCGCTCGTCGCCCTGCGCCTCCTCCCCGAGGACCACCGCGCGCCGCTTGTCGTACACCGGCTCGTACAGCGCCTGGTACTTGGCCCGCAGCGCGCGCTCCTCCTCTACGTACTTCTCGTGGATGTTGTCGTACTCCTCCTGCAGCGTCTCGAGCTCCTCGACGCGCGCCTTGACCGCCTCCGACATCTCCTCGAGGTGCACGGGCTTCCCGACCAGGGAGTTGAGCTTCTCCTGCCGCGTCAGGGGAATCGGTGGGTGCGGGGGGTCGGGAGGGCGGCGAGGCGGCGGTGCGGGGCGCGGAGGGCTGTTGGGGTGAGGTGGGGGGCGTGGGAGACGTGGGCGGGCGCGGTGCGCGCGGCGAGGAGTGCCTTGGGGGGAGGTGCCAGGGCGTTGGCGGCGGGAGGGTCGTGCCTGAGTCAGGGCGATGAGCGCCTGCTGGATGCGCGGGTCGCTGAGGTTGGCGCCCAGGTCCATGGCTTCCTTCTTCGGCGGCATTGTGCGGGGCTGCCTGCCTGGTGTCTGCGAGCCAGGTTTGTGCCTCGCTGGAGACTGCGCGGGCGAAAAATGCGTTGATTCTGTCGTGCCGGTGCGGCCTGCGGTGACGTGGAAGGCGAGCGGGGCGTTGGAGCGGCGGGGCGCGTCTGAGGAGCGGCGGCGGGCGTCCTGGGAGAAGGGCGGGCACCAAGGGCGGGCTCCTCGGTGCAGGCCCGCGAGAGCGACTTGGGCCCGAGAACGCGCGCCCACTGGCAGGAACAGTAATTGTCTGATCGGCGTTCCGCGAATAATGTCGCGGAGAGGCGCGCCAGCCCCGCTAGCGGCAGGCGACTGGCTGCAGGCGGCCAGCGGTCACCTCACGCGGCAACCGGCGCACGCAAACACGTGGCGGGGCGACGTGCTCACCTTGACGAAGTACCAGGGGCCGCCACGCCGCGCGGCCTCAAACGGCCGCGAGGGGCCGCGAAAAGCAACGCCGAAAGTCCTCCCGGCCATCACCCCTTGTACCTGCTGCCGCCACCGTGCGCGCCATTGCTTTGGCTCGAAACTTGGTGCGTGGGACAAGCAGGCGCGCCCCTTCCTCACGGCCAGCTCAAATCTGCGACGAAGGGAACCGTTGCGTCAGGTGGCGCTGCAGTGTGCAGTGACGCTGCAAAGATGGCTCACGCGGGCGCTGCCGCGCCAGTGCGCGGTGCGCGGCCCGCGTCGCTGACAAGGCCTAGTAGAGATCGCGCCGGCCGCGTCGTGCGAGCGCTCGCCGCGTCGCCGACGACGCAGCCGCCTGCAACGACAGCGGCGTCCCAGGGAGCTGGAGCTGTGCAGCAGGGCGAAGCAGCGGCCGCCATGATGCGCGAAACCCCAGTCAAGGCCTCAATTCCAAAGATCGGGGGCCAGCGGAGCTCTCTGTCGGACAGGAGGCCGCGTTATGCGGGAGGTGCGGCTCGATAGCAGTCTATCGGCAGTTGCTCCGCCACGCGCTCGCGCGACACGCGCGTCCGCGGCCTGTACGCGGCGTGGGCGTCATGTTCACATCTCAGCCGCTCCACGGCGCGCAGTTTCGGTCCGATCTACGTCACTCACGACCGGTACTCGCCCGCAAACACAGATCGCTCCCCCTCTGTGCCGCCGCAGTGGCCGCCGCCGGCACCAGCGTCGCGGACAGCCTCACCGACAGCATGGACGAGACCTCGGAGTCCCCCCTCGCTGTCGCCTACCAGGGCGTCCCAGGTTCGCACCCCACAAATCACCATCACCACCGCGCCGCTGCTCTGCGCGGCACCGCCGCACCCACGGATCCAGCGCCTCGCGTCGCACACACCGCCCGTGCTCCGCAGGCGCGTACAGCGAGGGGGCCGCCCTCAAGGCTTGTCCGGGGTGGCAGCCGCTGCCCTGCGAGCAGTTCGAGACAGCGTTCCAGGCCATCTCGCAGTGGATGGCGGAGCGCGCCGTTCTGCCCATCGAGAACTCCCTCGGCGGCAGCATCCACCAAGTGTACGACCTGGTGCGTCCCCGCGACCTCGCGCCCCGCGCCGCGGCACCTGCGCCACGTGTTGCCGCTGAGCCTGAGCGCGGTGCGTTGTGCGTGTGCGTCGCTCGCAGCTGCTGCGGTACCGGCTGCACATCGTCGGGGAGGTCGCGATCAAGGTCAACCACTGCTTCATGGCGCTCCCGGGGCGGTCGAAGAGTGACGTCAAACGCGTGATCTCCCACCCACAGGCCCTGGCGCAGTGCGACGGATACATCCGCTCCCTCAACGGTGCGCAGCGACCCCGGCCTCCGTCCTCCACCCCCGCACCACGCCAGCCCCGCGCGCCCGTACCCAACGCCCAGCCAACCCCCCCCCCCGGCACCGCAGGCGTCGTACGCGAGGCCGTGGACGACACGGCGGGCGCGGCGCAGGCCATCGCGCAGGGCAAGCTCCAGGACACTGCTGCGATTGCGTCCCGCCGCGCGGCCGAGCTGTACGGCCTCGAGATCCTCGAGGAGGGCATCCAGGACAACAAGGACAACGTCACGCGCTTCATCGTGCTCTCGCGGGACCCCCTCGTGCAGAAGGCCGCGCAGGGGTCCGCGGCCATGAAGACCTCGGTGGTCTTCTCGCTCAGCGAGGGCCCCGGGCAGCTGTTCCGCGCGCTGTCGGTGTTTGCGCTGCGCGACATCGACATGACCAAGATCGAGTCGCGGCCGATGCGGACGAACCCGATCCTGGGCGGCGCGAAGGCGGAGGCGTCCGCGGCGGGCTCGAGCCACCGGCGGATGAACTACCTGTTCTACGTGGACTTCGTCGGGTCGCTAGCGGACGAGAATGCGCAGAACGCGCTGCGGCACCTGCAGGAGTTCGCGCCGTTCCTGCGCGTGCTCGGGTCGTACCCGATGGACACGACTCTCTCCGAGGAGTGACGGCGCGGTCGCCGCGACAGCTGAGCGGGCCAGAATGCGGGGTGTTGCATGCCCGCAAATACACACACCGCTGTCAGCATTCGTCGACGTTGTAACGGGCATCGACGCACAAGTGTCACGAGGGCTCGTGTCACGACATGCTTCGCGTCAGTTCACATCGAAGGGATCGTCCGCCCTCTCACGATTCGCTCCAACAAACAGCCCCCCCCCCCCTACTCCCCCCCGCCGCCGTCGTCCTCCTCCATCAGGTGCGCCGTGAGCGCGTCGGGGTCCTCCCCGAGCTCGCGCAGCCGCTCCGCCAGCGTCTCCGCGCGCGCCTCCTCCTGCCCGAGACACGCCAGGAGGTCTTCCATGGACGCCTCCACCTCCTGCTGTGCCGCCTCCGCATCTCCCGCGCGCTCCTCCGCCTGCGCCGCGCGAGCCTCGGCCTGCGCGGCGCGGTCCTCCGCGGCAGCGGCACGCGCGTCCGCCTCCGAGGCCCGCACCTCGAGCTCTGCGTGGCGGTCAAAGAGACGTGCGTGTCGGTGATGAACATCAATAAGCGACAACATGTGTTTGTGGCTCCTGAACGACACGGTTCGCGAGGCGCTTGTGATCGCGCCTGCATGTCGCGCGCGGTTCGCCGCGGTCGCAGTCCACGGCAATCGAGAGCGCCGGGAAAACGGCAGTCGGCGTTTCCACATCTCCGGCACTCACCTTGCGCACGCTTCTCAGCGGCCGCGGCTCGCGTCCGCGCCGACGCCGCCTCGGCGTTCGCCGCATCCACGTCCTCGTGCGACTTCTTCGCCGCGAGGCCGTCCTGCTCCGCAACAGTCAGCGCGTGCGCATTCAGCGCCTCGATTTCGCGTTCTTTCCTCGCAATGGTGCCACGCAGCGCCTCCGCGTCCCCCCGCGCCGCCGCCGCCGCCTCCTGCTCCGCCGCCAGCTGCGCCTGCAGCCGCGCCACCTCCGCACGCAGATCCCGCACCACATCCAGCTGCTCGGGGTCCTCAACGCCAACTCGCCCCCCAGTTATACCCCGAGGTGGTTGCGCCGCGTCAGGTGCGTCCCTGGCCCCGCCCGCGGCGTACATCTCGCTCAACGCGGCCATTCCGGCCTCGCGCGCGTCCCGAAGCTCGTAGCAGAACGCCCACCCGATCGCGGAGCCCAGTTCCGTCAGCGCTGCAGGTCCGCGCCCGACGCGCAGAAGGGACGACAAGAACCCCCCCCCGCCGCTCTCCACCGCGCCCGCCGGCCCGCCGTTGAGCGCCTCTTCCACCGCGGGGTCCGCGTCGAGCGCGCGCATCGCGGACAACAGCGCCGGCAGCCCGGCACGTGTGCAGATAGCACTCAGCACGTCCGCCGGGCTCGGGGCCGCGGTGCCGCCCACGCCGCGCTCGAGCGCCCCAGAATCGCTCGGATCGGACCCTGGGAGCGTCGGGGACGCAAGCGTCGCGAGCAGAACCGCGATCAGTCCCGGCACTGGCCCGTCCCCGGCGTGGAAGGCGCGCGGGCCCTGTTTCCCCGGGGGGGCGTCGATGTTGCAGGAGGCGAGGAAGGCGTCGACGAGGAAGGGGAGGTGGTCCGGGTACGAGAGGAGTGCGGCGCGCGCGGCGGGGCAGGCCCGGCACCAGGAGATGAGAAGGCGCAGGCTGCGCGCGGCGGAGGGCGCGCCGTCGTGGCCGGCCGCGAGCGCCGAGGACAGCGTGTGCTGGACGACGCGCGGAATGAGGGTGTCCCACTCCGGGGGGAGGTTCGGGGAGCGCAGCGAGTAGGAGAGCGCGGCGGTGGCTGCAGGCCCGCAGGAAGACACCACGACCGCCAACGCGGACGCCGCTGCAGCAGAGGCCCGCAGCGCGCGCCCAGCCAGACGAATCGCCTCGTTGCCGTCGTCAGAGCGTCCGACGAGGGCCTGCAGTCGAAGGAACTCCAGCAAAAACCATTCTTATTCTTATGGAACACAAGATACTCAGCAATGCGCGCAAGCTCTTCAAACAGCGCATGAAGACCTGGGCGGTGCTTGGCCATGTCGGACGCGGTCGCAGCAGTTGTCGGGCGTGTTCACGCACCCGCACGAGCTCTGCGCCGAAGCCGGTGCTCTTGTGAAGCGAGTGTGCCAGCTGCTCCTGTCCCTCAGGATTCGCGAGGCAGTACAGCTCCAGGACGGCCTCGCCCGCGCGGCACTCGCCCGGCGACTCCCCCCACAGGGCAGCGCGCAGGCACGCCTGCAGCGCCGGGACCGGCAGCGGCGCCCTGTTGGGCCCGGGGACGGATATTTGAAGAACCTCGAACGAAGCTCGCGCCTCAGCGTTGTAGTACAGCGCGAGCGCGACGCAGCGCAGCGCGGCGGCCCGGACAGAGGACGACGCGACCCCGCCGGCCTCGGCCGCGGCGCGCATCAGCGGGACGAAGGCGCCGGTCTGCGCAAGCGCGGCCTGCGAGGTGGCAACAACCGACTCCCCCCCCTCCCAGACAGACAGAGCGGCCTCGAGGGCTTCGAGCGCGGCGCATAGCGCTGCAGCTTGCTTCGAGGACGGCTTCCCCAGCCCCTGCGGCCCCGGCAGCGCCTGCACACAACGCGAGACGCCACGAAAGGTGCGTTGTCGCATGCGCCTCAGTCTTCCGTTCGGTTTGATCGCCGCGATGCGACATGTGATTCTCCACTCAGGACGTCCAGCAGTACACATACCAGCTCGACGGCGCCGGCGATGAGCGCCATGAGCCGCGACAGCCCGCCTGACGTGTGCAGTATGCCTTGCGCGTCCGGGCACACGTTCAAAAGCGATCGCAGGGCGCCCATCGCCAGAGACGACGCGTTCGGGTTCGCGAAGAGTCCGCCCGACCCCTCGATGCCTGCCAGAGGGAGCTCGAGGCAGCCCTCGTGCGCGGCTGCGCTCTGCAGCTGCGGAGCGCCCTCGGTTGCCCTCGCCAGGCATGCAGCGGCCTGCGGCTGCGCGCCGCCGTTCGCGATCGCGGGCGAGGTCGCGATCGCAACGACGCGGACCAGCGAAGGCGGGGCGTTCGTGAAATGGCCGCGGGCGGCCTCGGGCTGCGCCGCCAGCATGCACGTCAGCACCTGCGCTCGTTTCCGAAACGCGTGGGGAACCTGTGAGGAGCCTGCAGGGGGGCGCTTCTCTGGAGGTCGCTGGACTGGAGAGTGCGTCGGCACACGGCCGTGCACACTCCCGAGCCCACACACGGCTGTTACGAGGAACCACGGCTGTCGCGTTTCGCGCGCAGTGCGCGAGGACGTGCGCGCGACATGACGGACGGACGCCAGGAGCGTACCTCGAGGGCGGCGGCGAGCGCCCCGGGATCGCTGGTGCCCACGGGGGGGTTTTCAATGGTAGAAAACAGAGCCTGGATGGCCGCCGGGTCTGACAGGAGCCTCGTGGCGACGTCTCCGCCGCCAGGCGTGGAGGGCAGCCCCCCGACGACGGCCTCGCCCTCCCCCGGCGGCGCCGCGTCCGCGGAGTGGCTGTGGTTGCTGGGTGGGTGCGGCGCGCTGCTGGCGGGCATAGCGGCCCGCAGCGCGCTCAGGGCGGCGCGCGGCAGCTTCGGATCGTCGTGTTCTTGGTGCAGGATCGTCAGCATGAGGGGGACGCCCTCCTCCGCGAACCGTGCGTGCAGCCCGGGGTTGCGCGCCAGCAGCGCAGCGAGCGACCCCACGGCCGCTGCACGCGCCTCGGGGTCCGCAGCTCCATCGGAGGCCGCGAGCGCCTCGGTCAGTCTGTTGTGGTCGTCCTCTGCGCGCGAGATGGATACGTAGATGGCGCACTTGAGCTGTGAGACGCCCCGAATATTGCTGCTCGCAAGCAAGTTGCGAATGACGCTGAAACAGGGACCAGACGAGGGAAGCGGGCGGCCACGGCGGGCAGTTGCGAAGGGGGCTGATAGACCATTGCGGGCGCGCCGACCTGTGCGCGCGTACTTGCGCGCGGGGCCCGCAACCGTGGTGCGTCGCTGGCGGAGAGTGCGTGCTCACCTCTGGGGCCGTAGTTGAGCGCGCGGTTCGCAAGCCCTCCCGCGAACCCCCCGGCTTTTGATGCGATGTTACCGAAGAAGCTCATCAGCTCATGCCCGCCCCCTGGCGCCGGAAGTGCGGCGTTCCAACGCAGCGCTTCTGTGCGCAGCTACTGATCGCTATCAGCGGCGCTCATAGGCGCTACAACCATTGCGACGCAGCTGAAAGCAACACCTAAGACCCGGAGTGGCCCCTGAACGCGCTTCCGGAGGCCCCTCTTGCCCCACGGGTCGCCAACTGCGGTCCAGTGTCCCGACAACAGGGAGGGTCCCCCCTCGCACACCTCCCCGGGACACCCGTCAGCGCCACTCATTCAGCCGCAACAGCCAAGGCGCTAGCGGACACACAGTCCGCAATCGAGACACGTGTCGTGAACGTCGACCCTGTCATGTACACTCAAGGTCACACATCACTTGCTTGCAAATCGTCAACAGAACGTCACCGCGCAGCCATCTTCCTCGCGAGCTCCTTGACGGCCTACTTGCGATCGTGCGCCGGCCTCGGAACGGCCTCCTCTTCGTTCTGCCCCATCAGAGGGGTGCACTGCTTCCACGGCGCGCCTGCGTTGTCAACATCGTCACGTGCTCCTGCTTCTACGTTGTTTCCCACGTCTCCCTGCACCGGGCCAGGGCTTGCCTGCCAGCGAGCCCGCTCCTTCGCGCCCCCGACCGCCCGCCCGACCTGACTCAGGCAGACACCCCCTCTCCGTCCCGCGCCGCGCCGTCCCGGTCCCACACGTCCGACTCCCTCTTCGTCCCGTTCCGCTTCTCGTAGTGGTAGCACGCGTTGCACACCACCTTCCCATCCGACGGGCCCGTCCGCCACTCGGGCGTCGTCCGCGTGCCGCAGTTGGTGCATCGCTTCGTCGGGTGCGGCCGCCGCTCCGCCCCGCGCCCCTGCTCCACCCGCCGCAGCAGCAGCGCCCCCGCCCCCTCCCGCCGCACCGACCGCACCGCACGCCCGCTCCGCGACGTCGGCGGCGCCTCGAACTCCGCCAACGCGTCAAATTCGGCCTGCAGTGCGTCGTCCACCCCGCGGGCCCCCTCGTCTTCGCTGCTCCACGGGTGCACGACCGCGCCCGCCTGCTTCTTCCCCCGCCGGGCCGCAGCCCCGGGGATGTCCGGCAGCACCCCGATCCCGCGGATCCAGATGCGGCCGTTGAGAGGTGGGCGCCCGCGCCCGCGCCCGCGGCCCGGTGGGCGCCCGCGGCCCCGGCCCGGTGGCCGGCCGCGCGGCTGCGTGGGCACCATGAGGTGCCGCGTGGCGCTTGTTTGGAAGTTCGGGTGCAGCTTGCCGTGCTGCGCTTCGTGGTGGTAGCAGTCCGTGCACAGCAACGTGTTGAACGAGCGGTACCACCCGCGCGACATCGCCGCCGCGCAGCTCCCGCACGCGGGCGTCCCCGTCGGCTTCGGCCTCGCCCGCGCCGCCGGCGCCGCCGGCTCTGGCCGCTCCGGCGGGCTCCCCGCCGCAGCCGCGACCGCCACGGCCGCACCGCGGCGCCGCTGGCCGTCGAAACACGCATCGCACGTCGGCCCGTCGACGCCCTCGATCTCGTACCAGTCGTACGCCAGCGTCGCGCTGCACTGGATACAGCTCGACCTCTGGTGCAGCGGCACGCCGACCAGGTCCTCCCCGTGGCGCGCGAGCGCGAGCAGCGTGGCCACGGCGCGCGCAGGGCCCGGCGGCGGCTGCAGCTTCACGATCGTCGCGTGCTGCTCCGCGCCGTGCATGTCCGCGGGGAAGATCCGCGAGAAGTCCATGGGGCCCCACTTCGGGCCGCTGCGGTGCGAGACCGCGGTGCCGAACTCGCGCTTCGGGACGCCGCCGCCGAGGCCGCCGCCGAGGTGGACGCCCGGGAAGCGCTGCGCGCGCACGACGGCTTTCCCCAGGTCGTTGCGGCGTCGCAGGGAGCGGCGGACGCCCGGGTCGGCTGCGTCGGAGGACTTGCCCGGCGCGAGGGCGGGGGCGTCCGTCGTGGCGCCGGAGGGGCGCGGGTGGGCCGTTGGCGCGTCGGGGAGGACTTGGGGCGAGGCGCTTGACGCGGGGCCTCTGGGGGTGTCGTTGGCGTCGGCGAGCTTGGCCGAGCGGGACGCGGTCGCGGCGGGCCGGGCCGGGCCGGCGCCATCGAAGGAGAGGCGCCGGGACTTGCGCGGCGTGCCCTGCGGGTCGGGTGGGGGCGCGGTTGGAGGGCGCAGTGGGCAAGGGGCAGGGCTGTGCGGGGGGCGTCGCGCGCGGACGTGCTCGCGTGAGGGACTGGAGATGAGAGGATCTTGCGCTGGATGCAGCGGTGGACGGAGGTGCATGGGCCGGGGTGGGCGCGCGTGTTGCTGTGCAGCGCTGGGAGTGGCCGCGCGGGACGTGGCGGTCGTTCGGTGCGCGGTGGCTGGGCGGCCTGGGTGTATTTGTAGATGGGGTTGCGATGTCAAGCGAATTCGCGGTCTTGCGGGGCAGCCTGACCGCGGGGCGCCGCGTTCGTACACGAGTGCAGCTGCAGCGCGGGCGGGCTCACCTCTTTGTCTGCCGTGCTGCGCTCGCGTTTGCGAGGAGATGCCTTCGCGGATCGATTGCCCCCGGGCCTGACGACTGCGTCGGGCTCCCTGTCAACGCCGTGGCGGCGCTTGTGCATCCCGCAGGCGTTGCACAGCGTTCCCCGCCACATCGGCGTCCGCGTCGTCCCGCAGTTCTCGCATGATTTCGTGCCTTTCATCTGCGACAAGGGAGGGCGCGGACGGGTCGAGCCGCAGCCGGGCGGAGATGCCCGCTTTCGCGCAACTACCACTGGCAATGCTCGTCACGCGCGGCCGCCTCGCAGCGCCACACACGCGGGCGAAACGACGCAACTCAATGCGTCCGAGAGCCGTGGATATATCACCTGCGAAGTTGCGCACGCAGCTGCGCGCAAGATCGGCCTGAGCCACGGGAGGCCGCGCGCAGCTCTTGGACAACAAGAGTCGCGCGCAGTCAACCTCGAAACGCCCTCTCTAGGCGCCGCTCTCGTAGATCGGCCTACAGACGTATAAGCCTCGCTCGATCGTCGGCCCGAACCGCTGGTGTCTGCCGCTGACCGGCGCAGAAACAAATCAGGCCTGCAGCAGCCTGCGCGTGCCCACCAGCGCCCGGCGCAGTCGTCCAGGAACCATTCGCGTCCCGGGCGGTGTGCAGTAACGCCGCGGCGTCCCGCGCGGAGCTCAAGGGGCCCGGGAAGCGTTCCGGCGGCCCTGAGCAGCGTTGGGGGAGTGCTTGTGTTGTACCCGCGGTGTCAGGGCTCGTCCTGACAGAATCGCGCCCGCAGTGCCACCTCCGGCCTCTTGCCAACTCACGCGACGCGGATGCGGTCAAGCTGCGCCGCCAGGCATCGGCTGCGCGGTCCCGCGAAGCCTCAATCGTCCGTTTCACATAAAGTGTTGATTGACCACCCGCGCACGACACGAAGTGCGGCGACACCAGGCACGTCCGCGCCCGGCTCACAGTCACGTCCGCGAGGGCGTCGTTTCCGTCATGCGGCACTCGTAGTCCCCCGCGGCCGTCACGTACCGCACCCACGGCAGCGCCTGGTACCCACTGGCCTCCACCACCTTCAGGTACCGCACCTGGATCCCCGACACCGTGTAGTACGGAATTTCGAACTTCACGCGCGCCGGCCGCCGCACCGCGCTCTCGTCCTCGCCCCGCACGCTCGGCAGCCCGAACTTGCACCGCAGCATCGCCTCGCGGCCGCCCGGCACGGCCTTGATGGTCCAGACCAGCGCCTCCGCGCCCGGGGCGTAGTCGGCCTGCCCGAGGGAGGCCCGCACGGTCGGCGCGCTGCAGTCTGGCGGCAGCGGGAGCGACACCTCGACGTTGTGCGCCTGCAGCCGCTCCTTGAACTGCGTGCGCAGCTTCGCGACGTACTCGATGCGGGAGCGCCCGAAGCGCTCGACGTTGCACTCAAGCCATATCAACGGCTTGACGCCCTGCAGGCGCGCGGAGCCGGGTCCAGGACGGCGTGGTTGGAGCCCCGATCAGTCAATCAAATAATCAATCCATAGCAGACATTGGACATCGTTGCAGTCTGGTCTGGAGCGAGCAGAGCCGGTACCGCGGCGTACGGGCGTGTCGGCATCGAGCGGCGAGGCGGAGGGAGCGGGGCGGCGCACGCACGCACCGGGTTGTGCAGGCGGTAGGTCATGAGGTCGAAGGCGCCGTCGGGCGGCACGAACGCGACGGTCTTGTCGCGCTCGTACTGCGCGAGCGCGACGCACTGGTGGAACTTGATGTCCTCGAGCTCGACCGTCTTCCGGCCCTGCGACTTGCCCTGTGCCTCCAGCATGAGCCGGTCGTTCAGGCCGAGCTTGCAGTGCGGCATCCCGGACAGCTGCGTGCGCATCCGCAGCGCCCCGACGACCTCCGAGCGCACGACGTTGCCCTTCGCGCCGACCAGCATGTGTATTTTTTCCACCACGTCCAGGAAGACCTCGTTCTTTTTATACCGGATGCCCTCGGAGCGCCACGACACGGCGTTCGTGACGGCCATCGGCGGCCGCGTGGGCTTCTCCGTGAGCCGGAACGCGTCCGTCTTGATGAATTCGTGCAGGATCTGCGCCTCGGTGAACTGCGGGTGCCCAAAGTCCATCATCTCGTCGAGGAGCTCGTAGACCATCACGAAGTTGTCGCGCAGGGACTCCTCCTCCAGCGACCCGAAGTAGTACTTGAACACCGCGACCATGCTGTGGATGAACGACAGCAGCTCCATCGCGTTGGCGTTGCACCGCGTCGCCTGCGGGGGGGCGTCGGGAGCGGCGGGGCGCTGGGCGGCCGTGCGCAGCATGGAACCGCGCCGGGGGGCGACGGGTACTTCGCGGGCGGAGGGGGCGGCAGCGGTGGCGCGTGCCAGCGCAGTGGGCAGCGCGGTGTGTCGAGAGGAGGTTGGTCGGGGCGGACGGGGCGCGGGGTCGCGCACCGCAACAATGTACAGGTTGCTATGGTGGACGTAGACGAAGGTCAGCCCCGCGGCCTCGATCACGGGCGTCGCGGCACCGGCATCCTCTAGCTCGGCCAGCCTCGCTATGAATTTCTCCGCGGCCTGGGCCCGGACATCCCCCCTGCGCGGCGAGAGAGAAACGTTGGGGTCTTGTTGAGACAGGGCTGCGCGTTTCGTGCAGCCGCGCGTCGTGGAGCTGCCGGAATTGCTGCACGGGCGGGCGGGCGGTGAAGAGTGCCTCCTACGTCCCTGAGGGGCGGAGCTAGGCTGTGCGAGCCGGAGACGAGCATGGATGTGGACCGAATGTGCTCGGGCGTGGGGGGAGGGATCGCATGAAGCCACCGGGCCGCAGAAGCGGCCGCACAGGACGAAGCGCCAGGGGACCGGCCGTGGTGCAGGGCGCATTCGCGGCGGCTGCGTATGAGTCTGGCGGGTCCGTACGAGTGCGACCAAGAGGCGAGGCACGGCCGGGCATCACGCGCTGAACGAGCGGCGCGGTGCAAGGGGCGCCCGGGTGATGGCGGCGCCTGTTCCCGGGGCTCACCTGTAATCCCGCTGCAATATGATCCGGCCATTGACGTCTAGGAACAAGATCGTCGAGGCAGGCATCCTGGACGATCACTAACGCACGCGTTGGCGCGGGTCTCAGCCCGCGCGCGGGAGTGTGGTTGCGAGCAGAGCACCAACACGCCTCCTGCTCGCCAGCGGCACCTGTTGCGTCGATGCCGTCGCTGACTAGTACCACGACGTGCTCGAAACGGTGCCGGGGAGCGGGTCACGCCCGCTCCGGTAGTGGGCCGCGCAATCAACAGCGTAGTCCTGTTTGGGGCCCCGCGGCGGAAATGCGGCACAGATGTCGCGATTCTGCACAGACCTGCTCGCAGCTGCACGTTGCGACCGTGCACGCGCCCTGTTGCAGCTTGTCCCTCGACTCGGGGCTCGCAGGCACTCCCTCAGGGATGTTGGGGACATCACTCGCCGGCTGGGAAGCCCGACGCGCCAAGTTTGGGGATCGCGACATCGCCGACGAGTGCAGACTGATCGTCCACGCTGCACTCACGACGACCTTGAGGAGCCTGGATCGTGGAACGTACCGTTGCGAGCATTCTTGCTACAAAGAGGCGCGTGCGACGGCTGCAGCGTGACTTCTGACGTGGCGTACGGTCATGGGGGTTGAATACTTCCAGTCACAGATCGGCCTGCCGGCGTTCAAGCGGTATGTCTGCGTCCTCGCCGTTGCGGCACGATGAAACCAACTGCCGCTGTCTGCAAGTGACTCACTGCGTCCTCCCTCGCCGCTCTCGCAGGGGTTGTCACCTTGTGACGGATAAAATCATCGGTCCGGTATCGTCGGACTTGCGTAAAATCAAGGTTCGCGCCAGGACGTCGTGTTGCAGCCCCCCCCTGAATTCACCACTTCACGTCTTCTGCGCATCGTGGAGACGCCGCATGACAGCTGCCGCTCCGCGCCGCCCGCCAGCCGGCAATGACACCGCTGGCGTGCGCATGACGGTCGAGCCCAGGGCCGACGTCACCAGCGTCGGATCTGTTTTGTTGTTCCGCAGGCTGGCTTGTGCCATGTGTTCATTCAGCACACGTCCGCGTCCCTGACGATCAACGAGAACTGCGACCCGGACGTGCGCCACGACATGGAGACCTGGATGTCGAAGGCGAGCCGCACCGCCGCCACAGACCCACCATCCCCACCCGGCCAGTCCGCGCTGCGCGCTCAAGCCCACGCAAGCTCCTCCGCGAGCGCAGGTCGTGCCGGAAGGCTCGGGGGCGCCGTGGCGACACACGGACGAGGGGCCGGACGACATGCCCGCGCACGTGAAGGCGTCCGTCATGGGCCCCGCCCTGAGCATCCCGGTGCGCAACGGGCAGTTGGCGCTGGGGACGTGGCAGGGCATCTGGCTCTGCGAGCACCGCGACTGCGCGGGCGGCCGCAAGGTCGTCGTGACCATCCAGGGCGCGACGCAGTGACGACGACGACGACGGCGCGGCGTGTGCGTGTTGCTGGTGCAGTACGTTGTGACGACGTCGCGGGGCACGCGCCTCGTTTGGCCGCTTGCTCGACATTGACACCAGCTCCGTCGTTCGTCCGCGCTTCGCACCGTTCCCGTGCACACAAGATCAATCGCTCACACGGCGGTTGACGTACCGCGAGTGATGTTCACGCGCTTGCGCTCGTGGCCTGTCAGCCGTTCCCTGACAGATCGATCTCCTCGAACCTCTCATCGACGCGCTGCATGTCCAGCAGCCCGCCCGACACCCTCCCCCGCGTCTCCCCGCCCTGACTCATGCGCAGCGCAACACTGCTGTCGGCGTGTTGCGCGGCCCCGTGCACCTCGTCGTCCGCCTCAAGCAGCCCTGAGTCATCAGGAGTCGCCCCGAGGCCCAGATCGAGCTGGTACGAGATGTCGTGGTGTTCGACGAACGTGCCCTCGTAGCTGCTCACGGCGTCTGACGGAGCGTCAGAGGGCATGCCGCGCTGGTGGCCGCCGCGCTGTCCGCGAGACTGCGTGCGCGGCAGCGCGGCGGGGCCGACCGGAGACGCCGGGGTGTCCGCGCTCCCGCGGAGCTGCGCCTGCAGCGATGGGCGACGGTTGGCAGCTTGTGTTGAAGCACAGTCGAAAAAAGCTATCTGTCCGTCTGCGCAACGGAGGAGGAGCGCGCGTGGCAGGATGCACGACGGACAGGAGGCGTGTCGGCGTACCGCGGCGGCACCGGCGCTGTCGGCGCCGGGGGACCTGACGTCAGGCGACGGTGCTGCGGCCATCGCTCGCGAAGCGTCGGGAACGGGACGGCCTTCCGGCGGGTCGTCGAAGGGGTTGGACCACGTTGGCTTGTGGCCGTTCGGCGAGAGCGACGGCACCGGCGAGCCGAAGGGGTTGTCAGCGGGGGGGGGTTGAATCGCCACGGGAGCCGCGGGCGAGGGTGTCGGCACCATCGGCGCGAGCGCCCCGTGGAGCACGCCAAGGAAGCTGCGCAGGCGCTCGTGCGTGGGCAGGTCGGCGGTGCTGAAAATCGCATCGACGCAGCGATCCGCCATCTGTTTGGTCGACGCTTGCAGCGCGCCGTCCGCCTTCGCCGCGCCCGCGACGAGGTCCGACAGCGCCGTCACGACGCCCAGGGCCTGCGGCTCGAACGCGAATTCGCGCGTGCTGGCCGCCGGGCGCACGGGCTGGATCTCGGGGGCGTTGCCCGACGTGCCGCGCCCGTGTCTGCTGTTGGCCCGAAAGGGCAGCGAGCTGGCGGGGCTCGGGGGCTGCGCGGGGCTCCTGCTGACGGGCAGCGCTGCCGAGCCGGAAGACGGCTGCGGGCTGGACGGCGAGCTCGGCGCGTCGGAGGGAGCTGCGTCGCCGTTGCTCCCGTACAGGCCAGCCATCTGCGTTCCGGGGCGTGGAATTCCAGCGCGTTGGAGACGGGAATGCTTTCGTATGGCTACGCGGAGGCAGTGAGTGGAAAATGTGTGCCGGGCCGGGCGCGGCGCGAGTCCTTGCGATGAGGTGGAACAGGAGCCGCGCGCCCGAGTCTTACCGCCGCACCCGCGCGCACGCGGCTCGCCGTGCGCACGTAGTCGCTCTCGTGGGCGCTGCTGTCCATGCGGAGCGAGCGTCCGCCTCCTGCGGGGCTACGCGGCTTGCCTAAGTTGCTCCTCTGGCTCGCGCGTTGCCGCTAGCGGAAGGGCTTTCGCGCCGCCGTGCTGCGCTAGGAGGAGCAGGCAGTCCAAGAGCGACGCGTCTAGATCTTTGCCACGTCCGAACGGAGTGCAAGCGCTGCGAGAAGAGCGGCCCGCGCCCTGATGGGCGCAACAAAGCACACGCGGGAACGCGGCCCTGGTAGCGGTCTGGCCTTCGAGGTGTGCCTTCAGAGTGGTGCTTCCTGCTGCAGCACGACGTAGTTGGCCACGCGCTGCCGCTAGGGGCAGGAAAGGAGCGCGGGGGGGTATAGATTCGGTTGCTGACGCGCAGGGCAGGACGCTGTCACTGCGGCGTGCGTGCTGAAGGGGGCGAAACGCACACCGCAGCGTTCACTCCCACGGTCGGGCGGAAACACCCAAGTCGCAGGGCAGCATACCACTACCCGCGCGGTGGCTACTGCGGTGTGCAATGCAGGAGAGGAGCTGCGTAGCTGTGCGGGTGCGCGGACCGAGCGACGCGGCGCCGTCGAGCGTGTTCATAGACGAGGCGGTTGCGCGGCGCGACGGCTGCGCGGGTCGGATATCCGTGCGCTCGGGGAAGGACGAGGAGCACTGCTTTGACGACTTCAACTTCTGCTTGGGTCCTGGAGCCTCCAATCGCGACGTGTTCGAAAAGCTCTTACAGGAGCGCTGCCTGCGCAGCCTCGAGGGATATAACTGTGCAGTTCTGGCGTACGGACAGACAGGCAGCGGCAAGGTGCGCATCGTGACGACGTCGGGAAGCAACGAGATTCCGCCTCGTCTTGCGCGTCCCGACTGAGCTCCGCCGAGAACCTTCTTGCAGACACACACGTTGCTTGGTCCAGCAGCTTCGCTCCAAGACAGCAGAGTCGAGACGGGGGACGGCGTGGTAGGTATGGTGGTCGAGACTTTATGGGGCCAGATGGAGGCGTTCGAGCGCGAGCGAGACTGCAATTACTCCATGCAGCTGCAGATCATCGAGATATATAACGAACAGGCGTGTCCCCGCCACGCCTCTGTTACCCATCCTCCCGCGCGTTAGCGACGAAGCCGGAGGAACAAGGCTGCATCTTGCCCGATATGCAGATCACGGACCTGATGAGCGCGGACGCCAGGGGGCGCCGACAGCTCGTGATTCGCGACGGCAGCGACGGGGCGGGCCCGGAGGTCGCGGGAGCTGTCAAGCGGGCAGTGCAGTCAGCCTCTCAGACGTGCGCCGTCATCACCGAGTGCATGTCGCGGCGGACGATCGGCCGCACCGACATGAACTGCCTCTCATCACGATCACACCTGGTCATCACGTTCTTCGTGCGGTGCGAGCCTGGCACGGCCGACGCCACGTCGGCCTCGGTGACACGCCTGCACATCTGCGACCTGGCAGGTGATCGAGCCTGGGCCGCAGCTTGCCAGAAAAATGCATTGATAGCGTAGCTGCACCGTTGCGAGCGTGCGGAGCAGTCTGCGGCAGAAGCAAACAGCAGAAACCTCACAACACAGGGCGCAACATCGCGAGCCGCAGGGAGCGAGAGACAGCCAAAGACCGGCGCGCAGGGCCAGCGGCTTCGGGAGGGCTGCCAAATCAACCAGAGCCTGTCCACGCTCTCGAGCTGCATCAGCGCCCTCGCGGACAAGAGCCGCCACGTGCCGTACCGCGACTCCAAGCTCACGCGCCTCCTGTCCGACTCCCTGGGCGGCTCCGCGCTGCTCCTGCTCCTCCTCACGGTCAGCCCAGCGCCCGAACACGCGAACGAGACCCTGCAGACCCTGCGCTTCGGCGCGAGGGCTATTGGCGGACTGCAGGGGACAGTTGCGCCCGTGAGGAGGGAACGCGAGCCAGACAGCGCGCAGCTAGCAGCCCTACAGGTACGCCAGCGTAGCTGCACCGTTTTCCCGGACGTTGCACCGCCGCGTCCACCAGCTGCGCCCTCACTTGTGCGTGGCGCGTGCGTGGTCGCAGGAGCGGTGCTGGGTGGCCGAGGCGAGCCTGGCGCGCCTTCAGGCTGCGGTGACTCCCGTGCACCAACGCGGAAAGCACGCCGACTGGGCCACAGGCACGGCGTTGGCCAGCTCGTGCGTCGCGCTGCTGCTGTACGTGGTGGTCGAGGTGGTGTGGGCCCACGTGGGCTGGCGCCTGACTGATGGGCACGGTGCCGAGGAGCAGGCTGCGCGCTCGGCGGCAGGCGGGTTCGGCGCGGTCTGAGCGCGTGGCGCTACAGGGCGCGTCGTGATTCTTCAACTCGGATCGGGGGGGGTTAGGCCGCGCAGCATCACACGTGCACGAGAGCAGTGTGCTGGATGCCTGCGGAGGGGCCTTGTGATGCCGTGAATGTAGAAGTGCGCCGGCCGCAGCCCTGGCAGGTTACGCCACAGGGGGCACGAGCGTTGCTCTCGACTCCCCGTCCTGCGGCGGGAAGTCCGCCTGGTCGTAGATCACGTTGATGAAGAGGCTGCAGCTGGGGCAGTGCGCGATCTCCTCCCCGCGCCGCAGCTCCTCCTGCGCGAGTGGTGGCCAAGGGTGGGTCGGCGAGGACAGAGCGGGCGGCGTCTGTTCCGCGCGCTTCTGCGCGTCCAGGAACGGCGAAGTGTACGGAGAAGCGTTCCGCGTGCGTTTCCGGGGATCCGCACCAGCGTGATCTGGAAGAGGTCGCCGCAAGGGCACGCGTAGGTGTACGCCTGCAGCTCCTCGTTCCAGTCCATATCCTCGATCTCAATTTCGTCGTAGGCCGACATAGCGAAGCCCAACTAGTCCGCCGTGCGCCAGGCACCGATTGAGAGGCACCAGGGGCCGTGGGAAGCTGGCGGCGAGCTGCTCCAGCGTCCTCGCGCGTCCGCGGCGGCTGCGGGCCCCTGAACCGGGTTTGTTCGCTGCTCCAGCGCCGACGGCTCTTCGCTGGGACGAAGCGCGCCGCCGAACGATGTGGCGTGGCAGCGGTGGCGCCTCGAAGGAGCTGAACACGGCGACGGAGCGGGGCCCCGAGGTTCGACCCGTGCTTCTCAGCAAGGTAGGCAGCGCCGCAGTGGTCAAGAGTGAAGGAGTGCCAGGGGGACGCCGCGCTGATGCGACCGGCGCGGGACCCGTCGGACGCCCCTTGTGGGGGTAGTTCGACGCTGCGTCACGCAGTGGAAACCACACGCGCTTCGTTGCCTTCCGGCGGGTTCCGGCACCGCAAGAGGTCGCGCTGGGCGCACCAGGCTCGCGAGAGCGCGTGGACGAGGAGCCAAGTGCGGTCGGTCGTCCACAGCGGCGCAGCATTGCGAGCTGGCAGCGCCAGAGAGGGAGCACCTCGACCCGCGCACGATACAGAAGCGGGGCAGTTTGGCGCTCGCGGTGGACGAGGCCTTGAGGAGTGGGTCCCTGGAGGGGAGTAAAGCCAGCATGGAGGCGCCCACGGCCCCGTACAGGGCCACCGCGAACCAACGCAGCCCGTCGCGGCAGTCCCAGTCGTCGGTGCAGCGCAGCCTGTCGCAGCGCACTAGCTCGGTGAACCGCTCCTTGCCATTCATCACGCCGTTGTCGCGGAGAAGCTCCCTCAACCCCCCTTCACGAGGCGGTTCTTTGACGGAAAGCCTGCTCCGAAGGCAGGCTTCACAGCGCCAAGCGTCGGCCAGCCACCCCATACTTTGGGCAATCAATGAGAGCGTAAGCACGCAACGCCGACCAACCGTGGACCAGACCGCTCCGGGGCCGGCCTGTACGGTCCAATGCCTTGCATTCCGGGACAGCCTCACCCGGGTCTTCGTTGCCGCGCGAACGCTCGTCGGCGCGAATTCAGCAGCGCTGCGGCCCCGTGTCGACCTGCAGACAAAGTGGTGGGTGTCCGGGTCGGCGTTCGTGGTGCTCGTCGCGAGCAGAGACGCCGCGGTGGCCTGGCAACTGGTTGGGAGCATCGCTGCAGCATTCAACTGCAAGCTCTTGAAACGCGTCCTCAACCACGAACGCCCGGACGGCGCGCAGAAATCGGACCCGGGCATGCCGTCCTCGCACGCCCAAAGTGAGTGCGTCCCGCCCCACCCGGCCACGCCCCCCGCAGCTGCAGCACGCGCACGACATCCAGCACGCGACGCGCCCGCCTCCGCCCTGTCCGTCCCGCGCAGGCCTCGCGTTCCTCGGGACGTCCGCGGCGATCGGGCTCCGCGTCTGGTGCCAGGACGCCACGTTGGCCCTGGCTGCGCCCGGCGCGATGATGGCACTGGCGGTGTTCCTCACGTGGCTCCGCGTGGAGCTCGGGTTCCACACGGGCCCGCAGGTCGTCGTGGGGTTCGTGCTGGGCGCGGTGTCGGCGCTGGCGTGGCGCTGGCTGGGCACGGAGGCGGCGCTGCCCATGTTCACCAGCTCCGCAGCGGCGACACTCGCACTCTGGGCGCTCGTGGGCGTCGCGGGCGTCGCGTTCGCCGTGAAGAACGTGCTCGCGTGGGCCAAGGAGAAGGCGCAGTAGCGCGCCCCGTGCGGCCGCGACGACGCACGAGAGCATGCCACTTTGCCCCGTGAATTTTCAAGTGCATGCCCCTGCCTGACAGCTGGCGCTGTCTTGCGACGGACCGCAGCGCACGTCTTGCGGCCACGATCCCTGCCGTCCGACGCCCACAGGCAGACGACGGCGTCTGCAGCTCGGCGGGCGGGAGCGAGCAAGGCCTGCGCCATGCTGCTGCAAATGTGACAGCGCGCAGACCCGCAGCAGGCTCGCCGAGGTCGGGTGCACGCTGCCAGCATGGCGCCGCGACGCTTCGTGCGGCCTTGGAGAACCTCGTTCACTGTCACGTGCGCCACCGGAGTCTGCCGCCCAGCATCGTGCGTCAGACGAGTCCCACTCGTCTGCCGCAATTCCTGTCGCGACGTCCGGCGCAGTCAGCAGCCCTACGCGGGTCCAGCACTCGGAAAGCACGCGGCGCGCCAGCTGCTGCGTGCGAGGGGCCACTGTGTCATACCTTGCTCTTGAGGTCCCCCGGGGGGACTTACACCAATGATGCCAGCGCACGGTGCGTCGAGGGTGCGGGGGCACGGCCGCGCCGGGGAGTTGTTCGGAACACAGTCCGGCCGTCCGTCCTCGCGAGCGTCCGTCGTGTCCACCAGGTGGCAACTGTCATCGCGTTCCGGCACAGACGCACGCTGGCCGTGGGCGCATTTCGGCCGCTGCGCTTTCGAGGGGAACCGGTGCGAGGATGACGATCGCTCCCCACACGGGGGGGCAGGGCGCCCGGTTTTTCCGCGAGGTGGGTTCCTGTAGACCGAGAGAAAACAACCTAAGCACTTCGCTTCTGTCCGCGCGTAGCGGCTCACGACGCGCGGGTGGCGGACCTTTTCATGAGGGCATTCGTTGCAGCGCGCCGTGGCGGGTTTGGTAGGCGTTGGACGCGCGCAAGGCCCGCCCCAAACCTGCTGCGCTGTTCGGCCCCACGCGGCCCGCAGGTGTGTCGTGCGATGCCGTTCATCATGAGGCACTACCACATGGACGAGTTCATGACCATCTCCCAGTTGAGGCGGGCCGTGGCGAACAAGTTCCGCGAGTGAGTGGCCCTGTGTGTGCACACAGCCGTGCCCCTGCGCGCCTCCTGGACGCGGCTGTGCGCGCTCTGCGACCGCAGTCGCGAAGAACAACCCGTCGGTCTGGCTCAAGGGCACGCCTTTCAAGGCCGCCGCCCGTGAGCGAGCCATGTGGCTCGAGACGAGCAGCTCACTAGACTGCGCACCCACGTGCGGCGCGGGCTCGTTCGGGTCATGCTGTTGACCGCGGACTCTTCCTCGCCAGCGAGCCATGCCGCGCAATCAGCGTCACTGCCTTGAAGTCCACCGAACCTCCGCCGTTGCGACATGCAGCAACTCACACATCAAGGACCCGAAAGCGGTCGCGCTGCTCATTTTCAAGGGCCGCCAGGAGCTGGAGGAGGTCATCAAGACGTTCAAGAACAGGTGAGCAGCTTCAAACGAGGTCGATCCGCGCCTCGCCGCACGCCCTGGGCGTGCACCTCGGCAGCAGTGCCCTGAGGGGGCCGTGCCTGGTCCGCACGCGCACCGCAGGCACCACCTGATCACGGAGTATGTCTCGCGTGCGGAGGAGAAGGTGCACGCCGCCGGGGAGTCCTCGAAGTTCGGTGCGATGGACGCACGGTCGCCCTTCCTGAAGGCCTTCCTGCAGAGCAACAACACCGAGAAGGCTGCCGGGTGGTAGGGCGGAACGCTCCCGCTCGAGCAGCCCTGTGACTCTCCCTCCCTTCCCGGCCGCGTCACGGGCCAGGTTCGCGCGCTGGGCTACGTGGGCGACGAATGAGGATGGGATGGTGTTGAGCTGCCCGGTCTCGCGTGGCGAGAGGAGGGACAGTGCGACGAGTGAACGCGGGGCGAAGCGCGCAGAGGGGACACGACCGCCGTTGCTGCCAGCGACGCGCAAGTGCATCTCGGGCTCGAAGAGTTCACGAACTTTCAGGCACCTTCAGGTTGTTCGCCGACCTTCAGGTACCATGGCCGCGAGGATAGTACTTCGCTGACCTACAAGCACCCTCGCCGCGAGGATGCTTGAGCGACCGAAACAGCGCGCCGCACTCACGGCTCGCTGGCGGGGGGCGGCAGGTGGTTGTTACACCGCTTGACTTGCAGCTGAATCATGTCTGTGTGTCGGCGGCCCGCACGTTGCGTGGGGCTCGCCGCGAGCCAAAATGCACCCTCTAATCAAGGACGCGTGGGCGTGCTCAGGTGCCGTGGCATGCTCTGGCGGTGCCTCGCGGGCGTGCAGAAAGACGGATGTGTCAGGATGGCTGTAGTTGCGCAGGGCAGTGTGCTGGCAAGTTGGTTGGGTGTTCGCTTCGCGCGTGGTGGTGTTGTTGAGTGTTCTCTGCGGGAAGCAGCGAGCGGGGCGCGCTTCGAACCGCTTTGAAAACAAAAAGGTCCGTACGGCAGGTGGCTCGTACGCCCTGGTGCCAGGTTGGAGGGCAGGCTGACGCCCGCGGAGTTGAAGAGACACCAGCGCCGGGTGGGCAGCTGCGATGTCAAATACTCGCGTCCTGGAGCGCAGCGGCGGGGCGCTGACGCAACGGGCGGCGCGTGGGGTGCTCTTGAGCGGGAGCGGCAAATGCGATCTGAAAGCCGCGGCCTAGAAATGCCATGCAAGGCTCCTTGTGTTGCCGCGCTTGCTGGACGTGGGGTAGCACGCGGGCGGAAGCTAGGCCTTGCGCCGCCTGGGTACAAAGGGCCGCAAGGGGCATGGGCGGTGCGGCGCGCAACGTGCGTCACGCGCGCACGGGTGCGGCGCGGAGTCGAGTCAGGGCGTGGCGGGGCGGGGCGGAATGGAGGAATGGAGGGGTGGGAATCAGGCCAGGTGGGTTTGTTCTTGGGTTCCGCGCCGCGCTAGGCGCAGGTGGTCGAACGAACTACTCTGGGGCCTGGTTGAACAGGTGCAGGTTTTGTTGTTGGTAGGATAGCTGGGCGTTGTGGATAGGCACAGCGGGCCACGAGAGCGCCCCCGGGGGGGCTCGTCGTGATTTCGTGCCAGGAGGTGACGTAAACACCTCTCGTGCAAAGGTGCGTTTCGTCGCAGAGAGAGGTCTGCCGATCACGTCCTGGTCAGCACGGTGGTCTTGGCTCGTGGCTTGCGGCAGGCAGTGCAGCCGTCCGCGCCGCGGTGGTTCCCAGGCTCGATCTCGCGGACACAAATCGAGCCAACGAGGCAGAGGGGGGCATGCGTATGTGTCCACGCCGTGAAACTTCCCACGCGTGGAACATCCAGTGCCAAGGGAGGTGTGAGTTCTTGGGTCGGGCGAGTGCGTGGGGGGGCCGAAGGGTCCGGGGTATGACAGGCAAGGGGGCTGGGCGCACGGGCAGGGGGCCACACGCTGCCCCTCGGGGGCATGCCAGGAAGGGGGCGGGGGGAAGAGGAGGGGGGGAACACTGAATGTGGTATGAATCGAGTGTCCCGCTGTCAGTCTCGGGGTCGCTGGGGGCTCTCGGGCCCGCCTTCGTGTTGTGGCTGCTGTGACAGATGAGCAAGCGCCGCCAGCGACGGCGCGGGGAGGGACGCGGGCACCGGCGGCGCGTCTGACGCCGGCAGCGCGCTCGTCACCGCGATGGCCGACAGCTCCACGGCAGGCGCGTCCAGCGCCGCATGGCCCGCGCTCAGCCGCCCGTCCGCGCTCGCGCGGCCCCCGCGGCTCTGCCAGCACTCGAGCAGGAACTGCGCGCTGCCGCGGTTGCGGATCGAGTTCAGGTCCGGCGGCACGTGCGGGAAGTTCCGGCTGGGCTTGCCCAGCATGAAGCACGCCGTGTCGTACGCGCACGCCGCGTCGTAGTCCGTCGCGTAGTACCCCAGGTTCAGGTGGCGCGAGCCCGTCCAGACCTTCGACTCCCACTTCCCCGTGCGCGAGTAGAAGCGCGCGCCCTTGTATGGGCTGGAACCGATGCGGCTGCGCGCCACCGAGGGCTCGACGCGGCGCGCGTCGGTGCGGAAGCCCGGGTCGCCCGGGGTGCGCTCCATGAGCATCTTGCGCGCCGCGTCGCTGCGGATCAGGCAGGCCGAAGGGCTCTCCTCCGGGATGTTGGTCTCGTGAACGCCGTAGCCGAGCTGCGGCCGGGGACGAGCGGGCGCGGGCGACGTGAGGCGCCGGTCCGATACGCGCACGTGCGCGACCGCGGCGGGGTCAGTGGCGGGCGCAGAGCTGCGCACGTACGCAGCGCGGGAGGGGAAGGGGTGGGGGTGGGCGCACCAGGTGGCAGGCGGCGTCGTACGCGCGTGCGGCGTCGATCTCGTTCGTGTAGTTGCCCAGGGTGATCTCCTGCGAGCCCTTCATGATCCGCGCGTACCACGTGCCCCGCGACCACGTGACGCCCCGGAACACCGACGACCGCCGCGGCACCTTCGGGTCGCCGCCGTTCGCGTCCCCGTCGCTCCTGCGCTGCGTCTTCCGCCCCGTCCCCGACGAGCTCGTCGGCGGCAGAGGCGGCCGCGGGGCCGCGGGGGCGGGGCCCTGGGGCGGCGGCAGCGCAGAGAGCAGCCCGTTGAGCAGCGTCGCGTCGCCCTGCGGCCCGTGCGCGAGCTGGGACTGCGGGAAGAGCGGTGCGCTGAGGGCGGGCTGGAACTGCGGCGCCGGGAGGTCCCACGGCGCGCTGGCCGGCAGCGCCGGCGCAGGCACGGAGGCGTACGGCGCCGCCGGGGGGCCGTCCGACTGCGCGCGCAGGGCCTTGACGGCGAGCGCGAGCTCCTGCGTGAGCTGCGCGATCGAGGTGAGGATGCTGTGGTCCGCCCCGCCCGCGGCCGGCGGGAGCTGCCCGAGGAGGCTGCTGACGTCAGGGCGCGACTGCGGGAGCTGGAGCGCGTACGGCCGCTGCGGGGGCGAGGGGAAGTACGCGGAGTGCTCGAGGGAGCGCGGGGGCCCGCCCGTCAGGCTCTGCAGCACCGCGCCGAGCGTCTGCTCCTCGAGGACGTCTGCGCGATGCTGGCGCAGGTGCTGGTGGCTTTGCTGCTGGTGCAGGTGCGCCCTGAGCACGTCCGCGACGAGGGAGTCGCTTGCGAGAGACGGCGGCGCGGCCTGAGGCGGGTTGCCCGGCGGCGGCAGCCAGGAGCGCCCAAACGGATCGGCGTCTGTGCGTGGCGGCGCTGGGGCCGGGGGCCGCGCTCGGCCTTCGCCGGCCAGCATGCGCAGCATATCCTGCGCGCTCAGCTGCTGCGGCCTGCCATCCTGCGCGAGGCTGCCCCCCCCCGCGTCCCAGCTCCCGCCGTGCCCGGCCCCGTCGCGCGCCGGGAGCGCGCCCGGCCCCGCGGCGCCGCCGGCGAAGAGCCCGCTGGACGCCGCGAGCGCCTGGAGCACGTCCCTGCTCGAACGCTGGGCCGCCGGAGCGCCGGAGCCCGCCTCACGCGACCCCTCGCGCCCCTGCGCTGTCGCGAGCAGCTGCGCAAGCAGCGCCTCCTGCGGGGGCACGGCGGGGGGCGGGCGCGTCAGGCGGCGGTCCCTCGGAGACCTCTGCCTCGCTCGGGGCGGCAGGCCCCGTCTGCGCCAGTTCCCAGGCCGGCGCAGGCGGGCTGGCCTAGGAGACGTCCTCGAGGGTTCGCGGGGGCGGGTGCGGGGTCCGAAAAGGCCAGACCGCGGCCGCGCAGAGCCCTCGTGCGGCCGAGAGCGCGCTGATGCGCGCGGAGCGCCGCGGCCGGCGCGTGCGGCGGCGGTGGCGGGTGGCGTAAGAGGCCGCCGCGCACAAACAGGGCCACTCAGCGGCGCGGGCGCGCGGCGGGCGGCTGTGGCCGGAGCAGCATCGGCGGCGTGCGGGACGGCTGCGGGCGCCGTGCGCGTCTAAGGGCGGCGCGGGCGGCCCGCGGTCGCGGGGGCGTGGCCCGGGCGCCCAGGCAGTGTGACGCATTGCAGGGAGCTGGCGGGGCGCTGGCGCGCGCAGCGGGGCGCACGCTGGTGCGCGGGCGACTGGGTGACGTGCAGGGATGCCGGGGTCGGCCCGGCGAGCGTTGCGCGGGGTTCTTGCGCGGAAAGCGCGCGGCGAGCAGCAGCAGTGGCCGCACCTGGCTGCTCATCCGCCGCGAACTGTCCTGGCCGGCTTAGCTCCCGTGCGGCATGCCAGAACGGCGTGGGGGAGGGGGATAGCGACGCCTGACGTGCACGGGCCGCGGACTGGGGCACTGCGTCGCCGCGTTTGCCGGCTGTTGCCTGGAACTGGGCCCTGGCAGGTTGGTGCGATGAGCGAGGGGCGGCAACAGAGCGCCCGACGCGACGACGTGGTATCCCTATTCTTGCACCAGAGGTCGCTCCCGGCTGCTCGGCCCGAAGACGCCGCTGCGGGGCGCTACGACAGATCGAACCGATCGAGGCAGCACATTCCAAGACTGCGCTGCGTGGAGGCTGCGAAGGGTGTTCCGTTGCACCCACGCGCCTGGATTCGGTGAGATTTGAAGCGAGACCGCGACCGGGCGTGCCCTCGTGCCCACGGCGTCCCCCAGCGGCCCCACAGACGCCACTGGGAGGTTCGTTGCACCCCCAGCAGCGCTCCTCCGGGCCCCCCGGGGGCCCGGGGCCGCCCCGTCGCCCCGCCTCGGCCTTCGAGCGCCCCCGTCGGCGCCCCCCCGACGTGTGACAGCGCCGCAAGCGGAAGCGCAAGCAGCGCCCGCGTCCGCCCCCCTGCTGCGTTGCCGGCACTTCCCGCCCCCGCAGCCGCTGAACACACGCCCAGCTGTGCCCCCCTGCCACCGCGCCGCCCGTGTGAGAACACGCACGACAGTTCCGCCGACTGGCACGCCGCTAGGCCCGGGAGACGGCGACGTTACGCCTCGCCTCCCACTTGTGGTAAGCTGCCGCGCGGCCGCTGGGGCCCGCCGGCGCAGCGAAGCCCGGGTGAGGTCACGAGTCATGCGCGCCAGAGACCAGATTTCGCTCGCGAGCGCGCCTGCGGCTCCCAGCTGCCCGGGTGCGCACCCTCGGGGGTGACCAATCCCCTAAATTTGCCGATCGGGGGCGTAGAGGGGCGCGTACCGCGGATCGGAGGCATCCGAACGCTGCCACTAGGGCGCACGCGCACGAGGGCCGCGAGCTGCGCGCACCATGGAAGCTACTGCGCCCAACTGCGGTGCCTCGCGTGCTACGCCGGCGCCGCCCCTCGCGTCACTTGCCCTTGCCCCTCGGCTCGTAGCACCGGGCGCGCGAGGGCGCTCTTGGGGCGCGCGCGTGACCTGCCTCCCGCGCGCATCGTCGACAACGGCCACGGAGCGCCCAGAATACAGGCCAGGACGCTGCCCGCCGGCGGGTGCGCTAGCTGTCAGCGGCACTGCAGCGGCCTCGTGAGGGGTCCGTGACGGGCGCAGCTTCGCGTGGCGCCCGTCTTCGGGCGCTGGCTGCCGGTCGGGCGGGTAGCTGCGGGGCCCGCGTCGCTCCTTTCGCGCGCACGGACATTCCGCTGGCCGCCGCTGCCGCAGCTATGGAGTGCCAGCTCACTCGTTGCCCTGCAGCCACGGCGGAGCCTGACAAGCGGCGGACCTGGCACCCCGGCCGGGCTCTCCAGCTCCCGAAATCCCCGGAAATCGCCCGCGTGGCCGGGTCGGGTGGCGTCCCCGCGACGTAGGGGCCCCTCAACCTCGGCTGCTCAACCTGGACGCCCAGTCGGCGTCACGGGCCGCGGGGAGGACCCCGAGCGGCGTTGTTGCGCCAGCCGGTCGTGGTTGCCCAGAAGAGCGAGGCTGCGACGAAACTGCGACGGAACTGCGCACGAGGTGTTCGACGCGGCGAGCAGAGGCGGCGCACATGCTCGTTGTAGGGGAGGACCGCAGTGACGTCCACGTGCGACGCTCCGGCTCGCAGTTGAATGCAGCTGGATGCGATCGGTGTGACAGCTGCTGGTGCCCTCGGGGCGATGCCAAGGTCGGTGCGGGGCAACATGTTTGTGTGTATTCGGGCGCCCAGTGCTCGGTTCGCGGTGGTCCTGCGCGGTCGACTGCGACTTGGACTTGCAGGCCCGACGTCGCGCCCCGGGCACACACACGGCGCCAGAAGCAGTGGCGGGCGCGGGAGCTCCGCGTGCACTGCGGCGGAGCACAGCCGCCTCCGCGTCGCAGCAGACGTCGGCAATTGGTGACGCAGCGAAGCGCGCGTCGGCGCAGAAACCACCCGGACCTTGACGGGCAGGTCTGCTGCCGCGCCCGCGAGCCCGCGCGACCAGCTACACGACGGCACCCACGGGGGGGGGGTGCGGAAGTACCCACCCGTCAACACGGCGCGGCGGTGTATTGCGGGCTCTTGAGGGGCGGGGCCGCTCCGTCGCCGCAGTACGAGAGCAGTCCGCAGCAGGCCGCGACTCAAGCGCTCCTGCCCTGCCACAGCTCTTTCCCGCGGACACCTCGGACGCGTAGGGCAGACCAGGCACCCGCGGGGGGCAGCCTGACGACATCGCACGCTCGGTCTTTCGCGCAAAAGTCAGCATGCTGAGCTTACAGAGGCCGGCTGCGCCGATGGCGGCCGCCCAGGCAGGCTCCAGGCGCGCTGCGGCCCCTGGAAGGACGAGCACCCCTCGTGCAGCTTCGTCCTCTTCGGCGGCCACGGCGGCTCCCACGACGGCGCAGTGGCGCGTCACCGATGCTGCAGTACAGGCGTCATTCTCCTCCGTGGACAAAGCCGACGTGAGCCCCCTCGTGGACCCGCTATCGCGGCCCATCTGCACCTGCGCTGCTGCTCCGGCGCAGCACGCAGGCGGTCCCGGGGCCTCTGTCACGACAGCGCTACCGCGCTCTTGTCTCCGTCGCCTCTCGTGACCTCAGCCGCTCGGCCCAGCCGTCCCGCAGGGCGTGGAGACGGAGGCGGAGGTCCGCGGCGAGCTCCCGAGCTGGCTGGTGGGCTCGTACTTGCGCAACGGGCCCGGCAACTTCGACGGCATGCAGCACCTCTTCGACGGCTACGCGATGCTGTGCAAGGTCCGCTTCGACGGCGCGCGGTGCTTCAGCAGCCACAAGTAAGTCCCCCGCGCCCCACGGCGGCACGCGCGACCGCTGTCCGCCGCGCTGCCCGCCGGAGCGCTGCCCTCGCGACCTGCGGTGCGCCCACGTGCCCCAGGTTCATCGAGACGGAGGCGTGGAAGAGCAAGCGCGATCTCGGCAAGATGCGCTGGCGCGAGTTCGGCACCGCCATCCCGTCCGAAAGCGGGCTCCAGAAGGCCGCGGAGTACGCGACGACGATCCTGGGGTCGATGGGCCTCACGCAGGGCGTCACGGACAACGCGAGCGTGAACGTCGTCCCGTGGGCGCCTGGCACGGCGCTGGCCATGACCGAGACTGTTGCGGGGACGTACTCGGTCAGGCCAGCATCGCTCGACACCGTGGGGCCGTTCCGCTTCAAGGACGACCTCCCGGGGCAGCTCACGACCGCGCACCCGCAGCCGGACGGCCAGGGGGGTCTATTGAACATTACGTCGGACCCAGTGGCGGGATTCACGCTCTACCGCGTCGCGCAAGGCACGGCACCCCCCCTGGCTGCGTGCACAGCTGTCTACGATGCGTCCCTTCGCGCTCGTCGCGCCGGTGTCGACGGGGACGCCCCGTCCTCGCCCGCTCGCGCACTTGGACGTTTCAACGCAATGCGGAATCGCACCGCACGGCTCTCGGCCCCCGCTTGCCGACGCTAGCTCGCGCACAGCACCGCCGAGATCAGAACGGACCGGTCCCGGCGTTCGCCCGCCCCTGCAGGCAGCGACAGGCGCGAGGAGATTGCGCGCATCCCGCACCGCCGGCCCGGGTTCCCGGCGTGGGTGCACGCGTTCGTCGCGACGCCCAACTGGGCCGTCATCCCGGAGTTCCCGGCCTTCTTCAACCTCCTCGGCCTCATGACCGACACGTGAGACCCCCCCCCAACCCCCGCCAGTCCCACAGCCCGCGATTGCGGACTCCGAGCGCCGCCTCGCACCGCGCCGAAGCGCACAGCGTCTCTCTGCGTTGCAGGCACGTCGACCAGGGCGCGTACTTCATCGAGTGGAAGCCGGAACTCGGCACGTTCTACCACGCAGTGAACCTGCGCACGGGCGAGCGCCGCACCTTCCGCGCGCCCGCGGGCTTCACATTCCACTTCTCCAACGCCCACGAGTCCCCCGACGGCTCCACGCTCTACGTCGACGCCGCCGAGTTCGCCGACCTCGAGGTCGTCGACCGACTCAGCATCTCGGGGCCGAAGGTCGACGCGACCAAGGGGATCTCGCCGTCCACGCTGCGGCGCATCGCGCTGCCGCTCGACGCCGTCGCGGCCAACGGCGGGCGCGTCGTCGACATCCCCCGGGGGGAGTCGCTCGTTCCGCGGCCTGACGAGGCACTGGGGGGGTTCTATGAGTTCCCTGCGATCAACCCGGCCTGCCGCGGCCGGCCGTACCGATACACGTACGGCGTGTGCGCGGTGCAGCCCACGCGGTTCGGCAACGCGCTGTGCAAGGTGGACACCACGACCGGCGCGACGACGGTGTGGCACGAGGACGGCGCGATTCCGGGGGAGCCGACGTTCGTGCCGCGGCCGGACGGCGCGGGCGAGGACGACGGGGTGCTGGTGTCGGTGATCACGGGCGGCGACGGGCGCGCGGCGGTCGTCGTGCTGGACGCTGAGACCATGGCCGAGCTGGCGCGGTGCCAGCTGCCGTACGAGCTGCCGTACGGGTTCCACGGCGGGTGGTTCGGCGAGGTGTAGGGCGACGCACTGCTGTGTACGTGCGCAGCGCGTCAAGCCGCTTCACTGTGAAGCAGCGCTCCTGGCGCGCTGTGCCCGTCGGTGAGCAGCAGGGGGGTGTCGCGGTGGCGCAGGGGTGGGGGCGCAGGCCAGGGCCGTAACGTAGCCGAGCGATTCCTCCGGTAGGTGCTGTTGCGGGGTTTCGTTGGTGCCGCGCCCACCTGGTGCGCTTGGAGGCTGACCGCAGGGTGATGCAAATCTCCGCGACTAGAAGGGTCCGTCGTTGAGCCGCACCGCACAGTTTTACTACGGGGCGGCCACGAAGCGAGCGAATGAATGCGTCGCAGTGCTTGGCGCCGTTGGCCTGACGTGGCAGCGCCCCGGTCGATGTTGCTGTGTCAGGTATCGCTCTCATCAGCGACGGTCGTATTGCGGGGGATCGCGGCATCAGATGGGCGCAGCGCGCGGCGCCAGGCGGCGCACGGGGCACCTCTACGTGCGGGACGCGTTATACCGGGCGCCGAAGCGCGTCGGGCCCCGCGGCCCGCCTGACAAGCGGGAGGAGTGGCGCACCTCCCCGGGGAACCTGCGACTTTACCCCCCCTGCTCGCCGCGGCTACATTGGGCCGCGCCGCCGGCCGGTAAGTGTCACAGTCGTCGAGGTCATCGCATCGAGCACCCGTCCGGTCCCTGCGCATCAGCAGCAACAACACTCGCCTCCACACTCCAAAAGAGAGCCTCACACTCACCATGGGCAAGGACCACGGCAAGAAGGCCCAGGTGCGCCGCATCTCGCCCGTCCCCGCTCTGCTTTCACGCTGAACTACGCGAAAACCGCGCGATCGCGTGGTCCGCCGCGCCGCGCTGCGCGCTACGGCCACCGCGGCTCGAGCGGTTGGTGGACAAGACCGTTGCTCGCGCGCCGCCCACAGGGCGTCGCTCCGGGCTTCGACGCCGCTATCCAGCGCGATTGAGACATACAGCAGCGCGATTTCCCTAGATACGCCGCGATACGCCCCATGCCGCGAATGGGCGGCAGGGTCGAACTCTGGTGGCCATCGGATTACCTGAGGGCCCCCTCGCCGCTCCCCGGTCGTTTTGACGCGCGCGCCGCACGCGCTGCCCTGCGGCGACCTCATCGACTCACGCGAAACGCGCCCTCGATCCGCTGCCTGCAGCCCGCTGCGGCCCCGGCTGTCGCCCCCCCTGCGGCTGAGGTCAAGGGCGCTGGCAAGGCGGCCGGCAAGCCCGACCACAAGGGCAAGGGCGCCGCGAAGGGCAAGGGCCGGAAGTAACCGCGCGGCAACGCCCTCCCGCCGTGAGCGGCTCCCGCGGCCCGCGGGAGGGTCCCGGGGAAGACGTCGGATGGGATCGCGTCTGGCTGCGCCCGGGCCTCCGCCGGCCAGGGCGCCGTGGCTCGGCAACACCGCGAGCGTGCTGGGCTCGCAGCTGCGCCAGCCGCTCGGCGCCTGTCAGGCTGCATGTGAAAACTGAGTAACACGTCGAAGTCCAGTTGTTCGCCTCATGGGTCACGCCTCACGGGCTCCGCGCGCGCCGAGCGCCTCGTTGAGCGTCCAGATCCGCGTCGCTTCCATCAGCCGCTCCGCGTCCACGCGTTGCATTGGGCCAGCGGCAGAGGGCGCGCTGTCCCTCCGGAAAGACACCTCCTTCCACTCCCCCGGCGCCAAAATGAAGGCATTGGGCTCGTAGCGCCCTGCACGCCACCGGCGACTCTGTTCCGCATGAGAGGCACACCGCAGGCAAGTCAGACTGCGTCCGGGACAGGGAGGGGGTCTTGCCTGGTATTGTCGCCTCCAGGAACACGACCGCCGCTGTCTCGCTGCACGAGACCTCCAACCAGGTCCATGACTCCACGCTGTCGGGCCCGGGGCGTGGCTGCCGCCCTGCGTGCCCGAACGTGTACCGCCACAGCAGCACGACCGGTCTGACAAGACTTGCAGCGGCGCGAGCCACCAGCCCCTGCCCGCGGGCCCCGCGTCTGGCCGCCGCGCGAATCTCCACGCCCGGCGTCGGCGACAGGTCCGCCGCGGCGTAGGTTCCGGACAGAGGGAAGAATGCTGCACCCTCCAGGGTCGAGTGCGCAACCTTATACCTCTTCCGCGGCGTCCAGGAGTGCGGACGATCGCCCGAACACTTCAGGTATAGCTCAGCCGCGAAGTCCGCCGGCTCGAGCGAGCCCTGGCCGAACACGACGTCCTCCAGGTGCGTCACGCCGCTCTTGCGAGCCGCGCCAGACCACTCCAGCCTCCAGTCTGTGGCTTGCTCGCCCCCGCGCCACGCGACGTGCCTCGAGTACACCTGCACGTCGAGGCGAGAGTGTGAACGACTCATGGGCGAACGTCGCCGCTCGAAACCACACCTCGTGGCTCTATGTTCAATCACCGCTTAGACTAAGCAGCAAAACGAGGGCTCCGGGACGTGCGCCGCCAGGACCTCTGCAATGCTGCAACGCAGCGAGCCGCGTTTCCGGCCCCGTTCGACACTCCGCGGGCGCCCCGATCTCTCACCTCGCACTGGACCTCGTACTTCATGTCATTGACGACGGCGACCTTGGCCGCGCCCCGGTCCGGGAGCGCTGTCGCCACCAGCGACACGTCCCGGCCGCCGTGCCACGACAGCGCGTGGTGCAGCACCTTCCAGCGTCCGCTGCGCGACACGCTCGACCACGACGCCCCCGCCCAGACCTCGTTCAGCTGCCAGTAGAGGATCCCGCCGTTCCGCGCCGACCGCGTCGGCTGACACGGACCCTGCGTCAGGTGGATGTCCCGGCCGAGCCCCCTGCTTTGCAGATCATGGGTACAAAGAAGACGTCAACTCGACGTCCTGAATTGTCTCGCGCCGGACAAGAGAGTCCAGAGCCCAGAGAAATGCGCAGTCGACGCGGCGCCCGCTGCCCCGCGCCGCGACGTACGGCGCCTGCCTGTACCGCCAGCGCAACGCGACGCAGAGTAGCGAGGTGATGTGGGGGGACACGACTGCCGCAAGAGAGGCCAGGGGCGCTTACGTCGCGGTGCCATCGCAGGGCATGCGCCCCAGGCGCCACCGGTCGATCGCCGTCGCGTAGCAGATTGCCTGCTGCACCTGCGTGAGGAACGACCATCGGTCCAGCCAGTTCGCGGGCTCCTCCGCGGGGCCCGGCGCGCCGGCCCCACTTCCAAAGAGCCGCGCCACTTGTGCCTCCAGCTGCGCCTTCCCGCCCGGGTGGCGCTGGCGGTGCGCCATGGCCTGGTGCAGGGCCTCGAAGTCCGCGAAGTCGTCGTCGGCGAGCTCGTCCATCCAGTCCAGACCCGAAGACAAGGACTGAAAACCGAACTCCGAGATCAGGTTGGCCATGGGGTAGGTGCTGGGGTCGTCGCACGGCGACTGGTAGTCGTAGAAATGCACATCGCCGCGGCGGGGGTCGTTGACGTGTTCGGGGTCCAAACGCTTGGTGTACGGGCGCCACTGCTCGACGCCGTTTGATGGAGAGGAGTCAATGAAGATCATCCAGCTGTCGACCGCGCCCACCGCCGAGTGCACGGCGTCGATGAAGAGCGCCTCGTACTCTGCAGGAACCTCCGCACGCGCCCGGCGAGGTCAGAGCCGCGGTCGTGTCGCGATGGCCCGCGTGCATCAAGGCAGCTCTCGCACCCGCCGTGCTCTCAGAACGGCGTGCGGGCACCGAACGAACGTTGTGAGGACTGCTCAGGAGACGGATCGCCGCACCTTGTTCGAAGAGTGGGCGCGCCGCGGGGTCCTTCGTTTCCTCGTACCACGACAGCGACTGTTCGACCTCGTTGTTGCCGCCCCACAGAACGACGCTCGGGTGCCACGCGATCCGCCCCGCCTGGTGCGCGGCCTCGCGGATCGCCGCGCGCTGCTGCTCGACGGTCGCGGGGTACGGGCTGCACGCGTACGCCGACTCCTGCCACACCATGATGCCTTGTTCGTCGCACGCGTCGTAGAACGCGTCGCCCTGCAGACACGCAACGTCGTTCATCGAACGGTCGTCATCGGCACGAGCTGGACGCGCAGATTGAAATAGAACGTGTGGCGCCACAGTAGCGCTCGTACGGGAGGAGCGCGCGCGCACCTGGTACCCTCCTCCGCCCCACACGCGGACCGTGTTGAGGCCCGCGTCCGCCAGGTCCCGCAGCCGCGCCAGCGTCTTCTCGTCCTCCCCGCCGGGCCCGAGGATCAGATCTGCGGGCACGAAATTCGCCCCGCGCATATACACCCCCTGGCCGTTCACCACGAGGTAGAACGACTCGTCCTCGATGTTACCGTTGCTGCCGTCCTCGTCCGCGAGCGGGCCCGTCACGAGCTGCACGTGCCGGAACCCCACACGCCTCTCCATCGCCAGACGCACCTCCTGCGGGTCCCCGCCGACGCACGCCTGGTTCCTGCGCCCGGAAGACGCCGCGCCATCCGTCCCCTCCATGCCATCGTCTGCCCCGTCCGACGCCGACCCCGGGTGCTGCCCTGAGATGCAACGCACTGCACCCTTCACGACGACGCTGGCGGTGTACAGCGGCTGCTCGCCGTACCCGCGCGGCCACCACAGCTTCACCGGTCCGCGTACCTCGAACACTCCCCTCGCCTCTCCGATGCCCGGGCCGTCGGCCGAGAACGGCTGCGCGCCGATGAGCGCAACGGCGTCGCCATCAGGCCCGAAGAGCTTCACCTGCAGCGTGCCTTCGAAGCGGAGGGAGGGCTGCGCGTCCGGGGCCTGCGTCGGCGGCCCGATCCTCACGCTGACGGTCACGTAGAGGTCCCACGGCCCCGCAGTGAGCGACGACATCTTGCGGGGAACCGCGCGGGTGTGCACCCACGTCACTTCGGCGGCCGGCGGCGGACCGACGCTGACCTGCACGCAGCGAGCGCACGGGCGAGGGGCGCGGTTCCCAGGGAGCGAGCGACGAATGTTGTCGTCGGCGTCGACGCGGTGCAATGTCGGGCCCTTGCTGCGGCGGGGGCGTCGCACCGGACCGAGCACGCCGACTGGGGCGAACGCGGGCGCCCAGTCCCACCCGAACCGCACCGCCGGGGTTCGCAGGAAGTTGTACCCGGGCAGCATCGAGGGGAGGTTTTGTGCCATTGAAGGAACGGGGTGCTGGGAGGCCCGCGACATGCGCTCGGCGAGCTGCGCAGCGGACCGGAAGCGGACGTCCACGCGCGGGACCGGGCTCGCGAGCGCGGACGCCGGCACGCAGAACTGGTGCGGCAGGAAGGCGTTGGTTGCCGCGCCGACTTGGATGCCCCCCACGGAGATGGTTGCCGGGCCGTCGAGCGCATCAAAGGTGATCTGCGGGGATGTGTGAGGATGACAGACTGTGTGTGTCTATTTATATCCGCGTGGAGCGTGCTGGATGTGCGCTGGGGGATGCACGAGGCGGTCTTGCCTGCAGCGCGCATGCTTCGTCGTGCGCGCCCAAGTCGGGCAACGAGAAGGTTGAGGAGTACGTCCAGTCCGTTTCAGCGACCCACCTGGTGGACGCCTCGCCGTACCTGCGCACACAGAGCACGCATCGCCTGCCTGGAAGTTGGACCTGGTGGCGCGCGGGCGAGGGTGAAATGTGTGCCGCTGGGGGAGAAAGAAGGTCTCTGGCACGATCCCTGCCGCGTCGTACCCGCGCAGCGGGTCTTCGATCCCGCCAGCCGCGAGCAGCGCCGCGTGAACGTGCCCGGGTGTAGAGCTGTCCGCCAGGTTGAGACAGAACGCCGTGCCGTTCGGATCTGAGCCCGACAGGGTCCATGCATCGAGAACTTGCGTCCCAGCTGTCGCGAACGGCGCCGTCCCGGCGATCATTGCGAGAAGCAGGAGCATTGCACCACCAAGTCGCCTCTTCGCCTCCCCTACAGCATGCCTTGCACGGCAGCCCGCACCACCCTGCCGAACGAGTAGACCCTCAACGATCACGTCGGCTTCTCCCTCGGATGAAACGCTGCAACAACCGTGCACGCGCTATCTGAACTGCTGCATGGCCAGACACGACGCGGTTCCCCGCCAACTGCCTAGCACGACCGTCGCGGACGCTCGCTCACTCTGCGTCCACGCACGAGCGCACTGCCAGGACGATGCGTCGCTCGCGGTCGATGTTCGCTGAATCTTCGCGGGGCGATGTACCCGTGACGCCCCCCGTGACACAGCCGGAGCCTCTGTGGCGGGTCGCACGGGCTGATTGCGCGCCGCGCCGGAGCACCACTGCCACTCGAAATGGATTGAGCACCGAGCCGCGTGGTCGGTTGCAGCTCTCGTGCGGAGACGCCTGGTGGAGCGCGGTGCTGGTCTCTGGTGCCGTTCCGGGCGGAGAAGTGATCCGGAGAGCAACAGCGTACGCGGACTGCCCGTGTAGATATATCCGGACACAGTCACGATGGGAAGGTGAGCTCCAGCGCCCCCTGGCCCCTACAGCAGCCTCCATCACAGCTCTGGCTGTTTCGGCCGCTGCGCGTCTCTTGCGGGCCCGACCCAGGAGAGTGCCGTCGGTTTCGTCATTGCGTGCTCCTCAGGCTCGCCGCGCGATCGAATTTACCCGAATGAGGCGCACACGGGGCCCCCGAAGCCCAGCTGGGTGCTTCCGCCGGGTGCAGCGTTTTCGCGCCCAGGTCATTTGACGCGGAATCACTGCCGGCACACGCTCAGAGCGCATCCTGCGTCGCCGCGAGCGCCGTCTCGCACGCCCGCGCCGTCCCCGGGAAGCCAGAGCTCGGCAATACCCACTCGCCCCAGTCCCGCGCTCACGGCAGTTTCAGGCCATACAACTGCGTTCACTAGCGCTCCTTCGCACACGGCTGGCGAAGCGACGGCTTGGGTCGCCCCGTGATCCGCTGTGCTCCGCTGCGTGGACGCGGGCGACCTATGCGGTGGCGGCGGCTGGCGCAATCTGCTCCATCCGCGCGAGAAGGGCATCGCCGCGGCTCGCGAGCAGCCCTTCGCCTGCCTTGCTGCCTCGCACCGCGCCGCCCGGCCGCGCTCCCTCGGACAGTCCTGCGAGCACCCACTCGCGGTGCGTCGCTGCGTGTCTTCCTGCGGTGCTGATCAGCGGCACGCCCCAACGATCGCTTCGTGGCTGCAGGAAGAAGAGGGGAGACGACTTCCCGGACTATCCGGATCCGAATCTCGAAGAGGACGTAGCGTCGCCCGCCAAGGAGGTGCGCGCTCTTCCGCGTCGTCCCCTGCCTTGCAGTGCCGCGCCTCCGCGCTCTGGCTGCCCCCCTCGGCTCGCGACGCTCATTCCCTTTGATACCACCGTCGCTGTGGATCGCGCATCCGGCTTGCGCCGCGCCACAAAGCGCGCGAAAGCCCTGGTTCTATCCGCAGGTGCCCACGGCAGCCGAGGCCGGCCCCGGGAAGAAGAAGAAGGACAAGAAGAAGGGGAAGAAGAAGGGCAAGGAGGCGGCGTTCGGGTCCGATGACGACGACGACGACCTGGACCCCATCAAGGCCGCCGCGAAGGCCGCAGCGCCCGCGCCGGCGCCGGCGCCCAAGGCAGCCAAGGCGCCCGCGAAGCCCGCCGGGGCCTCCGCCTTCGCCATGCTGGCCGCGGACGACGACGACCTAGATGACGACGAGGACGACGAGGCGCCGCCGTCGCCGCCCCCGAAGAAGAAGGACGCCAAGGCCAAGGGGGGGAAACAGGCCGCGAAGCCCAAGCCCGGCGCGTCGGCGTTCGCGATGCTGGCCGGGAGCGACGACGACGATGGGGAGTCCGAGGAGGACGAGCCCCCCGCGCCGCCGCCGAAGAAGGCGGACAAGAAGAAGGGCAAGGCTGCGGCGAAGCCCAAGCCCGGCGCGTCGGCGTTCGCGATGCTGGCCGGGAGCGACGACGACGATGCAGAGTCGGAGGAGGACGAGCCGCCCGCGCCGCCGCCGAAGAAGGCGGACAAGAAGAAGGGCAAGCCCAAGCCCGGCGCGTCGGCATTTGCGATGCTGGCCGGGAGCGACGACGAGGAGGAGTCGGAGGAGGACGAGCCGCCGGCGCCGCCGCCGAAGAAGGCGGACAAGAAGGCGGACAAGAAGAAGGGCAAGGCGAAGCCCGGCGCGTCGGCGTTCGCGATGCTGGCCGGGAGCGACACGGAGGACTCTGCGGAGGACGAGCCGCCCGCGCCGCCGCCGAAGAATGCGGAGAAGAAGAAGGGGAAGGCTCCTGCGAAGCCCAAGCCGGGCGCGTCGGCGTTCGCGATGCTGGCGGGCAGCGACAGCGAGGAGGAGGTGGAGGACGCGCCGCCGTCGCCGCCGCCGGAGCCCCCCGCGGCGCCGTCGGAGGACGAGGAGGTCGTCGCGAGCGCGCCGAAGAGCAAGAAGGACAAGAAGAAGGACAAGAAGAAGGCGAAGAAGGCCGCGGAGAAGGGCGGGGACGACATTGCGGCGGCGCTGGCGGAGCTGGGCATCATGCCGGCGGAGGGCGCGGGCGACGAGGAGGGCGGGGAGGGCGAGGTCGCGGAGGACGCGGCGCCGGCTCCGAAGAGCAAGAAGGACAAGAAGAAGGAGAAGAAGAAGGCGAAGAAGGCGGACGACGACGACTTGGACGCTGCGCTGGAGGAGCTGGGCATCGAGCCCGCGTCGGAGGCGCAGGACAGCAAGGGCGAGGGCGACGGCGCGGGCAAGGAGAGCGACGACGAGGACGCGGAGGGTCCGGGCGGGCGGCTGCTCACCAAGGCCGAGAAGAAGAAGCTGAAGAAGCAGCGGCAGGCGGAGCAGAAGAAGGCCGCGAAGAAGACCACGGGCGGCGGCGCGGCGGCGGCGGCGGCGGCGGCGGCGGCGGCGGCGGCGGCGGCTGAGGCCGAGGAGGCCAAGGGCGAGGAGGGCGAGGAGGTGGGCGGCGGGGGTAAGAAGGGGAAGAAGGGGAAGAAGGGACCTAGTTCTGCAATTGCGAAGAAGCTGGCGGAGGAGGTGCGGAAGCGGCAGGAGGCGGAGGAGGCGGCGCGGCGCGAGGAGGAGGAGGCGCGGCGGGCGGAGGAGGAGGCGATCCGCGCGGAGGAGGAGGCGGCGCGGCGCGCGGAGGAGGAGGCCGAGCGGCGGCGGCAGGAGAAGAAGGAGCGCCGCGAGCAGCTGAAGCGGGAGGGGAAGCTGCTGACGGGCAAGGCGAAGGAGCTGGCGGCGAAGCGGCAGGCGGCGCTGGACCAGCTGCTGAAGCAGAGGGGGCTGTCGAAGGAGGAGCTGGAGGCGGAGGAGGCGGCGGCGAAGAACAAGAAGGTCGTGTACGAGACGAAGAAGCAGCGGCAGGCGCGGCTGGAGGCGGAGCGGAAGAAGAAGGAGGCGGACGACGCGGAGGCGGCGGCGGCGCAGGCGGCGGCGGCGGAGCGGAAGCAGGAGGAGGAGGCCAAGGCGAAGGAGGAGGGGGGGGGTGAGGGGGGGAGTGAGGAGGAGGGGCCGGCGGTGGAGAGCTGGGAGCAGTGGGAGGACATCGACGCGGAGGAGGTGCTGCCGGGGGCGTCGAAGCACGAGGAGAAGGCGGAGGCCAAGGGCGGGAAGGCGGCCAGCTCGTCCGAGAGCGAGAGCGGGTCGAGCAGCGGGTCGGAGAGCGACTCGGAGAGCGGGTCGAGCAGCGGCAGCGACTCGGACAGCGACAGCGACTCGGACAGCGACAGCGACAGCGACAGCGACAGCGACAGCGACTCGGACAGCGACAGCGACAGCGACAGCGAGGATGAGGAGGAGCGTCGGATCCGCTTGGCGCGGGAGAAGCGGGCGGCGCGGCTGAAGGCGGCGATGGCTGCGCGTTCGAAGGACGACCTGCGGTCCCCGATCTGCTGCATTCTCGGCCACGTGGACACGGGCAAGACGAAGATCCTGGACAACATCCGGCGCACGAACGTGCAGGAGGGCGAGGCGGGCGGCATCACGCAGCAGATCGGCGCGACGTACATTCCGCGCGAGGCCGTCGAGAAGCGCACGGAGGAGCTCCGGAAGGGGAGGGAGTTCCAGATGAAGGTCCCGGGGCTGTTGGTGATCGACACCCCCGGGCACGAGTCCTTCACGAACCTGCGGTCGCGCGGGTCGGGTCTGTGCGACGTGGCCATCCTCGTCGTCGACCTCATGCACGGCCTCGAGCAGCAGACGATCGAGTCGATCAACATGCTGCGCATGCGCAAGACGCCGTTTGTCATCGCGATGAACAAGATCGACCGGCTGTTCAATTGGAAGGAGAAGAAGGACGCGCCGGTGCGGGACTCGCTGAAGCGGCAGAAGGCGGACGTGCAGGACGAGTTCAAGAACCGGTACAAGGAGGTGGCGCTGCAACTCAATGAGCAGGGACTCAACGTGAGCCTGTATTGGGAGAACCCGGACCCGCGCAAGTTCGTCAACGTGGTGCCCACGTCCGCGATCACCGGCGAGGGCCTCCCGGACCTCATGCAGCTCCTCGTCAAGCTCACCACGACCATGATGGCGGAGCGCCTCATGTCGATCGCGGAAACACAGGTACGACACACCACACCCCCCCTCCGATGAGTCAGCGCGCAGCACGTCCACGCCTGCCCCGTCTCGCACCAGCCCCACAACGCCCCCTTCGCGCAACGCCCCCCGCGACCGCAGTGCACGGTCCTGGAGGTGAAGATGGTGGAGGGTCTCGGGACGACGGTGGACGCCGTGCTGGTGAACGGCCTGCTCCACGAGGGCGACACGATCGTCCTGTGCGGCCTCAACGGCCCGATCGTGTCGACCATCCGCGCGCTCCTCACGCCGCACCCGCTCAAGGAGCTGCGCGTGAAGAACCAGTACGTGCACCACAAGGAGATCAAGGCCGCGCAGGGCGTGAAGATCGTCGCGCAGGGCCTCGAGCACGCGATCGCGGGCACCGAGCTGCACGTCCTCGGCCCCGACGACGACCTCGAGGAGCTGAAGGACACCGTCGACCGGGAAAAGAGCAGCATCCTGAGTCAGGTCGACCGGTCCGGGGAGGGCGTGTGCGTGCAGGCGTCGACGCTCGGGTCGATGGAGGCGCTGCTGGACTTTTTGCGGTCGGAGAAGGTCCAGATCCCGGTGTCGGTCATCGCGCTCGGGCCCGTGCACCGCAAGGACGTGATGCGCGCGTCGACCATCTTGGAACGCAAGCGCAAGGAGTTCGCCGTGATCCTGGCCTTCGACGTCCCGGTCACCAAGGAGGCGCAGGAGTACGCCGACTCCGTGGGCGTCAAGGTGCGCCCGGCGACGCACCGCGCACCGCAACACGACAGACGTGCCGTGCCCCTCGTGCCCGCCCCTGACGCCGCGCGTCCGTGCCCGGCCCGCCCGCGCAGATCTTCACGGCGGACATCATCTACCACCTGTTCGACCAGTTCACCGCGTACATGGCGCGCATCAAGGAGGAGCAGCGGTCGGCGGCCGCGGAAGAGGCAGTGTTCCCCTGCGTGCTCCGCGTGCTGCCGCAGTACGTGTTCAACAAGCGCGACCCGATCGTCGTCGGCTGCGAGGTCGAGGCCGGCATCGTGCGCAAGGGCACGCCGCTGTGCGTCCCCACGAAGGGCAAGATGGAGCTGGGGAAGATCACGAGCATTGAAAAGGACCACCGGGAGACGTTCGAGGCGCGCAAGGGCGACCAGGTGGCGATCAAGATCGCGCCGCAGAACTCGGACCAGCAGAGCCGGGCGTTCGGGCGGCACTTCGACGAGAAGGACCAGCTGGTCAGCCGCATCACGCGGCGCTCCATCGACCTGCTCAAGGAGAACTTCCGCGACCAGATGGAGCAGCAGGACTGGAAACTCATCATCAAGCTCAAGTCCGTGCTGCAGGTGGACTAGGCGGGCGGGGCGCCGCGCGGGCGCGCTGTGAGGCCGCGCGAAGTGCTGTGTGTGGATGTGTGCCTGGGAGAGCCTTCTGAGGTGCTGGAGGCGGCCGTTGCTGTTAGGGTAAAGAGTGGGGTCCGTGCGGGCCGTGGGGGGGTCGTGCGCGGTTGATGCGGGGCGTGGTCGGCAGAACGCTACATGGATGCGCTTGTGGGAGCGCCGATCGTGATTTCGAGGGCCGCGCGGGGTGTTTGCGGGGGGGTGCGACGTAGGTCAACCGCCGGGGGGCGCGCCGGGCTCAACGGGCGCACACGCGGCGGCGCGGGCCACTCCGCTGGACGTGACGAAAGACCTTGGCTTGAACATCATTCTCGACGAACCGAACGTTGGACTCGGGCTCTAGAACGATGGCGATGACGTTTGCTGCCTGGGGCTCCGCCCACCCGAGCCTGGCGGGCGGAGCCGTTGCGAAGGCCGCGCAGCAGCTGCTGGAGGACCCCAACGTGGACTCGATCTACCTGCACCACTCGAACATCGGCTGCGAGGGCTCCAAGGGCCTCGCGGACGCCCTGAAGCACAACAAGACCCTCAAGGAGCTCTACCTGCGCGACAACGAGGTGCGAACGGAAATCTACGCGCGCTGACGGGCCCTGAAATACCGTTATCTACGCGCGCTACGTGCCCGCTACGCGTCATCGCCCGTGCGGACGAGCAACCGGCATCGCCTGGTCTGGTCTGTTGCGCAGATCGGCGCGGAGGGCGCGCAGGCGCTGGCGGCCGCCATCAAGGTCCACCCCACGCTCGCGATTCTCGAGCTCCGCGACAACAGGATCGGCTGCGACGGCGCCGTCGCGCTCGGCGACGCCCTCGCCGGCAACAAGACGATCGTCGCCCTCGAGGTCCACACCCCGCGCCCCGCACGCGCGCGCGCAACGCCCGCCCCCGCCTCCGCACGCGCTCACCCTGCTCGCCCGCACACGTATCCGCGCGCCGCAGCCCCCACAGCGCCCCCGCGCCCCCCCCCGTCAACTGCGCCACCCTTCGCCGCCGCGCCGCACTGCCCACACGCGATCCACCCTTCTTTAGCGAGCGCCCCGCGCTCCTCGTGTCGCGGTCCTCCTCGCTCGCGGAGCGGCGGCCCCGTTGCTTCCCTGAGTCAGCGCTGGGGCCGGCATTTGCTGCAACTTCCCGGCACCCCTAGATGAGGGCACTCCGCGCTGCTGGCTGACCCTGGACGCGCCGACGCGTGCCTGGGCGCAGGTGGGCGGGAACGGGATCGGCGCGAAGGGTCTGCAGGCGCTGTCTGAGGGCCTGAAGAAGAACACGACGGTGACGGCTCTGGAGCTGGCTGGCAATGCCATCTGCGACGACGGCGCCAAGGTGCGGCGCTGCAGCCCGGCGGCCCGCGCCGGCGGGACGGCCTGGGTCTGACCGCCACGAACTGCATGAGCCGGCATTGAGAGAGCGCACACCGCAGCGGGTGGCAGCACACCCTCTGTGGGCCACTGCGCCGGCCAGGCGCCCGGGGGCGCATTGCGGCCGTTCAGCGCGTCCTCCTGAGGGAAACACGCATTGTCGACGTGTTCCAAGCGACAGAGGCTCGGTGCGCGTGCGCGCTGGCATGATTGTTGGGGCAGAGCGCTAAACAGGCTTCACCCGCGCGCCGTGGTGTGCAGGCCCTCGCGGGCGTCCTCTCGGAGAACAACACGATCGCCGAGATCCTCCTCGGCGAGAACAAGATCGGCAGCGCGGGCATGCAGGCCCTCGGCGCGGCCCTCAAGACCAACACGTCGGTCACCGACCTCTTCCTGCCCAACAACAAGGTGCGGAGATGCCCGACGCCGCCGCCGCCTCCCCACCGCCTCCCCGCACCCCAGCGCCCGCGTCCGCGCCGCCCCCGGCGCCGCCTCACCCCGCCACGCCGCCCTGTGTGAGTGCCGCAGGTGGGCGACGCGGGTGCGCTGGCGCTCGCCGAGGCGCTGGAGACGAACAAGACGCTCCGGGAGATCGCGCTGGGCGGCAACTCGATCGGCGACCAGGGCGCGGTGGCCATCGCGGAGGCCCTGAAGGGCAACTCGACGCTGCGGAAGCTGTCGTTGAGTCGGGAGCACATTGGGAACGCGGGCGCGGCGGCGCTGGCGGGGATGCTCAAGGAGAACACGACGCTCGCGAAGCTGTACCTGAGCAAGAACAAGGTCAGCGACGACGGCGCGAAGCAGCTCCTGGAGGCGGTGAAGGCCAACACCTCTCTCAAGCACCTCTACCTGAACAACAACCGCATCTACGACGTGGACGTGGTGGACGCGCTGCACGCGACGGGCCGCGTGGACGCGGACGACACCGTCAACCACAAGCTCTGAGGTGCCGGGGCCGTCGCGGGCCGCCGTGAAGCGGCGGGCGGGGCGTGTGGCGCGCGGATGGGTGAGGGGCGCGGCGCGGGCCGCGTGGGGGGCTGTGCGCCGGCCGACGCCGGCGGAGCATGCGCGCTGACGTGCCAGAGGCCGGCGCGGGGACGGCGCGCGGGATGCCTGCACGCCGCCTGCTGTGAGTAATTCTGCACGTCGTGAGTAATTCGTCACAGGGCGTAGGTTGCAGGGGCGCGGGCGCTACATGTGCGTGTACTGCGGGCCCCCGGCGCCCTCGGGGCACTCCCAGCGCACGCGGTTGCGCCACGCCTTGATGTCGCAGGCCTTGCAATGCACGCAGTTCTGGTGGTTGATCACCAAATGGACGCCCTGCCCGTCCGGCGCGTCCGCACCCGCCGCAACGTACTCGTACACGCCGGCGGGGCACACGCCGGCCTCCACGCCGCCAGTCGCCAACCAACTCTCCTGCAACAGACCAACAGGCACACAACCAGGACAGTCAATCAACAATAACTAAAACAAACAAGCACTGGAGACTTCGAGCCGCACTCGAACCCCTCTCTTCCGCCCCGCGGCGCAGCCGCACCTTCTCCACGACCGTCTTCGCCTCCGTGAGCCGCAGGTGACACGGCTGTCCGTCCCTGTGGCTGACGCCACTCAGGTACACCGAGTCCGACACGCCGTCGGCCGCGGTCCGCTCCGCCACGTCGCCCTCCCCGGGCGCCGCTGGCGGCCCGCGCGGCTCCGTGCACGCGTGGTCCTCGACGTCGCGGTGCGGGAACGTCCACCAGCTGAATTTGCGCAGCAGCGCGGCGTCAAGGAGGGCGTGCACGCCACCCGCCCAGAAGCCCGACTGAAACACGGGCCTCACGTTGCGCGCGGCGTACAGCTCGCGGCCGGCCCACGACTCGCGGAAGATCCGGTCGTATCCGGTCAGGTCGATGGGGGGGGTGTCGGGTGCGTCCTGGGGGTGTGCGAGCTGGATGTGGAGCTCCTCCGCGCACACGATGCCGGACTTGATCGCGGTGTGCACGCCCTTAAGGCGCGGGACGTTCAGCGTGCCCGCCGCGCACCCGAGCAGCGCGCCCCCCGGGAACGCCAAGCGCGGCAGGCTCTGCCAGCCGCCTTCGTTCAGCGTGCGGGCGCCGTACTCGATGCGCTCGCCGTCCTGCGGACGCACGAGCACGTCGGAGGGGAGTCTTGAGCGAGCGGTGCGGTGGAGACCAAAAAAAAAAAACCCTATTGCAGTTCCCAACAACAAGAAGTGGCGCACCTCGATGATGTCCGCGACGACCGGGTGGGCCCGAAACTGCTCGAGGAGGTCGTGGACGGTGATCGCCGGGTCCTTGTAGTCCAAGCCCAGCACCACGCCGAGCGCAACCAGTCCCCCCGGCATCGTGTACAGAAACCCCCCCCCATACGTGTCCGACGGAGCCGGGTAGCCCGCCGCGTGCAGGACCTGCCCCTCCCGCACGTCTGTGTCCTCCGGCAGCCGCCACACCTCCTTTAGCCCCAGACCGTACGTCGAGTGCGGGTGCGCGCCCGCGGCCGCTCGCAGACCAAAACAGCGAATCGCCTCCTCGGACAAGCTGCCGCGACAGCCCTCGGCCAGGAGCGTCGCGCGGGCGCGCACCTCGACGCCGGGCTCGTGGTTCGGGCCCGGGCTGCCGTCAGCGAGAAGGCCCTGGTCGCCGGTGACGACGCCGCGCACTGCGCCGCCCCCCGGCGACTCCCGGAGGAGGCGCGCGGCGGGGAACCCCGGCAGGATGTCGACGCCGAGGTCCTCGGCCCTGCGAGTCGTCCAGGTGCGCGCAGCGGGCGTCGCAGGGGCGACCGGGGTGCAGCAAGACTTGGATTCTAAGTGTTGGTGGGGCGAAGAGTGGTTCTCACCTCTTCGCGAGGGCGCGCGTGAGCCTGCTCAGGCTGACGATGAAGCTCGACGTGCTGTCGAGGTCCTTGCTCACGGGCAGCGGGATGGACTGGATCGACGAAGTGGGCGGGTGCAGGAGCAGCACTCGTTCGCGCTCCACAGGGCACATGAGCGCCTCTTCTGGAAGAGACGAGTCCCTCCAGCCAGGGAGTAGCTCGTCGAGGCCAGCAGGATCCATGACGCAGCCTGTGCGCGGCGGACAAGCGGCCGAATTCGGTCTCAGGTCGTTAGATCAGAAGTGCTCGTATTCCGCGCGTACGGTGTGTTTTTCCTGTAAACATGCATGTCCGCGCAAGAATAGCGCGTCAGATACCTGAAATTGTGTGCGCGCCCGCCTCGCTGCCCTTCTCCAGTACACAAATCGAGTGTTCGTGGCCCAGCTCTCTGCCCAGTTGCGCCATCCGGATAGCGGCTGCTAGCCCCGCCGGTCCAGCCCCCACGATAGCGCAGTCATATTCGAGCGCGCTGTCGCCTGACGTGTCGCTCATCGCCCTCACGGCTCGCAGGCGCCCCGTCGCTCCCTCCGCCACGGCTGCAGCCGCCCCCGACCGCCCGCGCGACGCGCCCGCGAGCGCCGCCCGCGCCAGCGACCCCAGCGGCATCAGCCTCGCCAGCCCGGCCCCCGCGACGCCCACCAAGCACCGCTCCACGGCACCCACGCCGCTCATCTTATTTGATGACACAGCAGTCACCCGCGCCCCGACAACCTCGATCTTCGACTTCGATTCCCTCGCTTCCCCAGACCACAGGGATGCGCGCCGCATGCGCCCGGCGGGCAAATACCGCGCCGCGGTGACCGCCAGGCCACGTGCGGACGCAGTATAACACCTGCAGTCAGGGGCACGAACAACGGCCGCGGCAGCGCGGCGCTGGGCTTGTTGCGGCGCCAGCCCCTCCGCGCACGGGAGTAGGTCAGAGCGGACGCGCACACGCAGCGAAAGCACCGCAGGGACGCGGACAGCGGCCAGCGTAGCGCAACGACGAGGGCAGTGACCCTTGGACGCCTTGCTGGCGCCCCGTGCGCGCACACGGGGCTTTCCCGGCGCGTTGGTGCGCTGGAGCGCGTCATTGAGCTCGCGACTCATCGGTGGAGCCGCGCCAGCGCCCCTCGCGTCGCGCACAGCGCAGCACGCGCCGGCGTGTCCGCAGCAAGGCAGCTGCTGCAACCGCGCCCCTGGGTCCCACGGCGCGACGTTGCGACCATGGTTCGCGCGCAGCTGGGGCGGACGGCGTGCGCAGTTCCCGCGGCACGCGACAGGGCGCCCTGCGCGCCGTGCAGCGCCCCTCAGCGCCGGGCGCCGGACCGTCAAAGCTCGTGCCTGCAGGGTGGGCATCTCTTGGGCCGCCGTGCGTGCCGGCCCGCAGCGACGCCGGAGGGGCGCTCGCGGGCGACGGTCGCGCAGTACAGGATCGGGAGCACGTCGAACGGCGCCGGGGACTGCATGATCGACCTTGACGAGCCCGTGATCCGCGCTCGGCATCTAGGCCTGCGGTCGCGGCACAAGCAGCTCCTGTTTTCCGGCCTGAGCCTGTCCGTCGAGCCCGGGACGGTCACGGTCGTCCACGGCCCGCCCGGGTCCGGCAAGACCTCGCTCCTGGACGTCCTCGCCGGGACCGTCGACCCGTCCGCAGGCGCGCACACCACCAAATACAAAGCTACAACTCACACATGTCTCCAATCAGTCTCAGACATCGCACCGCGACCTCCCGGCGCGCGCACCGCTCCCCGGGCCCGCGGCACACACGCATGCGCGCACTGCGCCCCCTGCCCACCCGCCTGCGCGCGCCCTTCTCGTCCGCAGGGTCGGTCGCGTGGCAAAACGGGGCGTCGTTCGCCAGGGTGGGCCACCAGCGCACGCACCTGGACCCGGACGCGACCGTCCCCGCGGCGTTCGCGTCGATCATGGAGTCCGCGCCGTTCCAGATCCTCTGCAACCCCGACGCGGGCGACGCGGGCATGCACCTGACCGCGCCGCTGTTTGTGGGCGCGGCGCACGCAGCGTGGGTCGGGACGTTGCACGACGACGCGCCGACGCGGGGGCTGCCGTCCGGGCGCGAGATCGTCGCGGCGCTGTCGGACGGCAAGCTGCTGGACCCGGCGCTGAAGGTCTCGGACCTGTCGCCGGGGGAGCGGCAAATCGTGCGCGTGGCGGCGATGCTGTGTCTGCTGCCGCGGGTGGACGTGCTCCTGGTGGACGACCTCACGCACGGCATGGACATGCGCCTCGCGAAGAGCGTGCGCGAGATGGTGGCCCTCGCGGCGCGCACGCTGGGCGTGGCGGGCACGGAGGTGTACGGGGGTGTCGGGGGACTCAGTCCCGACTGCGCGGGGGCGTCGCTCGTGGTGACGTGCTCGGACAGCCGGGACGCCTCCGCGCTCTCGGAGGTGCTCGAGAGCGAGTCCCTCGCGGTGCACGCCGTCACGCTGCCGGGCCCGCGGTGCGACGAGGAGTGCCGCGTGTCGGCCGCGGCGTCCGCGTGGGTGCTCGGCGGCCAGGGCAGCGCGGGGGAGTTCTCGGAGGAGGACGACTCGGAGTGCTACGCGTGGGCGGCGAACTGCGCCAGCGGCGGCGAGGAGGCGCAGATCAAAACGGAGGAGGAGCGGCAGCGGCGCCCCCGGCCGGTGATGGTGGACGTGCGCGACGTGACGGCGCGGTGGCGCGGGCGGACGATCGTGGAGAACCTGTCGCTGCGGGTGCGCCGCGGGGACACGATCGGGATCGTCGGCCGGTCGGGCGCGGGCAAGTCGAGCCTACTGGACATCCTGGGGGGGTTTTGGACGCCCCGGGAAGGCAGCGTGGTGATCCCGCGTGGCGCGCGGATCTCGTACGTGCCGCAGCACCAGGACCCGCGCAAGGAGCCCCTGCTCGACGGCAAGTCCTCCCCGCTCCAGGTGAGCCTGAAGACGACCGGTCGCACGACATACATGTACTCTGTGTTCTTCGTTGATTCAATGCAATGAATTCGAGGCGGTCGTCAGGCGTGCACAGTGCAGCGCGTGGACGATGATCGCGTGTGCATCGACGGCGCCGCCGCCCTGCCGCGCTGACTCCCCCCCTTGCCACATCAGCAAAGACAACACCCCCCATCCCCCGGCGCCAGCCCGGGCGCCGCACGCGCGCCGACGTCGCTCCGGCGCGCACAGCCCCGCCCGCTCCCCCCCCTCTCCCCCGCAGTACATGGACTTCCGCGCGCGCCACATTGAGTCGGACAGCGAGGCGTTCCTTGACACCACGGACGACTCCGACGACAACGTCCCGAACCTCTTCAACGGCGCGCAGGCCCGCGACCTCCTCATCGCGCTCGGCGTGCCCCCGAACCGCCTCACCACGCCGTCCCTGCGCCTGTCGGGCGCGCAGCGCGGCGTGCTCCGCCTGGCGGGCGCGCTGGCGTCGCAGCCGGACCTGCTGCTCCTGGACGAGCCCACGCCGTGCCTGGACGAGGACGGCCGCGCGATGTTCGCGCAGATGGTCTCGATGTTCCCGGGCGCGACGCTCGTGGCCTCGCACGACCCCCTCTTCCTGCGGGAGTGCCGCTGCACGCTGTATGTCGAGATTCAGGAGGGCGGCGCGGTGGAGGTGTCCCCGAGGATGCCCCGGTGGATGGCGACGTCGGTCGCCGGCGGCGTCAACACGCCGGACCCGTTCGCCAGGGACCCCAAGCGGAGGGCCGCCATGTTCGACGACCCGCACGGACCCTCGCCGCTGTACAATTGACGGGCTCGCGCGCAGCGGGGGCGAGGAGCGGTGCGCGCGGAGGGCCGAGCCGCTGCCGCGCCCGCAAGCAGCTTCCGTCACGCACGAAGGCAAATCGATATTCAATAAACGTCATCTCTTTCTGGCCATTGATCTGCGCTTCAACGCTTGCACATCACTCTAGCTCGGGGGACCGCCGCCGCGTCTGTGTGATCCCCTGACGCGCCCCCAGCGCCGTCTCGCACAGCGTCGTCACATGCCGCCCCTGTGTCTAGAAGAAGCGCACATCCAAGTAGTTGCTGTCGAAGTGGTGCAACCGCACGTACCCGTCCTCCCCGCCCGTCGCGAACCCCTTGCCGTCCGGCGCGAACGCCAGCGCGTTCAGCGGCCCGAAGTGCCCCCGCACGCGCCCGAACTCCTCGGTGTAGTGCTTGTGGTAAAACATGGCCTCGAACTTCCCCGCCGCCGCCGCCGTCATCGTCACCGACGCCGCGTCCTGCCCGCCGCCCAGCGCGATGTGGTCGAACTTCGGCGACATCGTCGCGGTCAGCACCGGCCGCTCGGGCTTGTATGTCTTCATGATCTGAAACGTGTCGACGTCGACGAGGTGCGACGTGCGGTCCGAGGACGCCGTCACCGCGTGCGTCTTGTCCTGCGACAGCGAGAGGTCGTTGATGATCTTCTCGTGCACCTTCTCCTCCTGGAGGCACTTGCCCGTCTCGACGTCAAAGCGGCGCAGCGTGCCGTCCTCGTGCGACGTGACGATCTGGTCGTTCAGCGGCGTGAAGAACGCGCGCGTGATGCGCCCGGCGTCGTCCTGCGGGGTGCAGGGCGATCGAGGCAGCAGGCGTGTGTGTGGGGGGGGTGCGTGGGGGGGTGTGCGGTGGTCAACCAAGGCCTGCGGCAGGCGAGGGTGCTGCCGCGACCTAACAATCCGCCGAAGCAACTAATTTCGGGCTGATAGCATTCAGATGCGGCTCATCTGCGCGACCGCCCTGCCAAGAGCAGCCCTGGTGTTTGCGTCCGTGCGTGGCGACAACAGCAAGCACCTCGTATCCGCGACCGAGACCGCGCGCTCGTCCGCGCAGCACGCCCATCCGTGCGACGTCAGCGACCGCCTCGCGGCCGGCCCGGAACACCGCAGAATCATGCACGCGACGTGCGCTGCGCTGCGGCGGGCCACGCACCATCAGGATCGACCGCACGGGCGTCGAGTGCTGCCCCTGGTCGAGCGGGTCCTCCGCGATCTTCAGGACGTGGATCGCCGGCGCGGAGCCCAGGAACATGTCGGTCGTCGACACTGCCAGCCGGTCGCCCGTGGCAAAGCTGCACGCGCGGCAGGGCTCGTTGAACGCGAACTTGAAGAGCTCCTGGCCGTCGTAGACGCTCCAGAGCCGCACGGTGGAGTCACCGGAGGCCGTGATGAGCACCCGGCTGTCCCGGGTGACGTCGCACATGTACGTCGCGCCATTCACCCCCACAAAGGTGCCGAGCCGCTGCCCGTCGTCCGCCCACCACACCGTCGGCTTCTTGTCCTTCGCCATCGAAAATAACAGGTCCCCATCGTGGTTATACCTGCGAGGACACCCCGGGGGCGGGCCGTGGGGAGGGGTTGGCAAAGAGAGACGCAGAGGGGCGACCGCGGCCGCAAGGCCGCGTCCGGTGCATGAGGAGGGCCGCGAGGGCGGGGGCCTGCGGCTGCTCCGCGCGGGAGGGTCCGCGGCCATAGTCCCAGCCGGTTGTGCCAAGCGCATCAAGAGGGAATCCCTCGGGATGCCAAGCGGCGCGCGAAACAAGCGTCGTACGTTTGCGCATGCGGGAGCTTGCGTCAGGACGTCGGGTGGGCCGCGGGGCGCGGCGTTGGAGGATGAGAGCGGTAGGGCGTGCGCTGGGGCGCCGCGCGGCAACGGGGAGCACGCCGCGCGGGGTCGCGGTGCCGCTCGTGATGGGGTCGCGCGCGGCCGCAGAGTCGAGGACGGTGTCCGCGGGGTCACGTTCGCCGCGTGAGCGGCCGGCAGGCGTGCTGGCGGACGTGACGGCCACTGGGCGCAGCAGAAAGCGCTGGCTTTGCGGCCTTGGGTGGGCCAGGAGCGCGCTGATGCGCGCTGATGAACGTTCATCGACGGACGTCGATGGATACGGCGCCCAGGGCCGAAGTAGGGGCGGAGCGCGGTGGAGATGCCGGCCTCTTTGCTGCCATAGGGACATCAGCGCGCAGGCGCTCAGGGCCGCAAGCATCGAATGGTTGAGCGTGACCGCATCGGAGATATGTTCGAACCATCGCCGTGTGGGTCAGCCGAGCGCGTCGACGAGGGCGTTTCGGGCAGTTTTACCGCGGGCGCCAAGGCGGCTTTCCGCACAGGGTCCCGCGAGGGTGCGCGCTGTGCGGCGCGAGGGCGGGAGGGGGGCGTACTTGACGTATGTCAGCGGGCGCTCGTGCCCTTTGAGCAGGTACGGCCTCATGCTACCCGGTCTCTCGCAATCTGCCCAGCTCTGGCCGTGTCCACGGGCTTGTTCAGCCAGGCTAAAACGACACTCCAACCGCCCACGCGTCGCTCCCTACGCTCTCTACGGACTCAGACAGCCGCGCGTTCTGCCCCCACCGCCTCGCGCGCGGCGGCAAAACGGCCACAGAGCCACCGCCCTCAGTCAAGGCAGGGCAGCCGTCAGACAGGGCACTGCGCCGCAACTCGCCGCGCAAGCCGTCCCGGAACCTTCCCTCAGAGCCAACGCAGCGGCGGCGATGTGGCCCCGAGCGTGAGCGCGGCTGGGGCGCGGCTGTCAAGCCCGGAGGAGGCGCGAGGCACAACTGGGCGCGACTGCTCGCTCGCGGGGGCGTCGCCTTTCACACGCAGCTACCCAGTCGCTCGGATCACGACATATCTTCCCCTTCTGGGGCCCCTCGAATGTACAGAACGTTGTTGCACCGAATGAGCACCTCGCCCAGCGCACCCGTGCACTGCCCGTCAATGTACTCCTCGCAGTTCGCCAGCTGCGCGCGTTCCGAGGCGGGGCGACGCGGCTGTGTCAGTGGAGGCGCCGGGCGCGGGCGGGGGCCGCCGTTCGTCGCGGCGCGCCCCGCGGGCGCTGGAGGAGTGGGTGCTGCCGAGGCGGGCCGTGCCGGGCGCGCGTCGGGCCGCTTGGCCCCGCGCAGCGAGATCGAGCATGGCTAGATTGGCGCGGGCGCGGCGCGCGGGCGGGAGCGTGGGCGCGGCGCGCGGGCGCGCGGGCCGGGCCTCGCCGCCAGGACACGAGCCGCAGCGAGGTGCGTGGCGGGGCGGTCGGCGCACCTGCATGTTCATGTAGTTATCGGTCGAGACTAGAAAGCCCTTGTACTCCATTCCCCACTTCAGTTTCACCAGAACCTGCTTCCCCGTGAGCTCAGCGAGGAACGGCTTGGGGTTCTTGATGTTGGCCCCGAGCCGGCCGCTCATGGTGCCCGCGCGCCGCTCGCAGGGCGCCCGCCCTCACGTCCAGGGACTGTTCCAGCGCGCGGCGGACAGGCGCTCCTCCACGCTCGCCGAAGCAGCGGGCCGCAGGGCAGGCTGCAGGGACTGCACGGACGCGCTGGGGCGGGCGGCACTCACTCGCTGCGCAAACGCGACGATCCGCCGAGAGCACGCTCGCAGTGGCGCGCAGGCGCGGGCCGCGCGAGCAATATGAAAGCCGTGTTTCGCGGTGAGTGCGAAGTTTGTACTTCCCGCCCTCCACCTGAGTCGGCAGGGCCCCACACCCCGCCAGCGCGGCCCGGCTCCGAGGGACGCCGTTGCGCCGCGCCTCGCACGACGGCCTCCAGTTTCTGCCACGCTCAACCTCGGCAGCGCGCCGCACGTGCGGCCGTAGATCGCGCATCGAACCAGCCGCTAGCGAGGCCGCGCGTGGCGACCCGTGCCGGCGATTTTCTGGCGCACTGCCTCCGCAGACCCACCTGGAAGCGGCCCTGCGTTTCCCGCCCGGCCAGCACGCCGCGGCGCGTCCGTTTCGGCGCGGTTCCCTGCACTCGGGTGCACCGCCAGGTGGACACAGCAGCCGCGGGGCCGCATAGGGCCGCGTGATGGCCGCGGCAGCGCTGGGGCCCGGGGACGTCCCGGAGCTGTTCCGTTGCATCCAGCAGGTGTGCGGGTTCGACGACGCGGCCCGCAAGGATGCCGAACGTGTGCTGTCGAGCCTGGAGGGGCGCCCCGGGTACTGCTCCTGCCTCCTGGAGCTCGCCTCGCGCACGGACGACCGGCAGGTCCGGTGGATATCGATCATCCAGCTCAAGAACATCATAGCGCGCCACTGGAAGCCGCGCCAGCACGCCGGGTGCGCCGCTGCCAGCGTTCACATCAGCGGGGTCCCGCGCGCCGCGCTCCGGGCAAAGGCGCCGCCCGCGCGCATCGAGAACGGCCCGCGAGCGATCACGGAACCTCGTTCTGCGTTGCTGCGACGCCACGCGCCCGCCAGCCTCCCCGCGTCCCGGGAAACCTGCACCGCGCTGTCTCGCTAGCGACACGCAGCGCTCCTCCGCACGCCGCGCGCTGACGCCGTCCTGGGCGCTGCGGCTCCGCAGGGGTCTGTCGAAGGACGAGAAGGCGCACGTGCGCGCCGGGCTGATGACGCTGGCGCGGGAGCCCGACAGTCAGGTCGCGGTGCAGGTTGCGCTGGCCATCGCGAAGATCGCGCGGTCGGACTACCCGCGGGAGTGGCCGTCGCTGTTCCACGACCTCAGCGCCGCGCTCGAGCAGGTCCGCGCCGCCCGGACCGCCGCGGCCGTGCCGTGCCGCGAGTGCCAGCATGCATGCCGTCAGCGCCCTCGGAGGCACCGCAACGCCGCGCGCCGCAAGCAACGCAGCAGCCAGGCCGCCCACTACGCGGACGCGGCTCGCCACGCCCGAAAAACCCCGCACACCACAACCCCCACGCTTCCTATTCTCTCCGTGCCGCGCACAACCACGTTTTCGTGGTTCCCGCAACGCGCAAGGCCCCGACTGACCCACGCCTCCCCCCCGCCGGCCGCGCACGCAGGCGAACGCGGCGCACGACCACCTCGCCGAGCGCCGCGTCCACCTCGTCCTGCACCACGCTCTGAAGGAGCTAGCTTCAAAACGGCTCGGTCCCGATCAGCGCGCGTTCCACGCGCTGTCCGCCGAGCTCCTGCCGTCGCTGTGGCCCATGTGGGGCGCCGCGACCGCGCAGCTCCTCGGCGCGCTCCCGGAGGCGCTCCAAGACGCGTCGCGGGCCGGGCACGCCATCTCGTGGATGGAGCGGTGGCTCCTGCTGCTAAAAATAGTGCACCGGCTGCTCGTCGCGGGCTTCCCCGCGGACGCGAAGACGCGGCAGGAGGTCGCGATGGTCCCCGCGTGCGTCCCCGAGCTGCTCGCGGCGACCGAGGCGCTGCTGGCACGCAGGCGCGGCACCGCTGGCGGGAACGCGACGCCGGGCGGCGCGGGGGTGTCGCGGCAGCCCGCGGTCCTGAAGCTCGCGACAATGGTCGACCGGGGGGTGTATAAGCTGAGCAAGATCATGCGGGATCTCGTCGAGGTGCACCCGTGGAGTCTGCGACTTCACGGCGGGCTGGCCAAGGTGCTGGCGCACGCGTACGAGCGCGTGCTGGCGGGGCGCCCCGCGGGCACGGCGTCCGGGTCGAGCGGGCCGCAGGAGCGCGCGCTCGTGATGTGCCTCCTCGTGCTGCACGGCGCGGTGACCGCCAAGGCGTACGCCGTCGACGACGGCAAGCGGTTGGGCGCGGGGTCCGCCGGCGCAGACGACGCGGCGCGCGTGGCGGGGATGCGCGCGGACGCGATGGCCCAGATCACGGGCTTCCTGACTCAGGAACGCAAAGTCGGACTGCTGACGGCGCTGGTGCACGGGTACCTCCCGCTGACGCGGGCGGACCGGGAGGCGCTCGAGGACGATCCGGAGCAGTTCCACGCGGACGGGGACGCCGGGGAGTGGCGGGAATCGCTCCGGCCGTGCGCGGAGTCGCTGTTCTTGAAGCTGCTGGAGAGCGACAGGGCGGCGCTGGCGCCCGTGGTGGTCGAGATGCTGCGCGCGGTGTCCGCGGAGGCGACGCCCGCGCAGCTTGAGGCCGCGGCGGCCGGCGGGAGCGGGCGCGGCGCGGACCACGCCCGGGAGGTCGAGCAGCTGGTCGCGCGGAGAGAGGGGGTGTATAGCGCTGTCGGGTGGGGCGCGCACGAGCTCCACGACTACATCGACGTGCGCGCGTGGATGGACGCGTCTCTGCTGCGCGAGGCTGCGCTCCCGGGCGCCACGCTGCGCCCGCTGCGCCGCCGGGCGGTCATCGTCATCGGGCAGTGGGTCGGCAAGCTCGACGGCGACATGCGCCCGGGGGTGTACTCGGTGCTGATCGCGGCGCTGAGCTCGGGCGACCCGGCGATCTCGCTGGCGGCGGTGGCGGCGCTGCGGGCGATCATCGACGACTTTGGTTTCGAACAGGACCAGTTCTCTCCGTTCGTTGCGCCGTGCCTGTCGGCGCTGCTGTCGAGCATGCAGACCTTCGCGCGCTTCGACGCGCAGGTGCAGGCGTTCGCGCTGATCTGCCTCGTCATCGAGCGGCAGGGGGAGGACATCCGCCCGCACGCCGGGGGACTGTTGGAAATGCTCCCCCAGGTGTGGGCCGAGGCCGACGGCCAGCCGCTGCTGCGCATGCAGGTCCTCGTCGCGCTCGGGCGCCTCGTGAGCGCGCTCGGACCGGCGTCGGGCCAGGCGCTGCCGGTCGTGCTGCCCCTGCTGCGCGTCGCGCTGGACGTGACCAACGACGCGTCGCTCTCGCTGGTCGAGGACGGGCTGCTGCTGTGGCTCCTGTGCCTGCGCACGGCGATGCAGCCGTCCTGGGAGCTCCTGGACGTCTTCCCGGCGCTCCGCGGCGTCGCGGAGTCCAGCACGGAGCACGTGCACCTGGCGTGTCAGTGCATGCAGTCCTGCGTGCTCATGGGCGGCGCCGCGTTCCTGCGCAAGCACGGCGGGACGCTCGCTGCGATTCTCGACGGCCTCATGGCCTCCGTCAACGAGCGCGGGCTCCTCTTCGTCGTGCCGGTCATCGAGCTCGTCGTCAAGTGCTTCCCTGACGACGGCCCGGCGCTGCTCGAAGCGCCGCTCATGCGCGCCCTCAGCTCGCTGCTCAAGTCGCCGGAGTCCACGCTCGCCGCGAACGCCATCGTCGGCCTCTTCGCGCGCATCGCTTCGCACGACCCCGGCGCTGTGCTTGCGCTGGTTGACCACGCAGCGCGGTCGGGCCTCCAGGCGCCGCCGATGCCCGGCGGCGGCGCTGCGCCCACGCTGCTCGGCGCGCTGCTGGACGCGTGGACGGAGTCGTTCGACTGTTTGTCCTCGGGGTCGTCCAGGAAGCTGTCGGCGCTGGGGCTGTGCTCGCTGCTGGCGGACCCCCCCGGGGACGTGTTGCAGCGCGTGGCGGAGGTGTCGGCGTGCGTGACGTCCGCGTACGTGCAGACGGAGCAGCAGAAGGCCGGGGACGAGGCGGACTTCGGGTACGATTCGATGGGTGCGGGGGCCATGTGGGACATGGGAGGGGGGGGTGTTTTGGGGGCGCTCGACGCGGGGCAGGAGGCGGAGGGGGAGTTCCAGCGGCGCAAGGCGGTGACGGAGTCGGACCCGGTGCTGACGATGAAGGTGTCGGAGAGGTGCCGCGCGGCGCTGCAGGCGGGGCTGGCGGGGCCGCGCGGGGACGCGCTGCGGGCGGCGTTCCAGGGGATGGACGCGGCGCTCGCGCAGCAGATGCACGAAATCGTGCAGGGCGGATGAGGCGGGGCGGAGTCGCAAGAGCGGCGTGTGTGTGTGTCATGAGCAATCGTGTGTGTGACCACCTCAGACTGATATGAGTCGCGGCAGAGTGACGCAGTTTTCAGAGCTGCGACGGGCGCTTTGGCACAGGCTGTGTTTCGCCACGGACGACGACGGGAAACGGAAGCGCTGATGTTGTCGTTGCGTGAGTTGGCACACAGCCGCCTCGAAGGGCTGAGCTCACGTTGGCGCGCGCGTGACGCCGCACACAGGTCAGGTCGTGCGGTGGTGACGGGGAGTAGGCGAGCTGTACTTCGGCAAGTCCCGAGTAACAACAACAAGAACAGTGGCCGCGGGCGTATGCGTGGAGGCGCGGCGCGGCGTCCGCCGGGCGGACCGTGGCGGCATGATAGAGCGTCGGACGGCCAATGCGGCGCGCGACGGGTGGTTCAACTCGCAGTCGACTCCAACTCCAACTCAGCTCCCAATCGAAAGATGATGTTTCCTGGTTCCTGATCCTCTGTTTCTTTCTCCCCTCCTCCGAGCACCCGCCAGCCGCCCACCCCTCACTCGAAGCCCAGCACCGCCGCGATCTCCGGCCCCGTCAGGAACGGCACGCCGTGCGCCGCGCCCCACGCCATCGCCGCGTCCGGCGGCAGCGGCCCGTAGTTGTCCCCCTCGTCGTTGCACAGCATCACGCAGCCGACCATGGCCTCCGCGGGCAGCTCCGCGGCGCGCGCGAGCGCCACGGACAGCTCGGTGTGGCCCCGGCGCGCCGCGAGCCCGTCCTGCCCCTCCTGACACCAAAACACGTGCCCGGGGGAGTGAAACTCCTCCCCGAGCTGCCGCGCGGCGTCCGCGACCGACGCGCCGCTCTCCGCGACCTCCGCCGCGAGCTGCGAGAACCGCGAGATCGTGTACGACCGCTGGTCGTCCGGGGCGCCCGTCTTCGTCGTCCGGTGATCGAAAGAGATGCCCACCGAGCAGTCGCCTTGACACATGTCTCCGGTCGACTTCCCCAGGTGCCCGAGAACCTCGAACTGCGCGGAACGGAGCGCGCGGAAGTACGCGGGTGGGCCGGGGCGGCGGGGGCGGGCGAGCGCGCGGGCCGTCGCGGCCGTGGGCGGCGGCCAGGGGGCTCCATTGGGCGGCGGCATCAGTTGGTAGGGTTCCAGCCGCGGCTGGCGCACACAGCGCCGGACGCGTCCTGGTCGCCGCGCGGAAACGGTCGTGAGGCGGCAGGCGAGGTGGCGGGGGGCTCAGCGCGGGGGTGGCGCCGCGGTCGAGGCCGCGCGCGGGCGCGGGTGCACACCTGGGGAGCAGCGGCCCGGAAAACGGCGCCGGCGAGGGGCAATCCGAAGGACGCGGCGCAGTCGCGGGAGATGGCGACGTACATCTCGCCGCCTGCCTGTGTCCGCAGGGTCCGGAGCGCCGCTGGCGTCGCGTGGAGTCCCGCAAAGAACATGTCAGTCTCGCCCTCGCGCCCGGCGTCGTCGAGGATGATCACGGGCCGCCCGCTCCGCACGGCCTCCACAGCCGCCTGGAAGCGCTCCTGGACGTCCACGGAGAGCGCGGACGACGCGTCGCGCTCGGAGAGGGCGCGGAGAGGCGTCGCCAACTGACGGCGCGGCGCGGCTCTACCGCGGCCGCGGACGGCCGCGGCGGTGGGCCGCGCGGGCACGCGGGAGACACACTGCATCGTGCGGGGGCGGTCGATTCGCGAACCACGCGCCGTGGCGAGGCTGCGAGGCTGTTGAGTGCCCCACAGATCCAACGCGGCCGTGGGTCCGGGAGCGATCCAACCGGAGCGATTCCTGGCGCGGGCGCGTCTTCAGTTCGAGTGGGAGGGCCTCGGAGTGCCTGCGAGACGCGCCAGGGCCCGGCCTTGCTGCGGCTGGCCGTTGACCTAGGGGCAGGGGGTCAGTTGGCTCAGGACCCTCCGCCGCGAATTGGGCCCCGGACCGGGTATGATGCGCGACGACGCGGGTCTGGCAGCTCACTCTATCGGTGTCACATCGGACAGGATTGGTTGCGACCCATGTAGTTCGCGTGGTGCGTGCGGCACGCCCGTTTTCAGGCGTTGCCCCTTGAGCGCCTGTGACTGCCTCGTATGTCTTCAAAACCCACATTCATCCAGAGCGACGATACGTGGAACATGATGGTTGATTGAGCGACCGAAAAAAGCCATGATTGGCGCGATGACGGCGGAACACGCCTTCTCTGCTCATTACCCCACGCCAACCATCGTGGACGCATGCGCGCTCCCTCAGGCGCTCAAGCGTTCGATTTCGCCGCATCCTGGAGTCACTTGGTCTCAGATCGCACGCCCTCAATCGCGTGCGGCGGCTACGGCAGCAGGACCAGCGAGACGGGGTGCACTGATGCCCCGCACGAGCGCAGCTCTCGCAGCGTCGCGGGCTTCAGCGGCCTGGGCGGCCCGGGCTCCTGCACACGCGCCGCGCGCCCAGCGCCGTCCAGGAGCTCGACGACCTGCAAGCTCCGCACTACCCTGCCGGGGAGCGTTCTCCGCTGCACCGCCACCAGCGCGCGGCCCTCGTCCAGGAGCGTCGGCAGCTGCAGCGCGTCCTCGAGGTCATCGAACGCGAGTGCGGCGCCGGGGACGATGTGATACTGCACGAAGCAACGCACGTGCGTGGACGAGCCATCATCTCGGACAGATCGCACGCTGCGCGCGTCGAAAGAAAGCGGGGCGCGGAGCGCAGCGTCCGGGTCGCGCTCGCACGGAGCGCCGCGCGCTGGACGCGCGTATGCTGCTGTGTTCCGGCGAGGTACTCGTTCGCAGGTCGGTTGATTGCGCACCGGAATGACCAAAGGAAGCATGTCTTCTCGGTCGTCCAAGAAAGCGCCCAGCCCGCTCCCCAGCTGGCTCGCGGTGGCCAAGAAGGCCAGGTTCGTCGGCGCAAACACCGTCCCCCGGAACTCCGGGCTCTCCAGCAGCGGCAAGTACCCCGTACGCCGAAGGACCGACAAGAACAACGCAAACGGGCCCTCGCGCAGCACGTCGGCCACGGTCGGACCGTGCGCGCAGCGGACCGCCACCTCGTTGAATGGCGGAAGGAACTCTGTGGGCCCCGGGTCCTCGACCGGCCCGACGGCGGCGCCGGGTGCCACGTCCAGTTCCGCGACACGTGACGTCCCTTTGTCGGCCCGGGGCTCCGCGGACGCGCCAGCCGTCGCCGCGAGGAGAACGAAGAGAGCGAGGACGACCCCGCGTTTGGAAAATCCCGGCCAGTCGCGCCCGTGCGCTTCACCACCGACCGTCGTGACCTCCCCACTCTTGTGCAACGCTGCGCGCATGCAACAGGTCGCAGACCCGAGCAGCCGCTTCCCCGACCGACAGCGCGGCGGCTGCATATTTCATCGGCGACGGCGCGCAACCGACGCGGCCGCGCTCCCCCGCCCCGCCGTGGTTCGATGCTGCACACGCTATGTGGAACTTCGAACTGTCGCGTCCCAGGCGATCCGTCGCGCCCGCGCTGCGTACGTGCACCCAGCTGCGGCGTGAGAGTAGCCCTCCGCTCGCGCCCGCGGTGCGCATCCCTCCGACGACGGTCCCCGATCTTGAGTCGGTCAAGGTATGAAACGTCGTGTTTGAGCGCGGGGCGGACAGCTTGTTGGCGCGGCCGGGCTGGCTCGCCGCGCAGTCGCCTGCGAACGCGTAGCGCTTGGTGCCACGCTTGACTGACACGTTGACGGGCAGGAAAAGCCGACAGGCGCTCGTTGAAGGCGGCAGGGGTGCAACTTCGCTCGCTCCTGAGCGGCTCTCCCGGACCGCGCCCCCGCGGCGCCGCACGAGCATTTCGCAGGACTAGGGGGACGGGGAACGCATGACGAACGTCGCGCAGGAGCCCGCGCCTAGCGCCGCGTCGCTGCCTGGCTCCGCGCAGACCGCGGAGAGCGCGCCGTACGTGCCGCCGTCGCTGAAGAACGTCAACCGCAACCAGCAGCACCTCCCTGACCTACCACCGATCATGCCAGGCTACTACCGGGAACCCAAGTACCGGGAGTTCTTCTACAAGAGCAAGAGGCTCTACGACCTGAAGGAGGATCACCGAGGGCCCCACCTGCAGGTCCGACCCAGCAGAACGCGCCCGGCGCGCGTTTCCCGGTCCTCTGAGGACGGTTTGTGCTGGTCGCCGAGTGCGGCAACGTTCGGGGCAGCCGCGGCGGAGGATGGCGCGAGTGTTGATGCTGGGACATGCCCCCCGGGAAACGTGGCGCCGCCGCCCGGGATACGTCTCCCCTGGCGTCCCGGGCGCATACACACGGCTTTCCTCATCGGCGGCCGCGCGTGACGCGATGTCACGCCCCGCGTCCGGGCCGGGCGCCCGCATCACTACCAGCATGCATCTTCTTGCGCCTTGCCGCGCAGCCCCTGTCACCGGGAAGCGGAAGTTCGCGCACCACGACTCTTTGAAGTTCCTCCTTTGCGGCACAGGGCGCTGCCATCGAGCCCGCGCAGGACAAGATGGACCTCGCGGCGAAGACCAAGGCCAAGGCGCCGAGTCCCAAGCCCAACATGCCGACGTACAAAATGAAACTGAAGGAGCACGCGCGCAGGATGGGCAAGGACCAGATGTCGTCGTCGCTCTACGCCCCGGGACAGGGCTACGCGGCCTCGTGACCGCGTCACAAACACTTGCGTTGCATCTCTCTACGCCCCTCCCGCTTCCACGCAGCAAACGAAGCGGCCGCGCGTCCGCGACGCGGATTGGCTCGCGGGTCGTGTGACGCGGACTGGCTCGCGGGTCGTGTGACGCACGCCGCCGCGAAGCAGGGCGCGTTCACACACACTTTCTTGCCTCGACGTAGCACGCTTCATGAGGGGTCCCGCATCACGGCATGCCGTCGCCGGCCGCGGCTTCCAGCGCCGCGATCTTGCCCTTGAGGTATTGGACGAGCTCCTCCCCGGCCGGCACCTCCTCCTCTTGTTTCGCGGCCAGGTCCTTGACCTTGACCACGCCGCGCTCGATCTCGTCGCCGCCGAAAATCACCAGCAGCGGGATCCCCTGCGCGAGCGCGTACGGCAGCTGGTCGCCCATCTTCGGGTTCGCCTTGTACCCGAACTCCGCGCGGATGCCCGCGGCCCACAGCCGGCTGCACAGCTCCATCCGCCGCGGCTGGTGCCCGCTGCCGATCGAACACACCAGCACGTCCGTCTCCGTCTCCCTGCGCAACGCCCGACGCAGCACGAGCATGGCTTCGTGAGATTTCGAGAGATCCGAGCGCCGCGACTCACGGCGTGCGCGGTCAGCTTCAGACGCCGCGGGAGCTTGTGACGGGAGACGAAGGGTGGCCAGACGGTGGGGCGAGACGGGCGGGGTCGCGACCGGGATGGAGTGGACTTGCCTGATGGGGACGCCCTCCTTCTCCGCCCGCTCGCGCATCTGTGCCTCCATAATGGCAAACACGCGCTCAATGCCAATGGAGACGCCCACCGCGGGGACGTCCTTGCCGCTGAACATGCCCACCAGCTTGTCGTACCTCCCTCCTGCGCGCACGCGAGGAACGGCCAGCTTGGTTGCAGCCGCCCCCTGACGCCCGCGATAAAAAGTAGGGCAAGGGGCTCGCCAGAAGGGGGCCGCGCCCGTGGGCTCTCTGAGAACCAGGCGACGCATAGATGCGTGCGGGAGCGCGCGAACTGCGCGTGATGTTGCGGTGCGGGGTGCGCAAAACGCCCAAGTAGGCCCCGTGTGTGTGCGTCGCGGACTCGGCAGTACAGGACGTCGTCGCCGCCGCGGCGGAGCTAGCCCGCCGGGCTCGGAAACGAGGAATGCCATTGCCTGTTTGCTGCTATCGTCACCGTCCGACCGCCCGCTGCAACCGCAAGCGCACGCAGCATGCATTCCGCACGCTCACCTGCCGCGATCGACCCGACGTGCGCGCCCTTGAGCACCGCCTCGTAGATCACGCCCGTGTAGTAGTCCAGCCCGCGCGCCAGCGACAGGTCGAGACACACCGGCCCAAGGCAGTCCATTGCCTGCATGTACCCAAACATCGTCCGCAGCTCCTCGATCGCCGCGGCGCCCTCGGGGTGCTTCGAGATGTCCGGATGCGCGGACAGCTGCGCGATCATGTCGAGCGGCGCCCCGCGCAGAACCACCATCTCGCCAATACGGTCCGCTGACTCAGGGGTCAGGCCCTTCTCTCCCACCATCTCCGACCGCACCGCCTGCGACGGCGCACGCAGCGCGGACCGCTTCCTTTTAGAAGGCAGAAAGCGCGCAGGAGCCGTGTCATGGGAGATGAGGGGGGAAGGGGGTGTTTTTGTTGTTTTCGGGGGCGGTCGATGCGATCGCCGCGGTCAGGCCGGTGCGGCGGGTGCGTGCGTACCTCCCACGGCTCCTTGTCGAGCTTGTCGATGGCGGAGCAGATGGGTTTGAACTTCTGCGCGGGCACGCCGGCGATGTCCAGCATGGCGTTCAGCAGGCGCCTGTGGCTGAGCTTGACCTCGAACTCCCCGATGCGGAGGTCCGCGAGGATCTCGACGAGCACCTTGAGGACCTCGGCGTCCGGGACCATCGACGGGTACGCCCCCGCGATGTCCAGGTCGCACTGGAAGAACTCCCGGAAGCGCCCGCGGTTCATTTGCGGCTGGTCGCGGCGGTACACGCGCGCGATCTGGTAGCGCTTGATGTTGCCGACGCTGTGCAGCGCGACGTACCGCGCGAACGGCACCGTCAGGTCGTACCGCAGGGAGAGCAACTCCCCCCCCTGGTCAGCCAGGTCGTAAATGAGCTTCGAGTCCTCCCCGTACTTGCCCGTCAGCGTCTCGCGGAGCTCGAAGACGGGCGTGTCGATCGAGACCGCGCCGTGCCGCTTGAAGACGCGCGTGATCAGGTCGAACGCCTTGCCGCGGATGGTCATCTGGTCGGGCAGGAAGTCGCGCGCGCCCTTGGCGATCTTGGGCTTCCGGCGCGCCTGGTTGGCCTCGATCATCCCGCGCAGCGTGTCGAGGATCGCCGCGAGCGTGCGGCTGCCGGGGCTCAGCGCCGCGGCGACCGCGGCCACGCACGGGCCCGCCGCTGCGTCCGCGGCCAGCGTCAGTCTGACAAATCGCCGCGTCAGGTCGTCCTGGCCGCCCGACGCCGCCGCGATCTCGGCCTCGACGACCCTGCGCAGGAACGCCGTGCCCTTGCCCAGCGCGAGCAGCCCCTTGACCTTCTTCTTCTTGTCTTTCTTGTCCTTTTTCGAACCTCCGCCGGTGTTTGCCGCGGCGTCGTCGCCCGTGGATGCCTCGGCCGCGACCGCCGCCTCGAGCTCCTCCGGCGTGGCCTCGCCCGCGGTCTGCCGGAGCGCGAGCACGCTCGCCATGGCCTCGGCCGCCACGGCGGCCTCGAGAGCGACGCGGGCGGCCCCGAGCGCGTGCGCGGCGGCGAGCGTGGGCGGGCGCTGCGGGCCGGAGGGGTCGCAGCAGAGGTGCGCGGAGAGCCCCATGGTGGCCGTTGCGTGCAGGGCGCGCGCGAGGTCGAGCCCCGAGCGCGCGTGGCCCGCCAGAGACGCGATCGCGGGCTCCAAGGGAGGGGGTGTGTTGTTGGCAGAGTCCTCCCCGCCCTCAGACGACGACGGCGGCGCCGACCCTGCACGGACCCAGAGCACAGCAAGAGCATATCGCCAGGTGAGCGATCCTGGTCTCAACCAGCGCGCAAGGCACCCTGTTGCACCACGTCGCAGCGCTGCGTTGCGGGTCGCGCACCGGTGGCGGCGAGGATGGCCTCGACGCGCGCAGCGCTGAGCGACGCCGCGGCGATGGCGTTCTGCGCGAGCCCGAGCACGGCCTGAGCCAGCGCCGGCGAGGGGTCGGCTGCGACGACGCCCTTGCTCGTCAGCACCGCCGACGCCTGGAACCCAGACCTCGCCTGCAGGTGCGCGGACGCGATCGCCTCGCGCAGGCTCCCGAACACGTTCGGCGCCGACGTCACCGCACGGATCGGCCCACACCCCCCCTTGCGCACGTCGACCAGCTTGGAACCATCCAGCATCTCACGCACAGCGTCCGCGGCGGCCGCGGCGTTGGTGCTCTGCGACGCCTCGAGGACCTCGCGCGACAGCGGCGACAGCGGCGCGCCGAGGGCCTCGAACGCGAGCGCGGCGACGGCCTCGGAGAGCGCCGCCGTGTCCCGGATGTCCTCGATTTGGCGGACGCACAGCGCGGCCGCGGTGGGGTTGCCTGCGCCGAGGAGGGCGCGCTCCGCGGCGGAGATGTCCGGGGCGGTGAGGCCCTTGGCGGCGAGGGCGTCCGCGGCGGGCGTGGGCGCGTCGCACACCAGCGTGGTCCCGGCGCCGCGGCACACAGCGACGATGGCGCCGGCCGCGGCGCCGTCGGCGACGGTGGTGGGGATCGCCGGGTAGATATCGGCGTTGATGAGGTCTGCGGGGGGTCGCGGGGGAGAAACAAGGCGTGGGTGCGCGGGGCGGGATCGGCAGAGGGGGGCGAGCACCTGGGGCCTCCGCGCGCGAGGAGGCGACGTGCGTGGGCGTGCGCGCGCTCCGCAGCGCGGAACGGGCGTGAGTCGGGGCGGAATGCGCCGCGCGGGGCGGACCTGCGAGGAAGGTGAGCAGTTCCGGGCGGGCGGCACCGGCCGCCGCGGGCAGGAGGGCAGCCAGAGCCGCGACCACCGCGGCCCTGGCCCCGACGGGGTCGACGCAGTCCTTCCGCAGCGGCGCATTGACGTCGTAGTGCGTGTTCGCGGCCGCGTCTTCCGTCGGGTCCGCGGGCTCGAAGCGCTTGGGGGCGCTCTGGGCCACGCGGTCCAGCGTCGCAGCGTCAACCTGCACGGGCGCCCCGCGCGCAGCCTTGACGAGGAACTCCGTCGACAGCGTCTGAGCTGCGCTCAGGACGACCACGCCGGACGGCGCCATCGCGAGCCACTGTCGCTACAGCGGCCAGCGCCAGTGCCACGCACACAGGGCTCCGCGACTCAGCGCGAGAAGAATACCAAACGATGCGCAGCTCGGGCGGGCGGACAGCCCTCTGCTTCGCTGGCTCGCACATGCCACGGTCTCGCAGCTCCGCGCCGCAACGCCGCGTGACGCGAGAGCACACGCATCCCTGACAGCAGGGGGGGGGTGTTGCAGTGTTGTCATACCGCGGGCGACGGCACCGTCGGCGTGCTCTCCGCCTCGGGCATCCTTTCACACATGTCCGCGTCGGCGCCGCGCCGGCCCGTCCTCACTTGCCCGCGACTTCACTCTGTGACTTTGCAACGTAGCTCCCGTCCTCCCTGGCCAGCCGCGCGAGCTCCGGCTCGATCCCGAACCCCGTGACATCCTCCACTTCGCTCTCCCGCGGCGGCGGCTGCCCGCGCTTGCCCTCCCGCGTCCGTTTCCCGGGGTGCTTGTCCTCTTGGTACCCCGGGAGGTGTTGCACGCGCGCCTCGACAAGACGCTTGCGCGAGAACACGTTCGCGACGCCCACGGACGTCCCGCTGAACGGGTTCAGGGGCTCGATCAGCACGCGCTGCAGGAGCGTCAGCTGCCGGCTGCGGAACATGGTGTTGAAGTCCGGCCACCCGACCTGCACCGGACAAGGCCCGCGACGCGCGTCCGAGCATTCAGGCAGCGCCCGTGCGCGCGGCCAGCGCTTGGCGGGGCGCAAGGGCGCCGCCGCAGGGGGAATAGGTGCGACGTCGAGTGTGCAGGGGGAGTGGGCGCAGGGGCGGAGAGCGGTGCGAGGGCGGTGGGGGCGGCGCGGCTTTGGCGGTGCGCGCACCATCTCGTGCGCGGAGAAGGGCATGCCCGTCTTTGCGTCGAACGCGTCAATCATGAACTTCATGTTGTGGCCGTCGAGGGTCTCCTTGAGGGCGCCGCCGGCGCGCCCCGCGAGGTAGCCGAAGACGATGCCGCCGGACAGGACCAGGGCGGCGCCGGACGTGACCAGGGACCGTCGGATCAGCGCGAAGGTGTTGGCGTTGCGCTCGTCCTCCAGGAACCGCGCAAAGCGCCCGAAACGCTTTTCCGCGACCGCCGCGGCCTGCTGTGCGTCCGTGAAGCGGACGACCGCCTCCGTGACGCCGAACTGCGCGCAGCGAGCGAGAAAGTCGAGCAGTCACGCTGCAGCGCGCCCAGCCTCCAACACGCGCACGCGGCTGTTCGAGCGCGACGAAGTGGGCACGCACCACGGTGCGGATGCCGCCGTACCAGATGCATCCCGAGGCCAGCGTGTTGGTGATCGCTAGCGCCGCATGCATCACGAACGACAGCGGCCCGCCTTTCCGCTTCTCCAGCGCCGGGAGGTCGACGCGCACCATCCGGCCCAGGTGCGGCAGCGTGGTGTTGATGATGTTCGGCGGGCCCATGTACGTCAGCACCCGCTGCCCCCAGAAGCTTGAAAACCCGTTCTTGCCCCCCGTGAAGTCCTCCGTCGACATGGTCGTCTCCCACACGTCCATCGCGCGCCGGACCTGCCAGTGCGTGGACCCGGGGGATTCGAAGCCGACCGCGCAGTGGATGGCCTGGTGGCACGAGACGGCCACGCTGGTCGCCAGGAACGCCCCGAGGGAGTGGCCAGTGGCGATGAAGACCGGGGCCGGGCGGTTGCGCCGGACCTGGCCGTACATGCGGACCGTTGCCTCCGTGAACAGCCGCGCGACCTTCTCCATCAGAATCTCCTCCTTCGGGTCTGCACATAGCGCGGCAGACACGTGGTCGCACAAAGAGCGCCCGCGGCGCACCTGTGCACGCGACCGGCCGGGAGTTGCACAGGCGGCGCTGCTGGAGGGCGGCTGCGGCGGGACGGGGCGCACCTTGCGCGAGCGCGAGGTCCGTGACGGCGTTTTTCAGCGCCACTGTGGAGCCCCGCTGCACCTCCGTGCCCCGGAAGGCGAGGACGTAGATTTTCCCGCTCCTGGACTTGTCGCTGGGTGGAAACTCGTACACGAGGCCCATGGCCTCGATGCTGTCGTCGATCATGCAACGCTCCATGCGCCGGGCCCCATACTCCTTCTCCAGCTTCTCCGTCCATCCCTGGCTATCGCCGACATCGTAGTAGCAGTCGTCCGCGCACAGAGCGAGGGCACGGTGCGGCACCGGGCTTTCCTGCAGCACTCGCGCGTCGTAAAGGGCTACGCGGGTCGACAAGGACAAGGGTGCTAGGCATAGCCCGCTGGCCATCCCTCCGGACAACGAATCGTGGACGAATTCGCGTTCGCGGTCGCGTTCTCATGTATCTTACCCGCACCGCCTGCTCCATCGCGGCTCGATGTGGGAAAGCCGAGAAACGACGCTTTTTGGCCCAGTCTACCTGCTCTGAGCCCGAAGAGGCAGGTTCCAACAAATGCCACCACGTGCGAAGCAGTCTCGCGGACAAAACAGAACTTCTACTCCACTTCGCGCTGCTTCGCCGCCCTTCAGCGCCCACCGTACACTTGTAGTTGGACTAAGTCACTTCCAAGGTGTCTGACTCAGGAGGCAGTGGGGTCACACTTGCAATCAGACCCGTGGTCCAACGCACCAAACGCTGAAGCGGCGCGCGGAGGGACCGCGTGCCGGTGAAGGAGAGAGTGGATCGGCGGGGCGTGTGCCCGACCACGTCGCGTGCCGCATGCTGCGGGCGCCCCGAAACACGCCCGCCGCCGCACACTGCCCCCGTCTGTGAGCGTCCGATACTCGGGCAGGGCTGCCTGCGCTCGGGAGAGCTTCGCTCGGCCCGCTACGGCCGCTTCCCGACCTTAGCTCCCAGTGCTGTCCGTCCCACCGCGGACGCCTCCGCACCCAGCGTGGACCCCAACGCAACAGCCTTCCAGCGTCCCTGCGTGGCAGCAACCTCCACGTGGCAACCGCACCGCCCGTCCTACACCCTTCGACGAGCGCACTAGCATCGACACCCTCACGGCCGCACCAGCCACCATTCCGCGAGCGCAGCGGCGCAGCGGCCGCACAGCGCCCCGCCACAGCGCGGCGACTTCGCGCTGCGACGCCCGAGCGGACCGGGGCACGCACGACGTGAACAGGCGTTACACAGGGCCCCGCCGGCGGGTCGCCGTCTGTCCACCGGCGCAGCGTCCGCGCGCTTACTTGCCCTTCCGCGCGGCGAGCATGGCCTGGCGGCCACGGCCCGTGGTGCACGTGTGCTGGCCGCGGACCTTGAAGCCCCAGTAGTGGCGCAGGCCGCGGTGGATGCGCATCTTCTTGAGGCGCTCCATCACGTCGCGCATCTGCGAGTCGATGCCCGACGACACCATCTGGTTGTACGCGCCGTCCTTCCAGTCCTTCTGCGAGTTGAGGTACCACTTGGGGAAGTTGAACTCCAGCGGGTTCGACACCACCGCCATCAACGCGTCGATCTCCGCGGGCGACAGCTCGCCGGCGCGCTTCCGCATGTCCACCTGCGCGGGCGGGGCGGAGGGAGGGGGGCGGGGTGGGCCGGGGGGCGCGCGGGCGGTGCCGGGAGGAGCCGCGGCAGCAGCCGGCGGGGGAGGGCCGTGGCGGGCGCGGCTGGGGTGGGGAGGCGGCGGGGTCGGGTGGAGAGGTGTGTGAGAGGGGGTTGCGTGCGGGGAAGGGGCGGGGGGAGGTCGCGGGGGGGCGGGAGGGCGGCGTGGAGGGGGCGGCGGACGGTGGGCGTGCGGTAGCGGCGGCCTGGTGGGCGTACCTCAGCGGCCTTGCACGCCAGGTTGGCGAAGCGGCGACCAATACCCCGGATGGAGGTCAGAGCGTACATGATGTTGTTCCGGCCGTCCACGTTGGTGTTGAGCACACGCAGGATGTGCTGGAAGTTGTCGTTCATGATAAGGGAGCCCATCTTGCCTAACCCTCCTGCGATCAGCGGTGCGCCACAGGGTGGTGGTCAGGCACTGGGGCGAGAAGGCGGCGTGCGGGCGGCGGGCGCGCGGCCGGCAGACAGCAGGAAAGCTCAGCGCGGTGCTTGCGCGCAGCTGCGGGGCCGCCGACGGTAACACGGGGACGAGGCTTCGACATGAATGAAAGTGGGTCGTTGACACGCGCGGGGCGGCGCCGACTGCGCGTGCGAAGCGTGGGCGGAGGCAAAACGGGCGTCAGCGGCCTGGTCTCGCTGGAAGCGGCGCCTCGGGGCGGAATTGCGTAGGCTGTCGCGCAGCCGAAAAAGTCTCCTTCGGGTGCGTATCGCGGGCCCGCTCGAACGGGGCCCCTTGCGCGAAAACTGGAGCGCGAGGGGTGCAGAGCCCGCCGTGCTCCACGTCGTGCCCGCGAGGAGGGACTCGACGCACGACTCGCGTGACAAAAGCGTCAGGAGGTCGCTCGTGCGTGCGCTGGACCGCGGGAGCGAACTCTGCACGCTGAGCGCGCTGCCGGCCGCCTGCGAGGAAACAAGCACGCCCGGCCTGTCCGGGGCCCGCCTCACCTTCACAAGCGGGGATCCCACAACCACCAAGAAAGGGCGTGCTCCCGCGCCGCCGCCGGCCATCGAGCCCGCGCAGCGCGCGCGGGCCAGCCTGTCTGCCTCGGCCCACACGTCAGGCGCGAGGCGCGCGCTCAACGGCCCCCCGCGCGCCCTCCGCCGCCCACAGCCCCCCGCCCACGTCGCGACGCGCCGCGAAACACCAGCGCCGCCGCGCCCAGCCGCTGCGTCCTTTGATCGCCACCGAGACCAGCGCCACCCGGGATGCAACGGGCCGCAGCGCCCGCGCGCACGGCCGCCCGCGCCACGGCGCCGGCGCGCAGCCCCCTAGTCTCCGTAGTCCCCCCGCGGCCCGCCCGGCGCTTCCCGACCGCCACGTCGCCGCACCTGCCCTCGCTCCCTGCGCGACGCACCACCAGGCAAACGGGGCCGGCGCCGACGCCCCGCGACGTCGCGGCGCAGAGCAGCGCGGCCGCAACGCCCTCGGGCAACCCGGACAGCAGCCCCTCCATCGCCCAGGCGCTCAATGCGTTCTGGAAGTTCCTGCGCCCGCACACCATCCGAGGCACCCTCCTCGGCACAGGTATGCGCGCGCGACGCAGCCTCCGCGCGCCAAAGCCCGTGCCCGATCCTCTTGATGCCCTCTCTAGCTTCCCGTCCTTCCACGCCGCGAGTCGAGCCGCGGGTTCACGCCGTCTGTGGCGCTCCGCGGCGCCACTTGCCTGCTGTGCCACCAGCTGCGCCCGAGGGTGTGGATGCGGCTCTCCGACCCCGCGCGCGCCTCCGCGCGCCGCTCGACGACCTGATTGCGGTCCTCGTGGTCCGCAGTATCGCCCGCGCGGCCCCGGGCGCGTTTCGTTCACGCAGCGATGCGCACGCGCGCGGCTGATCTACGTGCACAGCGCCCAGCTCACGCCGCCCCGCGCTCCCGGCCCCGCTCGCCCCCGCAGGCGCGCTCGTGGCCCGCGCGCTGATGGAGACGCCCAACCTGATCGACTGGGCCCTGTTGCCGCGCGCGCTGCTCGGCCTCCTCGCCCTGCTGTGCGGCAACGGCTTCATCGTGGGCATCAACCAGGTGTACGACGTCGAGATCGACCGCGTCAACAAGCCCTTCCTCCCCGTCGCCGCCGGGGAGCTCTCCAAGGCCGCCGCGGCCGTCCTCTGCGTCGGCCTCGCGGCCGGAGGCATTGCGCTGGCCTTCACCAACTTCGGCCCGTTCATCGGCGGGCTGTACTCGTTCGGCCTCTTCCTCGGCACGATCTACTCCGTGCCGCCGCTGCGCCTCAAGCGCTTCCCCGTCCCGGCCTTCGCGATCATCGCCACGGTCCGCGGGTTCCTCCTCAACTTTGGCGTGTACTACGCGACGCGCGCCGCCCTGGGACTGACCTTCGAGTGGGTCCCGGCGATCATGTTCATCACGACGTTCGTGACCGTGTTCGCGACGGTGATCGCGATCACCAAGGACCTCCCGGACATCGAGGGCGACAGGAAACACAAGATCGAGACCTTCACCACGAAATACGGAGCCAAGGCCATCTCGCTCGGGGCCACCGCGCTCCTGGGGCTCAACTACGTCATGGCCATCGGCCTCGCCCTCACGCGGCCCGACGTGTTCAGGTGCGGACCCCGTCACACGCTACACATGCCCTGCGTGCTCGCGCGATGCGGGTCGCACGGATGGCTGCCCGCGCGCCGCGGCGATCGCTGTGGCGTCGTGTGCGCTGCGGATCCGCGACGCGCTCTGCTCATCGACGCGCTCCCCGCCGCCGCTGCGCAGGGCACCTGTGTTGGGGGCGTCACACGTGTTGCTGCTGTCGTATCTGATTCTGTCGATGTACCGGCTGCAGAACAAGGGCTTCACGAAGCTGGCGATGCAGAACTACTACAGGGCGATCTGGAACCTGTTCTACGCTGAGTACGTGATCTTCCCGTTCATCTAAACACCCACCTCGAAATCGGGGGTGTTTGTCCCCCCCGCAGTTCCGCTGGCCGGTCGACGCACCTCGCGGACGCAGAACAGAACCATATCGCCTTGCGCCGCGTCGGACATGTGATTCCAGCGCCCTTCGCACGTCGCCACGCATCCCACGCCTCGCAAACAAACACGAACGTTCCAGCCAGCGAGCAGGCGCCCGCGCGAGGCGGCATCCGTCCAGCGAGTGCCGATCACGTCACTTCACATGCAGCGGCGGCGCCTGCGCCCCGCCCGCTCCGAACAGCCACATCACTGGTGCCGCAATCTTGGCCCCAAGACCCTTCCCGGTGTCTTCGAGCTCCACCTCGGTGCCCGTGTACGACAGGTCGTCGAACCACTTCGTTGGCGGCCAGTACTTGCACACCGCGCGCCCCTTGATGTTCTGCAGCGCAACCAACCACGAAAACACGACTTGCAGTGCACCGCAACACCGTCCACAGCAGCGGACGCTCAACCCCCCTCGGCCGCGGCCGCAGCGGCGCGCGCGCCGTGGCTTTGCACGTGGAACGCACCTCGACCGGCAGCGGCCCCCACGCGTGCGAGTCGTACGAGTTGTTCCGGTTGTCTCCCAGCACCATCACGTTGCCCTCGGGCACCGTGAGCGGGCCCAGCGTGTACTTGGGCTCCTCGTTGATGTACGGCTCCACTCGCCGCTTCCCGTTCACGATCAGCTTCCCGTCGCGCACCTCCACCCTGTCCCCCGCCACGGCCACAACGCGCTTGATGAAAATGTCCTCCCCGACGGCCCTCTGCGACGGACGACGCCCAGAAAATGCAGCACACGCTCAAATACATGATGAACGGGGATGAAGCGCGATCCAAGTCGCGGTTGGCCGCTCGCAGGCGCGCGGTTGCGTCAAAGAAAGACGTGCTGTCAACCTGTGTGCCATGGGACGAGAACAGCGGAGGAGGCTCACCTGCTTGGCGAAGGGCGGCCTGAAGATCACGATGTCGCCGGCCTCGGGCGCCCGCTTCCTGAACGTGATCTTCTCCGCGACCAGCCTGTCGCCGACGTCAAACGTGGGGAACATGGAGAGCGAGGGGATGAAGCGGGGCTCCGCGATGGTCGCGCGGATCACGTACGACACCGTGAGCGCGATTCCGACCGTGATCACGTCGTCCTTGGACAGGTACAGCCACGTCGGCGCCCACTCCGGCCACCTGCACCCGCACGCGCGCAGAGAGTCAGGATGCGCGCCAGGGACGGGGGAGCCGCGAGACGCGCGGGCAGAGCGGGGGCGACGTACCACGCTGGGATCTCCTCGACGCGCAGGTCGTACTCGGACTTGACCGCGGGCTCCGGCGCAGGTGCGCGCTCGGATGGCGCGTCCTCAGCCGAGGTGGCCCCGGCCCCCGCGGCCTCGCCCTCGCCCTGCTTCTCCTGGTTGCCGTCTTCCTCCTCGACCCTCTCGTCAACCCCCTCGACCCGGTCCTTCTCGCTGGGGTTGTCTGCCTCGCCCACCTCCCCCTTGTTGCTCTTCGGCGGAGAGGAGCAGCACGCCACGTTGGGCCGCAGGGACCGGAAGCACCTGCGAGGCAGCGAACGCGCATCGGTAGAAGTGTGCACGCGCGCTGGGACGAACGCACTGAGCGACGGACGACTGCAAGTGAAGTGACCGCCGCAAGCACTGCGGTCGCGGCCGCTCGTGCACTCGCCGCCGGAAACGCCATGCTAGCGCTTCAACGGTCCGGCACGGCCCTGGTCGCGCGGGGGCGTCCCTCTGTCTGGACGCTGTGCCGTGGAACAGGACTGTGCGGCTTGGGCGGAGCGCTGAGCCGCGGCCGCAAGCTCGCGCCGCGCGGCTCCGCCAGGGCGAAACGGGTCGGTACAGGTGTGGGGGACCCGCGGCGGCGGTCGGGGCAATCACGCACCGTGACGAGCGGCTCGAGTGGGCGCCTGCGGGCCGCACGGGCCTGGGCAGAGCGGCGGCACATCGCGGGATCGACCGCGGGGGGTTCATGGCTGTCAGCAGGAGCTCGAGCTATCTGGGAGCAGCTGCGCCCCGCGTTCCGTACGTTTGCGCGGCAGGAGCGAGCCAAAGCCAAGTGACCGCAGACAGCACCCGCACAGTACGAATGCGGCTGCGTGTGAGTTGCCTCGCCGTGCTGTGGAACGCCTGTGCGTCGGTCACGTCGCTACTGCTGTTGTGCACCCGCCCAGGCGCATCTCGGGGTGACAGCCCCCCCCTGCGACACACGGGACAAGAGAGTCGTCGCGCTGGCAGGACCGACGGACAGACTCGCCCCTGCGGGCCATGAGGGCCGGCGTGGCGGCGCGCGACCATTTCCTCTGTCGCGAGGGAGTCGTTTCTCAACTTTCCGAAGATACACGACGGAATTCGGCGCGGGGAGGACCGAAAGAGAGCAGTGAAATTGGACGACGGGCGGCGTGTGGGAGAGCGGGCGCGCGCGCGGCGCTGAGCAGGGAGCCGAGCGAGCGCGGGACGTAGTGGGGCGGAGATGCCGGGCGAGGAGCCGCGCAGGGAGCGTCTGGGGGGGCTGGAAAAGGGCAAGGCCCGCGACGGAGATGGGGGCGCCGCTGGGCCGTCGAAGGCGAAAAAGGTGCGAACGGGGTCAGACCGAGATGCGAGATGTACAGCCGACTGTGTTTTGCGGCCAAGACGTCCTCGGACGCGCCCGCCGACGAGCGCCGCGGGAGCAACAGAGCGCAGCACTCAGGCCGCCATGCAGTGCCCGGACGGCGCTCATTCGCCCCCGTCAGGCACCCGTCGATGCGGAGAGACGGTTTCCCTTGCGGCGCTCCGCGCGGATCCGCATAGACCGCTCGGCGCCCCGCCGCCAGGCCTCTCGCCAACGTCTCACGCACTCCGTCGGCTCGCACGGGACGGCACCCGGCTCATTCCGGCCGCGGCGTCCGCCTCGCATCCGCAGATGGTGTTCAAACCGAACACGAAGCAGGTCACGCGGAAACCGGCGCGGCCAAAGCCAGAGCCGGGCTCAGGCCCTGCGGGCGCAGACGCCAGCCTGCAGCACCTCCTCGAGAAGGGCAAGGGGACCGCCGCGTCGAGGCGCAGCGAGGGCGGCCCGGGCTCGCAGGCGCCCGCCGCCCGCACGCCCGGCCCCGCGTTTTATACCCAGGCGAGGCCGAAACCTGCAACTCGGAAAAAGAAGGACGATGGGGGGAAGAAAAAGGACGAGGGCGGGGCGTCGGGCGCGGGCGGCGCGGGGAAAAAGTCGCGCGCAGGTGCGTCCCGCCTCGTCGAGCATGGAACATGCAGCCCGAAGACTTTATTTCCCTTCTGTCGTGCTCGCCTCGATGCAAGTCATGTCTCGCGCCGCGCGCCGCCTCTCTAGGGCGCTTCACGCGTAGTCAGAGCATCGTCTGCTGCGCTGTGTGCCGCGGTGCAGACGGAACGGCGTCTCCGGACCGCGTGCGGGTGAAGCAGGAGCCGGGCGGCGGCGGCGGCGCTGGCGGCTTGAAGGCTGTGGGGGGCGGGGAGATGGACATCGACGTGCCGGCGGACCTGCTGGACGACAGCCCGCCGGCCGCTGGGCAGATACTGGACCACGACCGGAACTACCCCGTCGTCATTCCACTGCGCCGTCCAGGACAGGAGACGCTGGTGAGTGGGTCCCGGCTGCCTGCGACACGGGCGCCGATCGCCACGCGCTGGCCCCGGCGCAGCGCTGGCTTGCGTTCTCGCGTCTCCGATGCTCGAATTCGCGCTGTGTGCGAACGTGACAGTCTGTGTGTGGTGTTCGGCTCGTGGGGGATCGCACGGCACACGGTTGAGGCGTCACGCTGCGCGCAGGTCGTCGGGAGGAGCATTGAGGCCGTCGACCTGTCGAACCTCGAAGACAGGCCCGTGGACCTGCCAAACGGCGCGGCTCCCTTGTTGCAGACGCTGCTGGCGAAGTGCGCGGCCGGCAGCGACAGCGACGACGGCGACGCGGCCGCGGAGGCCAAGCTGATCATCGTGCAGCTCCCCGAGGTCCTCCCGGTGCAGCGGCCGCCTTCCAAGGCCGTGGCCGGCGCGTCAGCGAACACCAAGTCCGACCCAGACAACGACGTGCAAATCGTGGGCTCGTCGCTCGACAAGGGCGCGAGCGGCGGCGAGGAGGCCGGGACGGAGTACCGCGGGACGGTCGGCGCGATCAACCCGCAGGTGCACACGGACGACGGCGCGGCACTGCATCAGCTGCCGCGGGGGCGTATTGGCAAGCTGCGCATCTACGACGACGGGACGACGGGGCTCGTCATCGGCGACGTCGAGCTCTCCGTGTCCGCGGGGGCGCCCGTCGAGGCAGCGCAGCAGGTGGGAACGCGCCAACGGGCCGCCAGTCGTGTTGCACAGATGGCCTTCTTGTGGGCGACGGGTGGTGGCCGGCTCACGAGGGCGCGTTGTGCGGGGGCTTGTGTTTGCAGGTGGCGCTCTTACGAGCAGAGGACCGCAGCTGCGTGATATTGGGCGACGTCGAGGGGCGCGTGGTGGCTGCGCCAAACATTGAGATGCTAATGGAGCAAACGGGGGACGGGGGCGGGGTGCCGACGACGATGGGCGTGCCCGGCGAACGCGTCATGGAGACCCTGGACTGAGCGCGCGCGTTCCTGGCCCGCGGGCCGCTCTGCAGCGGCGTGACGGGGCCGCATTGTGTGACGCGCTGCAATGTGCCGAGTCAGTGTAGCTCGGCCGGAGCCGCTCAGATGCATCGACGGTGCGGATGGGCCGCTGCGAGGTGGTGCTGTGCGGCCTCGCATGACGCGATGTTGTTTGGAGGGCCAAGCGAATCTCAATGTTCGAAGAAACGTGGATTGTTGTTCCAGTTGTCGCGAAACCGGCGCCACAGCTGCGTGGGAATCACCGCTGACGGTCGTCGACCCGCCGCACGTGGTGCTCGTCACCCCTGGCGTGCAGGTCGTGGGCGTGTCGCGCATTGCTGACGCACATTGCTGACCACGGTTCTCAAGACCCCCCTGCGCCAGCGAGCAGGCCAAGGGGCGCCCGCGCGGGGTCGCCACCGCACTCAAACGACGAATCTGAGGGCGCTGAGACATACGGTGTCGCAGTTTAGAGTGCACGCGGTCCCAGGCAGCGCGCCCAGTTGCTGGTTTGAGGTGAACAGAGGCGACACGTGCAGTTGCGGCCGTTGGGCCGGGGGCTGAGCGATGGGGAACGCGCAGGGGAAGAAGCCCGGCGAGGAGCGACCGGACGGGGTCACCACGCCGCGGCCGTTCGTCGGCAGCCCGCTGCAATACACGCCGCAGGTGGGAGCGTGCGCGAACCCGCAGCCCACTGCCGCGCACGCGCCCGCGCGCCGAGGGCGACCGTCTGTCGCGGACTCCGCTCGAGGCGCGCGCCGCTCGGCACATATACCCGCTGCTCGAGTTCGCGCTGGGCGGTAGCCGCAAGGCTGCTGACCAGGAGCCACAGCGGCCGCCGTGCGCCGGTGGAGACGCGTGCGGCCACGAGCGCCCCGTCTGCTGGTCGCAAGGCAGCAGAACTGCAGACGGCGTCGAGAAACGCGGCGCGCCGACGCGCTCGTTCCGCGTTGTTCGCAGGTGAACATGGACCCGAACGTGCAGGGCAACATGACGCCGCACGCCTCCGCGGTCGAGTTTCTAGGGAGCCTAGGCGCGCCAGCGCAGCCGAAACAAGTACCCGTAGTGATTGTCTGGCCCCACGGTGGTCGGCACGTGGAGATTGCGGGGTCGTGGGATGGGTGGCAAAAGAACCTGACGATGCAGCGCGCAGGGCGGGACTTCACCATCGTGCGCCTGCTGTCGCCCGGCGTGTACCAGTACAAGTTCATCGTCGACGGCATGTGGCAGCACGCCCCCGACCAGGTGCGCCTCGCCCCCCGACTGCTTTTCAACCACCCTGGGCCTCCGCTCGCGCCCTCGCGCACGAACGCCGCTCTGCGCGCGTGCCACGCCGCGCCCATGAACCTAACGCGGAAGCTCGCAGCGCGCGCGCTGGCTCGCCCCGAGAGCGGCACGCGGGCGCCGGGCAGCTGCCCAGCTCTGTCTGCAGCTCACCGGCCCCGGCGACACGCACGCACGCGCAGGGCATGGTGCACGACGACATGGGCAACGTGAACAACAAGATAGAGGTCCAGGACTACACCCCGGAGCACCCGGAGTCCCTCGCTCCCTTCGACCCGCCTCCTTCGCCCAAGGAGTCGTACAACTGTGCAGTGCCCGTGCAAGACGACTTCGCGAAGGACGCCCCGGCCCTGCCCCCGCACCTCCAGCTCACCCTCCTCAACGTCCCGCCCGCGTCAGACCCCAACGCCTGCCTCCCACGACCTCAACACGTGATCTTGTCCCACCTCTACTGTCAACGGGGCACCTCGGTGAGAATAACCCCCCCCACACCCGCGCACCGCCTCCGCCTCCGCAGACGCCGTCCCCGCGCGTCCGGTCCGCTCGCTCGCGCGGGCCGGCGCAGCGCCGCCCGCCTGCGCATGTGTCGACGCCGCAGCCTTGGTGCGCGGCAGGCCGCTGACCGCGGCCGCGTTGGTGGTTCCGCGCTGCTGCAGAACGTGAACGGCGTCGTGCTGGGCGTGACGCGGCGGTATAAGTCGAAGTACGTCACGGCGGTGATGTACAAGCCTGCAAAGCGCCGCGAGTCGATGGAGCGGCAAATGGCGGCGGCGCAGAGCGCGGGGGCGACGCAGATGTCGGACGGGAGCACGGCGCCGCACGGGGGCGCGCCGGCCGCGGAGCAGGTCGCGCCGGGGCAGCCAGGATGAGGACGCGCACGTGTGATCGAGAATCAGTATTTCAGAAAGGCGTGGATGTGGTGTGTCTGGCTGGAAGGGCCCCGGCTTGCGCGACCGGTGCGGAGAGGCTGTTGGGGCGCGGCGCGGCGGTCGATGGCCGCGTCTGGCCGGTGCAGGGTGGCGGGGGGACGTGGAAGAACCCCCCCGGGTCTGACACGTCAGCTGATTGTGTTCGCGCAGTCGATTTTGCCCGCTCGCGGCATGGAGGGGTCGCAGATGATTCAGGTTTCCGATTAGGCTGGGAGGCGTTGAAAATTGCAGTTGCGGGAAGCGGGGGACAGCGTTACGGTACAGCTAGACAGGCGGGAGGGCGAAAGGGGGCTATGGCGGCGCAAGGGAAGAAGCCTTTGTTGCTAGAGAGCGGCGGAAGGAAGGAGAATGAGGACCTGGGACTGTGGAGGGCGAAACAGGAGCTCATCGACGCGCTTCCTTACGTGGACCCGTTGCCTACTGAAGTCAGGGCCAAGGCACGCCCCCTCGCCGCGTGATTCCAGCCCATACGCTCGAACACAGAGAAAACTATCATGTCTACTTCGTTCCGGCCCGCCATCCGAAGTACTGGACTGGGAAGGCCGCGGCCCTCGATGTTCTGAGGCAGCGGGGTGCGCGAGTGTGCGGCGACGTGATCGCGCGGCCCTTCCAGCGCCCTGCGCTCCTCTTCTCCTGTCGCGCACCATGTAGGATACACCGTCTGCCCGGGTCGCGATCCCGGTGTAGCGCCGCATCACCGCCCAAGAGTACTCACCGCCGTTGGCTCTCTTTGCGCCGGCGCAGGTCGAGGGCTTGATTAAAGCGGAGATGCGGCGCATGGACACGAGCGCCAAGGACTACGAGGACAAGCTCCCGCCCGTGCCGGAGTCCAAGCTGGGCCCCCTGACGCAGCAGGAGCTCGCGCGCATCGAGGCGGCAAAGACCGACAGGGACAAACACATGCCGAAGATGGACGAGCGACGGTACAGGTAAGCGACGCTGCGCAGCAGAGGCGGCACCGCACTGCACGGCAGCCTCCGTGCCGAAAGAGCCTCGTTCCGGGGCGCTGCGAGGCATTGAAGTGTTCATGTCACTGGTTCCGCCGCTTGCGTGGCCGGACGAGGCCGTGAAGCGGATGACGCAGTCCACATGGACTGGCCTTGGGTGGTGTGTGCGTGCTGACCGGCGTTGCGGGGTCCGCCGTTCGCAGGGTGGAGCCCCCGCCGGAGGACAAGCAGGACAGTGTGGAGGCGTGGCAGGACGCGGTGTCGAACGCACGGGCGCAGTCGGAGCACCAGCAGCTCAAGCTGCTCAACCTGCGGCTGCAGAGCAAGTTCGGCGCGGACGTGTGGCGCGGGAGGAACATGGAACTGGAGCAGTTGAAGGAGGAATATGAAACAGAGGCTCGCGCGACGAAGAAGGAGACGGAGGCGCTCAACCGCGTGCGGAAGCTCGAGCAGGAGGCCGCGGGCGGCAAGATCGAGGCGCTGCACGCCGAGTTCATGGAGCTGGTGCGGAAGAACGCCGAGATTGCCGACGCGTGCGCGGAGGTGGAGCGAGACGTGGCGCTGTACGAGGCGCGGGCGCGGGCGCTGGAGCGGCGAAGAGACGAGCAGAATGGCGGCGGGGCGATGGAGGAAGACTGACAGCCGCGCGGGTGCGGGCAGGTGGGCCTGCGCGTGGCGCGGTCACTGCGGTCCTGTGCGGGACGTCTGGGGCTCCGAGATGCGTGCAGGGGGAGCGAGCAGCTCGGTGACCGTCGCGGGGCGTACGTGGGAGGCGTGTAAGTAGGCTCCTCTTCCCATAACAGCGATGATTTATGTTGATATTGACATTCGTTCATGACGTGTTCCTCTACGCCGCCCCATCTGCGCGAGTTGGAGCTCTAGCTTTCTCAGGCCCGTGCTTACTCCGCGTCGGCGTACGGCCCCCTCCTGTGCTGCCGGCACACGTCCTCCAGGTGCTGCAGGGCCGCGCCCACCCGCCGCGCCGCCTCCGCCGCCGCCTTGCCCCGCTTCGCCCACTCCGCGCACGTCTTGTTGATGGCGTGCCGCTTGAGCACGAAGTGGCACGTCAGCGCTGCACAGCGAAGCACGCACGACGCAACCCCCTGTCAGCCCACCCGGCCGCATCCCGCACATCGTCGAAAGGACACGACATCACGACTGGCCGGCTGGCGCGGTGTTTGGGGCACAGCGGTGGCTTGCCTTGGCGGAACGGCTCGTACACCCCGGCGTGGCTCTCCTTGGCCAGCTCCGTCGCCGGCCGCGCGATCGCCAGGTCCATCGTGTGCGGCAGCAGGTGGTCGTCGTACGCCTGGCTGGCGCGCTGGCCCTGCGCGGTGCCCGCGGACCGCTCGTAGCCGGGCTCGTTGTAGTAGGGGTTGTCGGTGAGGATCATGCCCTGGATCGACAGCAGGATCTGCAGGATGCTGCACTCCCGCGTCCAGCTCGGGCCCGCCCACGTGCCCAGGAGCGACAGGCAGACCTTGCCGCAATTGTACAGGTTGGGGTTGAAGCGCACGCGCCCGCCGCCCGTCGTCAGAAATCGCACCTGCACGCACCCTCGCGCACACGCCGCCCACGTCGCCTCGAGCTGCCGCCAACGCACACCACTGCAGGTCAGCACATCAACTGCGGGCGCACCTTCGGCGGCCGGTCGGGGAAGTCCGCCGGCACGCTGATGTCAAACACAAACGCCCCGTGCGAGTACGGCGACCCCGGCGCCGGCAGGATGCACGCCCGCGCCAAGCTCATGTTGTTCTCGTCCCACGCCACCAGCACCGCGCTGTCGAAGTACACCGGCAGCGCGTCGTGCCCGCGCATCGCGCTGTACTCCTTCACCACGCGCTTCGTCCACGCCGCCGGGTACCCCGCCCCGGCGCCCACCGTCTGACGGAAGCGGTGTGCGCTGGCCGGCGCCGCCAGGTCCGCCTCCGCAAACGCCCACCGCGACACCAGCCGCTTGTACGTCGACTCCAGCGCAGCGTCCGCGCCGCCACTGCCCGCCGCACCCGCCCCCGCACCCGCCGGCACCCGCTGCTGCAGCTGCGCCACTACGCTGTCCAGCCACTGCGCCTTCCCGAGCGCCGCCGACGCCCGGATCGCCTCGCCGGCCTGCTCCGCGGTGTCCTTGATGTGCAGCAGCTGGTCCAGGTCGTCGCCCTCCGCGTGCCGCACGATGGTGTCCGCCTGCGCTGCCAGGTCTGCAATGTGCTGCGTGATCGTCGCGCCGTCGCGCGCGCCGGCGGCGTCGCCCGCCGTCAGCGGTCCGTACCGCGCCGCCATCGCCCCGGCGTCCACGGGCGTCCACAGCAGCGGCACCGTGCTCTCGTGCGACCCCAGGAGGCCCCCCAGGTCCAGCACGGCGCGCACCAGCGTCTCGTGCGCGCCGCCGGCGTCCCAGTTGGCGAGGTCGATGCCGCGCGTGAGCTCCGCGAGGCGCTGCGGGAGCGGGCCGCCGAACAGCGCCGCGAACGACGGCAGGTCGAGCTGCAGCACCGACGTTTCAAATTCAACACTCAGCTGCCGGTTCAAGGCCACGAGGGCCTCGGCGAGCCGCGCGGCCTCCGCGGACTGCCGCGCCGACGCCTGCGCGGTGGCGTTCGCCAGCGAAGCCTCGTCGCCCGCGCGGCCGCCGTATCCTGTGCCCTGTGCGATGCCGTGACTGACATAGGCACGTCCTGACGTCCCGCGGGCGGGACTGGGGACGGCTCGGTCCTGGACAGGGCTGGTGCAACATAGAGCTCTCACGAGGCGCACGAGCGCGACGCCGCGCGCGACCGTATCAGCGGCAATGACGCAGTTTGTGGCAACGGCGGTACTTCCGCCCGCATCCGTGTTTTCCACGCAGGCGTCCATGGCACGGTACAGCGACCCGGATAGAGCCAAGAGACCACCGGGGCCCACAACGCTGCGGATGTCCGAGGCGGAGAGCAGGAACGCGCGGCCGTGGACCGGGCAAGCAGGGAGCCTGCCAGCGATGACCTGCGCAGGGAAGGCCGCTGCCGGCGTTTCTACACCGACACTGGATAAAGCACGCCGTTGGTGAGCTTCAAGGTTGACTAGCAGCAAGGGCACACCTGTCGACTTGGTTTGGCGACTTCGCGAAGGAGCGTGCACCCATGCAATGGGTCGATAGGGACCGCATTGACGATGCAGAGGTCGCAGAGCCTGCACGAGCAGTCGAGGTGTATCAGAGCTGGCTCGTGGTGCGATGAATCACCGACGCGGCGACGGCAGCTGGTGCAGATGTCATGTCCCACGTCCGCGGTGGAGGGCTCATTGTGCGTCTCGAAGTACAGCTCCAGTGCTGGGCTTAGGCGCCATGCGCACGCCTGTAGATACCACGTGGATGTGTGCTGCGGGCTGTGCAATGCTGCCGCAGAGACAGCGAATGCAAGGACCAGGGACCATGTCTGGGGCAGTGTCGCGTTTCCTGCTTCAGTTGCTGATGCGGGCCAGGGACACAGATGCTCCAGCTCAGAAGGGGGGGAGAATCTGCATGAGGATTCAAGTTCGGAGCACCATCGTCTTCCCGCGTGTCGCCTCACCTCGAGGGTGTGCTGTGCTTCCGACACCGTCGCAGCTGTCATTTCCATGAACTCCCGCAGGAGGGCGTCCTTGTTCTGGCCCAAACCTGCCATACTGGAGCTTCCGCTGCTCTGCGCAATCGTCTCATACCTGCCGTCGCAGTCGTCCGGAGCGGTGCGTTCAACGGTGCCATGTGATTCCAAGTACACCCCCAAGGCGCTCTCAAGGTTCCACGCGCATGCCTGCAGGCACTCAGCCATCACGCGAACGTCAGTGTACCAGCCCACGCGACGTCGACACCATGCGAGCGGCGAGAATCAGAGTGCCTTTCCCTCCAGGCGCTTGCGCATTTGCCCGTAGCACATCTCCACGAGCGACGTCAACGCCCACGGCCCGGCGACACGTCTACGCTCGCTGCGTACGCCGTGCGGCCTCACCTCGAGGACGCTCCGCGCGTCAACATCCTTCGCGCCGGTCACTTCGACGAATCTGTCCAACTTGGACGTACTTGTGCAGTCTGGAACGACGCTCTCGAGGCCCCGGCTCGGTTCAGTGTCGCAGTTGGGGTCCTGGGCTAGCCGCTCACCGACGACGCACGGCTGGGCGCCATGTGACACCATGAACACCTCTAACGCACTCTCAAGATGCCAGCCGCAGGCCTGCGGGGTCGTGGCGCCCGGTGCAGCCGTCGCGGGTGAGTACGGCCGTGCGCCGAGGGCATGCATGGTTCCGCTGCGCCGTAGTTTTGGAAGGTGGCTGCAGGTGCTGCAGCGCGGGCGAGCCGGCTTGCCTCGAGTACGTCGTGGGCAACCGGAGCCTCCGCACCGGTCGCGTCGATGAAGTTCTGGAGACTGATGTCTTTGCTGCAGTCTTCACTCGTACTCTCCGGACCTTGCGCGCTCCATCGGGGCTGGAATCCGTTGCCCGCTTGCCCGAGCTGCCGAACTGGCTGCTCGTCAGATGCCGCAGCGGCGCTCTCTGAGTCGCCATGGATGTCAAAGAATGCTATCACTGCACCGTCCAAGTGCCATGAAAACGCCTGCGGGGACCGGAGCGCCGCGTGAACAGCCGCTGCTCTTCTGTGTGGAATCAAGGCCCACTGCCGCAGGATCGCCGCATATTTCGCAGGAACTCCCGCTAAACGACCAGAACAAGATGCTTGAAACAAATTACGGGGCCGAATCAGAGCTTCTATTCACGAGATACGCCGGGATCGGGCCTTGCCTCCAAGATGCCATGAGCACAGGCGGGCTCTGCTCCGGTGAGAGCCGCGAACTTGGCCACGAGGGCAGACTGGCTTGCCGTCAGCATCAGTGCCGGGCTGCGAGCAGTGCGGCCAGAACGGCCTCGCGACCTCCCGCACCGCGGTTCTCGCCTGGCTCTCTAGTGTGAGGGCACCTCCACGGGGTCCGCAAGACGACAGGGATGCCCGCGGGCACGGGGGCTCAGCACTCCCCGAGACTCTGTCGCTGACGGGCAGAAACGTGTGTGTGTGTGTGCGTCTCGCCGAGGTGGCTGACGCGGGCCCGTTTGGTCCTCTGATCCCCGGGCCCAATCCTTTGGACAGACACCGCACCGTGCACTGATGCTCGCAGAACGGCCAGCGAGAAGCACACACATGACGGATATACCAGCGTATACGCGGAGGTCTACTGGGGGTTGAGGCGCCACTCGCGCATGGCAGCCCTTGCGCTGTGTTGTGCGCCACGGACTGCGGGCCGAAGCTGCGGAGCATCGATCCACACGTCCGCGCGATCGCGAGCCTGCATGCCGCCAGTGCGGAGGATTCGCGTCTGCATCGCCTGCACGCGGGCAGAGGATGGCTGGACGGAGACGTCCACCACCATGACGGGAACCTTGAACGATGCGCATCGCCTCGTTCGCGCGGCGTTCCGCCAGATACGGGAGCTCGAGGAGAAGCGGGGCATCAGGCACTTGTGCGTGCGGGTCGAAGCAGGCCCAGTCCGGGAATATGAGCCCTGGGAACCTCGACCTCCACATCCAGGACCGCAGTCCGAGAGCAGGACGACCTCCCCGCGAGTGCGTCGGTTCCCCGGTATTGTACGGGCCGTCAGGCTTGGTAACGAGGGACGAAGCCCGGCGGGGAATCAGCGCAGCCGGCGTCATCTCGTCGCTGCGGCGAATGCGGAACAAAGCGCAGAGTCGGCAGGTCACGGCTCTGGCGAGCTGCGTCGGAACGCGAGGGCGAACGCGACGGTGGAGGGCGGTGAATTCGTGACAGGGCGCGAAGAAGATGTCCCGGGGGTTCAATCGTGTCGTGCGATGACAGATCGAGCCTATCCTATCTCGACATCAGGACAACGTGAAGAAGAAGGGCGTCCCTGACCGATTGCGAGGTGGTGCAGGACCGGCCGGTGGCCTGCTTCCGAAGCATCACCGTGTCGATGCCATGTAAGCGTGCTCACAGAGGGCACGTACCACGTCAGTGCGCATGTATGTATGTGAACTCGTAGCCCCATTCGTTCAGTCTTCAGCCGCGTAGGGCCCCCTCCTGTGCTGCCGGCACACGTCCTCCAGGTGCTGCAGGGCCGCGCCCACCCGCCGCGCCGCCTCCGCCGCCGCCTTGCCCCGCTTCGCCCACTCCGCGCACGTCTTGTTGATGGCGTGCCGCTTGAGCACGAAGTGACACGTCAGTGCTGCACAGCGAGCCACGCACGACGCAACCCCCTGTCAGCCCACCCGGCCGCATCCCGCACATCGTCAAAACGATACGCAACAGCACGACTGGCCGGCTGGCGCGCGGTGTGTGGGGCACAGCGGTGGCTTGCCTTGGCGGAACGGCTCGTACACCCCGGCGTGGCTCTCCTTGGCCAGCTCCGTCGCCGGCCGCGCGATCGCCAGATCCATCGTGTGCGGCAGCAGGTGGTCGTCGTACGCCTGGCTGGCGCGCTGGCCCTGCGCGGTGCCCGCGGACCGCTCGTAGCCGGGCTCGTTGTAGTAGGGGTTGTCGGTGAGGATCATGCCCTGGATCGACAGCAGGATCTGCAGGATGCTGCACTCCCGCGTCCAGCTCGGGCCCGCCCACGTGCCCAGGAGCGACAGGCAGACCTTGCCGCAATTGTACAGGTTGGGGTTGAAGCGCACGCGCCCGCCGCCCGTCGTCAGAAACCGCACCTGCACGCACCCTCGCACACACGCCGCCCACGTCGCCTCGAGCTGCCGCCAACGCACACCACCGCAGGTCAGCACGTGCCTGCACATCAACTGCGGGCGCACCTTCGGCGGCCGGTCGGGGAAGTCCGCCGGCACGCTGATGTCAAACACAAACGCCCCGTGCGAGTACGGCGACCCCGGCGCCGGCAGGATGCACGCCCGCGCCAAGCTCATGTTGTTCTCGTCCCACGCCACCAGCACCGCGCTGTCGAAGAACACCGGCAGCGCGTCGTGCCCGCGCATCGCGCTGTACTCCTTCACCACGCGCTTCGTCCACGCCGCCGGGTACCCCGCCCCGGCGCCCACCGTCTGACGGAAGCAGTGTGCGCTGGCCGGCGCCGCCAGGTCCGCCTCCGCAAACGCCCACCGCGACACCAGCCGCTTGTACGTCGCCTCCAGCGCAGCGTCCGCGCCGCCACTGCCCGCCGCACCCGCCCCCGCACCCGCGCCCGCGCCGGCACCCGCCCCCGCCGGCACCCGCTGCTGCAGCTGCGCCACTACGCTGTCCAGCCACTGCGCCTTCCCGAGCGCCGCCGACGCCCGGATCGCCTCGCCGGCCTGCTCCGCGGTGTCCTTGATGTGCAGCAGCTGGTCCACGCGGTCCAGGTCGTCGCCCTCCGCGTGCCGCACGATCGTGTCCGCCTGCGCCGCCAGGTCCGCAATGTGCTGCGCGATCGTCGCGCCGTCGCGCGCGCCGGCGGCGTCGCCCGCCGTCAGCGGTCCGTACCGCGCCGCCATCGCCCCGGCGTCCACGGGCGTCCACAGCAGCGGCACCGTGCTCTCGTGCGACCCCAGGAGGCCCACCAGGTCCAGCACGGCGCGCACCAGCGTCTCGTGCGCGCCGCCGGCGTCCCAGTTGGCGAGGTCGATGCCGCGCGTGAGCTCCGCGAGGCGCTGCGGGAGCGGGCCGCCGAACAGCGCCGCGAACGACGGCAGGTCGAGCTGCAGCACCGACAGCTGGGGGCTCTCGCGGGCGCGCACGTGCTGCGTCAGGGCCCGCAGAGCCTCGGCGAGCCGCGCGGCCTCCGCGGACTGCCGCGCCGACGCCTGCGCGGTGGCGTTCGCCAGCGACGCCTGGTCGCCCGCGTTCCCGCCGTATCCTGTGCCGTTCTGTTTCGCTGGCGGCGCTTGGCGGTGCCCCACAGCGCCGTGGTCGAAGCCATACATGCCATAGTAGTGCGCGGCGCCGCGGCCGCGTCCCCGCCCGCGACCCCGCCCGCGTGTCGCCGCTGCAGGTGCGCGGGGTACTCGCGCGCTGGGCGCCGGGGGGGCAGCGGCGGCGTCCCGCTCGGGGCCTGCGCTGCACGCGGCGCTCACGAGGCGCACGAGCGCGACGCCGCGCGTCGCCGCGTCTTCGGCACTGTCGCGCGACGCGGCGCTGCGGGCTGCGTTGCTCGCGCCGCTGCTACATGCTTCCATGGCGCGGTACAGCGCGCCGCAGAGCGCCAGGAGGCCGCCGGGCGCAGCGATGCCGCGGACGTCGGAGGGGCTGAGCGGAGAGGCGTGGCCGTGGGTCGGGCAGCACGGCAGCGCCCCAGCGATGACCTGCGCACGGAGGGAGCGGGCCGGAGCGGGCGTGAGCTGGGGGCGAGAGGACGGCGGTGCGGGGCGCTAGGGGTGCTCGGCGGCGTGGAGAGCACCTGCGGGGTTGCTTTGCGGGCGTTCCGCAGCAGTTGGCAGCCGTTGGTTGCGTCGAGCGCGAGCATCCGACGCGCGCAGACGCCGCAGAGCCGGCAGGCGCAGTCGAGCTGGATCCAGTCTGCCTCCTGAGACGCGGCGACGCGGCGCTGGCTCTTGCATCCTGCGCACGCGCGCGGGCCCTCCTCTGCTGCGCCGGGTGCATGCGCGTCCGTCCGCCGGACGGGTTGCGCCGAGGCGCCCACGACGTCGACGTCGTCGTCGCTGTCGTCGAGGCTGACGACCTGAGCGCGTCCAGCCCTCGGAGCGGCGGCGGGTCCGTCCCCACGGACCGCGCGAGGCTTCTTGCGCTGCTCTGCGTGCTGTGCCGCAGAACGCGCGCCCGGCTGCGCGCTTGCGTTGGCGCGGTGCTCTCCCACGACGACACAGACGTCGTCGTCGTCGTCCGCGCGCCGCGCCCGCTCCCTGTGCCTGCGCTTCCGACCGCGCGCTTGAGCAGCGGAGCCAGGCACAGCCACAGGCAAGGGCGGCCGGCCGGGACTCCGGACTTGGATGTCGTCGTCGTCGATGTCTATCACGACCACGTCGCCGTGGCGCTCCGCGTTCCGCGAGTCCATCGTGGGACGGAAGCGCTTCCAATCCAAAGCGGAGTGTCAGGGCCCCGAGGACGCACGTCCCGGTGCCAAGCGATGCGCGGGGCGCGAGCAGTGGACGAGAGGCGCCGTGGCCAGCGGCAACGAGCGCCCGGGCCGCCGCGCGCGGACAGCCGGGCCGCCGACGGTAGAACACAGCTGTCACACCACGTCCGACGCAGCTCGCCGCGCCCGGGGACAATGCGGCGGCGGGTGTGCCACAGGGGCACTCGTTCGTGATCGCGCAAGCTAGATTCACGCAAGCTCTAGAGACTCACGCTTCCGGCGCCGCGAGGCTGCAGTGTCAGTGGGTATTCACGGCTTTTTCGCCTCGGTGAGACCTCTGAGGGCGTTGGAAGTCCTTCCTAGGGTGCCGCGGTGACGGAACGTGCGATGTGCATCAAGTCAGCGGTGGCCCTGAACGCAGCGTGCGCGGCGGCGGGCACGCGCCCCGCTCCAAGGTCGGTTGGGACAAGAGCGCTCCTGCTCGGCCGCAGGTGAGGCCGAACGAACGCGAATCCCCCCTGCCCCGCAAGACCCAGGACCTGACGACTACTGGTTTGAGTCAATTGCGACGATCAGACCCTGGGTGTGCGGTGATGCGGCCTGGTCGTTGGGGTGCCACTCATGACCTGAACGTCATCGTGGAGGTCGTGCTGCCCCGAACAGCGCTTCAATCTCACAGCACAGCGACACCCCATACACTGTGCCACGCAAGCAACATCGCCAGCCGCGGAATGAGCGCGCCAGCAAGCCGTGCGAGCGGAGGCGCCACACCTGGCCAACCGCAACGAGGTTCCGGCGCGCCCCCGCCTCCTGCGCGACGTTTCCCGACGTTCTCCGGCCCCACCGCGTCCACCTGCAGACTGCCCGAGCCCTCGTCATGCGGAGGCCGCGCCCTTCGCGCTGACGGGCCGCGATTCCGCCGGGCGGCCGTCGCGACGCGCGCGTCCGGCGACGGTCCCGCGGGCGCGTCTCCCGCGGAGGTGGACGCCGCGACGGGCCTCCCGATCCGCCGCACGAAGGTCTGCATCATCGGCGGGGGTCCCTCGGGGCACACCGCGGCTATTTACGCCGCGCGCGCCAACCTCAACCCTGTCATGCTGGAGGGCTTCATGGCCGAGGACGTGCCGCCCGGGGGGCAGCTGACGATGACGACGCTCGTCGAGAACTTCCCAGGCTTCCCCGAGGCACGCCCGCACCGCTCCCTGCGACGCGCCTCGCGACCGCCCCCCGTTTGACATGGCATGACGCCTGCCGCCGGATGGTCCCACGGCGGGCGGCGCGCGGAGCTTGCGTCCCCGCAAGGCTCGCGAATCGTCCGTTCCGCGGTGCGCGACGCAGGGGGTGATGGGCCCGGACCTGATGGCCATGTGCCGCGCCCAGAGCGTGCGCGTGGGCGTCGAGATCTTCACCGAGACCGCCAACCCCGTCGACTTCTCCTGCCACCCGTTCCGCTGCCAGACCGACAGCCAGGTCATCCTCGCGGACGCGGTCATCATCTCCACGGGCGCCCACGCGCGCCGCCTGCACTTCCCGGTGCGCAAAACACCCCGAACAACGCCCCCCCCACGCCGCCGCCGCTGCTCCGCCGCCTCGCACCGCACCTGACGGCCGTTTCCGCACGGGGACGCGCGCAGGGTGCCGACGACATGTGGATGCGGGGGATCAGCGCATGCGCGGTGTGCGACGGCCCAAACCCCGTGTACCGCAACCAGCCGCTCGCGGTCATCGGCGGCGGCGACACCGCGCTGGAGTACGCGCTCCTGCTCGCGAAGTACGGCGCGTCCGTCGACGTCTTCGTGCAGCTGCCGAAACTCAACGCGTCCGCGGCGATGGTCGGCAAGGCGCAGCGCGAGCCGAAGATCCGGTTCCACTTCAACGCCGAGGTGGTGGAGGCGCTCCCGGACGACGCCGGGGACCTGCGGGCGCTGCGCGTGCGCGACGGCGACGGCGAGCGCGAGATGCCGTGCATCGGCCTGTGGTTCGCCATCGGCCACGAGCCCGCGACGGACTTCGTGCGCGGGCAGCTGGAGCTGGACCGCCTCGGGTACATCGTGACGCCCCCGGGGAGCACCGCGACGAGCGTGCCGGTGAGAATTGGCCCTATCATATCATGTTGGCCATCAACGAATTCGGCACGCGCGCACGCGCTTGCTGCCTCGTCACGCGCGGCTGCGACGCGAGCGCCGCGGGGGCGTGTGGTGTTCGCAGGGGGTGTTTGCTGCGGGGGACGTGCAGGACAGGCGGTGGCGGCAGGCGATCACGGCGGCGGGGACGGGGTGCATGGCGGCGCTGGAGGCGCAGCACCTGCTCGAGCACGTCGAGTACCTGCGCGCGCACAACGACGAGGAGCACCACCCGCAGGCTGGGACGCTCACGCTCGACGACATGTACCTGGAGGCGCGGAAAGGACTCGAGGCGTTCGACCCGCTCGTGGAGCAGGGGCTCGAGTAGCGGCCGGGGCTCACGTGCGGGCCGTGTTTTTGTTTCGCTGCTCGGAGCTGTTGGTCGGGCGCCGGATGGCGGGGGACGGGGTTGTGAGAAGACGAAACGCGCTCTGAGGTCACGCTCGAGCAAGACGTGGACGCGCGGCCCAGGTGGCGGCGCTGAGGCGAGGAGTCTGCGCTGCGTCCGTGCGGAAAATCGCGTGACGCTGGACATGGCTCAGGGGGGGTGTCACGACTGGCCCACTCGAGGTTTGACTGACCTGCGCGGCGCTGCTCCGCTGCGGCGTGAGGGAGCGCGTGCGACGAGTCATGCGCTGCCGCGTGTGGCCAAGCTGGTCACAGTCTGTCCCCGGCTGCGGCCGGGGGGAGTGCTATAGAATTTAGGTAGTTGCAGTTGGGGGGAGTCTGGACACCAGCGGTCCGCGATGCCCAGCAGCGTCCGTCTCTGCTGCTCTAGCTAGCGGAGACGGGCCGCATCGCACGCGGACGTCTGCTGCCCCGCTGTTGCCCGCACCAGCAGAGAGCGCAACCGCCGCTGCCCGCGTCGGGTCCGCAGCACGGATCGAGCTGCGCGAGAGCAGCCTGCGGCGCCTAGTGCTGCATCGAGACGTTGCTGGGCCACATGTTGGTGCTCCAGGACGAGCGGCCAGTGGCAGGGTTGATGGTCGACGACTTGCGGAGCTCCGCGAAGCGACGGAACACGTTCGAGCGGTACGTGTTCGACTCCTGCTGCTTCTCGTACGCGTCCGATCGCGCGGCGAGGACCTTGTCAGTGCTGCACGGGCGCAGGGCGGGAGCAGACATGAGCTGGGAGGTGACAGGTGTCCGCAAGACGCGCTTTCGAGGGTCGAGGCGGGCTGTTCGCTGGCAGGAGAAGACGCTCGAGGCGCGTACGAGACGAAGGGGGCGGTCGCAGGTCGGGTGGCGGCCGGGGCGCGCGGGGGCGGGAGCGAGGGGCTGCTGGTGGCGGTTGTGCTGCCTCGGGCGTTTGCGGGGCGCCGCTTACCCGGATCCGTCCGCGTCGCGGTCGTTCTGGTGCCAGACGATGTCAGGGTCGTACCTGCGATGGTGCGGCGCGCGGCGCGGGCGGTGAGGCGGAGCGCGGGTGCGGGACACGGTTTCACCGGACGGCGCGCCACGGCCGCGATCCGGGCGGGAGCGCGGCGCGTTTCATTCTGAGACGGGCGACTCTGTATTTGTACGCGCAGACAATGGCGCTCGAGGGTCGCGGGTACGCAAGAACCGAGCGAAACGGCGTCTGTGGGCAACGAACGGAGTGGATGGTTGGGGGCGTCGTGCGCCGGGCACCGCCGCTCTCACCGGGCGTGGAGGAACATCTGGTAGGTCGACATCGTGATGGCGCCGCCGAGGCACACCGCCAGGACCCAGGTGTCCACGGGGAAGAGCTTCCCGAACATCGAACCGTTGAAAGAGGCCTTGCCGAACCGCATGCTGGCTGTTTCGGATTGCTGGAGGGTGGAGTATTCCGAGAACAAATCGAGTGACCGTCCGGAGCGCGGCGCGGGCCACTGAGCGCCGCGTGGACGCCGCTCAGAGGGACCTCCACCGACGTGTCCGTCGAGGCGCCCCCTCCGCCCTCCAAGCCCGACATCCTCCCGACTCGGAAACAACGGACCATTCCGTCCATGCGGATGCAGCCGCGCATCTCGCGGCTCTAGATACCTCACGACCGCCCAGGGCTGCGGGCCAGCCCCACATGGAGCACATGATCCACGTCACGACGCGATGCGGCCCCCACCGCCCCGCACACACATCCGAGGCACGGACCGCCTCGGCCCGGCACGCAGGAGCGTTGCAGTGCGCTTCGCCGCGTCCCTGCGGTCCTCCCACGGGTCGCGCGTCAACACACACAAGTGCAGCTGGCACACCGCCGCGGGACCCCCAGGGAGCCGGCATGAGGGGCGCGCGCGCGCGCAGGCGTCAGCCGGCGTCGCACGCGCGGCCTGCACCGCCCGGCCATGCGGGCGGCGACGCTTTGCGGGGGCGCGGCACACACAGCACGCGTACAGCGGCAGTGAGGTGGCGGGGGCATCCGAGGACCGGGGACGGCCTCGCAGGCGCGTCACGCGGCGCCGCGAGCAGTAGCGCGTCGCGGTGTGTCCCCGGGGCGCTCGCGGCGGGAGCGGTCGTGGCCTGACGTCACCGAGAGGGGGTTGTGTGGAAGACCCCGCGAGCTCGCCCCGGTGGGGTGGTTTTGCGCGGCTCGAGGGCGCTCTGCGTGCAGATTCGCATCGAGGCGTGCCGCAATCGGAGTATTCGGCCGCGATTGGCTCGGGAACCCTGCGGGGAGGCGCTGTGGTCGCACACACACACTGCCGCGTGCCGAGCAGCTGCGGTCGCGCGGGCGGCGCCTGTCGCGAGGATCGGACCTGCGCCTAGTTTTTAGATTATAGTGTTGGAAGGACGCGGCGTGAGGATGCAGGACCTCCCGGTCGCGACGACGCTGGACGATCTCCTCCTGCCGTCTGCGGGCGAGGAGTTTGGCGACATTTTCGACGCGTGGTAAGGTCCATCGAGCCGTCCAGCACGCTCCCACAGTGCCACGGCATCGCTGGACGCTCCGTTCACCGCCTGATGCCCGCCTTGCCGCCGTAGTGCCCCTCTGCCAGCATTTTCTCCCCCACGGCCGGCTTTCCGCGCGAACGGCGCCTGAGAGCCGTCGGCTGCCATCCTTCGTTCGCTGCAGCGACTTGGTAGACGGCGGCGCGGTCGACTGGATCCCGGAGCGCCTGGCGGGGCAGGACCACGGCACCTATGAGGGTCTCCCAGAAGGCAACCACTCCGCGGGGTCTTCCGGTGCCTCCGGCGCGCCCGTTCGCACCGCGAGCGGCAGCGAGCCCCACGAGCCGGCGAATCCGCCCGCATCGACCGCGTTCGGCGCCCCGGCGGCGCCCCAGCCCAGCAGCAAGCCTACCAGGGCCACAGGGGCCGGCCGCTCGCCGACGCCGCAGCAGCTCAAGGCGCAGACGCGCAAGGAGAAGAACAAGCAGAGCGCCGTGCGGTCGCGGCAGCGCCGGCAGGCCCAGGAGCGCGCGCAGAACGACAAAATCCGCCAGCTCGCCGAAGCAGCGCGGCAGCTGCAGGTGGCCGTGATGGCCCTGTCGCACGAGAACGCGGCGCTCAAGCAGATGCTCAGCGCCCACGGCGTCCAGCTCCCGGCGGCGCCCTACGCTCCGCAGATGTCCCCGGTGTCCGCGCCTGCGTCTGCCGCACACAACTTCCACAACTTCAGCGCCCCCGCGGCGCAGTTCCCGCAGCCGTTCGCGGGTTCCATGCCCATGTGCGGCTCCCTGCCGATGCCGGTGCTGCCCGCGACGGATGCGGCGGGCACCCCGACGACGTCCGGGCCCTCGCGCCCCATGCACGGGTCGTCGACAGCGTCCCCCACCGTGGGCTGCGACAGCGCCCCGGCCGCGCAGCAGCAGGCCGCCGGCAGCCCCGGCACGGCTGGCACGGTGGGCCGCGGGCAGCGGAACCTGCTCCGGACCGCGGCCGGCGTCGCGGCGACGTGCGTGGGCCTGGCGTGCATGCTCGCGCAGGTGCCCGGGCCCGCGCTGTCGGGGCAAGCGGCGCACAGCACGCGCCGGCAGCTGCTGCAGCTCGCGCCGCCCGAGGCCGCGCGTGCGGCGCCGGAGCCCGCCGGGGTCCGACCTGACGTCAACTCCTCTGCGCTGGCATTACGCACCCTGGGGGGACTCGCGGAGGAGCTGCTCGCGCTCCCGCCCGGCGCGCCGGACCTCCAGCGCAGCGAGTCGCTCATCCTGCGGGAGCACCGCGCGGCCGCGGCGCGCAGCGAGGAGGGCGAGCGGCTCCGGGCGTACGACGGCGGGCGCAAGGCGGGGACGGCGCTCGCGCTGCACGACCCGTCGCAGGGCGTCGTCGCGCACCGGCTGGGCGACGACCGGCGCGTCGAGGGGCGCAAGTGGGTCAACCTCGCGCCGCTGCGGAGCGTGACGCTCCAGCAGCTGGCGGGCGACGCGCTCGACGGTGCTGGCCTGGTGCGGCCTGACTCGTGCCGGCCGGTGATGTCGTTCGCGGCGGGCGACCGCGCGAAGGCCGCGGACGCGAGCGAGGCGCGTGTCGTGCGCGTGGCCGAGCACGACGACGCGGACAAGGACGCCGACGGCGACGCGTGGGAGCCGTTGCGCGACGAGGCGCCGGGGGCCGAGCCGGAGGTGCCGGGGGGGCCGACGGGCGCGGTGTCGATCGTGTTCCCGCGGCCGGCGCGCGGGCAGGGCGACGAGAGCGACACGCTGCAGCAGGTGGATCGCGTCTTCGTGGTCATGGCGGAAAACGACCCGGTCTCGCGGTACACGACGTACGCCTGCGAGCTCGCGCAGCCGGTCTTCATGTAGAGGCGCCGGGCGGCGGCCCGGCGAGTGTGACTGATGGCGTGACCCGTGGCCTCGAGTCGCCGTGTCCGGCGGGCGCCGGTCGCGGCGCGCGGGCAGCGGGGGGCTCTGGGCCGCTGTTCGCGGCTCGCGATGCGCAGCGCTACGCGTTTCGCGCGGAAATGGGGACCCGCGTGTGTCGCCCGCGCTGTCAATACGCATCGGAGTGCAAGGGGCTTGTGTGTGTGACGATGTCGCTGCGGAGTTGGGAGATATCGCGTGACGGCCTGCGGTGCGCGCGGCTGGCGCTCCGGGCGGCGCGGGGCGTCCGCCTGCGCGGCGTCGGTCAGTCTGGGGAGGGGGGGGGCTTTGGCAAGTTGGTCGGACCCGGTCCGGGTCCGTGCGCGGTCGACGAGGGCGCGAACCGTGCCATGCGCGCGACATTCGCAGGAATCTCAGTTTCCTCGCACCGTCCTCTGCGTTGACAGCTCGTTTCGCAGCCGGGGAGTCTCGCGCCGCCGCTCTCTCTCCAGTCGGTTCGTGCTCGAGCAAGCACCATGGCTCCCGCGCCGGCGCTCCGGGGCGCCGTGCCCGCCGCCGCGGCGTGCCGCGTTGCCGCGCGGACCCGCCCTGCACCGCGCGCCTCCGTCGTCGTCCGCGCGGGCGACTACGGCGACTTCGGCCACCTCGGGAAGGGCCTGCCGAAGGGAGTGGAGCTCGAGGGGCTGCCCAACCTCGGCCAGGGCGACGGGACGCTCGACCTGGGCGTGGACGCGGGGGCGGAGGCCGCATACGTGAGTCCCGCGCCCGCGTCGCGCGACGAAACGTTGCAGCGCGAGCACACGACCGCGCGGAGGCCGTCTCCGGATTATGGAGCACATCCATCGCCCCTGCGCGCTCCTCAGCGCGCGCACAGCCACTGACGCGGTACTGCTTGCTTTCTTGTATCAAAGATGAGGGCTTGGCGTGGCTGCGGTCGCATTTGTCGGGCTCTCTCGGCGAGAAAACGCGGTCTTCGATGCTCCTGCTGAGCGTCTCCGCTGCGCCCGCGTGCGCGCCGCAGGACCCCGAGGGGCTCTTCGAGAACGTGTACGCCGAGGACGACCTCATTAAGAAGCGGTTCCTGGCGCGGCAGCAGATGAGCGACGAGGAGAAGGCCGAGGAAGACAAGAAGCGCCGCGAGAAGATCCAGAAGCAGGTCCGGGACGCACCGCCGCGCCGCTCCCGGCACGCCGCACGCACGGCTCTGCTCCGTGCCACGCCGCGCGACCCCGCAGGTCCGCGGCGCCGCCCCCTCCACCCCGCGCGCGACCACTGAGCATGTTGCGGTGCATCACCCCGCCTGCAGATCGACGAGCGGCGCGCGGCGCGGTCCCCTCCGGAGGGCAACCCCGCTGCGCTGCTGCAGTACTTCCTCGACACGGAGGTGACGGACATGGAGTACGAGGTCGCGCGCTGCAAGCCCCTTTTGACCAAGGACTTCTTCGACGTCCTCGACGGCGAGATCGGCAGGATCCGGTTCATGGAGGAGCCCTCCAAGCTCGACGAGGAGCGCCTCAAGCAGCTCGAGGCCTTCAAGGTCCGCGCCCCGCCGCCCACCCGCCCCGTCGCAGCACGCGGGCGCCCTCTGCGCGGGCGGCTCACGCTCCGCGCGCGCGCGCCGTTTCCGCGCAGAAGTACGTGGACAGCATGGCGAAGATCGTCGAGGGGGCGGTGCAGCGCCTGACGACCCCCGTGGACCGCATGAAGAAGCTGCTCACCGCCAAGGACAAGAAGGCCATGATCCTCGAGATGGCCGGGAACAACGAGATCGACAACGCGCTCATCGCGCTCCTGAACCAGAACATCAACGCCGCGCGGCAGGCCGGCCAGGAGGAGCCCGCGAAGTTCATGGAGAAGGTCCGCGACGCGTGCACGAAGTTCGTCGTGAAGCCCGCGGCGTCGCCCGCGGCGCAGCAGGCGGCGGCCGGGGCCGGCGGGGCTGCGGAGGCGGAGGTGGAGGCGCAGGCGGCGGCGACGCCTGGCACGCCGCAGGCGGCGAGCGGGCTGTCGGGCGCGGCGGCGGCGGCGGCGGCGGCGCGGGAGAAGGCGGCGGCGGCGGAGAAGCAGGGCGGGGCGGGCAGCGGGTCCGGGCTGATTCTGGACGGGAACGCGCCGCCGCCGCCGAACCCGGACGAGCCCAAGAAGAGCCTCATTCTGTGAGAGTCCCCCAGGGGGGCTTTGGGGGCCGGGCGCGGCGTGTGCAGGCCGCGCCGGCTCTGTGATGCATAATGCGTGAAAAGCGCGCACAGTGCGTGAAGAGGCGTCACAGGCCGTAGCGCCCCTGAGTGACGCAGGCCGTCGCAAGGCCAACCTTGCCATCACCTCTGCCCTCCCAGCCGGAGACACCCCCCACCTCTGCCGGGTCGACGAGGACGCCGTCCTGGTGATGCCGCCCACAGGCACGGCCGCTCAGTACAGCGCCCTCCAGTACGTCGCCGCAGCCACAACACCAAAGTAGAGCGTTCCAGCGAGGCCGCCGGTCCAGCTCAGCGCGCGCCAGGGCTGGGAGTGCGGGTAGGTGAGGAAGCTCGTGGTGTGGACGAAGCGGCACGCGACGGCCGTGAGGAGGAGCGGGAGCCCGATGGCCTTGAGTGTCGCGGGGTCTGCAGCGGAGCCGTAGGCCGCGGCGGCGAGCAGGAGGATGGGCTCGTTGGTGGCGATGTTGTCCTCGAGGCCGGCGAGCCGCTCGACCGCCTGCTTGCTCGTCAGGGGGCCGTAGGGGAGGAACGCGGCCGAGAGGGTGCGTCCCAGAAGCGTCCGTTGCAGGAAGTGCTCGTCTGCGCGCGCCGGGAGGTGTTGGTGTGTGCGTGGGCGGCGGATGCATGGCGGTTCTGGCGTCCGTGCGAAGGAATCGTCGTGCGTCGGGGTGTTCCCCGGTTGCGCGTGTCGGATGATCATCGCAGCAGCCCTGATGATCACGCACCTTCCTTCCAGGCCTCTTCATGCGACCCGACTCGCGCGCGGACCTTGAGCAGCTTGACGACAACATGCTTGGCGGCCAGGAGGCCCGTGGCTGCCGCGACGGCGGCGGTGAATTGCTCCTTTGGGTCAGAGTACGACATCGGCTGCACGCGGCGTGGGGGGGAGGGGGTGTTGCTGGGTTGGGGGACATGCAAGGAACACGAAGAGCATGTGCCTGGGGGCGGCAGCAACGGAGGGTCCGGGCAAATGCGGAGGCAGGGCGGCTGGTGGACTGCAGGTGCGCCTCTCAACTACCCCCGGCGGGTCCGTGCGGGTGGGTTCGTGCCGCAGGCGCGAGCGCGTTGGTCAGATGGGAGCTCTTGTGGTGTGCCGGACGTACGATATTCGTTTGGAGAGGGGCGGGCGCTGGCGACGTGCTCAGCAACAGATGAGATAATCAATCAACGACGCGTGACCGGCCGAATGCGTCAGGACGGACTCACGTTCTGCAGCAATCGCAAGTGTGGGCTCCCGGTCGCGATCTGACGCAGCGAGTTGCGCCATCGGAGGGCCGGCAGGGGCCAACGCGACCACGTCAGACCGTGCACTTTCGACGCGCGCCTGTTCACCCTTGAACAAAATTGACACTAACGATTGCAAAATTCACGCGTACCATACCCCGCTGTGTCCTTGGCGCACCGAAACAAGCGCATCGTGGAGGTCCAGACGTCGCATCGTGCGATTTCACCTTTTGGCCTCCCGTGCCTCGCAAACGACGGAAACCGGCACGGAACCCGCCTCGAGGCCGGGACCCGGCTGCGGACCAGCGTTCACGAGCGCTTCCTGGCCTCGGTGTTGGGCCGGAATCCAGCCGCACCGCTGTGCGAGCAGGCCTCCACGTCAGCTGTTGGTGGACCAGGAGACTCCTCGTTGGTGGGTGGGACCGCCGCGGCGCCATCGCGATGCGCCGCGCGGCCTCTCGTTTACTCCTGCGAGGTCGTTGAAGAGCAGTGCGCGATGCTAGGGCTGTCAGCCACGCGTCCACCGGTCGCGCAACCGACGACTCCGGTCGTCGCTCGGGCCGCAGAGCGCCACACCGGTGCCTGCCTCGGGCGCGCCGTTCAAGATGTGACGCGCGGGCGCGCCGTATCGATGCGTTCTTTTGGGCCCGGCGCCGTGCGAGGGCCTTTGCGGCGGGGCCCGTGCGCGAGGCAGATAGCCTCGGCGGCGGGTCGACGGTGGATCAACCTGGCCGAGGCGATGCAGACGTTGGAGCTCGAGGACCCTGAGACGCGCGTGCCGTCCGCGAAGGAGGTCAAACGGGCCTTCAGGCGCCGCGCGAAGGCCTGTCATCCCGACGTCTCGAGCCACACAGCGTCGCACGAAGAGTTCCTCCGCGCCACCCAGGCGTACGAGTACCTCATGGCCATCATCCAGGTGAGCCGCCGACGAGAGATTCCCGCCTGCTCCCCCCCCACCGTCGAAATAGGGCGAGAAATTCTCCCAGGGCCAACGGCTTTCGCCAAAACGCCGACATGCGAGGGATCCTCGCCACGAAACAGCGGTCCAACCGATAGAACGGCACCGGAATGTCGGCTTCGGCGGAGAATAATGCCCGCTGCGTGGTCGACCGCGGCGGCGTCGCCGTAGGTTGATTCGCCGGCTCCAACCGCTGCGCCGCGTCCACGCGCCGCCCCAGCCCGCCCGTGCGCGCTCTGCGCCGACGCACCGTCTCGTGCGGGATGCTCCGGGATTGACCGGACCAGCCGCGGCCGTGAAACCTGCACGCGGCCAACCGCCTCCTGGCCTCTGGTGATCTTCGCAGGGCAAGGAGCCGCCCTCTGGCACCGAACGACCCGAGCCGAAGGCAGGCGACTGGTCCTTCCATGACTGGTACTGGAGCTTCAGCACGAGCCGCCGCAAGGCCGCCGCGAGGTGAGCCACGACGCGCACGGTGCCGCCTCGCAGATCTCGACGCGCTTCACGTCGATTTCCTCACGCAACCCCCGCGTGGCGTGTCTGCTCGCGCGGCCCAAGGCCAGGCGTCGCTGCTCGGCGTCGTACCGTGCAAAAAAGGGGATGCGCGGCCGGTAGCGCTGCCCAGTGCACGCGATCACACTGCACCTGCCTCCTCGTGCCCGCCCCTGCAGCCACGGCCGGCCCTCCGCCGCCCGTGCCGCGCCGAGGAGCGCCGTTCAGGATCAGCTAGGCAACCTGCGACGTCGTGCGGCGTACCGGGCGGCGAAGCAAGCCGCCTCCAGCCAGCCGGTGGACACGCCCGAGCCCGAGCCACACACGCCGCGCCCCGGCGAGGAGGTCTGGTACGACGGCGCCAGCGAAGGCACCTGCGACTCCGGCTCGTTCGGCTCCCACGTCGTCACTCCGCAGTCGGACGCCAACCCCGCGACCGACAACGACGGTGCGCCGCACGACGTCGGGCCCACGAAGACCATCGCCGCGGCGCACGCGCTGGCCGACCTGCTAGCCCACATCTCGGGCGTCCTGCACGCCGCGCGGGGGGACGCCGAGCGTCCTGAGTCGGACACGGTTGTCAGGGAGCCCGGCGTGTTGCATGGGGGGCCGATGTTCGACGCGTTCGACGCGTGCCACGGCGCGTGGGCGTCCGCGGGGACGGCGCTGAGCGAGGAGGCGACGGCGCAGGACGCGGACGAGGAGCAGGGGCCGCAGCCGCGGCCGTCTGTGCCGGTGGGCGTGACGTCGCAGTTGGAGGGGCTGCGGAGGCGCGCGGCGATGCGGCGGTGACGCGGGGGTGCCGCGGGCACGGCGTGTACATAGGGGACGGCCCGCGGAACCCAGACTGCGACGAGTGCGCTGCAGTGAGACTTCGAAGATACGATACGATACAGTGAAGAGCCTTTTTATTACTGTTTTATTATGTGAGACGATTTCGTTACTCTTCGCGCCTCCTAGGCTCGGTCATCCCGACCGCGACCTACCCTGCAGCTGCTCCCACGGCGCAAACCCTCCGGGGAAGTCCCCTCCCGCGTCAGCTGCAACATACCCTCCTGGGTCACGCTAAAAATCACTGCGAGCGCCGAAGCCGTCCGCTCAGGGCCTTCTGCGCTCCAGCGGCAGCTGTCCCTGGGCGGACGGCTTGACTGTCCACCCGTCCCCCGGCGGAGCGCCCCCCCCCGGCGCGTTCCACGGCGCCGCCCCCTCGCGACACACGCGCGACACGACGCCGCCGCCGCCGTGCGGCGGGGCCGGCCCGCCCTGGCGCCACGCCTGCTGCCCGTGCCAGCCCGCGCCCTGCGGACCACCGCCTGGATGGTGTTGCGCAGGGGGCGGCCTCTGGTGGTGGAATTGCTGCTGAGGAGGCGGCTGACACCGCACGGCCGTGGGCGCGTGCGGCGACGCGAGCGCGACCTCGCCGCCCCCGAACGCGAACCTCTCGAGGCTGCGCTGCTGCCCGGCGGCCGCCGGCCCGTTGTGCGCGCCGAGGGGTCGCGCGGGAGGATGGGGGGCTTGTCCGGGGTGGTTGGGCGGGGGCGGTGCGCTGCCGTTCGCTTGCTCGGAGGAGCGCTTCCGCTTCTTCTTCGCGACGAGAATGCACAGGTCGTCGTCGTCGCTGGCCTGGCTGGCGCGCTGGCCACCGCCCTCGGCGTCCCAGGGCGGCACGACAGGCCCCGGGGGGTGTACCTCGCTGCCGGCCCGTCCCGAGGCGTCGTAGGCCTTGCGGGCCTCCTGGAGGACCCACACGATGTCCCTGGCGTACTTCTTCAGCTTCTCGATGCCGAGGTTCTGCGCACAAACCGGAGAACGCCGCAACGTTTGAACACGAAACAGCGTCGCCGATTCGAGCGAACGATCGTCGGAGGCACGAGCTGCCTCGAAGCGCACGCTGTGTGCATTGACAGGCGGGCACGGCACGCTCCGTGGCCCCGCGGCCGCAACCACGCACGTACGCACAGGTACAAACACGTGCGGCCAGTTCGACCGCTCCGCGTCAGTGTTCGTACCTCGATGCGCATGGAGAGGAGCTCCGGCTCGGTCGCGGGCATCCGCATCGCGATCTTCTCGCACCACTGGTCGCGCAGCATCAGCGACGCGTTCAGGCGGTCCCGCCGCGCCTTCTCGTTGCGCCACGCGATCATCCACAGGTGCCCCGTGCGCGCCAGCGCGGGGTCCACGTCCGGGATCGCGCTCCCAGGCACCGCCTCCTCCTCGTCGCTGTCCTCGATGATGTCCTGCGTCGGCAGCGCCGCAGGCCGCGCCCGGTCTCGCGCCGCCGCGCCGCCCGCCGTGCGCGCCCGCGACAGCTCCGGCAGCGTGACCTTCAGCTGCCCCGACCGCAGCTTCTCCGCCGCCTTCCCGGGCTCCGCGCGCGTCGACACCACGTAGTGCCCCCCGCCCGTCGTCACCCCGTGCGGCACCTCCTTGACAATCTGCAACGTCAGCAGCCGCCACATCAGCAGGTCGACGGTCTTCGACGGCGTGCCGCGGCCGGTGCCGTAGCACTGCAGCTGGTCGTACCGCGCGGCCTTGATCGCGCGGTTCTGCGACCCCAGGAACGTCGCCTTGATGTCGGCGACCGTCGCCGACCGCTCCTGCATCTCCTCGACGGCCGCGAGGAGCGCCAGCGCCTCCGCGGTGCGGTCCGCCTCGACGACCTCGCTCGCGCCGCGCCCCGCGCAGTTGTCGCACGTGCGCCGGCACTGCTCCGCGCTGAACGCCTCGTCGAAGTACGACAGCATCATCTTGCGCCGGCAGTCCACCTTGTTCTCGGCGTACCACGCCATCGCGGCCAGACTCTGGAGGTTCGCGCGGAGCTGCGGGTCGTCCTTCCCCGCGCCGCGCTCCTCCGCGCTGCGCGTGATCATCGTGCGCATGCGCAGCGTGTCGGCCGCCGAGTACATCAGCACGCACGCCGCCACGCGCATGTCGCGCCCCGCGCGGCCGGACTCCTGCAGGTAGCCCTCGAGCGACTTGGAGAGGCTGTGGTGGATGACGAAGCGGACGTCGGGCTTGTTGATGCCCATGCCGAACGCGATCGTCGCGCAGATGACCGGGATGGTGCCCGCGGACCACTCGGCCTGCACGCGCGAGCGCTGGTCGTGGGAGAGCTCCGCGTGGTAGAACTCGGCCTTGAGGCGGACGCCGCGCTTCGAGCGCACGTTGCACAGCTCGCGCGCGACCTCCTCGGTGTCGCGGCGCGACAGGCAGTAGACAATGCCAGACATGAAGTTGCCTGCGGCCGACAGCTGGGGGTTCGCGGTTGGTGGCGCGCCGTGCTGCCAAGGCGGCGCGGCCCGACGCGCGGCACAGTGCGGCGACTCTGGGGGGGCGGCGATGCGGGGCTCGAACTCCGCTGGACGCAGAAGTTGCCGGTGAATGCGAGTTGTGATTCGGGCGGGAGAGACTGCCGTGCGCACCGTTCGGGTAGACGAACTCGTTCTCGATCATCTTCTTCATCTCCTCGAGGCCCTTGCCCTTGCCGCCCTTGGCCACGACGCGGTACCGGAGGTTGGGGCGGTTGAAGCTGTTGTCGAACATTTGCAAGTTGCGCCCCGGGATGTGCAGCTGCTTGATCACGTCCACGCGCACGCGCTTCGTCGCCGTCGCCGTCAGCGCCTGCGCAACCGTCCGCGCGCGCGAACCACGTCAGGCACCCCACGACGAAGCATACAACGCGAAACAACACGTGCGCACATATTGCCCGTGGGGAGGCGCGGCTGGCCGCGCGGCGGCGTCGGGGCGTCCTACCATGACGGGCACTTCCGGGCAGCAGCACCGTTTGAACCACGACAGGTTCTTGTAGTCGGGGCGGAAGTCGTGTCCCCAGCTGGAGACGCAGTGCGCCTCGTCGACGACGACCTGCGCGAGCTTGCGGTTCTTGTGCAGGTGCATGAACAGGTTCTTCGTCGCGTCCGACGCGGACAGCTTCTCCGGCGTCACGAAGAGCACCTTGAGCCGCGGGTTCGCCGTGCGCAGGTCGGCAAAGATCGAGCTCTGGTCCGCCGCGAGGCCCCCCGCGGCGTCGCGCGGGTTGCTCCCGCTGAGGCACGCCGCCGCGATGCCCAGGTCCTGCAGCTGCGAGATCTGGTCCTGGATCAGCGAGATCAGCGGCGAGATCACGATCGTCACGCCGTCCTTCAGCATCGCGGGCAGCTGGTAGCACAGCGACTTGCCGCCGCCCGTGGGCATCAGCACGAGCACGTCGCGCCCGGCGAGCGTCGCGTTGATGATCTCGCGCTGGTTGAACCGGAAGTTCCGAATGCCGAAGATGTTGAGGGCGCGCTCTTGGAGCTCGCGCGACCACGGGAAGTCGTCGCGGCTCCACGTGGAACACACCGGCCGAGGGGGCTCCTGCATCGCGCGGTCGTCGGCCGCCTGCGCGTGCTGCTCCCACAGGCTCGGGTCGCGCGGGGGCGGGCCCGCGCCGCCCTCGGTTGTGGCCATCGGCGCCGCCGGGGCGTGCCCGGCGCCGTCCCCGTCGTCGCCGTCGCGCAGGAGGCCGCCGTGGTCGTGCTGGAGGAGGGGCCGGTCGATCGGCGCGGGACGGGACGGCTCCAGCGCAGCGGGCGGCGCCCGCAGCTCAGGCGCAGGTGCTGCTGCGATCGGGGCCGGAGCGTGGCTCACGGCGGGCGGCCCGACGACGCGCGGCACCGCGGCGGGGACGGGGACAGCGTGCTGCGGCTGGTCGGCGCCCCACCCGCCCGCCCCCGTCGCCGCGCCGCCGCGCTGCTCCACCGACAGCGCGTGCTGCAAGTTGACCACGCGAGCCTTCGCGGCGCGCCGCTCCGGGGCGAGCTCTTGCTCGAGGGCGCCGCGACTGTCGACGATGCGCTCCAGCACGCTCACGAGGCTCTCGAGGGCTCCCTGCGGCAGGCGCGGCGGTTGGCGTTCAAAAACAGCCCCACAGCGTCGGCGCACCCGGTTCGCCGCCGGCAGTGGCCGCTGCGAGCGACGTGACGCGTGGGAGCGCGGGCGGGCGTGCGTGCGGGGCGGGCGCACCTGCAGCTGGCCCTGGAGCGTCCGGTGCGGCGCGGGCGTGGAGCCGTGTGCGTTGGGCTCCGCTGGCGGCGCGCACGCGCGGTCGTTTCGTCCCGGAAACGCGCCCGAGGAAGAGGGCGGATCGTGCCTCGGCAGCGGTGCCGCGTTGCGCGGCACTGTCGGCGGCGTGGCGACCGGACCCGCGCCGTGGCCCATTGCCGCCGCCACCCTCGCTTGGTGCATGCCCACGAGCGCGTCGACGTCGACGTCCGCGAAGAGCGCGTCCTCGTCGTCGTCGTCGATGACCTGGGCCGGCGCGGGCGGCGGGGGCGCCGCGTGGCGGACCGCCGGGGCGTGCGCGGGCGCAGCAGAGGCAGCGTGCTCTGCGGGCCGAGCCGGGCGCGGCGCCGGCCGTGCCTGCGCGGCGACCGGGGCCGCGACGAGCTTGCTCTCGCTCACGGGTGGTTTGAGATCGAGCGGCACCGAGCGAGGCGGCCTCGAGAGCACTTGGAGCGCCGTGTGCGCCTCGCGCTCAGTCAAGTCGCTTGTGACGGTCGTTGCGCCGATGTTGGCGCACGCGGCCTCGAGCGCGCGCTTCTGCGGCGGCGCGGCCAAGAGGAGCCCGTCCGCGAACCGCTCGAGCGGGGCTTTGTCGAGTTCGGCCTTGCATTCGTGCACGTTGGACCGCACTGGGGCCACCGCCATCGTCTGTGTTCCGCCCTGTGCAGGGCCGGGATGCATCGCAAGGCGACAGATACCGGACGCTGTAGTGTCCTGCGAGCAGGTGCTTGACTGTGCGCGCCCCGGCAACCTGCCAGCGCGTGTCAGGAGCCCGGGGCAACGGAACTTAGCACCCAATTTGCATTCTGCTACGCGGGCCGAAAATACCGCCGCTCCCGCGGTACGTGTCGCTCGTTTCCGTGCAGGTTACCTCCTACGACGCAGCAGCAAGGCCACCTGCCCGCCGCCCGGAGCGCTCCCGGGGCGCTGCGGGCCTAGGCACAAGCTCTCAGAGAAGCTACGTGGGCCGCGGCCGTCTGTGGGCCCGTACGCGTGCTCGCGAGACTGCCGGCAGCAGCGGGAGAGCGGGAGCATTGGCGCGTGACACCCCGTGCGCGCGACAGTCGCCGACTGCTCCTACGTCAGTGGTGGGGCTGTGCGGGTAGAAGCGACGCGCGGGCCGCCTCCGCAGGCAAGGAGGGCACGTTTCGCCGCTCTGCAGCCCTAGACCGACAGCGTGCCCATTCAAATACGCCGAATCCAACGCACGGCGCGCGAACTCCTGCGCCTGGGGCCTAGCCTTGTGTTCAACACGCAGCGCTCAGCTCCCGGGGCGGGCCGCGACCAGGCGCTGCGGTGATCAGACGCGGCGGTTGTCGCACACGACTCCAGATTAGGCGGCGCGTCTGCGTGCCCCCGTCCAGCAGTGGCGAGAATCAGGGGGACCCAGCGCGAGTAGTGAGGTGGTGATTGGTGGGACGCAAGGGGGTGGCCAGCCGGGAAGATGACGCCTCGCGGCCTCAGGCGGATAGCATGGATGGTCGCGCTCATTTTGGTGGCGTTGCACGCCGCGAGGGCGATGCCAGAGGCGCCCAATGCTCTCGACCCTTCCCTCCTCTCCCGGGACGAGCGTGCCTCCCGGGGCGACTCCGGTCAGTCTGTGGGCTTGTCCGGAGATCATGCTGACGCCCCGGGGCCGAAAGCGGGCCGGGGTCGGCGGCGCGCCGAGGAAGGGGGGTGGGCCACTTTTGCGCCAGAGGACCACTTCGTGACGAAGCAACAAGGTGCGCGCTCCGATCGTGGCAACAGACTGGATCCTGCATTGTATTCCACACGCGATGGCGGGATCGAAAGCCAGGTCCACCGCGAATCAGTCCCCGGGAGGCAGCTTGTGCTCGCACTCTGTCACGCTCCGTATTCTCGGCCTGCGCCCACGGCCGGCCCAACGCGATGCCTCGAGGGACAGTCACGCGCATATTCTTGCGTGCGCGCCCCTAACGGGCGCGATCTCGTCCACACCGAGGTCGCACAGGCCACGCTGCAAGACACACACCCGAAAGCGCGCCCGTCCTGCGCCTCCGTAACCCCTGCTTCAGACCCACGCCTCGTGGGGGTCTCTCGCGCCTTCCTTGGGACGGCGCGGCGCCTCGTTTGCGCGCACACAACGACCCCCCCCCCCGCCCTCTCGCCCCGTGCCATGCAGACCCCGGCGATGCCGCGGTGTGCGAGATCTACAAGCAGCCGGGGAACGGACCCGGGCACCTGGAGATCGAGGTCGTCAACTACGGCGCCGAGCAGCTCGAGTTCACGGTAAGAGCACAGTTGCGGCGCTGCTGACTGCCTCACCTGCCGCGCGAAGACCGACGAGCAGCTGACGTGCTTGAGTGCATCGACATGCTCAAGACGTGACGGGCTGCGCTGAATCCAGCCTCGGTTGAGCAAGTCGCCGAGCAGGCACTGTACACATTCCCTAGTCGTCCCTCTGGCGTTGTTGTTGCTGGAGACGCACTATCAGCAAGTAGGCCAACGAGCCGAAAACACGTACGAGCGAAAGCTTTTCGTACGTGTTTTCGGCTCGCAGCTCAACCTGCTGGTGCGTCTCCAGCAACAACAACAACACGCCGCAGCCATCACATCACGCTCGCGTGCCCCTGGACCGCACGCCCCGGCCGATGGTCTCTCTGACTATGTTGCGTCCCCGGGTGGGCCGTGTCGCGGGGACGTCGGCGGGAAGCACTCCGAGCGAGCCTGTCGCGATCCGTGTCTTTATCTGTCTTTTTCGCTTACGCAGGTCGACGTGAAGATGCACGGCGAGCGCGCAGAGGACTCGATACCGTGCGGGGAGTGCGTGACCATCACGCCGGCGAGCGGGAGCATCCCCGCCGCCGGCGACGACGAAGGACACCAGTATCAGATCTTCGACCTGCACATCACGCCGGTGAGGCCGCAGCCGCGCAGAACGGGCCGACCGCTGCCCCCGACGGCTGCAGTGCCGCACAGTGGCGCCAGGCCTCGCGGCCTGAACGTCGCATTGCCAGGGACGGAAGGAAGGCTCCAGGGGATATTGTTTTGCAAATGCGCGCTTCTTTCTTGTGTTTCTTGTCTTGATCGGTGTTTGGGACGGCGTGGATGTGCGTTGAGGCGATCGAACGTTCCTTGCTGCTGTGCAGGAGGGCCGGGAGGAGCTCGGTGAGGCGCAGGCGCTGCGCATTGAGGTCTGGTCAACAGCGGACCATTTGCGTGCGTGCGAGACCGAGGCCACCGTGCGCTCGGCGTTCCCGCCTCGCCCCGACGACAACGACGATGGCGATGACGACGGCGAAGACGACGGGCCCGGCAAGAGCAGCGGGGCAGGGAGCGGCGACGACAGCGACCCTGGCACCCGCGGCAGCGGAGCGGAGGATCCCGGCGAGGATCCCGAAGCGCCGCCTGAAGACACAGAGCCGCCGCCGGAGGACACGGAGCCCCCCACGGAGCCCACCGAACCGCCTCCGTCACCAACTGAGGCGCCTCCCGAACCCACAGAGGCGCCGCCCGAACCCACGGAGGCGCCGCCCGAGCCCACACAGGCGCCGCCTGAGCCCACAGAGGCGCCAGCTGCTGGCGGTGACGACAACGACCCGAGCAAGCGCGGCGGTGGCGACGACGGGGATGGTGGCGACGACGATGACGGTGGACAGTCGCCGCACGGCTCGGACGACGACGACGACGACGGCAGTGGCGGCAGCGGGCACCCCTGGGACGGAAGTGGGGACGTGAGTGGCCCACGGCGTCGACCTGTCAGCTCGCCGCACGAGGCCATCCCCGCAATATACCACACCTAGACTCTCAGACGCAATTTGATTTGATGCGTCACTCAATTCGCCCCCTATGTTGCCAACGCCGATCGCTTCGTGTTGCTTCATCGCTCGCAGGACGCTGGTGGCTCGGGCGCGAGCGGATACTTGTACCTGGTCGGGCTGGCGGGCATCGGCGGCCTGGGCCTGTTCGTGTATCACAAGCTGAAGAAGCCCTCGCACGGGGGCGCGGGCGGTCGATCGGGCGACGGCGGCGGCGGCGGCGGTGCACGCAACGAGATCCAGATGCAGCCTGTCGGGGAGGACACAGCGCTGCTGGCCAAGGGGGGGAGTGGCGGACGGCCCGGGGAGGGGTACAACGGCGCGGGCGCGAATGGGGACGGCTGGGACGAGGAGTGGGGCCAGGAGAGCGATACGTGGGGGAAGAGCGGCGCCGGCGCCGGCGCCGCGAAGGCCGATCCAGCGGACGGCTGGGACGGGGTCGACTGGGGGGACGACGACGACGGTGTGGGGACGCCGGCGCCCCCTGCGGCGGCCGCGTCGAGCGCGCGCCCGCGGTCGACGCCGCGGTCGGGGCTGAAGCTCGGGGCGAAGAAGTTGAAGGACTGAATCCACGCCTACGCAAGGAAGGTGCTGGACTTGTTGTTGCCGTCGCGTCGTGAGCAGCGTGGTGCGCCGGTGGTGTGTGAGGCCAGGCCTAGCCCACCTGTGGATTCGGAGGAGTGTCGGCGTCGAACAGCGCGGAGGTCACGCTGTCTGTGCTCCACGCAAAAATGATGTTGTAGTGTTGCTTTTGTTGTCTCGAACGCCCTGCGCTGAGGAGTTCCTGGGGGACCGGCAAAGACATGAACGTCCGCAGCGCTTACACCGTTCCTTCTACGCAGCTGCGCGGCTAGATGGCAACCAATATTCCCCCCCCTCGTGTCATGCAGCAACCAGGTCAGTTGGTTTCGACGAGCGCCACCGTGAACTTGCCGAGCCACGTGCTCCGGCACACGTCCACGATCGGCGCGTAGTCGCGGCGCACGCGCCCAAGCATCCCCACGCGCCAGCCCGTCCAGCGCCGCACCGCAGCACTGCGCGCGGCAGCCCACGTGGAGCGCGTCCGCGCCATCCAGGACCCGCGGGGAAGCGCCCTGAGAGCGTCGTCCAGCCCATCAGTACGCTTCGGACGAAGACCGAATCCGATGCGGGTCTGACCGTTGCCGGAGAAGGGCAGGAAGCCCCGCCAGCGCAGCTGGAAGGTCTTCCCGAGCGGGCCGGGCGACGTCCACGACACCGCTCGCGCGTCGTCGTCCCTGGCTGCGTTCCACGGACCCGGGCCGGTGCGTCCGACGCATCCTGGCTCCTCCGGGCGAGGGACGTCGCACGCGAAGACGCGCTTCTCGAGGACGCTGCCGAAGAGGGGCGGGAACCCGACGCTGTCGAGGAGGGCCGCGGGGAAGTCTTCGTGGCAGAAGCAGCCGCCGAGAGGGCCGTAGCTGAACGCGAGGTTGATCTGCGTTCACAGCAACAACAGCGAGGGCACAAGTCGATTTCTGAGTCAAGGCGCGAGCGGGGCGTGCCTGCCTCTTTGAGGGATACACGACCGCGTGATGTGGCAACGAGACCTAAGTTCGATCGTCGTGAACTAAGCTGCGCGTGCGAAACAGCTCACCACAGAGCAGCAGTCCTCCTGCCCCGTAATGCACCGCGTCACTGTCTTCTGAAGCTCGTCCGGGACGTCATCCTGCGCAAAACACTCGAGAGGGCGCGCGCCCACGTCGACACGGCGATGGATCGAAATAGTCGGCAGTATTTCGGAAAACAGCCTTCGTCCAACAACAACGCTCGCTCATCAAGATGTCAACCCCGACGCCGCGCATCGGCCCCTCCGATTCGCACCAGGTCAAACAGCGACACGAACGAGACGCACTGCTCCAGCGTGGCGGCTCCGACCAGCGCGGGTGCCGCCAGCACACAGGCAGCAAGCCCTGCCAGGCTCCAACGACTCGCACGCATTCCGACCGGACGTCTCGCACCGCCGCGGGCAGACTCCCAAGATGTCCCACCCCCAAACGACACCGCGCGCCCCTCACCACGCCCGCGCCGGCCCTGACACCCCCCCGCGAGACCGCCATGTGTTCACTGCAGCAGCGCACTGCACTGGCACCACACCTCTCCCACCTATCACAACTTCCGCACCAGCGCGACCCCCACCGATCGATCCCGCTTCTTCACTTCGCTTCGTACCACGTCTGGCCGATGTTCGAGTCCACGGAGAGATCCACGCCCAGCGGGTTGTGCCCGGCAAAGGGTCGGTTCATGCACTCGCCGACGATCTCCTTGGCCCGCTCCGCCGACTCCGCGGGCCCCTCGAGGATCACCTCGTCGTGGACCTGCAGCAGCAGCGTCCACCCGAGCTCCCGCAGCTCCCGGCTGCGCCCAATCTCGATCATCGCCGCCGTCACCACGTCCGCGGCGCTGCCCTGGATCGGCGTGTTGATCGCCGCGCGGAACGCGTGCCCGCGCGACTTCCGATCCGAGAACACCCAGTTCAGCGGGTCCTCCGTCAGCAGCCGCGCCTTGTCGATCGTCGCCGGTGCGTCGCCGCGCGACAGGGACTTGAGCTGCTGCTGCGCGTCCCCGCGCAGGACGCGGTCGCCGCCCTGCGCGCGCCGCGCGTCGCCCGCGGCGTCCGGGAGGTGCCGGCGCCGCCCGAGGATGGTGTTGACGTAGTGCACGGCGTTGGCCTGCTTGCGCTGTTCCACCTGCCAGGCTAGGACCTCGGGGCGGTCGCTGTACCACGCGTCCAGCGTGGCCTGCGCCTCCGTGAGCGACTGCCCGAAGTCGCTCGCCAGCCCGAAGACGGTCTTGCCGTACGCCAGCGAGAAGTTCAGGATCTTGGCCATGCGGCGCTCGCTGCCGAACAGGTCCTTGATGAGGGGGACCTCGGAGCCGCCCTCGCCCTGCGGTGTACGTGGGCACGGTGCGGCGGTGGGCGGAGGGGGGGGGGGGCGCGGGGGCGTGCGAGCCGCTGCACTGCAAGCGCTGGCACAGAGATGCAGGGCCGCGGTGGCTGTGAAACACCCAGTTGCGAGGTCCGTGCAACGCACGACTGGAGCGTCGAACTGAGTCGCTGCCTCGGGGCGGTGTGTCGTTGGAGTGTGCCCGGTACTGCTACTCGGGCACAATGCGATCGGGGGGCGACGACTCACCACGCCTTCTTCCAGGCGGCAGTCCCCCTTGTTCACCGCGTCCTTGATGTGCTGGAACATCCCGTGCGCGGTCCGCGAGTGGAAGTCCCCCCCCGCCTCGAACGCGTGCTTCATCGACTCGCACCCCGCGATCGCCGCGAGAATGCGCAGCTCCAGCTGCCCGTAGTCCGCGACGATCAGTGAGCGGCCCTCGCGCGCGTTCGCGCAGAACGCGGCGCGCACCTTGTAGCGGTCCTTTTCGAGCGCGGGCTGGTTCTGCAAGTTGGGGTTGCGCGCCGACAGCCGCCCGGTCTCCGTGTTGAGGTTGAGCGAGCAGTGCACGCGGTGGTCCGGCGTGGAGATGTCGTCGCCCTGCAGCGGCCGGATGAACGACGACAGCAGCTTGTCGATCAGCCCCACCTCGCACAGCGCGTCCACCGCCGCGCACGCGCGCAGCCCCTCCTCGCCGCCCCCGAACGCCGCGTACAGCGCGCCGAGACCGTTCTCCTTCGCGTACGCGTCCAGCGCGTCGCGCTCCGCCTGCGACATCTCGAGCCACCGCAGCCGAGGGTCCTCTGCGCCGTACGGCACCACCGCCGGCGTATCCTCCGCCGTGTACGCAGGCGGGATGGTCGCGCGTTCGCCGCCCGTCACGTCGGCCTCTGCGCTGGTCCCGGCTGCATCGTCGGCCTTGCGCGCCGCCTTCTTCGGCGCGGACGCGACCGTTGCAGCGTCGTCCGCGGCGTCCAGGAGGTCATCCTCGTCGGATGCGAGCCCCACGTCAACTTCGCTGAGTCCCAAATCCACCCCCATGTCCTTCAGGAGGCGCCGCGCCGCGCCGGGCTTCCCCGCCATCTTCCGCAGCACGGCCGACGACGTGGCAGGCCCGCCGTCCTTGGCGGTAAACGACGTCGGCAGCGCGGGGTGCCCCCCGCCCTCGAACATCCTCTGAAGCGCCTCCGCGCCCCACAAGTTGCCTAGAACGATCGGCCGGTTGACCTTCGCGCGCTTCCCGCCGGGCTCGACCCACCCATCCGTATTCGGCACCTTGATCTCCTTCCAGACAGGCACCTTCGGCTCCTTCGGCGCCCCCCTCGCACCGCGCGCCCGCGGGCCCTCCTCGCCGTCGCTCTCGCCCTCGCTTTCCGCCGCCGCCGCCTCCACCGTCTCCGCCGTCGTCATGTCCAGCCGGCACCCCGTCACGGAGTCCGCCGCGCGCTGAATTCCGCCGAACAGGAGGATCCCGACCTGCTGCCCGGACGAGATGTTCATCAGGCGCGCGTCGGGGACCCAGCGCGACGCCCACGCCAGGAAGGTCTCGATCGCGGCGCGCTGGTCAGCGATGGCGCGCTCCTCCGCCTCCGCGAGGTGCGGGCGGTTCACGAGGAAGCCCGCGCTCTCCATCGACGTCAGCAGCTCGCCGAACGGCAGCCAGAACGACCGGTACACGTCCAGAGACGTCTGCACCTCGGGGTACGTCGCGCGCAGGAGCTGCCCGACTGACGCCGGCTCGCGCGCGAGGCGCGTCGCGAGGCTGCGGTAGAGGTTCCACGTCGCCTTGGCGTCCAGCGCGGAGTACTTGATCCACGCCGGCCGCAGGAGCGGGTGCGTGTGCATCTCCCAGATGGCGGGCAGCTTGGCGAGCTTCTCAGAGGTGAGCTGCGGCGGCGCGCCCTCGGCCTCGGCCTTCTTCGTCTGGCGCTTCTCCGTGCGGAAGCTGAAGATGTCCTTCATGCCCACCTTCCCGCCCACCTCGTGGACCCACTGCCCGCCCATGAGGTCCGCCCGCGACGTCAGACTGGCAAGGGAGTACTCCTTCCCGCCGAGATCGGTCCGCCACAGCCGCGCCATGTGCAGCGTGTCGCCCGAGAACCCCCGCAGCGCGACGCCCTCGTTCTCCAGCACGTGCCGATCGAACCCGTAGTTGTGCCACACCTTGCGCACCTGCACGCTCTCCAGAAACGGCCGCAGCGCGTCCAGGATCTCCTCGCGCCGCCGCCCGCCCAGGTCCACCCACAGCTGGTCCTGCGGCACCTCCGACGCGCCGCCGGAGAAGTCCACGTCCGCGCCGGCGTACACGCTGAGCGCGATGACAGACCCGTGGCCGACGGGGCTCTGGTCGGGCAGCGTGATGTTGGCCACCTCCGTGTCGCACGCGAACACCGCGCCGGGCCCGCGCTCCTCCGCGAGCCGCATCATGAAGTCCGCCACGCGCTGCGCGTCGCCGGCGTTGTCGTCCGTCACGCAATACACCTCCGGGTCCACCTCGTTGCGCTGACCCCCCCCTGCCGCGTCAGGCACCACGCGGCACTGCAGCGTGTGCTCCTTGAAGTACCGCCGCGTCTCGCCGTCGTCGTCCACCACGTACGTCGTCCCGTCCACGTCAGCGCGCTCCAAGTCGGACCACAGGAAACCCCCCCCCATGTACTCAGGCTGCACCAACTCGAACGCCACGCGCCGCACCTCTGGCGCGGTGCCGGACCCGGCGCCCCACGGCGCCCCGCCGGGACCGTCGTCCGCGCCGAATGACGTCTGCGCGTCGGAGAGCCCCCGCGCCATCGCCGTGCCCGGCTCGGGGTCCTGCGGGGGCCAGGCGCGGTCCGCGGAGGCGCCGCCGCTGCCTCCGGAGCTGCCGCTGGACGGGACCTGCCCGTTCGGCCGGGGCGGCGGGGGTCCGCGCGGGTGCTGTGGGGGCGGGGGCGGTGGCGGTGGCGCCGCGCGCGTTGTGTGCGCGGCCTGCGGGACGGGCCGCGCGTTCGCCGAGACGTCCGCGAGGGGCTCCGTCGCGTGCTCCTGGAGGTGTTTGAAAGGGTCGTTGCCCACAGGACGGGCCACCGGCCGCGGCGGCGGCGGCGGTGGAGGCGGCAGGTGCGCCGGGGACGTGGGCGGCGCTGCGTGCGTGACCTGCGCGGCCTGGAAATCAGGGACGTTCCCGACGGCAGCGTACGGCCCGGGCGAGGGCAACGCCTCCTCCGTTTCGCCGCTGTGCGCGCGGGGCTCCGGTGGGCGCGTGGGCGCGCTCTCGGCACCAGGCTGCGCGCTCCTGGTGGCGCCGTTCGAGGAGGGCCCGTTCGGCCGGCCCACGTTCGCTCGGAGACTGCGCTGCACGGGTCTGAACTGGCCGGAGAGGTCGTTGGATTCGCGAGGGCGGACGCCCGGGACCTTGTGAGCACCGCCGCTGCCGAGCTGCTCGTTCCTCCGCCGCATGTCCTCCAGGCGCCTGTCCTTCCACCTCTCGCCGTCCCGTGTCTTCGGGCCATGCTGGGTGTCGGCCACGGACGACGCGTAGTTGCGCGTCAGGACCGACTGCGAGGCGGCTGAGCCCTGGGCACCGCCTGGGCTCGCCGGGTGGGCTTGCGAGGGCAGCGGGGGGCCCGCGTTGCCCCCCGAGGCCGCAGCTGGATGCTCGGACGCGTGGCTCGCGCCGTCCTTCGGGGCGGTCGGGGCCTCGGCCGGACGCTGCGACGCAGACGGCCCCTCTGCATCTGGTCTGCTGTTAGCGCTCCTGTGCCATCCTTGCGCGCTGCATTGCGTCGTGGCTTCGAGGGTGGATGATCACAGTGCTGCACGAGCACGAGGCACTATGGGCCGCGCACGAGCGCGCGCGGGTGGCCGGCGCTGAGACTGTGAAGTGCACGGCAATGTGTGCCTTGCCTGGCGGTTTCAGCCTCGACGATCCCGTTCCGGCGGTCCCTCGCGAGCACGTGTCGTATATGTCGCCTAATCAACGTGAAGCCCCGCCGCATGAGGCCCGGTGTCGCCCCGTTCCCGGGCCTCCAATGGCTGTGCTGCCTCGCTCCGGGAGGAATGTGCCCTGGAGCGTGCCGACAGCTGCGACAGTGATGTGCCGCGGCGGGCATATCCGGTCGTTCCACCAACCGCCGACGTCCTGGCCTCGCGTCAACTCGCAAGGCCGCCTAAGTGATCCCGCTATCACAGACGCCGCCCCTGCACCATGTTCCGCCAGCGTTCGCAGCTTTTCCGCGAGTCAACAACAACTATCCACGACCAGGCAGCGGCGCGAGCCTTCCTGCGCACCGCATGAAGCCCCCAAACCCCCCCGGGCACGTGCAGGCCCTACGTAGGCCCCCACCTGATGTCAGCGCGACCACGCAGCGGCGTCGACCACGCGCACAGCGCGCACGCCCTGTGCCCAGCCAGCACACCTCACCGGCGGCGACCGCGCCAGTCCGAGGCTTTACACACAACCTGTAGAGGTGTGCTTGCCGCCCTTCCTTCCTGCCGCCCTCGCACACCACCGCATCCTCAACCTACACGGACCCCCCCTCACGCGCCGCCCGCCCCCTGCGCGCCGCCGTGGCACCCGGTACACAACGACAGCATCTTTGCCGCCACGGGTATGCTGTCAATGCTGAGCTTGTGCGCGCAGTCCGCGGCCAGCAGCTGCAGATTCGGATCCACCTCGACGCAGCACCCCCCGAGCGTGTCCATCTCCACGCAGTCGACCCCGTGCGCGTGGTGCAGCGCGGACCAGAGCAGTGCAACCCCGACCTCGTGGAAGACGCCGTGAGCAGCGATCACGTGCGCGACCTCGACGTAGCGCTCCGCGACGCCGTGCGGCACGAACTTGACGTCGTCGGACTCCAGGCGCTGCGACTTGTCGAGCGGCCAGTCGGGGGGGAGGAGTCCGCGCTGCTTCAGGTCTTTGTAGGCTTCTACCATGGCCTCGCGGGTCGTTAGGTCCGGGTTGGTGTGCTCGCTCGTCTGCGTCCACCACGACCACCGCGACCACTTGTCCCACCCCCAGATGCGCTTCGTCGGCGGGCGGGTGACGTGCTCGCACGTGCCCGCAGCGTCCGCAGGCGGTTGCCGCCACCCGGCGCTCTGGATCCAGAACTTGTCCTTCGGCAGCCGCGACATCGAACAGGGGTTGACGAAGGCGTCCGCCTGCATCCAGTCCCGGCCGCAGCGGGGCGCTGTGGCAGGCAGCTCTTAAGCGACACATGCGCAGCGGCGCGCCGGGTGGCGTGGCGCGGCGACGCACCTGGACGATGAGGAAGCCGTCGGTGCGGACGTGCGCTTCCAGCATGGCCGTGATCGCCATCGCGTTGCATCGATAGCTCAGAAGCTGCGTCGTGCACTGCACCGCCGCGTCCTGCCACTCTGGGGGCACCGGCGTGCGGAAGTCGCCGACGAGCCAGACGTGCGGGAACGCGCACTTGTACTGCTCGAGCAGCGGCGCGATCTTGTGGATCAGCGGCGTGCTGTCGCGGCCGGGCCAGCCCCCGAGTTCCACGACCACCGCAGCGGCGAGTGGCGTGGCCCCAGCGCTCACGTCCGGGTGCGCCACGTGGACATCCGCGACGACGACGCGAGGCTGACTCGATGAAGCTCGCCGTGACGCGAGTGTCAGGGCCAGCAGAACCGCGAGGAGCACGAAATTGACCAGACCAAGTCTGGTAGTCAAGGCCCCGCGCAGCCGTGCACGCAGGATTCCGAGGTCGCAGACCGATCTCATCGCTACCGCTGTATGTCTGTGTTGCCGGGGTGGCATCTAGTGCTGTCGATTCTGCGCATGATTTGCACTCTGCCTCTGTCTTATAGAAACTATCATTCTTCCGCTGTTTGGGCGTTTTCAGTAATGTGAAAGCATTGTGTCGCCATTCAGAAGAAGCATGACGATCTAACCATTCGCTGGAGTGAGGCGTGTAGGCGGCCGGTTCCGGATTCGGCGCGCGGGCCCCGCCCAGTCGTGCCAGCTCAGGGCTGTGTTCGTCTTGGTGCCCGACTGTGTTGGACAGCGCCACTCGGCCGGCGCTTTGGCCACCTCAGCTCGCGGGCACAGTCCTATTCTTGCACCCGCAACGTTCAGATTACGATATCTGTCCTCGAAGCCAGAACGGCAGGAAAGAAAGAAGCAGTGCTCAAGAGCGAAGCCGTGCTTCGGCCGTCCTGAGCTCTCCAGCATCCTCCCGGGCCGCGTCCGCGACTGAGCCTCTCCATTTCGCCGTCCGTCTAGCCAAAGTCGGGCCTGCGTCCATCCTGCCCGCCGCGGCCCGCTTGAGTAGGTCCTGAGCTGCACCGAGCGCGCTGGAGCCCATGGAGGACGGGCAGGACGTCCGGCCAGCCCCCGCGGGAGGTGATGAGGACATCTTCGCGGTGCCGGAGCCGAAGAAGGCCGCGCCCGTCGCTGGCCGGAGGCGCAGGCTGGTAGCGGTGCGTCGCATGCCACGTTCGACTCCTGCGCGCTGTCCGCGACCGCTATCGCTCTTCACGCGATCACAAAGCCTATCAGCCGTCCTCAGGGCGGCGCTCCCGTCACGCTGGCGCGGAAACGTCCCGCGGTGCGATCCTTGCGCGCCCCACAACGAGCGCGCGCCCTGTGCCGCGCGCGGCTCGCAGGCCAAGGCAGACGGCCCCGTCGACGCGTTCGGCAGCGAGCTCATCGCCCCGAAGAAGCCCGACGAGCGCGCCCGGGTCCCTGTCGGCGCGTTCGGCCTGGACGAGGCCACCGAGCCCACTGCTCCGCCACCGGCAGCTGCCGAGCCACCCGCGCACCAGGGGGCGATCCGGCGCTTCGAGTCCAACATCGACCAGCCCTCCGTGGCGGAAGCCGCCGCCGTCGCCGCCCCGCGCCAGCCCGCCCCGCTGCCGACCGGCACGGATGACGCCAAGTTTGACGGCGTGTCGCGGCGCAAGAAGCAGCAGATGGAGGCGGCGGCGCAGGACGGCGGGGCGCGCGAGCTCACGGCGCCGCTGACGCAGGCGGACCGCAACCGCCTGCGCCACGAGGAGATGGAGGCGCTCGACGCCGAGGCGGGGGGGGTTGACGCCATCCCTGAGCTGGCGGGGGACGACGCGGAGGACCTGACGCGGCAGGTGGCGAAGCCCGCGGCGGTGCACGCGCACAAGGTCGCTGCGCTGGAGGACCTGGAGGAGGGCCCGCCGCTGCCGAGCCTCGGGGTCGACATGGACGTGTCGGTGCTGGCGCGCGCGCTGTTGCCGCCGGAGCAGGTGGACGAGGACGACGAGGTGTGGGACCACGCGCTGCTGCTGAACCAGGTGACGGTGGAGATCGCGCGCGAGCGGGACGAGATCGCCAAGGGGACCTTCGAGGGCCTGAAGCTCTAGTCGTAGTTGGGCAACGGGCTCCGACGTGTGACGGCGCGTTCCTTGCTGATTGCGAGCAGCTCGAGCCGTCTTGGCGCGCCTGTGCGACGCAGACCGCGGCCGCAGGGGTCAAACCGAGCGACGGCGCGCAGCGTGGAGCGAAGGGGGGTGTCTGTTGCAAACAGCCCGGATTGCGTGCCCGCTGAGGTCGCACCGGCCCCACCGAAGCGCGCGAACCGCTCGCTTGCACCCTCCAGGTCGTGCAGGCCATGACTCGTGGCCGTTGCGGCGCCCGCCCATGAACCACGGATCTCGGAGTGTTGGCTGAACCCCGGCTAGGGGACGCTGTTCGCTCCCGTGTCAGCACGTCACGAGGTCACACGCGGCGCGGGCTACCGGAACGCCGGCGCGGGCGCCCCCGCGGCCTTCCGCAGGTTGTCTCGCTTCTGCTTGAAGTAGCGCGCGGCGGCGGTGCCCCGCGCAGCACCGGTCTTGCTCACCGCCGACGTTCCGCTCAGGATGCTCTCGAGGTCGAGCTCGCGCCCGCCGCGCGTCGACGCCGGCGGCGCATGCGACCGTGCGCCGCGCCCCGCCGCCTCGGACCGCTTGACCGGGCTGACAGGACCCTCATACTCCGCAACACCCCCCCCCATCGGCTCCTCGCCGCCGCCGTACCGCACGGGCGACATCGCGTGCGCGGCCGCGCCCGGGGACCCACGCGGCGCCGGAAGGAGCGGGGACGGAACCGCGGCGGGCCCCGACGGCATCGCGCGCTCCCCTGTTGGCTTCGCAGGAATCGGCCGGTCGCCGCGGCGCTGCGTCGCGGCCGCCTGCGCCGCGTCCTCGTGCGGTAGCATGCCCTGCAGCGCACACACCGCGGCCCCGACACGTTGGCGGGCGCAGCAGGCCACAACGCGCCGAGGGGACGTGCGCCCGGGCAGCGGCGGGCGCGAGCACGGGTGTGTCAGCGCGGCGGTGCACGTACCTCGACGATGCCGGGGCACTTCGCGGCGGCCCGCGGGAGCCCGCCCGTCAGCACGAACACGTTGTCGAACCCCTTCTGAAACATGAGCTCCGCGGCGGGGGGCGCCCAGCGCTCGTCGGCGTCGTAGAGGACGATGATGCGGTCGCCCTGCCCCGCGCCGCGGAACGCGAGCAGCTCTTGCGAGAACGGCGCCGTGGAGTGATGCAGGCGCGTGTGTGGGTACCACGCGCTGCCGACGATGTGGCACTCCGCCCAGTCCGCGTCGTCGGGACGCACGTCCAGGATCATGACCTCGATGCCCTGCGCGGCGGGGCGGGGCGGAGAGAGCGGTTCGGGCCCGGCCACTTGCTTGTGTGCAACGAGCGGGCGAGTGTGCGGAGCGTTGGGGGAGGGCGCGTGTGCGGAGCGTGGAGGGCGGAGGGCGTACGTGCTGCTGGTTGGCGAGGAGAGCTTCGAGGACCGGCGCGGTGAGGCGGCGGAACGTCTCGTCCGGGCGGATCCGGGCGCCGCGGCTGGCCTCCTCCCACCACCGCTCAACCTTGTTGACCGACGCGCCGGTGTCGACCCTAGACTTGACGTTCGCATACTTGGAGTTCGGCTGGGTGCGCTTCAACGTCGCCTGCGAGAGTGCGCGGGACGCACGGCCGCAGCCCGCGTTAGAAAGCATGTGCTGGCACTCTTGGGCCCGGACGCGACGTTGCGTGGCACCCAGCGGGAATGCGCGGACACAGGCCGGGCAGCGAATACGTGAGGAGCGCGCAGCGGTACCGTAACGCCCGCACCGGGCGCGGAGCGAGCCCGTGGAGCACGAAGGAGGTGCCAGCACTCAACGTGCGGAAACGGCCAGCAGACTGGGCAGGGGGGCGGAGAGCACGGATGATGAGCTGCACTGGGACAAGATAGTGGCCGCAGGCTGCTGGACGCAGGGCGTTCCGGCCGCGTGGGCGCTGTGGCGCACGGCGCGACGTTTGCACGGAAGCGCTGCATTTTCCACCGCCAAAACCAAATGCGGCACGGCTGGGCGCTGCTTGTGCCGCGAGCGCGATGTCGATGCCCTTCACGTTCTACGCCGAGAAACGGTGCGCCAGGAAGTGCTCGTGCTGCCGCCGGAGCGTGGGGCAGTGACTCACGTCCGATCCGCCGATCGGCCGGTGCATCTCCTCGCCCCACTACGACTCCGTCACGACAGTAGAAGCAGCACGAAGTCGCTCCGTACGCTCAGCCCCCCCTCGCGCCCTTACAGCCCGGTTGCGGACGACACTTGCCACCCGCGAAGCACGCGTCTTGCCTAGGATCCTAACCGCGTAGCAATCGGAAATCGCGCTCAGTATGAGTAAAGAGAGCTCACGTGGCACAACCCCGAAATCACACCAGCCGTCCCGCGTGGGGGCACTGGGGGGCCAAGTCCCCCAAGCCTGACATGACTCATGTCGGACACACAGCCGCCAAGCGACGCCCGACACCACAGCTCCCCCAACAGGACAGTGCGAGGCCTCACTTGAACCCCGTCCCCGTCGGGCGGTAGTTCGCCTGCTCCACGGTGGCCTCGATTTTGTCCGCGACCGTCGACAGCCACGCCAGGTCCAGCTGCGAGAACCCCCGGACCCTGTCGTGCCCGATCACGAGCGCACCCTGCGAAGCAGGAGCACTGGCAGCGGCGGCCGTTCGCGCGCAGCACGGCCTCGAACCCCACACGTGCCACTGCGCTGGAGTCAGCGATGCGCCCCGTGGCCGCGCGGGTGACGCGATGGAGCTGCGGGCTTGCGGGAGCCTCGTGGCCAGCCGCGAGCCAGCGTGCGCCCACGGTTGGAGGCGAACATTGCGGGAGCCGCGATCACGAAATGCTGCAGAGCGGAGCGCTGCTCTGCACTGTGTCGCTCGCCACAGGAGAGCGTGGCGAGGACGGCGCGGAAACTGCACCCATCGCCAGCGACCGACGCTAATGTGAGCGCGGTTCTCGCGCACCCCACCCTCCCTCTCCTGTCGAGAGCGGCACAGTGCGCTTGCGCTAGACCACGCATGCGGGGTCGCGCCACCCCGCTGTTCGCATCCAGCCGCGCACGCACGCGACGATCGTAGCACGACAGCGCGCCGGTGCCCTCCAGGGGGGGCGCGCACCTCCGTGCCGAGGGGCTGCACGACGACAGCCTGCGTGTTCTGCGGGAGGTACTCCAGCAGCTCGAACCGGCCGGGGTACGGCGCGAGGTTCGCCAGGTAGTTGGCCTTGCCGCTGCCCACCACCTTCGCGACGATCGGACCGGGCTCCGCCGCTCCCGGCTTGGCATCCTCCGTGGCCATCCCGCGCTGCAGCACGCAGCGGTTCCTGCGGCGAGTGCGCGCGACCATCGCTGTCCACGCAAAGACCGGCGCCGCGCCAGACAAGAGAGGTCTGTGCAAGGCGAATGCGTGGCTGCAGCCGCGGTGCGTGTGCTCCCCACCTGATGAAGACGACCATGCTTGTCGCGCCCGCGGAACCCTCCGCCGCACTCCACGCCCACTCCAGCTCCTGCTTCAGAGCCTCCGGCACCTTCGAGTCCGTCCACGACAGCGGCCCGCCCTCGAGCTTCACCTTGTCTGCGACCACGAACCACGCCAACGGCTCTTCTTACGATTTCGAACAAAGACACACGGAACCGGAAATGCCTAAGAGAACCGGCGCCTTTGGACGCCGCGCCGAACGCGTACGCTACGGTGAAGACGGCAGCGGTGCTGCGTCGCTGTTGGGCGGGCGGCCTGCCTGCGATGACGGGCTTGAGGGACAGCCAGGAGAGGCCCGTAAGGAGGAGGACGGCCGACATGACGATGCACGCGAGGTCCGCGCGGGACTGGCTGCTCCCGGCGTCGATCACCGGGGCCGCGCCCGTGACTGTTCGGTTCACGAGGACTGCAGGACAGGCACAGAACGTGGCACGAAGCTCAGATGATGGCGGGGCGTGAGGCAATGGCTGGGGCCGCACGGTCGTCGACGGGGCAAGGAAGGCAGCTGCGTGATTGGCTGGCATCGGGGTGGTTTGCGTTGGAATCAGACGTGGTGTCGAGACGGGACGTACTCGCGACCAGCCCCGCGCCCCCTGCGTACAACGGCAGCGCTCGGAAGAAGTCCGCGTTGGCCGCAACTAGCTCCTTGCCCTCCTCGGCGACGTCGGTGCGGCCGGTCTGGGCAGCACGCGCGACCGTCCGCTGCCAGCTGCGCCGCGCAGCGCAGCAGGGCGCGCGGAGTGCTGCGCAGTGGGCGAGGCTCGCTGCGCGCATGCCTGGGTCTCGCGGCCGGTACTCGGCGCTACTAGATGATGTGGACCACGGAGAAACGTGCTATGTGGTTTCTAGGTGCGCTTAGCAGTCCAGTGCGCTTCAGGGCCCGCGGAAGCAACAGAGCCACCAGCGATCAGGATTCAGGGCCGGCGCTGAGCTGGGTCGCAGGGCAGAATGCTGCGCGTGCTGGAAGGAGAGCAACAGTGCTCAGCGAGTGGGGCCAGCCTCTGCGCACGCGACGCATTCGTGCGGGCCGGTCTGTGCGATCAGTGCCGCAGGAGTGTCCTACCCCGCGCTGACGTGCGGCACGGTGCCCGACTGGGCTCGGGAGGCACGTTGCCGGGCCGCGGCTGTGCGCTGGAGCAAGTTGTAGCGGAGCGGGTACCACTCGGAGGCCTGAGAGCTTCTCGACGTGTGCATTTCATCAAAGGCTTCAAGGTGGTTGCAGCGCCCCTGCTGCACCGGCTGGGTGGGTAACCTGCGCTGCAGTGGGCAGGCATGCGCTGCCAGCTCCATCTGCTAGCGGCAGGGAGGGAAGTCCGGCATGAGCGGCCAGCGGGCGGGACGGCAGGTCGCGTGGCGTCTTGCGCTCCAGCGAGGGGTGCCCGGCTTCATGTCGTCGCGCGCGCAGGTACGACGATGGCGCAATCGACGTTACAGAATGTACCCATGCCGCCGCGCCGCTTGCTCGTGCTGCATCGACGCTTGCGTGCGCGCTCGGCGCTGTTCTCTCATTTCACACTCAACTTCACCTCCTCCGCGCCCCCCCACGCGACCACTTGTTTCCGTTACCCGCCGCAACCTGGCGGTATGCTGTGAGCGAGGCGCCCGGGTCGGATTTCCAACCGCCCGCGGCGCACCTGCGCTCTGCGGCCCGGCCTGGGCTGTTGCGCCTGAGCTACGCAACACGCCGCGACCAGCCACCCTACATGCAACGTGCACGTGCGACGTTGAAAGATGACCTTCACGATCGCCAAATGCGGGCAACTTCGCTCCCCGTCGCGTTGTCGCGGGGCCGCTGCGCCGCAAAGTCGCATGCCGTGGCTGCTACAGCTCCCGCCCCGAGTTCGGCCGTTTCCTCCGCGACAACCGGCGCGCTTCCGCCGTAGGCTTCGCGCACTTTACAGCCGCCGCTCGCCGGCGTCGCGCCAGGCCACATCCCGCACGCGCCGCCCCTCGCACGGCGCAGGAGGCAACCGACGCAACCGCGGCACGGGCGGGGCGCCGCGCTTGATGCACAAGTCGGACGGGAAGCAGCACCTGGGCTCGGCGCTCAGCACGGAACGCAACAACCGCCCGTTCCCGGGGCCACCCCCGGACGAGGGCCCTCCGCTGCGAGTTCTCCCCATCGGTACGTTAATCTCGCGCCCGCGCGCACCCACAGCAGCGGCGCGCTCCGCCACATCGATCCGCGCGCCCAATCGCTCGCTCGCGTGTGCTGCCATCGTCGTCCGGACCACCGCGAGCAAACAACGCACCCACGCATTGCGTTGCGCGCGGCGTTGCAGGCGGGCTGGGGGAGATCGGCATGAACTGCATGCTCGTCGGCGTGCGGGACCGCTACATCTTGATCGACGCGGGGCTGATGTTTCCGGACCAGGCGGAGGAGCCGGGGATTCAGAAGATCCTGCCGGACTGTTCGTTCTTGGCGCGGTGGCGGGACAAGATCGAGGCGGTGGTGATCACGCACGGCCACGAGGACCACATCGGCGCGATGCCGTGGGTGATCCCCGCGCTCGACCCGCGCACGCCGGTGTACGCCGGGTCCTTCGTGATGGCGCTGGTGCAGAGGCGCATGCAGGTGCGGTCGGCGCCTCGCGGCCGCCGGGCCTCAGGCTGCTTGCTTGTGTGCTGCGATGACTGCTCCGCGGCTCCGATATCCGGGGCGCGCGGAACGCACGTGCCGCGCGTCGTGGCGGCTGCGCTGGACGTCGCGGCGCGGGGGTGTCTCGATTGCTTACGTGGCGCGGGGCCGTGCGCGCCCAACTCGGTGCAGGAGTTCGGGCTGTGGGACGAGACGCGTTTCCACACGTTCAAGATGCGGGAGCGCATTCCGCTCGGCCCGTTCGAGTGCGAGCCCATCCGCGTGACGCACTCCATCCCTGACTGCTGCGGGCTCATCCTGCGGTCCCCCGAGGGCAACATCGTCCACACGGGCGACTGGCGCATCGACGAGGAGCCCGTCGACGGGCAGCACCTCGACCGCGAGGCCTTCGAGCAGATCGGAAAGGAGGGTGTTGCGCTGATGATGTCTGACAGCACCAACGTGCTGTCGCCGGGGCGGACGATGTCCGAGTCCGTGGTCGAGAAGGCCGTGATAGAGCGCGTGCTGGGCCACAAGACCGGGCGCGTGATCGCCACGCAGTTCGCGAGCAACATCCATCGACTGGGGCACATGAAGAAGGCCGCGGACCTCGCGGGGAGGAAGCTGTGCTTCGTGGGGACGAGCCTGAACGTGTACATGGACGCGGCTTTCCGCGACGGCACGGCCCCGTTCAACCCCGCGGATCTGATCCACTTCAGCGAGCTGGACGAGTACGACCCGAGCGAGGTGATGGTGGTGACCACGGGGTCGCAGGCGGAGCCGCGGGCGGCGCTCAACCTGGCGTCGCAGCGCGCGAGCAACATTCTCACGCTGCAGCCGGAGGACCTGATCCTTTATTCCGCGAAAATGATCCCTGGAAACGAAAAGAAGGTGGTCAAGATGTTCAACCGGATCGCGGAGATGGGCCCGCAGATCGCGCAGGGCCGCGACGAGAACCTGCACACCTCGGGACACGCGTACAAGTGAGTCGCGCGGCGCCCCCGCGCCCCCGTGCCCCCCCCTCCCCTGCCGGCGTCTGCCTCCACACGGCTCCTGATCGCGCCCGCGACATTTCGAGCCCCACTGAACAGACGAATCGCTTGAAGCACGCGGGCGACGTGGTTCTCCCTGTTGTTTGTCGCTGCAGGGAGGAGTTGCGGGAGGTCATTCAGCTGGTGAACCCGCAGCACTTTTTGCCGGTGCACGGGGAGTACTCCTTCCTCTGCGCGCACGCGGAGCTCGCGGAGGAGTGCGGGGTTCAGCAGACGACCGTCGTGCGCAACGGGAACATGGTTGGGGCCTACGACAAGCGCAACGCCAAACATGTGTCTTCCGGGACCATGCAAATCATCGGGGAGGCCCGGCTGACGAACTACTACAACGACGGCAACTACGGCACGGGCACCGCGGGGGAGATGAGCATCAAAGAGCGCACGACGCTCGCCACGGAAGGCATCGTCATTGCTGCAGTGGACATTCTGCGCCGGCCGCCGGGCGAAGCCGGCAGCGACCGCGCGTGGCAGAGCGCCCGCCTGGCCGGCAAGATTCGCGTGACGACGCGCGGGATGTGGGTCGACAACGGCCGGCTGCTGCAGCAGGTGTACCAGGGCGCAGACCGTGCCCTGACAGGCCTGCCGCTCGACACCCCCCCTGTGTCAGTGGAGCGCGCCATCGCCGACGCGATCCGCAAGGTGTGCCGGCGGTTCAACTCGCGTACGCCGGAGGTCGTCGTCATCACGCACGAGGCGGACATGAAACTCACTACCGCGGTGCTGGCACAAATGGACCAGGTGGTGGAGCGGTCGGGGCGGCCGGACCCCCCGCGCGGCGGAGCGGGGCGCGGGGGTCGCAGCCGCAGCCGGAGCAACTCGCCTGGTCGCGGGCGGGGCGGCAGGGGCCGGGGGGGGCGGTCGGCGCGCGGCGCGGGGCCCATCAGGCCCGTCGGCGAGCAGGAGGGTCCGCGGCGGGCACAGACGCCGAGGGACGACCCAGGGAAAGCGGGCCCAGGCGCAGATCTGAGCTATGGGTGAGTGTGCGGAGAGATTGGCTCCACGGCGCGCTGGCACGGTGGGTGCTTGCGGAGGCAGCGGGGGGTGGTGGTGGGGGTCAGGACACGCGGCGGGCGGGGCTGCGCCGTGAGCAGGCGATCTAGAAGCGGAGGGCCTTTTGGGCGGGCATGCTGGCGATGGGTGCGCGTTGAAGCTTTACACTGGAGCTGTGATTTCAGCGCTGTGCGGATGGCGGTCTCGCTCGCGGATGTTTCGTGCGCGGGTGATCAATTACTACTCTATGTCATGCCGCTGACGGCGACAGTCCTGCATCCTCTGCCCCTCTTTCGGTCGCGTCGTCAAGTCCGCTCCGTCTGGCCCTTCCGCTTGAAGCACTTGAGATGAAAATGTTGGTGTGATGCCCTCCCACCTTACCTATCTTTGGAACTCGTCTCGGGATGTTCCGACCACACGAGTGCCATTTTGCTGTTCGCGATGCCGCGGAATCAACCGTCTCCTTCTGCCTCGGGCCGGCTGCGCGCACGTGCGGGCAGCTCCCCCGCCCCACACGCTTTGGATGTTCTCCATCATCGCCGGAACTCTGCTTCGACGAGGGGGAGGCCGTGGTACACGTCCGCGAACTGCCGGATGCAGTACTCGCGCACCGTGTCATGGTCCAGGCTCGTGGAGATCCCCGTCCACGACGTCACCGTGATGGGTGACTGGACGAAGAGGGGGGGTTTTCCGGTCGAGTCCGCCACGACGAAGTTCACCAGGATGTCGTCGCAGTTCGACAGCAGCAATACCATGTTCCGTGCGGCGGCGGGCGCCGCTGCAACGAGTTTCGGCACGTCGCTGGACTGCAACAAGCAAAACAACGTCGTGGGTTGTTTTTCGGGATCATTTGTGCCAGTGGGGAGAGCAACGACGCGCGAAAAGAATGAGCAGCGCGAGTTCATTAGGCGCGAGGTGGTCCGGCGGTCTTACCAGGAAGGAGGCCCCCACGAGGACCATGGAGTAACTCCCCCGGGCCTCTGTCTCGAACTTCCCGAGATATCGCACCTCGACGTCCGGGTCCGTCAGCGGCGCGTCGGGACGGTCCTCGGGGCGCACGACGTCGACGGCGCGCGCGTAGAAGCCGACGATCTGCGTGCGGTGCGCCCGCCAGGCCTCCGCGCCGCGCTCAAAGTCCCGGCACGCCAACCGGATGTCATCGTCGACCACGAAGATGGCCGGGCTGTCGGCCACCTCGTCCTGAACGAACATGCGGTTCAGCATGGTTGCCTGCACCGGAACAGTCAGAAGCAGCGAAGGGGAGCGGTCAGCGCAGAGCGCAGGCAACACCAGCAGGACGGTGAGAGCGTCGTTGCTGCAACGACTCAGGATCGATGTAGTGCGTCGATCCAGGCGAAGGCCGATGAGGTATCCGCAAGGATCTGCTGCCGGGCGCAAAACGTGGGCTGACATTCGAGAAAACACGCTTCTGCAGCAACTCGTCGCGTGAGACCGTACCTCGCGGAAGTGCTTGACGGACACGTGCACGGGCAGCCTTCCGTACGACGCTGTCCGCGGGGGCGACAGCGGCGGGTCGCGCAGGAAGAGCGAGTCCTTCCAGCCCGCGAATATCCCTGAATCCGCGACCTGACGTATGGTGGTGTCCATGCGCTTAGTCAGGGGGGGACTGCGCGACGTCTCCGCCGCCGGCGCCTCGGCTTCCGGGGCGCGACGCACCCCGAACGACGACCACACCACCAGCGCCGACGACACTGACGGGCACGACGCGTAGTGCTCCAGCGTCGAGTCGAGCATGTCCCGCCGCCGCGGGTATGACATCACGACCAGGCGGACGTCCGCGTTCCGCCTCGGCGTCACCGCAGGCACCGCCGCCTCATCCACGTGCAGGCGGTCCCACGCCGTCGACGGCGCCAGCATCGCCGCTGTCGCGCTGAGCGCCCCTGCACCGAGGACCACAGCAGCAAACCGCCAGCGCGCCAAACCCGCCGCTCCGCCGTTCGAGACGGACTGCTCCCTGAATGCCTCGATGGGGACCCTGAGCCACTTCCTGGGCGCCTTGCGCCGCCACAGCGACCCGAGCACGGCGGTCGTCGCCGCCACCAGCACCGGCGCTGCGAGCGCGAACCCGGTGCGCGCGAGCCACACCGCGCGGAGCGGGTCGCTCGCCACGTTGTCTCCGTCGATCGATGCCACCCACAGCGGCCCGTCCGCGTCCTGCCCCGCCAAATGCAGGTCCACGTGGTGCCAGCGGTTGGCGTTCCAGCTCTTGCGCGCCAGCGGATACGCGATCTCTCTCTCCTCGAACTCCTCCGTCGTGAGCCTCGTGACCTCGTGCGCGATCACGTCGCCGCCGTACGTCCGCCGCAGGTCCTGTCCGAAGCGCAGCAGGCGCCCCTCAACCTCCACGACGCGCCCCGCCATCCGCGACCCACGCTTGATGTGCGGCCCGATCCAGCCGCGCTGCCCGTGCCGGTGCCACGGCCCGCGGAGGTCGTTCGCGTGGAAGATCGACATCCGCGTGCCCCCGCCGTTGCCGCGCTCCCGTGCAAAGATCCACCAGCGCGCGTCGCGCTGGAACAGCGTCGCGTCGACGATCGTGCCGCGCAGCAGCACCGTGTCGACCTCCCACCGCAGCGGAAACGAGACCGCGCGGTACAGCCGCAGCTCGCCGCTCTTGTTCGCCTCGGGCAGCATGTACACTTCGCCGTCGTGCTCAAATACCAGGGGGTAACTGAGGTGGAACGGCTCAGCGAGGGCCTCGCCCTGGTACCGCCAGGTGATGCCGCCGTCCGTGCTCTTCGCCGCGCCGATGTACCCGAGCCCGGAGACCACGTCCTTGACCTCCACGAACATCCACCAAGTCCCTTCTGGGTCCATCTTTCGCTTCAAGAGAAAGGGGTCGGCCACGAAGCTGGCGCGGCGGCCCGGGTCGCTGACGTCGCGGCAGGTCAGGGCGGGCTCGAGGGGCGGCTCGAGGGCCAGGGGGTTGCGCGTGAAGGACACACCGACCGACCATTGACCCTCCGAGTCGACGGGGCAGGGGCGGTGAGAGAAGGCCACGAAGTCGAAGGCCAGGAAGGCGACAAAGACGATGGCGATGGCCTTGAGGTAGGGGATGGTGTAGGGGTGCCGCAGGATGCTCTGGACGGCGGCGCGGACGCAGCGGGGCGACGGTACTTCCGCGGAAGGCATTGCGAGAGCGCGGTGATGATTTGGCGCGCGCTGCGGAGTGGCCGCGGACTTGTTGACCGACCACAGGCGTCGGGCCAGGTTCATGCTCTGAGCTGGCGGCAGGTGCCGAAATTCGGGCGCTCACGCAGCGCGCCGGCGCGGCAGCGTCGACAGCGGCGTGCGCGAGGAACGTGCTGTGCCGCCTTGACGATCGGTGCCGCAAAGTGCTTGTTTCGGCGCCGTGGAGGAACCTCCGTGCGCTGAAAGCTGCAGCCACGCGCCACCTGGCGCCAGAAACGCCCAGGCGTGGCGCACGAGCGGCAGAGGCCCGGGGAAGACAAGGTCTCGCGACACGCTGCCTGACACCCGACTTGATCCTGCACGGGCACGTCCGGCGGAGCGAGTAGATGAGCCTCTCGCAGGCTGGCCGACTTCTGGCCGTGATGCCGCGCTCCATCCGTGGACGGGCGACTTGGCCTGCACCCCAAGGGCCCCGCGGCTCGATCGCGTCGGCCGGACTTGCCTGCCTGCCGCCACGCGCGGAGAGCTTCTCGCTGATCTAAGGCCCGATCAACGCGAGGTTCCTGCTCATTTGCCCCCTTGTGTCGTTGCTATCTCGAGACCTAAAGCATGGAGCACTCAGTTCGCTCCTTCGCACGTGTCCGGGTTCGAAACGAGAATCCGACGGAAGCGATCCATGGCGGCCCCTGTGCTAGGCTGCAGCCGGCAGCTGCGGCCCTCAGAGCCTCCCCAGGCCGACGCTGACCGTCAGTTACGTGACACACCTCCTCCACCAGTACAACAGGCACGTCAGTGCGAACCGCACGAATCAAACACGCGAACGCGCTCGTCCGCAACCCCTGCCTCGCACAGATGCGGCTGCCGGCATTCGCGATCGCTCCGCGTGGCAAAGCACGTGATCGTCAGAACCGGCGCTGGGTCACACGCGCCTACACCGCCACCGGGCCCACGTCGTCGCCAGGCAGCGGCGGCATGCCGGCGGTCCCAGGCGCGGCGCACTGGTACCACAGCCCCTTGGCGTGCTGCGGCAGCATGATGCCGTGGCGCGCCAGCAGGTACGCCAGCTCGTATCGCCCCTTCCCCTGCCCGTGCCACACCAGCGGGTGCGCGCCCGTCAGCACGTTCGTGCACTCCACGCCGCCGCCCTCGTCCCTGCAAACCACCTTCGCCTCCTCGGCAGAGACCCTGGGAGTCTCCCCTGCCTTGTACAGTGTTCCGAACAACTTCTGGTCGTAATCGAGCCGCACGTGCGCGGGCTCGAGGTGCCCGCTGCGCGCCGCTGCCTCTGCGGCCGCCCCCGCGACCTGCACGGGGTCCTTTTCGTGGTTGAAAAAGTAGTTATAGACTCCCCTTTGTTCCGAAAAAGGGGCGTCAAATATCCTGCCCACCGAAAACTCGGTGTCGAACGTCGTGTGCCGCAGGTAGGAGAAGTCGTCTGCGGCCATCCGGCGGTACATGCCCAGCAGCGCGCCGGCGTATCCGATCACGGTTCCTGCGTTGATGAAGGGCGCGCCACTGCGGCCCCCCAGCCGGTCCTCCATGTGCTTCCTGATCGCGTCGCCCTTGTCCGGGAACAAATTGAACTCCGTCGCCAGCACGATGTCCGCCGCCATGCTGCGGAACGCCGCGAGGATCTCCTCGGGCGTGCCCAGGACCGCAGTGTCGCTGGCGTCCAAGTGCAGCACCACCGTCGCCGGGGGCAGGGCCTCGAGGAACCGCACGACCTGGCGCACCTTCTCCCGGCGCTGCCCGTTGCGCGGCCGCTTGGTGCGGGTCACCGCGACGGCCGCGGCGACGCCCGACCGCATCAGCGACCGGAAGAGGTGCTCGTCTGACACCGCGACGCCGTGACAGACGCTGCAGAGGTCGTCCCACAGCAGCCGGTCCTCGAACGCGAACGCCACCAGGGGGGTTTCGACGAGGCTGCGGACACCGGGGAGGGAACGGGCGTGAGCTGCGGGCGCGCGCTGGTCAGAGCCGGCAAGGCCTGGTTGGTACGACGCCGGTCGTGGCCGCCCGCCCTGCTTCGCCGCGTGCGGTGCTGGTCGAACACTGAGTCAGGCGGTGCCACGTCAGGATGCGATTACCTGTAGGGGGAGTGCACGAATGCGTACGCCGCGTCCTCCTGCGTCGCGAGCAGGTTGACGAGGGACCCCCGCAGCTGCTGCGTCTCCGCGCCTGCGCGCAGCATGCTCGAGGCGGCCGCAGCTCGCAGGCGCAGCGGGTCCAGCGCCTCCGCGTTTGCTGCCGGTGTTACTACCTGTGCAGCGGCGCGCGCGGGCGCCTCGCCGGGGGGCGCAACCGGCACGACCTCCTCGTCGAATCCGGCCCACGCGTGTCCGTCACGTCGCAGCGCTGCGTCCGCGGCGTCGCCGTCTGCGCCCCCTCCCACAGCCGTCGCAACCGCACTCGCAAGCTCTGCCGCCTGTCGCGACGCGAACGCGCCCACGATCGCCGCCGCGCCGAGCTCGCCCTCCGAGGCCACCAGAAGCGACGGGCCGCCCTCTGCCGCCCCCGCAAGCTGCTTGCACAGCGCTGCAGGGCTGCCCAACACAACCGCTGGTGGCCGCAGGGCGATGACGGCGGGCTGGCGTGCGCCGCCGGACGGAGCGAGCTTATCGGCGAGCCACTCCCAGAAGGGCGCGTCGTGACTGCGGAGGCCCCGTTCGCTCCTGCCTGACTCATGCACGAGCTTGCGTCCCCTGGCTAGCGCGGGAGCGGTGCTGGCCGGCAGTTCACTGCGCTGTAGAGCTTCGGCAGGGAGGCCGGCGAGGAGCCAGGAGGCGAGGACGGCGTCTGCGGCCTCGCGCTCGTCTTCCCCGTGCACCAGGTAGAAGCTGACGTGATGGAGGTCTGCGGTGAAATAGAGGGGGTGTTTCGGGGGGGGTTACGGAGTAACACGAACGCCACCAGCGCACGGCGGGACTGCGAACCCGAAAGCGGCGGAGACGGCGGTGGCGACACGACCGTGACCAGCCTGCGCCGGGCAGGCAAGGCGGCAAGTGTGGGTGCTGCTCACCGGCCGCGCAGGGGCGGGTCGTATAGGAGTATCGGTCCCGCCCGTCCTCTACATCACGAAGTACACCGCCCGAGGGCCGTGGAACCACACGGAGCTGCTCCATCGGCGGTGTCCGAGGCGGAATCACGGTTTGCAGCGCACACCACACGCCTGCCGCGAGCGCGGCGGCCGACGCGTATCGCAGCCACGGCGCGGATATTACACGCGACATGGTATGCGGCGCCGGGGCCGGGCCGGGCAGCCCGCCCTCCAAGGCCCCACGCTGCTCCGTCTCTGATGCTGAATCTTCGTCGCGCCAACCTCGACACCAGAGCCTATCGACTCGCCCTCCGAGCCCCGTGCCCGGCTGAACCGTCAAGGCCGGAGCAAGTCGCGGCCTGCACAAGCGTGCGAACCCCGGGAGCGGCCCTCACGTCGCACTCGGATTCAGACTCCGCGCCGGGAACCTATTGCCGCAGATGTGTGGGCTGGCGTACTCCTGCCGCGCACAGGAACGGCGCGCCGACTGTGCGGTGCTTCCGGCTCGGCGGTCGCATCGTCTAAGCCGGCCCACTGGGGGACGTATTCGGCAGAGACCCCCTGTGTCGACAGTTGGCAGCACAGGGCCGCGCCGGTCGAACCCGACACTGGCCGCACGCGTCGGCGCCGGGGCGCACATCGCCGCTGGAAGCCCATACTTTCGCGGGGTCGACCTGAGCGACGTGGTCGTGCTCTTGACGATGTCTGTGCGATTTCGCAGCCTGCTAGCCTGCCTCGCCCTCACGGACGGATGACGGCGTCGCCCGGCCCCAGCAACTGCCCCCCAGGGTCCCTCCTCCTCAAAGTCGCCATCCCGCCGCAGCATCTGGGACCCATGGTGCGGGCCGGCGACGCGCCACGTGAAACGTGGCCCCGCCTTGCAGTGAGGGCTCTCCGGGCCGCCTGGCCTCTGCTCGTCGCGGCTCTGCTCTGTCTCATGTTCCCGACGGCTCTGTACAGTCCCAGGTAAGTGAGGATCACGGCGCGGGCGCCGTCAGGAGCGACACGCCCTGTGCAGCCCCGGCGCGCGCCGCGAGCGTGCTGTTGTCACGCCGACTGGCAGCGCGCGGGACTGCGCGTACACGCCCCTGACCGTCCGCGGGACCTGCTCGCTCGCTACTTAATGGCTGGGAGCTTCCGTCCGTGCGCCCATGGCTTGTTCCCGTGCGAGCGCGCGGCGCAGGTGGCTTTTGCTTCCGCGGCAGATCCCACAACTCGCGCCGCGGTCCACGCAAGAGCTCCCGCACGCCGGGGCTGCGACGAACCTCGTGCTGGTGACGGGAGGTGAGACCCGTCTGTGCACGCGGCGAGGCGCCGGAGGGCGTCGTGTCTCGCGCGTAGAGACCCATGACCTATACTTTAATAGCATGCTCTGCTCGTTCCGACCTGGTCCGTGGTCGTGCTGGCTACTTGCAGCTTCCTCGGGCTTCTTCGAGCGCCTGCCGAACCTCGTGGGCTCGGTGCACACCTGGGAGCCGAACATGATGGTCTGGGTGTACGACCTGGGGTTGACGTCAGCACAGAGGGCGCAGGTGGCCTGCTGGCGGAACGTGCAGGTGCGCTTTGCGTGGACGAACGCCCCCGCGTGTCCCTCGCATCGCCCCCTTCGTGGACACCGTTGCCACGTCTGGTCGCGACCCCCCCGAGCGGCATCGGACGTATGTCACGTGTTGACAGAATCGCAAACGTCACGGCGCCGCACGGCCTATGAACCTCCGCGCGCCCCGCCCCGGGTCCCCGCAGGTCGTGGACCTGCCGTGGGACGACCTCCCGGAGCACATCACCCGGATAGCGAACTACGGAGCCAAGCTGCTCACATGGGTGGACGCGTCCCAGCGGCTCCCGGGCGGGGCGGTGCTGTACGCCGACGCTGGAGTGGAGATCCGCGCCCCGCTGGACTCCATCCGGCACCTCCTCGAGCGCGACGGCGTCTTCCTGTCGCGGATCTCCGGCTTCGTTGGCGACCAGACGCATCCCACAACGCTGGCCAAGTACGGCGTGTCGCAACAGGACGTCGCAGGTACGTGCCCCGGGGCCCGCACGCTCGCGGTGTCGCTCCGCAACTGCCCAGCCCGTCCGCTTGGCGCAGCTCCGCACATGCGTTGCCCCGCGCCGCCTGCACGCTGCGCGACACGACGCAGGCTCTGCGGGGTTTGCCGACGCCCCCGCGGGGCTCGCGACTCACCGCGTCGGGCTCCTTGTGTGCCGCTGCAGCGATGCCGTTCTGCGCGGGAGGCCTGGTCGGGGTGGTGAGCGACAGCAAGGTTGCGGGGGACCTGATGGACGCCACGCTCGCGTGCGTGCTGGAGGAGGAGTGCCTGGACCCCCCGGGGGCGACCAAGCTGGTTCACAACTACGACCAGTCCGCGCTGAGCATCGCGGCGGGCAAGCAGGGCCTGCAGTGCCACCCGCAGTCCGTGTTCCTCAACACCGCGCTCTTCGTGAGCAACATCAACCCGAAGGGCCGCAGCGACCCCGTCGTGATCAACAGCCGCAGGTGCGCACCCCGCGCCGCTCCGACCCACCTACGCGCCACACCCCTCAACGGCACAACTGTTTTGCGCCGTGTCTCGTGTTTCGCGAACGCGGCATCCTCCCCGCACGTCCGCGCAGGCACCACTACCCGAAGCCCTACGTACCGATGGTCCGCCGGCTGTCGACCTGCCCCGCGCCGCCCCCGCCACCACAGCACGCGCTGGACCGTGTGGCTCAGGCCCAGGACGCGCGGTCGCACATGGCGGGGCTGCGGGCCGCGAGCGGCGTCGGCTGGGCCATCAAGACCGAGATGCGCGAGATGTTCAACTACCTCGGGCCGCTGTTCGTGTGCCCCACGTACCACGCTCTGGTGCTGGCGTTGTACGCTGCAGCCAAGGGAGTGCAGCGCGCGCGCAAGAAGGGCTCGCTGTGGTCAGGCCTGGGCATGCCGTCGCCCGCACGGCCGGTGCTGCCGCTGCTGAGCGCGAACGGAGGCGTGGGTCTGCCGCCAGGGTCGCCCCAAACACGTTGGAGCAAGTCGCAGCCGGGGGCGCCCGGGACGCCGCGCACGAAGCTAATGCGCGGGGTGTCGTCGATGAAGACGCTGATCGTGTGCCTCGCGGCGATGGTAGCCCTGCCGAATCTGTTTTGGATTGCATACGAGAACATTTAGGGATCATGGGACTCCACACCTCGGCATCCCCCACAATTTGCACTCTGTGGGCTTGCAGCGCACAGAGGTGGTCCAACTGCGAGGCGCGCCGCTCCCAGCCACATCTTCCCAGCTTTCCACGAATTTCAACCTCTGTCCGACCCCCCACCTCTCATTCCCATCCCCCCACTTTCGTCCGCAAGACACGCCACAGCCGCACATCCATATGTCCGTCGCGCGATCGGCGTCGCCGCCATCTCCAACCGCGCCAAACCGCTACAGCCGCCAGAATCTGTCGCCTCCTTTCGAGGGGGGTTGGCGACGGTCTTGCCGTCTAGCACGACGCAGCCCGAAACGCACCTCGAACGCGATGCAGTTCGTGCTGCGCGCCACAGTCCACAGCGCGCAGCTCAATATTTTTCACCCTGACGTTGGAGAGCCTCCCCAGCGTCTGCCGCCGGTGCCTGTCCGGCTCGGTGTCTTGGACTAAGACACGGGCCGACTGAGGGCTTGAAAACCCGGACAGGCCAATAAGCTGTCAGGTTTCGCGGCTAAAGCACATTCGCGCGGCCCCCGGAGGCCGCGCTAAGTGTGAACGCTGCGCACCACACCAGGTGGGGACGTGGGTGCCATGCTGCAGACTCGGGGCGACGCGCGACTGACTGCCCCGTTCGCACTCAACGAGGAATCTTTCCATTCCGCTCGCACTACGGGGCGGAGCACCTGCACGCAATGGAGAGCAAGCGCTCAGAGTCGTCAGAGTCTCAGCAGAGCCTAGATAGAACTTGGAATCTTGGAATCTTCTTCACTGGCCCAAGATTCACTTGCAAGGGAAAATCAGTCTGACAAACGTGTCACACCGGAGGTCACATTGACCAAGGAAAGGGGTGGCCGAGAGCAACGACGCGGTGAAGTACCCGCACATCACTCGTGGCTCGCAACCTACAAGCACCATGGGACTCTACCTGGGACTGGTCCGCGAATTCAGACGCGGTCGGGACAATCCGGCACACGAGATTAACAGTAGATTCACAGCACGCTGTCGCACACGCACAGCGTTGTTCCACAATTGCTTCTCGGGAACCTTCGCCGTTTCTCCGTCAGCCACTCGGGCATCCTTCGCGGCAACGGTGCGGCGCTTTGCCGACGACTGTCCTGGCGTGTCTGGATGGGTCGCATGTCGTCGGGAAGGCAGGAAGATACTGGGCAGCCCCAGAAAGAGAGCCTAGCACCGCCTGATCACCTGCGCCCTTCGGTAGGCCGGAGAACGGGAGAAGGGGGAGGGGAGGGGGGGGAGCGGGAGGGGGAGGGGGTTTAAGGGCAGGAAGGATGGTCCTTGTCTTCGGAGGGATCCATACTTCAACGAGGTCTTTGAATCCCTTCTTTCTGGCTTTATCCTCGTTCTTAGCGGGCACACCAGCTCCCTAGAGCTGGATCTAGGGGCGGGCTCATGAGGGCAGTTGCAAGGAAGTACACACACGCACGCACACAAGGGGGCGCGCCGCGCAGTACACAAGCAGGAGTATGCAGAAGTTGGAGGGGGGGGGGGGGCTAAGTTGGCGCTGAAATGCTGCAACGTCGCAGGAGCAGCGCGTTTCGACGTCACTGACACGTCGAAGTGGGCGAGGGTAGGGAGCGCCGTTTAGTCTGTGGCACGAGGCTCCTGCAAGGTCGGTCAGTGCTCGCTCGCGTTCTCGTCTTGTGCGTTTGACGCGGTCTGGTTGCCATCGTTGTGCGAGTTCTGTTTCGATGGCTGCGGGGTCTCGCCGTGATGCTCGAGCACCATGCACAAACCGGTGAGATCGCCGGGGTCGACGCCGGTGCTGGCCTTGGCCAGCGCACGGGGGCTGTGTGGGTGGTCCTCGGGACGAACGATCTCCTGGCTCAAGTCGCGCTTGCTGAACGTGCCTGAAAGCTTAGTGGCAATGCGCCTGCAGAGACAGTGCGCGGAAGGAGGGCGGCGCTGATGAGAGCTCTGTCCACTGCTGCGTGTGCTGTCGTTGCGTGGCGGGCGCTAGTGCTCACCTGCCCAGGCCGTCGATACCGTGCGACTCCGCCCGCGACAAATAGCGCTTGTTGAACTTGCTCCCCACGCGGCTGCGCACGCGGCTCGCGGCGCGCTCAGACACACCGGGCGCGACGTGCTCCAGGATGGGCATCAACGCCTGCAGAGCACAACGCGACGTGGCCGGTACAGACTCCGTGAACAGGATCGGCGCGTGGCGGCGATCGACGCGTCAGAGAGAGGAGGGCGGGCAAGATTGATCGGCACTGCGCGGATGCCTCCTTCCGCGGCGCAAACAGACGGCAATGCACGGCAGCCTGCCGTCGGAACTCACCACGCCCTCCAGAAGAGTGCCACCGGGCTCCCTGAGCAGCTTGGCCTTCTTCGCCGTCGGCAGCGAATGCTGCACCTCCGCGAGCGACTTGGGCGCGATCGACGCCAGGTGGTAGTCGCCCGAGACGCCCTTCAGCCGGAACTGCCCCACGTGCCTCAGCACGATCCGGCACGCCTCCACCCGCCACGTGTACTCCGCGTCCCTCCCGGCCCCCCCGAGGCTGTTCCCGCGCCGGAACTCGGCGGCTGACGCGTCTGCGTGCGACCGCGCCTCCACGCGGAACCGGCGCTCGGACCGCGACGGCACGGGCTCCCGCGTGCTGTGCGGGAAATCGGATCGGTCCGCGCCGCGCGACGTCGCCACGCTGGTCCGCACCGCGGACGACGCGCGGGCAGGCACGTCCGGCCGCGGCACCTTCATGTCTTCCGAGTTGCCGCGGCCGAGCGGCAGTCGCGGGCCGTTTGTCTGGCCGAGGGCCTCGGCCAGCATCTGGGCGTCCTGGAAGGCCTGCGCCGCCTCCGAAGTCAGGCCGCACTCCGACATGAAGCGCAGGTTCATGGGCGTCTGTCCCGTCAGCGAAAGTCTGATCTCGCTCTCGACCGTCTCCGAGATCAGACGCCCGGACTCCGACGCCAGGGCCTGTGGCAGAACGCACGGCTTCCGGAAGAAGTGGCGCGTCAAGCCCTTCGCGCCGGACTCCACGGGTTGCTCCAGCATCTCAAGGAGTGCAGCGCCGGCCTGCTCGGCCGTCCCGATGACCTGGCCGCCTTGCGCAGCCGCGAAGCACATGCGCGCGGCGCGGTTGACCAAGGGCCCGAAGTAGTCCGTGCGGCCCGTCGCGGTGTGCGGCAGCACCTTGACCGGCATGCCGCGGCACACGCCCACGCGCACACGCAGCCCGCGGCGCTGGACCGCGCCGTCGGAGCCCCGCTCCACCGCGGCGCACGGCGACTTGAGGAGCTTCCGGGGCCAGTGCGCGCCGAGCAGGGCCAGCTGGAGCGCCGAGCCGAAGAGGAAGGCGTCGCCGAGGGAGTGGAAGGCGAGCATGAACGCGCCGGAGAGCTCCTGGCACTCATACCCGTCGTAGCGCAGGAGCACCTCGCGGGTGACCGACTTGTACACCTCGAGGGCTTCCTGCGTCGCGTGGCGGTCGTGTTTGTACAGCTCGTCGATGCTGACGGGCCCGCAGAAGACGATGACGACGTCCGGGAGCCGCAGCACGCACGGCGCGCACGCCGAGCACGCGAGGTAGGCGACGCCGTGCGGGCAGGCGCTGCGGGCGGGAACCATGGGGGCCGTGGTTCCGGGCGCGTGGAAGTACCCCGGGGACTTCATGAGGTGCCGGGGGATCTCCGCGCAGAACCGGGCGCGCTCCTCGAGGAACGGCGCGAGCGCCTGGTACAGGTGGACGCCCTGGGGGAGTCCCAGGTCATACTCCCCCATGTCGAGCATCAGCAGGTCCCACTCGCTGCCGCGCGCGTCGCCGCGCCCGTTCGCGCTGAACCCGTCCTGGACCATTCTGTCCTCGCGCGTGTCAGCCCCGCGCAGCGAGCCCGTCATCACGGCCCGCAGCGACGCCATGATGCCAAAGGACTGCGACCCGGACCGCGCATGTGGCATCGACGTCGGCGTCGGACTCGGGTCCGCGACGAGTGACGCCCCGGGGCGGCCCGCGACGGAATCGCTCGCAAACTCGTCCACGATCCCCGAGTCGAACCGCACCCGCGACGGCTTTGCAGGGGCGGCGATGGCGATGTCGTCCTCGTTCGGGGGGGCCGAGGCGCTCGCCTCCATGTTGGTCTCCAGCGTGGGCGCCCAGACGGGCTGCCTGCGCGAGGGCGGCGCGGCGGCGCCGCCGTTCTCGACCGGCGGCGCGGGCGAGGCGAGGTCCTCGGTGAAGCTCGCTGCCACCGGGATGCTTGCAGGCGAGCCCAGGTGCGTCGCGCTGCGCGTGGGCTCCGGCCCGGGCGACGCGACGTGCTCCGACGCGACCCCGGCCTGCGAGCCCGTGCGTGACCGCATGAGCGCGTCCCGCAGGACGGACGCCCCGCTTTTCCGGCCGCGCCGAGAGCCCATGGACCGCGTGCCCGTCCCGCTGGCCCGTGCTAGCTTCGCCAGCCGCTTGTGCGGGCTGCACTCGAAGAGCTTCGCCGCGATGATCGGGTGGCGCGCGTGCACGCCCTCGTACGTCTGCGCGCACATCAGGATCTGCCCCCCCCGCGTGACTTCCTGGATTGCGTTCACCAGCGTCACGACCGGACCGTCATACTCGAGCCTGCGGGTCATGCGGTGCGTGGTCGCGTGCTCGCAGTGCGCTGTCGCCACCGACATCCGCACGCGGAGGCCCCGGAAGAACCGCGCGCCGTCGTCGACCAGCAGCGCACTCGGGTCGCCCTCGGGGCCCGGCGGGGCCACCGTGCCCTCCTCCGAGCCGTTGCGCACGAAGCCGTCTTGCGACGGACGCGCCAGCCCCGCGTTCGGGCCGCCGGGATCGGACGGGATCGTGGACCGCCGCAGGTCCCTGGCGCCACTTGCGCTCCCGCGCCTGTGCGGCGTGCTGCACGTGACGCGCTCGTCCTCGTTGGGGGTGTTGTTCCGCCCGACCTGCCCCAGCCAAGACGTCCTCAAAATTTCCTTTGACGCCCTGCCAGGCTGCTTGCCCAGCGACGTCGGACTGGGGTCGAGAGCACCCTCATGGCCCCTCATTGACTCGGGCCAGTTCGCCACGTGGAGGGCCTGCTGCACGCTGAGACACCAGCCGATCGCGTCCGTCGGCTCGTGGAAGGCGAGCAAGAAGGAGTCCCCCTCCGTCGTGACCTCGTAGCCGTGCCAGCGCGCCAGGTACGCCCGCAAGATGGCGTCGTGCATGGAGTTCGCCGTTGCCATCTCATGCGGCGACGCCTCCCACAGCGCGGTGCTGTCCTGGACGTCCGTCAGCACCAGCGTGATCTCGCGGCCCGCGCCAGGCGGCCCGGCGCGCTTCCGGCGTTCCATGAGCACCACCGCGATTCGGTCGCGCCAGAGGAAGAAGAGGACGGCGAGGACGATGATGAGGACGAGGAAGACGGAACCCGCGACGACCGTGGACACGATGACCACCAGGTGGTCGTCGTCGGGCACGCACACGACGCGCTGCCGCGGGAGGAAGGTGTCGACGTACGCCGCGTCGTTCGGCCACCCCGCGGCCGGGTCGGTGAAGCTCTGAACCACGCGCGAGAGCTCGGCGCCGGAGAGATCGACGTGGCTCTTCCGGTACCCGGACGAGCACCGGCAGCCGCGGTAGTGGAAGTACGACGGCGACATGCCCACGGAGAGGTCCAGTCCGGAGACGCAAGTGCCCAAGGCGCCGCCGCATTGCGCCGTGGCGTTGGCCACGACGACGGACGGGCACAGGAGGTGCGGGTCGAAGCCGAGGGCGGCGTTCGGGACGGTGCGTTCCTCCGTCAGGCGCAGGAACTCTGGAAGCAGCTCGCCGCGGCTGTTGGGCCGGGACGCGTTGTGCTGCATCAGCGTCTCGGAGACGTCGAGCTCCGTCAGCTGCGGGAGCGCGCCGACCTCCTCCGGCAGCTCGCCGAACATCGCCGTGCCGGCCACGCGGCAGAGCTTGAGCGTGCGGATGTCGGCCAGCGAGCGCGGGAACGACCCGGACAGCCCCGCGTTCAGGCACACGTCCAGCTCCTCGAGCCCCCACGGCGTCAGCGGGTCCGGGAGCTGCCCCGTCAGGTCGTTGCGGTCCAGGCGGATCGAACGGATGCGTGCGGGGCTGGCAATGTTGGTGGGGATGGTGCCCGAGAGGGCGTTCTCGCCCAGGTCGAGGTACTCGTACGCGAAGATCGCCATGTACTGGGGGATCGTGCCGGACAGCTGGTTCCCGCGCAGCGAGATGGTGCCCACGCGGAGATCCTGCACAGCATCCCAGATGCCTGCAGGGAGGGGCGGCGGGGGGGGCTCGTGGAACTCGCGGGGACGGAGAGAGGGGGGAAGGGGGGGGGGGCGTGTTGCGGTGCAAGCCGCACCTATGTCGTCGAAGAGCAGTTGCGCGTCCGAGAAGGACTGGCCCGGCGGCAGCCCGAAGACTTCGCCGGCGATCCTGTTGCCGGCGCCGGAGAAGAACCGCGTGTCCGGCGGGCCGCCCGTGAACCCCAGCGGCAGCGGTCCGAGCATGGCGTTGTTCTGGAACTCGATGTATTGCAGGGACAGACAGAAGGGGAGGGAGTCCGGGAGGCGGCCCGTGAGGCGCGCGTTGTCCCCGATGGCCCAGTGCCGCAGGAGCAGGTGCGAGGACCACCCGGGCGTCGCGGGGTCGGTCAGGAAGGTGCTGTGGTCAGGAATCGTCCCCTCCAAGTCGTTCTGCTCGACGTGGAACGCGCGGAGGAGCTGCGCGGACAAGACGTCGTCCGGGAGCGCGCCCGTGACGCCCATGCGCTTCAGGTTGACGTACTCGAGCGACGAGGCCAGGGCAGCGAACACGCCGAGCGGCACGGTGCGCGTGTTGCCCGCCGAGGCGGTTCTGAGGCCCGGGAGGTGCTGCAGGCGGGGGCGCGGGGCGCGGGGGAGGTCGGTGCGGCGCTGAGCGGCTGCGGGCGCGCAGGGGGGCGGTGATGCGGGGCGGGCGCGCACCTCGAAGTCGACCGAGGCGACGCCCGCGCGCTGGACGCAGGCGATGCCGCGGAAGCTGGTGTCGACGAACATGCGGACCTCGCCCGTGCCGGTGATGCGGTTCAGCGGCAGCGTGTTGCCCGCGGAGCAGCACGTAACGCCCGGCCAGCAGCAGTGGTGCAGGGTCTCCGAACCCCACGTGTTGCGCCACAGGTCGTCGGTCCAGTTCGGTCCGTCGAGGGCCTGGAAGAGGGATTTCAGAGCAGCTCGCTGGCGCGCCTGGCAGGTGGCGTCGCAGTGCGGCGAGGCCGCCTGCAGCGTCGCGTCGAGGGCGGTGATCGACTGCTTGATCTCGAAGAGCAGCCACGAGCGCCCCGTCGCGGCGAACCGCCTGTTCCCCCACGCCCATCTATCATAGTTCTGCGAGGGGCGGCGCGCACGGCGGCGGGCGGGCAGTGTGCGGCGCGCGGGGAGCGGCGGGGTTGATTTGTTAGTAACCGCTCGCCCACCGCGGCCTCACGGGGGCGAACGGCGCGAACCGTGGCGCGGCCGACGCCTCCTGCAGCACCGGTCCGCCTCGACGGCGGCCAGCGCGCGGCGGTGGTCGTGGCGCGGCTGGCACGTGCGGGCCTTTTCGCACCGGCAGGTTGGCCCCCTTCCAGGGCAGGATGGCGAAAGAGGGGTGCCACGCCTCGCCCGGCGCAGTCGACTGGTCCAGCGGGTTCGTGAAGGCAGCGGGCTGGAGCGCCAGGGCGGAGATGCCGTATGTCGCGAGGAAGGCCTGCAGGCAGCGCGGCAGTTAGCTTCTCCAATCGTGCCGTGGGCGGCGATCATGGCGCACCGCGCGGCGCTTCCAGATTCCATGTGAGGATTGAGCTGAGTCACGCGACTTGCGTGGCAGAATGAGCCGTGCACGGCCCGCCAAGGGCCGCTTGTTGCGTGGTCAGCAAGCGAGGGCGTGCAGGGCGTGCCGTGCATGCGCGCTGACCATTCTCGCCGACACGCGCCACCGGCATCTACAGAGCTGGACCAGGGCGCGGCGGGTGCCTGTCAACCGGCGCATGCGGCGACAGTGCGGCGTGGCCCATACCTGGCAAGACGCTTCATCGCCATTTCGATAACCTTGGTACCACGGCGGCAAGCTCTGCCCTGCGGGACGAGTGCAGAACGTTGACAGCATACTTCAAGACATGCTCGCGAGCGCAGCTCGGCAGCAAGCGGGGCAACGCGAGCTGGGTAGTACGCTGATGATGCTCTCCCTTCGCTTCCCGGCAGGTAGGGGCTGGGCCGGCAGCACGGCCGCGTCAGTACGGACCGCGATCAGTCGCCCGTGCGCCCATCACGCAGGATGCGGGCGTCAGGCTGCAGGAGCGCACTCACCGTTGGACCTCTGAAGCAGCAACGCCGCGACCAGGAGCAGCCCCACCCAGGTTCGGAAACCCGGCATGTTACACCCAGCTCGATCTGCTCTGCTCCATGGTCGTGGCCGGCTGTGGGCCGCACGACGCCACAAAGGGACTGCGTGCAGTGCCCTTTCCCATGAAGGTCGTGCCTGCGCCGCTGTGCGCTGCCACTTTGCTTCCGCGCTGCCCTTTCTTTCTCAACTTTGCCGAACCTGCATCCCGAGCGGCCCACTGTGCGCCGCAACCAGGCCAGTCGTCCGCAGCGGAGAGAGGGGTTTCCACCTAGCAGCACTGATTGCCCTGAAGCCTGCAGCGAACTGGAACCAAGACGGGCGTTTGGCCGCGCTGGCGCCCTCGCAGCGCCCCGACGGCACGTTTCCGGGTCCGCTCGCACGGCGTCGTGTCGCTTTTCACGCACTGCGTTCCGTCGGCCATGTGGGGTGGTTGACGCCGACGCTGAAGCCACCGTGTTGCAGCTAGGGGGAGGCGAGCCAGCCTGCCCGCCCAGATTCGGCGCGGGAGCCACGCGCGCCCGCGCGTGCACCCGCCGCTCGCGAGCTGCGCACCCCGAAGCACCTTTCGCGCCCCGCGCGGCCGGCGCGCAGTGGTGCCTGCATCACGCACCCCCCATGCCGCTTCACTGGCCGCGCCCGGCTGCAGCGAGGCAGCGCCGCACAGACACGCTCCCGTGCGCCCCGGCAGGCCACGTCAGGCCGGGGACACGCGCCGCAGGGCAGCGTGTCGCGCTCGAGTGCTGTCACAGGGGGGCCTTTCCTGTCGCGCAAGCAGCTGGAGAGCCACGGCGTGACGATTGGGCTGCCGCAATCAGCTGGCGTGCCCCCGCGGCACCTCGGCGCCGCCTCTACCGTCTATGTCTTCCCCCGCGGACCCCTCGCTGCCCACATAGGACCTCGTGGCCATCTCCGAACACGAGGAATGCCTATCTTGCGCCCCCTCGCTGTCCCCCGACTGCCTCGCCGGGGACACACCCTCCTTCTTCTCGCTCCACGTCGCCCCGCGCGAGCCCGGCACGCCTGCGCCGCGGTGGGCGGCCGCGCGTGGCAGCAGCGGTGCTGCGCACCCGGGCGCCGACCACCGCGGGCCCGCGGCCGCCGGACGCGACGTCGACGCCGCGCGCGCGGCGCGCAGGAGCGGCGCTTCGCGCTGGTACTGCACGACGGCGAGTGCGAAGTCGAGGAAGCCCAGCTCCGGCCACAGACGCGGGGTGAAGTGAAGCGTCGCGAAGGCGACCTGCCGCGTCAGGAAGTCGCTGAGGCGCGTTTCGCCGGACGTGCGCACGAGGAGGTCGACCGGGGGCGACCCCGCGGTTTGCAGCTGCGCGTCGAGCTCGTGCTCGGTCGGACGTGCGCGCGCAGACACCCCCAGGCGCCGCCGCTCGCGGGCGCCGCGGACGGCGCGCGCGAGCTCATGCCGCGAGGTGTAGCCCAGGCAGATGTTGAGCACGCGGTCGCCGTTGCCGCGCGTCGCGTCCATGAGCCGCTGTGCCGCGGCCTGCACGTCGCGCGGCAACAACTGCAGCTCCCCGACCACGCGCACGACGACGCCGTGCTCGGCCAGGACGCCCTGGTGGCGCGCGAGCTCCTGCATCTTCTCCCGCGCCAGCTCCATCAGGCCCCGCACCTCCGCCGGCACACGGGCGAAGTTGTCGACGCTGAACGCGTACGCCGTCACGCACGTCACGCCGAGCTCCATGCACCACCCGAGGATCCGCATCATGCTCCCGAAGCCCGCCCTGCGTGGGTGCAACGCCGAGCTGGCGCGCCGTCGGGCCCTGGGGCTCTGGGGGGCGCACGGGGGCGTTGCATGATGCTGGTCAGGCAGCGGTGCGCGGCCGTGCGGGCGCACCTGTGTCCGTCGATCTGCTCCCTGCACGACCGCTCCGCGAATCGCCTGTTTCCGTCCATGATGAAGGCCACGTGTCGCGGCACGCCGCCGAAACGCAGCATCTGCAGCAGGTGGAAGCAGGCGCGGGCGGACGCGTCGCGTCGGGGCGACCGAGACCCGCTCTGAAGCAACGGCCGCTCAGCACCGTGTACCACGAGCCTGTCACGCGAATCCCAGCGCGTGAGCAGTGGCGGACCGTCAGCGGCGAGCGCACGTCTCTCTGTGAGAGCCTCGCAATGAAGCCGTTTCTGACGGCACGCAGGGGCAGATAATCGGATCCAGATGGTGCCAGCACCAAGCTAGCACGTTTGTGACCACCCTCGCGCGTCTGGCAGCGCTGAACGCGCGCGCCATTGCGAGGGCACGGCCCCCCAGCCATCGCACCTTCACGGCCACCTTCCTGGCCGCGTCCGCGACCCTGCAAGCGAAGCTGTGATCCCGCACTACGTTGCCCGTTGTGTCAACGACATATCCTGCGTAACCGTCCATCGGGGCCCCGCCAACACTCAGCGCTTCGTGAGATCCGTGGCGGGCCTCGCTCGATCGACGGTGTGCGGCGGCTAGGTGGCCATCGACAGGCGGCTGGACAGAGTGCTCGTCGCCTGTGCAAGCCTCGGGCGCAGGAGGCGTCGTCGCCTGGACAGGGCGGGGCAGGCGCGCTCCTCTCGGCCCGCAAAGAGGGCGCGTCCGCGCTCTCGCGACAGCGGCCGCGTTTTCGTCACTCTTCTCGCGGGACAGTCAGCACGGTGGCGCAGTGATCGACCGCCGCGGACGATGGAACCCACATGCCCCGACCAGCGCGCGTCAGACGCACACTCACCCCCCTGACACGACACTCCTGCAGCCTCGACACCACGAGCTCCCGGTCGGAGACCCCGGCCGTGCCGCGCTGCCGATCCTGCCCCGCGCACGCGCCGCACCGCGCCTCCCGTCCTCGAGAAGCACGCCAGGACCTCACGCTGCGCGACAGACGCAACAGCGCGCCGCTCGTCGCTCCGTCACATTCCACGAGGGTCGGGGCGCCCGCGCGCTCACCCCAGGGCGGGCCGCGCGCGTCCGCTACTGCGCCGGAGCGACGCCAGCGATCTCGACGCTATCCAGCGTGTCGGCAGCGCGGATGGACAGCCCGTTCTCGTTCGCGAGGTGCAGCATGCAGATGAACGCCAGGTGCACGCTCACGTCCTCACGCCGCCCCGCCGCGCTCGTCTCCGGCACCGCCGCAACCACCTCCTGGAACCCCACCGCTCTGCATCCACGCAACCACAACTGGCACTAATTATCGCCGCTCATCTGCGTCAGAACAGCGACGACCTGTTCATGCACGCGCACGCACGAGCAATATCACGTGCGCGCACCTCGCCGGCCCGCTCCTCGCCGCCACGTCCTGCATGGTGCCCCACATGTGTTGCTTGAGAGCTCGCACATCGATCTGCTTCGACTTCTGCGCGTAGTTGACCTGCTTGACGCTGAGCCGCCGCGCGGCCTGCGCCGCGCCCTCGAGCTGCGCGAAGCCCCCCCACGCGTCGTCGTCTGCGGCCCCGAAGCCCCCGTCGTCGTCGCCGTCGCCAAACCCGCCCGGCGACCCCCAGCCGCCGCCCGCGTCGTCGCCCGCGCCCGCGCCGGCCGCGTCGCGCTGCGCCGTGCTCAGTCCGTGCGTGCGCGCAATCAGCTCCGCGGCCGCGCGCCCCGGAACCAGGAACGGCCGCGCGAGCGCCGCGGCACGATAGTGGCAGTCGTCGGGCAGCAGCGTCGCGGCCCTCTTCGGCGCCGACGCCAGCACGGTCTCGTTCTTCCGCGTCGGCTTCCGGAACTCCGCAGCGTCGATCTCGGGGAGGTTCTCGAAGTCCAGCGTCGCCCGATCCGCCTTGGCGCGCCGCGGGGCGCTCTTCGCCGCCGCCGCCGCCGTCGGCCGCCGGAACCGCCAGTGTTGAGCGCCCGCCCAGCCGTTGCCGGGCCCGCCGCCCTGCCCGGCGTTCAGCAGGTACTGAAGCGCCTCCGATCCCAGGTCCACGCTCCGCAGGCCGCCCGCGTCGCCGCCGCGATCGCCGCCGTCGTCGTCGCCGTCCCCGAAGCCCCCGCCCTCGTCGAACCCGCCGAAGTCGTCCTCGCACACGTACTCCTCCTCGATCCCCGCAGAGAGGCCGTTCCCGAACACCGCGGCCGTGTCGACCGTGTCCACGTCGTTGGCCGCAGTCTCGACCGCGTCCGCAGGGGCCACGTCCCCGCCGCCCGCAGCGCCCTCGGCTTCCGCGAGGTCGCACATGCTGACGTCGACGTCCATGTCCGACGCGTCGCACGCGCCCGCGGGGGCCGGGGCTGCCCGTCGCGAAGGCGCCTGGGCCAGCACCGCCGCCACGGCGGCCCGCGCCTCCGCCAGCTCCCGCTCGTGCGCCCCGGCCGCGTCGGCCTCGGCGTCCTCGACGGGGAGCATCGCGCGCAGCGACTGAAGCGCCGGCGCGAGCGGCGCGCCCCCTGCCGCGGTCTCGAGCGCTGCCTCAAGCAGCCCTGACAGCGGGCCGAGGTCGACGGCCACGTCGTCGTCCGGGCGGGCCGGCGCGGGCGCGGAGAGGTCCGGCGGGCACGCCTCGGAGTCGAACATGATGTCGCAGTAGCTATACACACTCAGGTTGTTCAAAAGCAACCCTTTGGCGCCTCCCTGCAGCGGGGGGGGTGTTTTCGGGAGAGGCGGTGTGCGGTGCAGCGACACGTGAAGAACGAGGCGTGCGCGCCACGTGCGCGTGCGTCGAGCGGGCAGCGAGGATAGCAACGAGTTCGAGATGCCGGAGGACGATTTCGCGTGGTTGTTGGGCCGGCGATGGTCGGCTGCGCACCTCGTCGAACTGCGCGGACGTCTTGTGGAACAGGGGGTCCACCGCGAACGTCACGTCGAACTTCTTCGCGTTGATCGCCTCGGGGTGCTCCAGCGTCGAGGACGGGTCCACGTCCTTCGCCCGCCGCTTCCTGCAACGCACGCCGCGCCGAGCGCCCCGCGCGCCTCACGCGCGCAGCAGCCCCCAGCCCGACCCGCACAGCGCACCCGCAACAACGCGGCCGAGAACAAGCGCGCGGAAAAACAAGCGGCGGACGGCAGTGCCCGCGCTGTCGCAGCGCCCCACGCACCTCTTGACGGCAGTGCCGGGCTCGCCGTCCGCGGCCTCCGCGTCCCCGTCCTCGGCGTCGCCGTCGGCCCCCGCCGCGCCGCGCACCAGCGACGTCATCATCCGGAACGTCTCGTTGTGCACGTTGTCCACGCGGTGGGCGTAGATCTTCACGCCGGCGTCCAGCGTGACGGAGGCCTTCTGGAAGGACCCCTCGCCCGTGCCCGTGTCGCGCACGAGGTCCGACATGTGGTCAATCAGGTGCAAGGACCACGTGTTCTTTTGGGAAATCTTGTTCTCCGCCGCAAGCTTAATGCAAGACTGGTACAGGTCCTGCACCTGGTCCGCGGACAGCGCCTTCGCGCCGCGGGCCGCCTGGGGCGCCGCGCTGGCTGCGGGGCGACGGGGCGGCGGTCGGAGTCTGTGCTGAGCACGCATGGCGCTTGCAGCGGGGCGTAGCGGCGCGGGGGTGGCTCGGGGGCGCTCGCCTTTCGCGGTCTCCTTGCGGATGTCCTCGGCGACGTCGCGCATCTGCTTCGCGTCGAAGTCCGCGGCGAGCGACTGCCGGACGTCGCTGGCTCTGCGCGGCACCGCAAAGGCTGAGGTCCGTCTCGCGCGCGCCGCGTGGGTCGCGGAAACAGGAGCGCGGCGCAGGCCCCGCGGCCCACGGACCGGTTCTCGCGGCGTTCGGGTTCGGACGAGCGCGTTCGTGCGGGGCGGGCCGGCTACGTGCGAGCATCAGGGCGGAGGTGGCCGCGCGACCAGGTGCCGGGCCGGGGGCGTGCCTGGACATGCGGGACTTCCGTCGCTCCGTCGCGTCATCGTTCGGCGTGAGGCTGACGCCCTGCGAGGCGGGAAGAGCGGGCGGAATCGTCGGGGCGGCCGGACGCAGCGAGGCAGGAACCGGCCTGGCAACAACAACAGCGGCAGCCTCCTGACCGCCTCCGCGGCCGCGCTCGCGCCGAACTGGCGACGCGGCACGGCGCCCGGAGGTTCGTTCGACAGGGAGCTCCGGAATTCCCACTCGAGGGAGCAAGAGAGGGGAGGGGACGCCCGGGCACGCGAGCGAGCTCAAAGCGCGACGAGGCAGCTGCCAGAGACGGCTCTCAGTCGGACCCTCCGAGGGCTTCAAGCGCCACGAGCGGCTTCTTCATCGCTCGCAGCGCCTCCCGTGCGCGACGCGCTCGTACCTTGCCGCCGGGGCTGGCCAGGCTCGCCCGTCGAGCGTTGGTGCGGTCCTTTAGCGGCATTGTGCCCCCGACGGTCGCTCCGCAAGCAGTTTCCGCCGCCTGCGAAGCCCGAACTGGTCACACGGACCGCCGCGGCAGGCCGACGAGACGCGGCCGGCCAGCACGGGCCCCCCGCGAATCAAGTGGGGCCTCTCGCTTTCATGCCGATCCGCAGGCTGACTGGGCGGCGCAGCGCGGCCGGCTCGTTGCGCGGCCTCGCCGCGGGGGCACGAGAGGTTGTGTACAGGTCGTCAGCAGCGGGGGAGAGTCGTGCGATAGTTCGTGAACGCGGCCAGCAGACGGGGGATCCCGCCAACTGCTGTTTGGCTGAGGCCGGAGTGCTGGTTGCGCTAGAGCGGCTGGCGCCTGAGATCCTCTGCGACTAGCGCCTGACAGGTGTGTGCGTCATCGCATGTCGCCGTAGCAGCGCCCAGCGGCCCGTCCCGGGCCGGACGTTGCCTGTCATGTGCGGTTCACGGCGCGAGCGACGCGCGTCGACGCGCCGTCCGTGAGCGAGGGCGCGAGGCCCATTTGTAACATATTTTCGCGTCGACTGCGCTGCCTGAGCCGCGTCGGACCTGCCGCTGCCGCTCCGTATACTCCCTTGCCGCTGCTGCAATCCTTGCACGGGCGCGTTCGGGCTCTATTTCCGCAGCCCCGCGCCCAGGACGTCCCCCACACGTTCAGCGCCCTCACAGGCGCCGGCGACCCCCCGTGCAGACACCCACGCGCGGTCCAAGGCACGGAGGAGCACGGCCCTCAAGGGTCGCGTCACCAGCGCGCACGGAGGTCGGTCGGGATGGGGAACGCGTGCGTGAAGAACCAGAATCCCAACGAGGACATCAAGACCGAGAAGCTCGATCATGTCGGCCCGCTGCGCTCCGTACGGCAGCTCTCCTCCGGTACGCGTGCGCTGCCGCCTCGTTGCGCCCCTGCTGCGCGCTCGGGCGAATGCACGGCCGGGCCGTGCCTCGGCCGGACGGAGCTTCCTCCCAGCGAGCGCTTCGTGCGCCTTCGCCGGCTCGTGACCCCTTGTCCGCCCCGTGCTCGCAGTCTCGGGGGGCGGCCTGCAAACGGCCGCCACCATGGACAGCGACAGCGCGCCGCAGCCGCGAGCGTCCATGGCATGCATCAACTCGTCCGCTGCACTTGAAGAGAAGCTCGGCCTCGCGATTCAGAGGTACATCAGCACGCACGACACCCAAGTCAAGGTGTGTACGCACCCCGCCCCACGCCGCACGAACAGCCGCTCCCCGACCCGCCCCCAACGCGCACGCACAGGCACAGGCACAGACCCCCCTCCGCCCCGCCGCGCCCACCCCCCCCAGCGGCGCGCTCACAACCCCCCCCCCGGTGTGGTGACACTCGTTGCAGACGCTCAACCAGATGATGCTGCTGATGCCGCAAATCACGGAGGGGTTCCACGAGTGCGAGGACCTCTTCCGGGACTGCGACGTCGACCGCGACGGCCGCCTGAACCTCCAGGAGTTCCTCGGCGCCCCGGGCCTCCTGTCGAGCGGCGTCACGCTGCGGGAGCTGCGCGAGCTGTTCGCCGAGGTCGACCTGCAGCACACGACGAAGATCACGATCCGCGAGTTCCTCGCGCTCCTCACGCTCTTCCACATCCTCGACGTGACCGACCAGGGCGGGGGGGTGTTGACCCCCGAGGCCGACGCCCCCGTGCCGACCACGCCGTCCGGGCGCGTGCCCGCGATCGCGAAGGACTCCCTCCGGAACTCCCTCGACCTCGCCATCTGGTCCTACCTCCTCTTCGACGCCGAGCAGAAGGGCTTCGTCACGCAAAGCGACGTAACGACCACTCTCGCCGAGATCGGCGTGCGCGCCCCGGTCGGCCCGCAGTCCTCCGTCGGCGCGGGCGTGCCGCGGTCGAGCAACATCACGGACGCTGGCGCGGCGCCGACGAGCCTGGTCCCGTCGAGCCTGCGCGTCGGGTCGCGCGGGCAGAGCACCGTGAGCGTCGACAAGGGCCCGCGCTCGGTGGGCGCGGGGTCGCGGTCGTCGATGCAGGAGGTGTGCGAGCAGCGCTTCAAGGAGATGACGCACAGCTCGAGCGACAAGGTCACCTTCGTGGACTTCGTCATCTCGCTCGGGTCGTGGTGCGGGATTGAGGAGTCGGACGGGGAGTACGAGGACCCCAACAACTCCTCGAACTCGGTGCACGGGCCCGTGCGGCGGATCTTCCGGCGCCGGCGCACGCCCACCGCGTCGACGCCGAAGCCGCAGCCGGCGTACAGCATCCTGAAGGGGGGGCGGCAGTCGACGGGCGGCGACGAGGAGCGGCGCCGGCGGAGGCGGAGGCGGAGCCTCGCGGCGCAGCGGCAGGCGTCGCAGCGGTCGCAGTCCGCGGGGGGCGAGAAGGCGATCGGCGGGCGGTCGGTGAGCATGGGGGCGAAGGGGGGGCAGAAGGCAGGCAACGGGACACAGCCGGAGGACGCGGTCGGGAGCGGGGCGCGGGCGATGCCGCGGATCACGTCCGGGGATTACGAGGATGACGAGGGCGAGGCGAAGGCGACGAGCCGCGTCTGATTCGGGCGGCTGGACCCCCTGTGTCGCCTCCGCAGAGGGCGGGGGGGTCGGGGGTGTCGTGCTGGCTGCGCCGCGTCACGCATTTCGCCGTGGCGCAGCCGAGGCGATGCGAGCGCGAGCGTTCCGCACATGCACGCGGTCGTTTCCGGCTTCTGCTTGACTGCCACGCCATTTCCTCCCAAAGATGTGTTTGAGAGTCTTCTATCAGGAATGTTTGATTGAATGGGCTATCAATCGCCGCACGCCCGGGCGAGATGTGCGCACGGCCACGAGGCCGCGGCGCCGTCCGTCGCTACGCAGTGGAGACCTCGCGTTTCGCAACCGGCATAGTTGTCGTTGTGTGCGCTATGCGAGGGACCTATGGTTTGTGAGCCGCGCTCCTGGTGCGTACCGCGTCACCCGCTTCATGTCGGAACGACGGCTCGCGTCCTCGTAGGTCAGCGAAGAACTATCGCGTCGCCCGCAGCAGGGGCGCACGGACCTGCCATTTGTATAGACAGCGTTGCGCTGCGCCCCGGCACCCCCACTGCACAGCGTGCACCACGCCCCGCTCCGCAACACGTCTCCCGCGCAGCCAGACGTCCGCTGCAACGCCCCCGCCAAGCCAGCGCACGACCACCACCGCGCACGCACAACGACAGGACGCAAGTCGAGCAACACACCGCCCCCCCATGCACACAAAGTAGTAATTGACCACCCGCGCACGAAACGAAACGCGGGTGTGCTATCGTCCTGATCAAGGCGGCAGCCCCATGCACACACCCCGCGTCCGCGCACGGGCCACACCGGCGCGCCCACCCGCTGCGCGCCGACCGCGGCGCCCTCCGCGACCCACCCCGCGCGCCTCCATCACTCACACGGCCCCCGCCGCCCCTCACTGCTGTGCGCACCGCACGCCCCGCGGCCCGTCCTCGTCCTCGCTGTCCGAGTCGTACGCCTCCGTCCCGGCGCCCGCGCGCGCCTGCTCCTCCTGCCGCATCCGCAGCTCCCGCTCGATGTCCGCGATCGGCGTCAGCTTCACCTCCTCCGCCTGGTCGTCCTCCTCCATGTCCTCCCCGCTGGGCGCCCCCAGCAGCCCCTTCAGCGACGCGACTATCTCCGCCGGCAGCGTGTCCGGGAACTTCACCTCGAAGATCACGTACATGTTGCCGTGCTCGAACGGCCGCCCGCGCAGCGGCATCCCCTTGCCCTCAATTTTGCGCACCATCTGCGGCTTGACCACCTCGCCGGGCTTCGACTTGACCGACAGCGTGTGCCCGTCGAGGTGCTCGATCGTCCGGTTCACCCCCGTGAGCGCCTCCGCGAGGCTCACCTCCATCGTGTGGATCAGGTCCGCCCGAATGCGCTTGAAGCGCGGCGTCTCCTTTTGCACCAGCACGAACACGATGTCGCCGGGGAGCACGCCGGGCTCCGTGAAGCCGCCCTCGCCGCGCAGGACGACCTTGTCGCCGTGCTTCATCCCCTTCTCCACGTGGATCTCGAACTCCTTGGTCTCGGGCACGCTGGCCTTGCCGTGGCACTCGCCGCAGCGGTCGCTGGCCGGGACGGCCTTGCCCGTGCCGGAGCAGTCCTGGCAGGGCCGCTGGATCTGCTGGATCATCGGGCCCATGCGCTGGACGAGGAGCACGACGCCCTGGCCGCGGCACGTGCTGCACTGTGGCTCGCGGCCCGACTTGGTGCCCTTGCCGTTGCACGCGCCGCACTCCTTCCCGCGCTGCATGCGCATCTTGCGCGTGGTGCCGTTGTACATGTCCTCGAGCGTGACGCGCAGCTGGTGCTGCACGGGCGGCGCCTTGCGCTCCCGCGGGCTGCGCCGGCCCCCGCCCCCGAAAATGTCGAAAATGTCCGCGGCGCCGCGGCCGTGCCCGCTCGCCGCGCCCTCCTTGATCGCCTCCTCGCCGTACCTGCGCGGGACCGCGGGGGGCGCTCGGCGCGGTGGGCGGGCTGCGCCACCGGCCGGGGACGCGACCAGGCCCGCGGGCAACTTAGATCGCGGCTTCCCGAGCTCCGGGGGGCGCGGGGCGGGCGGACCTGTCGTAGATCTCCCTCTTCTTCGGGTCCTTCAGCACGTCGTACGCGGCGTTGATCTCGGCGAATTTCTCCGGGTCCCCGCCCTTGTCCGGGTGCATTTTGATAGCCTTCTTTCGGTATGCCTTGGTGATTTCCTTGTCGTCGGCGTCCTTGGCCACGCCCAGCAGCTCGTAGAACCTGCGACGCGGCGGCGCGGGGCGACGCGAGCGTCAGGCCGGGCCTGTGCGCGCCCGCGCGCTCCTCGACCCTGGAACAGCGAAGACGCTTCCAGGCACGGTGGGCGCGCACGCGGCGCCCACGGTGGCTCCGCGGCCGTGTCGGGCCGGAACTGGGCGGCGTGGATAATGAAAAGCGGCTTGCGACCTCGCTCGGAGGTCGCCGCGGCCGCGCGGCGGCCTGGCGGCAGGCCCAGCGCGCTCGGCTCGGCAAGCAAGCAGGCGCGCGGGCTGTGGGCCGCGCTCGGGGTGTGGCGTGCAGGGCCGTTCGTGGGGAGCGGAAATTCCCCACTTACGCCCTCGGCTGGTGCCCCCGGCAGCGGCAAGGCGCCGCGGCTCGCGGCCAAAGACGGCATCGAGGCCGCTGCTAGCATCAGCGCGCTCCCGGGACGCCAGCGCGCGGCTGCGGGCCGCACAAGCCGGCGCATGGCAGCCCCGGAGCGAGAGCGCCGCGTTGGACCGGGAATCGCGGCCCGCACCTCGAGTTGTCCACGTCCTTGGGCGGGCCCCGCCCGGCGCCCCCAGGCATCCCGCCGCCCCCGCCGAAAAAGTCCTCGAAAGGAATGCCGCCGAACATGGTGGCGCGTCACGAGTGCCCAGGGCTACCGTGTGCCGCGGGCGGGTGCCCTGCGGCGCCCACATGCCGCGGCAACGCCCCATGCCGCCCGGCTTCTAGCGCACGACCCCGACTCCCCCCGCGCACCCGCCAGGCCCGTCCACGCGCACCTCTGGCGCGCCGGCACGCCGGCCAGCCGTCATTTCTTCCAGGAAACGCGCGAATCAATCACCTCGGCCGCGTCGACGCGCCGCGAAAGCACCAACGGAGCTCTGCGCACTCCCGCCACGTCGCGCGCCATCGCAGCCCGGAGCCGCGCCACCCAGCCACCCCCGCGCTCCCCACGGTCCCGTCCAGCGTTCCCCGGCGCGCGAGCGTCCACAATCTCGCGCACATGGTCGGCGGACGCCACTCCACTGCATGTGCTCTGGGGTCGCTCCGTGCGACCCGCCCCGCGCTCGGGCGACCTCCGAACGCGCGTCCGGCGCCACCTGCTGCCCTGGAGCGCTCCCACTGCCCCGGCGCGGCACGCAGCGCGCGGGTTCGGCGGGGAACGGCACGTCATGGCATGCCCGAGGGTTTCCCCATGGCCCGCGGCAACTCGCGTCGCGCGGCCGGCGTGGCTCCGCGGGGGCGGACGCACGTCATTGCGAAAGCGTCGGAGTGGGGCCTCGTGGTCGAGAGCGACAGCATCATGGTGGACGCGCACGCAGACGGCCACCGCGTTGCCTTCAACGAGGCGTTCAGGTCCATGAAGGGCGAGCTGGGCGGGCACCCCGAGTGGGACCCCAAGACCTACTCTGACCTCAGGTGCGCGCGAACGAGTGGCCCGCCCCGCGCGTGAGAGAGCGGCGGGGCACTGGCGTGCGCGGTGCGCCGAGCGAGGGGACGTGCCCGCTTGGGCCGCGGGGCGGCTGACGCGACGTCGCGGCGGGTGACATTGCTCGAGATCGACGGAGGCACCTGCAGGAAGCACGCGGACGGCACCCCGCTGGGCATGCTGTACGTCAGCTTCGAGACGTTTGGCTGGCCTACTACGGTTGGCGAGGACAAGTACGCCCGCGAGGCGTTCATTCTCGAAATCCACCAGCGCAAGGTCTCCATCCTCGAGGACCTCGTCGTGAAGGGCAAAATCCCGCTCCGGTGCGCCCCCGTGTGCGCGACAGCTCTACCTCCCCCTCACCAAACAGCCCGCCCGCATCGTGACGACGCGAGCACACAGGCCGCCACCCCCCGTGGGCACTCCATGCAGGGACGGAGCGCACGCCCTGGTCTCCAGCGCCGTCGCCGCGGGCGCCAAGGTCGCCCTGGTGACACACACAGCATCCGCGCCCAACGAAGGCTTTACGGACCTCGTCCTGGGACACCTCGGACCCGAGCTCGCCGCCTCCGTGCTGGTGTGTCCCGTGGACAACTCCCCCGGGGGGGTCTCGTCCGACTCAGACAGCGAGCCCGCGACCGGCGACAAGTTGCAAAAGGCCGTGCAGCGCGCCGCGAAGGACGCCCGCATGGAGGCCGCGTACAGCGCCGCGCGCGTCCTCAAGGGCGTGACCGTCGGCGCGGGCGTCGGGGCCTCGAGCCAGCCAGGCGCGCAGCACACCCCCCCAGCAGCGACGACGACCGCGACAGCGCGTGCGCGCTCCGCCCCGCAGCTCACGTGCAGCGCTGTCTCTGTCTACGCCTGCAGGCCTCACGGCATCGTGGCTGACCGCGGTGTCGACGCTGATGGGCGTTCCGCCGCGGAACTGCACGTACCTGGGCGCGACGACGCCGGGCATTGCGGCGGCGGCGGGGTGCGGGATGCTGGCCGCGGCGGTGCCGGCGAAGTTCGACGGCGGCGCGCAGTACGACGGCGCGGACCTGAAGTTCATGGGGCTGGGGCCGGGCGGCGGCGCCACGTGGACGAAGGTCGAGGCGCTCCTGGCAGCGCGGGCTGCGAAGGAGCAGCAGTGATCGCGATGGAGGGGAGGGGGGTGCTTTGATGCGGTGGATTGCGTGGGGGCTGGTTGGGCTCTCGACCTGCGGCCCGAGAGCAGGCCCGGAAATGTGTAAATAAACACACCATCGTTTGACGTGACGTGACGTGAGGTGAGCATCGCGTGCTGCGCCGCACTCTGTCCTTGACGCAGAGCCACGGTTCGGGAGGTGCGTCGCTTAGAAGGGGGTTCCTTGCAGCCTGTCCCCCCGGGGTCTTCCGTGTCACACGGTGTGATTCCCCGTCATCGTTGCTTGAACGCCTTGCGGCGTGACGTGCGCTTGGCATGTCAGTGATGTCGCGTGGCAGCTGTACGTCGCTCTAGACCAGCCGGAGAGCTCGTGCGCGCGAACGAGTGGCCCGCCCTGCCCGTGAGAGAGCGGCGCCGCCTCCGAGACTGGCTCGCCGGCGTGGGCCGGGGCCCGTCGCGGAAGCATGTGGGGAGCTGACTACGGGTGGGTGGTGCCTGGTGCCCCTGACCGCTCGAGACGGAAGAGCGAAGCGATTCGATCCGTCCCACAACTACCAATCGCCGTTGCTCTTCATTTCAGCAATACTCGGGCTCTCGTTCCCCGTGCCGAGATGCAGAGAGGAGTACTATGAGGATTACGATGCCCAAGGAGAGGGCTACGGCCAGGAGTGGGGCTCCGAGGCTGGGCAGCCGGGCGCACTCAGCACCTTCTCCGAGCACGTCCTGGGCGGCGAGGGGGTCGTTTGCCTGGATTTCGACGCCACGCAGGAGGTGAGCACTGTGCCCCCTTCCCCATCGAAGGGCCCGCGAGCGCCCATCGCGCCGCGGTGGCACACCGGAGACCTCTAGCCCTGCTCTCCTGCGCGCCACGGCCTCTGCAGCTTCGGCCAGCGTCTCTTAACGGCTTCCCTCGCATGCCGTGAATCTAAGCGATCGCACCCGCCCAAAGGCGCGAGGTCACGTGCTACGTCGCGCGCAGTTCACCCTTCCTCGATCACAGCCTCTCTCCCGCACGCCACGCCTTCGCCCGCGCGTCAAACCGCCCCACACATCCTCCCCGCGCCCATGCAGGTGCTCTGGGTGGGTTTGGACGCGGGAACGATCTGTTCTCTGGTCTGCCCGAGCCTCACCCCGTACGCATGGTGGCGGGCACACCGCAACGCGGTGCTGGCGATCGCCCCCGCCGCGGGGCAGTGCCTGTCCGTCTCGCAGGAGATGTTCCGCCTCAGCACGATCGGCGGAGTCGCTCGCCTGTCGTTCCGGAGGTCCGAGGAGGACCTGACCGCGTGCGCCATCGACCACACCACCCTTGCCGCTTACATCGGGCACACGCACGCGTCGGGCTCCCCCGGCTTCACGCGCGCGGACCTCGCGTCCGGCATCATCTCGGACCCCGTCCCGCCGGGCGACATCACCGCCGCGGCCGGGTACGGCGGCGTGACGTGCATGGCGACGTCGCCCACCTCGAACGCGCTCTTCGTCGGACTGGAGTCCGGCCACGTGCTGTGGATCGACCCGAGGCGCGGCATGGCTCCGGTGCACGTCACGCAGGCCCACCGCGGCCCGGTCACGTCCGTGGCGGTCCACAGAGGCGTGGTGGCCACCACTGGCGTCGTGGTCGGCAACGACGGGCGCAGCCGCGGGGCGGACCGCCACGCCAAGGTCTTCGACGTGCGGCGAGCGACCGGGATGACGGAGTCGACGCCCGTGATGATGCCGATGGGCGTCGCGCACATCGCGCCCCACCCGCTTCTTTCAACAACGATGCTGGCGACCAGCGCGGTCGGACTGGCGCTCCTCCTGGACGTACACGGCCACGCGTCGACGCCAATCCAAGTGAACATCGCGACCACGGGCGGCGAACTGACATGTGCGTCCGCCACCGCCCGCGCCATGCTGTGTGTGTGCTTGCTGGTCGGCATGCACCCTCCCCGAAACCGCGTCGCCGATCGTTGGAGGCGCTGACGTGTGTGTCTGCAGGCGGTGCGATCGGGTCCGCAGGCGACGTGGTCGCGTTCGGGGACTCGGTGGGGGGAGTCCGGCTGCTGTCAGCCTCGGAGACCCCCCGCGTGAACGTGCACCCCGTCATGCCGGAGCCCGCGTCGGCACCGCGGCTCGTCCCCGGCCGCGGCGAGCCCATCCGGCTGCTCGACCCCGTCGACGTGGACCCGACGGACTACTGCATGACGTCAGCGACGGGTCAGGAAGAGGGGATGTATTTGTCGGACCTCCCCCCCACCCTGACGATGTCCGTCGGCAAGCCGCCGCGCGTCGTCCCGCCCGCCATCGCGCAGGGCCTGCGCCCTGCGCCCGCGCTCGGCACAGGCGTCTCAGCGGCCCCGAACCCGCACTACGTGCGCGGACAGACGCGGGGGGAGGCGGCGCGCGCCGCACACCCACTGCTGAACGCACGCGCGGGGGCGAGTGAGCAGAGCCCGGCCGCATCGCGGAGACGCTCTGGCCGGGTGCGTCCCGAACGTATCAAACGCGTCAACACAACCCCAACCAGTAAAATACTCCATCAACAACATCATGGTTGTTTTCACACTTTTCTCGAAACTTCGGCTTCCGCGCCCCGCCCCCCTGCCTGCGAGCATCAAAAGCGTGCCGATCACCGCCGTGTCCCGCCGGTGCGCGACCTCTGCAGATGTCAGGGAGCTCGGCCAGTGAGCGGCGGCGCAGCGGCGCCGAAGCCGGGGAGCTCGCAGCGCGGATCCCGCCGCACTTCCGCCACGTCCTCGCGCGCCTGCCGTCCTCCGCGGCTCCGTTCGCCGAGTTCGACTTCCTCAAGGTAACACCCCCCCCCTCCCGCCTCCCCTGCGCGAGCTGAGTCCTTCAGGCACCTCCACTGAGGTGTTCCTCTGCTCACTCTGCTCCGTCGTGCGCTTGCTCGCAGTACAACAAGACGCGGTTCGCGGGGCTGGAGAACGACGCCCCCAACACGTACTGCAACGCTCTGCTGCAAGCGCTGATCAACACGCCGGCGTTCGTCGCGCAGCTCCTTCGGCACGCCCCGGACCCGGACAACGAGTTCTCGCTGACGTGCGAGCTCTCGCTGCTCGTGCGCATGGTCCGCGACTCGACCGCGGGCGCCCCGTGCCAGGCCGCGAACTTCTTGCGTGCGCTCGGGCAGAGCAAGGAGGCCGTCGGGCTCGGCCTGCTCGAGGCCGCGGACGCCGGCGTCACGAACCTGACGGCGAACAAAACGAACGTCGAGCGGGAGGCGTCCAAGGACAAGAACCTGCTGCGGCGCTCTCAAACGCTCAGCAGGCATGTCACACCCCGCACGCACATCCCTGCCTGACGTACGCGTTCCTGCGAGCACGGGACGGCGTGAGCGGAGCTGTGGCTGCTTGGTTTGTGCGCAGATTCGTGCTGGAGCAGGTCCACAACGAGGGCACGCTCGCGGGCGGGGGAGTGAAACGGGTGTTTGGGGTGCCCTGGGTTGAGCGCCTGCAGTGCCTGCGCGACCAGTCCCAGGAGCGCGTCAAGCGCACGGTGTCGTTCCAGATCGACCTGATATACCCGCCGCAGGAGCGCGGCCAGGGCGGCCCGGGTCCCGCCGCGAAACCGCGGGCGCAATTCAGCGACGTGCTGCGGCACTCGCTGATGCGCGAGGCGACGATGCGCGCCTGGTTCAACGACGAGCTGAAGTACCAGCCCGTCAGGCAGACGCGGACGCCGACCAGCCTCCCCGAGGTGCTGGTCATCGGGACGTCCTTGCACCAGGAGAAGTGCCTTCATTTCTGGGAGGACGTGGTCACGAACGGCGACGACGTCGACGGTGAGAAGAAGCCCTGGCTGCCGCCGATCATCGACATCGACCTCGAGGCCCCCGGCAGGCCCCTCGCCGTGCGGCAGGCGGAAACATGGGACGGTCTGCTGGCGGCGCGGGAGGCCGCGAAAGCCGCGGCGACGGGCGACGCCCCCGGTTCGCGCGCGTACATCCTCACCGCGGTCGTCTCGCGCGTGGGCGCATCTTCGGTGGTGGACGGAAACGACGATGCGGGGGGGCACCTCGTGTCGCACGTTCGCCTGCATCGGATGCACCTGGACGCCGTGGGCGCGAACGGCGCCGAAGGAGCCCCGCCGCCGAGCCCTGCCCCGCCGACGCCGGGGCTGTCGCCGCTGCCGACCGGGTGGCGGCCGAGCTGGGGGGCGGGAACTGCAGCATCCCCCCCACCTGGCGCAGCGGGTGCGTTCCTCGCGCCCCTGGCGACAACGAACCGCCGCGGACGAGAACAGCGACCGAGACACTTTCCCGGCCCGTTGACATGCCCGCAGGATCCAAGGCGACGCAGGTGGGGGACTCCCCCGCTGTTGGCCAGACAGCGGCCGCGCAGGGGGCTGAGCAGGAGGTCTCGCCGCGGGAGGGCGACTGGCTGCTGCTGAACGACTTCCTGGTGTGCCCCTCGCACGAGGCCGAGGCTCGCGCGTTCATCCCGGGGGGTGTCAAGACCCCCTCTCTGGTGTTCTACTCGCGAGTCGAGGAGCCCGAGGTGGAGCGCCAGCCCGGCAACCCCGTTTCGCCGGTCTCCGTGGTCGCCGCGAAGGACAGCATCCAGCCGGTCCCTGTCCTGACCCCGCAAGGCTACGCCAAGCTCGCAAGAGACCCCCCCCTCAACCTCGGTGAGCCCCCCCCCGCAGTCCCGACTGCGCCCATGCGTCGCATCCCTCGTTCACTCTCTTCTCCTTCGACCGCCTGCCTCTGTTTGCGCCCTCCTCGCGTCGCAGGCAGCGACAAGTTGTTCCCCTACAAGTTCGAGCCGCTCGACATGTCCACCGAGGCCCCGCGGCCGGGGATGCTCGTCGCGGTCGACGCGGAATTCGTCGAGTTTGCGCCCGCCGAGCGCACGTTCAAGGGCGGCCAGGAGGTCGTCCTGCGCCCGCCCCGCCTCGGCCTGGCGCGTGTGTCTGTCATTCGCGGCGAACCGGGCCCGCTGCGCGCCAAGGCGTTCCAGGACGACCACGTGCGGTCGCCGGAGCCCGTGTGGGACCACCTGACGCGGTGGTCGGGCGTCCAGCCGGGGGACTTGAGCCCAGAGACCTCCCCCCACTACCTGACCACCCTGCGCAAGGCCTACGTCAAGCTGCGGTACCTGGTCGACGCCGGGTGCGTGTTCATCGGGCACGGGCTGCGCAAGGACTTCCGCATGCTCAACCTGGTGGTGAAGCCCAGCCAGGTGATCGACACCGTCGACCTGTTCCACTTCAAGCGGCAGCGCAAACTCAGTCTCCGATTCCTGACTGGGTTCCTCCTCGGACTGGACATCCAGCGGGAGGTGCACGACTCGATCGAGGACGCGCGGTCCGCGCTCCTGCTCTACGACAAGTACAAGGTGCGTCTCAGACCGCAACGCAACGCCCCGCAGAAACCTCGGAACGATAACGCACCAGACTGCAGAATGAGTCTGGCGCCGTGCCTGTTCCTGGGAGCCCTGCCCGTCGCCTGGCGCCGAAGCAGCGGGGCGTCCGGAGCGCGACGCCGCGGGTTTGCCCGTCGTCGTGAGTGCAGGAGTTGGTCGCGGAGGGGACACTCGAGGAAACCCTTCTGGAAATGTACCGCTGGGGCAAGGTGCACGGGTGGGGTCCGGTGGCGTGGCAGGACGGCGTGCGCGTGCCCACGGAAGCTGGCGGCAAGCCCTGAGGTCCGCCGGCGACCCGCATGAAGCCCGCGGGGGTATGCCAGCACTCCCCCGGGGGACTCGGACAGCGTCGCAGACTGCCTGGCGACGGCCGTCGCGGCCTTGTTGGTCCTGGCAGCGGGTTGGCGGCGCCACGATCTGCGACCTTGCGAGCGGAGGCACGCGCTGCGATTGTGATCGACGGTCCTAGTGAGCTGCCAAAGGTTGCGTGGCAGGTTCATTCTCATTCTTCGATCTGGAGGTTGGCGAGATGGGGAGGAAAGGCGGGGGGCGGAAAGGGTTCATGAAGGCCGCGATGGCGCCCGGTGGTGATCCGGAGCCAGAGCCGCAGGTTCGGAGCGGAGAGAGAGCTCTGCGCGGCTGCACCAGCCTCAAGTCCTATTGCTGGCGCCCCTAAAGTCGGTAGGATCGCTGTTTGACATTGCAGGAGGCGTCTGTTCAGCCGGATGAAGCGGGGGTCGAAGAGGAAAAGGATGACGGCGCGGCTGCGGAGAGGGAGCCAAGCGCGGAGGTGGATGCACAGAGTGAGGGCGAGGCGAGCGCTGCTCCGAAGAAGGAGACGTTGGGACAGATGAAGCAGCGGCACAAGATGGAGGCCAAGCAGCTGAAGGACCAGGCGAAGAAGATGGGGAAGAAGGTGCGAGCAGGGCGCGCGGGCGCAGTGCGGCGCCGCGACCGTGCTGCGCGTGTTGGCCACGTCACGAACCCGCGTAGCAAACGTGGCGGCGCAGGGCAAGGATCAAGTGAGGAAGCTGGAGGCGGAGATGCAGGAGCGCCACGAGCGCGAGCTGGCGAGCATGGAGGGGGGGGACGACGGCGTTGCTGAAGCAATCGAGGCGATTGCCTCGACGTCCCTATACGGCGCCGGAGGGGGTCCAGACGGCCCGAAGAAGCAGAGCAAGGCGATGAAGAAGCGCGAGAAGCAGCACGCGGAGGCGAAGGCCCGCGACGAGCGCATCATCAACGAACTGGACACGCTGGGTGAAACGGAGCGCATGGCCGAGGGACGCGCCCTCCGCGACGCCCTGGAGCCCAAGGGGCTCAAGATCCACGACATCCCATCGGACGGGCACTGTCTGTACCGCTCCATCGGCTGCCAGCTCGGCGACAGCGCGACACAGCCCGACCACTGGGTGTTGCGCAAACAGGCGGCAGCGTGGATCCGCGAGCACCCGGACGACTTCCTGCCGTTCATCGCGGAGGACGACGCCGCGGGCGAGCCCGAGGAGCGCCTGGAGACGTACTGCAACGAGCTGGAGAGCACTGCAGCCTGGGGAGGCCACCTGGAGCTCCTGGCACTGTCATGCAGCCTGAAACGCAAGATCGTGGTCCACAGCGCGTCGGCGCCGGAGGTGCACGTCGGCGAGGACTTCACGGAGGAGCCCCCGCTGCTGCTGTGCTACCTGCAGCACGCGTTCGGCCTCGGACAGCACTACAACGCCGTCGTGCCTGCGTCGTAGCACGACGCGCCTCCGGGGTCGCCGGAGCCGCGGCCGGAGCCCCGCTGTGAATGGACGAGACCGCATCGCCGCTGCGGCTCACAGGCGCCCCGCTCTCGTCCCCTCGCGTCGTCGTGACGTTCCGCACTCATCGGATCTGTACGCGGACTCCCTTGCTGCTCCCTCACGCTTCGTTCGCGCCTCCCGCCAGGATCTCCCGGCCTCTAATGCCTCGCTGGCATCCTACCCTGCTTCGACCACGCACGGTCGAACACCCCCTCGTGAGCTTCGAACCCCACCCCTCTTCACCGCACCTCCGGCGCCTCCTCCTCCCGCCCCGCCGCGCCCCGCGCGTTCGCCGCGTCGTCCGCCTCCATCGCCGCCAGCTGCTCCAGCACGCCCCGCACCACCGAGTCCTTCGAACCCACCATGGCTCCAAAGTGAACCGCGCCCTGCCGCTCGCTCCGCGTGACGATCCGGTGCTCGATCAGCTCCGACAACATCGCGCCCAGGCTCGTGACCGACGTCGCGACGAACCCGCGCCTCGCCGCCCGCAGCAAGTCGTCCTGCCGCAGCAGCGGGCGGCCGTCGCGCGTGCCCGACCGCTCCCCGCCCTGGCCGCCCACTGCCAGCTGCTGCTCCGCGAGCACGCGGAACGCCTTCCGCGCGTTCTGCGGCAGCGAGCGCAGCACCTGGATCGCGGCGTCCTGGTTCGTCTGCACCGCGCCGCCCACGAGAGATCCGACCTGCTCCTGGAGCTCGTCCTGGTACGGCTCGAGCGTCGCGGCCTCGTAGAACCACCACGCGAAGTCGAACGCCGCCTTCTTCGTCCACAGAAGCGGGGCGTTGATGTGGTCGACCGTGGCGACGAGATGCACGCACGGCAGCGCAGCGAGCTGCGCGAGGGCGGCCTGGTCGTGCGGCGCGCGGAGGGCCTTGCCGTCGATGTTGTGCACGAGTAGCCAGAGCGCGGGGCCGTCGGGGGCGGCGCGGCGGCGGATTTCGTCGACGATGGCCTGCGCAGCGCCGCTGCGGCCCGCGTGCACGTCCGCCGCGTCCGCGTCGTCGCCGGCGGGGACGTGCCCCTGCGCGCGCGCGAGGGCGTCGGCCTTGGAGATGCGCAGCAGTGCCTGCGCGGCGTCGGCGGCGATGTGTCGGACCGATGCGTTGGGGTCGTGGCCCTTGGCGACGTACACGGCGTCCCGTGGCGCGGCGAGGCCGTCCGAGTACAGCGCGTCGGCGAACTCGGAGAGCAAAGCCTGCTTCGAGCCCAGGCCCCACAGGCACACCGAGCGGCCCGCCTTCGCGGTGGCGGCGAGGCGTGGGAACGACGCACGGTGCTTCTCCAGCAGCTCCTGCCTCTGCGAACATCCAGCCGGCGCACCCATCGAGTGGTCATCACGCCCCACGAATTCCTCGAGCTTGCGGAGGGGGGAAACTCGGCCTGAAGCCGCGCAACGCCAAGAGACACGAGCTCACCTGTTTGCGGGCGCCCTGGCGATGGAGATCCACGCGCGCGAGCAGCTCTTTGACGTCTTCTGGCTTCGGAATCTGGATGCCGAGGTCTGCCATGGTCATCGTGGAGCGCCCCATGTCCTCCAGCACGCCGTGGTCGCCGTCGCTGTCGCTCGACGCGCTGCTGTCGGCGTCGCTCTCGTCCTCGGAGCCCGCCTCGCGGCCGCGCTTCGCCAGCTGGGCCTCCCGCATCAGCGCGCGGATCTCCTCGGGCGCAGGCACGCTCCGCGTGGCGGCCTGCGCGCCGCCCGCGATCACGTCGTCGTCGTCCTTCGGCACTCGAGGTTTCTTGATTGCCGGCTTCGTCTTGGCCGCCATCTTCCTCTCCGGCGGCGGCTCCACGGGCCCCTCGTCCTCCTCCTCCTCCGGCTCGACCTCGACCTCGACCTGCGCCTGGCGCTTGCGCGACGGGGCCGCCTTCGCCGGCGCCGGCAGGCTTGCCTTCATCAGGCTCTCACTGGCGCGGGTGTCTGCGATGGTCGTCTGGCGCATGCTGCGAGTGTCCTCGCCCTGCGCCTTGACCGGCACCTGCCCGAGGTCCGCGAGCTCCGCAAGGAGCTTCTCCTTGCTGATCGTCCCCAGATTCTCCATGTAGTTGCCGAACACACCCAAAAGCAACTGTCTCTGCAACGCAACGCGAAGCACGCAGAAAGAACGCCCGTCAGCGTCGCCGCATGCGCACCGCGTACACGCACCCAAGCGCCCGCCAGTGGACCAGGGCCCGCCGCACCTGTTCCGAGGGTACGCCGCACTCCCCACAAAGCCGCCGGAACTCCGCCAAAGCCTCGTACGGATCGTCGTTGTGCTGGAACCACTGCCACATGTGCATCACCACGTTGCCCGGCGAGCTGGCCGCGAACCCGTCCAGGCCCACCGTGACCTTCGGCCCCTTTGCGGCCCGCGCGGCTTGTCCCTTCGCCGTTGCTGTCGCCTTCCCCGCCGACGCGGCGCCCTTCACCGGCTGCTTCTTCGCGGGGCTCGTGACCTCCGCGACCGCGCCCGCCTCGCGCCGCGCCGCCTGCGACCCCCCGCCGGTCTGCGAGGCGCTGCGAGCAGCACGGTGCGAGGGCGCGGCCTCCGCGGCCTCCAAATAGTACACCGCCTCGCGCCACGTCTTGCCCGCGAGTCCGCCGGGCACGAGGTGGCTCGCGTCGCCGAACTCCCCCCACTGCCCCTCGAACCGCAGCTGGTGCTGGGGGTGTTTCATCAGCAACGCGCGTACTTCCCACCGGGCCTTCTTCGGCGCGTCCTCGCTGCCCGGGGCGTTCAGGATCTCGTGCGCCGCGCAGACGACCGCGCCGTACGAGCCCTCGGCGTACTGCGGGAGCTTCCCGGTATGTTGCCGGAGTGGCTCCGGCTCGGGCGGGGCGGGCCGTGCCGAGGGCCGGGAAGGTGCCGGCCGCTTCGCCTCGAGCGCGCGCCTGCAAGGAGTCGTGCGGTCCGGATTGACGACAATCGGTGCTCTGGGCTCTGTGTGCAACGGCACAGATAGAGTGCGCAGATGGAGTGCGCAGCAACGACGGGCGGCGCCTCACCTGGGCTTCGCAGCGCCGCTGTCCGCCTTCGTCATCCTGCTCAGCCCCTTGGCCAGCGCCTTGGCCTCCGCCCGCGACAGTCCCTCGAGCTTGCAGCCCCACTCTCCGCATTCGTTGTCGAAGTTCATCTTGTGGCTGTACTGCCGCAGCGCCGACCGCATCGCCCGCACCTCCATCTTCGTGCTGTGCAGGTGCCCGTCCTCGGCGTTCCTCCGCTCCCACGCCGCCATGACCACGTCGTAGTACGCCTCTTCGTCAGACACCGCCCGGGGGGCTGCGCCGTTCGCGGTCCGAGGCGCCGGCGGCGGCATCGCGCGGCCCTCGGACTCGTCCGACTCCTCATCGGGCAGCGTGATCGCCCCGGACCCATCCTCGCTCCCCGACGAGTCCCCCACCGAGGGTTTTACCCCCCCACCCCTGCCAGCCCTCACTCCCCCCCGCGCGGCGCCGGGCGGCCGCCGCGGGGCCGGCCTGGACGCGGCAGCCGCACCACGCTGCTGCTGCGCGCTCGGGCGCGCTACTATGAAATGCGCGCCATTCGCTTGGAAGTACGGGTCGATGACATTCGCCAGCAGCCTGGCGTTCGCGTCGTCTTGAGCGCGCCGCCTGCGAGCGTGAGAGCCGCGGAGGACGTTCGGTGGCGCGGGGCAACGGGGGCGGCGGCGTGCGCGGTCCCGGGGGGGGGTGAGGAGCTCACTTGCGCCGGACGTTGACTCCGAACGGGTCGGCGGGGTCGACGGCGCCGAGGTCGAGGTCAAGGAACTCTGGCTTCGCGCCGTGCTCTCCGTACAGGTTCTCGAACTTGAACACGTCGTTTTTGTGCCACTTCGACTTGATGCTCCCAATCTGCGGGCGCAGCGAGGGACGCGCGGAGTGGCGGTCGAGCGACGGCTCATGGCGCCGGCAGGGGCGAGCCGCGCGTACGATGAGAGCGCGGGCAGCGACGTTGCTCCGCACACGCACCTCCTCCGCCCAGTTCTCCCCTTGGTCTCTTGCAAGGACCTGAATCATTTTCAGATCCTCGAGGGAGGCTGCCCGCGCCTCTGGTGCGTCGAAGGCGTCTGCAGGCAGGTGGGCGACGCTGCGGCGCTTGCGGGCACGAGGGCGAGAGGCGCCGGTGGAGGCGCGAGCTGCCACGCCCCGATGAGGCAAGCAACTGCGCTGTGCTGCTTCGCGGGGGGCGCATAGCGCGCGGAAGCTGTGCAGCGGACGGAACACGGTCGTTGACATCGTGACGCGGCCCGAATACGCCGGGAGGAGGAGCCGGGGCCGCGCCATGGCGCCCGTTGTGCGCCTGCGGGCCGTTCCGGCCGCGACAGCTCCGTCGCCGGCGGACTCCGTTCCAGCCAATGGCGGCTGCGTCCGTCTAGGTGAACTCAGCAGACCGCGCCCGTTGTGCTGTACGGGCGCGGCCAGGATCGCGCGAAGCGGGCCGTAGGGCGAGCACATACCTCGATGGTCGCGCTGCCATTTCTGCCACCAGCTTGCAAGCTTCGGGTCTTTCCCCCCCGCCTCCAAGTGCTCCCTCCACGCATGTGGGATCTTCTTCCCCTTGCGAATCGTCTTATTGAAGAGCCCCGGGACGCACTTGTAGCAGCCCTTCGCGCAGCACGTAGCGCCGCAGAAATCCTCTGGGACGCCCATGTCTAGCTACGACCGCAAATCTATGCGATGGAGGGACCAAGTTGTCGCGAGGCCGTGCGCATGTTGGGGCCCAGAGGGAAGCACGGCGACGGCGCCCCAGCACTTTGGGCGCGCAGGGCGCCAACAGCGCCCGCTGTCAAACGGCGATGATCTCTCCCGTTCTGGTGGCCGGAATCGATCGAACAAGCGCCTACGCGTAGGCTGCTCGCTTCGACGCTGTCGAGTCGGCGCCCGGCAGCGCGCAGGGCCCGGCCCCGGCGCAGCGTGGCCTAGTGCTGGGTGAAACGCGACGGTGGGCGCGCGGACACTGCCTCGTGCTTGCTTGCAGGTGCAGCGCGACGTCGCCCGCTGTTCAGCGGCGCCTGCTCGGACCGTTTCTACCCACCGTGTGAGCGCAGCGGCGTTGTGCCTGTGCTCTCAGGGCCCCCCTGTCCCCGCGCCGGGCCCTGGAGGGCATTGCCGACACGGACGCGGAGCGCCGGGCAAAGCCTGATCGTGACGCATGCTCTAGGCGCCGCGTTTGCGCGGGATTCCCCGGGAACCGCAACGTGCGCGTGACAAAGGAGGCGGCCTCCTCTGCCGGCCTCTGGGCCTCGGTAGCCCTCAATAGTGGCGCGCGGGGCGCGCATCCGCATGCCTGTAGGAAGATGATTGAGTTAGGCGCGCCTTAGTTGGACGCTCGGGGCAGGCTGGGCAAGAGTACGAGAGAACAGTTTCTAATGAGCAACACCCGCGCATTTGGCCTGGGACCGGCAGGCGTGCGCGGTCCTCGCTTCCAGCGATCGAGATCGCACGTTGGACGGCACGCGAGGTCCAAGTGGCGATGTAGAGCCATCGAGACACGCCCGGTGGGAGGAGAGGCATCCGGGCTGCGAATGTCGTCCCTGTGCCTCGGAACCATGCTGTTCGGCGAGCTGCTGGACGAAGCGGCCAGCACGCGGATGCTGAACGAGGCCTGGGAGGCCGGTGCGTCTCCGTTGAGCGACGTGATGCCCGCACAGTGCCCATGATGATACATTATCGGGATGTCGTCCCGCCGCACGGTGCATGCAGGCATCGACGCATTCGACTCCGCGGAAATGTACCCGGTACCGCAGCGCGTGGAGACGAGCGGCGAGTCGGAGCGAATCCTCGGCCGGTGGCTCAAGACGAGGTGCGCAGGATGTCTGCATGACACAAGATGCGTCGCGCGCTGTTGCCGCGCGCTGAGACCCCGCGCAGCGTGTCTGGCCACGCACGTGCAGACCGCGTGACCGCGCCGTCGTGTGCACGAAGATTGCGGGTCCGGGCGGGATGGACTGGATCCGCGGCGGCCCCGTTTCACTGTCGCCAGCGGACATTGCAGCGGCGATCGAAGGGTCGCTGCAGCGCCTCGGAACGGACCACATCGACCTCATCCAGATCCACTGGCCGGACCGCTACGTCCCCATGTTCGGCGAGGTCGAGTACAGGTGCGCCAACCCCGAACCCGCACGCCCTTGCACGGCGTCGCTCCCCGACGCCCTGCGCGCGCAGCGAGCCGCGCCCGCGCGCACCCTGAGCCACAACGCTGGTGCGCGGTCGGACGCGTCGTACCCTGCGTGATCCCACGACGTCACCCGCGAAACACGGCTGTCCCTGCAGGCCGGAGTTGGCGTACACGTCGGTGTCTATAGAGGACCAGTACGACGCGTTGACGCGCGCGGTGGACGCCGGGAAGGTCCGCTACGTCGGCCTGAGCAACGAGACGCCGTGGGGCGTCGCTCAGTGGACCCGGCTCCACGAAGACCCCCCCTCGGACACCCCCCCAATCGTGGCTCTTCAGAACGCGTATAATCTGCTGTGCCGCACGCACGAGGCCGGGACCGCGGAGGCGTGCCACGCGACCGGCGTCAGCCTGCTCGCGTACAGCCCCCTCGCGATGGGCCTGCTCTCGGGGAAGTACCTGCAGGGCGCAATTGTCCCCCGGGGACCAAGCGGGCCGTCGGACGGCCCCGGGTTCCTCTGCGAGCACGGCGGGCGGTCGACGGACCGGCTCAACCGCTATCGGGGGCGGTACGCGGAGGCGGAGTCGCGGTACGGCGCGCGGCGCCCGGTCGTGGAGGCGACGAGGGAGTACGTCAGGGTGGCGGGGGAGTGTGGCGTCAGTCCGACGGAGCTGGCCCTGCGCTGGGTGCTCGGGCGGCCGGGCGTCGCGGCAGCGGTGATCGGGGCGTCGGACAACGCGCAGCTGCGAGAGCTGGTCGCGGCGGCGGAGGGCGGCCGTTTGCCTGATGGCGTTGTGGAGCGGATCGACGCAGTGCACCGGGCCTGGCCGAACCCGTGCCCGTAGAGCGAGCGGAGGTCCGCGCTTCGAGGGGTCGGCTCCGCGTGCCCGATTTTGCGGGTGGCGGCGCGAACGGACCTCGCGTGGCGTGGCACAACACCGTCCCGGAACGGTGCACGTGCTCTCTCCGCGCACCTCGGTGGGTTTGCGGCGTTGGGCGCTGGGACGTCCCGTGGTGTGATTCGCGTCACGGACCGTGCGGCGTGGGCGCGGCGCGGTGGACGGTTTCGCGCTGTTGACCCTTGCTGACGAGCAGCTTGACGTTCGGTGGGTTGTCCAGCACCGTGGTGGCCGCAGAGGGCCGCTGCGCGACAATGGGGGCGGCGCGAACTGCGCGGCACGATTCTGTTTGAACGCGCCGTTGGCACGTCGCGTAGCTCGAGGCCAACCAGCGCGCGCGAAGCAGCACGTCGCGACCGAGGAGACCCGCACCCCGCTGGCGCAGCCTGGCGTGAATAACTCGCCTTCGTCTCATGTGGCACTCAAATTGATAGCGGTGAGTACCGCCGTCGCTCCGTCGGCCGAGCGGCAGCCCGACGAAACGGCTCGCACGAGCGCAGGGGGCGAAGCAAGCGCACACAAGCCTTGCCTGCGCTTTTCGCGGCGCGCAGCGCCAAGCAGCGGCCCTGACCGCCCGCCCCGGGCGACACACGGTCTTGACGGGCTGCTGCGCGGCCGCAGACCTTCCGTCGCTCCCCCACTCGCACCCCCGGCGCGCGCTCCACCAGTGTTGCCTAGAAGCAAGTCCGGCCCTCCACGGCAGCATGACGCCCAGAGCACGCCGTTTTCTGTCCTCTCCTTGCTCGACGAGCTACGAGCGACGCAAACGCTCGCGCTGTGCTCATGTTCCGGCCCCCAGGTGGCCAGAGAGGGCACGCGGAGGTTGTTGAGGCACAGCACGCACCCGGCTGCTCAGCTCTCCGCCGCGCACCCGCGGCTTCCGGCCCTGATCGGCCTCGCGGCTGTCTCCTGAGGTTCTGCGCCCTCGGGCGGCCGTTTCTGCAGGTGACGAGCTCGGAGTTGGCGGCGCGCATCGATGCTGGCGCCCAGCATGGCACCGGCAACCAACGCGACGCCCGCGGGGCGCGCGGGACTGAGCGAAGACTTCCTGAAGAAGTGGAATAGCTTGCAGAAGACGGCAGACAAGTTCCAGAAGATGGTGCGCCTCCGTCCGGCCCTCACGCGGCCGTCAGGGGCGCCCCGCGTGCTAGGTTGCCCCGCGCCTCCCTCACGCCCCGTACCCGCCAACCCCGACCCGGCGCGCACCGCCTCCTCCACCGCAACCGCTCATCCGCGACGCGCCCGGTCCCGGCTCCCGCGGCACCCAGCTGCGGCCACGACAGCTACCGCACCCTCCTCAGGTCGCTTTCCGGCCACGCCTTCCGCTCAGAGCACGCCCCCGGTTCCCCCGCGCCTGTGCAGCTAGAAAACGGCGCGCAGGGCGGCACGGTGTCGACCAAGGACTTCGCCACGGGCCCTGTCAACGAGTCGCAAGCCTCGGTGCCCGCAGGGCGCCCCGGCGCGAGCGGCGACGCCTCGCTCTTCCGCACCGACATCTCCCACATCAGCGCCAACGGCAACAGCGCTGCGGTGCGCCCCCTCCCGTCCCCACCCGCTGCCACGTCGACACCAGCGCCCTCGCCCTCACCGCGCGACCGCCGTCTCGCCTCCCGCCCGCAGAAACGCGGGAGGCCGGCGCAGTCGAGCTCCGCCGGTGGCGAAGCTTCGCTGTCCCCGGGGGGTCTCCCCGCCGCGACACCCCCCCGGCACGCCCCCGGACACACCCGGGAGTACGACGACGCATCCGCGTCCACCACGGCCTCGGACGACGACGACGAGGCCGACGCGTCGGCCGTGAACGTCGACCTCAGCCGCAACATGGACCTCACGACGTCCCCGGACGTCGGGCTCCCGCAGCTGTCGCCCACGCCGGTGAAGGCAGCGCCGTCGCCCATGGTGCAGGTGCGCATCGGGAGCCAGCAGGCGTCCCCGGACGCGCCCGCGGGCGTCGCGCCGCAGCAGAGGCACGACGCCCCGCGCCGCGACGCGCCCGACGGCGGCGCGGAGGGCCCTGCGCGGAAGCGGCGCGGCTCCGGCGCGGCGCACAAGAGTCTGCGCCAAATCGCGGAGGACGCGAAGCCGTGGCTGCGCGAGCGGTGGGGCGACGACCGCGGGTACAAGATGGCGCCGTCGTTCGGGCCGCTCTCGGACGGGTTCGTGCCGAAGACGACCCCCCGGGAGCGCACGCACTGGGCAGAGGAGCTAGCGCAGGAGCCGGGGTGGACGTGGCAGATGGCGCGCGACGAGCTGCAGAGCAAGCTGCAGGAGGTGGACTACAAGATGAAGCAGATCCACGAGGAGCGCGTGCGGCGGAACATGGGCCGGGGGGCGCGCGCGCAGCAGACGGTGTACAACGTGGGCAACCCCGACAAGATCAAGGGGGGGGGTCTCAAGCCGGGCGTGCTCGTCCCCGGCGCGCACCGCGTCCACGGCCTCCGCGGCCTCAAGCGCTCGAAGAGCACGGACTCCGTCGGGTCCATCCAGTCCATGGCCTCGCGCGCCTCGGCCGTGCCGTCCGTGGCCGCCATCCGCCTCGCCGCGCACTTCGAGTCCAACCGGCTCGGGTTCGGGAGCAGCACGCGCGGCGGGGAGGCGATCGGGCGGCAGATGCCGTGGGAGCGCAACCTCACGCCGCTGGTCCACGGGATCCGCGACCGCATGCCGCACATCGACATCCGCGTCCTGGAGTCGCTCCTGCGGCACTCGGCGACCGCGCGCGACGCGCTGATGGCGCTGGACCCGGCGTCGCGGGACTACAAGGTCGTGAACGGGATCCCGCTGTCGACGCGGTCGCGCCGCGGGTCGCGGCCGGGGTACGGCCCCGGGTCGGACGCAGCGGTGATTCCGCGCATTGGCGAGTACAGCGGGGCGCGGATGAACACGCGCGACGCGGACGCCGCGAGCGCGTTCGGCGGGCGGAGCCGCGCGGCGTCCCGCGCGGCGTCCCGGGCCCCGTCCCGCGGCATTTCGCCGATGCCGTCGCGGCGCGGGCACTCGCCGTCCCCGCTCAAGCCCGAGCACCTGCGGCGGGACAGCGTCGCGAGCCGCACTGACCGCTCGCGATCGCGGCGGCCGTCGCGCGCGGGTTCGCTGCCGCACTACGACCCGTACAACCACGCGCAGTTCGGGATCGACGCGGTGTGGGACGACGTGCTGAAGGACCTGTACGAGCGGGAGCAGGAGGAGATGGAGCGGGAGGCGCGCGGGCTCAAGCGGCGCGGCGGCGGCGCGGCGAGCCGGCGCGGGGCCGCGGCGGCGGCGCAGGTGGACGCGGCGGCGCGGCAGTTGCGCACGCAGGAGGCGTCAGAGACGATTGGGAAGCTGCGGGAGCAGCTCAAGGCCGGGGGCGGGTACACGGCGCAGCTGGGGAGGGAGCTGTCGGCGCTCGAGGCGAAGATCGCGGCGGAGGCGGCGCCGGGCGCGCGCGCGGCGAAGCCCAAGGTCAAGAAGGCCAAGGGGAAGAAACCCAAGGGAAAGAAGGGGACGAAGAAGAAGGGGAAGAAAGGGAAGAAGGACGGCGCGGCGGAGGAGGGCGAGCGCCGCGGGCGCGGGCGCGGGCGCGAGAAGGAGGTCGCGCTGCCGTACGGCCACCGCATGCGCGCTCGCTCGCTGCACCGCCGCGGCGTCGACGTCGACCCCGAGGCCGAGAAGGCGAAGTTCGTCGAGCCGCAGCTGTCGGAGCTCGCGCAGCGGACGGCCGGCGCGGACCCGCGCTGGGCGGTGTCGGTCGACGACCCGAACCGCAACCGCGGGCGCATGATGCCGTGGGAGCGGGAGCTGATGACCAACCAGCAGCCGACGCGCGGGGTCGCGCGGGACCCGTCGGTGTACAGCCGGAAGGGCCGGAGCGCGACGGCGACGCGGTCGCGCGCGACCTCGCTGGCCGCGTCGCGCCGCGTGAGCGTCGACGAGGACGGGAACCCCGTCCAGGCGTGGCTCGAGGAGGGCGAGCGCATGCACAGCAAGGCGTCCAAGGGGGCGCCGATGTCGTGGTACCCCGAGGCCGCGAGCGAGGAGACGCGGCGGTGGGACGCGCGGCAGGCCTGGGGGCCCGGCGGGCACAAGTCGCTGAATCAGTACGCGCGCGAGCGGCAGGAGCAGGAGGACGCCGTGTACCGGGAGAAGAAGAAGGAGTGGGCGCGGAGCCGGGCGGCGAGCCGGGCCGCGAGCCGGGCCGCGAGCCGGGCCGCGAGCAAGCGGGGGAGTCCGGGGGGGAGCCGTGAGGGGAGTCGGCCGCCGGTGGCGGCAGCGGGGGTGTCTGGGAGCCCGCAGCGGCCCGGCGTGGGGTCCCGGCGGGGCGCGGGGGGTCCGCCAGACGCGGCGGCGGGCGGGGCGATGTGGGCGGTGACGAGCGGGGAGCTGCCTGGGACGATCGCGCGCGGGCCCCCGCCCGCGGCAAAGGGGGGCGCGGTGCGCGCGCCGCACAACGCGAAGCCGTCAAACAACACCGTGCCGCAGCGCGCGGCCGAGGCGCTCGCGGTGCTCGTGAACATCCCCGCGACGGACCTAGGCATGCCGAAGCCCGGCCCGAGGAAGGCGGCGTCGTCGCGGGCGGCGGGCGGGGGCGCGGCGCCGAAGCGCGAGGTGAGCGGGCGGAGCGACGCGAGCGCGGCGCGCAAGAACGTCAAGTTCGGCGCCGCGACGGTCGCGCAGAAGTCCCCCTCCGGGCGGTCCCCGCGCCCCTCGCCGCCGCAGCCCGCGCTCAAGCGCACGGGCAGCAACGCGACCGACAGCGCGGGGCGCCCCACGCTGCGCAAGACGCCGTCGCAGTCCTCGGCCGCGCCCAGCAGCCCGACGGCGCGCGTCCCGTCGGTCTCGCGCGCCTCGAACCACGCGACGCGCACCCCCGGCAGCGACCACAAGGGCCCGCCCTCCGAGACTGGGACGCGGTCGTCGGCGTCGGCGGCGGCCGGCGGGTACGCGGCGCGGCACCAGCTGCGCGCGGGGTCGACTCCGCCGAAGGTTCGCGTCGCGAAGGCCGCGTCCCACGCGCCGCCGTCGCGCGGGGAGGGGTCGCCGTCGGCGGCGAGCTCGGGCGCGCAGTCGGCGCTCGTCCAGCGCCGCACGTCCGGCCGGAACATGGCCGTGCCGCCGGCGATCAAGGAGGACGCGGACCCCGCGCGCGGCGCGACGCTCCCGGCGGCCGCGCGCCCACGGCACAAGGCGGGCGCCAGCGCAGCGGAGGCCGACTCGGACCTGCCGGCCCTGGCGCTCAAGGCCGGGTCCGAGGCGCCCGCGGAGTTCCCGGGGCTCGATTGGGCGTCGGCTGGCGCGGAGGAGGAGGCGGCGGAGGATGGCGTGGTCGCGACGGTCGGGCCGCGCACGCCGTCGGTCCCGGGGGAGGCCACGAGCGCGCCGAACTTCAACGGGCCGGGAACGATGACGTGGGGCGCGGGGGCGCGGCAGGGCGAGCTCGGGCGGCAGCAGATCCAGCGGGCGCTCGCGGACATGGCGGCGCGGGAGAAGCACAAGGGCCCGCAGGAGGGGGAAGAACAACACCCCCCCGGGGGGGCCGCCGCCCCGGAGGTCCCGCCGCTGCACGTCAACGTGCTGCACGGGGACGTCGACGACTCGGGCGCGCTGGACATCACCCCCGCCGCAGCGACCGCGGCCAACACTCCCCCGGGGGCCCTCGGGCGGACCATCGGGCGCATGCGCAGCGACGCGGCTGGCTCCCCTCTCCGGCCGGGCGACGCCGAGATCATGGTCGCGACGCCGCCAGCGACCGCGCCGCCGGCCAGCGCTCCGGCGCCAGCGTCTCCGCCGTCGCCACCGGGAGCCATGGCGACGCGCCCACGGCAGCCGACGTCGCCCGAGGCGCCGCCCGTGGAGCAGCCTGCGCGCGCGGAGGCCCCAGAGAAGCCCCAGCCGGTGTGGCGGCTGCCGGCGGAGCCCACGGAGGGCGAGGACAGCGAGGCGCGGCGCCGCACGGCCATGATGGGCATCGCGCGGGAGGGGCTGTCGCGGCTGCAGCTGCCGCGGCCGGCGATGGCGGTGGACCTGCTCAGGGCCGTGCGGGGCGAGGACAAGCGGATGGCGAAGCACCCGAGCCTGAAGGTGCGGAGTGCTGCCAGCGACGAGTCGTCGTTGTCGTGCCGAGAGCTTGTACGCGTCGGCGCGCCGCTTCGTTCTGCTGCTCGTGCTGACTGTGTCCGTGTGCTTCCGGGTGCGCTGTGTGCAGAAGTCGGTGACGCTGGTCCGTGCGGCGTCCGGCAAGGTCCTGGAGGGGAAGTTCACGCTCGAGTCCGGGCCGGGGCAGGCGGTGCTGCTGAAGCACAAGTCGGGCCTCGTCGGGTCGAAGAAATACAGCGTGCGCGGCCTCACGGTGCGCGGCCCATGCACCCCTGCACGCACACACGCCCTGGCCCCGCTGTTGCAGTCAACCCCCGCTCACGACGTCCGCCGCCCGACACCGCGCAGATCGAGCGGAAGAGCGCCGGCCAGCGCCTGCTCCTCGACACGGACCAGGGCGACGTGTACGTGTCGTGCCCCGGCGACGACGTGTGGTCGGCCCTCGTGCTGTCCATCAACGCGGCAATGCAGGAACGCGACTTCCCGACGAAGAACCCAGGGAGCCTGCTGACTGCCGAGTGGCACCGCAACGTCGTCGTGAGGGAGTAGGAGCGGGCCAGGGGCTCAGAAGTGAAGTGGGGCAGGAGTGCGTGGTGCTGCACGTGTTGCTGAAAAACAACAACGCTAGTCTTGGTTCATTGGTTCTGAACTCGCTGGCGGCCACGCACGGGCCAGCCTGAAGCGGTGTGCCGCGGCTGGCGTAGATGTGAGTGTGGGGGAATCGTTTCGGGCCGCGTGACGCGTGGTTGGTTGCTCGTGACGTGGCTGGTGAGACTCGGCTGGTTGACGTGCGATGAGCTGGCGCATGACTTGAGAAAGGGGATGTTGTTGGGAGGGGCGCGCGGGTCCCTGGGGCTCGTTGGGCCGGCACATTCGCTCTTCACGGCATTATTCGGGCATCGCAGTTGCGGAAATAGACGGCGTTGCTCTTCGGGACGCCGCTAGACGCAAGGAACGGACCGCCTAGCAGGGCCCAGCACGTTGAGCTGCAGCTTCGCGCAGGAGCGCGTTCAGGACGCCTGCCGGTCTTGTCCGACCGGTGCAGAGCATCGACGTTCCGCCTCGGGGCGTTTCGTGCAGCTTGGCACCCGCCGCACCGCTGGTGGCGTCGAGAAGCAGCATGGCTGAGCAGGGAGGCTCGCAGGGGGCGAAGAAGCCCGACGGAGCCGTTCCGCAAGGAACGTTCACCTCGGCGTTAGCAGCCATGTTCCGTGGAAACAGCTGGAAGGTGCGAGCCCGCGCGTGGGAGCGGCGAGCGCGGCCTCGATCGGACGACCCGAACCGGCCGCCGCGCTGCCGTTGAGGGCGACGTCCGGCCCCGTGCTCGGCTCGCGGCTCTCCCTCCGTAAACAACGAGCCGGCCGTGGGCGACGGCGGTACATGCCTGCGCCGCTGCGCGCGCCCCGTCGCAGGTGCCCCCAACCGACACGCTGCACGTTTGCCCCGAGTGCTCATCCGCAGGCGGGGCACAGCGGCTGGCACTCGCTGCAGCCCCTGTCCCCCACCGCCTCCGCCTCGCAGCCGGAAGTCCACAAGAACCGGCATCCAGGTGCGACGCACTCACACAGCCATCCAAGGCAGCGCCAAACCCCAGCCGGCCGCTGACGGCCTCCCGCGCGCCCGTCTCGCCTCCGCGCAGGGCTCTGCACGTCGCCCTCGGACCTCGGTGTCTGGGACTTCTTCGGCTCCAACGGTGCGCCCACCCGCGCATTGCTGTCCGCGAGGAGGCATCAACCTTCACCATGGCCCGATTTCCTCGCCGCTCCGCCGCTCCGCGGGCCATCGAACGAGCCCTGCACGGTCGGACTGCGGACCGCGAAGCTCTCGCGGCCCGACGGGCGCGCTGTGCGCCGGGCCCGCACGCCGCGACCCGCAACTGACCTGGACCTTCCCACGCCGGCCGCGCACGCGTCGCGGCGTATTTCGCGGCTGTTGCACCTCCCCCGAGCAGTCCATCCCCGCAACAACGAACCGGACGCCATCGTCGCGCGCAGGTCCCACGAAGAAGACCGAGGGGCAGCACGCTGGGGGCAACCCCGGGCCCTCCACGGCGACCAGCACGGCCTCCACCGCCTCGAAAAGCGGCAGCTGGTGGTAGTTGGCGCCGTGTCTCGGCCGCCACCGGACAGATTGCCCGGTCAGGCCCGCGTACGGCGCGTGCCACAGGAGGGGGCAGCACACTGGCGCGGCGAGGCTGCGGCAGCTGCGTCTGGCGGACGGGTTGAGGCCCGCCCCCGCTGTGTGCTCCCCGAACTTATATATGACTCCATGAATGCTTTCGCCCTCGGCGCGGTCTCCGCGTGGGCTGCGTAGCACTCTGCGGCGTCAGGGCGCTGCCACGGGGCTCCAACGCCCAGCGACGGCGCCCTGCAATCCAGACTCTACTCCCGCTGTAACCAAACCTTCACCGCACCGCTCACACGTGGCCTGTCGTCACCGCAACATGCTCTGTGCAAACAACACCCCCAACGACATCCCGCCGCTGCTGCCCCGCCGCCTCCGCGACAACCCGTCCCAGTGCGCCAGCGTCCTCGCTGACGCCGCGCGCCGCACCAGCACGCACGATCGCAGCGCCCGACCCCCCTGCACGTCACTTTGGTCGCTGCCTCTTTTTGCTCGGCCCTTCCCCCGCGCCCTCGTCCTCCCGCTTCCTGCTCGGCCCCACCCCCGCGACTGCGTCCCCCCCACCGTCGTGCGTCAGCTTGAACTCCTCGATCGCCTGCGTGTACGCCTCCATCAACCGAAAGTGCCGCGCATTGGGCTTCTCCCGTTTCTGCAACACAATCGCCTGGTTGAGCCGCGAGGCCTCCTCCAGCGACTTGTCGCTCCCAGGGAAGCTCGGCTTGAAGTGCCGCACGAACCCCGAATCCTCCTCGAAGTACCTGCAAGCATTGCCGCACACACACACATACACACACATCGGCACCCAGCGTGCACGCAACGCCGCGCAACGCCCCGCGACCCGCGTCCCAGCACGCCGAACGACCCACCAGACCCTGCGCGGCGGCGTTCGTGGGACCCTGCGCGCACCCGCGGAGGTCCTTGCCCCAGAAGTCGTTCATGGGAAACAAATCAAACTGCGCCGCCACGCCCGCGAGGACGTTCCGGAACACCAGGTACTCCAGGCTGCCCTCGCTGAACCCCTCGTGCGCCTCGACGACGGTGTCCTGGACGTGCATCGTGTACGCCGACCCGAAGGGCTGCGGCTTTTTGGGGTCCTCCCACTTGCGTTGCAAGTGGAGCAGCGGCTTGCGCACCTCCGCCTGCAACCCCAGCTCCGCCATAACCCTCTGCGAGGACGCCCCGGGCGCGCGAGCTCACGGCCACTCTCCGCGAGCGCTGCGCGGGGGCGTGCGGAACATGCGCTGGGCGCGCTAGGTCGCGGGGCGCACCTTGCCGTCGGGGCACGTCGCGACGAAGAACCCGCGGTTCTTCAGCGCCTTGGACGCGTTCCGGAAGAACATTTTCAGGGTCTGTTCCGAGTAGAAGAAATAGTGGATGGCAAACATGCACGTGACCGCGTCGAACTCGCCGTCCTTGGCCAGGTCGAGCTCCGAGGTCCCCAGCTGGTCCGTGCACTCGAACTCGCACGTCAGCGGGTGGTCCTGGTACCGTTCGTCCTTTATCTGCCGATACCGCAACTTGGCCTCCCCGATCTCCGCGGGGGACAAGTCGATGCCCTGCGCGGAGGAGGGGGACGTGGGGGCGCGGTGGGGCGGCCGGGGCGCGCGGTCTCGCGCGCGGTGGGGCTGGAGGGGGCGCTGGTGTGGCTTGACGGGGGGTGTATACCTTGACGTATCGGATGTTGGCGTCGAACCACTTCCGGATGTCGCCGCCTCTGCCGCACGCGAGGTCGATGACGCGGTTCGCGTTGCTCGCGAACCTGCGCGGGGGAAGAGGTGTGCGGGGCAGGTCAGAGGAGTCGAGCCAAGCGTCAGAGGCAGTCGTGGCGTAGCCCGCGGCTGTGGGCGCCTCCGTGGGCGCTCACGGTCAGGTCTCGGTGTAAAATGTGTCGAGAGGCGCGCGGCGACGGACCGCGGAGGCGCGCGTGGCAATGCACGCCCTCTAGGTGCTTCAGAGCGCGACGGCGGGGGCGCAGGGGCGGGGCGCGCTTGCTCGCACGCACCGGTTGATCAGGGCTCGCTTGATCGAGTTGTGGAAGCGCTTGAGAGGGACCGCAACGCCTTCCTCGCGGGCCTTGAGGGCCTCCTCCCTGGTCTGTGTCTTCGTGTGCTTGTTGTAGTGCTCCCTAACATGGTCCACGTGAGCGTCCGCCATGGCTGCCTAGTTCCATCACAAGGGGTCCGGAAAACGGGGCGGTGCGGCACGCCCCGGGCCGTCGTTGATCCTCAGGGCGAGCCAGAAAGTCCCACTGTTGGCGCGTTGTCTTCCCGAATCGTGGCTTAATACGCCTCTATCCTCGCCCGAACAAATAGGTAGTGACGCGGGCGCGGCGAGCGGCCGTTCGTCATCCCCGAGCTCGCGCGTCATCGCCCAGGCGGCCATGCGTCAGCTTTTGCAACCACCCCAGGACCCCTGGGTTCCCGCGCCTGAAGATGAGGGCCGCGCGCTTCCGCCGCCGGAGCACAGTTTGCCGCGCGACAAGTCATCGTAGGGTTCGCACGGCGCTCTGAGGCACCATGGGGTGCGGGGACAGCAGGCCCGCTGACTATGAGCAGCTCAAGGACGACTTCTCGAGTACGTGCACCCCAACGACGCACGATGCGCACTCCCACGCGACGCACGCATGGTTCCCGTCCTGCGCGTAGATCTCCTACGCGAAATATCGCTCTCCCGACGCCTGCACGCTGCCTGGACGTTCCCACTGTGAGGATCCGTGCGACGTGGCGCTGGCCGCGCACGCGTGTCGAAACAATGCGCGAAAAGCCGCGTATCGATTCCGAGGTCGATGACCGCCCCAGAACCCTCGGCCCAAGCGCTGCAGCGAGCCGCAGTGCCGCATCGAACACAGCTGCGCACCCGCGTAGACCGTGTGCGCCGCTCTCTGTCGCCCCCGCAGGTGCGCTGCTGCAGATTCAGGCGGTTCAGCGCGAGAACGAGCGCCTGGCCCGCGAGCTGGACGAGCAGCGCCAGGCGGCCAGCCAGAACGCCGCCCAGATGGACACGGCGGTGGTCGAGCGCCTCATTGACCGGAGAATGTCGTCCCTCGTCACCCTGGAGCAGTTCATGACGCTCCACGACCACGCCCACTCCCACGACGTCCAAATCCACGCCCTGTACGAGCGCATCAAGTCCTTGGAGTCTCCGGAGCCCCACCAGACCCTCAACAGAGACTCCCGCGCCACGTCGCACTCCGCGGCCTCCACGCCCACGGAGCCCAACCTCCCGCCGCCCCCTCCCCGCGGACCCGACTTCGCGCCTCCGAGGCACTCGGCGCTCGACGACCCCGCGCTGCACGTCCTCTGTGTGTGCCCGTGCCGTGCCTTCGCGCTCGTGCGCACCGACCAGGGCTCCTACTGGGAGGCCGCGGGGCAGGGGTCGCTGGCGCTGTGCCGCGCGAAGCGGTCGGCCGCGGACAAGAAAAAGAAGCGGCCAGCGCCGCCACCGATGATCAAATTCGAGGCAGGGGCGCAAGGTGCGCAGCGCTGCCCGCTCCTTCCTGCGTGGCACGTGGCCCAACGACCGGTCCCTGCGCGTAGCTGACGGTCGGGGCAGCGCGCTGCGCCGCGTCCCGCAGCGGGCGAAGCGCGTGCCTGATAGCGACGACCGTTTTGCTGTGCGAAGCAGCGACACAACGTGGGCCGCCGTTGCTCCCCCGGCTGTGCGGCGCAGGGGGCGGGAGGGTCGGCGAGGTGATCTGCATGGAGCTGAAGCAGGGCGGGTTCTCGATCAAGTGTTCGCACCCCGGCGCGGTCACGTTTCGGTGGAATCAGGAGATGCATCTGTTCGACATGCTGGATATGGCGGCGGAGGAGAACGCGGACCACGTGGGCACGCTGCGGCGGGAGCTCTCGCTGCTCTTCACGTAGCCGCGTCGACGCGCTGCTCCGCCGCACTGTGTGTGAATTCGGAAATGAACACGTGACGAAGTCGGTCCCGTGCCGTGACGCAGAGAGACCGCCACGCGCGGCAGGAGACGGCGCGCGGGCTCGCGGCGTGGTAGCGCAGGTCGTGTAGGGCGTCGTGCTGTACCGGACGAATGTGTCGAGTGGCCATTGACAAAAGGTTGAATTGATTACAGCAGGTGAGGGGGGGGGAGATATTTCGACCGAGTGCTTCCGTGAACATGGCGCCTGCACGTCTGCTCCCGGCCCGCGAGCGACCACGAGCGCGACGGGGGGTGTATTGAATCCTTCTCTCCGCCACCCCCCTTCATCCGTCCCCAGGTGCCCTCTACACGCTCGGCACAGCCTCGCTCTTGTGCACGGCCTCGAGGACCACGCACGAGTACGAGAGCATCGGGTACACGCCCTCCGCGAGCCACGGCGCAGCCTGCGCCCGCGCGGCCTCCACCTGACTGGCGCCCACATCCTCGCAGATGTCCGGCAGCAGCGCGTCGTACGGCAGCGGCTTGCTCGTGTCCACGGCCACCTCCCAGATGTAGTCGTGGTCCACCTCCGGCACGTGCACCGTCAGCGCCTCGTGCGACGTGTTGAACGCCACGTAGAACATGCGCTTGACGTCGCCCTCGCGCACCGTGAAGGCGAGCAGCCGCGCCGACTCGCTCCAGTCGGGCTCGAACGGGTAGATGCCGTGCCACTCGATGTCCTGGTCGGACGGGAAGTGCGTGCGGCGGAAGCACTTGTGCCGCTTGCGCAGCGTGAGCAGCGCGGTGAGGAAGCGGGTCATGCCGGTGCCCTCCGGGGACCGCGCCTGGTCCCAGTCGAGCCAGTTGAGCGCGGTGTCGTGGCAGTACGTGTTGTTGTTCCCGCCCTTGGTGTGCATGCACTCGTCGCCCATGAGCACCATGGGCACGCCCGCCGAGAGCACGAGCGCGCACATCATGTTCTTGATCTGCCGGCGGCGCAGCGCGTTGATGCGGAGGTCGTCCGTCTCGCCCTCGTGCCCGCAGTTCCAGCTCGCGTTGTGCGACTCCCCGTCCTTGTTGTCCTCGCCGTTGGCCTCGTTGTGCTTGTCGTTGTACGACACCAGGTCGCGCATCGTGAACCCGTCGTGCGCGGTGACGAAGTTCACGCTCGCCGTCGGCCCGCGCCCGCCCATCCACTTGCGCCCCGTCGTCTGACCCCACCAAAAGTCCTCCCCGGGGTGGTCGTTGGCGTACTTGTCCGGGCTCCCGCAGATCGCCGCGGCCATCGCGCCGGACCAGCCGTCCGTGCCCTTGATGAAGTTCCGCACCGTGTCGCGGAACTGCCCGTTCCACTCCGACCACCGGCCCCCGTAGTGCGGGAACGCGCCCACCTGGAACAGCCCGTCGCAGTCCCACGCCTCAGAGATCATCTTCGTGCCGCGCAGCACCGGGTCCTCGGAGATGTCCTGCACCACCGCGGGGTCCGCCAGCGGCGTGCCCGTCGGGGCCCCCGCGCCGTCCGGCATGAAGCCGCGCGGCAGGTGCTCCGCCAGCACCGCCGCGTCGCCCTCCGAGAGACCCACCTGCGCGCAGGAACGCCAGAGCGGTGTTCGGAGCTACCCGAGAGACCAGAGGTGGCGCGTGCTGCTGCTGCGCGCGCAGCTTGCGAGCGCCGTGCGCGGCGGTGCGGAGGACGGGCCCACGCCCGTGGTGTGGTGCGGGGGGGGTTGTTCGGGGGTCTGACCTGCTCGGGGTACCACGTGGAGTGCGCGCGCGTGAGGATGGCGCCGAGATCGAAGCGGAACCCGTCGACGTGCATCTCCTCGACCCAGAACCGCAGCGAGTCGACGATGAAGCGCCGCGTGTTGGGGTGGTTGCAGTTGACGGTGTTTCCGCACCCGGAGTAGTTGTAATACTCCCCCCCGGGCGCGAGCATGTAGAACACCTTGTTGTCGATGCCGCGGAAGCTCAGCGACGGCCCGAGGTGGTTGCCCTCGGCCGTGTGGTTGAACACCACGTCCAGGATCACCTCCATCCCCTTCTTGTGGCACTCCTTCACGAACCGCTTGAACTCGGTCAACGTGGCGTCCGCGTTCGGCGGCGCCTTGGCGTGCGCGTCGCTGAACCGCGCCATCGGGGCGTTGAACGCCACCGTCGAGTACCCCCACACGTTGTACCTGTACTCGTCGTCTGACCCGGGAATCAAGGAGTAGTACTCGAGCTCGTTGAACTCCTGGATCGGCATGAGCTCGACGGCGGTGAAGCCCATGCGCCGGACGTGCTCGAGCTTCTCGATGGCGCCCGTGAAGGTCCCCGGCGCCGCCACGCCGCTCGTCGGGTGCTGCGTGAACCCGCGCAGGTGCATCTCGTACACCGTCGTCTCCTCCATCGGCAGACCGAGCGGGCGGTCGCCCTCCCAGTCGAACTCCGGCGCTGCGGGCGGCGACGGGGGCTCCACGGGACACGTGAGACGACTACCAAACATAAGGACACAAGAACATAACGGTGGATCGGGGGGCGGCAAGGGGGCGAGCGGGGCGCTCACCGCCAACGTTGGGCACGGGCGCCGCGGCCTGCGGCCACGTGGGCGCGAGGCCGAGCGCCTCGGTGCCATACGCCAGCTCCGGGCCCATTTGGCCCCACGCGGCGCGGCTGTTGGCCACGCCCTGCGCGTACGGGTCCAGGACGACCTTGGCGGCGTCGATGGTGTTGCCGGGGCCCTCGGGGATCCTGGATTCCATCGCAAAGCCGTAGAGCATCCCGCCACGCAGGCCAGGCAGCAGGCAGTGCCAGCAGTCGCCTGCGGGGGGCGGGAGGACGGGAGGTGAGCCAAGCAGCGCGTGGAAGGGTAGATACGCGTCGTCGGGGGCACGGATGGAGGCGAAGGTCCCCGGAAGGGCCGCGCGGGTGGCTGTGATGGTTGCAGCGGAGCTGCCCGGGTCGCGGAGGCGGCCATTTTCCCCTCGAGGGAGCTGGCAGGGACTGACCTGTGCGGTTCATGTCGGGGTCGAGCTCGATCTCGATGGTCGTGATCCCGACGCGCAGGTCCTCCGGAGTGAACAGGCAGAGAGTCACGCCGGTGGCCTCGCTGCTCGACACGGCGAAATTGACGCCGTTGACGGCGTCCACGGCCTCCGCGCCCACGCCTGCAGCAGGAAGCGCGGGCGAGAAGGTCACGAGGAGGCGTGCCCGCGCGCAGTCGTCGCAGCTAAGGTTGCCGGAGGCGGTTTCGGTCGCGCAGCGAGCCGTCGCCGGTCTGGGCTCCAAAACGCGCAATGTACTTTACTTCGTCGTGAATGAAAGACGTACGTGGCCGCAACTAGCCATGTCACGCCCCGAACGCGGCGCAGGTGCGGGCGGAGGATCTAGCTCTAGCCAACACGCTCCAGCCCTCGGCCGCGAGTCGCCCGTCCCCCCTTGGCCCTGAACTGCTGCTCGCGTCGTCGAGACGGGCCGGTTCCGCACCTGGGTAGCCAGTGAGAGGCGTATCGAAGAACTCGCAGGCCGGCTGGCCGCTCTCCTGTGTGATCCTGGACTTCAGAATCGAACCCCCGGCACGCTCGGCCAGCGCGCGCAGAGCGACGGAGCCCCCGCGACATTGTCGCGTCGCTCCCGCTTCTTTCCAGCGCCGACCGCTGACGTTCGCCCGGAGCGCCACAGCAGGCTGGACGCGAGCAAGTGCTCTCGATGGGACCCTCCCCGCCCCTTGCAGCGCCGGCGCGCCCGTGAGGGCGGCCCTACGCAACTGCATTCCTCTTCTCCTTGCTCGTCAGTGTCGTACGGGGCAGGCTAAGGATGTGCAGCGCGTGTCGGCCCGCAGCCTTTCACCTGGGACGAACTGTCCGCGATTCCGAGCGTATCGGCGGCAACGTGGGCCGAAAAGCGACGTGCAGTGACACTGAGGCCTCTGTTCCGCGGGCGAGCGACAACGAGCCCCCAGACATGCCGGATCCGACCTGGTCGGAGTGACCCCCCAAGGAGCCTGCCCTGGGTCCTGTATAGCCGGCAACAAATGAATGTCTCCGTCGAGGAGCCCGAAAGAGCACGTCGAGACATGTGGCTTTCGATTGGAACCGTCGATTTGCGATGAAAATCACGATGACGCCCGCCTGGAGCGCACAGCAGAACGAGAACACGCGAGTGTGCGAGGCGGGTCGAAGTTGGCTGCGTCGCGCACACTTCCTCGCTGACGGCCCAGGGGCGGAGCACTACACTGTCCACGTGCACGGGCCGACGGTCTCGGGCGGCTCCGTCGCGCTGACGTGACGTGACAACCCCCAGGGTAGTATTCGGGCCCGAAGGTCAGGCGCCGCGCCGTCCCTGACAAGAAATTGCACGGGATCACCGAGGACTACGCCAGTTCCATCGCAGCAGCCCAACTGGGACTGCCCCGAGACAGATCTGGCGCGGCACCGACCGTTGTTGCACTCACCAAAGCATGGACGTAAACACGGCATGATCGGGCAGCGAGCGACGACCAGGCGACGCAGATCTCTGGTACAGCATCCATCCGAGACCGCCGCGCGTGCACGATCAGGCACGCCGCCCCGCAAGCCCTGCACCCGGCGTTGTCCAACCCATCATGGTTCATGCGCTCGGCAAAGCCCTGCGGCTGCTTCGTTCGGCCCTGTCGGCACTGCACCGCGCGCACCTTTTAAGCCCCTTGCCGCCTGTTGCGTTGTGTTGCGCCTCGCGGTCGTCCCCGTCCTCCTTTCCGCGCCCCTCAACTGCCACAAACTGCTCCTAGACACATTCCCCGCGATATCTCAGCACGTCTTGCGCGGATCTATGTATTCTCTATGACCGCAGAGGCGGCAAAGGTAGTGCCTAGCTGCGGTCGAGGCGCGGCGGCCGGGAGCTGCGCTATGGCGGGCGCGAGGCAAGCGGCACCACAACAACAACAGCTAGGAAGCAAGGCACACGCGCGGCTGGACTCCCACGACATCCCTCCGAGCCCGCAGCGGAGCGTGCAGTCTTTGCACTCGGCGCACTCGCCAGTCACCCCGTCCCCTGGCCCGGACACACCGAGCGCTGCGCCTGCGCCCATAGAGATGCGGCCGCACGGGCACGCCCGGCCCCCGCCTGCGCCCGGCTCGCAGCTCAAGCGCATCGGTCTGAGCGAGTCCGAGTCGGAGGATGTCGGGAGGAAGTTCACCGGCGCGACGCAAGAAAACGCGCGCCTGGACAACGAGGACGTTGCGTCGGTTCGCTCCGCGACGCTCGAGGCCGCCTTCGACGACGCTGTGGCCGCGGACCCGCACTTCCCGCTGCCCGTGGGCCTCGACCCCACGTCGATCTTCCCCCCCGGCGGCGTCAACGACTGCATCAGCATCATGCTCCCTGCCTACCGCGAAACAGAAGAAGAACTTCGATTGAGTTTGCTGTCGTACACCGTGGACAACATCCCCGACACGGACATGCGGAACGTCCTCGAGCTGTACGTCGTCCTCGACGGCCACTCCCCGGACCAGCCCGAAGACGACAACCCGACGCTGTCCGCAGTCAAACACCTGCTGTTCGCCGGGTGCGTGCGGCCAAACTCGCGCCCCGATGCACTCCGCTCGAACTGCAGCGTGCGCGCCGTGGCGAGACGTTGCTCGCGGGAGACCTGACTGCTCGCCGCGCTGCCACGAGCAACAACGCAGGGCGACGTCGGAGGTGCAGCGAGTGGACCACCCGTACTTCCGGCTCTACCGCGGGCGCTACCACGGGGTGCCCTTTGGGCTGTACATCAAGTCGCCGCGCCTCCGGAGGGGCAAGCGTTTCTCCCAGATCCTGCTCGTCGAGCTGCTGCGAGTACGCGCCGACCTCCTGGGGATCTCCCCGTTCGCGCTGCTGTCGTGCGACGCCGACACCTACGTCACCGGCTGGAGCCTGCACGTCCTGCGAGAGGCCCTGGTCGCGAACCCGAGCCACGCCGCGGTCTCAGGGCAGATCTTGCCTGACAACATTCGGTGGAAATGGGGCCTGTTCTGGCCCAAGCAGCAGACCGTCTTCTCGCAGTACATGGAGTACTCGTTCTCCTCGATCATCGACAAGGCGTTCCAGGCCGCGTTCGGCTCCGTCCTCGTGCTCCCGGGGGCGTTCTCGTTGCTGCGCTTCTCCGCCCTGAACGACGTCTGGGCGGCGTACTCGACGCGCACGCGACAGGGGCAGCTCCTGAGCATCAACTGCCTCGACCTCGGCGAGGACAGGTACCTCACGACGCTGCTGCTCATGGCCGGGCACAGCACGGGGTACGTCGAGAGCGCCATGGCCTTCACCAACGTGCCCGACGACTGGACGGCGCTCGCGGTGCAGCGGCGGCGGTGGTACAACAGCACGGTGGCCAACTACCTCCTCATGATCGTCAACTGGCGGTGTCTGGCCCGTTTCAAGCGCGGGCAGTTCGTCGTGTACTTCTTCCTGTGTTTCGACTTCCTGGCGGGCCTGCTCCAGCCAGCGATCATCCTCGCGATGATCTCGACCGTGGAGATCCCGGCCGCGTTCCTTCCCGGCGCCCTCGACGGCAACGCGTACTTTCGAGGCTTCCGCACGTTCGATCGACTGGCGTGGTTTGGAGAGGTGCGCGCGGGCTGCCTGGGGTGGCTTCTGGGCTCGGCGTGGATGCTGTGGGGTGCGCTGAGCGCGCGGCGGCCGGATTTTCATCGCTCCAGCGGGATGTGGGTGTGGCTGCTGCCGATCTTCGCCGCCTACATGTGGGCGCTTGCCAGCAACATCTGGTGGACGCTGGAGTTCGCCTCCCGGGCCGCGCAGGCGCTGATGTTGGTGGTTCCGTGCGCGCTGCTCGGCGTGATGGTGCTGCGCAGCCGGCTGGCGCAGTGGAGCAAGCTCGTCGCGTCTACGGCCCTGGTGTATGTCCTCCACATGCCCTTCTACGCCGTCTTCGTGCCGCTGTACGGGATCGCCAAGTGAGTGTCCCGCCACACCCCTGTACAGTGGGCTGCCGATGACCTGCAAAGCGTGGAAGCTTGCCGCAGACACGGAATGCTTGATTTGCTTTCCACGCAACACCGTGCAGCGTCTCCGCCGGTGCGCCCGCACGTGCGCGTGTCCCGGTACCCACGCGAAATTACGGCGCCTGCCATGCAGCTTCAACAACGGCACCTGGGGCACGCGGGAGGCGGAGAGCGGCGACGTTCGGCGCAGTGTCGCCGAGCAGGAAGCGGCAGCGGTCGAGGCGGAGCGCGAGCTGCTCGAGCACGTCATCGACACGGAGCTGCGCGCGGAGGAGCTCATCGACCACGCCGCGGAGACGCGCGTCGTCGCGGACCGCTCCCCGGGGGGTCATTTCTACGGGTCAGACGCCATCGGCAGCCCCGGGCCCGCGTACGCCATGAGCCCGTCCTGGGCCGCACCAACCCCATTGACAGCTCAGCCAGTCCTCGCCCGCGCCACGGACGCGTTCACGCGGCTGAGGCAGTCCCAGTCGGGGACGCCGGGGCGCATGTTGCATGTCAAGCCCTTCACCCCTTCAAGCGCTCGTTCCGCTGGCCCGTCGAGGCTCGCGCAGAACGGCCAGCGGCATCAGCGCAGCCCAATGAACTGGCTTCCCGTTGGAGTCCCGTCGCCGGCTGTACCCCGCCCCCACAGGCTCGATGCAACGGAGGAGCATCGCAACGACGGCGCGGCGGTCAGAGCGGGGCAGCCCGCGAGATCGCGGGATCCGCGTGTCGCTGCAGACGTCGACATCGAGCTTGCGTATCAGGCACGGGAGCAGCCGCGTGGTTTCGGCGAAGGCGTCCACGTCGAAAAACACGTCGCGGCCCCACCGGATAGTTCTACCGCTCAGGTCGCGTCCCTGGCCGCGCTCGGGGGGCTGATTCCCGACGGCGGCGACGAGAACGAGCAGCGGCCGCTGCTGGCCGGGCGCGGGCACGGCGACTTCGCCGGCTTCGTGCGGTGCCTCGCGGACCTTCCGCCGCACGTCGCGCTGGCGGAGGTCGCGGCCGAGCCGGGGATCCTCGTCGACGGCTCGCACGCCGCTGCGTTCCGGCAGTTCGTCGCGGGCTGGCGGAAGCCCATCCCCCCGGCCGCGCCGTTCTGGCCGATTGACCTGCTCGCGCGGCATGTGCGCACGTGGACGCTCACTGAGAGGCGGGACGCCCTGTTGGCCGCGTGGCTGGTGTTCGTCGTGTTCTCGGGGCTCGGATTCGTGGTGTGGAAGATCCAGGTGCGCGACACCGTGTACGTCCCGCTCTCACCACCGATCTCGGCCTGGTAGTCAAAACAAATATGAAATCGATTCATATCTGTGGTTGTTTGTTGCTTCGGTCGTTGCAGGCGGTCGAAGCAGCGGAGCGGACCCGAGACATCGAGAGGCTCCAGGGCCGGCCGATCGGCGAGGAGGCCTCCGCAGGGGACCTCCTGGGCCCTCTCGTTCTCATGTCGGTGTATGGCCCCCTGCCTGCCCTCATCAAGATCGTGGTCTCGTTCGCCTGGGCCGCCTGGAACGGTACGCACTCCGCACGAACGCTTGGGTCCCGCTCCCGCACAGAGCCTCGTCGCCACGCGGACGAGGTCGCCTGTCGCCGCCGTTGCCTGCAGGACAGTTCTGGTGTTGCTGGATTTCGAGGGCCGCGGCGATGGACCGCATGAGCATGCAGGCGAAGGAGAGGGCGGCGAACGCGCGCGCCCACGACACCTACATGGCAACGCGTGCCGGGCAGCCGAGGGACGGGTCGAAGCGTCCGCAGACAGCTGCGGGCGACCTCAGGCGCAGGGCGGCGCTCGACGCGCCCTCTCAGGTGTAAGGGGCGGTCTAGCGTCAAAGAACCCAGCGCGTTCGACACCGCGACGCTGGCCCGTCGCAGAGCAGTCACAATTGCTCGCGCCGCAGATCTAGCGCGTTGCCCGCAATAGTATTTACGCAGTCATGGGCTTGTCCTCGTCCATGCTCATGATGGAGTAGGCCTCCTCGCCGTGCATCGACGAGTCCAGGCCGCTCTCCTCCTCCTCGGCCGTCGCGCGCAGGCCGCCGCACAGCGCGCCGGCAATCTTCAGGCACACGTACGACGCGACGAGCGTGTACGCCGCCGTGCTGAACGCCGCGAAGGCCTGCACGCCGAACTGGTGTAGCATGTTGACGCCGACCTGGTTGCCACCGAACATCGGGTGGCACAGGAACCCCACGAGCAGCGTGCCGACAAAGCCGCCCACGCCGTGCACGCCGAACACTGCACGCAGCCGAGGGGCACGAGAGAGCACCGAATGAGACCGGGCATTCTGCGAAGCGAGCCGCGCTGTACCACCAGCGCCCCCGTGCTTGGCACGAGATTCGAGAGCGCGTCTTTGAAAGAGTGTGTTGGGCGTCGAAGCGGCGGACGACGCGGATCTGGCTCACCGTCGAGGGAGTCATCGTAGCCGAACTTCTCCTTGATCTCGAACGAGAAGAAGCGGCACACGAGGCCCGCCGTGGCGCCGATGATGAGCGCGCCCACGGGGCCCACGAAGCCCGAGGCGGGCGTGATCGACGCGAGCCCCGCGATCGCGCCCGTCCCGAGCCCGAGCATGGACGGCTTGCCCTCCGTGACCCAGTCCACCGCGCTCCACACGCACGCCGCCGTCGCGGCGGAGATCTGCGTCACGAGCAGCGCCATGGCCGCCGCGCCGCCGGCCGTGACCGCGCTGCCGGCGTTGAAGCCGTACCAGCCGACCCAGAGCATCCCCGTGCCCATCGCCATCAGCGGCAGGTTGTGCGGCTTCATCGCGTTGTCGCGGCGCGGCCCCACCATGATGCACGCCAGCAGCGCGCCGATGCCCGCCGTCACGTGGACGACGATGCCGCCGGCGAAGTCCAGGACGCCCATGTCCGCGAAGTACGCGCCGGGCCCGCCCCAGACCGAGTGCGCGGCCGGGAAGTACACCAGGAACGACCACAGAACAATAAAGATCATCTTGGGCGCGTACTTCATGCGCTCCGCCCACGCGCCGACCATGAGCGCGGGCGTGATGATGGCGAACGTCATCTGGAACGCGGCCCAGAGGAGCTCCGGGATGGTGCCCGTGAGGGAGTGCTCGGTGATGCCCCGGAAGAAGCACTTGTCGAGGCCGCCGATGAACGAGTGCAGGCCGACCTTGCCCTCGACCATGCCGACCTCGGAGAAGGACAGCGAGTACCCGCACACCGTCCACAGGACCGTCATGACCGCCTGCGGGCACGCGCGGCGCGGTTGGGCGTCGGCGGGGCGCGGGACTTGCGTTGGCGTGGAGGGGGGGGGTGGTCCGTGCGTCGCGTTGCGGGGACGGGAGCGCGGCAGGGAGCGCAGCTGCCGCCCGAGGGAGCATCAGCCGCCGAGAGAGCATCGCGCGCCGGGAGGGTTGAGGGGGGTGATGGGGGACTCACCGCGATGGAGAACGTCTGCATCAGGAGCGAGATGGCGTTCCTCTGCTTCACGAGGCCCGCGTAGAAGATCGCGAGGCCCGGGAGCGTCATGAAGAGAACCAGAGCGGTCGACGTGAGCACCCACGCCGTGTCCGCGCCGTTGGCGACGGCCGCCTCCGCGGCGATCGACGCGACGAGGTTCGCGGCCGACGGCGCAGCCGTCGTGGCCGCGCGCGCGGCGGCGGGGATGGCGGCCGAGAGCGCGGTGACGCACGCGCCGATCATGGCGACGCGGGCGACGGCGTGCAGCTTCGACTTCGGGGCCGCGGGGGCGAGGTCCGCGCGAGGCGCCTCGGCGGCCGGGGCGGCGGACACGGGGGCGGCCGGGCGCTCAGCGGCGGCGGTGGTGCGGCGCAGGGGGACGCCGCGGCGAGCCGTGAGCGCGGGTGCCTGCACCCTCAGGGCCGCGGCGGGCGTCGCGCGGGCCGCATTGTTGCGGATGGAGGCGGACACTTGCGCCTGCGTGAATTGAGTCTCGAAACAGAGGGGACATTCAGTGATATTCGCGTCGACGGGCGCGCGGGCGGGCCATCAAACCGCAGCAACGTGGCCCCCCGATGGCCCAAGTGTGTTCCACCGCGCGGGAAGATACGGAGTCCGATGTCAAGGACAATAGCATATCGTTCAGGCCGCACTCGAAAAGCACGCGCCCGACCGTCGGAAGGGGCGCAACCGGCGGTCGTAGGGCAGCAGGCACTGGTGTGGGGGAATTCGGGCGGGAGGTCGTCTGCAGGGCCCAGAACGTTCGCTGCGTCGCCGTGGAGACACCCGTGCTACATATCAAGGCGCCATTGTGGTGTCAGGGCGCTGGTGCTGCGCGAGGACGCCGGCATCGCGACACGCTGCCCGGCGCCAAGGCCCTTGCGCGGCACGCTCACTTTCGGCGGGCAACCGCAGCGTTCCTACAATCGAGCGCGCGGAGATAGTATCAGGTACGCTGATCGGCGCATAAATGAGAGAAATGGGGGGTGTGAGCGCGCGCAGTGAGCTCACCTTGGGTGCCACTGAAGCCTGCATGGTGCTCGTCGTCCGAGTCGCTGATGCGTCCGGTGAGGCAGCCTGGTGACGTGTCAAGCACAGCTATGCTCCGACTGCATCGACGCGCCGTGCGGGCCTGTATCGACCGCGCATTGGGCCGCTCCGTCGAGTCCCCCGCCGAAAAACGTGACACTGTAAATGAGCGTCGATTCGTGCCTGACGGACATCGCCGCGCATCCTCGAGGGAGAACAAGGTGTAGGACGGTTCATCGCGGGCAAATTCATGGCGGGCACGCGGCGGACCTCGCGAGTCTCCACCTCTGAGCACTACGACTTGAGGGCCCCCGCAATCCTGCTATGTGAGCTAGGCGCGGCGCTATTTCAACGATTACCGCCCTCCATGGCCATCATCTACCCATTACGTCGAGAACTACGTTTTTAACGTCCTTCGCGGGCGCACAACACGGGGCCTTGGTGGCGTGCAACAAGAAGGTCGCCTGCGTCGTATCGTTGGACGCACCGCGCGCGCTCAGCACGCACAGCACACCTGTCTCCTCAGCAACCCGTTCCTCCGGGACAGGCGCCCGGACCTCCCAACTGGATCCGCACAGTGGGACAGACACCACGAACAGACCCTTGGAGAGCTTGAACGGTCTCAGGTCGGCAGGTAACCCACCCGAGGACGATCACCATTCATCTGACACACCACATGCCGGTATAAGGGCGTCCAAGATGCATGGCACGCCCGCTCGCACGCGCGTTTCATCCACGGAGTCCCCTTGTCCCCGCTCCGCGCCGTGAATTACGCGCGTACGAGCCACGCTGCTCCGCGCACGAGGAGATAGCGAGAACGAGCGCACCGCTGCGTCGATTCCTCACCTTTCAACGTCCACGATGTGTCGCAGGGCTTCGCTCTCCCCCTGGTAGATAGCACGGCCTATGGTGGCGACCGCGGCGCGGAGCGCCGCTCAAACGCGCGCAAGCGCATGCCAAGATAAGCGCCAAGCGCCGGCGCTCCGCCGCGTCGTCCTGTCGTCGGGCGCCGCGACGCTGGCGGGCGCTCTCTCCTCCCTGGGCCCAGCCCAAGCCGTCGACGCGCCCCGGCCCACCGGACAAGCCCTGACGCTCCAGCAGCAATACGACACGTACGCGAAACAGTACGACGCGCTCGACGGCGGCGCGCCGGCCGACTTCTTCGGCTTCCCCGACCTCCGCGAAGCCCTCCTGTCGCGCGCCACTGGCGACGTCCTAGAATGCGGGGTCGGCACGGGCCTCAACCTCCCCGCGTACCAGGCCGCCGGCTCGCTCCGCAACCTCCGCAGCTTCACGGGCGTCGACATCAGCTCCGGCATGCTCGCGGAGGCCCGCGCCCGGGCACAGAACATGAAGTTTGGGGCCGCGCTGCAGGGCGCCGCGGGGGACGCGTCCGGACCCGCGGTGCGGTTCGTGCAGGCGGACGTCGCGCAGCTGCCGTTCGAGGACGCGAGCTTCGACTCGGTCGTCGACACGTTCTCGATGTGCGTGTTTCCGGACCCGGCGGCCGCTGTCCGGGAGATGGCGCGCGTCGTGCGGCCGGGGGGGCGCGTGCTGCTCGCGGAGCACGTGCGCGCGTCGAGCAACCCGGTGCTGGCGTGGTACCAGGACTTGACCGCGGCGCCGGTGGCGGCCATGTCGAAGGGGTGCGTGTGGAACCAGGACGTGCGGGCGCTGATGCGGGACGCGGGGCTGCGCGTGGTGTCGGTGCGCGGGGCGTCGGGCGGGACGGTCGAGGTGATCGAGGGGACGCGGTGAGCGCGGGTCGGGTTGCCGCTGTGATTTCACCCCATTGCTGGGCAGGGGGCGGTGTGCGGGGGGCGAAGGGTGCCGCGGCGGGGTGCGGTGCGGCGAGCGCGTCGGGACGTTGGCGGAGCGCGCGGCGAGGGGTGGCTTGGGGGGGAGGGGGGCTCTGTTGCGGGGGTGGATCGTACTGGTGAGGGGGACTCTCGCCGGGGCTCGTTGGCGGGCTGCCGCGTGTAATCCTCGGCGTCGCAGGGTCGTTGGATACTCAACTGCAGTGAGAGTCACTTTTGCTCCTCGCAAGCTCACCCCTCGGCGCCCGCGACCGCTTCGACCACCTCGGGGGAATATCGGACTCTTCGGCGCGCGCTCCAGGCTGAGCCTCGAATCCGTCGCAGCGAAAATGCAGCTTTCGTCGGTCCAGGCGCCCCGGTGCGCTCCCAAGGCCGTCGCGGCGCAGCGCCGGGCCGTGGCCTGCCGAGCAGCTCCCCAGTCCGAGCCTGTGAAGGTCGTCTCTGCGGCCGCCGCCGCCGCGGCCGCGACGCTCGCCGCCGCTCTGCCCGCGGCCGCTGCCGAGACCGTCAGCGCCGTCGCGGACGGTACCGCCCTCGGCGAGGCCGGCGCAGCGGTCGGCGCCACTGGCGCCGTGGCGGGGCTGGCTGCCATCCTGGTGAGCACGGACCCGCAGAGGCGCCGCGACGCCATGGCCCAGGTACGTGAACCCACCTCGGAAGCCCGGGCGCGTCGCGCCGCGATTGCTCCGGCCATCCTGGCCCCCGTGCGGCGCCTCTGAAATCCATTTCTTGCCCCAGCGACATCCACGGGCGGCGTGGCTCCGTGCGAGCGAACACGCCTGCGCAGGCACGCGCTTCGCGTAGCCACATACATGGGCGAGCCGCTCCGTCCGGACGGGTCCACGCCGCGGACGGGGCCCCGCGCGATCGGCGTGCCCTGTGGTGAGCTATCTAGGGCTTCGGGCCCACGGCGCGGCGTCGTTCCGGCTTCGTTCGCAGACCACGGGCGGCGACGAGATGGAGTCGGTGAAGAACTACTTCAACACGGCGGGCTTCGAGCGCTGGAGGAAGATTTACGGCGAGACGGACGACGTGAACAAGGTGCAGAGGGACATTCGCGAGGGACACGCGCAGACGGTCGAGAAGACGCTCGGGTGGCTCAGCGACGTCGAGGGGCAGACCGTCGCGGACTGCGGCTGCGGGACGGGGTCGCTCGCGATCCCGCTGGCCCTGCGCGGCGCCCTGGTGTCGGCCTCGGACATTTCCTCGGCCATGGCGGGCGAAGCGGCGAAGCGGTACGAGGAGGCGGCGAAGTCGGCGAGCAAGCTGCCGTCCGAGGCGCCCAAGTTCGACACGTCGGACCTGGAGAGCGTGAGCGGGAAGTACGACGTGGTCACGTGCCTGGACGTGATGATCCACTACCCCCAGGACAAGGCGGACGCCATGGTGTCGCACCTGGCGTCGCTCGCGGACAAGAAGCTCATCCTCTCGTTCGCGCCGAAGACCCCGTACTACTCGGTGCTCAAGCGCATCGGCGAGCTCTTCCCGGGCCCGTCCAAGGTGAGACGAACTGCCACGCGCAGCCCCCTTCTAGTCGCGGTTCGGGCTCTTCCGGCGCCACGGGGCTCCTGAACCCGTGCAACCCGCCCCGCGAGATCGCGCGCACTTGCCCCTGCTGCGAGGACAAGCAAGCAAACGACGTGGTTCCCGTTCGTACCATCGTTGCTTTGTTGTGTCGTTGACGTGTGTTTCTTGTTCTTCTGTTGTTTTGCAGGCGACGCGCGCGTACCTGCACGCCGAGGCGGACGTCGAGGAGTCGCTCAAGAAGGCCGGGTTCAAGGTCACGCGCAGGGAGATGACCGCGACCAGCTTCTACTTCTCACGCCTGCTCGAGTGCGAGCGCGTGGCCTAGGCTGACTCAGGACGCGCGCAAACAGGCCGGTAGTCCCGGGCGGGGCCGCACGCTGCGCGACCGTCGCAGCGCTCGGTCCACCGCCTTGAGCGCTCCCAGCGGCGACTCCTTGTGAGATATAACAACTTCTAGTAGTCAAGAGCCGGGCTGGACGCCCAGTACAAAACGGTTCCGCGCTGCTACACCGCGTGCTCGATCGCGTATCCGTCCACGCTCGAGTCGTCCTCGTCCTCCTGCGCCGCCAGCAGCGCCTGCACGCGCCTCTCCTCCGACATCCGCAGGAGCGCGTTCAGCGCGTAAATCTCCACCCTGTGCCTCTCGCGCTTCTCCTGGATGCTCGAGCGCCACTGCAGCGCCGCGTCCCGCCGCTGCATCACCTCGGCCTGCGCCGCCTGCGCCTCCAGCCTCTCGCGGCGCTGCCGGTCAATCACGCGCTGCTGCGCCTTCCTGCGCTCCTCCTCGGGGTCCAGCTGCCGCTCCGCACGGCAGCTCCCGAACCCGTTCTCCGTCGCGCGCCGTATCTGCGGGCACCATCGGCGAATTTCGAAGGATCAGCACGCGTGCAATACACCCCGTCTGGCAGCGATATTCGAGGTCCAGCGACCTCGAAGTACACGCGAGACATGCCGAGCGAGACCGGAGCGGCCGGCGGGCGGCGCACCCTCTCCGCCTCGCGCGCCCGTTCCAGGAGCCGCTCTCTGGCTCTCCGTGCGCCCTCCTCCGGATCCTCGCGGCACCTCTCCTGCCGCTGCCGCTCCTCCTCCTCCCGCATCTCCTCCCGCTCGCGCTCGAGCTCCATCTTCCGCGCCATGACGCGCATCCGGGCCGTCATCGGGCCGTCCACGTCAGGTTTGGACACCTCCCGGGGAGTCGCGCCAATCGTCGCGGCGAGCGGGAACGACAGCTGGCGCTTCGCGCGCGGCCGCGACGGAAACCGCGGCACGCTCGGCTTCCGCCGCGGGGTGCCGTCGCCCGCCTCCTCGCCGTCGCGCGCCTCGCTCGCCTGCGCGGGCGTCACCAGGCGTCGCGCTGGCTTCGCAGGCGCCGTCGCCGCGCCAAACGGCGGCCGCACGACCGGCCCTGGCCGCATCGGCGCAACCGGCGTCGCCTGGAGCGACAGCTTCGTGCCAACCGCGCACAGCCCCGGCCCCAGGTCGCCGCCTTTCGCCACCAGCATTGACGTCAGTTGGAATCGGCCGTCTTCCGCCGTCTGCGGGCCCGACTCCGCGCCGTCGCCGCCGCTCGCGTCCGGAAGGCTCGCGCGGACGTCGACCGCCTCGGACCTTTCGTTTTCGGCGTCCATTTCGTCGACGTCGCGTTGCGTGGGTCCCAGAACTAAGCTGGCGTGGAGGGCGTGCTGCATCCGCGCGGCCGAGCGCGGGCCGATCAGCGCGCGCTGCGACTCGCGCGACAGCAGCCGGTGGCGTTCGCGGACCCAGTTCGGCACGCCCGCGCCCGGGGAGGCGTCCTGTTGCGCGGCAACAGCGCGGGCCGCCGCGGCGCTGCGGGGCCGCCCCGCAGCCGTCGATGCGGTCCAGCACCCGTCCTCCTCCTCGTCCGCGCCGCTGTCGTCGTCGCTGTCGCGCGTGTCGTCCCCGGAAGACCCCCCCGCGGGCCTCGGGGACTCCCCCGCGGGCTGTAACTGGGGGAGCTCCGTGGGGCTGTCGCTGCGGGACCCCGCGGCGTCAGACGCGTCGCCGTCGTCGTAGCGCAGCTTGTCGTACTCAGGCCGGGCGACGGGGGCCTCCGGCATCGGGTCCGCCCGGGGAGTTGCTGAATCGTAGCGGGGCTGGCTTTGAGGGCGTGGTGTCGCGGGGGCCGTCGCCTGCTGCTGCTCGCCCGCCTCGCTGGACTTCTCAGCCACAGACCGACGGCTCACGGGCGTCCCGAAGCCGCTGGCTTCCGCGCTGGGGGGTGTGTTGTCCCGATGTGTGATTGCGTCGGGCTCGCTGCCCCCGACGTCGGCCGGGGCTGGTTCTGCGGAGTCGCACGCTGAGTCTGCTTCGTCCCGCCCAGCGACGCGCGCAGGCTCCGGCGCCGGCGCGCCGGCAGCCTCGGGCTGAGGAGCCGACGCTGCTGTGGATGCTCCGTCGCACGCGGGGGTGTCTTGGTAGTTCGAGGGGGTGTATTGCCGCTGGGGCTGGACAGGTGCTTCTTCGCCGCGTCCGTCATCGGTCGCTGACGGCGCAGGACTCGCAGCCGGTGGCCTCGCGTCGCGCGAAGACACAGCGGGTCGTCTTGGCCCGGGCGGCGGATGCGAGGCCCGGCAGTACGCGCCCCGTCCGGCCGCAGGGGGCCACGCGGCGGTCTCTGGCAAGGCTGCCTCGACGGCGCCGGCGTCCTTGCTGCGCGTGCTTGCGGCGGGCACTAGCGGCAGCTGCGCCGCGATGCTCACCGACGACGCTGGCCGCGTGGACGCGTCCTGGGTCGAGGATCCGCGGCTCGGCTGCGCGCTGGCGCGCTCTGTCTGGCGCGTCCGGGGCCGCGGAGCGGGCGCGGGGCGCGCTGCGGGCTCGCAGGTGTTTCCTATCATCATCGTCGACGCCTCTGCCTCCTTCGCGCTGGGCGCCTTGACCGCGATGTGCCGCTGGGACCCCCACGGGGAGCCGAGGCTCGCCGGAGGAGCGTGCTCCCGCGGCGCTCGCTTGCTCGGAGAGCGCAGGCCGAACCCGAGACGCTGGGCAAGCGGGATGCGCTCCGGCGTCGTCTCCGGGAGGGCGGAGTGGTCGATCTGCGCGGACGTCCAGCAAAGGAGCGCGTCAGGCATGACACAAGGCATCACCCTCTCCCGCGAAACGCCGCGGGATCTCGCGCACGCGTCGTGCGAGCGGCACTTGCTGCTGATAACGCAGGACGACGACGAGGCGCGTTGCGGGGTCGTCGGGGGGGGTTTTGCGCCGTGGACGCGCCGGGCGGCTCACCGCTGATATGACCTTTCGCGGGGTGCGCCAGAGCTGGCTCGCGAACCGGTAGAGGCCCTTTCGCGGGAAGGAGACTGAGTTGTTGGCCTGGGCCGGACCGCTTCCGTCGACGCGTGCGACGCCGACCTCGACCGCCGTCGCGGCCGGCGCGCGCACGTGCACGCCGGGCCTTCGCGTGCGAGCGTTCACGTCGTGCGCGACCGCCTGGCTGCTCGCGTGCCCTCCAAGGCCATCGCCGGCCACCACCACCAGCGCTGGGGCGTCCCGAACGCCCTCGCTGCCGCCCCGAGGCATGCCAGCAGGTGCCAGTTCGACTCTCTACACGACGACGGACGTGTGGGCTCGCTGCCGCTCAGGCGCTTCGACGCCGGTGGCCGAGGACCGCGACAGGCCTGCTACTGATGCATGTTTGCGGCCCCTAGGGGCGCCACCGTCCCTCAACGATGCTGAATCTACGCGTGCACGATAGTATGCTTTTGCATATTCGTCGAGATGCAGCGTTTCCTGCAATTAAGAGAATATGGCTTCCGCAGTGGGGCAGAAGTGCCCTGAGAGCAGTGGTCCTGCTGCCCGGTGCGTGCCGTGGGCTAATTCGTGGCTTCTCGAGCCGCTCAACGGTGCGCTCGTCGCGGTCCGACACCGGCGACCCGCAGCAGTGCTGTGGCAGGCCGGGAACCGGCCACAACGAGGGCAAGAGGCACCATGCCTGACCTGGTCCGGGGCGGACGCAACAATCAAGAAAGACCGACTGCCAGTGGCCTCTTGCTCGAAGCCACTCCATCACCCGGCCGCACGCCACCCGCCGCGCGGCCCACCCCCCGACCGCAACCAGCGCACGCGCAGCCGCGCACCGCATCGTTCGAAGCGCTTCCAACGCAAGCACGGCCAGCACCAGCGAGCAACATTTGTACACCAACATTTGCCAACCTGTCACAGCAGCCCGCCGCGGACCGCACCCACCGCCGATGCGCGCACCAACACAGCCTCCCGCGGCCGCACCGTCACCCGCGTCGCGGACCGCGACCACACGCCTAGGCCGCACACGCACACTCGCACGCACTCGCATGCACCGTTGCTCAGCCGCCTCCGCCGCTGCCGCCCGCGCCCGGCGCGCGGCGCGCCCGCGGGCCCGCGGCGCCGTCAGACCTTGACGTTCACCATCACCTCGCGCTTCTGCGCCTGCAGCGAGAACAGGGGTCCGTACTGCGCGATGACGAAGCTGCCGGACTCCGCGTCCGGCCCGGGCGGGATGCCGTCCCGGCGGAGCTCCTCGAGCAGCGCCGTGCGCATCGCGTCCGCGGCCTCCGGCGTCAGGTTTCCGAACGACTTCTTCACGGCCACTGTCTGCCCCGCCAGCACCTGCGGGAGGGGGGAGTCACGTCGGGGGGGGTGTCACGTCGAAACGCGATGTCGCGGGATGGCACGTGGCGGCGTCGGGTGGCGCCTACGGACGCGGGAGGGGGCGCCGGGTGTACGCGGCGGGCGGGGATGACGTGACGCTCATGCCACGGGGGGGAATGTGTTTGGGGGGGGGGTGTGGGGGTACGCACCTCGATGGTCGCGTCTGCGTTGGCGGGGTTCGGGGGCACGTCGGAGTCGCCGTCGTCGGGCAGCTGGATCATGAGGGACATCCTTTTCGGCTCGCCAGGCACATAGTTCATGAAGACCGGCTGTGAGGCCGGCAGCCGCATGTTCTTGTCGTTTTCGCCGCCCAGATAGCTGCTCAGTGCCTCGAAGCCCTCGTCGCGTACATTGTACGGCGTTTGCACCGCGTAGAACGGCTTGTAGAGGCGCAGCTCGTAGTCCGGGGTCTCCACCACTGTTGCGTACCGCGGGGTCGGCGCCCCGGCCTCCTGGCTCGGTGGTGGCTGCGCGAACAGAGAGGAGGCATCGGTCTGAAGGAAGCTGGCGATCGCCGCGAGCGTTGGATGTTCGCGGTGCATTGCTGCCATTCATCCCTCGCGTCCACCAAGCAGTGGGGGCTCTACCTGCGGCTTCGCGGGCGCGGCCTTCTTATCCTCGTCTTTCTTGCCGCCAAACATCCCGCCGAAGAGCCCCGCGCGGCGCACGACCGTGGCCGTGCGGGCCCTGCCTCTCCTCTGGTGCTGCTGTGCTCCCCGCTCCACGCCCGCTCGCAGCCCGCCAGCGCGCATCATCATCCCTCCCGCCGCCATCGTACTGCCAACGCCTGGTCCAGACGATCAAGCGGGGCACCTGCCTCTGCTCCCGCGAGGCTTTCGCAGCGACCGCTCGCGCCACCAAAGGTCCGTCGTGGGAACGCGATGACACCGGATCGTTGCGATCGAAGCGCGGCTTGCCGAAGCAGAGGCATGCGACACGGCATGCTGGCCGCCCGCCGCTCCGTCGGCCGTTGTCGCGGCGAGTGCCCCGCGTATGACTGGCAACATGTTGCGGACTGACACCGGGCTGACTCAGGCCGCGCCGGCGTGCGCTACGGTCCCGCCGGTGGCACGGCGCTCCGTGCGCTCCGGCGTCCGCCGCCGAGGCCCCCCGGCCGCCGCGACGCCGCGTACACGAGTGAGAGAGGCCCGAGGCCTGGACTGTGCGTTTGCGGGCACACATCACATCGGAGGGGGGAAAAGCGGCCCGACACTTCAGTGGCTCTCGGGAAAATATACAACAGCGACCTGGCGATCGCAGCAGACGCCACTGTGCCGGCCGCAGCGGGAGGGACACCGGGGAGGGTCGATCCTCGGTCACCCGGTGCTCGCGCGCGGAACGGGCAAAAGGAGCTGTTTGGGAATGATGCGGAACTCTACTCGTAATTTGTGATGCAACTTGCCGCCACCTCGCGAGTCCCCGGCGCCGCGCGCGGGGCGCGGCGCTGGAGCGCAAAACCGCCCGGGGGGCGCCGCGGACGCGCCTCAGTGGCCGGACGCCTTGTCCATCGCGTCGCTCAGCAGGGACTCGATGTCCGTCGGGATCTCGCCGCCGCCCTGCTCCTTGATCACGTCAGCCACCTCGTCAATGTGCCGCAGCGCGCAGCCCGTCTCGTCGCACACCGTCTCCAGGTCGTCCTCGTGCAGGGAGCGGAGCATCACGGGCACCTCCGCGACCGCGTCCTCCGGGGGGTACATCGGGCGGCACCCATTCTCGTCGCACAGCACCTCGACGTTGCTCCACACCTCCGCGGCCTCCTCCTGCGACAGCCCCTGCGGCCCGGCGGCCAGCGCGATCTTCCTGGCCTCCTGCGAGCGGGGGGCGCGGGGGAGGGCGGTCGGGCGGGGCGTGCGGCGCGGCTGGCGATGCATAGGGCAGGGGCAGGGGGGGGGGCGAAGCGGCGCGTGGCGGGGCGCGCGGGGCGCGAGCGGCGCGGCTGCCACGGCTGCTGAGATAAGGAGGAGGGTGCGGGGTCGATCGCGCGCGGCGGCGGCTCACCTCGATCATGGCGTTCACGTCCTGTGCCCCTCCTTTCCCCTGCGGTGACGCGCGGCACACGCGGGCGCGCTGGCTGAGTTGGCGGAATGTCGGCATGATGTACCGATCTCCGCACGTCGGCGCGGCGCACACGCAGCGAAAGCGTCTGTGCCGGCTGCGGGGGGCCAGCCTAAGCCACCTCCCGCCTGGTGCAGCACGGGCCACTACGGGCCGCACAGAGGCTTTTGCGGCCGGGTGTGCGGCGCAAACGAAAGAACAAGTCTCGGAGGAGGCCCGTGACCGCGGATGCGGCGCATCAGAGCAGGGAGCGCTGCGCGCCGGCCGGAGCCCAGCTGCACTGGCGGCGAGTGGAGGAAGGGCACTTGGGCCGCCCCGGCGCGTCTCGCGCGCAACGGCGGCGGGCCCCCGCGCGGGGGCGTGCATTTGCGCGCAGGGCACGCGTCGGGCGCAGCGGGCGCCGCGGGCCGCGCCCGTGCGAGCCGGCGCAGCGCCGGCGGGCGGCGAGGATTGGCCCAGGGCAGGAGCCGGGCGGGGCCGCGTGCGCGGTCGCCGGGCGGGCTGGCGCGCCGAGAAGGATGCGCGGGACCATTCTGGCGCGCCGGCGCGCGGCACGGGCGCGCTGGGACGCTCGGGGCGCGGCGTGGGGCGCGCAAGGGTGACGATGCTGAGCTGGAGCGCCCGCGGCGCTGCGTTGGTTCGATGGCGGGTTTGCGGTGCTGGGGGCGCATGGGTGCGTACCTGGAGCTGCGTCGTGGCGCCCTCGCTGCCGGAGCCCGCCGCGCCGCGCGAGTACGCAACGACGCGGGTGCGAGGGGAGCTTCGGGCGGTGAGCGGGGCGTGCCGCTGGGGCCTGTGCGCCCGGAGACCGGCGCGCCGGGAGTGGACGGAGGTGAGGGAGGCGGGGGCCGCGGAGGCCGCGCAGTGCGCCGCCATGGTGCCGAGCGGTTGGGGTCGTTACTGCCAACAACAAAGGGTCGCCGCGGTCGGAACGTCGCCCCGCAGCACGAAGTTGCTATCCCGCAAGCCTCGCAAGAGCAGTGTGTCGACCGGGTGGCCGTTGCCGGCGCCGCACGCCGCCTTGTAGGCCAGCAGGGGAGGTGGGGAGCGAGTACAACACTGAAGCCCGGGGGGGGGGATCCTGTGCTGGCCAGTCGGCGGGGGTGGACTTGGCCTGCCGCGGACGCGTGCCTGTGACAGTGAGAGGCCACTCTGATGCGCTGTCTGCGTTGAGAGGCGTGGGTACGACGCGCAGGGCCGTGGTGGGTTTCCAGAGGCAACGCGCGCGCGTGACGCGATTTCGTGGCACGTTTCGGCGACGATGGCATCGGGGGAGGGAGGCCGGATTGCGTACTGATCTGCCAGGCTAGCGGGGCTACGGCGCGCGGCATCGCGAGCCGTCACGCGGCTGCGCTCGCCCACGCAGTGCTTCCCGGGCGGCGCGCGAGGTTGCCCGGCGCGTGCACGGGAATTACGCCGCAGTTTCCGTTCGAGATGGACGAGGAGCAGCGTAATGAGAAGTTCGGGATGGACAACGACTACGAGGGGGGCCAGTGGATCGATGGAGAGTTCTTCTACACCAAGAAAAAGGCCCGCCGGGCGCAGGTGGGAGTCAAAACACCCCCCTGGCCACCTCACGCGTCGCGTCACGAATACGCCCACCCTCTGACTCAGTTCCCACAAGATCCTTCGCCGGCAGCGCCGCGCGATCCCCAGCGCACCGCGCCGCTCAGCCCCACCGCGACGCCGCGCCTCTGCAGACCAAGGAGGAGCAGCTGTACGGCGTGTGGGGCTCCAGCGGCGAGGAGGAGGCCGACGAGGCCGGGGGCTTCGGCCGGCGGAAGAAACAGCGGCGCGAGGGCGGCAGGACGGACTACAAGGCTCCCGTGGGGTTCGTGAGCGCTGGGCGCGTGGGAGGTGCGCGTGTCGCCGCGCCGCCCCGCCGCACGCCGCTGCGCGCCCCGGGTCGATGACGAGCCAACACCTTCTCAGCTAATCTTCTCTCGGACGCCAGGCATCCAACCTGGCGGCGTGACGAGACTGGCTATGCTAACCCGAGACCCGCGGCGCCTCGCCGACGACCGTGCCTCTTCTACTTTGCAAGCGCCCTGCACCGCCACGGCGCGGTGCGTCCCGCGCGCGGTGCCGCTGCGAAACAACACGCGCTGCGACGCGCAACGTCGTGCTTCGCAGGCGACGCCGAGGCGGCGAACGACGCGCCGGCCGCGGCCCCCGAGCGCGGCGGGCTAGGTTCGGGCATGGCGGGGCTCGGGTTCACGAAGGGTGGCGTCCAGGTGCGTCACACGCCAACGGCACACTAGCGCGCCTGCGCCCCAGCGCTTCCGTGGTCACTCACCGCGCGTCCGTGCACCCCGCTCCGCGCAGAAGCCCGAGGACGAGCCGCCGGGTCCACGCGGGGCCGAGGTGTCCGCGCCGCTGTCCGCGCAGGCCGCCGAGGCGTCGCGCGATGACGACGAGCCGGCCGTATTGCCAACAGACTTCGGCCGGCGCATCCGGCAGGCGGCGGCGGAGGAGGCGGAGCGGCGCGAGGCGGAGCGGCGCGTGGCGGAGGCGCGCGGGGGCCACGGGGAGTTCAGGGGGGTGGGGGAGTTCGAGAAACACACCAAAGGCATCGGGGCGAAGCTACTGGCGAAGATGGGGTACAAACCGGGTCAGGGCCTGGGGCGCGCGAAGCAGGGGATAGCGTCGGCGATCCAGGTGAAGATGCGCCCGAAGGGCATGGGGATGGGGTATAACGACTTCCAGGAGGCTGGGCAGTTGAACAAGGCGAAGAGTGAGTCTGACGCGGGGGGGGGGAGTGAAGGCGGGGCGGCGGCGGGCGGCGGCGGCGCGGCGGCGAAGGCGGAGGCGCCGCGGGGGCAGTCGTGGCGGAAGGCGAAGCGGGAGAAGGGCCCGAAGAAGGTGTTTCGCACGGCGGCGGAGGTGCTGCAGGCGGCGGAGGAGGGCGCGGACGCGGGGGGGGGCGTCGGGGAGGCGGTGACGGTGATCGACATGCGCGGGCCGCAGGGGCCGAAGGTGCTCAAGAACCTCGAGGGCCTTTCGAAGGACGCAGACGACCTGGTACGTGGACAACACACACACTCCACCTGTCTTTCTTTCTCTCTTCGACCCCACGCGCGCTGTTACTTTCTGCTGCCCCTCTTCCTTTCTTCTGCTCGATGCTTGCGCTCAAGGCGTTCAGGGAGCGGCGCTGACACTGCACGGCCACGCTGCGCCGCGTGTGCAGTCCGCGTTGGGCGCGCACCCGTCCCTCGCCACCGCGGCCCCGTGACGCGCCGTCCCCCGCGCCCCCGCAGGACACGCCCGCGGCGCCGCGGGGCTTCCTGCCGGAGGTGCGGCACAACCTGCGCCTCTTGGTCGACCTAGCGGAAGCCGACCTGTCGAAGTTTTCGGGGCAGCTGCGGCGCGCGAAGGACACGGCGCTGGTCCTCGGCCGCGAGAAGGACCGGCTGCGCGGCGAGCTGCAGGACGCCGAGGAGTCGGCGGACGCGCACCGGGCGCTGGCGGGCCAGTGCAGGGCCGTCGAGTCTGTCGCGAAGGCGCTGGCGAGGACCGCAGTGTCCGCGGCGGGGGCGGACGGCGGCGACGCGTCGGGGGCGGCCGTCCGCGCGCTCGATGCGCTCGCGGACGCGTACGAGCGCATGCTGCGGGGCTTCCCTGCGGAGTACGCGACGTACGGGATGGGGCGCGCGGCAGCGGGGAGGGCGCGGCCGCACCTGCGGGCGCTGATGAGCGGGTGGGCGCCGCTGAGCGATCCGCGGCGCGGCGTGGAGGTGTGGCGGCGGTGGCGGGCGATCGTGGACCCGGGGAGCGGGGAGGCGGGGCCGCTGACGCGGGGGGGGGGAGTGAGGGACCCGTGGGCGGCGTTGCTGGCGGAAGCGGTGCTCCCGCACGTGCGTCACGCGTTCACGACGTTGTGGAGCCCCAAGGACCCGGAGCCCGCGCTCCAGGTACGACGCTCGCGCCCACCGCGGACGGTTGTCTCAGCGTGGGCTCCGCAGTCTTCGATTCGCATCTCCTGCCCACACATGTCGGCTCGGCTGCCGCGCGGCCCGGGACTCGCTCACCGGACCCCGTCCCGCACCGCTGTGCAGCTCCTGGAGGCGTGGCAGGGCGTCATGCCGCCGTCGGGCACCCGCCACGTCATTGACGCTCTCATCCGCCCGAGGCTCCGTCGAGAGCTCGAGGCGTGGGATCCGCGCGGCGACCCGGTGCCCCTGCACGCCTGGGTGCACCCCTGGCTCCCGCACCTCGGGTCAGACATGGAGGAGTTCTACCCAGGCATTCGGCACAAGTTTTCCACCGTGCTTGCCGAGTGGCATCCGTCCGACGGCTCCGCGCTCGCGGTGCTCGCGCCGTGGCGCGCGCCGTTCGGGGAGCGCGGCTGGGGCTCGCTCATGCAGCGCTCGGTGCTCCCGAAGCTCGCGGAGGCCCTCCGCGCCCTGCATGTCAACCCCGCAGCGCAGGACACGGCGCCGCTCACGTGGGTGCTCGCCTGGGAGCCGCACGTCGCGCCCGCGGCGCTCGCGCAGCTGCTCGAGGCCGAGCTGTTCCCGAAGTGGCACCAGGTCCTCGACCACTGGCTCCGCGCGTCGCCAAACTTCGGCGAAGTGACTCAGTGGATCAACGGGTGGCAAAGCCTGTTGCCGGAGCGCCTGCTGCATCAGGAGGGCGTCCGACGGCACTTCGCGGCCGCGCTGGACGCGATGAACCGCGCGCACGCCACCGGGGACCCCGGCGGCGCGCCGCCCGGCCCGCGCCCGCGCCCCCGCCGCCGCCGGCGCAGCCTCAGGCGCCGCGGCGGGCGGCGCCGGCGGCGGAGGTGGACGCGGCGAAGCTGTCGCTGCGGGAGCTGGTGGAGACGTTCGCGGAGGAGCACGGGGTGGAGTTTTTGCCGCGGCAGGGGCGGACGGAGGGAGGTTTGCAAGTGTGGGCGTTTGGGAGGGTCAGCGTGGTGCTCGACAGCATCGCGCAGGTGGTGCGGGCGCACGTGCGCGGGTCGTGGCAGGCCGTGTCGCTGAGCGAGCTGCTGCGGGAGCACGAGGCGCGGGCGAAACGGGGCAAGGCGTGACCAGTGGATGGGCGGTGCCGCGTGTGACGTCGCACGCGCTCGGTGGACGGCGGGCGGGCGGTGAGGCGCTGGCGCTGCAAAATCGCGCGAGGGCAGTGGGATTTGAACCCACGATCGTGCGATTAGAAGTCGCACGCCTTATCCAGGCTAGGCCATACCCCCTGCTGTGCAGTCGAGGCCTCCGAAGGGGACCGAGACCCTAGCTCAGCAACTGTCGCGGCAAAATGTTTCCTGAGTCAGGCGGCATTTTCAGGCATCCCGCTGCTGAATATTTTGTTCACGACAGCGTGTGTATCTTCTTATCCCTTCTGTGGTGCAACATCTGCGACTCGAACGCAGCGCGCCCCCGCACGCCTCACAGCGAGCAGGCTCCTACGCCCGCGCCACCTCGCGCCGTCCACGCGCGCGCCTCCCTCCCCGCGCGCGCGCCCCCGCAGGCCAACCAGGGGACTCCCCCCCTTCCTGCGCGGACACCCCTCACTTGGCGCCCTTGAGCAGCGCGACGATCTCCGCCCGCTCGTTGATCTCCGCGACGTCCATGGGCGTCTTCTTGTCGTCGTTCTTCGCGGATGTGCTCGCGTTCTTGCTCAGCAGCAGCTCCACCAGCTCCTTCTGGTCGTAGCCCGCCGCGTAGTGGAGCGGGGTGTTCTTGTTGTCGTCCTGGCACTCCACGTCCGCCCCGGCCTCCAGGAGCAGCTCCGCGCACTTCTGCACAAACGCACCACGCACCGCGCGCACCACCGTCAAGCACAACTCCACCCCCCCCCCCCCGCCTCCACGCACCGTTCTCGCGAACCGCGCGCACCGCGCTCCTCGCGCAGCACCCGCGCAGCACGGCCCGCACGCGCGCGCGCATCGCGCCAGCACCGCACCTTCTCGCCGTAGCCGCACGCAAAGTGCAGCGCCGTCCGCCCCTCCTCGTCCCGCTTGTTCACGTCCACGTCCTTCTCCTTCAGCAGCTTCTCCAGCGCCTCCGCGTCGCCGTCGCTCGCGGCCGCGTGCAGCGGGGACCCCTCCTCCTCCCCGGCGTCCTCGCCCTCGCCCGCGGCCGCGCCCTCCATGTTGAACTGGTCCCCAAACGCCTTCCCGAGCTTCGCGAGCACGTCCGGGTCGTTCCAGTACTTCATCATGGCCTGCGGGCCGCCGGACTCGATCTCCTTGAGCACGTCGCCCACCTCCGGGTCCTCCTGCAGGGTCTTCATCTTCTCCTCCCACTCCTTGCGCACGTTCTCGTTCTGCATCATCTCCATCATCTGCTTCGTCGTGGGGTCCTGCATCAGCTGCTGGCCGATCGTCTGCGCCATCTGCATGAACTGCTCGTTCTGGAACAGACCCTCCATCACCTTGGCGTAGGACTCGGCGCCCTCGCCGCCCTGCATCATCTGGGCCATCATGGCCGGGTCTGCGGGCGCGGAGAGGGGGGGGGGAGGCGTGGGCGGGCGGGCTGGCGCGAGGGAGGGTCGGCGGGCGGGTGGGGCACGCGTGCGTGAGATGAAGGGGGGTCGAGGGCGCACCCGGCATGCCCTTCGGGGCGGCGTCGGGGCTAGGTCCGCCCTGCGAGGAAGAGGGAGGCGGGAAACGGGAGTGTTGCGCGGGAAACGGATTGCGGGCGCGTGGGTGGAGGAGGGTGCGAGTGGCTGAAGTGACCCCGGGCCGGCGCGTGCGGCGCGGCCGCGACGTTGCGACCGGACAGGGGGGTCGGGGCGCACAGGAGGTGTGCCGCGCCGCAGGCGCCGCCACGAAACGGGGCAGCTGGGGGCCGGCATTGGACGCGCACGGAAATCGAAGAGACCAGGCTCTCATCCGACTACACGGCGTCTGGCGAGCTCTAGAGAGGCAGCCGGTGCGGCCAGGCAGCGTATCCACGCGTGATGGATGCGGGAACGGCCCCGGCCTATCCCGGCGGCCCCCTCGCGAGGCGCGCGCAGGTGCAGAGGTGCCAAGTGGAAGAGGGATGCCAGGGGCTGCCAGGGCACGGCAGGTCGCTGGCGTGGGCGCTTCGCTCACCTCGCCCATTCCACCGCCGAGAACGCCCTGCAGTTGCTCCGTGATCTTGCGGAACGCGGGGTCCTGGGCAACCTGCTCAGCCATGGCCTTCATCGCGGGATCCTGCGGCGCGGGGGAATGGGCGAGGCAGTGTGTGTGCTCCTCGACGGCGCGGGCAGCCGGGAGGGGCCGTGTGCGCCGGGCGCCCGGAGCGGGCTGACGCCGCAGCTGCGCCTTCCGGGCGCTTGGCCCACTCGTGGGCTCCGCGTGCGCCCGGGGGCGGGGCGCGACGGCGCGGGGGCGCGGTGGAAATCGTGTTTGCGAAAGCGAACGGCGGCGAACTCACATTGAGGGCCTCCTGCAGAGCCGACAGGTCGGGGAAGCCTGGGGGCTGGCCGGCCATGATTTCGTCCTCGCAGTGAACGGCGGGATTGAAGGCTGCTCAGGGAGCGACAGAACGGCGCAAGATGCATGCAACGCGCGGAGCGCGCGCCCGATAGAGCGCCGCAGCGAGCCGTCGCGTCGCACCCCCGTGGCGATCGAGTATGACACGCCGACAGTCGCAGGGGCCGGTCCGACTCGCGAGGTCCCACCGCCACGCAAGCCGCGCATCCGTGCGATCAGGCCGCGCACACGTCCAGGCCCACCGAACCCCGACAGCCCACCAAGACGCCCATCCAGACATACGCTGCCGCGTCGCACCACGCCCGGTGCCCGTCCCTCGGCACATGCGCACCGTCTCCGGCGCAACCGGGACTCCTCAGCCTCCGCACTGCCTCCGCCGCCCTCCGAGCTTCAGCGCGTGCATGAGGCCCACGTGGCACCGGCACAGGGACACGCAGGTGCGGGACTTCACAAGACCCGAAAGCGATCACTCATCGTCGCCCGCGTCGTCGTCGTCCTCCTCCCGGGCCCTCTTCTTCCCTGCGCCGAGGCAGCACGGGGCGGCGCGACATCAGCGGCGGCCCGCACGCGGCAGCCCGACCCATCAAACATGGACGCCAACAGCGTGACGACACAACGCCGCCGCGGCCCCGGGGCGCTCACCTGCGCCGCGGCCCTTCTTGCCGCTCTGCGCCTTGAACGCCGCCAGCGCCTGCTCGAGGTCCGCCTGCACCGCAGCCCCCCACCACGCGCCCGCGCACCTCTTACCCTCCGTCGCAAGGCGGTGCAACATGGCAGTGGGGCAGGCACCGGACGAGCCCGCAACGCGCCGCGCGCGTGGACGTGCTGGTGTCAAGGCGGCCGAGGGGGGGGGGCTGTTGGCTTGCCTTGCTGACGTAGGCAGAGAGTCCCGTGTCTTCCAGGGCGCGGAAGATTTCGTCCGGAGTCAGGGTCTGCTTCTTCTTGTCCTTGCACTTGTCCCAGCCGTCCGCGCAGACGTAGTGGATGAAGACCTTCGCGGCCTCGCCGAGCGCGAGCAGCGCATCCTTGGACACCTGCGGTGCGTAGAGGCTCGGCGGAGTGGGCAAGCCTGCGCGCCGCGGCCGTTGCCGGCGTTGGCCGGCCGCTCCGGCGGCGCGTCGTGCATGTTCGAGGCTGTACCGCATCCGTCCGCGCCAGGACGGGGTTCGATCTGCAGGGAAAAGCGCCGCATGCGGAAACAGAGGTGCAGCGGAGAAAGCGCGCGGAGCACCTGGATCTTCTTCCCGTCGGCGCCCTGCAGCTCTGTCAGCTTGTTCGTGACAATGCGCTTGATGTTGGATGCGGGGAGGCTCAGGTCCGCCATCCTGCTGTCCACGAGCGCGCCGGGCGTCGCCCGCGTGCACGCTGCGAGGCGTGGCTGCGCTCAGCGGCCCGCCGGGGAGCTGCGGGACGGTTCCGCCGACCGGTACGCTGCCAGGGAGCCGCCTCGGCGATTGAGATCCCTCGTGAGCGCTAGATGCAAGGGAGGTGCGGGGTGCAGAGTCCTAGGCTCGGAGAATGGCTCGATAAAACGACTTGAGGGGGAAGGTGCGCGTGACTGCCTGGAGGACCGGGCCGCGAGGTAAGTGTTCGCGCTACCGCGACGCCGCCCGCTTCCTGCTCCGGCGTGCCCGACTCCTCTTCCCGCGCTGGTTGACCCCTCCTGGGCCGCCGTGGGCGTGTTCGGGGGGCGGCGACTCCCGCTCAGGCCAGCGCACGCTTGGAAACATCGTTGACGGCCTGAACATCATGACGTGCACGGCCGAACTGCGTCCCCAGGCGCGGCGGGAGTGCACTTCATCTGCTCTGTTTTCCATCCCGTTGCGGCCACGTCCTCCGCGCCGCATCCAGGGGTCTCGCGACACCAAGGCTGTTCCATGTAGGAGGCACCTCGGCCGCCGTTCATCGGCCTTGGGATGCGCTCAGCGAGGCGCAGTAGCCGCTCAAGCATGCACGGTGGAGGCGCTCGTACAGGTCGCGTCGGAGGACAACTGGCGTCAGCCTCTGCGGCCAAACGAAGGGACGGACTGCGAGTCCATGGACGCGAGCAGGGACTCCCTCGACGGGCCCGGGTTCGTCGTGGCGCTGGGGAAATTCGACGCCATGCACTTGGGCCACCGCTCGCTCGCGGAGGCCGCCGCGGACATGGGGCACCCCTTTCTCATTTCGTTCTGGGGCATGGCGCAAGTGCTAGGCTGGGAGGAGCGCCGGCCCATCGTCGCGCCGGTCGACCGCCCGCGCGTGCTGCGTCAGTGGGCCAATCACTGCCGCGGCCTCGTGCCGCACCAGCGCTTCCTGCCCTTCGACAAGGTGACGACGCACGCCGCATTCCGATACCCCCACTCCTCAGCTCTGCGCCAGCCGCCCGCGCGTGCCCGCTCGCAACGCAACACTCTTTGCGCCGAACGACTTCCGGAGTGCCGCGCACTGCAGTGCAACCCTCACGCATCGTCCGCGCCGCCGCGCCCGCTGTCGACGACGCGGTATCTCTCGCCTGGCACCACCGCCGCGTTGCGCGCCGGGGCGTTTGCGCACCAGCCGAGCATCACACACTTTGATATTTAAAGTCACGGTGGCGTTCTGGGGCCCCGCTCGGCGGTGCAGGTGCGCTCGATGTCGCCGCGGGAGTTCGTCGAGCTGCTCGCGTACGACCTCGGCGCCACCGGCGTCGTCGTTGGCAGCAACTATCGTTTTGGCCATCGCGCGAAAGGCACCGCGGCCGACCTCGTCGAGCTCGGCACGGAGATGGGGATGCGCGTGCGCATCGCGGACCTCCTCACGGAGCACCGCGCGGACGGCCCCGTCACGAAGCTCCCGGTGGTGTCGTCCTCGAGGGTGCGCAAGCATCTGAGCAAAGGCGACATGGACGCGGTGGCTGCGCTGCTCGGCCGGCGGCACCGCCTGGTGGCGACGATCACGACGAGCCCGGCCGTCGCGACGGCTGCGGACCCGGGGCACTCGGACGGGCTGCGTGCGATGGGCACCTCGATGCCGGACACCGACAGTCAGTCAGTTACACTCCGGAGACGGTTCCCCCGGTCGGCCGGTGCGGCGCGAGCAGAGGCCGAAGCCCCCACCCATGTGCGCCTGTGGCCTTTTCCCGCGCCGCGCATGCTGCTCATGTCGCCCGCGCAGATCGCGGGGCACGCGATCCGGTTTCCGCTGGACGCGCTGCTAAACGAGCCGCCCGGGCGCGCCGGGACGTACCGGGCGGGGGTCACGCTGTGCGGGGAGGGCGAGGAGAATGGGACGGTGGGGTGTGTTCTGGGGGATGTGGAGGTGGAAGTGGGCGACGGACAGCTCGTGATCCCGCTGAACGATTCGGGGGTGGACTGGGAGGCGGTGGAGAAGCTGTTGCAGGGCGGGGCGCGGCTGAACGTGGACTTGTGACACCGGGGCGACAGAAAACCACCCTGGCCTTGTTTTGCAGATTGAATCGCCGAGGCACGGCCGTGGGCCGTGTTCCTCATTTCGCTGTTCGTTTGGCTGCGCCGGTTCGCGCGCGTGGTTGCCGTCCGCCCCTCGACAACGTGCTCCCGACGTCGTCGCACTTTTGCGATGTTGTTGCGCGGGGTGGAAGCAGCGCTTGACGCGTTGTGCCGCGTCCTGGATGTTGCAGCGAGTCAGCGGGGTCCGCGTCGCGCCGACGCGACCTGGAATGCGTGGTGGTGTCCATGGAGACGTCCCCGGGGTCTCCGACTGCGTCTCACTCCGAGTCCTCCCGCGACCACGGAGGGGCCGAACACGGTGCGCCGTGCTGCGCGCCGGGTACTCTGAGATCGTGTGGTCCCGTTCGATCACTCGACAGCGTCGTCCGCGAACGACATGGAACACAATGCGACGACCGGGTGCTGTTTGTTGCTGGGCAGCTCTTCTGTTGGCTCTGCTGGCTGCGCCGCGCGTGTGCGCGGACCGCCGGGCTGACGGAGCGGGATATATAGGAGAGCATGCAGGACAGCTGCTCGCGGCCCGCGGCGGTGAATCTGCGGAGCAGAACAGGGTGTTTGGGCACGCGACACAGAAGGAGGCCGGCCCGGGCGTGCAGCGCCCGATTTTGGACGAGCCAGGCTACGAGGCTGATGGCGTTGAAGTGAAGGAGGAGCTGAGCGGGAATGTGGGCGATGGACGACCGGAGGGTGGGAGGGCGAGGGAGCTCTGGACGGCACTGCTGGTGTTCCTTGCGGGCGCGTTCGCGAACGCGGCGGGCGTGGGCGGCGGGGCAATTTACGTGCCCATCTTTGCCCTCGCCCTGGTGCGCACTCTGGCACCACTTCCCCGCGCATTATCGCGCTCTCGACCCCGCGGTCGGCCTCTCATCCAGGACGTTAGTCACCGCCCGCACCCACGTATAACAGCGCTCCTGGCGTGCTGAGCAGGACCTGGACGTCAAGTCAGCGACAGCCGTCAGTCAGGCGCTGATCGTCGGTGGTTCGTTCGCCTCGGTCCTCCTTAACTCGACGAAACAACACCCATACAACCCAGCGAGGGCGCTCGTGGACCTCGAGGTGCGCCGCTCCCGGCACCCTGGCACCGTAGATCGATCAGGACGTCGCGCCAACGCCACGCTGCCCCTCCCGCCGCAGGTATGCACGATGCTGGAGCCGGGGCTCATGCTAGGCATTACGTTTGGCGTTCTGATCAACGTGGCGATGCCCGAGTGGCTCGTCAACTTCCTCCTCGCCTCGGTGCTGGTCTACCTGTCCCTCAAGACCGTCTCCAAGGGCAAGGACATGCTCGAGAAGGAGACAAACCTGTTTGAGCGCAACCACAACCTCTCGCGCCTGGGCAACGCCACCGCGCCCGTCTCCCGCGTCAACAGCATGGCGCGCTCCCTGAAACGCTGGGGCTACTCCAGGCTCCGCCCCTCCAAGGCCGTACAGGTCCCGCGGAACGTCGCGCGCAGCATGGTCGACCCCAACTCCCTGCGTCGGCACCTTTTGGAAACTGACGTCAGCGCCGACGACCTCGCGGGGACGTCGCCGCTCGGGACGTCCCCGGGCAGCGTCATCACGGGGGCGTCGCCGCCCGCGCCGTGCGTGTGGCCGGGCGGCGTCGTCGGCGACTACGGCAGCGGTGACGAGGAGGCCCCGCCTGCGTCGAACCACTCGATGGCGGCGAACGACGGGCCACGCAGGGCGCCGGGGGGCTCTGAGATCGACGGTGCAGCGGCGCTGGAGCCGCGCTTCACGCTCATGTCGCAGTCGGGCGGCTTGGAGAGGGCGGCCGCGCACGCGCAGGCGCAGGGGCAGGGGCAGGCGCGCAGCGGCGTGGAGGACGAGGACGACGAGGCGTCGTCGCAGGCCCGGCAGCAGCTGTCCGACATGGCGGCGATGTACTTAGTGTCGCGTGGCGGCGGCGGGGACGTGTACGGGTGGGATCGGGCGATGACATTGAACAGAATGATGATGGCGGGGGGGCGCCGCGTGCGGCACGCGCTGGGGCAGGTCGAGGAGGTCGAGGAGGGCGAGGAGACGGAGACGCCGAACGGCGAGAGGTCGCTGCACGCGTCGGAGGCGCCTGCGCCGCGCTGGACGCTCTCGCCGCTGTGGAAGGAAGCGGCGGCGCGGTTCGCGCTGCTCGCTGCGATGTGGCTGTCGTTCGTGACGATCCAGCTGTACAGGTGCGCGCCCGCTGCTCACGAGACCCACGACCCCCCCTCGATGCACCTGGCGCTCTTGTCGCCTCGATTTCCCCGGCCTTTATGCCCCTGGCGCTTGCAGGGACGGACAGGCGCCGTGCGCGCCGGTGTGGTGGTCGACGATCGCCCTGCAGTCCGTCCTGAGCGTCGCTGCCGCGCTGCTGATGCTGCTGCTTCTGCGGCGCGCGAAGCAGCACCCGGGGGACCCGGAGTCGCGCACTGCGCTGCAGCGGCAGCCCCTGACGAAGGCCGCGCAGCTCACGGCGACCGCGGCATCGGCGGGCGTCGTGGCGGGCATCGTGGGTATGAGTGGGGGCATGATCATGGCGCCAGTCTTGCTCGACGCAGGACTCCCCCCGCAGGTTGCCGCCGCCAGCTCAGGTGCGTCGCAGCCGTCGGTGACGCGAGGTGCACGTGTTGCGGGGTGCGTTTGGATCTCTGTGCGCGCGACGCGACCGGTCCTGTCGCGGCGCTGTTTTTGCAGCGCTGGTGGTGTTGCTGTCGTCTTCGGCGGCGAGTATTCAATTCTTTGCTTCGGGACACATGCCGCTCGGATACAGCGTGGTGTACGGCGCCATTTGCTTCGTGGCGAGCGTGGTTGGCATCATGCTCATCCGCGTCGCAGTCAAGGTACGCCGCACTCTGACCCCCCCCCCTCCAACCTGACGTCAGGCAGGCAGACGAGCCCGACCAGCGCGCTCGCGTTTCCCACGCAGCATCCCTCCTGCGCTCTCCGTGCAGGCCACGGGGCGGGCGAGCGTCATCGTTCTCGTGCTGGGGGGCATCATGGCCGCTTGCGTGCTCGTCATCGTGGCCACATCCTACGCGGACATCTACGACGGAATCGCCGGCCTCGACTTCGGGCTCGGAGACTTCTGCGAGGCGCAGGCAGTGTCGCGGTAGGACGCGGCGGCGCAGGACATCCCTAGCCTGCGGGCACCAGCGGCGATGCTGTCGGCGCGGCTCAGTGCGCTGAGCTGCGTCCGGCCGGACTGGTGTCGCCCCTGCTCTTGTACATGTGGGGTATCGGAGGGCGCTCATGCTTGTGTCGTTTCCTATGACCTCAAACACCTTGTGGGAGACCGTCGGTCTCCCACATTGGATGTCTCAGACACCGCTTGTTGCTGACGCACGTAGAGGCCCGCGTCGCGCTGACTAAGACGAACGGATCAGTCGATGATGTTCCACCGCCATCAGCAGAGCAGCAAACTTCTCGTGGTTGTGAGGCGCGAAACACCTGCGGGGCGTCGTCGGGCGCACTGCCATGAAAGTGCAGCTCTGCGGCCGCGCTCACGCCGCAGAGCCTCCAGTGCAGGCTGATGAGCATGTCGCTATCATGGACGCTGGTCGTCGCACGCTTCGCACGTCCCGAAAGCACAGCCTCGAATCATCATGGAGTGGCAGCAACCGTGGCGACACAGAGACTGTCTCGCACCAGCCCGGGGGCTCGCGTTGCGGTCCTGGCGTGTCCTTTGCCGCGCGGCCCACCTAGGAGGACCCGGCACACGTGATGCCTTGTTGTTGTTTGCATATCACAGTTTTATGACGGCGTGAACTCCGGGTGGCCTTGGATGACGTTGTTCCAGAAATAGTGCCCGTCCGTGTGGTCCTCCATCTTCGCGAGGGTGATGACCAGCCGCCGTGCCGCGCCCGGGCCCTCGACCTCCCACGAGCACTCATCAGCAATGACTGGATTGCTCAGTTCGCCCTCCATGACGGTCACACCGCGCACCTCGGCGTGGATCCGGCGAGTAGCGAACTTCACCTGCACAGCGTCGTGCTTCTCGCCAGTCTCCGCACCCAGAGCGCTCGCCGCGACGGCACCCTTGCAAGCCCTAGGTCACGCGGGCGGAACAGCGCCGGGTCCGCACCTGGATGTGCCTGCTCGTCGTCAGAGGCGGCAGACGGATTCGCACAGCCACCTCCCTGTGGTTCTGCAGCCACTCGTACCCGGGAACGGAGTCCCTGCCCTGCGAAGACGCGCTACCGTCCGCCTGGGGGGGCGACACGCTGCCCCCGGGCACCGAGCGGCCCTCAGAGCTCGAGCCTCCGTCGCTGCGCGCCGGGGGACCCGCTCCGGGAGTGCCTTCGCGCATCAGCGCGGCCGCGTCGGGCCTCAGGAAACTGCGCCACATTCGTTCACTCCGCGAGTGCTTGTGCTCGCCATCCGGGGACCGCGCCCTCCAGGAACGCACCGCAAACGCGAGAACAGCGACTGTGGCTGCCGCCGTGGCGGCTGCCGCGGCCACGCGCGACGGCGTGACCATCCCCGCGGCTGAGTTCCAACGTTCGCCTAGGGAAGGCATCACGCCGCGAACCGTCGTCCAGAGATCTCGAAGCGCGACTGGATGCGAGCGGGAGGCTGCCCGCGAGCCTGCTCTACGACGCGCTCGCGGTCAGCAGCCCCGTGAAGCCCCGGAGCGGGCGCCACGCAGTCAGACGCACAGCCTGACACAGTATCGGGGGACTGACTGATAGCTGCGGGTGGGAAAGCGTCACAAGCATGGCGCCCTGTACCCCACTCGTCGCTCAGGCCGCGCCACCCGGCCGTCGCACGCTGCAGCGAGGCACCCGGCCTCTCTACACGACATCACTTGTACCGTCGGACCCGGGGTCCTGCCACAGAGACACCCCCTCTTCCCGCGACACCTGCTGCACGATCCTCCGGATCGTGCGCGGGTGCAGGAGCGACTTCGCGCTCTCGCTGAGCGGCACGTGGATCAAGTTTCTACTCTGAGACCCCCACGTGTCCCCGTACTCCCTTCTCAGGTGGCTGACCTGCGAACGAGGGGGCGGGCCGCGCGCCACGCGTCGGACAGGCTCGCGGCCGCCAGCGCCGCGCTGTGCGGGGCGCCGCTGCGAGCGCACCTGTCGGCGGAGCTCCAAATATAGCTGCGCATGTGCCGAGCCCAGGAAGACGGTGGTGTACTTCTCGTCGTCCATGTTCGCGGCCTCGATGGTGGACGCGCTGTTGTCGTGCACGAACAGCGGCTGCGCCCACACCGCCATGCCCTCCCCGACCGCGTTGTACAGGTAGTAGTCGGCGAAATACCACTGAAGCGGGAACCGGAAGACCTGTTTTCCCTTCTGCAAAGCCGCGATTCCGCCGTCGTACATCTGGTCCAGCAGCGCGGCCATGCCCGCGCGGTTCAACACGTACGCCATCGAGCTCGTCGTCGCCCCGCTCGCGTGCGGCAGGAAGTCAACGTTCAGCGCGGTGGCCACTTCGGCCATGTAAGGGTGGTTGTTGTACAGGACGACGCCCTTCGTCCCCGCCGGTGCGCTCGCAAGGATATCTGGCAGCGTCTGCGCGCACAGCGACGCACGATCGCGAACGTCACGGGCGGCGGCGCTGCGCATGCAAAGAGCACACGTCCGCGCGCGTGGTCGCACCTTGGGCCACACGGAGGCGTAGTCGAACCAGGCGTCGTCCTCAATGAAGAGGGCGACTTGCTCGCCGCGGTCGTACGCCGCGCGGACGGCCTTGACGTGACTCAGGAGGCAGGACACCTCCCTGACGTGTTTCAGTTCCCGTCCGAGCGCCTTGTCGCGAATGTGCATGCGCTTCACCTCCTCCTTCGCCATCTCGCGGCCCCCGTCGACCGCGACGTGCTTGCTGCGGCGCACGAGCAGCCAAGTAACCGGCACCAGTGAACGACTTGCTACACGTGTGCAAATGGCAGCGTGTTGCTCCGACTTCGCACTTGCGGGGCCGTCCGCGAGCACGCCGCGCAGCTCCGGCGCACAGGGGGGCTCGTGCGGTGCTCACCTGGCACCGCAGTGCAGCACGAAGCGGTCGAAACCCTCCCAGTCGTCGCCAACTGCATCGATCTGCACGTGCCTGACGAGGGACAGCTGGTGCTTCTGTCGCGCCTGCCTGGCCGTGGATCCGCGCAGGCTTGTCCAGTAGACCGGTATCGGGCCGAGCACGCGGCGCACGTGGAGGGGGAGAGCGTCTGCGTCGCGAGCGGATACTGGGGGTGCTTGCCACGTCAGGACAGGCCGCATCCAGCCGATTCGTGGCACGGATTCATCACGAATACATGCTCTACATGCCTTTGCAGCGCAAATCGGGCGCTGGTGAGGCCCAGGTGTGCAGTGTGGGCAGCGCCGTGCAACTGCATCCGTCTTCCGAGGGGGCGCACCAGCGGGTTCATCCGCCAGACACCACGTGTTCGTGGCCAGGAGACTGATGATGTACAGAAGAGTCGAGACGTGCAGCAGACGCACGACACTTGGCGGCGGGAGCGCCATGGAGCGATCGGGACTGCGCCAGTCCTGCCCGCACCACCCTCACCGCCGCTGACTGCACCGCTCACTGCCCCGCATCGCACCTCCGCGAACTATATGGTCCTACAGCGAGCGCCTGTCGGCCCAGGGAACCTAGCGCGCACCCGGAAACAGGAAAGTCTTGAACCTTTGGTTGTGCGCCGCGAACGAATGTCACTCCGAACTCCGTGCTGGCTACTCAGCCGGTGCGGAGATCGTGCCAGACGGGCGCAACAAAGCACCGGCGCCCGGGGGGCTCCGGGCGCAAAGACGACGCCGGGGCGGCCTCTCCCCACGCGGGGGAGTGTCTTCCGGTATGACAGACGACGCAGCCAACACGGGTGTGCCTCAATCGGCCAGCGACCCACCGCGCGCCGCGCGCACCCGCGCCGCACGCTCGACGCGTCCATATCCCACCGGCCCCCTCACATTCGAGACTTCAGGTCTCGTTTTGTCAGCTCTGGTCCATCTCCAGGTCCTCCGCCTGCGCAGCCACGTCCGCGCCCTCCACGTGCGCCAGCAGCCCGCGCAGCTTCTTCGTGATCACCTCGAACGCCGAGGCCGCGATCTCCGGACACGTCAGCTGCTTCAGACTCTCCACCTTGAACACATACTGATCCTTGGCCTTGATCGTCAACAACCCAGGCTTTCCCAGCTCCTCCGACTTCCGCAGCACCTCCTCGTCCCACGCGTACCGCTCCGGCTCCGGCACCTCGAGCTCCCCCGTCACCGCGTTGATCGCCAGCGTCGAATTCGGGTCCGCGTCCACCAGCTCCTGCTTCTCCTCGTCGCTGAGCTGCGCGAACAGCGCCTGGTTGATGCGGATGTCCGGGACGTACTGCGGCGCAGGAGGGGCGGGGTCGGGGGGGTTGGGGAGGACGCAGCGGGCGGAGAGGGCGTGGGGGGGGGGATAGTGGCGTGCTGGGAGACTCGCCTGGAAGACTGCCGTCGCGACGGGCTGGAACTTGGCGTGGTCCTTCCCGATGCCCTTGCGCGCGATGGCGGTGAGTCGCACGGACTGGTTCTGCGCGAGCTTCACGATCGGGATCCCGCCCGACGGATCTGCAACGCTCGCGTGCGACGCGTAACAAGGGTTTGAGAGCGCGGGCGTGCCGTTCGCGCGGCGACGGCGCGCTGCGGGGCTGCGGGAGCGGCGGCGGCAGGGGAGCGTCGTGCGGGCGGCGTCGTGCGCGCACCGCTCTCGTCGAAGCCCACGGGCCTGATCGACGGATACTGTTGGTCGATTTTCAGCATGTTCGTGGTCACGACGACGTTCTCCCCGCTCGTGTTGGTGAGCGCGAGCGAGAGCTCCGCCTCCGGGAAGTCCTCCGCGTCCTCGGCCTCGTAGATTGTGTGGAAGCGGTGCACTTCCGCAGAGGACACCAGGGGAACCAGGCCCAGGCGGTGCGCGAGGTACTCGTCTGGGAGCGGGGACGTGTTCTCCTCGATGCCCACGAGCTCGATGGCGATCGTCGGGACGTGCGAGAGGATCACGCGGCGCAGTGTGTTGGCGACGGACGCCTCCGTGTTGGCCAGCAAAAAGTCCATGTAGCCTGGGGGCGGGAGGGGGGGTATTGCGCGGGGCGTTGGCGGGGGAAGGTGCGTGGCGGTTTGTCCTAGCGGGTGGGCAGGTGAGAGTGGCGGAACGAGCTCAGGCGGCGGCCCCACGAGCGTCCGCAGCAGCGCCGCAGGTGGGCGCGGGCGCGGGGCGCTGGGGACGCCGAGTGAGCGCCGCGCGGGATCGCGAGGGCCATGTATGCGTCGCACTCGAGGTGGTGCCGCGCTCGGCGCTCGAGCGGACGCATGCGGGCGGCAGCGTGGCTGTCTGGGCCTCACCCTCCGTCGCGTCATGCGATCGCAGCTCCACCGTGGGGTTCCGCTGTCGACTATAGTACCTATTGAACGGCCCGAGCGGATCGCCCTGGTCCCCCATCCTGCCCCGAGCTCCCTAGGTCCCCCCAACGCCCACCCTGGCCACGTTCGCCCCTCTCGCGACGGTGGTCACAGAAGACGTCCGATGACGGTTGCCGGGAGCACACCATGAGTGCAGTCGTCGTCCGCAGCGGGCCGGCTAAGGGCTGCGGCCCTCGTCGCGCGTCCCCGGGGGACAATTGAAGGGGAGGGGTACGGGCACTTCTTGCCCCGGCGAAGCGTCCACAGATCACTTCGTCGATGCTAAGCGCGACACGAGCGTCCCCCGCGTGGTGATAAACCGGCACGCAGACCGAACGAGAGGCTGTCGGGCTCGCAGCGCGAGGTATAGGTGCGAGATTCGTTGGGTGAGTAGGGTGCGCGTTCGCGCGGAACGATGCCGAAGAAGCGAGCTGCGGGGGAGGAGGCGGGCGACAATGTGTCGAAGTACGAGCAGATGCGCAACGAGAGGTGAGGCGAGCGCGCGGCGCACGACAAGAAGCGGTTCAGTGCACCGCGCAGTCGCATCACATCGCCACGTCGTTTTCCGCACAGGATTGCGCGGAATCGCGAGATTCTGATGAGCATGGGTCTCCAGGAGGCAGTGAAGGGTTTGAAAGACGTCGTGGCCCAGGGCAAGGCCAAACCGACGGCCGCGGCGTCGAAGAAGCGCAAGCGAGTCAAGCGCGAGAACAAGGCGCAGACCAAGGGGCCGGTGCGCAGATCGAAGAGGATCGCCCAGGACGAGGACACCGCGGCACGCATCGAGGCCTCCGGCGCAGCGCCAGGTGCGAGACATACAAACACGATGTTGTTTCCAACACAACATGAAGCCCGAGCTTCGCAGGCCCGAGAAGTGCGAGCTCCTGACCGATTGCGACGCCCGCAGGGTCCGATCTGGCGCTCTTCATCGCCCACGGCACCTGCCCTGTGTGCGGCACCGCGGACGTGGCCTCGCTGGACGACTTTGACGCGCTCAGGGCGCACCTCGACGCCTGCGAAGCCCCGATCGAGCTCCAGGCGGAGGCCGCGCCCAGAACCCCGCGTCCTGGTACGCCGCGGCCCAGCGTATAGCTCCCTCGTTGACGCGGTGGCCGCTGATGCACGCTCATCACACGAGCCAGCAACTACTTTACCGCGACCCGCCCTCGTCACGCGAATCATGCGGGCCGAGAAGCGTCGCTTCCGTGCGTCTCATTTTTGCGTTGACGGAGACGCTGGTGGCGGTCGAGAAGCGCCACGCGCGCCCAATCCAGGCAGATCGACGTAGAGGAGCGCTCGTGGGACGTGCGCTGCCTGCCTCGTGCATCGCCGACGCGCTCGCTGCGCGTTGTGCTCGCGTGCAGGTCGGTCGCTCGAGGAGCGGATGGCCGAGCTGGAGCAGGGGACGCTGGTGGACTGGGACCCGGAGTTTGCTGTGTTCATCGTGGTGGGGGCGCTGCGCAAGCAGCAGAAGAAGGGCCGGATGGTCATGGCGCGCAATCACTACAAAATAACCCTCTCGGACGACGGCCGCAAGTGCGAGTGCATGGACCACCGGATCCGCAAGCGCGACTGCAAGCACATTCATCTGACGCTGCGAACGCTCGGACTGACGCCGGAGACGGACTTCGCGGACTGGCGGGGCGCCGTGGACAAGTTCATCGTCGAGCACGACCACGACTGACGCCGCCGGCCCGGCTCGCAGTGCGCCGGAAGCGGGGGGGGGGAGTCACGGGCCTGTGTGCGTGGAACGACGGTGCCAGCGCACGCGGTGGATGGACACGCGGGGAGAATCACGGAACCGGGCGCTTCATGGCGCGCAGGGTGGTCATCGCTGTGCGCGACGCGTGCACTGTAACATCCCCTGCGAAGAGACGTCTCCGAAGAAGCGCTGCGTGTGCGCTCGGCGCCGTCTGTCCCGTGCATCATGCCACGTCTGGTCCCGGCCGCCCGGCTCACATCTCTCGGACGAACCCGAACATAATTGAGATGGAAAATCACTCAAGATTAGACGCTCGTGTGCCATGACCACGACGCAGCGCGGCGGTGCGCGGCGGTGCGCATGCTCGTGCAAGACCAGAGCCTTTCATGTGAAGTCGGGGACGCGGGCGATCACTGCGCGACGCCACTCGGCGCGGCCTCCCCGCTGCTGCGCGCCTCGACCGCCAAACGATGGCACTCCTTCAGCCACAAGAACCACTCGTGCCGCCACTTCCACCACCGCCACCGCATCTCCCGCGTCCGCTCGTCCTCCTCCTCTCCCTCAGCCCCCGCCCCGTCGTCGACACCCCCATCCACACGCCCCCGCAGCACGCGCTCGGTGCCCCCGCCGTCCCCGCTCGTCACGACGTACCGCTGCAACGCCCGCAGCTCCTCCAGCCGCCCCGCGTCGCCGTCGTCCCGGAGCCCCCTCTCCAACAGATCCCCCGGCACCACCCCTGTCAGCTCTTCTACGTCAAACCCCCCCTCCGACGCCAGGCCCCGCAGCCGACGCAGCTCTCCGGGCGTCACCAGCGACACCGCAGCGCCGCCGGTGCCGAACCGCCCCGCGCGCGCCACGCGGTGCACGTACGTGGCCGCGTCCCTCGGCACGTCAACGTTGACGACAATGTTGACGCGATCCAGGTCGACGCCCCGCGCGACGAGGTCGGTCGAGACGACGACGCGCAGGCGGAACGCGCGCATTCCCGTGACGCCGGCGTCCCGGGAGGACTGCTCCTGCTTGCCCGACAGGAACGCCGCTGGGAATCCGTTGTCGACAAGGGCGGCGGCGAGGGCGCTCCCCGCGGCCGCGTTGTTGCAGAAGACGACGGCCTGGTGGAAGGCTGCGGAGCTGAGGAGCGAGAGGAGCTCGGCGCGCTTGGCGGCGTTGACGTCGGAGGGCGCCTCGCCGGTGTCGGCGACGCGGCGATAGAACTGACGCACGGCGAGGGGGGGGTCGAGGTCGCCGGCGCTGAGCATGACGCGCTTCGGGCGGTCCATGAGACCCTCGGTGAGCGCGAGGAGGGACGGCGGCCAGGTCGCGGAGAACGCAAGCACCTGCTTGCGCTCCGGCAGAAAGTCGTGGATTTTCACGGTGCTCTGGAGGAACGAGTCGGACAGGAGGTGGTCCGCCTCGTCGAGCACGAGCATCCGCACCCTGCGCCGGAGGAAACGAGGAAGTCGCACAAGGGTCGCGGCCGTGGGCGCGGGCGTTGGCGGCACGGTGCGACCTTCGTTCGAGCGGGCAGGACGGCCGGGTCGCGGGCGTGCGTTCGCTGTGCGGGCGTGCGCGACACCGACCTGAGCTTCGGGAGCTTGCCGGCCGCTTCGACGGCGCTCAGGCGCCCCAGGGTCGCGACGATGATGTGGCAGGGTTGCAACAACGTCTCGAAGTCGGCCTGGATCGGGCGGCCGCCGATGAGCGCGGCGCAGCAGATCTCCGGCGCGTACTTCGCGAGGCCCCGCACGACCGAGCATATCTGCAGCGCCACTTCGCGCGTGTGGGCAAGAATCACCGCCTGCGGGTTGCCCACCGTCGGATCGACCGCGAGGAGCGCGAGCAAGGAGAACGCCAGCGTCTTGCCCGTGCCTCCGCGCGCCTGGACGACGAGGTCGGCGCCCGTGCGCCCCACGGGAATCGCGGCAGCCTGCAGGCGCAGCCGGGCGTGCAACTACTTTCGCTGGCGTCGCGTTGCGCGCGTGCTGGGAAGCGAGGAGTTCCAGGCGCACAGACGCAATCTCACGGTATTCGCAGGTACGGTCACCTGAACTGGTGACGGTCTGTGGAAGCCGCACGCCGCCAGCCCCCGCTGCAGCGGTGCTGGGATGTCGAGAGCCTGAAAGCTGTCCAGTTGCGACACGACATCGCCCCCTACCGATCGCTCCGGCATGATATCGTTGGCCAGCTGCCGGTCGTCGCGCGACATGGTCTCCTCTCCGCGTCAAGCACGCGGTGCGAGACAGAACAGGCGGCGTCAGTGCTGGCCACGAGCGCAGGCGCGACCTGACCCCTCAGGCATGACAGTCATTCGTTGCCAGATAGATTAACTCGCTGCTCGTGCACGCGCCCTCTCGCTGAATCCCTGATGCCGCAGCAGGGGCGAAATTCTGTGCTGCCTGTTGATTGCTGCGCTGGCGTGCCGAACAGAGGAGGCAAGGGGAGGACGACGTGCGCAACACTGGCCTCACTTCGCCGTCCAGCTCCCAGAAGTGGCGCGTGACTCGCGGTGCCTCCTGCGCGTAGCTTAACGCCCCCCCCCTTGCTCAGAGGTGTCCTGTCGGCGCGTGCTTCAAGACAGTGCGCGACATCCCCATCGCGCAAGTCCATGGCCACAAGGACAATCTCGAGATACGTACTGACTAGTCTGATTCGATCGATATCCAGTCTCAGTTCCCCGACTGCGCATCCATCTTGGAAACCTAGAGCCCTCCGGACATGCGAGTCCAAGCAGGTCCGCTCCACAGAGAGCCTCGCAGCAGCATCTCGACTACACAAGCGTCCAGACCGACCGCTCTTCCGTCGCTCAGGCCCCCCCCGCGCGCCCGGAAAGCCCCGCGATGGGTCTCCAGGGATGCGGCTAGCGCTGCGTCGACGGGCGACAGCAACGCCGATGACGCGCGGAGATGGATCGAGACGTGGCGGCAGAAGCAAGCCAAGCCCCAGTCGTGGGGCGCGAAGGCCCGGGCGATGCAGGAGCGGCTATCGCAATATGGTGCAGCAGGGGTGAGCTCCGCGTTTCGACATAGTGCGACAGATGGAGGCTGCGCACCCGGCCGCCGTCACAGCACCTGTCTGCCTGCCTGTTGGAGGGGCGCGGAGCGAGTGTCGCGCATGTGTGTGTTCGTTGTGTGGCGCTGCAGGTGATAGCGTACGGGCTGCTCAACACGCTGTACTACACGTGCACGTTCCTGTTCATCTGGGTGTACGTCGCGCGGGTGCCGCGCGGGCTCGGCGCGACGCAGGCGGCGATCAAGTTCACCGAGGTGCTGGCCCTAACGTGGGCGGGGAGTCAGGTGGGCAGTGCTCCGATGAATCCGTCTCGCGCCGAGCTGGCGGCCGCCGAGCGCGTTTCTTCCCTGTGCAGGTCTTGCTTCTCTCCGTGCCGTGGTGCGGGCATCCAGGCGCGCACGTACGGCGTCGCGTCGACAGCGGGGGACACCCCCCCCCCGTGACGGATGTCGTGGTCCGCCCGTGCAGGTGACGAAGCTCGCGCGGTTCGCGGGGGCGCTGGCGATGGCGCCCGTGGTCGACATCCTCCTGAACAAGCTCGCGCAGATCCGCGTGATCGGCTCGAAGCCGAAGGCCTTCGCGGTAGTGGTCGCGGCCTGCCTGGGCGTGGCAGCACTGCTCTTCTCCGGCGTCGTGCTCTGCTGGGCGTAGCTGTGCGCCACTAGTGCACGTCGTCCTCGGCGCGCCAGCTCGAGCGAGGCCGCGGCGTTCCCGTCCCATGTGACTTGATTCAACGTATTGCCACATATTGCCGCATAAATCGGCCTAATTCGGGGCCGCGCGCCTTCCGCCTGCGCCGACAGCGACCCACGGCCCCGGGACGACGAGGCCAAGGGCGATCGATCGTCTGTGACTCCAACAGGGGGGACTTCACGGTATCATACCACAATGGGAGGAGTAGGTCCTGGCCGGGGCTACCGGGACGGACGCGCGCCGCTGTCTCGCACAACCGCCTCGCTGCCCCGCAGATTGCCGTTCCCGGCGCGCGCACTCGTTCGAACGGGCGTTGCGCGGGAGGCCCTGGCCCGGAGTGCGAGTGTCCGCGGTGATCCGTTGCGGCTCCGTGGCGACCGGAGCGATGCGCGGGACGTGTCCTGGCCTCGCGGGCGGGCGCGCGAGCAGCGCCAGGGGCGCGGCTGCGGCGCACGCACCGCCGAAACCGCGCACGGGCGGCGCTGCGCGCCGCCCAGCCCCTGTCCGGGAGCATGCTGCGTGCTCGGGCTGCGGCGCTGCGCGCAGGCGCGGCCAGCGGGTGGCTGCGCGCGCCAGCCTCGGGGACTCCGACGGTAGGACGAATCAGGGGCTGTTTCCGGCGGGGAGGAAGCAGATTAAGGTCGAGCTGCCCTCTTTGGCGCTCAGAGTGGACGCAGGCCGAGCGCTCTCGGATCCGGCCTACTGCGACGCAGTGAGCGACGCTGTGCGGGGCGGAGCGAACCTCGTGCTCCTGTTTGACGCATCGGGGTCCGCCGGAGGTGCGTTCGCCCGCCGTCGACTCGCGCGCCGCGGGCGCAACAGCACACGCCTCATCTGCCGCCTGCGCGTGCCAGGCGCCGCGATTGGATCGAGTTTCGTCGCGACGCTCGCCTTAGCTCCTCGCCGTCGCGCCAGCGAACAATGGCCGGCGCCAGGCCCCTCACGCGCCACGCTGCTGGCTTCCCACTGTCGAGGCTCCCAGCTGGCTCGTCTCCGCGCGCGTATGGTCCGTGCGTCTCAGAACGCGCGCTCGCACGATACTCGCAGGCGGTAGGAGCTTGTACCAGGCGGCCGTCAAGGTCAAGGACCTCGTGCGCGGGCGGGCGCCCCTGCTGCTCTTGGACCGACCAGACCTGGCCAGTGCCGCCGGCGCGGACGGCGTCCTGCTCACCAAGGACGCCGTGCCCCTCGTCGTCGCCCGCGAGATGATCCAGGTGACACACCCGCCGTCGCACTCGAGCTCGGCCAGCCGTGGCGCCCGGTCGCGCTGATCAAGACTCTTGCAGGGTCCGTAGCTCACGTTCCGCGCCTTTCCGGCGACCCGCAGGACGTCTCGATGCTGATTGGGGCCGAGGTGGATCTCGCGGTGTCGGCCGGGCAGGCTGCCGCGGACGGCGCGGGCGTGATCGTGCTGCGTGGGCAGACCAGCGGCGGAGCGGCTCCGACCGGGGAGGAGATCGCGGCGGCGCGGAAAGCTCAGCGCGCCGCCTCGATCCCACTGCTCGCGTGGGCCGGAGACGACCCCGCGGCGGTGCGCGAGGCCGCGAGCGTCGGCGCGGACGGCCTTGTTGTGGACGCGGCAACGCTGCCGGGGCTCGCCGAGGCCGCGACGGGCTCGCTGGACGACGACTCGGAGCACGCAGCGGCGGCGCGCGCGCTGCTGCGGCTGATGGAGGCGGGGGGCGCGGACCCGGGGGTGTCTGAGGAGGAGGAGGGGGGTGTGGCGGAGGCGGCAGAGGAGGGGCGGAGCCGCGTGGAGGCGGTGGAGGCGCAGGTGATCGGCGCGCCAGAGCGCACGGCGCCGGCGTGGTTCCGGCCGGGGCAGGTCGGGGTCATGACGGACGCGGTGGAGACCCTTCTGAAGAGGTGCGCACCAGTCACGATTCCTCGACTCGCGATTCATCGTCCGGCACGCTCCCGCCCCGCGCGCACGTGAGCATGCGTGAACCCACCGCGCGAGGCGATCTCGGTGCCGCGCAGGGAGCGGGACGCGTTGGCGGATGCGCTGCGCCTGGTGCGCGAGGCATCGCCGACGATGGAGGAGGCGTCGCTTCTGGAGGACGCGCTTGCGCAGCTCGAGGAGCTCTTCTTGATGGTCGTGGTCGGGGAGTTCAACTCGGGCAAGTCGTCCGTGATCAACGCACTCTTGGGCGGAAAGTTCCTCCCAGAAGGGATTCTCCCAACTACCAATGAAATCAACATCCTCAAGTACTCCGCGGACGCGCCGCCGGGCCAGGGCACCGCCCGGCAGGAGGAGGACGGCCTGTACGTCCGCGAGCTCCCCGCGCCGTTCCTCCAGGAGGTGACCGTCGTCGACACCCCCGGGACCAACGTCGTCCTGAGTCGGCAGCAGCGTCTGACGGAGGAGTACGTGCCGCGCGCGGACCTGGTGCTGTTCGTCATGTCGGTGGACCGCCCGCTCACGGACAGCGAGGTCACCTTTTTGAAGTACATCAAGAGATGGGGAAAGAAGGTTGTCTTTGTGCTGAACAAAGCCGACCTCCTTTCGAGCCCAGACGACGTCGCGCAGGTCGAGGCCTTCGTGCGCGAGAACGCCGCGCGCATCCTCGAGACCGGCGACCCCAAGGTGATGTCCGTCTCCGCCCGCCAGGCCCTCAAAGCCAAGACGGAGGTGGGCAACGGCACTGATCTCCTGGGCACCATGGACGCCGAGGAGCTGCGCACGAGCCCGGACTGGATCGCCAGCGGGTACAACGGCCTCGAGCAGTTCCTCCTGGGCTTCCTCGGCGGCGGCACGGGCGCCGGCGAGGTCCTGCGCCTGAAGATGATGACGCCAGTTGGCATCGCGGAGGCTCTCTTGTCCGCGGCGGGCCGGCAGCTCGCGCAGGAGGAGCAGGCTGCGCGCGCGGACGTCGAGGCGCTGAAGAAGGTCGCGCCGCAGCTCGACGGGTTCGCGGACGCCGTCATGCGGGACAGTGCGGCGCAGCGTGCGCGGTGCCGGGAGGCGCTGCTCCGCGCGGCGGAGCGCATCGACGACGCGGTGGACGCGGTGATCCAGCTGTCGAACCCGGGCGTGGCGTCGGCGTACCTGCTGGGCTCGAACGACCGCAAGTCGCTGCCGATCGCGCGGGCGCTGTCGCAGAAGGAAATTGCGGGAGGGCTGGAGGAGGTTGAGGCGCTGGCGGTGCAGCACTCGCGGTGGCTGTCGGACAACTGCAACAAGCAGGTCGCGGGGTACACGCGGTACTGCTTGGGTCTGGCGGAGCCGCTTGGGACGGACCTGACAGCGCTCGTGCCTGACGCGGGCCTTGCGACGGACGCGGCGTGGAAGGACGCGGCACAGGTGGTGCAGGGGTACGACGCCGGGACTGCGCTGTCGCAGGTCGAGGAAGGCACGCGCGAGGCGGTCGTCGGCACGGCGTCGCTCGTCGGCGGTTCGGCAGTCTTGGTGTTCTTGTTGACAAACATCCTGCAAACCTCGATCGAGGATATCCTGGCGCTGGCTCTCGGCGGTGCCGGCGTGGGCGTCGCGTTCGTCACGCTCCCGGTCAAGCGCGCGATGGTCAAGAGGGCTGCGAGGGCTGAGGTGGAGCGTGTTGCTACGCAGCTCGACACAGTGATGACTGCGGAGGCGGAGCGCAAGGTCGCGATGGTGAAGGACGCGGTGGGCGCGATGGTGGAGCCGCTGCAGGCCGCGGCGGAGCGGGAGGAGGCCCGCGTGAAGGCGCTGCAGGAGCGCTGCGAGCAGGCGGACGCGGCGGTGGCGGCGCTGCGGAAGGAGATCACCGCGACCGGGTGAGGGGGTTCCCGGGGCGGCTCTGCGGCGGGTGTGACGAAAACTACATGTGCGGACGCGCTGGTGCGGTGCACGCCCGTGCCGCAGTCGGACAGCGAGAGCGCAACACTTTTGTTCTTTTCCACCCCTGTCAAGAGTCTGCCGACGACCGGTGTACGCGCGACAGACCTCGAGCTCCCGAAGCGACTCAGATCAGCCCGCGCGCAACGCATCCGCTGCCAGTTACAGACAGAATGCCTCGCAAAGGCCACTGCACGCCCGTACCCCGCACAAGTCCTGGCACGACGTCACGCGGCGCCCGTCGCAGCCGGGCCCGTTCCGTCCCCGAGGCTCTTGTGGTGCTGCACCGCCGACGACTCCTTCGTCACCTCCCGCACCAGCATCGTCGCGTACGCCGACTTAGGCAGGGAGAACTCCAACTCGACCGCTGTCAGCTCCGCCGCCGGCGCCGCACCGGCCTCGCCGGGCTTCTCCCGCGGCGCCCCCTCGGCGCCGTGCGACTTGAACACGTCCCCGCCGCGCGCCTGGAGGCGTTGGAGGTCCGTTTCCGCGAGGTCTTGCTGCGGGTCGGTGTACGTGTGGAACCGCCACGTCATGTCCCGCGGCTTGTGGACCACCTGCCTGTAGTCCCCCGGGAGGTCCGCGAGGCTGAACTCTGCGACGTTGTGCACGCGGCCGCCGCCGTCGGCGCTCGGGAGCTCCACGCCGAGGGCTTTCGCCTCCGCGCGGTACACGTCGGCGGTCGAGTGGCCGGGGAGGACGGTCAGGCTGCCCGGGATCGGCAGGACGACCTGCACCGGGGCGTCGCGGGGGATTTCGTCGGGGCGGTGGACGGACGATCGATACGCGCAACTTACTACGTCGCATTTGTGTGTCATTTGTTTCTGCAGCACCCCATGTTCAGGCGGACGCGTGGCGAGGTCCGAGCGGATCCCGAACGCTTCTTCTATCAAGGGCCGAATCGGACAAGCTGCGAGCTCGCGAAATCCTGGACCTTGTTTCGAGGTGCGGAGCACGCAATACAGTTGCGGGAATACATTGCACACCTGCGACATTTCGAACGCTCCGCGCGCCGCCTCCTCCGCGGTGACCACGTGCACCCTCGCGAGCTTCTTCCGCGCCGCCTCCTGCCCGTCCTTCGGCTCCGCCAGCGCCGCCGCCTCGCCGTCGAAGATCTCGTCGCCGCCGCCGCCCGCCGCGGCGTCCGCGTCCAGCACAACCAGGTCGCCCTCGACCACGCCGTCGACACCGAACGTCGCCACGCGGTGCGTCGCGGCCTTGTTCCAAAAATAGGACTGCAGCGCGTGCATGTACATCATCCGCAGGTGTCGCGGGATCGCCTGCAACGCCGACAGCTTCGCGCCGCGGTCGCCCGGAGCGGCCTTCGCCAGCGACTCCAGCACCGCGCGCTCCCCGACCAGCATGCGCGGCAGCACCTTCAGCGCGCCCTGCGCGTCGCCAGAGTCCAGGAACAGCCGGCGCCCCTGGGCCCAGTCCTCGCGCTCCCCGGGGCGGGGCGCCATGATCGAGTCCACCGCCTCGCCCCAGGCGCCGCGCGCGAGCGCAGCGCCGACGAGGTGCGTGGGGACCTCGCCCACGCCGAATCGCTGCAGTCCAAAGTAATTGAGAAATCCTCGATCCCGAACGGCGCGGAGACAAGCCTCCACCTCGTCCCGGCTCGCGCCCTGCGTGCGACGCGGTGGGGGGGGGGCACGGGCGTGGGGGGACGCGGCGCGGCTGAGCGCTGACGTGGAAGAAATTCGGGGAAGATTGACCACGAGCAAGTTTGACCACGCAAACAATGCGAGATCGAAGACTGCTGGGTTGCTGGAGGTGCCGTGTTGAAGCGCTAGGTGGGAGCGGGGACGCCCAGGCTCCCACATGCATCTCCCGCGCGCAGACAGACAGACACAGCGATCGTCAGCGCGATGAGATAGGGAATCCCTATCTAGAGTTCCGCAGCGCGAGTCCGCTCGCGGCGCGGGCAGCTCGCCTGAATCGCCCGCAGCACGACCTTGAACCGGTTCCCCGTGTGGTCCCCCAGCGAGATCTTCCGCGCGCGGTACCCGACCACCTGGAGGCGCGCCCCGCGCAGCCGCTTGTTGAGCTCAACCACCTTCTCCGGGCCGACGCGGAACGCGCTGACGTACTGGCACGTCACGCCGCGCTTGTCCTTCGTGCCGGAGATCCCCAGCGCCTTGGGGCGCACGTGCAGCCACCTCGAGACCAGCCCCACGGCAGATACTGTTTCCATATTCTCCTTGTACAAGATAAACTCGATAAACGGGCGGTCCGGGCCGCCCGGCCAGTCCGCGGCCGCGGAGCCCGGCCGCCCGCCGTCGCGCTCGCTGCGCTTGCGCTTGATGCCGCGCCGCGCTCCGGCCGTGGCCACTCGAACCACGCTCACCTCGCCGTCGCCCCTCCCGCCCGGCCCGTACACCTTCTGCGTCTCCGTGACGAGCGCGCACGGCAGCCGCGGGTCCGCCTTGATCAGCTTGTGGATCTGCGTGCGCCGCGCCTTGTCGTCGGGCGCCACAATGTCCACGAACCCGGACGGCGTGCCGTCGTCGCCGGGCAGCAGCCAGGCCTTGAGTTTCGCCGCTTCCGCGTCGCCGGCGATGCCCGCGATCTCCTTGCAGAATGACTCGATCTTCTCCTCCGGGCTGGCGTCCTCGGGGAGGCTCGGGGCGGCGTCAGCGTCGGCGGCTGGCCCTGGGGCGTTGGGCGTGGGGGCCGCTGGGTCGGTCGCGAGTTTGGGCACCTCGGGGATCGCGAGCGACGTGAGCTCCGCGCGCTGGGCGCCACGCTCTTCCCACACCTGCGGGGGGAGACGAGACGGGCTGGGTCGGCGTCGCGGTGCGCGTACGCGCAGAGCGATGCATCGTCGGTGCCGCCGGCAGAGATCAGCTGGGCGTCCCGGACAGCCAAGGCCCGCTGGTGGAAGGACTGTCCGGACACTGCATACTCCTGGACTTGAAGTACGCTGTCAATAGAAGCAAAGGGGGGTTTGTCTTACCTGGAAGTCTGTGTATCGTTGTTTTAGGATGGCAGTGAACGGCTTCGTCTCTGACACGTACCCCACGATGCCGGCCGCATGCTCGTGGCTGCAGTTCTGTGCTCCCTCCGCCATGCTTGCGAACGCGCTCGTCAGGCCCACGGTCCGCGGACCCAGCGCTGCGGCAAGCAGTTCGTTCACTGCCGTTGCACAACACACGGACCTCCTTGACCAGCGACGCGCACTCCAAGCAAGCATCCACGCCGCACTGCCAACACTAGCCCCCGCGCCGACCCAACCAACGCACCGCTCCTGCGGCCCGCCTGACTCGAAGCTGCCAGCTCTGATTGTTCTACCCCTGACACCCAGTCACCGCTCCACGCCGCATCACACGCCCGCGGCGGCACCTACCCTTGGATCTGCGCCTCGCGGGAGTCCTTCAGCGGCAGGTCCGTGACGAACCTGTCCCACTTCGGGCTGCCAACCCCCGACGACCGCACCTCGCCCGTCAGCTGCACCTGCACGAACACCATGTCCCCCTTCGAGGCGATCTTGGCCTCGTCCATCTGCTGCTTGATCCACTTGGACCACCGCGGCAGGTCGACCGGCTTCACCTCCCACCGCCCGCCCTTGCCCTTTGCCCCCGGCGCCTCCTTGTCAAAACCCTTGCTCTCCTTCGCCTCCTTCTCAAAGTCCGACCGCAGCGCCTCGAGCCGCGTGGATGGGTCGTCCTCGCTGCAACCAGAGACGCGGGGAACGGTGTGAGATGCGAAAACACGACCAAGAATGACTTTACTTGATTGGGAGGGATGTGTTGTTGTGCGGGGGGCGGCGTGGGCTCAGCGTCGCACCTGCCGAAGATCACCGGGACAAGCACGATGCCGCGGTCCTGCAGGGCCTGCTTGTACTTCTGCGCGCCGCGCGTCGCCCGCAGGACGTCGGCGCGCGACCCGGCGAGCACCACCGGCCGGCTGTTGCCGCGGAGGCGCGACAGCGCCACCGTGCGCCCCCCGGGCAGCTCGACCTGCAGCCGCCCGAGGTCCTCCTCGCGCTGGATCTTCTTCTTGTCGCGTTCCCGCGCCTGCAGGTCCCGTCTGACGAAGAACAACAGCACCCCCAAAACACCCGCGTTCACGCCCGCGTTCCCCAGCGTCTCCGCGAGATCCGGCGCGCCCTCCCCGCCCTGGACCGCCGCCGCGAGCCGCCCGAGGATGACCAGCAGTCCGAGCGCGGCGCCCGCCGCCAGACCCCCCAGGATGAAGATGCGGGCGAACCGGAAGGGCGCGGCGGCCTCGGTGCGCAGCTCGACCTGCGCGGACGGCGCGTACCGGCCGCCGCGCAGCCGCCCGACCAGGTCGATCCACGGCGACGTGTCGCGCAGGGCCGCCAGGTCGTCGTCTTCTAACGCGGCAATCAACTTGAGGTCGTGCTTCTCGACGGCGGTCTCGATCGCCGCCGTGGCGGCCTCCCACTTCCGCAGCTTCGTCAGGCAGCACGCTGCACGCGAGGCCGCGGGGTCCGACCGCGTCAGCGGGCCGCGGGGCGGGGCGTTTGTCGTTTGGTGTGAGCAGCGGTGGGGGGGCGCACCGGCGTTGTAGTAGGCGGCGCGGGCCTCGTCGTTGTTGGGGTTCATCTCCTGCGCGGCCTCGAACAGCACCAGCGCCCCCTGCACGTTGCCCTCCTCGAACAACTCCAAGCCTTTATTGACTGCCTCAGCAGGGGTGTTTGGGACGCCGAAGCTCTTCTTCTTGGCGGCCGCCTGCGAAGGCGGGCGAGAGTGTGAACGAATAGGTGCTCGGGGCAGTCGGGTGACGGGGTTGGCGCGGATTGCGCGCTGCGGGGGCGGTGCTTTGCATCGAGAGCTTCGGGTCGCGACACGCGGGTGGCGGAGGCGTCTGATGCGGCAGTTCGAGAGCGCGATGCAGAGAGAACAGTCTCAGCGTGCAATAATGCGACCGTTCGAGGTAGCAAAGATGGGCTTGGCCTCGTACGGGCTCGTGTTGTCCAGCAGATAGGCCAGGAAACCGCCAGCGCGTGATTACTAAAAGAGGAAGGTGGTCGCGGCCCCGCGCAGCAACTGGCGCGCATACTCTCGCGCGCGTCGGAGGCCGCGGTCCGCACCGTGATGCACCTCCTGCGCGCAGGGGCCGCTGCTTTGGCCCGACGCAGGGTACGCAGCAGCGCAGGCCGCCGTGCGACGCGCGCAGTCGGAACGCAGCCGCGCGAGATCATGGTGCTATCTCTCCTTCCAAGTACCAGCCTCTAATCGATCGTTCCGCGCCCCCAGTCTCTGGTATGGGCCCTGGAACCAACTCCTGGTCCCAGCAACGCTCGGCCGCCCCGCTCCCCGTGCTGCGATCGCGGCACCGCTTCCGCTCCCTCGCTGGTCCGACGCGCTCTCAGCGCCACGCAACTGAGCCAGACAGGCGCTCGCTCGCCCTCGAGCCGCCCCAGGGCGCATTGTAGGATTCTACCTACGCTACATGATGAGTCAGGGCGCCGCTGCGGAGGCCCGCCGAGACGCTCCGCCACGCACCGCGGCGATCGTGCTCGCGGCGCACCGCGGCGGTCGCACCGCGTCGGCTCGCGCCAGGCCGGCGGTGCCCCCAAAGACAGGCAACACATCTCGTCGCAAGGCTGCTCGCGCCTTGCCTCACAGCTTGCCCTGCCTCCTCCGCGTCTGATCAATCACGGGGAGAGTCTCGGCGTTGCGGTGTCGTCAAAACGTTTGAGGTGGTCGCAAGCATGTTCAACGAAGTAATTGATGCTCTTGCAAGTAAGGTATACCAGAAACACGGCTTGCAGCATCTGCATCGTAGTCGGAGCGCCAGGCCCGCCCACCATCGCTGCCCCAAGCGTCGCGCAGGCTTTGACCGCCATCATGAACACGCTGGCCATGACAGCGCCCATCCCGACACCGATGCTGAGAATACCTGCCACGGTGAACAGGTCCCTGACACGGACCGGCGTGCGCGGCGCGTGATGGGCAGGGCGGAGCCGCCCCCTGACCAGGTCGATCCACGGCGACGTGTCGCGCAGGGCCGCCAGGTCGTCGTCCCGCACTGCAACCTCCAACTCGAGGTCGTGCTTCTCGACGGCGGTCGCGAGCGCCGCCGCGGCGGCCTCCCACTTCCGCAGCTTCGTCAGGCAGCACGCTGCACGCAAGGCCGCGGGGTCCGAGCGCGTCGGCGGGCCGCGGGCCATGCGATGTTGCATGACGCGCGGTGTGGAGGCGCACCGGCGTTGTAGTAGGCGGCGCGGGCCTCGTCGTCGTCGGGGTCCAGCTTGTGCACCTCCTCGAAGAGCACCAGCGCGCCCCGCACGTCGCCCTCCTCAAACATATGCAAGCCTAGCCTGTTGATGGACTTCGCACGGGTGTTTGGGACGCCGAAGCTCTTCTTCTTGGCGGCCGCCTGTGACGAGATTGAGTGTGGGTGTGCATGAGTGGGCGGCGGGGGCGGTCGGGTGGCGCGGAATGCGCGCTGCGGTGCTTTGCGTCGAGTTGCTCAGAGCCACTGAGGCCGAATCGGTTGCGCAACGCGGGTGGCGGAGGCGACTGATGCGGCGTTTCGGGAGCGCGATGCAGATAGCGGAGCTTCTCGCGACCGTCCGAGGCAGCGTTGACCGGCAGTCAGGCACGCGCTTTTCCGTCTCGCATAAGCGCACGACTGGCATCGTGGACCACGAATTGTCGAACCACTTCCACGACAAAGGTGGCCGCAGCCCCACGCAGCGATCAGGAACACGGTCTCTGTCGCGCGTGCGGGGTGTCGCGAGAGCGCACCGTGTGCCACCTCCTGCGCGCAGGGGCCGCTGTCCGTGTCTGGGGCCGGGTACGCACTAGCGCGGGGCGCCGTACGACGGGCGCGGTCGGGATGCAGCCGCGCGAGATCATGTTGTTTTTCTTTCTTCCCAGGAAACGACGACGATCGGTCGCCTCGAACGCTCGGTCGGGCTCCGCAAGCCACTTTCGTTGTTGATCCAAGGCGCCACCCCGCTCCCAGTGCAGCGATCGCGGCACCGCGTCCACTCCCTCGCTGGTCCTACGCGCAGCAAGCGTCACGCAACCGCCCCGTTCGGGCGCGCTCGCTCGCCCTCGAGCCGCCGTGGAGCCCGTGGGAGGAATCTCCCAACCCCCGTATTCTTCTACCGACGCTGAGTCAGGACGCCGCTGCGGAGGCCCGCCGACACGCTCCGCCACGCACCGTAGCGACCACGCCCCCCACCTCATCGCAGCCGCGCCGCGTCGCCAGGCCCACGGGGGCCGCACACACAACCACCGTCACCTTCACATCTGCTCACAGCTTGCCCTTCCTCCTCCGCCCGTCCCCGCCCTCGGCCCCGCCCTGCGACAGCCGCGGCGGAAAGATCTCCAGCGCGTCCACGGACGACGTCAGCATCATGGCCTGGAAGTCCTCCGCAGAGATGCGCCCGTCGCGGTCCCGGTCCAGCTCCCGCATGACCCCCTCGAGCTCGTCCGGGACCGGGCACGTCCCTGCGCACGCAGACGCGCACACGCACAGGCGTCAGCGACCGCGCCACGCACGCCCTGACCCGCATCACGCATGAATGATGAAAACATCAGCAAAAGCGCGACGTGTTCGTTTGTGCGCCGGTGCGACACGGCGGGGCGGCTCAAGCGGTCGCCGGCCGCACCGCCGCCTGCGCAGCACAGCGCCGCGTCCCCGCGCGCGCGCGCACCTCCGCACAGCAGCTCCCCCAGCTCCTCGCGCCCGATCGTTCCGTCGTGGTCGGCGTCCATCTGGTCGAAGAACCGCGACGTCCACTCGCGCCAGTGCCCGGACTTCTGCACCTCGTGCCAGTCCAGCAGGCTCGCCAGCCACTCGCCGTACTCCACGCGCCCGTCATGATCCACATCCATCTGCAGCGCCATCTGCTGCACCTCGCTCTCGGAGAGATCGAAGCCCGCGCCCCGCAGCGCCGCGAGGACGTCCCTGTACTGCGCGTACCCCTTGCCCTCGGGGTCGAGCTCCCGGAAGATCTCCGTCAGGCCCTGCACGAGCTCCGCGTCGTCGGCGGCGACGGCCGTGGCGACGCGCGCGAGCGCGATCTGCTTCAGGCGGCCGAACGTGCCGAAGCGCTGGAGGCGCTGCACCACGCTGTCGTGCAGCGCGGCGCCCTCGGCGCTTTCGTCGCCCGCGGCGGAGGTCTCCCTGCGCCGCGCGTGCTTCTTGATCCAGGGGTGCTGCAGGGCTTGCAGCGCCGTCAGCCTCTGCGCGCGCGGTGCGGGACGGTGCGCGCGGGTCGGCGAGCGCGGGCCGGACGACGCGCGTCGAGCCGCGTGGGGCTGTGCGTGCGCGTGTGCACGTGCGGTCTGTCACGGCCCCAGGCACCGTCAGGGCCGCGAGGGGGCCGCGCGGGCACTGCCGAGACGTGCACCCGAAGCTGCGACGCCACGCCGACAGCGCAGACGCGCCGCGCGGCAAGCGCAGACACCCCCCGGGGTGTTTTGTTCTTTTTCTCAAGTTGTCGCGCACCTTTTCAGGGTCGCGCTCCAGCAGCCCCTGCAGGAGGTCCGCGCAGTCGTCGCCGAGCCACCCGCTCGGCCCCCACGGCTCGGACTCGAAGTCGAGCGGCGCGTTCAGGATGGCCCGGAAGGCCTCCTTGCGGTCAAAGCGGCGCTCGCTGGCCCACAGCTCGGTGACCTCGCTGCCCCACGGCCCCGCGAAGGGCAGGCGGCCGGTCAGGAGCTGGTACGCGACGATGCCGGCGGACCAGAGGTCGGACGGGAGGCCGTAGCTCATGCGGAGGAGCTCGGGGGCGCAGTACAAGACCGTGCCTGCGCGGTCGATGAGGAGCTCGCCGGGCTGGCACATGACCGACATGCCGAAGTCGATGGTCTTCAGCGGCGCGTCGGGGCCGTCGTGGAGGTACAGGAAGTTCTCGGGCTGCAGCGGCGCGCCGGGGGGGGGTGTGGCCCGGTTAGGGTTGTGTTGAATGTGGAGGGGGAGTTGGGGGTGTTTTCGGGGTGTGTGTGGGGCGGACCTTGACGTCGCGGATCAGGACGCCCTTCGCGTGGCACTGCGCGATCGCGCGCAGCACGTCCGTGATCGCAGCCGCGGCCTGCTCCTCCCTGCATTGCGCATCGTCATCATCGCACATCGGGCGCCCCGGGCGTCAGCTCCCGTGCCCGCTCGCAGGCACGCGGGTCGCGTGCGCAGGGCGGCGTCGGCGCGGCGAGACTCACGTGTACCGTCCCTCCTCGATCCGGGCCCACAGTTCGCCGCCAGTGCACATCTCCATGACGAGATCGACGTTCTTGTCGTCCTCGAACACGTCGTACAGGTACGCGACGTTCAGGGAGTTCCCGAGCGTCCTCAGCACGTCGACCTGCGGGGGAGCGGTCAGCGCAAGGCAACGCTGAGCCGTGGGGCGTGACGCGAGTGCACGGCGTGCACGGGGCACCGCGGCTGGTTCTGCGCGCGACGGGAGGACGCACGCACCTCGTTCTCCACGCGGCGCTGGAACATGCTGTCCAAACGCCCGCCCACGAACCGTTTCGGCATGCTCTTCACGGCGTAGGACTCCCCGGTTTTCCGGCTCGTGCAGCGCCAGACCGTGCCGAACGAGCCCTTTCCGATGACGGATTCTGCACCGGACCGGCGGCGCGGAGCGGCGCGGCGGTTTGGGAGGCCGCGGCCCGCGCGGTGCCCCTGAGACGGGCACATCCAGGGAGCTGCAAGCGAGGTTGCGTCGCGCGGGGCGGCACAGCGTCCGCGCGCGGAGATTCGTGGCGTTCATGCATGTCGCGCGACTCGTGAGCATTCCTGGCGCGACTACCGCCCCGCAAGCGGCTCCGTGGGCGCCGCACACGGCCACTGGCAGGGCTGACGCACCTCGCTGGTAGTCGCGCTGGAGGTTGCGCTTGAAGCCGAAGTCCCTCGCCCCGCGAATCGACGTCTCGGGCAGCAGCTCGTTCGGGTCGAACGACTCCATCACCTGCAGCGGGGCGCAACGCGTGGGAGACGCGGGGTCAAGCTCTCTCACGGTCCAGGGCACCCGCGCTGCGGCACGCCCGCGCTTTCCGGCGCTCTGCCGCGCCAAGACGGTGGTTGAGTTCCACGGGAACGCGAATTCGTCGTCTTGGGCGGCGCGCGTGCGCGGAAGAGCGGCCGCGGGCGACCGGTAGGGTCTCGCACCTCCTCCCGGCCCGCTCGTGCGAAAAGTGCGGCCGCCACGAACGACGGCCCGGTTCTGGATGCGTGCTGCTTGTGCGTGCGCCGGCGCGCGGGTACTCGGGCTGCGTGCCGCGGCGCGGCGCGGGGCGGCGGCGGGCGTCCTGTCGCACGCCCTGAACGCGCGACGCCCGTCCCGGCGATTTGCGGGGTCGCCGCACGCATGACGGCGGCTGCTCCGCGCTGTGGTGATGCAAGGCCCTCTCACGCGCAGGGGTGACTCTCAGGCCCCCCGGGGGAGGCCGCGAGGGAACTGAGACGTGGCAGCTGGACGTTGCGCGATTCCTAGCTCACCAGCGTCTCGCGTGTGTTTTTCTACGGATGAGGTCGCAGGGAAGTGTGCGCGGAAGGCGCCGAACGCCTCTGTTCATTGCCAGGGCGCGCGCTCGCGTCACCAACGGTCAGCACCAGGACCCCCCGGCCAGCCAGTGTGTCGCTCCGGCGGCGGGCGCAGATGGGGCCCGCGCAGGCCTCCGTGGGTACTCCTGGCCGCGCACAGCTTCAGGGACGACGTTCAAGGCGCTATAAGGGCAGAATATTCCGTGGAGTCGCGATGCTCGCGTACGTCCACCCAACCATGTGCTGCAGTCGCAGCGGCCCGGTGATGGTCGCGAAACCTCGCGAAACTCAGCTCAGCGTGCACCCACTGGACACCACGTCCAGCTCGTACCCGAAGCGGCCCGCTCAGACGCGCAGCGCGGGCCAGCACGGCTCCGTTGCACGTTCATGCTGGTCCTGAGCGCCGCGCAGCGCGGTGTGTGAGCGTCCAGGCCCTCGTTGCGTGCAGGCAACTCAAGTCTCTTGCTTCGCACAACCTGTTCCTGTTCCTGTGCGTCTTCGGCGCCGGGGGCGTGGCCAAGGGGGTCCTGGACTTCCTCGACATTTTCGAGCCCGCGACTGCGGCCAAGATTCAAGTAGGCGTCGTGTTCCTGGCAATCTTCATCGCAGGAACTGTCAGGCGCGCCCGCCTCGAAACCAATGTGCCGCACGACCGCGCCGCGCCGCAGCTTCGCTCACAATGCCTGCACGATGCCGATCGCTCGTGACCTCGTAGCGCCCGCTGCGCGGACCCGCAGGTCGATGCGCGAGCTGAAGGAGAACGAGGACGCCGCCGCCGCGCGCGCCAAGACGGACGAGAGCAAGGTGACGGCTGCTTCGGGAAGGAAGACGCCCATGCGCTCCCGCCGGCCACGCAGGGAGGAGTGACTGCGCACCGGGCGCACCGTGCCGGCCGCGCGGACGTCGCGGAGCGCGTGCGCACCGCTCCGTGCGCGCGCTGCGCAGACACATGCGCGGGTGTGACGCCGCCCCTGCTCAACAACACCAACATCGCTGGCGATCGCTGCCGTTTGTGCTCTCCACATGCCACGGCCCCCTGCGCGGGCGCGCACGCGTGCGGCAGCGCCGCTGTGCGGCCACGCTGCGAGCTGACGGCCCGTCTCGTCGCGCGCTGCTCCGTCTGCCGCGCTGTGCGCCCATAGCGCGACACTGCTGCGCTCCGCGCAGCTCTCTGTGCACGCCGGCGCCGCTCGATTCCGGGCGCGGTGCGTTCACATCAGGGCTCCTGCGAGGCCCTGGTGCGCCGCGCGCCCCGGCGGCAGCGTCATTCGAGGTCCAGGACCTGGAAGTGGCCCGCGAGCAAAAACTCCCCCGGGAGGAGTCCCGGCCGCGGCGCGAGGTACTGCACGTGCGTCTGCCCGTCCCGCTGCTCGATGCGCTGCAGGTGCACGAACCCCGCGACGTTGCTGCGCGGGATATCCTCCGCCTTGCTCGCATGACTGACAGCGAGAACAGTCCCCACTGGAAGACCCCTCCCGGGCTCGGCGCGCGACAGCCGGCCCGGCCCGGACTCCGCCGACGTTCCGATGGGCAGCGCCGCCGCGGGCGCGACGAACCCGCCCCCGATGCGGTAGACCTGGAGGTCGGAGGCTGGCAGCGTCTGCGTGTGGGGCTTGAGCTCGCCGTTGCGGCCGTAGAAGTAGGCGCGGAGGCGCCGCCGGCGGGCCTCTTTGCGGGACTCGGGCGTGCGGTCCACGACGCCGCCGCTGCGGGGGACCCTGACGACTTCTACCCCCAGGGGGGTGTTTTTCTTCTTTTGGTTTGCACTCAGGTCGCTCTGGAGGCGCGCGTGGAGGCGGTCCTGCCCGATCACCACGACGACGTCGCACTTCATCGCCTCTGCGCAGCAGCGAGCGCGCGCGCACTCCGTCAACACCCCCAACAGGTACAACAGCAAGCATCGCGCCCACGCGTGGAAACACGCACTCGGCAGCAGGAGCTCGCGGCGCCGAGCCGCTCCGTGGATCGGCAGCCTTGTCCTTCCAACGCGCGACAAGCGTCTTGCAGCGGCGGCGAATGCGCGACGCAGGGGACACGCGGCGGGGGGGGGGTGTATTGAGCACCTGCGGCTTGCAAGAGGAGGTCGTAACCCTCGCCGTCGGTCCAGCCCATGGTGTTGATGAGCCATCCGGAGGCCTTCGCGAGCGGGTCCGCGGAGTCGCGGCGCTCGAGCACCCCCGCCAGCTGCTCGACGAGGGCCTTGTAGACCGGCATGTTGTCTGACGGCGTGACGTGCCCGAAATAGAACGCGAGCGGGGGTTCGGACGGCGCGCCCTCCTCGATGTCGACGGGCTCCTCGAGCGTGACCGCCCCGATCGAGCCCGGCACGCCCACCGCGCCCTGCAGACACCATACACGCGTCATTCCGCAGATGAGAAAACTCGATCCTTGATCAGCCCGTCAATCCATGACTGACTGCGTCGCTTCGGCAGCTCGGGCCCCGCCGCCCCACACGCGCGCACGGAGCCAGCCGACTCGGCGACGCACGATGGATCGAGGATCCTCGATTCTTTGTGTGCCGCACCTGGCCAATGTCGAGGTCCACCACGGTCGGGTGCCAGCCGGTCCGCACGCCCCAGCTCGCGAGCGTGCGGATCAGCGTCGACTTGCCGGCGTCCATGTTGCCCACCACGAGCACGCGCGGCCCCGCACTGCTGTCCGTGCGCGCCGCAATGCGGCGGGCTTCCAGCGTGTCATGCAACGCGAGGTGCTGCGGGACGGTCGTCTCGTCCGACGTGTACACCAGCGCGCCCTCGGCTTGCACGTCCACCTTGGCCCCTGCGGCGGACGGGACGCGTGCGCCTCGCGGGTGGCGCAAGTGCAGCGGTGGGCGGTGTGGGACCCCTGGGGCCGCGCGCTTGCTTGATTCTGGCGTCGCCACGTGGCGGAGGCGATAGTTTGATCGGCTGTGTGATGGAAGGGGTGGAACGTGCGCCGGAGACGCTGTGCGCGCGGGGCGTGCATGCTGCGAGCTGAAGGGCGGATCGCGACCGCTGCGTTCGCGATAGCCGGCCGCGCACGGTCGCGCGGCGTACCTGTCCACGTGAAGATCGCGATGCTCGTTCCGGACACCCGCACTTTCTCCTGGAGACGGAGCTCTGTCCCAAACACCTCGGCCGTACCTTCCCGCAGCGTCACCGTCGCTGTCTGGTCCCATGAGGCCTCGATGCGCAGCTCCGTACGCTGCGACACGAGACAGCACCATGGCATTGTGAGCGCGGAAGGGCGCGAGCGGCCGTGGAGCAAGCGCTGCGGCACCGACACTGCTCAACAGCCTTGTAGCCTCGCCCGCACGCGCATTCCGAGGAACGGCCACGAGGCGACGTCGCTGGAGGGAAGCAGATGGACTAAGCTCTCACCGGCTGCAAATCGCGCGTCTTCGCCTGCGACGAGGACTGCCCATCACCCATCTCTCTGCCGCCGACACTCACACAAACAAGAGCCTGCTGGATGCACTGCCGATAACGCCCCTTGTACTTCCCTCACCTTGCCGTGGAAACTGGGCTCTGTGCGCCGGGCCCCTGCAGACCCGGCATCGACGCCGCTGCGCAGCGGGGGGGGTCATGCGCAGCAGTGTACGCCCGACGCAGGTGCAAACCAACCGTCAGGTTCTCACAGCCCGCATCGGGGCGGGCTGATGTGCGCGCCGGCGCCGCGGGGCCGCCACTACCTCGTCTCGCCATCCTCGGAGAGCGAGGCCAGGACGGGCGCACGGAAGCCCTGCGTTTGGGTTTCTGAGAAGGCACTCGCCTGTTGGTCGCGCCTCGCACCCCGTTTGAGTCGGATTCCGCGTGGCTCGCGGCACCATGCTACGGAGAGCGTTCAAGGCGCCGCTTTTGGGCGCGCGTGCCACGTGGGAGGCCGCCAGGGCGTCCGCTTCGCCTGGCCTGGCAAGCGGAACGGGCGCCGCGTGCTCCAGGGCGGCCGGCTTCGCTTCTGACACGACCGTCTCGACAGAGCACGCGCGAGAGGGCGAGACTCCGGCGCGTGCGCAGACAGACGGCGCCAGCGAGGGCCGCGGGGCGACCGCTGGGCTAGGGCGCACAGCAGCCCCGTCCGCGTCGCCCGAGTTCGCGCAGCGGCTGGAGACGCGCGCGGGCTTCAAGCTCGGCGAGCTGATGGAGGAGGGCCGCCGTGCGAGGCAGGAGGGCAACGCTCCCGGGCAGGAGACGCCAGAAGCCAACCAGGTAGAACCCAGGGCGCGCTGCGGAACCGCGGCGGCGCGACGTGGAGCCGCGACCGCGTCGGACTCGCGCCCGAGAAGCTCGCTCGACCACTGCTTGGCGAACGGCTTGACGTCGACCGCGCGCTGATGTGGGAGCTGCGTGCGTGCGTGCGTGCGGGCGTTGACGGTCCTGCGGGTCCGCATGCGCGGCGCAGGGCGAGCGAGCGAAGGAGCACGGGGGGCCGAAGGGCCCGGAGCCCACGCGGTTCGGCGACTGGGAGCGCAACGGCCGTTGCACGGACTTTTGACCTTTTTCTCTTCGCACGTGGTTGCAACAGCTCCGTGGCCTGATATCAACGGCAAGCGTCGCTGCGCGGCAGAGTGCGCGCTTCGCGTCGCGGTCGCGCCGGCGGCTTCGTCGCGCGTGTGAGACTGTCCTCGAAACTCCCCCTGTTGCTGACGTGGGTAGCAGCGAGGCGTGAGCCGCGGGTCTTCCCGAGGCCGCGCCGGGCACCTTGGGCTGATTTTTAAATCGCGGGGCATCAAGTGTTGAAGAGGCAGGTGGCGAGATGACTGCGTCCGTGTCCGAGGAGAAGCGCAAGCTGGTGAGCGACGATGGGACGTCCGCACGGCATCAAATGCGCTTCTAAACGTTTCCACGCGACGCTTTGAATACACATGGACGTGTCCGCCGCGCGGGACCCTCGACTTCGCTTCGCGCGAGCCGTAGCAGCAACATTCGAACAAGTTCGTCGTCCCCGAGGTTCGTGTGCAGGACGACTTCGAGAAGCGGGTCGACAAGGACGACAAGGAGGCGATGGCGCTGCTGACAGAGATGCGCGAGCACATCCAGGTGCGGCATCCACCCGGAAGCCCCGCGCAATGCATCGTGCGCGCGCAGTCGCTTGCGAACGCGGTCCGCCGCGCCGCGCCCCACGGTCGCGCATCGGGCACGCCCGTCCCGCAGAAGCTCGAGAAACAGCAGCGCTTCGAGGACCCGCGGCTGTCGTTCGCGACGCCGGAGTTCCGGGAGGCCCAGAGGCACTTCACTGATGCCTTCAAGAAGAACTTCAACCGCCCGGTGGAGTACGCCATGGTCAAGGACTTCCCCTGGTCCACGCCCGCGCTGCGCAAGCTGGACCGCCCCGTCGACGTCAAGGGCAACCCCTGGCCCCTCGACAGCGAGGGCAAGCCCATCCTGTCGTGACGAGCGGCCGCCGTAGCTGCGGCGTGCCCGACATGAATTGCCCCGCGAATGTAAGGAACTACCAGGATGATAGACGTGTCAACTGGAGGTCACATTGACCAAGAAAGGGGCGGCCGCGAGCAACGAAAAATTCAAGTGTGCGTGAACACATGTACTGAGGACTCGCGACGAGGACGAGGTGCGGCGCGGGTCGCGCGTGTGGGCCGTGCGGCCACAGCGTCGCGGGAGAGAGTGGTTGCCGGCAGCGTCCAGACGTGCGCTGGTCCATCGTAATGCCCAGGGGTAGCGACTCAAGTCGCCATGCAGCAGGGGCGAGAAGCAACCGACGCGGCGGAGACTCGCTCGCGGCACAGGAGGGACTCGGTGACGCCGCGCGGACTCAAGGTGGTTCAAGGGTTCACATGCGCCGTGGCGACGTGCGTCTCCAAGAACCGTTTTTTTTTTTTTTTTTTGGGGGTTATTTATTTCTTGTACTTGTAGTAGTTGGGGATTGTGCGAGGGTACGGCTCGGCAGCCATGATCTTCTGTGCGTAAAGCGCAGCCACGAGGGCTGTCAGCGGCGTCCGTAGTCGGACACGGCCAACGAGGCGCGGGCCGCAAGCTGCCCGGCGCCCAAAACATTTTGCACGGCTGCGCAGGACGGGCCGCCATTGCGACGACGCACGCCCTGCGCCCTGCACGGCCCGGGGGGGCCGTGCCGCGCGTGAAGAAATCAATGCGACGCGCGACGAGTGTCGCGCTGCGCGGGGGGGTACACGAGCACAGGGCGGAACAGCGATGTGCTGTGGGTGCGATGCGACCTGCTGCCTGTCACCGGGCGTGGTGGCGGGGCTGCATGCAATCGCGGCTGAGGCGCAGCATGGATTGCGTTTGCCAGAAAAGAGGGAACAACGCCACCGCGGCGGGACGTCGCCGGAACGACGCCGCCGCCGGGCGCGCGGCGCGGCGGCACTCCGCTGGAAAAAAACGCGGGGAGCGTGCCGCCGGCCGGCCTCGAGCGCGTTCTCGGGGGATGTGATGTGTGGGGCGGCCATTGGGGGGCGGGAGTGCAACCGGCCGAACGGGACGCGTGCGAACGCGCCCGTCGACCGTCGCGCTGGCCCGCCGGGCGCCAGCAGGCGGCGGTCCACGGAGGGTAAGGGTTGCTTGCGAACAGGCGGTGATTCGACTCTAGGCGCCCCGCGCGCATCGGGCGTGGCACGTGCACGCGACGCAATGTCGCGGTGCGGCGGGGGCGGGTAGAGCGGGCGTTGCGTACCGACTTCAAGGCAAGGGGGGGTTCTCAACTTTGCTGACGGGACTGGGAAAGCGGAGGGTTGCTGAGTTGGCGTCGCCGTGGGCATGGGGCGGTGGGCCAGGCGGGGAGCCCGCGCGGGCGACACGCGGCCCCGATGGGGGACGCGGACGACGCGCGCGGCGCCCGAAAGCGCACTGGACAGACGGGGGGGGGCGCTGGGGTCCAGCCTCCAGGGCAAGGGGGGGTTAGAGGGAGGCGTGGGGGGAGTGCAGCGGACGATGGGAAGGAAGTGGGGGGCTATCGAAAGAGGGGGCGTAGTGTGAAGTATTGAGGGGGGGAGAGGGAGGGGGGGTGTGGGATTGCTGTTGGCCTGCGCCATCTAGTGCTCGGCCCCGTCCTGCAACCTCCGGGCGCGGCACGCGAGCGTGCGCGGCCCGTGGTCGTCGAGGAGCACGGGTACACGTAGATGTTCGGGGGGACAAACGGGGCAGCGGGGCTTTCGTTCGGCAGGCAGACGCGGGCAGACGGCACCTCGAGGCGAGGTGGCGGGGCCTGCGGGCGCCCCCGGGTGCGGGGTGGTCGGGACGTGTGGAATCGGAGGAACAAGGGGCGCATGTTCTCGGTGGTTCTAATTCGCGCGAGACGGTTAGGGGTCCAAATTCCGCACGGTGAGGGGTGGAGGGAGCTGCGGGGCCGCCCGGCACGTGGCTGTGCCGGGCGGCTCAACGCAGGCAGCGCCGTGCGCGCCGCGAGGGCGGCGTGCGTGCGGCGGGGGATATGAGTGATATGTGTGTGTGTTCGGGAGCCTGTGGGCGGCGTGGCCACCAGTACAATGCTTCTGCACAAGCGCAGATGCAACGAGGGCGGGGGGCGGCCCAGCGCGCCAGGGCTAGCGGGCTGGGCCGCCGTTGGCGTAGCTTCTCGTTCGACACGGGCACGAGTGAATGCGCGCGGGGTCGCGAGAATCTCCGAGAGAGACAGCTGTAGGGGGGCAGAGGAGCTGGCGCCTTCTTCGTTCGTGTCGCGAAGCTGCGGCTCGCGCGGGCGGTCCGCCGCGGCGCGACGTCGTCGCCTGTGCGTGCCCCCGTGTCCCCTGAGGCGGCGCAGCCTACGCGATGTAGAGCATGCGCTTGAGAGCCTGGGAGGCAGCCTCGTCGACCTTGGGAGGCTCACCCGCGTCAGCGAGGAGCGCCGAAGGCATGGGGAGCAGCTGCGGGGGCGGTGCGTGCACGGAGGAGCCCGCGAAGCGGTTGGAGTCCGTGGCGGAAGGCGTGCGCGAGTCCGGGAGCGAGGCCGCGACCTCGTCGGTGCTGCGCGAGGTCGCGTCGGCCACCGGCTTGGCCCGCGCGGACGCGGGGCGCTTCTTTCCGGCCGTCTTCGCCTTCTTCGGGCTCGCCTTGGCGGATGCCGCCTTGGAGCGCTGCGGGGGCGACAGCAGTTGCGGTGCCAGTGAGCCGTTCGTCCGTTCGCGTCGGGCGCCGGGAGGGGCCGCCCGCGCCGCGCAGAACGGTCGAGGGCGAGGTGAGCGAGCGTGGGGGCGCGCGACGAGCGCGGGCGTCCGTGCGATGGGCCGGGGGCACCTACCCGCGACGCGTGCCTGGATCCGTCCTCGGTGCCGTAGGAGTCCGTGAGCGCGTCGGCGTCCTTCGGGGCGTCCTCGTCGTTGTAGAACGGCACCAGGTCGCGGCCGCAGCCCGGCATGGGCGTCGGCTTGAGAGCTGCAGGTGGTTTCGTAGGAGCCGAGGCCAGTGGGCCGGCGAAGCGGGCGACAGCGGCGCGCGCGGGCCCGCCCGCTGGGCGAGGGCACGACGACGGCGGGTGGCGCGCCGCGAGTCGCGCGCACGAGGCAACGGACGAGGCGCGCGGGGACAGGACACGCCCGTCCCTGGCATCTCCGGCAGGCCGCGCGGGGGTGGCCGGGTCCGCACCAGCGACGCACGCGTCGACGAGGGTATCAACGGTCCAGACGGTCTTCATCTTTGCGGTCTCGAAGTCGCCGAGTATGCTTCAGCGTGGGCAGGGAGATCTAAGTGAAGGGTGAGCGGGCCTGCACAGGCCGCGTTAGGCCTTCGTACAGCTAATCAATACAGGTTCAATAAGAGCGTGTTGTGCCGCCACACGGCCGCGGTGCGGGCCCACGACGCCGCGGCGCGCCCCGCGACGGGCCTGTCCGACCCCAGGACCAACCCCCCTGGAGGGCGAAGCCCCGGGCGGCCCGCGGCGCCGCACATGGGCGCGGGCCGCGCGGTCCTCTGCCGAGACGCGGCACGTGCTGCGCGGAACCCGCACACGCGCCGGCGCAGCGCGTGGGCTCAGTTGCTGTGGTCGCCCCGGCGAGCGCTCTGCCGCACAGAGGTCTGCATCTTTTGTCGGAAAAGCACCCCACGATCGCGCTCGGGGGCGAGCACCGCCGTCCCGAGGGCGGCGCGAGCCGGAAGGCCGCGGGCCGCAGCGGCGGTGGCCACCCGGCCCCGGGCCAGGGTCGCACGGTCAGCGCGGATGGACCTGCCTCGGCTCGGGTCCGCGAGCGGCGGCGGGAGTGTTTCCGGCGGCGCTGAGGTCCTGCGCCGGCTGGACAACCTGGAGCTGAGCCAGGTATGGTCTGCGCTACTGCTGGGCACTGCTGGTCTGCTCCGAGGCGCGGGCCGGCCCTGCCGCGACGTCCCGGCGGCACCAGGCCAGGCCCTGTGATTCTCGCGGACGAGTTCGAGATTCCAGGCCTTGCATCGGAGCAACAAGTCGTTTGCGCGCGCCGCGGCGCCTCTCACGTTCCACATTTGCTCGTCCAGTCACGCAACCGCGCCCACGCCCGGCGCAGGTGTTCGTCGAGTACGTGTGGATCGGCGGCCAGGGCACGGACCTGCACAGCCGGACGCGCGTGCTGTCGGCGCCGCCGACGTCGCTCGCGGAGGTACCGCCCACCACCATCGATGGGCGCGCGTGCGGCCTCGCCACGGCCGAGCGCGGGAGCGACGTCACGCTGCAGCCATGTTGCGTGTTCAAGGACCCCTTCAGGCGCTGCGGATCCAACTTCGTCGTCCTCTGCGAGACGCTCCTGCCCCGAACGGTTAGTAGTTGGCGCCCAACGGCTCCCGTGCCGCGCAGCGACGCTCAGCTGCCCGCCGAACGATCCCGGGCGGCGTGCCGCGCCCGGACACTGCGCCGCGCCCCGCGGAAGGCCCGGAACCGCCGCGGGCGCGCCGCGACGGGCAGCAGCGCTGTTGCCGCGTTGAAGGCCGAAATCCCGGCCAACGCCGACCGCTTTCCGCCGCTCGCTGCGCGCAGGTGGACCACGAGACCATGACCGTCGTTCCCGCGGAGCCCCACCCGAGCTGCAACCGCGGGCCGTGCGAACGCGCGCTGTCCAGTGCCCTGGCGCACGCCCCTTGGTTCACCATCGAGCAGGAATACACCCTCTTCGCCGCCGACGGGTACCTCCCGCTCCCTCGCACCGTGCACCACCCCCACGTGTGCGGAACGCCGCCCAAAACGCCCCCCCGTGCCCTCCAGCGTCCTCAAACACGCTTGTGTTTGTGCGCCTCCGCTGCTGCGCAGTGACTGGCCGCTCGGCTGGCCGCGCGGCCTGCCGAGCCGAGACGCGCACACCGGCTTCAGCGAGTCGTGCCGCGGGCGAGCCGTCGCGGACGCCCACGCGCGCGCGTGCCTGTGGGCCGGCGTGCGGGTGACTCGGTACCAGCCGGGCTCCCTGCCAGGCATCTTCTCGTACAGCATCGGACCGTGCACGGGCATCGAGGCTGCGGACCACCACTGGATGAGCCGGTGCGCCCCGCCGCCCCGCGACCCGCAGTGCAACCCCCGCGTCATCGCCGCCGACGCGCCTGACAGCGAGAACCGCGCCGCCGGCCCGCCGCAGCTACATCATGATGCGCGTGACCGAGGAGGCGGGGCTGAGGTGCTCGTGGGACCCGAAACCGGCCCCGGGGGACTGGTCGGGCACGGGGTGCACCGTCAAGTATTCTACCAAGGGCTCTCGCGCGCTGGGCACGGGCTGGGCGGACCTCGAGCAGCACGCGGTCCGCCTCGCGCAGAACCACCACCAGCTCATGATGGTGTACGGCGCCAGCAACGAGCGCCGCGTGGGGGAGCTGTCGCAGTCGGAGACGTGCTCGTGGGGGGTCGGGGACCGCTCGCACCCGGTCTACATCCCGGAGAGCGCGCTCGCGGACCGCGGCGGGTACATCGTCGACCAGCGCCCCGCCGCGTCGATGGACCCGTATCTCGTGACCATGATGGTCACGTGCACCACGCTGGCGATGCAACTTCCCGTGTTGCGGGCGCCGCGCACCGTCGCGCGCGGACGGCTGCACAGCACCGGGACGATGCCCGGCGCCGCCACCGCCCGCGCCGGCGCGAGACAGGCATGCACCCGCGCAGCGACTCCCCCCCGGGATGCGCACGCTGTACGTCTTCGCAGTTGCACAGGGCGTGCGCGGCTGCGACGCGCGCCGCGCGCAGCGCACTGCTGCAGCGAGGCGCCAACGGCGGAGCTGTCTGCGCGTTGACTTGCAGGTCGGGGGCTCCCTCACTGGGCAAGGCGGCGGCGGCGCAATCCAGGAGACGTACCGCACCAGCTCGCCCGGGCGGGGGAGTCAGTACGAAGGGTCGCCGCTGGGCTACGCGCCCTTCGCGTTCGTCGGGAGGCCGTCCGTGTGCGAGTACGGTGCGTGTTTGGAGACGCGAGCGTCTGTGCGCAGCAGGCATAGGCGCCCCCGCAGCGCAAGGCGCTTGCACCGGCCGACGCCGAATCCTGACGCTGCTGCGCGTGCACGCTTGTTGCAGGCATCCCGCCGCCGGGCAGCGGCCTGGGCCAGTTCCCCCTGCCCAAGCCTACCAATCCAGAGTCGTGTGGCAGCATGTCTGACGACTCCCCCGACTCGATTGCCGACATGATCAGCAACGACGAGGACGACGACGACGACGACGACGGGGACGACGACGCCGCCGCTGAAGGCGGCACCGCGGAGCACCACGCGGTGCCTGACAGGCAGCACCACGCGGTGATCGACAGGCAGCAGCTGACGCGCCATTTCTCCCTGGAGCTCGCCCACGACGCCAGGCTCAAGGCCGGTCTCCAGCGCGCAGCAGACGGCGCGGAGCAGGCGTGAAGCGTGCAGCGGGGCGCCACGAGCCCCCATGCAAGTGCACCTGGGCTCGCCCGCTACGCAGCGAGCACAGACCCTGCTTGTGCGGCCGGAGCCGCAGCTGCTCTGAACAAACAAGGCGTCGGCTGATATTGCGAGGACGAAGCACTCACTCGCGCAAACCAAACACCACCACGTGCTTGCCCATTCCCCCCCCTTTCTCCCACGCCACCCCCGCTCCCGCTCTCTTCCCTGCGCCCCTCATGTCCGACCCCGGACCCCGCTGCCATCCGATCGTTCAAACATCACGGCATATTTGTATGACGGACAGTACGGCTCCACTTTTACCACAAGACCTCTCCCGCGATCCCCACCGTTAGGAAACGCCGCGCCGCGGAGCAGCTCCCTTGGTGGCGCCGACCGCGAAGACGCAGCGCTGCCTGAGCAGCCCGACAGCCAACATGCCGAGTCCAAGCGGTGCGACTCCCCCCAAGTCCTCCACACATTCCCCGACCCCCCCCCCCGCCTCTGCAACTCCCCCCCCGACTAGCCCAGGTGAAAGATCCCGCCTCGTCGCACTCTCGCGACACCTGCTGCATGCATAGCACGCCTAGCCTACAACGTGTTCCTCAACGTGCTGCAACAGTAGATGCCCCCCCCCTTGGCCGTCCCGACGACGACGACCCCCGCCCTTCCGAAATAATCAGTGCCGGCCGCTGAGAGTCGCTCTGATACCCGCGAAACGCCTCGTCAGCCGCTGCGGCAGACGGTGGCGCCCCTCGCGGCTGGCTCGGCCCACCAGGGCACTGAGCGATAGCATGCACAAGTCCCCCCCCCCTTGCGTGCCCCGCATCTTTGCGCCCGGGTTGCCACAGGCACTTCCCGAAGACGAAGCGCCTTTGTGCCACGCATTCGCCGACACCGCACAGGGCGTACGGCGTGCAGCTCCTCTCTGCACGTAGGGACTAGAATCGCCGCGACGCGCGGCACACTTCTCGCCACCGATCGTTGGAACCATTCCAAGCGCTGCGGCGCCCTCAACCCGCCACTGCGCGGCCCAAATGTGCGCGCGTCCTGCACTGCGAGCACGACTCTACTACTCTTTTGGCGCTCATCACGCGCAGCACCCCGCTCCCTGCGAACGGCACGGCTGCTCGCTGGGAGCTCCCACCCCGCCCTTCACTCGCCAAGTGCAAAGACCCGCGAAAACCGTGTCCAGCAGCCCGTTCTCGTCAAACGTTGTGAACGTAGAATGTTGCACAATTGCTGCTGATGCGTGCGTCGGCCGTGGTCAGGGGCGTGCTTACCCGGCTCGCACCTCCACCGGCACACCAACCGGGCATGCCCTTCAGAGCTCTCGGAGCGGGCAGGACTGCGCCGTCAAGCTGCAATGTCATACTTCGAGCGCGGCTCCGTCTTGGCTCTTGCGCGCAACACATCGCAGCTCGCAGTAGAACAGGAACGCAGCTCCGCCAGCGCCCGGGCACGTTGCGCGCCGAGACGCAAGCTCGGGCGCCCGGGGCAGCGACGCGTCATGCGGGCGCGGTGTTCCAGGACATCGGCGTCTCGTCGCGAAGCACGGGCCCACTGCGCTGCCTTGCTGGACGGCGCAGCCTCGAGGCACGCGCGGCGCGGCGCCACGCGCCCATCGTCGTCTCCGTTCACAAACTGCAACACCCCCCCCCCTCGCTCGAGCGTCGCAGCGCCCCGAGCGTGCGGACGGGCGCCCTACTCCTCCTCCCGCACGAGCGCCTGGGAGTCCATCGCGAGTCCCATGGCGTTCAGGCCGTTGTCGACGTACATCACGTGGCCGGTCACCGCGCTGGCCAGCGGGCTCAGCAGGAAGGCCGCGCACTGGCCGACCTCCGTCGCGCTCAGCTCCTTCTCGATCGGCGCGTTGGCGTAAGAGTACTTGATCATGTCGTCGATGAACCCGATGGCCTTGGCCGCGCGGCTGCCCAGCGGCCCCGCACTGATGGTGTTGACGCGAACCTTGTACTTCCGGCCCGCCTCGTACGCCAGGACCTTGGTGTCGGACTCCAGCGCGGCCTTCGCGGACGACATGCCGCCGCCGTACCCGGGGATGATGCGCTCCGAGGCCAGGTACGTCAGGCTGATGACACTCCCCCCGGGGTTCATCAGCGGGGCGAACTTCTGCACCATCGCCACCATCGAGTACGACGACGCCGAGATCGCGGCCAGGTAGCCGCTGCGCGACGTCTCCAGGAGCGGGTTCTTCACCTCGGGCCCGTTCGCCAGAGAGTGCACCAGCACGTCGATCGTACCAAACTCCTCCTTCACCTTGCGCGCCGTGTCCTCGATCGTGAACCCGTCCTTCGCCGCCGCGTAGCGCTTGTTCGTCGCGACCTCCTCCGGGACGTCTGCGCGCGCACACGCGCCGGGAGGACACGCGCAACGTCGCGTCAGCGCGCGGCAGGCGCAGGGGCAGTGAGGCGCGCTGGGGGCGAGGCACGGGGCGCGGCGCACCGGCGGGGGTGTCGTAGACGGCGTCCATGGGGTAGATCGCGGCGAACTCCATCAGGGAGCCGTCGGAGAGCTTGCGGGACTCATCAAACTTGCCGCGACGCAACGACGTCTCGAAGATGTTGAGCGCGGGCACCCAGACGCCGAGGATGATCTCGCAACCGGCCTCCGCGAGGCACTTCGCGATGGCCCAGCCGAAGCCCTGGTCGTCCGCGACGCCCGCGATGAACGCGCGCTTCCCTGCGCTCAGACTCAAGGCGGCAATTTTCGGCAAATGAGGCCCGTATTCGACATGAAAATGAGCGCGATGGGCATTTCTATGTCGGTTTTGGGGTAGTGGTGCTCGTGCGGCGCGTTTGAGGGGCGGACGGTGTCGCGGCGGTGACGTGCTGAGGGGAGGGAGGGCGGAGTGCGGGCTCGTACCGCGGAGGTCGATGGTGAGGCCGTTGCCGGCAGCGGCGGTGGTAGCGGTCCTCTTGAGCGAGCGGCTGGGGGTCGTACGGCCGGAGAAGGCGCTCGCCGCGGGCGACGAGGCCGCCGCGAGAGCACGCGGCACGCCCGCAGCCAGGCTGACCGCGCCGTGCAGCCGGCGGGCGCCGGCCGTGCTGCAAAGCGCGACGGGGGCACGTGGAGGGTGTCGATGGGTCGGTGTGGTGCGCGAATGGCACGGCATCGGCCGTCGAGGGCCACCACGGCCGCACGAACGGCCCACGGATGATGCGCCGGGTCGCTGGCGGGTCGAACGGAGCGCGGAGTGGTCGATGTGCGCAGCACGGGATGATGGTGGAAGAGCCAGCGAATCCGCCGCCGAATGGAGCGGTTCGGCGTTTCCGGTGAGGCAGCAACCGAGCAAGTCGAGCGGTGAAACGGTCGTGCCGCCACGCAGGGGGGCAAACGCCGCCACAAGTGACGCCGATGCCGCTCGTGAACAGAAAGCCATTGATAGTGATCGGCAGGCCCCGAGGACTCGCACACAGGGCCGCTACGGGCGGCCCGCACCTGCTGGCAGCAGCCGAGCAGCAAATCTTCGCGGCGGTGGTGACGATGGACGACATGTCGATGATCGGCGCCAAAGACCTAGCACGAAGCGACGCTGCAGGCACCGCATTGTGCCCCCAGGTCGCGCGTAGCCCCTCATTCACACCCCTGATGCTATGTCTGACAACCGCCGCGAAGCACTCCCAGTTTCTACCCCGCGCACCCCGACAACGCCCCCACCCGCACAGCCACAGCCGCCGCAGGCCCTGGGCGGCGGCGCGCGAGCGCCAACGATCATTCCATCCCCCCCGCCTTCACACATTCCCTTTCTCCTCTGTTACCCGTAATCAAGAATCGAGAAATCATATCTGTCTACCAACACTCGACGCTCCTCCTGCGGTTGCGCCGCGGCGCGACAGCGCCGCCGCCCGCGCCGTCCCCGGCGTCCGTGCCGGGCCTCGCGCTCCACCTCTGCGACCGCATCCGCAGCGCAGAGAGGCCGCCAAACGCGCACGCCGCCGCCTGCGTCGCCCGCTTACGGCTCCAGCTGTAGACGTTGACGTTCCCGTGCGTCCTCAGTCGCCCGACGCCGAGCCGGCGCATGCGCAGCGCGCTCAGCACGGGCGGCTTCTGCGTCGGCAGGCTGGACACGTACTCCGCGGCGACCGCGAGCCAGGCGCGCAGTTTGCGGTTGGAATCGATTTGGGAGTGATCTAGCAGCACACCAACGTCGCTCGCCCAGGACGTGACGGCCACCTTGCACCTCTGCACGTGCAAGCTGGCGACCATGTGCGGCGTGAGCTCCTTGCCCGTGCGCAGGCGGAGGTGCCCCGCGCGCGTGACGGACCCGAGAACGTTGCCGTGGAGGCGGAAACAATACTCCCCCGCGACCGGCCAGCCGAACTGCTCGGTGACCTCGTCGTCGACGACGCGGGGGAGGAGGCGGCGGACGGCTTCGAGGAGGTCCTCGCAGGCCTTGGCGTCGGGCGTCGGCGCCTGCAGAGCGCGCGTGGAATCCTGCGCGGGCAGCGGGGGCGCGCGCGCGGACAACACCTTGCTGGACCTGCACCGCGCCGACACACCGTGGCGTGAAGGATGCTCTCGGAGGCGGCGGCGCGGGTGACGGGGCGGACGACGCGCGCGCCGCCGCGGGTGGCGCTTCGGCGTAGCGAGGAGGTGCGGCGTCGCGATGGGCACCAGTCGGACCTGTCGGAGGATAGAAGCAGCGCCTTGAGGCCGGCTACGACCCTGTTGTCGCGCAGCTCGACCGCGGGGGGCGGTGCCGCGTCGTGCCGGATCGTAGCGTCCGGATCGTCGATTAGGTTTCCACCCACGGTCGAGAAGCGCTCCGCGCGCACCGCAGCGAGCGAGACGCCATCGAGCTTCTTCCCGAGCGGGAGCGCGTCGTAGTCCTCGTCGATGTGCACACGAGCGTCCCAGATCATCGCATCAAACCGCCGCAGCGACAATGCACGCGCGGCGAGCAAAGGGGACGCGTTCGAGCAGACAGCGCGGCGCAAGCGGGCAGAACCGATCGCGCCCTGGCAGACGAGCTCGTAAGTGACCCCGAGGAGCGCACGCAGCCGCGAGATCTGCGCGCGGCGGACCGAATCGCGCCTCTATCTGTTCGTCTTCCCGTCGTCCAGGTATGAACCATCACAGTCCGCGACACCCCCCTTCGGCCGCCAGGGGCCCGCGCGGCGCCTGAAGCACGGCACAACGGTCCTCGGCACACACAGACGCGCCGTTGCTCCGCCCCGGCGCGTCCACGGACGGCCGCCGCGTCACTTGGCTTGTTTCGGCAGTGCTCGCGGCTCGTGCAGGGGTGGTCCGACGCGGTGGCCCCCGAGGCGCGGGCACAGCTGTTTGGAGACCATCGAGCCGCCGAGCGTGTTGCCACGGACCGTGAAACCGTTCCCGCCAACCGTCCTGCGCTGCGTGGCCTCTGGCAGCGCGAGGATGGCTTGCAGGCGGGCTGCGAGGACGTCGCCGGGTTCGGCGCAAACCTGAGCTCAAGGCTCGCTCGTGCGTGTGCGTGCGGCTGCAAAGCGCGGCTCCGTGCGCCGTGCACACAGACTTGTACCTGGGGGGGTATAGACGGCGAACTGAGTCATGTCGAGCCGCTGGCCGGCCATCGGCACACGAACCTGCGTGTCCGCGAGCCACTGCGGCAGGTTGCACGTCGAGGACACCGTCGCGGACAGACCCTGTGCCTCGAAGTCGGCCGTCCGGGCGCCAGCGCAGCAGCGGCTCCGTGCCGGTCGTCCTAGCGCATCATTCATGCACGCCCTGCCCCGTGCGCGCGCTGGACACTGTATACTACATCGCCCCGCCTTTCGGCCCTGCCGGGGCGCTGCTCCCCACAGGGCGTGGATGGGCCATGGGGGCAAGGAGCGGATGCGCACCTCCGCGGACGCCGGAAGCGGCGGGGCGGTCGGCGCGCTCGGCCAGAGCTTCAATGCTACAGGAATGCTCCAGTTCCTCAGGTGCGCTCGCCAGTCGACCCCGCTAGGCCCCGCACGGCGTCGGAGTGCAGGGGCGGTGTATGCAGGTCGTGCGATCGGCCGCGTGCTCGCCAACGACGCACGAGCACCGCCGACGCATGTTCGTACATTCACCATCCTTCAGACCGAGCCGCGGGCGTTCGACCGGGCGCCATCGGGCGCAGTCGCTCACAGCTGCACTTTGCCCCTGCGTGGCCGGCTGCAGCATCCTGGGGTCGCAGAAGTCGCTGGCGATCCCGCACGTCGACGTGCCGGACATCCGCTGGCTCGACTGGGCCGCGATGCGCGACGCGGGCATCCGGGCGTGCGTGTTCGACAAGGACAACACCCTGACAGCGCCGTACGCGCTCGAGGTGTACCCTGACGTCAGCGAGGCCGTCGCGGAGTGCCTGCGCGTGTTCGGCGCGGAGAAGGTCGCGATCCTCAGCAACAGCGCGGGCCTCAAGCAGTTCGACCCCGACGGCGCGGAGGCGCAGGCCGTTGAAGACGCGCTGGGCGTCCACGTGTTGCGGTGCGGCCCGCGGGGGGGGTGTGCCGCGGACGCATGCTGCGGGCGCGGCGCTGCCCGGCTGCGCGTGTTTCGGCCTCGTTTCGGCGGTGAGCTCGCAGATATGGTTTCAAGACTGTCTGTCTCTGTCCTTGTTTGCAGTCACACGGAGAAGAAGCCCGGGGGGTCCGCGCGGGAGGCCGCGGCGCACCTGGGGTGCGCGGAGGAGGAGATTGCGTTCATCGGGGACCGGTATCTGACGGACACGGTGTACGGGAACCGCAACGGGCTGCTGACGGTGCGCGTGGCGGCGCTGACCAAGCTGGGCGAGAAGAAGACGGTTCGCGCGGCCAGGCGAGTGCCCGCGCGCTGCGTCGCGGCCCTGCGCGTGTCTGTCGGCTGCCGCGCCGACGTCGAGGAGCGGTGCGGTGCGGCGGTGCGCGCAGAAAGCTAGAGGAGAGCCTCGTCGCGAAATGGAGGCGGAAAGGGAAGCAGGCGCCCGCGCACGCGACGATATCGGCGGAGCAGATCGCGAAGATGGTCAGGGAGCCCGGGTGCTGGTGACGGCGCGGGCCCCGCCGCCCGCGGCCCCCCGGAGTGCTGCCTGCGGGTACGAGGTTGCCGCGTTCGCTGGGCGGCGACGGGCCCGCGCTGGCCGATGATGGTGTGATGCATGGTGCCTGACGCGACTCAGCGGCCCGGGAACGACGGCATCCGTTACACGCGCGCGCGACAACGACCCGCCCAGGGCGCAAGACTTCTCGTGGCGAATTGCCCGCAGCATGAACGTTCTGCCGTCCTCCACGTCCTCCCCCGCTCTGTCTGCGCTGTCACACGCGGCGTGGCGCACGCGAGAGCTGCGATACCGCGCCGAACGGGACGCACGCGCCAGGTTCTGTTGCAGAGGGTGGCACGGCACGGCGCACGGCGTGTGCGTCGTCATCGGCGAGACACGCGTAATGTGGCGCGAGAGGGTCTCCGCGCGGCCGTTGGGCCCCGCGCGCGACGGAGGGGCGGCCGGGGGGGACTCTGCTGGGCCGGACTGAGTCTGCCGCGTTGTGCTGCTGGCGGTTGGTCGTAATTCGCAGCGCTGGCTGCTCCGCTGGGCCACTAACGCTGTGTCGCGATAAGGTGAACACGCGAGAGATGACGAGCGCCATGAGCAGCTGCCTCGCAGCGGGCGTGCGCGCTCCCGCGACGCCATGCGCCCTGTCCTCGAAGCTGTTGGCCCCGTTCCGCCCGGCGCCGAGGTGAGTGCCCTCGCGCTCCATGAACCGGTTGATTCTATCGTACCGGAGTCGCCGCGAAGCGCCTGCCTCGGCGCCCGACCGCGGCGCGCCCCGAGCGCCAGTTCGGGCCCGGCCCAGCTCAACGACGCGCCCTGCCGGTCGCGAGCCGAGCCGCGCCACGCGACCTGGAATTTCCGCGCCTGCGTAGTCTGTTTCGCCGCCTCGCGTGCCTCGCCGTGCGAGTTTCGCTTCGCAACCGCCCCGACCCGCCCCCTGGTGCCGCAGGATTACTCGCGCGCTCCCGTGCCAAGCCGAGCGGCGCTTCTCCCTCGACGCCCGCGCGCCGCGGAGGCTCTGTGTTTGCCGAGGCATCGGCCACAACGGTGACATTGGCGACTTCGCGCCGAACGACTTCATCGAGGCCACCCTCGAGAACGGTGCGGGCCCTCGCCACGCGCCCCCGCCTCCGCCGCCCCCCGCGCCCCTCGCCGCGCCCCCCGCCACCGCAGCCACCAGCCAGGCCCCCGCCGCGCCCCGCGGCCCCACCCCCGCGCCCCAGCACCGCCCGACCTATTCCCTCGCAGCAACAGCTCGCTCGCCCGCCGCGGACCCGCCCGCTGCGCGCGGCTCACGCGGCCCCCCCGCGCCCCCGCGCTCCCCCGCAGTCAAGCACACCGACAAGTACGGCCACATCATCTTCCTCAAGCTCAGCGACACCCTCGGCTCCGTGCTGCCAGTCTACATAGGCAAGCCTGCCCTCTCCCCGCACGCGCGCTCCACGCGCCGCGCCCGGCCCCGCCGCCGCGCGCGCGCCTTCCTCACACCTGGAACTCCCCTCTGGCCCCGCAGGCGACTTCGAGTGCGCCGCGCTGCTCAAGGAGATCAACAAACGACCTTCGGTGAGCCCACGCCCTGGCCGGCCCGTGCGCGCGCTCTCCCGCGCTCCCGCCCGCGCCTCCGCGCCGCCCCGCGCCCCGCCCGCACGCACGCCCGCGGCCCGCGCCCGCGCCCACACACCGCCCGCGCGCGCCGCGCCCGGCTCCACCACCCCGCGCGCGCCAACAGACCCAAATCCCCGACTGCCAACCACGCCGCGCCCTCGACCCGCGCCAACGCACCCGCCCGCCCGCCGCGCCCCGCCGCAGGTCCGCCCCATGACCCACGACCTCATGCGCGCCTCCGTCGAGGCCATGGGCTTCACGGTACGCCGCGTGTGCGTCACGGCCCTGGTCGGCAACACGTACCACGCCGCCATCTACTATGCGGCCGCCGACGGCCGCGAAGTGCCCGTCGACGCCCGCCCCTCGGACGCCATCAACCTCGCCGTGCGCTTCAAGGCCCAGATCTTCGTCGACCGCGAGGTCGCGGCGCGGATGGCGCACTCGCCCGCCGAGTACGAGGACCGGAACACGGCGGCGGCGTCGCTCGGGGGCGGCGCGACGGCCGGCGCGGGCGGGGAGACGCGCACGGACATCTTCCAGTCCGTGCGCGAGGAGATTTTGCACCACGCGGACCCCACGATCATGCTCAAGCTGGAAATGCAACTGGCGGCGGCGGCGGAGGATTACGAGAAGGCCGGCGCGCTGCGGAACGACCTGGACCGCATGCTCGCGAGCAACCGGGAGCTGTCGCTGGTCGTCGCGATGGAGGTGGCGCTGATGGACGAGCGATACGACGAGGCTGCGAGGCTGCGCGACGAGCTCAAGGCTCTGCGGAAGGCGCACGAGGTGCGGAGGCAGGCGGCGGAGGGGTCCGCGGGGGGGCGGTCGCACCTGCCGCAGAGCTCCGGCACCGCGGAGGAGGCGTGAGGGCGCTGCGGCGCGCGCGGGTGTCCCGCGAGCCGTCGATGACAAAACTGTGCATTTTTCCTGTCATAGCTTTCGCGTGGCCGGGGCGGAGGGCGCCGCGGGCGCCGGCCGCGAGGCCTGGCTGCGCGGACCCCAGCCGGGCCGTGGCGGGGCGGTGACGCGGCGCGTGTGCGCGTTGCACAGCGCTGCGCTCCGGTGCGCTCCAACGGGCCCCCCCGATTCCCGGGCTGTATCTACGAACCAACCAGAGCAGTGTAACGTCGAGCTCGCCGTCCTGGCAGAAGTGTGCCTCGTTCGCGCCCTCGTCTCGCCCGCTGCGCGCCTGCTACCTCTGCCACTTCCACTGCCGCCCTCTTGTCAGGCGGTGCGCATCAAGCGTGCTGGAGGCGTTCAGCTCAGCGCGCGATCCGATCCGCAAGCGTACGCGACCGGCAGCCCTCCCCGCGTCAAGTCTGTGGGTGGACACAGCGACGTTCATTGCGCGTTGCTGAGGTGTCGTCGCCGCATCGCAGGGCCCTCGACAGCGCCCCTGCGCCCGCCGCGACACGCACGCCCCTTTTCTCCCCGCGCCACGCCCCGCGACTCGTCCCCTGCAAGTCTCCGTCACATGCATCCAACCCTGCGCAGTGCGACAACCTCTCACGCACCGCCACGCCCGTCCCGCCCGCCGGACCCGCCGCCCGCCCCTGCCACACACCTCCGCGGAACGTCGGCGCCCCCCACGCGCCCCGCCAACCCCAGCCCAGCCCGCCACACAACGCCACACAACGCCACGCTGCGCCTACGACGGCTTGTGGTAGTGCACGGGAACGAACGGCATCTTCGTCACGATGCCCTCGTTCTTCTTCCCGCGCACGACGACGTCGATCGCCGTCCCCGCCTTGGCCAGCGGCTTCTCCACATACCCCATGGCGATGTTCTTCTTCAAGTTGGGCGAAAAGGCCCCCGACGTCACCTCGCCGATCTTCCGCCCGTCCTTGTCCTGCAGCTCCGCGTGCTGCCGCGGCGGCGCGCCCTTCTCCACCACCAGCCCCACCCGCCGCATCGACACTCCGTCCGCGATCTGCTGCTTGATGCGCTGCCCGCCCAAAAAGTCAAACGCCTCGCGGCGCCGCTTCCCGACCGTCCACGTCAGCCCCGCCTCCACGGGCGTGATGTCCTCGTTCATGTCGTTCCCGTACAGGCACAGCCCGGCCTCGAGCCGGAGCGCGTCGCGCGCCCCGAGGCCCGCCATCCGCACGCGCGTGTCCGCCATCAGCCTCTCAGTGAACCCGACGATGCCCGTGTTCGGCACGGTGATCTCGAACCCGTCCTCGCCCGTGTACCCCGTGCGCGTCACGTAGCACGGCACGCCGCCCAGGTCCGTCTTCGCGAACATACCAAAGTAGAGTTTGTCCAGGTCGAACGAACCGGCCAGGGGCTGGAGCACCTCCGCGGCCTTGGGCCCCTGGAGCGCGAGGAGGCCCATCTCGTCGTGGACGTGCATGTCGACCGCCATGCCCTTGTCCTTAGCCGCGGAGAGGTGCTTGTTCAGGTGCGCCAGGTCCTTGTCGCGGCAGCCCGCGTTCACGACCATGTAGATCTCCGAGTCGGACACCTTCGTGATGACCGTGTCGTCGATGATGCCGCCGTTCTCGTTCGTCATCATCGACAGCGACCCCGTGCCGTTTTTCAGGCCCGCAATGTCGCCGACGACGAGCCCCTCCAGGAACGGAATCGCGTCCTTGCCGCTCAGGGTGAGCGGGCACATGTGCGACACGTCGAAGATCGCGGCCTGCGTGGGAGCGCGGGCGCGGGCCGGCGTGGGCGCGGGCGCGGGCGCGGGCGCTTGTGCGGGTGCCGCGATGGGGTGCAGGGGGGTGTTGGGACGTGCCTGCGAGCGGACGTGCAGCGAGGACTCCATGATGCTGTCCTGGTACTGGATGGGCATGGACCAGCCGGCGAAGGGGACCATCTTGGCTGCGGGGGCGCGTCGGGGGAACTTCAGTTGGGTTTCGGTGTCTCCTGTCGCGCGCGAGTTCGGTGGTTGCGGTCGCGATCTGGGGCGCCAGCGCGGGGGCCGTGAACGGGGATGCGGTGAAGCGGGCATCGCGACCGAGGATGCCGGCCGGGAGGGGCCGGCGCCGCGAGGGCGCGGGGGAGGCGAGGCATAGATGGGTTGACAGGCAGTTCGCCGCGTTGTGCGGATTTGGGCGTCTGGAGCCCGCGTGGACGCCGGCCGTGCGTCGTACGGTCCCAGGGCATGCCGGGACGGGCCCGCTGGTCCGTCGTTCGGGCGTCGACGGCGGTTGCTGCTGTGGACGGGGCAGATGACCCTACCACGGCACCGCGGCGTGCACGCGAGGCGCGCGGGTCGCCGGCGCACCTCCGTTCTGGACGTGGAAGTCGTAGAGCTCGGTCTTCTTCAGGTTCGCGTCGTCGGCGAACCCGCGGGCGTGCCCGACGACGCCGATCTGAGGCTTCAGCGCCGCGGACGCGGCCGAGCCGGCCCGCTGGAGCACGGAAGCCAGCTGCCTACGCGCCATCTTGAACCAACGAACCGCGTCCGATTGGAGTCGCGCCCGCACCGCGGCCGTCGACCGCAATGTGCCGCCGCTCGTCATCCCAACCTGCAAAACGACCCCGCGCTGACGCGTTCCTCGCGGCGCAGAAATCCCCCGGGCCGCTCGCGCGTCGACGGCGCGGAGCGTGCACCGGGGCGCGCCCGAGGCTGCGTCTGCGGCGCCCCCGCTGGCAACACTGCGCGCGCCTCTGGCCAACGGGGCAACCACCCGTGCCGCGGCACCAGCGTCCCTGGCCCTCGCGAGCAGCGGTCCGCGCGACAGCGACGCATGCGTACATGTGAGATTTCACAGCGAGCCGAAACGCGGGCCTCGGGCGGGGCGCGAAAGCTATACAGGTTCCCCTGGCGCCTCCCGAGGCCGCATCCGACAGCCGCGTTACCTCAGGGGGATGAACTTGGCACCTGCGTCGCAGCGCAGCTCAACGCGCACAGTGGGCCCCGCGCACGACGCTTCGCAGGAGCGCGCTGGCGCGCAAGGCAGCTACGAGAGCAAGCACGCAGCCGTAGCGCCGGCACACGCGGCGCCGAGGCGCTGGCTCGCAGGGGCAGGAAGCACGGTCGTCGGGGGGGCGCTGGGCGGCGTCGGGCGCCGGCGCGGGGGGCGGGGGCGCACCCATGGAGGCACCAATGCCCGGCCGGCCGTGAGCGACGGGCTTGTAGGTGATGGAGAGCTCGCCGAGGTAGTGGCCGACCATCTCGGGCCTGATCTCGACCTGGTTGAACGTCTTGCCGTTGTAGATGCCGATGACGGAGCCGATCATCTCCGGGAGGACGATCATGTTGCGCAGGTGCGTGCGGACGGGGTCCGGCTTCTCGCCGTCCGCGGCCGCCTTCTTGGCCGCGCGGAGCTTGCGGATCAGCGTGTTCGCGCCACGCGAGAGGCCGCGCGAGAACTTGCGGCGGACGCGCGCATTCATGAGCGTGACCAGCTTGTCAATCTTGAGGTCGAGGAGCTTCTCCAGCTCCACGCCCCTGCGGACGAGCGGCGCGCGAGGGGCGCGGGGGCGGGGTCAGGCGGCGGGTGGGCGCGGCCGGGGGGGGCCGGGGGGGAGGGGCCGCCCGGGGCAGCGGCGGGCCCAGGCACCAGGTGGTGGCGGCAACGCTTGCGCGAACGCGGGGGGCTTCTGGAGCGAAGACGCGGGTCCGCTGGGTGAATGTCGGTATAAGGAGCGGCGTGGGGGCGCGGGACCGCGCGCCCGGGCACTGACGGGCTCTCGCGAGCAGGCCGGCCCGAGCAGCACCGCTGCCAGCGCGCGAGCAGGGCTCGGGCGACGGCGTCCGCGCGCGCAAAACAAATGCGTACGACGGCGTTCGGCGGCCGACATCGACGGCCCGCCGGGCGAGCCGCGACGCGCACGGCCTGGTCGGGGCGAGTTCGGACGCGAGCCTCACCTGTACTGGAACGTCCTAAACGTGCGCTTGCGGTCCCCCATGTTGCCTCCCTCACCTGAAAAGAAAGGACGAGCCGCGGACCGCGCGCAGGCAACATCCTGCGCGTGGCGCCCACGGCACCTCAACTCGTCAGGCAGACAGCCCCGCGCGGCGCAGCGACGCACCAGGACGCCCTCTTGGGGACGCCGCTCGACGGCGGCCGGCCACAGCTGCTCGCGCGCGCCCGCGCCTGCGGAACCATCTCGCGCCCGCAGCTCAGCACGACCAGAGGAGCAGCAGTTCTGTGCATCCATCGCGCGGGCGCTCGGCCCTTCGCGCGCGCGTTTGCGTGGAGAAATTTGTCAAGCGAGGCTGCATGCAGCTGCGCAGCCCCCGAAATGCTTGGTGAGCCGCAGGACGAAGCGGCCGCGGGCGCGAGCCTGGCGGGGCCACGCAAACCAGCCGGGTTCGCCTCGCTGGACGACGCGTGCGTCCTGGGAGTCATGCAGCACCTCGACCCACTTCCGGACCTGTTCTCGCTCGCGGCCGCTTGCCGGCGGACCGCCGCCCTGGCGCGGAGCTGCCAGGCCCACCTCCACGTAGGCCAGAGGCCCCGTGGGGAGCCCGACAACTACATCTCCGGCCGCTGGTTCGCGTCTCTCGCGGAAGCAGTGCGATGCAGCCGCCCGGGGGACATCATATCGATCCAGGCAAGCGCACGCAGAGACACAGACACCCTCTACAGGGCACTGTTTTGCACCGCATCGGCCGCGACACGGCCGTTGCGGCACGTCTGACCGCTCCCCCCGCTGATGCGTGTGCAGGCAGGACACCACATCGTCGAAGATCCGGTCGTCGTGGCGCACCCGCTGCGCATTCAGGGCCAGAAGGAGGGAGCGGCGAGGCCTGTGCTCGAGGCGTCGCGCGGGCGGCCCGTGCTGGTCACGCAGTCCACGTGCGTCCTCGAGGACGTCGAGATTCGCGCGCTGCTCGCGCCGTGCGTCGTCCACCGCAGAGGGAGCCTCACGGCGCGCCGCTGCGTGTTCCGCACGCAAGCGCACGCGCTCGCGCACCTGTGGCGGCCGATCGCTTCGAAGGCGCACGCCGCGGACGCACCGGCGCGGTGCTACGCCCCCGCGTACCGCCCCGCCGCCGGCAGCGTGGGGGTGTCCCTGGAGGAGTGTTGGCTTGGGGGGGGGTCGCAGGGCGTCGATCACGCGCCGGGCGGGTGTCTCAAGAACGTGCGCGTCGCGATGGACGTCGGAGGCGCGTGGCTGTGGCTCCGCGTCGTCCCTGCGCCCGGGCCGGCGCACGGAACGCGCGTCGCACCTCCTTGCGCGGCAGCGTCGACGAGCATGACCACGGCGCGGGCGGACGTCGTCTGCGGGCGCTGCGTCGCGCTGGAGGCGGAGTGCGCCGGCGGGCCCGACGCGGGCGCGGACACCCGGGCGGGTGGCACCGGCGGCGCGAGCAACGCTCCCGACGCGATGTGCTGTCGTTGTGGGCGCCCCGCGGCGGGCGGGGCCGGTCCGGCCGAGAGCGTGGGGCTCGGCGAGGGCAGCGGAGCGCCGTGGATCGCAGTGGGCGGCGCAGGCGCGGCGGAGGGAGAGCCGAGGGGTGGTGTGGGCGCGTCGGCAGCTGGGAGGGGTCGCTTGAGAGGGGGGGGGTCGCAGAGGACGAGGAGGCCGTGGTGGACGACGTTTTCGCGCTGTGTATGGCGTACGAGCGGCCGCGGAAGCGCGTGGAGACGCGCTGACGCCACGCTGGCGGCGCCAGGTCACCGCCATTGTGTGACGACTCGAACGCGCGCCCGGCGCCGGCGGGGCTGATTTCACCGCGCGCGCGCGCCGCGCTGGAGTCGCGAAGCAAGCGCTGTACGAGGCGGACGAGCAGCTCCTGGGCGCGTCGATTCTGCGGTGAGGCGTGGTGCTACGCGTCAGTCGAACCTCCGCGGGTCGGGGCGGGCTGCCTTCGAGCGCGGAAGGATTGACGCCGCGCTGACAGTTCCTGAGCGACGAGGCCTCGGCGGCGAACGGACGAGATGGGTCCCCGCGGCATGGCGGGGCGACGGGGCGTGGGTACAATGGTCGTTGTCGGCGTGAGCTTCTGCCTGCTCTGCGCCGCGACGTGCGCCTCGGCGAGCGCGGCGCCGCAGCTTCCCCTGTACTTCCAACAAGTGCGCCCCCGTGCACCAGGAGCAACAGCCCCTGCGCAAGCAACCAACGAACCAAACAAGCACTATCTTCCAATTACCAACTTACGATGATACGATTCCCAACTCACTAACGTACGCTTTGCTCTTGCACGCCGCAGGCTACGCTCGACCTCGACGCCGGGCTCGTTCAGATTCGAATAGTCAACGCCGGCTGCGACGACGAGGCCTTCGACCTGGCCCGTGCGCGTGTTGCAGCCGCGGGCGTGGCCGAAGCCACCATGTACGGCCTCCCGGCGTCCCCCGCGGCGCTCCAGCTGTCCGGGTCGCTTGGCCCCGGAGAATCCTTCACGGTCTGCAGCCCCGGCGCCCGGCCAAGCCCATGCAACGTAACGAGCGACGTGCTCAGCGGCCCGCGCGGAGAGCCGCGTGCGTTCGCGCTGGTCGTTGACCGGCACATCGCGGACGTGATGGGAGGCACGGCGCTGCCGGGGCTGCTGCCGGCGACCCCGCTCGAGCTGTCGCGGCTGCAGCCTGACGCGACGGACATTCGGCACCTGTCCGCGCTCTCGGCGTGGCACCCGGACCCATCGACGTGGACCGTGCGCACGGGCGTTGCAGACCACGAGGCCTTCCGTGAGGCCCCGTCCTGCTCAGCGGTGCGGGTCGCAGGATCGTGCGCTCTGCGTTGCAACGCGTCGACGGTGGATGCCACGCGCAGCACGCCGGCCGCGCGCTCCGTGCGCATCGCGCACCTGCACGCGAACTACACGGACCATCTCGACATCTGCGTACCGGTGCGGTCGGCGGCCCTCGCACCGGCGCAGCAACAGGAGTACCAGACATACGGCGTCGTTGTTCTTGCAAACGACGACTGGGCGTACATCCAGGACGGCTCGGGCCCCGGCTCGGGGCTCAAGGTGAACGTGCGAACCCTGCCGGCCAGCGGCGGTGTGCCGCCGCGCGGAGCCGCCGTCGCCGTCAGCGGCACGGTGGATGTGTCCTGGCCCGAGGGCCTCTACATGAACGCCAGCAGCTGGCAGAGCATGAGCAGCCTCTCCATGACAGGTGACTCACAACCCCTCGCCGCGAACGCGTTCCAGGACGCCGGGGCGCGCTATCAACTGAGTCAGGTCTGTGCGAGTTGTTTCAACTGACACCGCCCCCCTTGCGCCGCGTGTCTTTCTGTCTCGCAGGCGGTCTCTCGGTCCCGCTGCCGCGCCCGCTCTCGACGCTGATGCGCGCGCCCGACGGCTCGCTGCGCGGCCTCTGCTTGCTGACGTCAGCGGACCAGCACCCTGCAGCGCACCAAGGCGCGCTCGTGTCGCTCCCCGGGACCGTGCGCGCAGCCGGCGAGGCCGGCCGCACCGTCGGCGTGCTGGACTGGCAGGACGGCGCCTGGGTGCTCCTGCCGGTGACGGAGACGGACCTGCGACAACTGCAGCGCGCTCACAGCGAGGCGGCGGGGCTGCTGGTGGCGGCGCTGGAGCGCAGCGCGCCGCCGGCGGTGTTCAGCATGGACGGCCCGGACGCGCCGGTCGAGGGCGTCGAGGCGGACTTGGGCGGCGCGATTCGGCGCACAGGAACACCACGCGAGCCCTGGCAGGTGCGCCCCCGCCACGCGCAGGGATCGGGCCGCGGCGTTCGCGCGCTGCCAACAGCAACTGTGCGCTGACGGCATCCTTCGGCCTCTCGACGTGCAGTGCCAGGGCGTTGGCGACCAGCGCACGCTGACCGGCGTCGTCACACACGTCGACACAGGCGCCTGCGGCGCCGCGGCGTCCCCGAGCGCCGAGGCGACCTTCTGGCTACAGGACTCCGGCGCGCCGGGGTCCGCGGTGCCCGTGCGCCTCCCGTGCGCTATGGCCGGCCCCTACCACGCCAGCAGCGGCCTGCTCCCCGAACAGGCCGATATCGTCACCGTCGCGGGCGTCGAGCTCCTCCGAGGACCCTCACAGCCACCGACGCTCACCAACGTCTCGTTCGTCGCCGTCCAGGCCCGCGATGCCGTCGCAGCGCTCGCACGCATCTCGTTGACGCTCCCGTACGACGCTCTTATGACGCTGCCGTACGCGGCGACGGCGGACGCGGCAGCGCGCAGCGGCTGCGCGAACACCCTTGCCGCGGCGTACGACGGCATGCGCGTCCTCGTGCCGCGCGCGAGCGCCCCGGCAGCCCCCTCTGCTCACGATCAGGTTCTGAGGAGTGCCCTGGGGGCTGCGGCGGCCGTGCAGCCGAGCGGCGCGGGGAGGGACCTGCGAGGGATCCTGCGCGTGACGGACGCAGGCGCATGGGTCCTCGACACCGACGCGGGCGACAGAATCGCCCTGCCAAGGTCGGAGACCTTGACCGTCGTCGATGACGCGCCGCCGCCCGTGTGGGACGTGCCGCCTTCGCCCACGCGGACGCCGGATGCGCGGACCGAGGCGCCGCGCGCCTCCGTGAAGCTCTTCGGGATCCGTTGGCGGGCGTCACTGGCGTACGTGCCCGTCGCGGTGGCCTTCGCGGTGGGCAGCATCGTCGCGTTCGCGCTCACGCTGGCGCTCGTCGACGCTCGGAAGCCGGCGGAGTCGTCGGCGAGGCACGTCGATGTCGCGGCTGCTGCGCCGGCGAGCCCGGGCATGAACGGACCCGCGCGCGGCTTTTCCGGCGTGATGCCCGCCAGGGAGGACGGCGAGCCGTGACGCGCGCCGCGTGACTGTGAAGCTCGATGACGCGCGCGTTTGGATGGCGCCGCGGTCCACGCAGCCGCCCGTCCCTGCGCCCCGCGAGCGCTGGGCTTCGCGTCGTGCAACGTAGCGTCGGGATCGCGCGCTCGGTCGCCGCGGCGTCGCGGCGTGTGCGGATGATTAGAGTCACACGGCAGCGCGGGAGAGGAGAGTCTCGCGCTGCTTGTGCCCCGGTGCAGCGGTGCTAGACGCACTCAGAATTAATACTGGCAACCCCCCCTGCGACGCGGGACGGCCTCCTACGCGGAGCGCAATCGATCGCCGACACACGCAGGGGCTCAGGCAGTCGCCTCCTTGAGGTACGCGATCAGGTCCGCACGCTCCTGCGACGCAGCGCACAGAAAACACATTTCGCCGTCACCAAACGCCACCCCAGCGGCCCGCGTGCGCGTGCAGGCCGCGGCGCGATGCGCGCGGGCGGCCGCGGGACGCACCTGGGGCTTCTTCAGGCCGGCGAAGACCATCTTGGTGCCGGGAATGTACTTCTTCGGGTTGAGCAGGTAGTCGTACAGAGTGGTTTCCGACCACATAATCCCCGAGGTCTGGTTCGCAGCGCTGTAGCTGTACCCCTCGGCCTTGCCCGACTGCCTGCCGAACAGGCCGCCGAGGTTCGGGCCCTGCGGACACCCGCCACGCGCGCACGGAGGCGGTGAGCTCCTGCCTGTGTGGGGCTGTGCTTGGCGGCGGGCGGCACGCGGCGTCAGCGGCCGCGGTGGCCGCCGCGGCGGCGCGCACGGACGAGGGCCGGCCGGTGGCGGTACGACGGGCGCGTCAGGAGCGCGCGTACGAGCGGCCACGCGCGCCGATTCGCCGTGGAAGGCGCTGCCCTGGACTCCCTGAGCAGCGCGGTGGAGTCTGACACAGGCCCGGAGGGGGGTTTCCGGCGCCGCGAACGCGATGCTCGTGGAAGGGACGCCGCGCACACGCCCTGGCGCCCCCGCGGCGCGGCCGGACCGACCCGCGCGGGGCCACGGTGGCTGTGGGGTGGCGGTGGGCATCGCGCGGCCGCACGCGGCGCCGTGGCGTCTGTCGGCGCGGAACGCCGGGCGGGCGCGGGAGCGCGCGGACTGGCGGCGCTGGGGGCGGCGTTTCGCGGCGGGGCGGCGGCGGGCGCGGCGCGGGGGCAGGGCGGCCTGGGTCGTTGACCACACGACTCGAGGGCAGCCTATACTGGCCTGTCAGGCAGCAGCGGGGGGGTGTTTTGGAGAAACGCGCGCGGACCCTGTTAGCATGCGCCGGGGTACGTCTGCGGGCGCGGAAACGCGCCGTGGGAGGCGCGGGCGGAGCGGCGCGGGGCGTGCAACAGCGGCATGCCCTTGGGCGTGTGCGCCAGCGGCCTGCGGGCGCCGCGGGGGCGGGCTGCGCGCCTGCTTGTGGCCTCCGCCCTTCTCAGCGACGTGGCACTGCGCGCACTTGGTCTTGAAGATCTTGGCGCCCTTGGCGGCGTCGCCAGCAGGAGCCTCGGCGAAGGAAGCCATCGTGGCCTACTGCTAGAACTACAGGGTTTACGACGCGTGTTTCCGACGTGGGTCTGGTCGTGGAACGAGGGTGTGCGGCGCGGCGCCGCGCTCGCGGCCCGACGAAGCCGCTGCGCGAAGGACCTCTCGCGTCCACGCAAGTACCCCCTGCTCTCCACGATTCCGCGCCTTGTCATCCCGAAGAGTACCGAATTTCGTATGTCGCTTTGGCAAACGTCTCTTTCCGGAGCTCCTCTGCGCACGATCTCCACGGACGACGCGGTGCGGGCGCGGAACATACAAGCAACGCGCCGCGCGTCCCCGGACCCGCACCCGGCCGCGGCACGCTCGCGGCTCGCCACACACGCCAGACCGCAGCGAGATTTCCCGCTTCCGCAGACATTCATCGCTGAATGCCGCTCCAGCCCCCGTCTCCCTCCCCAACCAACCATCGCCCAACCACCCCCGTTCCTCGGATCTGCGCGCCCGTCCCGCCCTGTATCGCAAATCCCGCCCCATATCTGCACCGTCCGAGCCGCACCAGCGCAAATTCACCGCCAGAAGCGCAGCCCATGCGCCGAACGGTGCGCAGGGGACACCTGAGCACACGTGTCAGGGGGCGAAGACGGCCCCACCCGCGCGCCCGCGCGCGCCTACATCGCCCCCGGCCGCAGCCCTCGCCCGCCAGAGCCCGCAGCGCGCCAATACAACCTTCCCCGCGCCCACCCCCGCCCCCCCCGCACGGCAGCCTTCCCGCGTCCCGTGACGCACACCCGCGAGCGCCCGCGCTGCGCCGCGCTGAGCCGCGCATCCGCGACCACCCGCCAGCCCAGCGACCATGCTGTCGGTCCTGCGCCACGCGCAGCACGGCGCCGCCGCGGCGGCCCCGCTCGCGGTCGCGTTTAGCCGCCTGCTGTCCTCCTCGGCCGCGCCCGCGAGCGAGCTGCGCGAGGCCTTCCGCGCCAAGATCCCCGAAGAGCAGGCACGTACTTCCCCGCCTACCGCGCCGGCCCGCGCATCCGGCCGCCCTCCAGCGCGATCGCGCCGGCGGCTGCCGACCCAGCAACTGCAGCGCACTGTCCCATTGCCTCCCCGCCGCGCCCTCGCCCGCGCCCGGCCGGCCCCGCGGCCCCCCGATCCGCGCTTCCACGCCCGAAACATGCGAGAACTCCCGCGTGCGTGTGTAACCAGCCCCGCGGCGCGACGCGCTGCGCGCTCATGTGTGTGTCGTGTCGCCGTGCGCTTTCCCCGCGACGCCGGGGCGGCGGACTGACGCCGCGGGGCCCCGCGCGCGGTGCAGGACCGCCTGAAGACGCTGAAGACGCAGGGCGACAAGGTCCTCGGGAACGTGACCGTTGGCATGGCTATCGGCGGCATGCGTGGCATCAAGGGGATGCTGTGGGAGACGTCGATGCTGGACCCCGAGCTGGGCATTGAGTTCCGCGGACACACGATTCCTGAGCTCCAGGTGCGGCCCGCGATCGCCGCGCCGCGCCGCGGCGGCGCCCCGGGGCGCTGGTGCGTCAACCGCCGTGTCGTAGACGGCTGCTGTCGGAACGGCGTGCGCGGGCCGCGGACGGGGACGACCTCGCCGCGGGGCGCGCGCTTGAGCGACGCGCATCGGGGTTCGCGGGCGCGCGGGGGAATGTGGCCGTCGCGCGGCGCGTTTCGCGCGAAATGGGCCTCGATGGGGAGTGAGGGGCTCACCCCGGCGCGTGCGCGTGTCCGCTGCGGCGCAGGAGAAGCTCCCGAAGGCCATCCCGAACGGGGAGCCGCTCCCCGAGGGTCTCCTGTGGCTCCTGCTCACCAACGAGATCCCCACGGCCGCCCAGGCGGCCGCAGTGTCCGCGGAGCTCCGCGCGCGCGCGGGGCTGCCCAAGCGCGCCGTGGACGTCCTGAACGCCCTGCCCACGAGCGTGCACCCGATGACGCAGTTCTCGATCGGCGTCATGGCCATGCAGCCCGACTCCCTGTTCGCAAAGGTGCGCCCCCGCCCCACCCCATCAAGCACGCCGCAGCGGCCCCGCAAACGCGCCTGCGTCCTCTTTCCGCACGCGCCCCGCCGGGAAACACGCAGCAAACGCGGTTCCACGCCCGCCAGCGAGCCGACGCCCCCGCTATGCCCGCCACGCGGGCCCTGCACCTACGTGTGTGCGAAGCGCAGCGCTGGCGAACACGGGCGCGAGGGGCCGCGCCGGGACGCGCCGCGACGGGCCGCGTTCGCTGCTGCTGCGCAGGCGTACGCGGACGGCGTGCACCGCTCGCAGTACTGGGAGTCTGTGTATGAGGACACGATGAATCTGATCGCGCGGCTGCCGGAGCTGGCGGCGTACATCTACCGCCGCACGTACCACGGCGGCAAGATCATCCCCGCGGACCCCAAGCTCGACTGGGCGGCCAACCTCTCGCACATGCTGGGCTACGACAGCGAGGTGCGCGCGCAGCGCGACGCTGCCCGCCTGCCGCCGCCGTGACGCCGCCGCGGCCTGCGACGCCGGCCCCGCGCCCGCAGCACGCGCGGGGCATCCGCGCCGCACGGCGCGCGCCACCGCCGCGCAGCGCCTGGCGTGTTCGCGCTCCGTCGCGCCTTGCGCGCCCGCACACGCGCCGCCACGCCGGGCCGCGCCCCCGCAGGACGCGATGGAGATGATGCGGATGTACCAGACGATCCACGCGGACCACGAGGGCGGCAACGTCAGCGCGCACACCACGCACGTCGTCGGTTCCGCCCTCTCCGACCCGTACCTCTCCTTCTCCGCGGGCATGAACGGCCTCGCGGGCCCGCTGCACGGCCTCGCGAACCAGGAGGTCCTCAAGTGGCTCAAGGAGGTCGTTTCCACCCTCGGGGAGAACCCCACGAAGGAGCAGCTGCGCGAGTACACCTGGGCCACGCTCAAGTCCGGGAAGGTGGTGCCCGGGTACGGCCACGCCGTGCTGCGCAAGACGGACCCGCGGTACACGTGCCAGCGCGAGTTCGCGCTCAAGCGCATGCCGGACTACCCGCTGTTCAAGCTCGTGAGCAACCTGTACGAGGTGGTGCCGGAGGTGCTGCTGGAGACGGGCAAGGTGAAGAACCCGTGGCCGAACGTCGACGCGCACAGCGGCGTCCTCCTGCAGCACTACGGGATCGTGGAGGAGGACTTCTACACGGTGTTGTTCGGGGTGAGCCGAGGGCTGGGTGTGCTGAGTCAGGGGGTGTGGAGCCGCGCGCTCGGGCTCCCGATCGAGCGCCCCAAGTCCATGACCATGGACAGCTTGGCCTCGGCGTAGGAGGGGGGCGTCGCGAGCGCCGCGGGCACGCGGACGGGCGGCGAGGCGCGGCGTTGCGCGCGCCGCGGCGACGAGGGGCGCCGAGCTGGCGATGGTCGCGGGCCGAGGGCTGCGCGCGTCGCATTTGCGGTTGAGCTGGAGCGGGAGGAGCTAGTGGCGGTGCGCATGGCACGAACGGTGTGTCGTGTGACGCCTGCCGACAACGTTGCGCCGGGCTCGCAGCTGGCGGCGGCGCGGGGCGTGTGAGGCGCTGCTGCCGCGCGCACGCGCCGGGCCCGGGCCCGCTCTGCTCGTGCACGCGACGCCCGCCCCCCACGCTGCTTGGCACGCGCCTTCTCTCTTGGGGAGGGGGGGGAGTTCGAAGGAGCGCGTCTGACGCACCGCGCGAGTCGTGGACGCGCGTCTCCATGCGACGCATAACGCATATGCGGGGCAGGCTCGTAGGGCTCTGTGCTCCGCGGCGCCCGGGGGCGGACGTCTGCGTGTGTTGCGCAAGCAGGGGGGGGTGTTGAAGGAGTCACAATGCCGCGTGCGAACAGCAGGGGCGGTCGTGCAGGGCCTGGAGGGGGTCGTGACGTCGCCGCCGCGCGTCGGGGGCCGTGCCGGTTCCGTGTCTGTGTTTGTGGAAGCAGGGCACCCCCGTGTGCCTCCATGCGGCGCTGAGAACGGCGCCATCTATGCAAACTGCGCTGTTCTGCTCGCGTGGGTGGACGTCGCGTCCGCGCGCGCTGGCGAAAACGCCGCCAGGGCCGCTAGCAGCAGGGTGCCTGTGGCGACGCAGGGGGGCTGCTGTCGCTCAGGGCTGCTTGGGGGGGTTCTTGATTCCCTTCGCCAGCTCTTCCCGCATCGTCTTGAAGAACAGCGCCGCCTGGCTGTTGCTGTCGAGCCCGGTCCCGAACTCCCCGAACACGCCCTTGGCTGCGTCCTTCACGCCCTTCTCCTTGGCTTCCCGCAGCGCCGCGTCCGTGCGCACCGCGAACCGCTGGAACCACTTGCTGCACGCGGGCGCGGGCGGGGGCGCGCGGCGTCAGCGGCGACGTACGGCCTCCAAGCGCGGCCGCGGAATCTTCCGTTCACGCCACACTCGCGCTGGGAGCACCAGAATGACGTAACACGCGCGTTGCGCCGCCCTCCCGGCTACGCAGAGCACTCTTCTCGCCGCGGAGCGCCCCGGGCGCGGACGAGGGCGCGTGGGCGGGGCGCGCAGCGCCTGGTTGCAAGGAGAGGCAGCCCCCGGCGCACCTGTTCGCCAGCGCGTTCACCATCATCTCGTTCACCAGCCAGTTCATCAGTCGCTGGCCGAACGCCATCTTGCCCCGCCCCCGCCCGCTCCGCAGGCGCCGCGCGACCCGGCCTGACCTAGCGCTGGCTGCAAGCGTCCACCTCTGCGCCTCGCGTGTCGTCTACCGGCTTCGCTGGGCCGCTTGCTTGCGATTCCCGGCCCTGGCGGATCTACGGAGTGCGCGAGGAGGCGCCTGGCTCGCCCCGGAGGCCCCGGCGGCGCCCGCCGAGCCGACAGTCCCCCCTGAGCCTATGTTGGCAGTGCATCGATCGGTCGCTTCATCGGGCGCCGGCGCCGCGGGGGTGCGGCGTCCGCTGCATTCGCTGGTGAAAATGTCGGCTGTTTCGTCCCGTGTTGTCTCGGCTTCGGTGCGGCCCGCGGCGGCCCGCCCCACGGCGCGCCGCGGTGCCCGGGTGGTCGCCCAGGCCCAGCACAGGTGCGCTGCGGCCGCGATGCCGTCACCTGCCGCCCGAACCACGCCTCCGCGGCTGTTCAAGCGCATCCGCGCGGCCGCGACGTGTGCCGCGCCCGTGCCGCAAAGCCGATCGCGCACCGGGCCCAGCAGCAGGCTCCTCTGCGGCCGGCGTCGCCGCGCGCGGGTGACGCGTGGTCGGAGCGCCGCCCTGCGACTCTCCTGCATAATTCACCGCCACGCAACGCAATTTGCGTCGGTTTGCGTGTCGCTACGACGACCCACTGGGAGGTGCTCTCTGTGGATGTGCCGGCCTCGATCGCGGTGGCGCGGTCCGGGGCGCGCCCGCAATGCGCCGCGCTGCGTTTCTCAGCTCAAATTGACGCTGCCAGGCCGCCGACGGCGCACGCTCGACACCCCGCCCGGCCCCTGCCCCCCTTCGCCCGGCGTGCCGCCCCCACCGCGTTCGTTCCCGTGCGCGTCCGCGCCCGCGATGCAGGGACATCCCGGCCGCCCTGAAGACCGCTTCGATCGTGACGGTGTCGAACATCATCATGGCCATGCCGGCGAGCGCCGAGGCGGGCAAGCTGTTCGACTTCAACCTCACGCTGCCGGTGATGATGGGCCAGTTCCTCGCCCTGATGGTGTTCCTGGACAAGACCTGGTTCGGCCCCGTCGGCAAGGCACGCACCCACGCCCGCCCCGCACCCCAGCCCCGCCAGGCACCCTGCTGCACCGCGCCCGTCGCCTCGGCCCATCGCGGCCCGCTCGCGGCGCCGTCCGCGCTGCGCCCGCGAATTTCCGCGCCACATGGCCCCCCTCCTCCCGGGAATTCCGTCACTCGCCGCGCCCGCGCCCCCGCCGCTCCGTGCCACGCCCCCGCCGTGTGTCGGCCCAATCTCCAGGCCTAGCCCCGCGCCCGCGTCCGCGCCGGCGCCCGCGCCGCCCGCGCCTCCCCCGCGATGCCGTTCCCAGATCGCGGGCTACCTTCCTCGCCGCCCCGGCCGCCGTTTCCTGCCCCCGCGCACCGCTGCGCGCACCGAACGTCGCCTCACGCCAGTATCCGACCCGCTGCGCCCCGCGCAGGCCCTGGACGAGCGCGACGAGATGATCCGCAGCAAGCTGAGCTCGGTGAAGGACAACAGCGACGCGCTGAACAAGCTCCAGGAGGACGCCGAGGCGCTCCTCAAGGCTGCTCGCGCCGAGGCCCAGGCGCGCATCGCCGAGGCCAAGTCGACCACGCAGGCGGCGTGCGACGAGCAGCTGGCGGCCACCAAGGCCAAGGTGGACAGGGAGCTGGAGCAGGCGCTCGCGCAGCTGAACGCGGAGCGGGAGGAAGCCCTCAAGGGGCTCGACGCTTCTGTGCAGAAGCTCGCGGACCAGATCCTCGGCCGCATCCTCCCGGAGGGCGTCAAGGCCTAACCATGCTGTAACGGACTCAATCGAAACGGCCGCGCCCCGGGCGCGCGTCGCGGCCCACCCGAAGAGACGCCAGCTGCATGCGCGTCCCCTGACTGCACGCTGCCGCGGCGGACGCGCGCTGCGGCCTGGTCGCGCTGCGCGGGCTGCCTGTGCCCGTGCAGCGCAGCCGCAGGACGCAGGCCTGCGCGTGTGCCGCCCGGCCGCCCCAACATGCTGTGTGTTGACGCAGTTTGGCAACGGCTTTTACGGCACCATCGACCCGTCGTCGCGGTCAATGCGTCGCCCCTGCATGACGCGTCGCTCCGCGCCGTTCGTATTCACAGGGCGCAGGTCAGACCGACCTGCTGCGCGCGCGCGCACCACCATCACTAGCGCGTCGCTAGCGTCGTGGCTACAGGCCGCGTTCGACGCGTCGACGTAGTGCAGCCCCCCCGCGGCTCCCCCGCGGCTCCCCCGCGGCTCCCCCGCGGCTCCCCCGCGCCACCACCATCGCAAGCGCGATGCTAGCCTTGTGGCTTCAGGTCGCGCTTGAAGCCCTCGTCGAGCCCGGACGGCCCCAGCAGCGCGCCGCCCTCGATGACCTTGTCGAAGCGCTGCTTTCGCCGCGCCTCGAATTCGGCGTACCCCGGCGTCTGGACGAACACGGCAGCGCTGATGGGGTTGTCGTGCAGGTTGATGAGCTGCAGTGCGCCGCAGTGGCTCAGAATGTCGCCCGACACCTCCGTGACGTGGTTGTTCCGCACGTCCAGCGTCTTCAGCCGCTGCAGCCGGCCGATCGCCACGGGAAGCACCTGCATGCGCACGCGAGGGGTGCGCCGCGATGTTTTGCTTGCCACGTGGCGGCAGCGGCGTGCGTCGTCGCGCTTGAGGCTGTGGTGGTAGCTGCAGCATCGGGGGGCAAGCTGCGCAGGTACGAGCCGAGAACCTGCCGGTTTTCGTCGATGAATCGACAAATATGGAATTGCCTTCTTCGACGAGTCGTTGGCGCCTTACCTCGATCGAGTTGTTGCCGCACAGGAGCTCCTCGAGGTTCGCGCACCCGCCGATCGAGTCCGGCAGGCTCCGCAGCGCGCGTCCCTCCTGGTCTGACACGTCGAGGCTCTGGAGCTCCCGTAGAGCCCCGATGCTGTCGGGCAGGGCCCGGAGAGCGCAGCCGCGCAGCTTGAGGGTCCGGAGCTGCGCCAGCGCGGCGAGGCCGTCCGGCAGCGCGGCGAGCGCCCTGTTGTACGACAGGTCCAGGAGCTGAAGCTTGGTGCACGACGCGAGGGCTGCGGGCAGCGTCGCGAGCGAGTTGTGGCCCAAATGCAGCTTCTTGAGGGCTGTGAGGGATCCGATTTCCGGCGACAATGTAGATATGCTGTTGTTCGTCGCGTTGACTACCGTTGCGACGGAGCCCAGGCGGTACACGGCCGCTGGGAGCGCGTTGAGTCGTGCGTCCACCAGACCCACGATTCCCGTCTGCTGCCACGTCGCCTCCCTTGATCCCTTGTGCTTGCGAACGTTCTGGTACCCTGCAGCGGGTCGTGGACGATGGCAGAGCGGGCCAATCAGCGTCGCAGCTGCTTGGCCCAGAGCACGGCGCGGCTGTGAGAACACACAGATGCTGTTTTCGCAGGATACGCGCCTGCAACCTCCTTCGTGCTCGGCCCGCCCTTCTTCCCGAGACACCCTCCCATCTCGGCCGCTCCCCTGGCGATTCGCACCCACCTGCAAACCGCTTGTCCGACGTCTGCGACCACACAACGAACGAACGGAGACACACACGGCGCGCCTCGGCCTCTCTGCTGCCTTGCGGGCTCGTCGGCGCGCCGCGGAGCGCACCCAGGCACCACGAAATGCCGGCGGCGGCTTGACACGGCCCGAATTCTCGCCCGTGCGACCGGGATCGCAACAGGTCCCCCCGTGTCTTCCTGGGCCTGCTGACAGGTCCTTGCAGCGCGCTGCGACGCCCGGCTCGTGGCCACGCGCGACGGTCTGCGCGCGCAATCTCCTGGCGCTGGCCAGACTGACCGTCTCCGCCGTCTCGTGACGACACACGCCGGCATACTGCGCAGCAGGATGCCGCCCGGCGGCAGCGGGGTGCGCGCGTGCTGAGCACGCTTCGACGACACAACGGTAGAGCCAGTTAGTATCTCTACCGCAGCGGTGCTCGGATCCTCTCTCGAGGAACGACGCGGCCGGGAACGCGCCGTTGCCTCGCCCGGAGACCCAAAGCGGCCGCCAGCGCGCGGCACGTCGGGGGATTTCCCCTCCGATCGCGTCGGACAGGCGGAGTAGTTCACAATGGCGTCATCTGGGCTGGCCTCGCAGGCCGCAGCGGGCAGCAGCCTGCTGCAGGGCCTGTACAAGGGTATGGAGCGCATGTCACAAGTGCAGTTTGCCAAGAAAGCGCTCCGGAAGCGGGCGCAAGCGAGGTGAGACGCCCGCGAACGAGGGACAGTGGCGATCTCCGTCATATGCGGCGCCTGCGGTGGCTATCCTCTGTTCGACCGCGACGGGCCGGGCCTGGACTGCTCGCGACTCACGCCGGCTCGCCGCGCCGACTGGGTGGGGCGACGTGCGCGGCCTCGCGTGCTCGGCACGACCGACGTCGAACCCCCGCTGCACTGCGTGAGGCGACGTCGTACGACGAGCTGCACACGCGGCGAGCGGGCGCTTTGCATCCCCAGATGGCTCCACTCCGCTTTTCCGCGCAGTTCGCGCGCCGTACGCCTGCTTTCCGCCCGCCATTCGAACTGTATTGAGTCACATAAGCTTTCCCTGCAAGCTCGCGCCGAATGCGTCGCGTTTCCGGCTCCACAGCGCCTCGCAGGGCCCCGTCAGCACTGGTCCGACCGCGTCCCTCCCCTGCCGTGCCGCGCAGGACTCTTCTGGACATCCAGCACCTGATGAAGCAGACAGAGGACGTCTCGCTGCTCACGAAGAACGGCGCGGCGGTGCACCGGGACCTGTGCCACGTGTTGAAGCTGCGCACCCTGGAGCAGGGCGACACGTGGAACATCGACGGCTGCGTCTTCGGCTGGATGATGACGGGCTCCGTGCGGATCGTCACCGACGAGTGAGCGACCCCGCAAACAAACAAACAATCAAACAAACAAACAACCCATCTTTGGTGTTTTCTACAACACGTCTCTTCCCGACCGCTGCGCCCCGCGTCCTGCGCGCCTCCCCGCCTGCCCGGTCGCCGCGCGCGAGCGCGCTGCGCAGCCGCGCGTGCTGCCCGGCCGTCGCGGGCCGATCGCAGCGCCCTGCGATCCTCACGTCGTCGCAGGTACGCTCCGCTGGAGAAGGCGTACACTGAGAAGCCCGGCGCGTCGCGGAGGAGCCAGGCGGAGGACGTGTCGTCCAAGGGCGGCGTCTCCGTGAACGAGCTGCGCGCTCTGTTCGACTCGATCGACGCGGACGGCTCCGGCGCCATCGACGGCGAGGAGCTACAGACGGCGCTTGAGATGATGGGGATCCACCTGTCCGACGAGAACGTGGCCGAGCTGATGGAGGGCGTCGACGACGACGGGTCGGGGGAGCTCGAGTTCGAGGAGTTTGTGGAAATCATGACGACGAAGCTCAAGGTGGGCACTGCGCCGGAGCGGCGGTGGGAGCTGATCGAGGAGCCCGGCGCGGAGCTGGAGGAGCTCCTCGCGGGCGTGAAGTTCGAGGGGCGGTGGCTGCGGGACTTCCTCGAGCAGCACTCGTTCGGGGGGCGCAGCGTGGTGGACAAGCTGCCGTACCAGTGCCGCGTGAAGGCGCTCACGGACTGCGACATCGTGGTGATCGACGCGGCGCTGTTCGAGAAGATCTTGACCGAGGGGTTCGACGGGGAGCTGCGCGCGAAGATGGACGCCATGTCCGCAATGGGCCCCCTGAAGCCGTGCATGGAGTTGTCCGACAAACGCAGCATCGCGTTCGCGGCCGTGCGCGTCGAGATCGCCGCGAAAGACGCGATCCACGAGCAGAACGCCGACGCGAACAAGGTGTGGTTCATCGAGCACGGGACGGCGGACGTGCTCTTCCGGGTCACCGACACGCCGCTGGTCGACTCCAACGCGCAGCGCTCCAAGGCCGCGGTCCTCCGCGAGGACCTCCTCACCTCGAAGCCCCGCAGCAAGGCCGTCACCGTCGCGCGGCTGCTCCCCGGCGACATGTGCGGGGAGGAGGCCGTCATCGGCGCGGCGCGCTTCTCGCACAGCGTCGTGGCCGTGTCCGACGTCGTCGCGTACGTCCTCGACAAGGACGCCATCCGCCGCGTCCTCCACCCCGAGGACTACAAGCGCCTCGTCGACCACTGCCTCGTCGTGGGCAAGTGGCGCGCCGCGCAACTGGCCAAGGCGGTCGCCGCGCAGGAGGCGGCGTCCGCGGAGGCCAAGGGCGTGCTGAACACGGCGCGGAGGACGCTGAAGCAGGTGAACCGGCAGCGCGAGCGCATGGGGCTCGGCGCGACGAATCTCTCGCAGCTAGGTCCCGCGATGAAGGAGCTGGTGCTTGCGAGCACGGGGGGCGGCGGCGGAGGGCCCGCGGAGGAGCCGCCGCGGCAGGACATGCTCGGTGCGATGGCGTGGACGATGCGGAAGAAGACGTACTTCCACGCGGGGCAGGCGGAGGGCGCGGGCTTCGACGGGCAGGTGCTGCGGAGTGCCTACCACGGCGTGGGCAAGGTCGTGCACTCGGCGCTGACTCAGGTGCGGGCGGAGGGGCACGCAGACGGAGGGGCGGCGGTGGTGTCGCGATTGCTTTGTCCGCGCGGCGCCGGCGGCCTCGATGCGCGGCGCGCGTTGCGGGTGCTGTGCTCTGCGTGTTTGGCCGCGGGGCGAGAGTGGGAGGCGACGTGCGTGGCGTTCGTGCGAGTGTGTGCAGCTGGGGCACAAGAAGGACGTTGAGTCGGAGGCGTCGCTGGCCAAGCTGCAGCGAGACACGGCGACGCCGGAATCGTCCACGAGGGACCTCGACGTGTCCCGGCTCCTGCCCGGGCGCGGTCAGCTGGCGAGCGCCGCCCGTCCGCGCTCCAGAGCGGGCTCGGAGTGGTCCGACGTCTCTGGTATGACGGAAGAAAAACTCCCCCTCCTCTTCTTCAGGTACGCCCCCCCCGTTCCCCCTCCGGCCCTGGGCCCACGCACGGAGCGTCGCCCGGAATGTTCTCGCTCGGCGTGCACGTTGGCCGTCCACTTCGTCGCCCGAGGTTGCCTACCGCAGCGCCCAACACGAAACCCCCCTCCCCGCTGCGTGGTGAATTCTCCCTGCAGGAGGGCGGAAGCGACCGCGCCGGGGAAGTTCTCGCTGTCGAAGACGGACCGCATGCGCCTCGAGGGCATCGTTCCCGACGACACGACGCACACCGCGCCCGGGGGCGCCAGGCTCGACGTGACGCAGTCCATCGCGCAAGGCTCGCTCGCGGCGGTCGCCCCGCACGAGGGCTGCATCGTCAACCCCTCGGGCGACCTCGAGCAGCAGCAGGCTCTCCTGGACGGTGCCCTGGCCATGGTGTGGGAACTCTATCCGCGGACCAAGCACGGTAACGCTGGGCAGTCCCGGCCCGCGAAGCCCGTGTCGCCAATGGTGTCGCAGCGGGCGCAGCGGAAAGCGACGTCGCGGGCGCCCGCGGGGCTCTCGACGACGCCGATGCCGGCGCTCGGCGGGAGCTCGCACCGCGGCGGCACGCGCACGCCGCGCACGGCGCCGGGCGGGGATCGGCAGGGCGGCGCGTACGTCACGCCGCGGGGCGTCGGGCTGTACGCGGGCGCGGACGGGCGGCTCACGCCGCAGCCCGGCGGCACGCCGCCGCCCGCGGCAGCAGGAGCGCAGGCGTCCGAGGTGCGGACGGTGGTTGGGCCGGGCGCGCGGGTCGGACGCACGGCGGGGGGCTCGCGCGGCGGCACGGCGATGCGAGGCCTCGCGTCGCAGCAGCCCGTGGTCGCGGCGGTCGTGCCGTCGTCGCCGGGAAAAGGCCAGCGGGGGGAGGGGCAGGGCGCGCAGCCACAGCACCTCTCCGTACGCGCGAGCACCGTCTCGCACGTCCCCTCTCCCCGCGTGTTCACGACAAGCCTGGCGGAGGCGATGGGGGGGCTCGACGACCCCCAGGACCCCTCCTTCGAGGGGGGGGGTCTCTCGCAACAACAACCACCTCGAGGAGCGAGTTCCCGAGAAGAGAGCCGCGGAAGCCCCATCGCAGCTCCGCACACAGCGCCCGCGGGAGCTGACCGCGGCCGGAGCGGCTCCCCGCGCGGCTCGTCATCGTCGGACAGCGAGGGGGGGGAGTTCGACTTCCAGTTCGACTCGCGCCCTGACGACGCCAGTCGACTCCCCCCGCACGCGGAGGAGCAAGGCGCGCTCTCGGCGTCGATGGCGAGCGGCGCCGCACCGCCCCGCTCGCCGGACAGCCCCGGCAGGCGGCGACGGCAACGCACCGCCGTCGCAGCTCTCGAAGCCAGCTCCGCGGACCTGACCCCGGAACCGTCAGCGGCGCTGCACCCCGAGCCCTCCCTCGCGGAGCCCGACGTCCACAGCTCCGCCGTCGCGCACCCGGCCGACAGAGAGTCTATGCGGCGTGCGTCGGACCTGAGCTCGATGCATCGGCGCGGCAGCCAAGGCGCCGACTCCGCGGGGCAGCCGCCGGTGGCGCCGACGCCGGAGCAGCTGCTCGGCAGCGACGCCGGCTCCGGGTACGCCAGCACGGATCTCCCGGCGGGGGAGTTTCTGTCCGCACGGGGGTCCATGGACGAGCACCTCGCGAGCGCGATGCGCAGCTCGGCGCGGTCGTCGGCCGCGGAGAGTTCCCAGCAGGTCCGCTGGGACCGGTCGATGTCGCAGGGGGGGGAGTCGTCGCGGGACTCCCCCGGCCGGGGGGGCAAGCGGCGTGTGTCGTTCGGGGGGTTCCTCGAGGCGCACCGCGAGGACCCGGACGTCAGCGCAGCGGGTGCGTCGAGCCGCGGCCGGCGTGCGTCGCACAGCGGGCACGCGGAGACGCAGATCCCTCAGGCCTGGTACCTCGGCGCGTCGCGAGCGAAGACAGCTCTGGAGCTGAGCATGTCGGCGGGTCGTCGCTCCCGCACGAGCGGCGGCGCGCAGAGCGAGGAGATGTCGATGACGCAGCGGATGCGCAGCCGGCTGAAGGCCTACGGCTCGTCGATGCGCGGGCAGCGATGGCAGCAGATGTATGGCGAGGCGCCGGGCGCGTACGAGGGCGGCGAGGGCCTCGAGACGGTCGAGCGCGCGCTCGCGCTGTGCGGGAACGAGGGCGTGGCGCCGGGCAAGCGCCTGTTCTCCGGCAAGAAGAAGGGAGGGTCCCCGCGCAGCGGCCAGGCGAGCCCCGGGCAGCTCGCGCGGCAGCTCTCGATGAACTACGCGGAGGAGCAGCGCCGGGCGACGATGGAGAAGGTGCGCGCGCGGGAGCGCCGCAAGGAGCGCAGGGAGCGCGAGAGCGGCAAGCGTCGCCCGCGCCGCGCCAGCAACCAGCGCCTGGCCGAGCTCGCGCAGCCGAAGCGCTCGTCGCAGAGCGAGTTCGAGGAGAAGCAGGAGTACCGCGCCCTGGTCAACAGCCGCTCGTCCTCGCGCGGGCGCGGCCCGCGCCCGGAGTCGCCTGATGACAGCCAACGGCGGCGCTCGACTCTTGGCATCATGGGCGCGAGCAGGAAGAACCTGCTGCCGTCGTCGGACCTCACGGCGCGCAAGCGCCTCGAGAAGTACGTCGCGACGGGCGAGCTCCGTCCGCCGGAGCCCGGGATGGCCGTCCTCGGCGACGACGACCCCGCCGGCATGGAGGACGAGGGCAGGCAGCAGGTGTGGCGGCCGAAGATGCCGGTGCGGTCGCACCTACACGAGCCGACGGCGGCGTCGCGCGGCGCGGTGACGGGGCGCCACCGGCCGCACACGCGCGGGCTGCAGGCGATCGCGCGCGCCATGTACTCGTGCGGGGGGAGTCAGTACCAGGCGCTGCGGGCGGCGCGCAAGGTGCTGGACCAGCCGCTGGCTGCGTCGGGGGACGCGATGGGGCAGTTCAAGGCCGGGCAGCTCGGCGTGTCGGGGTACACGCGCGCGCTGTTGGTAGCGAACGGTCATATCCGGCCGGAGGACAGTATGGCAAAGCGACGGCTGGGGCTTGCGTTTTCGAGCGGGCAGAGCGCGCGGCCGGGCAGCACGAAGCACGTGATATCGAAGCTGCTGGGTTCGGCGCGTGCGAGCGAGAGGGAGAGCACGGCGGGGGAGTCGCAGCGCGCGTCGCGGATGTCGCGGCCCGGGACGGCGCAGCCGCGGTCGCCGACGGCGGGCGAGAAGGTGCTCGGGAGCGACATGGAGGCGAAGATGGCGGTGCTGGAGCGGATGCTGTCGGGCGCGACGGTCGGGTGGGAGAAGGGGGAGTCCGGCGTGGTGGTGTGGGGGGGGACTGTCACGCCGACGGTCTATGGGGCGATCCGGGGCGGGGACGCGGAGGGGAAGCCGCTGGTGGACGCGGTGGCGGCGCGTCGGAAGCAGCTCGGGACGAAGGTGCTGGACAAGAGCATGGTGGTCCCGATGTCGGTGTGGGGGGTGTCTCACCAGGGGGCGGAGGAGGACGTGGCGATGCGGACGCTCGGGACGCGGACGTTCAACAACGGCGTGCAGACGCGCGTGGTGCCGACCAAGGTGCCCAAGGGAAGGCTCATTCGCGAGCAATTAGAGATTGCCAAACTGCAGCGGCTGCGCAAGGAGATGCTGCGGCAGCGCGCGGCGATCGAGGCGCTGTCGAAGCCGAAGGCCGCGAAGACGTGAACGCGCGCCGTGCCGCCCCCGTGCGCGGCCCAACCGAGGCGCAGGATGCATTCGCTGGCTCACAGACGGACTGACTGCATCGATGGGGTCGCGCCGCTGTCAGGTTGCGTGCTTTGAGTGCTGGCTGGCCTACAGGCATCCCCGCTGCGACGCACTGTGACGCAGCGACGCCGTTCTGTCTCAAATCGCTTACATAGGAGTCATGGCGCTGCTCGCTGGGCGCTCACTCACTCGTGCAGAGCTTCGGCGGCGTACACCAACACGTAGCTGTCGCCGGACGGCGCGTACACCGTCGCCTCGTCGGGGATGCGCGACACCAGGCTGTCGTTGAAGCGGTGCCACGCCGCGGGCGCGCTGCCGCCCGCGACCCGCACGTCCGCCACGAAGTGCCCCGCGTGCAGGTCAGACCCGAGGTGCGACACCACCCCCCTAAGACGGTACCCGGCGTCGCCGGCGCCCATCGGGAGCCCAGGCGGCGCGTTCTCCTCGACCTCCACGCGCGCCCCGCTCGGCACGCCCGGCCCGGCGCGCTCGGCGCCCTGGTTGTGGTCGTTCGGCGCCGCGATCGCCGACACCCAGCCCGGCACGCCGCCGGCCGGCCCCGGCGACGTCGCTTCGCACTCCACGGCCAGGCCAGCGCCGCGCCGCGCGCTCGTCCGCGTGCGCGCGGACCGGCTGCCGCTGTGGGACCGCGTGCCGCCCGCCGGGCCCGTCAGCGCGCGCCCGCGGGCGCAGTCCGCGTCCTCCGCGCCCGGCGGCGTCCCGTTGATCGTCCGCAGCACCGCGTCCGCCTCCGCCTGCGCCCGCCGCGACGCACGCGACCCCGGCCGGGTGCGCACAGGCCGCGGCGGGGACAGGTTCTCCTTCTCCGGCTCCGAGCACGCCGCCGCCGCGCGGGCCGCCGCCTGCGTCCCCAGCGGCGGCGCCGCGTCCGGCGCGCAGCACGCCGCGATCGAAATGCGCTGCCGCGCGCACACCGGCTCCCCGGCCTTGGCGACGTGCGCTGCGCCGCTGCGGGGCGAGAACGCGACGCGGAACCGCTTCAGGTGCAGGATGAGGTACCGCGGCATGCGCACGATGCGTCGCTCGACCGAGTGCGCGACCCCCTTCCTTCCGCAGCCGTCGCAGTCCTTCTCCAGGCTCTCCCGACGGAAGTGCGCTTCGAGGAGGTTTGCGGTGCTCTGCGGGCCCGAAACGGGGTCCTCCGGGTCCGTCACGTCGATCGAGACGTGCGTCGTGCTCTCGCGGACCGCCCCGGAGTGCCCGCAGGCCCCGCAGCGCATCACGTGCTCGATGCAGAGGCTAAACGCCGTCGTCACGGGGCACGCGGCGCTCACGACGGGGACGCGGGGCGCCCCGAGGCGCGCGGCCTCGCGGGAGAGCGCCTCCTGCTGCATGGCGTCGAGCAGCGTGACCATGAACTCGTGCGCGTCGTGCTGGCGGTTGGAGGCGAAGAGGCCCGCCGAGTGCTGCCCGATGGTGCGCAGGACGACGTTGGGCGACACCGACGACACGGGGCCGCGCTGCGACAGCGACGAGCCGCCCGAGCCGCCGGAGGACTCCTGCGAGGATCGGGCCGGCGCACGCGTACTTGTACCTCAACGCAAGACCAAGACCAACGCATCAAGCACGGCAACCCCGCGGCGCAATCATCCGGCATCGCTCGCTGCTCTCGCCCTCTCAACGCAGGCGCCGAGGCTCGATGCAGCAGAGCGGCGCCCACAGCGCGGAACGCCCTCGTGGGGGGGGGAGGTTTGAGCGCACCTCTTGCGTTGCGCGCTCCTCGTCAGCGACCCGCTCCGCCGCGCACGTGCGCATCGCGGCGAGCACCGACGGCCCGGCCCCTGCCAGCGCCGCCGCGCCCTCCGCGGCCCCGGCCAGGTCCCGCACAAAGGACCGGCATCCGAGCAGGAGCTGGAGCACGGCGTTTACGAAGCACGTGTTGCCGAGGTTCGCCATGCCGCGGTGCCGCGTGCTCCGCGTGGCCGCTGCGTTGCTCGTCGCGCGGCCCTGCCACAGCGCCGCGATCCCGGCCGGCTTGGGCGGCGCGGGGGGCGGCGGCGGCGGGGACGCGTGGCGGTGCGGCGCGGGGCGGCTCGCGGGGAGCGGGAGCGCGGCGCGGCCGTGGCGCGCGGCGGGGTGGCCGGGGCGCGCGGGGGCGTCGCCGCCACGAGGCGCGGGAGCTTCCGGGGCGGCTGCCGGTCTTGCGTTGTGTCTCTAGCGCTGTCGCGGCGCAGGACGCGGTGCAAGTCGAGCTGCGGGCGCTGCGGGGCCGGAGTGGCCGACGGGCGAGGCTCCGCCGGGCTCGCGGACGGTTTCCGAGCCGCGACTGCACGTGGTCCGAGGAGGAGTGGTTGCGAGGTGGGAGACTTGGGCGGAGACGGAGCGGCGGCGGCGTGCAGGTGGGCTGGCGCTGTGCGACGCGGGTGTGTCCTTCGCGGGCGGGCGCAGGCGAGAGGGCGTTCGAGATCCCGCGGCGTGTGTCGCTGCTGCTGCTGAGTTGCCTACCTAGTGGTGGTGAAAAGGTGAGCTGGCGCGCTGCCTGGTCCGTCGCGTCGTCGAAACTGGGGCGCTTTGGGCGCTTCGGGTCCGTCTGAGGCGTCTGGGCCACCGTCCGGGGCGCGCCCGCGCGTCCCTTGCCCGGCAGCGGCAGGCCAGAGCCCCGCCCAACGGTTCCCGGCGGCGACACGAGCGCCGCGGAGGTCCTGCGCGCAACGACGGGCCGCGCAGCCGGAAGCGTGAAATACAAGCGGGCGTCTCGCGCGGCCTCAGCCCGCGAGGCCGCCGGTGCGCGCCCCCGTCGCTGCCTCCTGCCTCGTTTGACCGCTCCGTGCGAGGAAAGGGCGGGACGCCCGCAGCCGCGCCCACGCCGCGCGAACCGCCCGCAGACGCCGCGAGCGCCGAGAATTCCGACCAGTCTATCCGCTCGCGCCGCCCGCGGATCGCCTGGCGGGCGCAGGGCGCGCGAAATCCGGGGAGAGGGTCGCTTGGCAAGACTGGCACGCTGGGGGCGACGCACCTCTGCGTGGCTTGCCCGTCACCGGTCCCGAGCATGCCGCCCAGCACGCCACGCGCCCGTACCGGCGTCTTGGCCTGCCGCGTCTCGTTCTTCTTCACCGTGGCCGCCACCATCCGGCTCGCATAGCTGCTCCCTCCCCGCCCTGCACACGCGCCACCGGTGCGGGGATTCGAGTTCCGCGCGCACGGCCGGCCCGGAGCGACCGTATCTGGCTGCGGGGCGGGCGGTTGGGCGCGCGCGCGGGCCGGCGACGGCCTGAACGGGGGCGACTGCTCCTGAGAGGTGCACTACGGCACGCTGCCGCTAAAAGACGCTGCACGCGTCCCGGTGCCGCCTGGCCCGTGGGGCGTAGTGCCGCGGGGCGCGCCGGGGCGCGCTGTCGGGCGCCGCGGGCGACGCGCGCCCGGACACCAAAACAGCTGCACGTCCATGGATCCATGGATGTCTTCAGTGCAGCGGGCGCGCAGGAGCCCGAGCGGGCCCGAAACCGCGCGGTACGTCCGGCTCGGGGGACCTACCTCTCATGGCGACCCCTGGTGCGACGCTGGGGGGCGCTGGGGCGCGGGGCGGCCCGCGCGGACGCGAAGAGAGAGAGGCTGTGTGTGGGAGACAAGCGATCTAGGGTGCGCAGAGGTCGCTGGCGCGCACTGGTGCGTGCCCGTGGCAGGGCTGCGCTGTGGCGAGGGCGGCATGCGCCGCGGGGGCGTTGGAGCGGCGGTGCGGGCCTCGGTGCGAGTCAGCGGACGGTAGAAGCTGGGCGGGGTGGTTGGTGCAGGATGTGCGCCGGGGGGGGGTTCCGGGGGGTCTCGCGGCGTCGGTGGGCCGCGAGCGCGCGGCGCCGTGACAGATTGTCTCGCTCGGCGCGTGAGCTCGGCGTTAACGCGTCGCACGAGGGCGCGGAGTGAGCTCGCTGAAAGCGTTGGGGTCCTGGAGTCTTGCGGCGTGTCGAGTATGCCGACGTTCATCATCAACACCAACGCGCTCGGCGACTCCGTCAACAACAGCGACTTCCTCGCGGTGAGCGCCTGCCGACCGCCGAGGGCGCGGGGAGCGGTGGTCGAGTGCTGTGCTTCCGAAGCTGCATAGGGCCGTAACCATGGAGTTCCTGCGCCCGATCGTGCGAATTTAGCCGCCCTTGATATGCGGCTGTTCGTGCCTCCAGCGACGTTCACGACCCGCGCGATCGCGACCCAGGCGCAAGGAGCTTCCTTCCCCCTGCAGGAGGCTTCGGCGCTGGTCGCGAGCGAGCTCGGCAAGCCCGAGAGCTACGTGATGGTGGGCGCCCTCCCTCACATACGATCGCTCTGCTTCCGACCTTTTCGCGCAACGTCGTCCCAGAGGAAAAAGCAACACCCTGGAAGATACCAGCGTGCTTCCACCGCCGAGGGCGGGCGAACGCGTGCCGCGGGGCGTATTCCTCGCCACGTGCCAGCCGCGAGTGGCCGTCCAGGACGCGTCACCCCGCCCACCTGCGTCCCTCGACTGTGTTGATGTGTCCCCCGCGCCGCAGGTGCACCTCAACACGAACCAGACGATGTGCTTCGGCGGCACCGAAGCGCCCTGTGCATTCTGCCGGGTACGTCGCCCGCCTCGACGCCACTGCCGCCTCCGACGTCCCTCACGCACCCTCAGGGTGCACTGTGGTAGCCTGACCCCGGGATTAGCGCACACTTCTGTCGGACCCGGAGAATCGAAATATGCTCCACGTGGGCGCCCGCGCCCCCAACTCAAGAGGCGCGCGCCGTGCGCGGCGTCCGCACGCAGATAATCTCGCTGGGGTCGATAGGCGGGGACAAGAACAAGACCATCTCCGCGGCGGTCTGCTCCCTCCTCGAACGCAAGCTGGGCGTGCCGCCGAACCGGACCTACATCGAGTTCACCGACCCGAAGCGCAGCGACTTCGGGTTCAACAGCTCGACGTTCGGGTGAAATGGCGGGCGGGCGGGCCGGGTGGGCGGCCGCGCGAGCGCCGCCCTGGCCACGGCGTCGTGTGAGGTGGATGCGTTGGTACAGTCTGACAGACGTGTCACACCGGAGGTCACATTGACGAAGGAAAGGGGTGGCCGAGAGCAACGACGCGGAGTACCCGCACGCAGGATGGTACTTCGCTGACCTACAAGCACCCTCGCCGCGAGGACGCTTGAGCGACCGAAATGGTACGGCAGGCGAGACGCGCGTGCGTGCGGGACCGGGCGGTGCGGGCGCGCGCGTGTGGCGCAGGTGTCGCGCGGCTTGTTTGACATAAAGTGTGAATGACTTGTTTGTCATGTGGGCTTTATGTCCTCTCGTCACAGGGTGAGTTCTGCCGCAGAAGGGCGCCGTGCGCTGCGCGCGCTATCGACACAAATGCCTAGGGACCCGATCAGGTGGGCTGGAGCGCCGTGCGGGCCAAGGGGGAGGGGAGCGCCGTGCATGGGGGGGGGAGTATTCCAAAGCTTGTGCGCAGAGCCCTCGCTGTTCTCTCGTGCAGTACCGGGCAAGCTCGAGCTCAGGGCCGCTGCGAGGGGGTAAATGGACAAAAACACCCCCCTGCTAGTCACGTCCGTGCCGCCGTGAGGCAGCACCGTGCTTGCGGCCCGCCGCCGGCCGGCGGGCCGCGCGGGCCCGCGGCGCGTCAGAGATCGGTGTCCGCCCCGTTCTCGTGCTGCGCGATTTCCTGCAGCATCTTCTCCTCCAGCTCCCTGGCGCGCGACACCGCCCCGTCGGCCCTGGCCTCCATCATACTGGCGTACGTGGCCAGGATCGGGTGGTCGCGCAGGCTCGCCGCGCGCTCGTAGTCCTCCTCGGCGATCGCAACCTCGACCTGCCGCTTCAGGAGCCGCACGGTCGGGTGGTCCTCCACGGTGATGGTCGTCAGCACGTTGGCGTTCGGGGGCATCTCCGCCATGAGCTGCGGGGCGCGGAGCAGGGAGCGGGGGGCTTTTGTGGCGTGCTGCGCGCTGGCTCGGCGGAGAGGGCGCGGCGGGGCGGGCCGACGGAGCGTTGGCGCGACAACGACAATGACGCGCGACGTGACGGACACGCGCGTTGCGGCGCGGGACGGAGATTCGCGCGCTGGGAGGGGCTGCGGCTGCGTTTGTGCGCTCGAACCTGCGACACGTTGCCAAGGATCTTCGAAGCTGCGGGCATGCGCGCGTCTTGTTCCTCTGGGGTGCGGCGGATGCTCTGCGCGGGCTGCGGCTGGGGCTCGGGGGAGTTGATCTGCTGCACGGTGCCCGGCGGGAGCGAGGAGAGGTCGCCCACGTACATCGCCGCCTCCTCCCACACGACCTTTGAGACGTAGAGCGGGCAGCCAGACTTGAGCGCAAGCCAGCAGCCGTCGCTGGCGCGGCAGTCCACGTCCCACGTGCTGCAGGGCGAGCGCACGGGCAGAGAAGGCTGGTTCGGCGCGGCGCGGCGCGTCCGAGGTCGTTGCGGCGACGCTAGCGCGGCACGACGTGTGATTTCACCCGGACGCTACGCGGGCGCTCGCGGCGCCGTGCGCGACCTCGGGGGCCGCCGATGGCGTCGGCATTGGGCTGTCGGTTGCGGTGGGTGGTGTGGCGGGGTCAAAACGCGGCGCTGACGCGCGGGGTGGCTGGAAATCACGGATGAGTGAGATAGGGCGGTACCTGCCGTCTTCAGAGCCGAAAAAGAGACGTCCGATGAACACGCCGCGCGTGAGCGCCACGATCGCGACCTTCTGCACGGTCCACTTCGCGGCGTCCTCCTGCCGCGCGTGCGAGATGATGCTCCACAGCAGGTCCAGCGCCAGCGGACGCTGCGTGCTCTGCGGTGGCAGACAAGCGAGCAGCGCACCCGCAGTCGGTTGCGTCCCTGCACGGCGCCACCCCGGCCCGAAACGGCCTCAAAACACCCCCCACGCCTCGCCCGGACCAGCGAGAGCGCGCAGGCGCGCGCCAGCGTGCGATTCGAACGCAGAACCGGCCGCCACGCGACGTGACGGTTCAGCACACAGGCCGCGGCACGCTCGCACGAGCGCTGCCGGGCGCGCGCGGCGGCGAGCGGCGCTGAAACCGCGCGGGCGGGACGCACCTGCGAGCCAGCGGTCATCGCGGTGTGAATGAGCGTGTCGCCGTTGACCTGCAGCACGAGCCCGCGCCCGTCTCCTGCCTCGCTGTCCGTCCTGGTCAACACCATACGCCCCTGCGCCCGCGTGAAGTCGCCTGCGCGCGCGCGGCCGGGACGCGAGCGGTCTCGCGCGGCGCCCGCGTCGGCGCCGCCGTCGAGGGCGCCCACGCACCGCGACGCGGGACGCGGCTGCTGCCGCATGTCGCCAGCTCAGACACCCGGAATCGAGCGCGGCGCGCGGCTGCCGCGCTCCGTTCGGGCGCGGGGCGGGTCCAGCGAGCCCGCGAGACGACCGGGAGCGCAAAATGCGGCATCGTGAGACACGTCCCGCGCCGTGCCCCGCGCTGGTCCTTGACGAGCGCTCCTCTGATGACGATTTCGACCGTATTGCGCGAACGCCGGGCTCAGGGCCGCCAGAAGTGCGCCAGCGAGGATTCGGACATCAAAGCTATGTGGATGCGCGGTGTGTTGGCGGCGCGGAGGGTGTGTGGGCGCGCAGGGCGGACCTTCAGTTTGGATGAGCTGCAGCTGCACTCGGTTGAAGGCGGCGGGCGTGAAGGGATAGCCCTGGCTTTCCGGGGCGGCGCACGCGCGGCCGGATCTCCGCGCGGGCGACGCGCCGGAGCGGACGGGCGGGCTCCGAGGGGCCTTGGGAGCGCCTGCGCGTGCGAAAGAGAGACGATTGGCTTCTAGCGTGGGGGGGAAGAGACACGAGGGGGACGTGAGGGGGCGGGGGCCGCGGTCCGAGGCGGCGGGAGGCGCGGGAGGGAATGTGAAAGGGGCGGCGGCGTGGGGCCGGGGCGGGTTTGCGGCTCGAGCGTAGCATGCCGCGAGCGTGCTCTGTGCCTCCGAATCTATCGAGGGCGCTGGAGGCCCGATCGTGCTATGAGGAAAGTGTGTGGCCCGCGGTATTCAAAGATGATAGTTCCTCGAGTCGATGTGACCGAGACTCGGAGGATGCCTTGCGCCACCGAGGAGGAATTTCGCGAGCGCGATGCGGGTGCTTTGCTCGGGCTGCTCGCGGGGTCTGGCACCGTGATGGCGCGTCTCGCGCCATCAAACGGATGAAATCAACCGCAGTTCCCCTCCGACGCACCATTTCGTATCAAACCGCGGACCGACGAGCGCTGGCAGCGCGCACTCTGCGTCGTCGCCGAATGAGCTGCAGGTGCGGCATATAGCGAAGCCTTCATCTTGATTCCCCCGCTTGCACCGACCCTCACGTCACTGTGATGCCCCGCGCGCCCCCGATCCGGCGCAATCTGCGCGCGCGGGCCGCGCGGAGCGGCCTGTGTGCAGGGGGGGAGTGGGCCCTGTCAGCCGCGCAGCGGGGAGGTCAGGCGCGCGGGCGGCGCGGCGGGCGCACTCTCTCGCGTCAGCTGTGAACACTCGGGCGTCGCTCTTCAGGCATGAGGGCGCCATGCATGTGAAAGGACCCTCCTCAGAGCAGCAGTGGGCTAGCGACCTGAGGCCTCTCCGCCGTCCGCGGCAGCGCGCGCCCGTGAGCATTCCGACGTCGCTCGAGCGAACGCGCGGCTCGCGCGCCCCGGAGACCCACCGGCCCGCGCCCACCAGGCCGTCCAACTCCGCCAGGCAAGACTTGCGCGCTCACGCGCAGCACAGCGACCGATCGGGCGCGAAATCCATCCCGCTCCCAAGCCTCACTTCGCCGCGATGCGTCAGCGGCGTTTCCGCGCGTTTCATGCGGCGCTGAGCTCTGGGGACGCGTCTCTTCCTGGCAGCCAGCAGGCTCTCTGGGGTCCGCCAGCGCCCCGCCCGTCCGCGTAGTCCACCTTATAGGCCGACGTCTAGCACCCACAGATCCTAGGGATCGACACGAACGCTTTTTCACGGCACGAACGTCCTCCAAGCGCGCGCCCTGCGCCTGGAAGCGGAGCTCTCTGCAGCCGACGACTGGACGCGCCTCACGCCCGCCTCTGTCCGCGCAGGCCCGCGCGCCGCGGCGCGACAGTCGCCATGGCTCGGCGTCGTTCGAACCCATGGTTCAACATGCCGAACACCCCGGAGGAGTTCCGCACTTCGGACGCCCACCCTCTGCGCCCTCAGTTGACGCCGCGCACCTCGTTCAGCAGGCGCACCTCGGACCGCGCGGACGCGGCGGTGACTGGTGAGATCCACCTCCACGCCTGTGGTCGCGCTGAGGCGCACGGGCGGCGCGCGGCGACCCCCCGCGGCGGGACGGGCCTGGACGCAAGGCCGCTGCACCCTCCCACGGCTAGTTCTCGCGCCCGCGCGGGTGCCGTCCTGCTCCGCCGCGACCGCAACGTGGCCCAGTATCAGGACGACGCGGAACGGCGGCTTTCGCGGCGCGGTTCCGCGTGTTCGGGCCGCGGCGACCGTCTCGGTCCGCCTAGTGACACAGGTCTCGCTTCTGTTCGCGCCACCGCAGGCTCCGCGGAGTACCTGAGGAGCGCGGAGAAGGTCGGGCCGACCGAGATCTCCACGATCCCGCTGTACAAGGACGTGCGGGGCAGCATCACCGCGCAGGGCGTCGGGTCCGTCCTCTCGGGTGCGTGCTCCCACCTCCCTCTCACTAATCGCTTCGTCCCCGCACGCGCGCGGCCGATGCGGACGAAACGACGACCGCGCCCCCTCGTCCACATCGCGCTCCCGCCGTCCACCGCGCAGACGCGCGACAACCGCCCCGCAGCTGCGCGCTGGAGCCACCCTCGTGTTGGCACCAACCAACGCGGCACCGGCCCGCTCCCGCCAGGACCTCCACCGCTCACGCGCTCCCCGCGTGCTCCGCAGGTCTCTCGACGGCGTGGGGCCTCACGCCGGACACCGGCGAAGGCAGCCTGTCCGGGGGCGCCATCCTTAGCCTCACGCTGCCCACAGGCAGCAGTCCAGCGCGCTCCCTCGACGCCGCCCTCGGCCGGCTGCACTGCAGGGACTTCATGACCATCTACCGCAACAAGTTCTGCTGGTCCTCCCCCGCCTGGGGCTCCAAGGCCGCGGACCTGCCTCCGGAGACCCAATTCCTCCTCGGCGAGCTACCCGCGGAGGAGAGCGGGGGGTCCTCCGAGCCGTGCCGCCCGACCTACGTCGTCCTCGTGCCCATGCTCGACAGCGAGGCCTTCCGCGCGACGCTCATCCCGCCCAGCAGCGCGTCCGCCCCCGTGGCAACAGAGCACGCCGCACGGCAAGGCATTCGACCGAGCGCCATGGCGCACGTGCGCATCGAGAGCGGCGCGGGACACGACAAGGCCACGAGGTACGCGACGCCGCGCCCCTCGCACGCGCGCGCGTCGCGCCCGGAACACAGCGCAGGTATGACGCAGCGTGACACGCACAACGAACGTGCGCGGTGCCGCCCTGCGTGCAGCTGGTCGTCGGTGATGTACATGGCCGCGGGGCAGGACCCCTTCGCGCTCACGGACGCCGCGGTCGCGCGCGCCGCGCGGCTCTCGGGCGGCGGCGCACCCCGCGTGGGGAAGCGGATGCCGGCGTTCATGGACTTGTTCGGGTGGTGCACGTGGGACGCGTTCTACAAGGACGTCAGCGCGGACGGCATCCTGCGCGGCATGGAGACGCTCCGCGCCTCGGGCGTCGCGCCGGGGTTCGTCATCATTGATGACGGGTGGCAGCAGACGGCGCCGGACTTCGAGTACCGCACGCTGGACGCGACGGACTTCTCGAGCCCGAAGACGCCGATGCGGATCCCGCGCAACGCGGGCGCGGGCGCCCAGAGCGCCGGCGCGACGCAGTTCCAGGGCGAGGGCTGGGAGTACGCGCAGGACGACGGCGACAGCAAGCTGTCCGTGCAGAACAAGAGCGAGAAGAAGAAGAGGGGCGGGGACGCGCCCGCGGTCGTGTCGATCGACCCGGAGATGGCCACGCTGGACGAGGACACCATGGAGGGGTCTCTCGCCGGCGGCGACGGCAGTCAGACTGTGGTGCAGCGTTTCATGACGTCGGTGCTGAACCGGCTGTCCGGGTGGATCTTCTGGACGTACCAGCAGCTGGTGGAGAACGCGCCGCCGAGCTCGCCGTTCGTGGGCCTGTGGCGCCGCATCGCGCAGGGGGTGGGGCGTTTTGCGATGATTCAGTTCTACGCCGACAGGGGGGACTCCTGGCGCCTGATCGGGCTGGAGGAGAACGTGAAGTTCGCGCGGGCGAAGGGCGCGCTCCTCGGGCCGTCGCCGGGCGGGCTCGACCTCCCCGACTCCCCCCCGGGGAGCCAGGTGGAGGACCCCCCCCGCAGCTCGGAGCCCGGGAACCCCGCGAACCGCACGAGCGCGGTGTCGGACGCGCGCGAGGCCGCGGCGGACGCCGAGGACCGCAAGCGCGGCATCTCGATGGACGGCGCGGCGTCGGCGGCGGCGGCGGACGCGGCAGCGGCGTCGTCCATCACGCCCGCCGCGCCGTCGCCGAGCAAGCCGGCGCGCGCGAAGGACGCCGTGGGGCTCGCGGGGCTCGCACAGATGCTCAAGCGGGACTTCGGGGTCAAGGAGGTGTGGGTTTGGCACGCGATCATGGGGTACTGGGGGGGTGTCGACCCGGAGACCCCCGAGGCGCGCGAGGCGCTCGGGGAGGTCGAGCTGACGTACGGCGAGGTCCCGCGCGGCCTCGACGAGGTCGAGCCCAACATCGGGTGGTCGCACCTCTGTCTGTCGGGCGTCGGACTACCCAAGGACCCCTCCCGCCTTTACACCCCCCTGCACAAGTACCTCCGCGCCGCGGGCATCGACGGCGTCAAGGTCGACGTCCAGTCCTCCATCGGGGTCCTCGGCGGACCCAAGCGCTCCCTGCAGTGGCAGCGCGCGCTCGAGGCGTCGATCGCCACCCACTTCCCGAACAACGCGTGCATGAACTGCATGTCCCTGAGCAGCGAGAACGTCCTCGCGTTCTCCGGCACCGCCGTCGCGCGCGCCTCGGACGACTTCTACCCGCGCGTCCTGCCCGCGGGGCTCCCGCACGTGGCGGCGTGCGCCTTCAACTCCATGTACCTGGGCGCGATCGTGCAGCCGGACTGGGACATGTTCCACAGCGTGCACCCCGACGCGAAGCTGCACGCGACCGCGCGGGCCGTCTCCGGCGGCGCGATCTACGTCTCGGACAAGCCCGGGAAGCACGACGCGAAGCTCCTGCGCTCGCTGGCGCTGTCCGACGGCACGGTGCTGCGCTGCCTCCTTCCGGGGCGCCCGACGCGGGACTGCCTGCTGAAGAACGTGCAGGAGGACGGGACGACCGCGCTGAAGGTTTGGAACGCGAACCTCTGCGGGGGCGTCGTTGCGGCGTTCAACGTGCAAGGCTCCAAGTGGGACCGGTTGCGGCGGCGGTTCACGTCGCTCGGGTACTCCCCGCCGACGGTCACCGCGAGCGTGCGCGCGTTCGACGTCGAGACGCTGCGCGGGGCGCCGCCCGCGGCGCGCTTCGCCGCTTACGTCGGGTCCACGGGCGAGCTCAAGCACGTGGGCGCCACGGAGAGCATCGACATCAAGCTCGCGCCCTCGCGGTCCGAGGTCGTGACGTTCGCGCCCGTCCTGCGCGTCATGGCGCTCTCGGGCCCCGTGTCGTTCGCCCCGGTCGGGCTCGCCGGCATGCTCAACACGGGCGGCGCCGTGCGCGCGGTGTCGCAGCCGAACGACCGGTCGGCGGTGGTCAAGGTGCGCGGGACCGGGACGTTCGTGATGCACGCGTCGTGCCCGCCCGAGAGCGTCACGATCAAGGGCCTAAAGGGGCACCAGGAGTGGCACAAGGTGGACCAGCGCCTCGAGGTGGTGCTGGCCGAGAAGGAGGCGGGGAAGCTCGAGGGGACGATCGAGCTGCGGTGGTGAGGGGGGCCGATGTGGGCGCGCGTCGCCGCTGTGAGTTGGGCTTCGCGGGACGGGACGACGGTCGTGGCGCCGTTGCTGTTGTCGTGGGATGAGAAGCCCTGTTGCTGGTGCGGACAGCGTGCTTGTTGGGCCGAGAGCGGCCGAGGGGAGCTACGTGGGGAGTAGAGAGAGGGGGGCGGCGTGGATCGCTCGGGTTCGAGGAAGGAGGGGTGTGTTGGGGGTAGAAGTGCCGTGTGTTGCAACGCCTCTATTTCGGGCCGCGGGCCGCCTCGCTGCGGCGATCCCGCGGTCCGGACATGTCGCCTGCGCTCGCGGCGATCGCTGGCCGGCTCTCCACCTGCCGCACGCGTACACTCCGCGGTAGTGCCGGTGGCGCTCTGTTACAATCACTGTGGCATCGTTTCTCGTCTCCAGGGCGCCACAAAGCCCTGACGTCGCCTCCTGCGATCAGACCACGCGGATTCTGTGCCGCAAGGCACCGGAACGCCTCCGCATCGGTGCGGGACTCGCGGACAATGGCGAGCGGTGGTGCTTCATCAGCGCCCTGCCGAATTGCGGTCGCGCAGATGACCAGCACGGACGACCACGAGCATAATCTGCGCACATGCACGCAAATAGCCGAGAGCGCGCGCGACAGGGGCTGCCAGATGCTACTGCTCCCCGAATGCTTCGCCTTTCTGGGCCGGAATCAGGATGCCACTCTGGCGCAAGCCTCGCCCCTGGACGGCCCGATCTTCGAGTCATACCGCAAGTGAGATCCACACATCAATATCAACGTCTGCCCCGCGTTTCACACGCTACATCGGCTCCTCTCCCTCCTGCCCGGCCAGTCGCATTGCTCGCATCGTGCGCTCGCGCGATCTTCGCAGGCTCGCCCGGGACACCGGCCTGTGGCTCTCGTGCGGCGGCTTCCACCAGGCGTCCCCGGACGCGGCCTCGCGGAAGCTCCTCAACACGCACGTTGTCCTGGACGCGCACGGAAACATAGTCGCCGAGTATCGCAAAGTTCATCTCTTCGACGTGGACGTCCCCGACGGCCCCGTGCTCATGGAGAGCCGCGCCACCGCGCCGGGCGACCGCCTCGTCGCGTGCGACTCCCCCGCGGGCCGCCTCGGGCTGACGGTGTGCTACGACGTGCGGTTCCCAGAAGTGTATCAGAGACTGGCGTTCGATTTCGGGGCGCAAGTGATGCTCGTGCCGTCGGCGTTCACGCGGCCGACGGGGGCCGCGCACTGGGAGGTGCTGCTGCGGGCGCGCGCCATCGAGACGCAGGCGTACGTGGTGGCGGCGGCGCAGGCGGGGGAGCACCCCGGCGGGCGCGCGAGCTGGGGCCACAGCATGGTCGTGGACCCGTGGGGCGAGGTCGTCGCGAAGCTCGACGACCCCGATGCGACAGGCACGGCCTGCACGCAGCCAGACGGGCTTCGATCGCGCTCTGTCTGCCCTGCGTTCCATGCGTCGCATCGCTGCGTGCCGCGGACTCCGCGGCAGAGGAGACGCTCAGGCGGTGCATGTGTCGTGTGCGCCGCATGTCGCAGGGATCGCGGTGGCGGAAATAGACCTGGAGAAGATGGCGCGCATCAGAGAGCGCATGCCGATCGCCGCGCACCGCGCAGCAGGGCGGCCCGCCGTGTTCGCGGACGCCCCGCACGAGCTCTAGGCCCGCGTGCCAAACTCACAGACCCCCGGGCGCTTCCGAGTCCACAAGCCTCCTGGTCTTGTTGCACCTGCCCCCGGGGCGTGGTGCGCCGGGTCGCGCGCTGGCCGTCACACGAGGCCCGCGGGCGCCGCCTACGGCACGATCGCGACGGACCCGAACCGCGACCGCATGCGCGAGCGCATATTGGTGCTCCCGCCAGCGTCTTGCTGCTTGCTGAGCATCTCCGCTGTCATCGACTGCCGGTTGCTCATCTCCGCGCGCTTCTTGTCCGCGACCTCGAACGTCCGCAGCGCCTGCCCCGCGCTCTTCTTGCTCTTCATCGACGGTGCGGGCATCATGCGCGAGTGCCCTGGTCGCCCCGACGACTCCTGGATCGTCACGGACCGCCGCGAGCCCGCCTCGACGACCTTGTTCAGCACCGTGTCGTCCCCGGTGTTGGCCTGCGGAGCGACCACGACGGGCGCGCCGGATCAGTGACGGCCAGGGGGGGTGTAAAGGAAATACGAGAAGCGAGGTCGCCGGGCCGGGTCGGGAGCGCAGCGGCGGGCAGGCGCGGGCGGCTGCGGGCGGGCGCTCCGCGGGCGGCGCACGTCTGCTTCCTTGGGGCGGTGCGCGTGGATGTTGGACACGATGTCGTCGACACGCGCCGCGCGCTCGAGTTGCTCCGAGAGGGCCGAGCGCAGCCCGTCGAACTCCGTGCGCAGCCGGCCGACCTCGCCCTCGAGGGCCTCGCGCAGCCCCTCGAGCTCCTGCGGCGCGACGCACGCGTGAGGGGGGCCTGAGCGCCCAGGTAGAAACGGCCGACCTGGGGACGCAGATCGGGGGCGGGCGGCCGAGGAAGCGGCCCGGTGGTGCCTGGGCGGCCTCGTGGGCGAGGGGAGTGGCTGTGGGGCCGGCGGCGCGGGCGGGGGGCGTGCCAATTCGTATTGGGAGAGCTCAGTGTCGAGGGAGTGTCGCAGGCCCAGGAGGTCCGACTTGAGGCTCTCGATGCGGTCCACTGCCTCCTGCCGGTCGTGCTTGATCGACTCGAGCATCATCGTGTGGTCGCGCTCGTGCAGGTGCCTGCGGGGCCGGGCCCGAGCTCTCCCTTGTGAAAAACGCGCGCGCCTGGGAGCGTGTCAGACCGGTTTCTCGCACCGTGCGCTCGCTGCTGTAGAAGAAGTCCAGACCGGCGTCTGCGTTGCGTTTGGCGGGCTTGTGAGCGGCGGGAGGGCCCTCACCTCGCGAAGAGCTCCCGCAGGTTCGCTTGCCCTTCGTTTGTGTGCGCATAGATGGGAGGCCCGAGGTCCCTCTCGAGCTGGGTCAAGGAGAGGTCTGCGTGCACCGTTGGCCGGCACGTGAAAGTCAGGGAGGCGCGGAAACAGCGGCCGCAGAGCGAAATGCTGCGCCCTGCTGAGGCATGGAACATGGCGTCGTGTTCGTTGCGACCGGAGCGCCGCGTCCAGAGCGAGCAAGCGCTCTCGAAGGAGCATCCTCTGAAATGCCAAGGCGCCGACGGCGCGCAGGTTTCCCGCGCCGAAAGCGTCGCAGTTCGCCCGAGCCTTGTGCTCTGGGCCGCTGGCTGGCGTGCGCACCTGCCGAGATCTCCGTGCTATCCATTTTGCCCGCCTCCAACTCCGTCTATCAAGAAGCTCGTGCGCTACCGCTTCGCTGCCAACGTCGCCGTCCACGGCCCCGACAGGAGCAGCTCTGTTGATGATTCAATCGCCTCCTCTGCGCCCCTCGCAGCTCCTACTCACAACGTATCCACGAGCGCTCGCTTCGTCACCTACTACGACCGCGCCGCGGGCCTGCGCGCCCAAAACGCCCTCTGCGGCCCGGGCGCGGCACTGCCCGGTAGAACAACCCTGACGGGCGCCACGCCGCTCCTCCACGCGGCAGCGGAGGCGCCTGCGGGGCGCCGCTGTGCTCAGCGGCACCGCACCACGACCGCCGCCCGCTGGCCGCAGCCCGACCCGCCCGGCGACGTAACACCACACGTGCCTGTAGATTTGATGCTGCAACTGTCCGCCATTGTTCGTCCCGAACGCGCCCTGCGTGCCGCAAGGCTAGCAGCGGCGCGTGACGTGCGCGGGGAGGCGCCCGCGGTCACAGCTGCGCGGCCGCAGGGCATGTAGCAGGGGGAGGGGGGGCGTGTTGCATCAGTGCCCCAGTTTGCATGGAGATGCGCGGCACCTTGATCGGGGCCGGCCGCGCGGCGTGTTCAGTGGTCGCTGGGGCTGTCGGCGCGTGGAGTGCGTTTGTTGCGTGCGGTGGCTGCGGTGTGAGTGCGGGTACGTGCGCGTCGAGGAGACAGGAGCTGGGCGAGAGGCACTGGGCGCGATGGACTTCGGCGGCGGCGATGCGAACGATCAGAAAATCATGGCTGCGGTGAGCCCGGGGCGCCATCGCTCGCCCCGCATCACCTGCGCGGCCTGCATGCTGCTCCGCAAGAGTGTGTGCAGCCGCGGCACCCGACGCGGGACAGCGCGAACGCGCAAGATTTCCGCGAGAACCGCGGCGATAGAAGCTGAACCTCCCCGTCGCAGCTCGGTCCCCACCTTCCCTGGCCTAACGCGCACGCTTCCGCCCCCTCGTCCACTGCAGCTGCGGCAGGAGCTGAGCGCCGCATACTCGATGCAGTTCTTCGAGGTACGACCGCAGCCGGCGCCTTGCACCGTCATCCACATGCAGCGCTCCCCAGCACGCGCGCTCGCCCCCCCGCACCGCCTCCGAAGCCCGGGCCTCGCAGCCTCACACGGAACCCGCACGCTACCGGGCGACGATGCTTGGCGTCACCCTTGTCCCTCACACCCCCCGCTCCACAGCCATCACGGCCACGCAGCCCGCCGGGCGCGCTCCCCTGCCGCCCCGCCCGCTGCCCACAGAGCAGCCACCACCACCACCACCCCGCGCCCTCAGCAACACCGCGTACAGCGCCCCGCCGCCCCGCCCCGCAGACCTTGCGCGAGAAGTGCTTCCAGGCGTGCGTCGGCAAGCCCGGCGACTCGTTGTCGAGCAGCGAGAAGCAGTGCCTGTCCCGCTGTATCGACCGGTACGTTGACGCCACCAAGGCGGTCAACGAGTCCCTCACGCGCGCCAACATGTGACCGAGACCGCGGCGCGGTCCCCCGTGTAAGCCTGGTCCAGGGCCGCCGTCGCGCCTGGACACGCGATCGCAGCGAGAGATGCCATGACGCGCCGTGCGCACGCTTGCGTGTTCGCTCGGCACGACGCGCGGGCGCTCCCGGAGTTCTGATTCAGCACGCTCGCGAACGCGCACTCCGCGCCCCAGCCCGGCTGGCAAGCCGTTATTCACACGCACGCGCGCAGCGCGAGCACACAAGTGCCTTGAAGGAGCACGCGTACGCCGCCCGGCCGCACCCCCGCCCACGGCGCTTGTGGCGCCGCTCCGGCTCGCCCGGAACGCTGCGACGCGGCGCACGCGCGGCGCAGGCCCTCTCTCGGCACTGTGCCGGTGACGCGGGTGAGCGACGTGCAGGTGCGCGTCACAGCGCGGCCCGGGCGTCAGCCCTGCATGAGGTCGAAGTCGTCGAGCTTGTCCGAGTACTTCTGGACCTTGCGCTTGATCTTGCTGGTGTCGACCCACGTGACAAAGTCCTCCATGCTTCGCGTGACGAGGAACGCCGGGTCCGTGATGGTCTCCGGGCCGACGCGCACGTGGCCCTGCTCGACGAAGGTGCACGCCTCGCGCATCGTCTCGGCCATCTTCGTGCGCACCATGACCACGGGGAGGCGCCGGCGGCAGAAGCTCGCTGTGGACAGCTTCTCGCACTGCACGAGCGACTTCTTGTGCGGAATGACGCCCATCGCGAACAGCTTCTCGAGGAGGGCGTCCGTGAGGTCCACGCGGACGCTGTCCGACGCGTCCAGCTTGCGCAGGAGCGCTGTGAGCTTGGTGATCATGCCCGTCACGCGGTTATACTTCTTGTAGTCGTCGCGGTCCTGGATGTGGTACCGCTTCATCACCTGGAAGCGAACGTGGAGGGGAGGGCGGCGTGCTGGACGGGCTCGGCGCACGCTGCGCGTCCTGGAGGAGCGCGACGGCGGCCGCGCAACGCTGGGGCCCCGCCGCACCTCGAGCTCCCTGCGGGAGTGCTCGTTCTTCCATTGCAGGAAGTCGACCTTCTTGAGGAGCTTCTTCTCGTGGAACTTGAGTTGCCGCATCCTGCCCTGCTCGCCCCCCGCACAGGCGTTGTCCGCCCCAACCTAAGTGGCCTGCCTCCGCGCCCGCCCACCGGCGGCGACCCCGCCGGCCCAGCCCCGAGGCCCGTCTCCGCCCTAGCGACCGCGCACGCCGATCTCTAGCGTCCCTCGACGCACCGCGCGCCTCAGCAAGCGCGCTCAACTCCCTGCGCTGAACTCACCGCTGCAGCCGCTCGCCAGCCTTTCCTGGTCAACGTGCGGCGTGCGTTCGCGGAGCTCGCGCCGTGTCGTGGCCTCGCGCGCACCGGCGGACGCCCGCGCCCATGACGCCCGCCGTTTCAGCCCGACGACTGCCCCAACGCCCCCCACCTCGCCTCTCCGGGGCTCCTATTCGCGCGGGAACACCGCGCCGGCCGTGCACTGCCTCGATATCGACCGCTTGCAGCTCCTGAAGGCGCGCGCGCGTGATACCACGGCCGTACAAGCAGCGGTGGCTCTGTTGCCAGTGGGCTTAGCTGGCATCGGCGAGTCAGGATGGCGGCGACGACGATGTCGGAGGACCCGGTGATCCAGGGCATGTCGGGGGCGGCGGGGGCCGTCACGGCGCTCCTCGCGACGTTCCCGCTCATGACGCTGTCGACGCGGCAAGCCACAGAAGTGAAGAAACGGACGCCCTCCGGCGCGGTCTACGTGCCGCCACAGGTGCGTCGCCGCGGCGCGTCCGCAAGCCCACGTATGTAGCGATCAGGCGCGACGAGAGCCGCGGCCGGGGAACCGCGGGCCAGGCGGTTGTCCGCCGGTGAGTGTCCACTGGCGGCATAGTTTGCTTCTAGCGGCCGCAGCGCACGCGACGACGCGTGAATCAGGGCATAACGGGACCCATAACATACAAACGATCTTGGAGTACGCGGTGACTGGCTCGTACTTGCATATGCGGCCCGTATGAGGAGCTGAAGCGCGTGAGACAGCGGGCAGCTCAACTGCCTGCGCGGCTATGCCGCAGCTCTGCGCCCCCTGAGCCACCGCCCTGCCCAATCGAGCCCGCTGTCACTCTCTTAGTGCGCAATGAGCCTCTTCCCGGCGCGTCGGAACCGCAGAGCCGCCCGCACCGCCCGCGCGCATGGTCGCCTCGCAGCCATCCTTCCTGTGCGCCGGTGCCCGACAACCCCCCGCCCGCACCCTCTCGCGCGCAGCGCTCGCAAGCCGAGGGGCAGCGCGGTCCGTGGGCGCCGGTCCAGCAGCTGCTCGACCTCTACAGCGGCCTTCAGCCGGCACTTATAGGAACCATATGTTCCCAGGGCCTCTACTTCTATCTGTACTACACGATGCGGAAACGCGTCATGGAGTTCCGCGTGCGCCACGGCATGGCGCCCACGCTCGACGTCGGGCCCTCGCTCGCCATCGCAACCCTTGCCGGCATCGGCAACGTCCTCGTGACCAACCCCATTTGGGTGGTGGTGACGAGGATGCAAGCGGCGCAGAAGAAGGTGCGCGCGAGCGCGTCCGAGGCGGGCAAGCCGGGGCCGTCTGCGCAGCGCTCGTCGACGAAGGTGCGGCTCCCGCGTCAGCAGCCTCGCCGCGCGTCGCGTCGTGGTGCCCTACGTCTGGTTGCGTGCTGCTGCGAGGCGCGATGAGGCCGCGGGTGTGTGCGGCGCGCAGGGGGTCGCGGAGATGGAGGCGGGGATGATCGCGACGGCGCGGGAGCTGCACCGGGAGGCGGGGGCGCTAGGGTTCTACAGAGGACTGTTGCCGACGCTGCTGATGGTGTGCAACCCGACGCTGCAGTACGTGCTGTACGAGTACGTCGTGAAGTGGTACCAGAGCCCCGGGAACCGGCCGGGCGCGGGCGCCGTGGCGCGGCTGCGGCCGAAATTGGGCCCCGGGGAGGTGTTTATGCTGTCAGCCGTCGCCAAGGCCGGCGCGACGGTGGCGACGTACCCGATGATGGTGGTCAAGTCGCGCCTCCAGGTGGGTCCTCGCGCGCCGCGCTGCCGTGCCGCGCTCACTCGAGACGGCAGTTTCGTGCCAGAAGACATGGTTTCTCGATCTCCGCGCCCACGGTTCGCTCTCGACTGGGGCCCGCGCAGGCGGGCGGGAAGAGCAACGCGCAGCTGCAGTACAAGGGGACGTGGGACGCCGTGCGCACGATCCTGCGCACGGAGGGCCTGGGGGGGTTTTTCGGGGGCGTCCAAACGAAGCTCGTGCAGTCTGTGCTGGCGGCGGCGCTGCTGTTCATGGTCAAGGAGGAGCTCGCGCGGAAGGTCGCGCGGCTCGTCCGCGCGTACCGCGCTCGCCGGCGCGGCCGCCTGGGCTAGGGGCGCCACCAATGCTGATCGCGGCACGTTGATTGTGATTCCTCGAATGGTGACCTGCTTGAGAGGCCTCGATCATTGCGGGGCAGGGGAAGGCGAGGGCGCCGCGCGGCTCGCGGTTGGCGTGCTGCGGAGTCGGGCGGCGGCGCGGGCGTGAGTCAGGTGCATCAGTTAGGGGTGTGGGGCTTGGCGCCGCAGGGGCCGCGGAGGGCTTCGGTTTTGCTGCGCGTTGGCCTGCAGCCGCAGTTTACAAGTCGGTACGCCGGTATTTGGGGCGGGTTTCTGCGCGGGGGGCACAGAACGGAAGGCAGCCCGGCGTGTGCGTGCGCCTGGCGGCTGGTGGGCGCTGACGGCGCAGGATGGGCGGCAAGAGGGCGTCGGGGGCGGGCCAAGGAGGGGCGGCGAAGAAGAAGCAGGCGTCGATATCGACGTTTTTCTCCAAGTTCTCTGCCAAGGCACCTCAGGCACCCCCTGGGTCCGCTGCGGGCGCCCAGAACGGCCATGGCGCCGGTTCGATAGAGGAACGGCGGCCTCAAGGACAGCAGAAGCCGCCAGCCCCGAAGATAGTGAACGACAACCAGCACGAAGACAGCGGGAGCGATGGCGTTGTGCTCGTGACGCGCGCCGAGCGCGGGCAGCCCGCTGCGCCGCCGCGCGCGCGCGACAGCCCGTCTGGCGCACGCCCCGCCGATTCCATGGACACAGACGCCGCGCCGGACGCGTTGCAAGCCGGCGAGAGCCCCTCGCGGCCCGCAGGGGCTGCTACCATTGGTGCTGCCTACATTCCCTCTTCGCGGGACCCGGCGCGCCAGAGACGTCTCCAGCACGTCCTGGCTGGGTCGAGGGGCGGCAGCGGGATGGTCGAGGGGCGCGGGCAGGGCGCCGACGCGGGCCCTGCGTCAGGTTCGGGCCGGAAGAGCGGTGGTGGGAAACTGACTCCCCTCGAGCAGCAAGTGGTGGCCCTGAAGCGCGACAACCCGGGAACGCTGCTCGCCGTCGAGGTGAGCGAGCGGCGCCGCGGTTCCCGGCGGATCGCCACGCCATAACATCACACAACGAAACAATTAGGAATCGGTATCTCATTTGAGGGCACAGTTGTCTTCATGCGCTCCACTCGCCGCTCCTTTCTCACGCGCTTCGCCTGGAGCTCCTCTGAGGACCGCGACGTTCTGCGCCGTTCTTTTCCGCAGGTGGGGTACAAGTTCAGGTTCTTTGGCGAGGATGCGGAGGCGGCGGCGCAAGTGTGCAAACTCTACTGCTACACCGATCACTCCTTCCTCACCGCGTCGGTGCCCGTGGCGCGGCTCTTCGTGCACGTCCGCCGGCTCGTCGAGGCCGGCCACCGCGTCGGCGTCGTGCGTCAGGTCGAGACGGCCGCGCTCAAGTCCGTCGGCGACAACCGTAACAAACCCTTTGAACGAAAGCTCACAGGTAGGGCCCTCTCCGACGGCCGCAACGCCGCCCAGACCTCGGTCGATCACTGTTTATCCCAGTGCCGGCGTCTCGCACGAATTTCCGTGCGGACTATCGCACGCATCGCCGGTTGCATGTTGCGCAAAACAAGAACGGTGCCGTTGTGGCCGCAGGCGTGTACACGAAGGCGACGCTCGAGGCCGGGCTGATGGAGGACGTGGGCGAGGCTGGCGAGGAGGCTGCGTCGGGCGCGGTGCGCGGCGGCGGCGCGAGCTACCTGTTGTGTGTTTGCGAGGAGCATGGGAGAGAAAGCGACCAGGGGACGTCCCGGGACGTCGCGCGGCTCGGAATCGTCGCGGTGGAGGTATCCACGGGGGACGTGCTGTGGGAGGAGGCCAACGACGGCCCCCTGCGGGAGCTCCTCGACTCACGCCTGCTGGAGGTGTCTCCCGTCGAGGTTCTACTCCCCCGGGGGTGTTCCCGCGCGACGGAGCGCACGGTGCGGCAGCACTCGCGCGGCGGAGCGAGCGTGCGCGTCGAGGCCGTGGACACGACGCTCGGCGGCGGGCACGGTGCCGCGGTGCGCGTCCTGACGCAGGCGTTCGGCGTGGGGCAGGACGGCGCTGAGGCGGGCGGCGGCGGGAACGTGGCGGCCGCGCTGCAGCTCCCGGCGCTCGCGCTGCAGGCGCTCGCGGTGCTCGCGCACCACCTGCAGCCGTTCGGACTCGAGGGCATCCTGAAGCTTGGCACGACGTTCCAACACCTAGGTGCGTTTGCGCTCGTGGCAGGAAACGAGAAGCAGGACCCTGAACGCGCTTCGTACTTGCTCGTTCGTTGTGGCCGTGTAGGCATGTCGGAAATTCACAATGCCGAAGTGTCCCTGCAAATACAATTAGTCAACGCCTACTTGACTGTTCACATTTTCGCGTCGGTTCCAACCCGCGCCCACCCCGGCGCACATGCCCCGAGCGAGTGTCGCCGCCGAGCATCGTCCCCGTGCTTCGTTTGCTTTGCAGGCGAGGCGCATGAAATGAAGCTGTCGCCGAACGTCCTCGAGCAGCTCGAGATCTTCGAGCCCCAGGGCGCGCCGGGCGTCACCACCGGCCGCAGCGCCTCCGCCGCTCCCCTCAAGGGCACGCTCCTATGGCAACTCGATCACACTCGCACCGGGCCGGGAGCGCGCCTGCTTCGCCGCTGGATCGCGCGCCCGTCGCGCCGCCGCGCCGTCGTCGACGCCCGCCTCGACGCCGTCGAGGAGCTCCTGCCCCACGCCCTCCCCCCCCTGACGTCGGGGGGCGCCAACGCCCCCGCCGAGGACGGCGACGGGACCCTCGAGGGCTTGCCGGCGATGCTGCGGGAGCTCCCGGACCTCGAACGCGCCCTCGCACGGATGTACCACGGCACAGCGGCGCCGTGGGAGGCCGTCTCGGGCCTCAAGCACTTGGCAGACCTCCCAAGCGCTATCGCGAAGGTCTGGCCGAATGCCAGCCGCGAGGGCGACGAGGACGAGGGCGAGGACGACGGCGCACCGCGTAGCCCGCTGCTGCGCAGCCTGCTGCGCACGGCCGCGGCGCGCGGGCCGGCGCAGGCGGCTGCCGCGCTCCTCGCGAGGCTGCATGCGGGCGCGTGCACAAAGGGCGCCGGCGCGCAGTCGTCCGGCGCGGAGCGGATGTTTGCGTGCCGCGAGACCTTTCCTGAGGTGTTTGATCAGGCTGCGCGGTCGCGGGAGGCCCGGGAGGCGCTCGACGCGCTGCTCCCGAAGCTTCGGAAGGAGCTGGGTCTGCCATCGCTGCAATACACCTCCGTGATGAACCAGGGGGACTTTCTGGTGGAGGTGCCGCGCGGGCCCGGCGGCGGGCACGCACGCGTGCCTGCGGGCTGGGAGCTGGTGTGCGGGACGAAGAAAGTCGAGCGTTTCCATCCCCCCGAAGTCAAGGAATTAAAACTGGCCATGGACATTGCTACCGAGCGTCTGGCGGCGGCGTGCGTCGCGGCGTGGCGGGACTTCCTCGGGCTGTGTCGGGAGTCGTACGTGGCGCTGCGGCAGCCCGTGCGCGCGCTCGCGGAGGCCGATGCGCTGCTGTCGCTTGCAACGGCGTCGGCCAACGCAGGGTGGGTCCGGCCGGAGATGACGGGGGGCAGTGAGGCTGACGCAGGGGAGGGGAGCGGGGAGACGGTGGCGATATCGATCGAGGACGGGCGGCATCCGCTCCTAGACGCCCTGCTGCCGGCTGGTGCGGTGCCGAACAGTGTCGAGCTGGGCGGGGCAGGGAGGCCCCGGACGGTGGTGGTGACGGGGCCGAACATGGGTGGGAAGTCGTGCTACCTGAAGCAAGGTGCGAGGGGCTGCTGGCGACGACGCCCGGCCGTGATGGGTAGGTAGTTTGGATTCGTCTTGAATGCTGATTTCTCGATTGCGGATTGATCGGTTTCCTGGCTCGTGTGCTGTTCCGGTGTGCAGTGGCGCTGACGTGCATGCTGGCGCAGATCGGGTGCTTCGTTCCGGCGAAGCGCGCGGTCCTCCCGATGATCGACAACGTCCTGGCGCGCATGGGCGCGGCGGACAGCCTCGCGAAGGGTATCTCTACGTTTCAACAGGAACTTATGGAAACCTCGACTATCCTCCGCACGGCCACCCCGCGGTCCCTGGTCATCATCGACGAGCTCGGGCGCGGCACGAGCACGCACGACGGCCTCGCGATCGCCCTCGCGGCCACGCGGCACCTCACCACGCACACCCGCTGCCTCACCCTGCTCGCCACCCACTACCCACAGCTCGCCGAACTGTCGCGCGAAATGCCCGCGGACGTCGCGGCGGGGTACATGTCGTACACCACCGCGGAGGAGGAGTGCGCGGGGGCGGGGGCGGATGCGCCGGACGTGGCGGCGCGGTACGCCAGGAAGAGGGTTGGGTTCCTGTACAAGCTGACTCAGGGGGTTGCGCCGGCGTCCTACGGGCTCAACGTGGCGCGGATGGCGGGGCTGCCGGGGCGCGTGGTGGAGCGCGCGGCGCAGGTGGCGCTGGACATGGAGCTGGGGGGCGCGGAGGACGTGGCGGACGGCGTGCGGGGCATGCTGGGGTTTGTGGCGGAAAAGAAGACCTGAAAACACGACTGGGGAGCTCACGGCGGGGGGAGGGCGGCGAAGAGGCCTGCGGGGAGCGGCGCGAGCTGGGCGTGGGTAGGGCCCGCGTGAGTAGTGAGAGCGTGAGTGGCGGTTCGCGCTCACAGTGTTAGTGCTGCGCAGGACCCGTGCCGTCAACAACAACTCTTCAGAACAACCAAGTCGAAAAACCCTATCTTGCAGTGCGCCGACAATCCTCTACTGCGCCGCGCTGACCCGCGCTGACCCCGCGCCCGCGTCGCTCCCAGGCTCTCCCCCGCTCCCCAACACCCCCCCCGACGCCTCAGTCCCCAGGGGTGGTCTCGAACTCCCCCACACTCGCCCGCGCCCCCCCGTCGCCCTCCGCCCCCGACGCCCCGTCCATCACGGCCGACTGCGTCCTCCGCTCGTCCCGCACGTGCCCCGACGGCGACGACTCCGCCAGTTGCGCAGCGGAGTGCGACTCAGCCAACACCCCCCCTGGCGCCCCGGCGTCCCGCGGCGCCCCTGCCGCCTGCCCCTCACGCGTCCCCACCGCGGTCGACGGCGGCGCTGGCGGCGGCGGGCCCTCCGGCGCAGGCATGAGCCACGACGGTCGCGCTTGTTCACCCGAGGCGCGCCGGCTGCCGTGCTGCGACTGCCCCGCGGACCCGGAGCCGTCGCTGCCCGTCGCGGACATCCGCACGACGCTGCCGCGCGGGCCCTGGTCCCGCTGCTCGACGTGATGGAACGCATGCAGTGCCTGTCGCAGCGTGGGGCCCTTGTCGCCCGTGCGTATCTGCGTGACGGAGGGCCCGGCGCCGATGTCGTCCGTGAGGACGCTGCCCTGCCGCCGCCCGGCCTGGCCGTCGCCGCCGTCGTCGCCGCCGTGCACAGAGGTGCGCGCGCGGCCGGTCTCGTCGTCCGCGCGGCGCCGCCGCCGCCGCCGCTTCTCCTTGCCGACGAACTGCCGCTCGATGATCTGCTGGCGGTGCGCGGCGATGTGCTGCAGGTCCGACATGCGGTCGTTGACGTACGACAGGATCTGATTCTGGTCCCAGCCGTGGCTGGTGATGTTGCGCCCGCGGCACCGCTCGAAGATGTTGTGGATCGCGATGCGGACTTGGAGGTTCTCCGACGTCTGGTAGATCTTCGCCTGGTGCCGCTGCGCGTCGCGGTGCCCTTCGGTCTGGTTCTGCCCCGACAGCACATCCAGCTTCTGTTGCAGCTCCGCGAGGTCCTTGACCAGCGTGACGAGCAGCGACGACTGCTGCGCCTCCCACGCGTTCATCCGCGCCCTCGCCTCCTCGAACCGCGCCTCCCCCTTCGCCTTCTCCTCCAAAAGACTGGCCTTGGTTGTAACCAACATCTCATGCTGCGCCATGAGCGCCTCCGGGGCCTCGTAGTCGCCCCCGGACGACTGCAGCACCTCGTCGAGGAAGTCCCTGCGCGCGACCGAGCACCAACGCGCCGCGCCCGGTCAGTTCCGGCAACGAAGCACAACTGGTGCGCGCACTGCGTGTTGTGGGGCGCTCCAGCGGTGGCGCGCGCGCGCGGGGGGGCGGCCGGACCTGTACTTGGAGAGGCGCTGCGTGAGGTGCACGTTCTCCTCCCGCTGCAGCCGGAGCCGCTGCAGCTCCATCGTCAGGTTGTCCAGCTCGTTCTCGCGGCGCTCCAGCTCCTGACGCAGGCCGACCTCGCGCTCCTGGGCGCGCGCGCGCTTCAGGTCGTTCTCGCGGACGAAGCGCTCGAACTGCCCGATGGTCTCCTGGAGCTTGACCTGCAAGACAACGCGAAACACACGCAAGTCTGTTTCGACGGTTCGCGCGCGCCGGGAGCGCCGGACGCGGCCGCGCGGGCGACGCCGCCGTCGGGCTTATTCCGGGCGAAGTCGCGGAGACTCGAGCGCGCAGCCGCGCGCCGAGGGCCGCCCCGCACCACCGTCCGGTGCGCGTCGTGCGCGGGAGATCGCGCGTAGCGTCGGCGCGCACCTGTTTCTGCATGAGGAGGTTCTCCCACTTGTCGCACTTCTTGTTTCTCCGCGCGAACTCCTTGCGTTTCTGCTTCAGCATCGCCTCCACCTGGTCCATCTGGCGTCGTTTCTGAAGCAGGACGGTGGTCTGGGAGACCATGTCGCTCGAATACAGCTCGAGCTCGTCCCGGAACTCGCGTCCGAGGTCCGTCAGGAACAGCTTCGACACCAACCCTGCGCCGAACGACCACTCGCGCGGATGCCGGGCGTCACCGGGCGCGTGCGCGTGGCTACACATGCCAACGGAGGCTCTCGGCCTCGCAGGCGGGTCGCCCCGCTCATCAACGCGCGTCCAATCCAGCTGACGCTCAACTACGACCTCTATACGTCCAGTGGTGGAGAGTCGCGCGTGGCTGGGCCCCGCACGAGCACGCAAGGGCGCTGTGAACGCACCGTCATCATGCGTCCCCGCCAGCATGGCCTCCTGCATGCGCCCGCCGGACGGCTGCAGCGTCGTGGTGCTTGCCCTCAACCCACCCATCATGGTTGCCGCGCGCAGAGCGCCCGCAGGCGCCTGCTCCCCCGGCACTCGGCCGGTGCAGACCTCCCTGCCTTGCTGCCCCGGAACGTGCGCTCAGCGCGACAGAGCGCCGCCTAGGTACACCGGCGAATCGAAACCCACGTAGTCTACGCACGCGCGCGCTCCGCGGCCCTGCAATGCCCGGGCTGCGTCGGGCGGACTGCCGTGGTGGTCGGTCCTACCGGGAGAGGGCCCGGGGGCGCGCTAGGGCGCACCTCCGCGGACGAGGGCGGACGCGGCGGGGCGGAGTGGCGAGTTCGTGCAGAGGACGTGCTATTCTAGTTCGATTGGGCGACTCGCGAGCGGTACCCAGCGTCTGGGAGCCTTCTCTGGTGGCACGAAGCGCTTACGTGTGGTCGGAAGCGGCCCGCTGAGGGGGCGGAGGAGCCATGGGGGTCGACGACCCCACGTGCCCGTTCATTAAGAACATGCTGGTGCTAGATAATGAGGGGAAGCGTGTGGCGGTGAAGTACTACGGCGACGAGAAGTGAGCAACTTCGCTCCCCGCCCGATCGCGGCCCTGCCCCTGCCCCTCACGGCCCCCACGGCCGACACACGGCCTCAACACGTACTCCAACGCACCGTCGGCCCCACGACGGCCGGCAGCCGCGCAGCACACGCCCGCAAAACAGACTTCCGTGATGCCCCGGGCACCCGCGCGCCGCGCGCCGCCGCTGACGCGCACACCCCACCCGGCCCCGGTCCCTGCGGCCACACCCTCGACCATCCGATCCGCCGGGCCGCGGGCCGCCACGCCCCGCCTGCTGCGCCACCGCTGCCCCGCGACACCCAGCTCACCCCCGCTCGCGCCCGCGCCCTACGCAGGCCGAGCGTCGACGCGCAGTCCGCGTTCGAGACCTCCCTCTTCCAGAAGACCGCCCGCGCGGTCCCGGGCCCGGACAACGACGTCATGCTCCTCGACCGCGAAGTCATCTGCTACACGCCGCGCGCCGACCTGTGTTTCTACGTCACCGCGTCCACGGACGAGAACGAGCTCATCGTCTCGACCGTCCTCTCCACGCTCGTCGAGGCCCTCGACGTCCTCCTGCGCGGAGACGTCGACAAGCGCACCCTGCTGGAGAACCTGGACCTGGTGATGTTGGTGTTTGATGAAATAGTGGACAGCGGGCTGCTCCTGGAGACGGACGCGGGGCAGGTGGCGCAGCGCGTCGCGATGCGGCAGCACGGGGCCGGGGACGCCGAGGAGGCCGGCCCGGGCGTGCGTCTGGGCCCCGGGGGGGGTCTGCGCGGTATGAACTTGGCCAACATCAACGAGCAGACGGTCAAGGACGCGTTCAACAACGTGCGGGAAACCGTGCTGCGGAACCTGCTCAAGTGAGGAGAGCGTCGCGGCGTGTGAGATGCGGAGCCGTGCGCTGTTGCCGTCACTGTCGATGCGTCGCTCGTGGGGGCCGCACGCGCACTCATGAGCAGGCAGCGGCACCGCGACTGCGGTGGATCGTGGCTGGACGTCTCCGTTGAGGGAAACCCCCGCGATCCTCGCCGCGGCGGCGAACAAGAAAGGCCAGGAGCCGTGCTTGTTTGTTGTCATTCGCAGGGGCGGCGGCGGGGAAACAGGCACGGAGCCCGCTGCGCAGTCAAGTCTCATTACACTGCACGTGCGCGGCGCCGACGCGGGCGCGCACTGCGTACCACCACCACGTAGGGGTGTTTTTCTGAACCCTCCCCCCCACATCACGACAGCCGTCTCAATGCACAGACCCTGCGGTGCCGCGGCCGGCTCAGTCGGCGTCCTCCCCCGCCTCCCCGTCCGCCAGCCCCTCCTCCTTCATCGCCTCGTTCGCCAGATTCCCGATGTACACCACGGTCCCGAGCGTCACCGCCGCACCCAGCGCCAGCTTCCACCACTCGAGCCCGGCGCCCTCGGCGCCGCCCGCGAGCGCGTCCCGGCCGAACTTCCCCGCCACGACGTACGCGTACGTCCCGGGCAGCATCCCGAGCCACGACGCGGCCACGTAGGGGGCCAGCTGCACCGACGTCAGACCGTACAGGTAGTTGCCGAGAGAGAACGGCAGCAGCGGCGAGAGCCGCAGGAGCGCGACGATCTTGAACGAGTCCTTCCCGATCGCGCGGTCGATCGCGCGGAACTTCGCGTTCTTCTGCGCGAACGCCAGCACGCGGTCGCGCGCCAGGTATCGCGCGATGAGGAACGCGCCCGTCGCGGCGATCGTCGCGCCCAAGCTCGACACGATCGTCCCCGGGATCGTCCCGAAGAGCGCGCCGGCCGTCATCGTCAGCGGAATCGCCGGCACGGCCAGAATCTCGAGCACCGCGTACACCGCGACGTAGGCGGCCATGCCGAGGTACCCCCAGTCGTCGACGACGCTCGTGAAGTACGCGAGCGCGTCGTTCAGCGCGTCCTTGTTCGTCACCGCCGCGCCGACGAGCAGGAGGATGATCCCGAGCGCGGCGACGCTCAGGAGCTGCCCCGCGGTCCCGCTGCGCGCTCCCTCGGTATCCTCGCCCTCGCCGTCCATCGAGGAGAGGAGCCTGTCCGTGACCGACGAGAACACGGGCTTCGTGCCGAGCCGCCGGACCATGGCCGCCCAGACGGGCGCGCCGTCGCCCACGGACTCGACCGCGCCGTCCGGGCCGATGATCATGTGCCGCAGGGCGTCGCCCGGGACGCCCTCGCGCGCGAAGCGCGCCCACGCCGCGCCGTCGACCGGGCTCAGCTCCCACTGCGCAGCGCAGACGAAGAAACACAAGCGTTTCCAGTTTTGACGTGAAACAACGTGCACGCAGAACAACAGCAAAACAATGCAACCCCCGCGTGAGCCGTGAATGTGTCAGCAGCGCGCGAGAGCGTCGCGCAGGCGATGCAGCGTGCGTACCTCGCCGGGCGGCACCGTTCCGTCGGCGCCCGCGACCTCGCGGGCGTTCTTGACGACGCCTTGTTCGTCCGTGATGAGCGGCAGGACAGCGCACCCTCGGCCGGCGCCGAGGAGGGCACCGCGGTACCCCTGCGCGTCCGCGGCCGCGACGAGGACGTCCTTCTCCGGCCCGAGGAGCACGACCGTCCGCCGGCCCGCCAGGCCGGCCACCGCGGCGCCCCCGCCGTCGCCGGCGACCAAAAGACCCCCCAGGGACTCCTGCGCGGAGAGCGTCGCGGATTTCCCGCGCCCGAGGCCCTGCTTCTCGCGGAACAGCAGCGCCCCGAAGACGGCCGCGGCGCCGAGCGCCACCGCGAGCTGCTGCTGCAGCTGCGCGAGGCTGGCGGACGACGCGCCCGCCGCCATCACGCGCGACGTCAGGTACAGCGCCGACAGCCCAGAGGAGACCAGGCCGGTCGTCAGCGCCGTGGCCGGCAGCCCGGGCGTCTGCGGGCATCGATGCGGCGAGACGAGGTCAGAACGACGCACAAAGACATATAAAACCAGGTCTTGTGACGGGCAGGGGAACCATGGGTGGCTCGTGGAGCGGGGGACCTCGGCGCGGGGGCGTACCGTCTCAGGAGACTGCGCGTCTCCGGGCCCGGCGGGCTCCGTGTCGGCCACCAGGTCGACGAACGCGCTGTTGGCACGCAGCGGCACGAGGTCAGGGTCGCTCCCGGCGGCCTCCGGGGCGAGCCCGTGGAGCGACACGGCCTGCTGGATGGCCCTGACGCCGTCTTCGACGCGGTCGAGCGACGCGTAGCAGCGCGCTGCGGGGGATTGGCCGGGAGCGGGGCGGGAAGGGCGGTGAGGCTGCGAGAGCCAGGAGTCCTGGTGGGGTCGCGGTGCCGCTCAATTGAGGCACGAACGACCATGATACGCGGCCGAAGAGATAGAACTGTGCGTGTACGGTCGAGGAGAGCAAAAAAGAAGGCGGAACAGGGCCGCTGTGTCCGCCCAGCGCGGGAGAAGCACAGAGGTTGTGCTGTGGGCGACAGGGCGTGCGAGGCGGCGTGGGGCGCGGCGCGGCGTACCTGCCGAGTAGAGGGCGGTTTGGAGGTCCTTCTCGGGCGTTGGCGCGGACATGACCTCCTCGAACAGCTCCAGCGCGGCGGAGAGCTCACCCTGCGCCATAAGCTCGATTCCAGACACGACAGTGTCGCCGGTCTTGACCGGCGCCTGCGTCACGCCCTCGGCCACCTTGGTCGCGACGCGCGACGCGCGGCCGGAGGAGTGCCGCGCTCGTCGACCGGCGCACCCCTGCGCAATGGCTAGGCGGCGTGGAATGGCGGTCAGCGCGGCCGCGGTGCGTCGGGGAAATCAAGTGGTACGGCGCGCTCTGGTGCAGGTGGCGGCGAGACGTTGGAGGCGCGGCGGCGGGCGGACGTGGGATGACGGAAGCCGCGGGAATTCGCGTGCTGTTATGCAATGCGTTGGGATACGCGGTCCAGGTGCGCCGCGGCGAAGTTTGTCGATGCGAGCGAGCGTTCTTCAATGCAGAGATTGGACCGCGTCGGAATCTCACCCATTGCGCCGTGGACGCGACGCCGCGTCGCGCGGGCGAACGACCACGAAAGATGCCCCTTCGCGCACCGCCTCCTGGCCCGGCGGCGTGGACGAGCGAACGCTGAAGCGAGCACGGGCAGATGTGGGCCCTCATTGCCCGCTAGCTCGGCTCTGGTACCGCTTTCCGGCCACCTCCTAGGGTCGACCACAGGAATCGATGCCCCAGCGCTCGAATAGCCCGAACAGCGGCGCGCGCGTCCCGCTCCGAGCGAACTGCTTTATCAACGAGATCGGTGACGCGCCGACAGCCCGCGCGATCCTCGCAGGGCCGCGTTCGGCCGCGATCCCCCTGGCTCGGTCAGCTCTCGCTCGTCGGCGCGGAATAATCTGCGCTCCGGTGGTCGAAAATGCTCCTACACGTTGTTGAGGAGGCAGTCCTCGTGTCTGTCCGCACCTTCCCGCCGCAGCTCCCCATTGCCACCGCTCGTGCCGTCAGGAAGATTCCTCCCGGAGACACGGCCACCACTCCCCCCGTGTCCGATCGAACCGCCCGCACCGGCGCCGTCTGACGCGGCCGGCCCCCGCGCGCCGGCTCGGCGGCATCTGCCCTGTGCGGCGAACCGCCTCGCTGCGTACCCGCGGCGGCCCACAGCCTCTCGATAGCACACAAACACCAAAAAAGCCATCAACGCGATGTTCGGCGCGCGCAGGGCGACGCTGCGGCCCGGCGGCTCGCACATGGCGCGCACGCTCCGTGTACCGCCTCGCTCGGGCCCGCCGCGGCGCCTACTGCAAGACTGGATCGCAACACTGATCCCGTGTTGCGCACAGCGCGGCAACACTACTTGTGCTACGGTGCGCGAGGCGCGACCTGGCGAGCGGCGACGCGCCTCGTCGACGGCGGCGCGCTCTGAGCCCCCGCCAGCTCGCTGGCGCCAGCATGCTTCACACCGTAACCGTGCGAACCGCTGCGCCATGAATGAGGAAGGCGCCGATGACTGGCCCGTCGGCAGCGCCGCGCGCGCACAGGAGCTCATCCCCGGGGACCGCGACGCTCGTGGGACCTGTGCAATGTCCGCTCGCACTTCTCGTTCCTTCTGACACGCCCGCAAGCTACTTGGCTACCTGAAGCTGCCCCATCGTGGGCCCAGGGACCCGCAACGTGAGGCCGGACGCGGCCGGCCGGTCAGCGGTGGCGCAGGGCGTTGCGAGCGGCGTGCCGCAGCGACGCGCGGACATGCGTCGTCATTATGTTGCGCCGCTCACTGTTGCCTGCTCCTTGAAGGCGCGCCTCGCTGTGGAGCTGCGCGCGGCGCAACGCAATACCCGGCAGTGACGCATGCGGCTCGGACCGGCTGCGTGTCTTCTTGGTGCAAAAAGTCGACGGTAGAGAGGGGGAGCTGTCTCGTGGGGCCTCCAAGCGCTGAAGTGGCGCAGTCTGCGCATCCGGCGGGGCGATTTGCGCACGCGGCGGTGTCGCCCTCCTACTTGCGTCCAGCCGGGCCAGGCGCAGAGCGGCAGGCTCCTCTCCGTGTGTCACGCGAGCATGAAATTGCACGAGAGAGGTGAAAAGGGGCCACGGGAGCAGGCACGGCGGCTCCCGAACCAATGCCGCGCGTTCAGGAATCGCGCAAGAAGCAGAACATTGCGCGCGCGTGGCTGTTTGCGACGGAGCGCCGCGATACGGGAAGCATGCGCGCATGCACTTGGTCCAGATAGACGGCGGGGGCGGGCGCGCACCGGTGAGTCCGTGGCAGTGAATGGCCCTGGCCAGGATCTTCCTCCTCCTATTGCCTCAGTTCTGGATTCCTTCATTCGCCCTCCATCCCGCCCAAGAGACCCGGGGCAGCTCAACCAACTTGTCGTCTTTCAATGTGTGCTTCGCCGCGCAGTCGTTCGGGCACATACACGCCCGGGCCCGCTGTACGGATGACGTCGAGCTGGAGGGGCGCGGGGGCTTGCTGTCAGCCATGTGCTGGACGTTGACGACTCCTGCGACAACAAGGAATGGCCTTCATCACACGCACGGGCTTCCGCGGGGGGCCAGGACCTCTGCGAAGATAGGTCTAGCCTAGCGTGCGCGAATGGCGGCGGCGTCCCGAGCGGCGTACGCGGTGACGTTCGCGCCGTGATGCAGCGCCAACAGCGGCTGTTGCCTGCAGGTACGTACCTTGCGCTGCGCCGGCCGCGCACCGGACGTTTGCAGGGAGCTATGTGTGGGCTGCTGCGTCATGTCGACGAATCCAGCCCCTCATCTCAACCCCCTGTCCCCCCGTCGTGCAGGCATTACGGTGCGCGTGGTGCAGTGCGCACGGGCCGCGCTGTTGGGCGGCGCTGGGCAGCCGGGGCGCGCAGGATGGAGCACGTGTTGATCCGCAGCGTCCCGGTCCGTGACAGTCCCGCCGCACGTGCCGCTCGTGCCGTTGTGCGTTGCGCGCACACGCTTGCGTAACGCGCTTGCAGCCGGGGACACCGGCCTCGAGGCTCACACGGACCTGACAGTCGACGCTCATGTGCAGGGACACGTCGAGCGCGGGGTTTTCGGTCCAGGTCGTGCACGTCGGCGCTGGCCACAGCACACCGCGGCACCGATTTCACCATGTGCGGGGCCGGAGACGTTGATGGCGTGGAACAGACGGCTGGATGACGGTGTCGGGATGGAGAGATGGTGACCGTGGCCGTGGATGACGCGATCAGGCCGGTCTGCACCGCCTCGAGGCCGTGCGGCTCGGGGAGTGGGTGGCGCCTACCTGCCAGCCACAGTGGCGCTTCAGGTGAGCGAAGGGCGCGCACCGAGGAACCAAGCATCTCGGCGCGTTGTATCGTCTCTATGGGTCGAGGTTTGTTGCCTAGATCTCGAGATCTCGCCCTGAATTGAACGCGCTCGCAGCCTCATGCCACGCAGGTTGACTCCAGGCCCATCCGCCGGCATGGTTGGCGGGCGCCGTCGTCTTGGGGCCAACCTGCATGGTCGCGAGCGAACTAACCGTGCGCCGTGGTCGCCTCGTCGTGCGCACGACGGGCAGAGCCGGCAACCCGGGGGCTTCTACCGCAGCTGTGCTAAGAGTGCGCCCCTGCGACAGCACAGGTCGGGGCTCACATCGACCACGCATGGCGCCTGCGCGGCACTCGTGAGTACGTTGGACGTGGGCTCTGCGTCGGAGCGTCTGTCGGATGACTGTCGTGGCCGCCAGCAGCAACAAGGGCTTTGCAGCAGGTGAGGGCAGGGTTCTCGAATTAGGCGCTACTCCTCGCTCGAATTTCCCTCCACGTTGCTCCCCTCCCTGTGAACATGCTCTCAGATTCGCGCCCTTGCCTTGTACTGCACGAACGCCGCCTGTCAGTGCGCTTCTGCGTCCTAGGGCCTGCTGCACACGTCCCTCCGCAAAGCCGGTAACCGCGACACCCTGAGCGTTCGGCTCCTCTGTGCGCGCAGAACCCACCACGAGCATGCGCGTGCGAGGAAGACCGATGCCCGCTTCGGAGGAGCAGAGCCGGTGCAATCGATCAGTGGATACAAGGGCACGCGATGGTCACCCCACGAGGATCTCTTCGCTTTTCGGGCGACTTTGCGGCGCACATGTGCTTGCGTTCGTCCTCCTGGCGTGTATGCTCGCACACGCCGGCGCGGATGCGTCGCATTTGCGCGCGGAGGTGCCGGGGCGGGCTGCTAGGCATGTTGCAAGTCCACGGTCACTGCAGCAAGCCGCTGCTCAGGGAGCCCGCGGGAAGAATCTGACGGCGAGCGACGGGGCGGCGGGCGACTACTTCGGCCGGGCGGTGGCGGTGAGCGGCGACGTGGCGGTGGTGGGCGCGTACGGCGACGACGACAGGGGCAGCGACTCGGGGTCGGCGTACGTGTACGAGCGGGCGTCGCACGGGACGTGGGCGGAGGCGGCGAAGCTGACGGTGAGCGACGGGGCGTCGGGCGACTACTTCGGCTATGCGGTGGCGGTGAGCGGCGACGTGGCGGTGGTGGGTGCGTACGGCGACGACGACAGGGGCAGCGGCTCGGGGTCGGCGTACGTGTACGAGCGGGCGTCGCACGGGACGTGGGCGGAGGCGGCGAAGCTGACGGCGAGCGACGGGGCGTCGGGTGACTGGTTCGGCTATGCGGTGGCGGTGAGCGGCAACGTGGCGGTGGTGGGTGCGTACGGCGACGACGACAGGGGCAGCGGCTCGGGGTCGGCGTACGTGTACGAGCGGGCGTCGAACGGGACGTGGGCGGAGGCGGCGAAGCTGACGGCGAGCGACGGGGCGGCGTTCGACTACTTCGGGTCTGCGGTGGCGGTGAGCGGCGACGTGGCGGTGGTGGGCGCGTACGGCGACGACCACAGGGGCAGCGACTCGGGGTTGGCGTACGTGTACGAGCGGGCGTCGAACGGGACGTGGGCGCAGGCGGCGAAGCTGACGGCGAGCGACAGGGCGTGGGGCGACTACTTCGGCCGGGCGGTGGCGGTGAGCGGCGCCCCTGCGGTGGTGGGCGCGTACTGGGACGACGACAGGGGCAGCGAGTCGGGGTTGGCGTACGTGTACGAGCGGGCGTCGAACGGGACGTGGGCGCAGGCGGCGAATCTGACGGCGAGCGACGGGGCGGCGGGCGACTACTTCGGCCGGGCGGTGGCGGTGAGCGGCGACGTGGCGGTGGTGGGCGCGTACGGCGACGACGACAGGGGCAGCGACTCGGGGTCGGCGTACGTGTACGAGCGGGCGTCGGGCGGGACGTGGGCGGAGGCGGCGAAGCTGACGGCGAGCGACGGGGCGTCGGGTGACTACTTCGGCTATGCGGTGGCGGTGAGCGGCGCAACTGCCATGGTGGGCGCGTACTTGGACGACGACAGGGGCAGCGAGTCGGGGTCGGCGTACACCGTGAATCTCATTGGGATGTTGTCGCGCGGCAACTACTGTCCGAGAGCTTTCTCCGGCAGCGACTCGGACCTGCCAGGCGCCTGTCGGGACGATGATGGTGACGCTGTGCTGAACTGGATAGACAACTGCGGCAGTGCCGCGAACGCGAACCAGATAGACACGGACGGCGACGGTGTGGGGGACGCCTGCGACGACGACGACGACAACGACGGCGTCCCGGACGCGCAGGACAACTGTCCGGTCATCGCCAACGCGAACCAGACCGACACCGACGGCGACGGCGTGGGCGACGTGTGCGAGGACGACGACGGCGACGGCGTGGCGAACGCGCTGGACAACTGCGTGGCGGTGGCGAACGGGAACCAGACAGACACGGACCGCGACGGTGTGGGGGACGCGTGCGACGACAGCGACGGGGACGGCGTGCTGGACGCTGACGACAATTGCCTGCTGGTGGCGAACTCAAACCAAACCGACACAGACGGCGACGGCCTCGGGGACGCGTGCGACGACGACGACGACAACGACGGCGTGCTGGACGTTGACGACAACTGCCCGCTGGTCGCGAACCCCGACCAGCTCAACTCCGACGGTGTGGGGTTCGGCAACGCGTGCGACGACGACGACGACAACGACGGCGTCCCGGACGCGCAGGACAACTGCCCGGTCATTGCCAACGCGAACCAGACCGACACCAACGGCGACGGCGTCGGCGACGCGTGCGAGGACGACGACGGCGACGGCGTGGTGAACGCGCTGGACAACTGCGTGGCGGTGGCGAACGGGAACCAGACAGACACGGACCGCGACGGGGCGGGGGACGCGTGCGACGACGACGACGACAACGACGGCGTGCTGGACGCGCAGGACAACTGTCCGCTGGTGGCGAACGCGGACCAGACCGACACAGACGGCGACGGGCGGGCGACGCGTGCGACGACGACGACGACAACGACGGCGTGCTGTACGCGGTGGACAACTGCAGGGTGGTGGCGAACGCGAACCAGACGGACAGCGATGGCGACGGGGCGGGTGATGCGTGCGACGACGACGACGATGATGACGGCGTGCTGGACGTGGACGACAACTGCCCGCTCGTACGAAATGCAGACCAGCGGGACAGCGACGGTGATGGTGTCGGGGATGCATGCGAGGACGACGACGGTGATGGTGTTGCGAACGCGCTGGACAACTGTCGCCTGGTCCCCAACGCCAACCAGACAGACCTGGACGGAGACGGCGCGGGAGACGCGTGCGATGATGATGTCGACGGCGACGGTGTGCTTGATTCCGAGGACAACTGCCCGCGCGTCCCAAATGTCAACCAGACGGACATCGACAGCGACGGTGTGGGCGATGCATGCGACGACGACAGGGACGGCGACGGCGTGCTCAACGAGGTCGACAACTGCGTGGACGTCCCCAACGGCTCCCAGGCCGACGCGGACGGCGACGGCATCGGCGACCTGTGCGAGGACGAGGACGGGGACGGTGTGTTCGACGTGGTGGACAACTGTGTGGGGGTGTTCAACCCGGGTCAGGAGAACAACGACGGGGACGCTGCCGGCGACGCGTGCGACGGCGACGACGACAACGACGACATTCTGGACGGGGATGACAACTGCCCGAAGATTGCCAACTTTGACCAGACCGACACCGACGGCGACGGAGTCGGGGACGTGTGCGAGGACGACGACGGAGATGGGGTCGAGAACGCGCTGGACAACTGCCCGGATACGCGGAACTTCAACCAGACGGACACGGACGGTGATGGTGTGGGCGACGCCTGCGACCCTGACGACGATAACGACGGCGTGCCGGACTGGATGGACAACTGCCGGCTGGTGCCGAACGCGAACCAGACGGACATCGATGACGACGATGTGGGCGATCTTTGCGACGACAGCGATGAAGACGGCGTGCTAGATGCGGTTGACAACTGTCCCTTTGACTGGAACCCGGATCAGCTTGACACCGACGGGGACGGGGCAGGGGACGCGTGCGACAGCGACGACGACGACGACGGTGTGCTCGATGCCCAGGACAACTGTCGCCTCGTTGCGAACGCGAATCAGACGGACACGGACCGCGGCGGCCTCGGTGATGCGTGCGACGACGACGATGACGGCGACGGCGTGCTCGACGTGGACGACAATTGCCTGCTGGTGGCGAACTCGAACCAAACCGACACCGACGGCGACGGCCTCGGCGACGCGTGCGACGACGACGCTGACGGTGATGGTGTGGTGAACGCGCAGGACAACTGCCCGCTGGTCGCCAACCCCGACCAGCTCAACTCTGACGGCGTGGGCTTCGGTGACGCGTGCGACGACGACGACGACAACGACGGCGTCCCGGACGCGCAGGACAACTGTCCGGTCATCGCCAACGCGAACCAGACCGACACCAACGGCGACGGCGTGGGCGACGCGTGCGAGGACGACGACGGCGACGGCGTGCTGAACGCGCTGGATAACTGCAGGCTGGTGGCGAACGTGAATCAAACCGACACCGACCGCGACGGTGCGGGGGACGCATGCGACGACGACGACGACAACGACGGCGTGCGGGACGCGCAGGACAACTGCCCGCTGGTGGCGAACGCGGACCAGATCGACACAGACGGCGACGGGGCGGGCGACGCGTGCGACGACGACGACGACTACGACGGCGTGCTCGATGCGGTGGACAACTGCAGGCTGGTGGCGAACGCGAACCAGACGGACGCCGATGGCGACGGGGCGGGCGATGACTGCAAGGACAGCGACGGGGACGGCGTGCTGGACGCGGACGACAACTGCATGCGCGTGCCGAACCGCAATCAGACGGACACCGACGGCGATGGCGTAGGCGACGCGTGCGACGACGACGACGACAACGACGGCGTGCCGGACGAGGACGACAACTGTCCGCTCGTGCCCAACCCTGACCAGTTGGACGCCGACGGTGTCGGGCCAGGAGATGCGTGTACGGACGACAAAGATGACGACGGCGTGCCTGACGTTGAAGACAACTGTCCGGGTTCCGCAAACGCCGACCAACGGGACACGGACGGCGACGGGTTCGGCGACGTGTGCGACAACGACGACGACAACGACGGTGTTGTGGACGCGGACGACAACTGCCTGCGTGTCGCAAACCCAGACCAGGTTGACACCGACGACGACGGCGTCGGCGACGCGTGCGACGACGACGACGACGACGATGGCGTACCGGACACGCAGGACAACTGCCCGCTGGTTGCGAATCGCGATCAGAGCGACGAAGACAACGACGGCGTGGGCGACGCGTGCGACAACTGCCCTCAGGTGCCGAACTCCGACCAGGCTGACACCGATGGCCGCGGATCTGGCGATGCGTGCGATAACGATGACGACAACGACGGAGTGCTTGACACGGACGACAACTGCCCCCTGGTTCCGAATCGGAATCAGACGGATACAGACGGCGACGGCATCGGGGATTTGTGCGATGATGACGGCGACAACGACGGGGTGCCTGATGCCACCGACAACTGTCCACTCATCTCCAACCCCAATCAGGCTGACAGAGACGGGGACGGCGCAGGCGATGTGTGCGACGACGACGACGACAACGACGGTGTTGCGGACACGCAAGACAACTGCCCTCGCGTGGTCAACCCCGACCAGACTGACACAGATGGCGATGGGACGGGCGACGCGTGCGAGGACGATGACGACGGCGATGGTGTGCCAGACGCGCTTGACAACTGTCCGCTCGTTTCGAACGCGGATCAGACCGACACCAACGGAGACGGCGTCGGCGACGCGTGCTCTACGCAGCCCGCACCAGTACAGATCGTGCAGCCGGCGCAAAGTCCGGCGCAAACCGCCCCTGCAGCGACGCCTGGAGGCCAGACCACGCCCGCGGCGACAACCGCCCCTCCCGCGTTCGTCTTCAGCCTGACGATGCTCGTCCAGTTCTCGGTAAGCTCGCAACTACAGCGCTATACGATTGCACGCGCGCCCCGGCGTTGTTCACGGCACATTTGTTCGCGATCCATGCGACGCGTGCAGACATGCCAACCGCACATTCCAATAACCATATTTGCAGGAACTCCTCCCACAAGACTCTCTTGGCGGTATCGAGTCTACTCTACGGAGCGTTATCAGCGTTCCCGGGGACGTCTCCATGTCGGTCTCGGTGACACTTGTCGGACTGAGACGCCGCATCCTGCAGGCTGCCACATACGAGGTCGTCGCCACCTTCGTGGCGCAGCGCGAGAGCTCTGCTGCGGCGACGCGGTCGAGTGCGTCTGCGCGCATCGCCTCGTCGCAAGCGGATTTCGCGACAGCGCTTTCGAGCAGCACGGGGCGCGTGGCTGCCGTGCAGGAGGTGTCGCTGACGGCCGTTGAGCGAGCCACGACAGCAACGTCTGGCTCGGCAGGTGGATCCACGTCGGCTAGCTCCAACGGATCGTCCGGATCGGGCGCTCTTGTGTTTGGCGGCATAGCGGGGGGGGTCGGGGGCGTTGCGCTCATTGTCGCTGCGGCAGTTGGCTACGTCATCATCAGGAGGAAGAGGCGGCGGTCCGCGGGGTCTGCACGAAGACTCTCACCGGGGGACGCGCAGTCTACCTTCTCGGACGTCTTCCAAACGCTTTGGGGACGTTCGCCGGGCCCCAGCCCTGGCCAGAATCTGCGCGTCCAAGGAACGCTGCGGGAAAATATGTGGGTCACCCTCACACGCGACGACCGCAGGGCGACGCTTCACGTCACGAGATCCGACGTGCGGCGGATCGTTGATCGAAAGGAGGTGGTTGGGTCGGGGTCATACGGCACAGTGTACAAGGGCAAGGTGCGGGGGAGGTATGTCGCGGTCAAGTGCATCAGGAACCATCAAGGACAGCCGGACCCAGGCCCATACAGGAAGGAGGTGGAGGCGCTGCAGCGCCTGCGGCATCCACACATCCTGACCATGCTCGCGTCGTTCGACGAGGAGTGCGCGATTGTCAGCCCGTTCTACGCCAAGGGCAGTCTCCGGCAGGCGCTGTACATTTCGGCGTTCGGGAACGATCCCCTGCTGTGGCGGACGAGGCTGCGCATTCTCGCGGACGTATCGAGCGCCGTGTTGAGCATGCACACAGACAGGCCTGAGGACCCGGTCATTCACAGGTGAGAGCCACAGAACGTTTGCAGCGCGCATTGCGATCAGGCTCGGCGAGTGTCTCGAGCTGATCACTCAACATGCGTCGCGCAACCTCACTGCAGGGACTTGAAGCCGGCGAACATCCTGCTCACCGACAACCTCGACGCCGTGGTTGCGGACCTGGGATGCGCGAGGATCAACGAAGGGTCAATCTTCGAGGGGCCAAAGGGCACACCGGGGTACGCGGACCCCGAGTATGTGCGCCTGGGAGCATGCAATCCGACGGACACGCACCTGGACGTGTACTCTCTGGGCGTCATCATCCTGGAGATGCTCACGAACAAGGTAAGAGCACCCGCGACGCGAGACGAGCAGGTGCATGACGCGCGCGCGGCGGCCACTACACGCGTCTCGGCAGCGCGCCCACGCCGAGGTTGTGTCAACATGGGGGGGGGGCTTTGTAGTTCCTCCGAGCGCTCATCGCATGACATTCAACAGGGTTGAGCGGTTGGGCTGAATGGCCTGAGCATCATGCTCGCACTCGAGATGCAGGGAGGGTCCGAAGAGGCTCGTGATGAGCGGGGCGCTTGGTACAAAAGGCGGCACATTCGAGATGTTGTTTCCGCGGCCATGATAGGGCAACAGTCCGCATTCGAGTTGCGCTCAGATCTATCGGAGCTGCTCGACGTTTCAGCTGGTGACTGGGGCGGGCACCAACGCGTCGAGGTCGTGACGAAGCTGGCAAAGCTCGGGCTGGAGTGCACCGACCCTCAGGCCCGCCGACGACCGAAGGTGACTGATGTCCATCGATGCCTGCGCGAGCTTCTCGACACGACCTCGCTGAGATCGTTGAGGAACACGTACATGATGTCACCGGACGAGATTTTGAGGGCGTTTGAGAACGACGCGAAGGACTTCATCTGCCCTATCTCGCTCGTCGTGCCTCAAGACCCCGTCCGCGCGAGCGACGGGCGAATCTATGAGCGGAGCGCGATCGAAAACTGGATTGCGGCTTGCTTGGACAGAGGGCACACGCTCACGTCGCCCATGACGAGGTTGGCCATGCAACGGGACCTAGTCCCACAGCCGCAGCGCCTGGAGGAGTTCAAGCGGTTCGTCGAGGGCGTCCGAAACCGCCTGGACGACGCCGGGAAGAGCCGCCTGGCGGAGATCCTCGCCGATTTCAGCCGAGGCATGTAGCTTGTGGCGCAAGGTCGTGTTTGTGAGCCTCGAATCCCTCATTGTCGTCACGCTTGCCGGCTCAGATCGCGCTGCCTGGGACCTCAATCGTGACATCAGCGCAGAGCACAGCACCTCGTCGACGCCAAAACGAGGGTACCGATTAGGAAACTGCGCCAGCTTGCTCATGATAGCACGCTTCACTCGGTGACACCTCGCCGCACGTGCGGATACTCCACTGCATCGTTGCTCTCGGCCGCCTGTTTTCTTGATCGACGCGACAACACAATTTGTCCCACTGAAAGCTCTTCACACATGAACGTCATGGAATAGCTGTAGTTTTTCCCACCTCAACCAGCGTCAAGAGCTGCCGTCTACGCCAACACACACGGTCAGCTGGTTCGCGTACTTCTTCGTTGACATGCGGTGCAGCCTCCGCAGCGTCGGGTCCGACGGCTTCCGGTACAACGCCAGGTCCATTGTTCCATGTTGTACCTCGTACTCCTCCCCGTAGAGGAGCGCCCGCAGCACGTCCTGGACCCGGATGAAAGTCCACGCGCGCAGCGACTCCTTCTGTCCCTTCGATCTGCGCTGCTTGAGATGCATCACCTCAAGCAGCACCACCGCGCCCGGCATGCTGGACAGGCTGCGCAGGGAAATGTTCAGGGCGACGGCGTGGTCAAGGCGCCACTCGCCGTCGTCGACACGTTCAGCGGCGGCCGGAGTGCGCTTCGGCGTCTTGCTAATACGACCCCCCTCCCCGTTCAGCAGGAAAATGCGCATGTAGGGTTGCTCCATGTGGTCACTGCCCGGGTCGCACGACAACGCGTCGAACTCGAGCTGCGAGAAGAGGAACAGTGCGAAGGATTTCCGCGGCTTCACGTGCTCCGTGCGGTGCGGCCCGCCGCCCAAGGTGCGGCACCGAGTCCCCGCCTTCACAGACAATGAGGAACAGTGCCGCAAACACGCAAACAACGTAAGAGCTGCAAGCACAGGCATACGCACCTTGAGCCGATCCGTGGGGCTTGCCCTCCGCCATGTCCCCGTCTCTCCGCCCGCCACCAACGCCCCCGCAAGCGACTCCAAAGACTCACCATCACTGTCGCCCGAGTCATGCGTGACCTCCGCGTCGCTGGGCTGCCGCTCGCGCCCCGCCGCCTGCGCCCCGCTGTCGCCCTCTTGCGCCCCTTGCGGGCCGCCCGACAGGATCCAGCCCACCGCCGTGTCCAGGTCTGCACCAAAGCGCTCAACGGCGCGCTCCGCGTCCAGCAACGGGAAGCCCATGTTCCGCAGCCTCGCGACCGTGTCGTCGCGAATGGATCTGTTGTCTTGCCACCCCCCACGCGCCGGATGCGCGAGCGCGGGGTGCGTTTGGGGGCCTGACTCAAGCGGAGGTGCGCCGTCAGGGACGGGCGCGTCCCACGGGTCAGGGACCACCGGCTGCGCGGGCGGCAGCCATTCAGGCGGCGCAGTCGACCGCACGGGCGCGTCGTAGCCCTGCAGGTCGCCATTCGTGCTCAACGCATTCTGTTCCCTTTGCAAAGCGGCGTCTGACCGCTCGCCTGCGCCCAGAACCGCCGCGTCTTCCACCCACGCCGTCGCATGCGTGTGCGACGCGCCCCCCTGCGCCAGCCTCTGCGGCCCGCCCGACAGGATCCAGTCCGCCGCCGCGTCCAGATTCGCGCCATGCAACTCCACCGCGTCCTCCGCGTCGAGCCGCGAGAAGCCCATGTTCTGGAGCTGCGCGACGCGCTCGTCCTCGGATATGTCCTGGCGGCTGGCGGTGCCGTTCGCCGGCGGCCTCGCGACGGGCGAGCGCTGCGAGCGTGATGGCGACGGCACGTCGAGGAATGCTGCGGGGGGCGCCGACGGCTCTAAGAACGCCCCGCCGCCTCCGTTCGTCGACAAGCCGTGCTCGTAGCTGCTCGTTGGGCACGCGTCAGGTGCAGCGCTCGGCACCTGCTGCAGGTCAAGGTTCGCCGCGCGCAGCTCAGGCGCGTGCACCGGGCCGCCGGCGTCCATCATCTCGGTCGCCCCAGACTGCTCTCGCACAACGCCTTGCCTCCCGGAGTGCGACGCGTGCGCATCGTCATCCACCCCATCCAGGTCTGACGGGGCATCCCCCATCAGATGAAGCTGCGCCTCCGCCGCCCGCAAAAGGGTCGTGGCCGCCGGTCTCTTGCTCGGGTCCTTGACGAGACAGCTGCGCAGCGCCTCCTCGAGCTGCGAACAAAACACCCCTCCCGGGATCTCCAGCGCCTCCCCCTCCAGCACCAGCTCCCTGATGTCGTGCTCGTTCTCGAACTGCCCCTCGAACGGCATGCGCCCCGTCATCATGTGGTGCGCCATCGCCGCGTACGCCCAGACGTCCGACGCCGGGCCCCTGTGCTGCTTGAGCTTGATCGTGAACTGCTCAGGCGCAGCGTACAGGTTCGTGCGGGCATTCTCTACTTTCGTGGGCAGCGACGGCAGCGACGGCTGCGCCATCGTCGCCCCGAAGCGCGCCAGCCCGAAGTCCGCCAGCACCGCCCTCCCGCTCTCGTCGACCAGCACGTTGTGCGGCTTGACATCCATATGGGCCAGGCCCATGGCGTGCATGTCGACCAGCGCCTGTGCCACGTCCACGAGCACGCGCGTCATGTCTCGCAGGTCCATCGGCCGCCCGTCCGCCTTCGCGATCAGCGACATCACCGACCCCTCGTACTGGCGCATCACCAGCAGCACGTGGCCCGCGGCAGGATCGTCGACGTAGCCGTACAGCCGGCAGACACGGTCGCTGCGCGCCAGCGCGCGGAACAACACCTCTGCCTCGCGCAGGTAGGTCTGCTTTGCCGTGTCGCCGATGTCGCGAGTCCCCAGCACTTTGACAGCGGCGGGAATAGACACGCCGGGATGTGGCGTCCACGTCCCGTGCTTGACGATCGCGCTGCCGCCGCTATACGACAAGTCATCGCCCAGCACGACCTCGGACGACGGGATTCTGGGTGCTCTGGTGCGCATCTCCACGCGCCGCTTGCGAGCGAATACGCACCCTTTCGCATCCGCGATGGCTTGCTCGACCTGCGGAGGGGAACGCGATTCCGCCCGAATGATTGTCCAAGGCAAGGTCTTGGCGGGCGCCTGATTGAGGGCGCAAGGTCAGGGCGGCGACGTTGCGTACCTGTGCTTTGTTCTCTGGGTTGCTTTGCATGAGCAAGTGCTCGCGCTGTTCGTTCATGCCAGCCAGCACACGCAGCACCATCTGCTCCATCGCCCTCTGCCACTCGCTCGCCATGCTCTGCTGCATCACTCTCTGAATCATCGGCTCCAGCCGCTCGTCCATGATGCCTTCCAATGCACCGCGCAGCTCTGAAGCCTGCACCGGACGCGCCCCGACCCCAGCGCGCTTGATCACCTGGACGACCTCGTGCACGATCGTGCCGACCATCCTCGCATGCCGCTCCTCGTCCTTCGCCCGTGCCTTCATCAAATGACGCTCCATGATGCGCTCGACCTCGTTGGGCACCGCGCTCCGAAGCTCGGCCGCCACGACCTCAAGCCGCTCGTAGCTCATGCCCCCAGACCTCGCTTGCAGCTGCGCCACCTGCCCCACCAGCACGTCCAGCTGCTGGCTGTTGTGGCACGCGGCACTCAGCAGCTGCTCCACACCGCTGATGACGCACAGCAGGTCCTTCCGCATCCGCATGACCTCGGCGCGCGTCTCCTGCGTCAGGCCGACGCCGCTCGCGGAGATCAGCTTCAGCGCGATTGACACTTGGCCTGTGGCGCCCGCCAGCTGCAGCTCCCAGCTCTTCACTGCCTTCTTGACCTTGCCCGTGCGCTCCCATTCCCGGAGCAGCGTGTGGCAGGAGTTCAGCGCTTCCTCCAGGGTCTTCAGAGCCGCTGCCAGCGAGTCGCTCTCGTGGATGCCATCGGTGCAAGCGAGGTCACCAAGGACCCTCGCAACGCCTGGGAGGTTGGCTGCGAGCGCCTTGATACCTTCGTGCTGCTCTCTGAGCGACAAGCACAGGTCGAGCGCCCCCTTCACGATGTGGAGGCAGCCGGACAGAGGCGCTGCTAGGCCACCGAGGCTCTGGGAGAGGCCGAGCACGCGGTCGAGGATTTGCCGCACGGCCTCCATGGTGCCCCGCGGGTCTCAGGGGACACGGCTCTTCGCCTGTGTGGGCGGTGGCGCCGGTCACGGACCACGGGCCTGCACAGACAGCGGCGCGAAGACGGTGGGAAGTGCGGACAGCAGGGCAGCCAGGCTGCACGGCGCGAGCGGGTAGCGTTCCCAACTCGCAGCTGATGAGATCGGGCCCCGCTGAGTTCGCGAAAGGGATGTCAATCGATGCTTACACGACGGAGCGTCGCGGTAAGTGAGAGGCAGAAAAGCAGGCTAGCCTAGCGTTGATGCTGCACAAGAAGCGTGTTCCACGTCCGATACGCCCCATACCAGCCATATGACGCCACGAAAAGGTGCGTTGACGATAGGTTGGGCGCACAGCAACCCGCAAAACCGCCTAGGGCTAGGCAAGGGCATCTGAGGCTCGCAGCGCCGTTGTAACTTGAAACCGGGCTCTCCTGGCGGTAGTGGGCGGCGATTCTCTATGTTACCCACCACCTGAGTTGGTCTAGAGGGACCGTCAACGAGAGGACCGAACGACGTCGTTGCTGGCAAGGGCAGCTCACCTGCACCCGACGCCACACGCCCGGCCCAACAGCCCGTTTACCCGCAAGCTGACGTGCACCTGGCCCAGAGCTACGCATGTCGGGAAGCATAACGGCGCAACGGAGCCCCACGGCCACGCAGTTCCGGGAGACATCCCCAGGGGCCTCGCACCTGACGTACGTGCCGCACGCACGGTGAACACCGACCCCCGCCGTCGACAGCCCCCCACCTCGCAGCCACTTGGATCCCTCACAAGAGCACGCCCAGCACACACGCATCGACACGCACGTCCACGTCGTCACACGCAACCACGCTCGGTGCGCCCCCGCCGCCCAACGCGATACACACCGCACGCCGCCCTCACGACGCCCCCTCGGTGGCCACGCCCAGGCGCACCGTGAGCCGGTTCGGGTACTTCTTGGTCGGCATGGGCTTGAGCTTGCGCAGCGTCGGGTCCGACGGCTTCAGGAAGAGCTTCAGGTTGAGCGCGCCCTGCCGGATCTGCACGCCCTCGCCGCTCGGCAGCGGGCGCACGACGTCCTGGATGCGGATGGCCGCCCACGCGCGCACCGACTCCTTGGAGGTGCGCTGCTTGAACTGCATCACCTCCAGCAGCACCACCGCGCCCATCGGCATCTCCGCGAACCGCCGCCGCAGCGGCTGCATCTGGTTCAGCCGCCACACCGCGTCCTGGATCGGCTGCGGCGCCGGGCGCGTGCGGTCGGGCATCTCGATGTTGTTGCCTTGCGTGTCCACGAGCGAGATGCGGATGTACGGGTGCTCCATGTGCTCCCGGCCCGGGTCGCACGACAGCTGCTCCAGCGTGAGCTGCGGGGATGGAAGACCGGGGAAGCACGAGTGTCAGCGATTCGCAAATCGTCGTACCAAGCTACGCGGGCGCGGAGCAGCGACAACGACATACGCGAACGCGCGGCGCAGCGGGCTCGTGCCGTGCGTGCCGCGCGTGCTGGCTACGAGCCTGTGCGTGTGTGTGGCGATCGAGGAATCAGCAATTTGGGGTGCGCACCATCAGGCGGTCGGTCAACGTCGCCTCCGACCACTGCCCCGGCGCGCCCGCCGGCACGGGCCGCCCCATCGACGCGGACCGGAACGACATGTACGACTGCTGGCTGTGGTCCGACCCCGTGTCGCTCGGGCGCCGCTCGCGGCCCATCGACTGCGTGCGCGACGCGCCCCTCGCCCCGCCCTGCGCCTCCTGCGCCAGCTTCTGCGGCCCGCCCGACAGGATCCAGTCCGCCGCCGCGTCCAGGTTCGCGCCGTACCGCTCCACCGCGTGCTCCGCGTCCAGCAGCGAGAAGCCCATGTTCTGCAGCTGCGCCACGCGCTCGTCCTCGGACGTGTCCTCCTTGCCGCCGCCGGTGCCGTTAGCCGGCTGCTTCGCGGCCGCGGCCTGCTGCCGCATCGCCGCGGTGGCGGGGGACTGCTGGAAGCTCGACTCCGTGGTGTGCGCGCCGTCGGGCACGGGCGCGTCCCAGGGGTCGGGGATGAGCGGCTGCGCGGGCGGCGGCGACGCCACGTCGCCGGGCGTCTCCGTCGCCGCGGGCGCCGCCGGCGCGGGCGCCTGCGACGCCGGCAGCTCCGCGCCCATGATCCACGCCGCCTGCGTCTGCGACAGCGACGCGGGGGGGGGAGTCCCGACCTTCATCGCCTTCATGAGGCCCATGAAGAGGCAGAAGCCCTCCAGGTCCAGCGACGACGCCGCGCCGCGGTTCGACAGCTGCCACACGCGCGAGAACTGGTCCATCGGCAGCGCGGCGCGCTGGAAGAGCACCTGCCCCTCGGAGAGCGTCACGCCGCCGCGGCGCTCGTAGGACTTGTGGAAGGCGCGCTCGCACTTCTCGCGCTCCGCGGCCTTGAGCCGGTGCAGGCCCTCGCACCCGGGCGGCGCCTGCGGGGCCGCGGGCGCCTGCGGCTGCGACGACTGCGGCGTCGGGGGCTGCGTGTTGCCGAACGCGTCGTCCCAGCCGTCGAGCGTGGTCCCGAGCGACGCCGTCTGCACGTGCACGGGCTCCGACGGCGCCGGCGGCTGCGACCCGAACGCGTCCCCGCCGAACGCGTCGTTCCCGAACGCCGCGCCCAGGTCGTCCGCCTGGGCCGTCGGGCCGTTGTCCGTGTCCTTCGGAACAGTGGACGAGAAGGCCGGGGACCCGAACGGCTCCTTGGACGCGCCGGGGTCGCCGAAGGGGTCCGCGGAGCCCCCCGCGGGCGCGCCGAAGGCGCTGCTGGTCCAGTCGGGCACCGCGTTCGCGGCCGCGGCGGCCGCCGTCGAGCCCTTCGCGAGCGCGGTCTGGGCGTTCTCGAGCTCGGCCTTCGCGGCGGCCGCCCGGGCCTCGGACGCGTCGGCCTGCGCGTTCATGTCACGCGTCTCCGCCTCGAGCTCGGCGGCCTGCTGCTTCACCGACTCGACCTGGGCCTGCAGGGAGTCGGCTTCCTGCTTGGCGCGCTGCAGACGAGAGCGGGCCTCGTACTGCTCCATCGAGGCCGCCTCGAGGGCGCGCTCGGCGGCCTCGCGCTCCCTGCCGAGCTGGTCCAGCCGCTGGCCCTGCTCGTCCGTCTGGGCCTTCAGGGCGCTGATTTCCGCCTGGAGCGCCGCGACCTGCTTGTTGATCTCCTGCGGAGCGAGGACGCGGGTCGCGGGGTCGCGGAATCCCGGTGGCGCGCGGCGGTGGACAAGATGGTGGGCGCACGTTGCCTCCTCGCGCGCGGGCGCGGGCGACCCGGAAACCGCGCTCGCGGCGCGCGGAGCACATGTCTGGGCACGGATCGCGCGCCCGGCAAGGTCGGCCGGCAGTTATACTCCCGGGCGGAGAGGGCAGGGCGCGGCGGGGATGCGGCGTGTGCCGGGAGCGTGCCGTGCTCGCGGCGCGCCGTGCGGCCGCGAAGTGCTCACCTGGACGCGCCCCTCCTCTGCCTGCACCTGAGGACGCAGCTGGGTGTCCAAGGTGTCCTGCAGCGACGCCTTCTCCGCCTGGAGCTGCTCCACAGAAGGTCCCGAGACTTGCGACGTCAGACCGGACGCAGCTGACGTGGCAGCCGCCCTGGACGCCGCTCCCGGCATCAGGTCCTCGAAGCCAGCGCTCGCGGACGCGCCGGTGTCCTTCGGGGCCGCCGGGATGTTCGTGGGCGAGGCCTGAGGGGACGATGCGTTGGCAGCTGTGGGGCTCCCGGGCGCTACGGCCGGGCGCTGGGTCTGCGAATTCGCACAGGGGTGGGAGCAGCGATATGTCACGCCGTGCGGGGGAGAACGCGCGGTGCCGCGCCTCGATCAGGACGGCGCGCATGCGCTCCCAGCAGCCTCCTGCAGCCCCCGTCAAGCGCCTGCGGGGCTGCCAGCACGGCGTGGCGCGCAACGAGCCGACGCAATACAGCGCGATCTCGCCGGGGCCGAGGAAACGGCCACTTCTCGCGCGCTGTGGCCGCGCGTGGCGCCGGGCCCGTGCCGGCGAGGCAAGGGGCGCACCGGGAGCGCAGGCGCGGACTGGCGCATCTGGTTGAAGCCCGGGAGCGAGGCCTGCGGTCCCTGGGCGCGCAGGAGCAGCGTCATCTCGAGGCTCTCCTTGAAGTCCTCGAGCGAGGAGATGGCCTTCATGGTCCCTCGGGTCGCTGCTCGCCAAATCTGGGAGAGCTGGTGGTTGGGCAGCCCCGATGCGCTGTAGAACTCCTTCGCGTCCTGCACACCGTTCCAGCGACGCGCGCGCCCCGTCGCCTCGCACTCTGGCAGACCCGCTACCGCGTGCGAGAGCAGAGGGGCGGCGGGCTCCGCCAGAGACGCTCTCCGGCGAGTGCGGGCCCGGTAGGCGCTCCGGGGGCGGTCCGGCGGCGCCGCGGCGCGGGATCGTAACTGGAGAGTCGGTGCGGGGCCCCGGGCGGCGGGGGCGGGGTGCGCGTCGGACGCGGGAGGGCTGCACTCACCTTGGGGTTGATGCGGCCGTCGCCGTCGACATCGGCGATCTTGAAGGAAGCCTCGAGCTTCTCCGGGGTGTTGATAGCATCCCGGACGCTGTCCTCGCTCCAGTCGAAGGACGCCATGCTGGCAGAGGCGCCGGTGGGAGCGCTGCCTGGGGTCGAGGCGACCTCTCGGCGCGTCTAGTCGCGCCTGGGCCGCAGGCCGGACACGCGGGTGCAGGGCGACGACCGTCTTTCGCCTCCTCGCCAACTGGCCGCGCAGCCCGCGGACGCGGCCCCTAGAGACGGCCCGCGGTGGAGTGGAGGACCCAACTCAGTACCCTACTCGGCGGAGGAGGCGGGGGTCAAGCAGGCGGCGGGGCGGAAATCCAAAATCTCATCAAACCATCCCGTCGCGCCGAGCCCGCGCCATATATCTGCTCGAGGCTGCACGTTCCACGCACACACCTCGGGTGCAATCGGTGTCCGCACCGCGGCGGCCGGACGGACGGGCGCTCCGACGGAATGAACGCACGCAGCGCGCGCACGCGGCCCGCCACGACGTCCGCCTCCAGGCTCCGCCGCGTTGCGCCACAGGTGTCTTCCCCAACACAACATCCCAAACATTGCTCACCCAATGCAGCCTCAAGCGAACGGGCGGCCGTCCCGCGGGCCTCGCAGCAGGTCCGTCGCAGCCTGCGGCTCGGCCCGGAGCGCGCCGCGTGCGTCCGGTCGGTTCATCGGCCCCCGCACCCCGGAAAATGCCAATGATGTGTTCAGATGACTCCAGCGGCGCTGTCAGGCCCCGTGGCGGCCGGATGCGCGCGCGTCGGCCACGGACGACGCGGGGTGCGTCCGTCGACCGCTGCGCCGGCACGTGAGCGCTCGTGCGGGGCGTCGGTGGCAGCATTATGAGGCAGAGATACATCACACAGCGGCGCCCGGCTGGAGCGGCCGGCGCTCAGCCCTCGACGACGAGGACGGTCTCGCCCTTCTCGAGCATGCGGATGTCGCGCTCGATCTCCGACAGCTCCTTCTCGTACTGCTCCTTGCGGCGTCGCTTGGCGGGGGTGTCGAGCGTGAACGTCATCTTCTGGTACGCCGTGTTCACCTGCGTCGCAAGGAGTCGGCGCGGATCGATGTGGGCGTTGCGCGGACGATCTGGCGGGCGCCCTCGCGCCGGAACGCACACGTGCGGCCCGGGGAAGCCCTGCGTGGCTGTGCAAGCGGGCAGCGTGGCGGCCCCCGGGCGTCCCGCGGAGCCTGGTGCGGCGCGGACGACGGACCTGCGCCCACTTGATCTTGAGGTGGCGGAGGAGCTTCCCGCGCTCGTCTGGCTCGAGCTCCTGGACCACTCCAGCGTCCGCAAGCTGTTGCGCCTCCTGCGGGAGCGGGCGCGGGGGGGGAGACGGCCGCCGCTGTGAGATTCAGCCGTGATACCATGTGGTGCACGGCGGGAGCGCTCCCAGGCGGTCGCAGGGGCGCCGGGCAGGCGGCCACAGCGCTTGCAACAAAGACATGTTGCGAGCACTCGTTTGGCGACGCGGGGGGCCTGGCGGGCCGTGTGCGGGCAACATTGATTTCAGCGGGTGCTTTGACGGGCACAGGAGGCCCTGGGCGGGCGGTTCGCGCGGCGGGCGGCCGGGGGAGGCCGCGGGCGGGCGGAGGCATGTTGGGCGGTGCTTGGTTGGAAAGCGGGGCGTGGGGGGGGCGTGGGGCGGCGTGGGAGGGGCGGAGCGCGCCTGTAGCTTCTTGTACTCCTCCGCGGCCCTCTTCTCGGTTTCGAGCTTGGCCTTGTTCTTCGTGAGGTAGCTCGGGACCTTGCCGAAGTCCGGCTTGGTCGTCCAGTTGAGGTCTCCGGTGCCGTGCTTCTTCGGCTGCGCGAGGATGACCTCGACGGCGTTTGCCGTGACGTAGTTCTTTTGCGACACGAGCGACATGATCGGCTTGTCCTTGCGCGACGGGACGGGAGGCTTGTTGCGCGACTTCGTCTTCGACGGCGCCGTCGGCTCCGGAAGCACCGGCTCGCCCGTGTGGCTCTTCAAGAATTGTTTCGGGTTCGGCCTCACGGCCTCGGGCGGGGGCCCAAACGTCGCCCCGGCCTTGGGCTCGGTCCCCATGTGCAGCGTGCCATTCGCGCCCTGCCGCGGGTTCCCGGGGAACTTGCTCTTGTGCCGCGGCGGCCTAACCACCTTCTCCTGCGGCCGCGGAATCAACGCGTAGATCGACTCCGCCTCCATCACCGCCATCGCCGCTCCACGGCACGCACCACCCCCGCGACTGAATCTGCTCGCGCGCCCTGCGCCGAATACGCTCCGAACACGCTCCGTACGCGTCACCCACGCAACGAACCAGCGCCAGCGCACACTCTCTCTGCGCAACGCGGCCTCGTCGCGCGCACATGAGCTCCCAACGGCGCCACACCCCGCACACGCCCCCCTACGTCAGCGGCGACTCGCGCCCGACACGGGCCTGGCCCGCCGCGCGGCCCCGCGTCGCGCTGCTCGAGTGCGCGCCAGCTGGCCGCCGCGGACGCGCGGGCAGCCCAGCGAGGGTGCCTCTCCGAGCAGAACCTTGCGAAACACATGGTCGGCGCGTGACGGGCTGCAGAGGGCTCCCGACCCCTCCCGCCGCCATGGGCGACTGGATCGCGTCCGCGCCGACATCAGGAAACACAAAGAGCAAGCACCACTTGGCACAAATCGGAGGAATGCGTCTCACATATGTTTAGAAGCCCTCAATCGCACGAGGCCGGTGGCAGTACATTCCGCCCCGCTCAATGTTGCAGATCTCTCCCACGGCCGTCCGCTGCGGTGCCGCGACCGCTGGACGCCCCGCTCAGTCCACCTCGACCGCCGACGCGGTGTCGTACAGCACGCGCGCGTGTGCAATCGCGAGCCGCGGGGGCGCCAGGCTGCCGCGCTCCGTCGGTCGCAGTGCCGCCTGGACGACCGCCACGCTCCCCGCTCGCGACCCCACCGCCACCTCCACCGCCTGCGCGACCGCCGGCGCCCACGCGGCCCCGCGCACAGGCGTTACGGTGCAGTGCAGCTTGTGCTGCGAGTCCCCGCCGGCGTCGCCCCGGGGAGCGTCGCCCGGCGCGTCCTCGAGGACCTCGATCGTCCACGCGAACGTATACGGCTCGCCCTTGCGGCCCCGTTCGGCAGCGCTCAACAAAGAAACTAGGAGCTTGGGCAGCCTGCCTTGGCCGCTGGGCCGCCCGTCCGTGCCCGTGACGCCCGGCGCGCCCAGATCTGCGACGTTGTAGCGCAGGTCGAAGGCGTACTCGAACGACGAGCCCGCCGCCCTGGCTGCCGACGCCCCCGCGTCCTGCAACACACCCCCACGCAGCTGACGCGACACCAGCGCGGCAACGCGGGGCGCGAGGTCGCCGTCCACGGGACGCGCGCCGTGGAATGTGAAACCACGCGCCGCCGGCTCGCTCGACGCCACCGCGTCGTCCCCGTGCGCAGCCTCCGCGATGCCACTCTCGACGGCGCATGCGTGCGTGACCGCAAGCGTGCAGGCCCACGTGCCGTCCCCGCGAGCTCCAGCGACGGCGCCGTTGGCCTGGCCGTCAACAGGCCGGACCTCGTAGCACGCGCAGAGCGTTCCGCCGTGCGCCAACACCAGGGGGGGGTCCTCGCTGCTCAGTCCGACTGTTTCCACCGCCTCGACGCCTGGCGGGCACCGGAGCGCGATCCGCGACACCGCGACGTCCCACAGCGCGAGGGACTGCAGCCGCACGGTGACCAGGGCGGCCAGCCGTCCCGGATGCGCCCCCGGCGCGATGGCCTTCACTTGGACATCGAATGGGTCCGAAACCGGCACTTCCAGCGCCGCCATGAGGCCCTGCGCGACGCCGTTGGCGTCGTGCCGCACGGATACGGGCAGGACGGCGGTCCCGGGCGGCGCCGCCGCGAGTGGCGCCCCGCCGTGCGTGGTCGGACGCAACGTCGGCGCCGCATGAGTCAGCCGGCCGCTGACGCGCGTGCCCCGCACGGAGGACCGCGCGCGGGCGACCGGCGTCGGCGGCTGGGTGTCGGCGACCTGCGAGCCCCCGAGGAACCGCGCGCGAATCGAGCCGCCGTGCTGCAGTGCCGCGTCGTCGAGCACGCCTGGTGCCGAGACCTCGACTTTCCGCGGGGCCCTGCGGGGGAACGCAGGGGCGCGCACTCGGACCCAGAAGACGACGGCGCCCTCTGCATCGCCGTCCTGGCGCACGTCGCCGCCCTTTCCGATGGTCACGTGGACGTTCGATCCGGTCGCGAGGTCAGTCCCGTGCGCCTGGGCCGCGCCGCTGCCGGCGGCGGCGTCGACGGTCAGGTGCCCGGCTCTGCTGCTCGCGCTGTGCCAGAGACCGCTAGCGGACGTGACCGGCGCCTCGTGGGGCAGCCGCAGCTGCGCGCGGCAGAGGCGGCTTGCCCCGGGGGTGCGGCCCGCGGGCGCGACGGCCACGCCGATCACCTGGTCTGCACCAGCGATGAGGCCCGCAGGGCCGGTCACGACGGACGTCAGCAGGCTGGGCTGCGAGTGCGCCACGCGGAGGACGACCATGACCCCCCCGGGGGGGGACTTTTCGTCCGCGCCCGCCGCGCCATCGCCAGGTAGCACCGGCACGGGCCCCCAGACCTGCGCGGCATCGTTAGAGACCATCTGGCCCGCCGCCTGCGGCGCTCGCGAGGCCGCAGCTGCGACGGAGCACCGACTGTGCGGCAGGACCCCAAACACCCCCCCCAGCGTGAAGGTGCCCGCGAACCGCGCCGGCCCGACGAACTCGAGCTCGGACACCCCCTGCTGCAGCCGCAGCTCCGCTCCCTCGCATGCTCGCCAGTCATCGTCCCCCGGCGCGCCGCCAGCCTTGCTGCGACTGCGCACGCGCGACAGCGACAGCTCGAGCTCCTGCCCTGCGTCCGGACTGTCGTCCGACTGGCTGCGGAAGCACTCCGTCAGGTACAGCCGGACGCGAGAGAGCGCGAGCTCCCCGGGCAGCCCCCAGTGCGCAACCACCACCACGCGGGCCAGGTGGCCCACGCAGGCCGCTGCGGCGCCCCCAGCGGCCGGCATGGGCTGCCCGCGCGCCGAGAATACCCTGCTGAAGGATCCCGGTGCCGCGCCGACGAGCAGCGGGCCGGTGAGGTCCAAGCAGGGACCCCCCCGGGGGACGTTGTCAAGACTCGTGCTGGCGAGCGCTTGCACGCCCCGCAGCAGCATCGCCTTGTCCGACGCGCTCACGCCATCCGATCCGTTCCTGCACGACGACGTGCACAGCGTCGCAGAGTTTCGCACGGGCAAGAAGGCAACATAGAATACTAGGAACAGTGTGTGCCACAGACACAGAAACATATCTCGTAGTCCGGCTTCAACGCCGCCCTGAACGCCCTGGAACGTACCTTCTCCCCCCCACCAGCGACCACGCCGCCAGCGGTATGCACCGCAGCAGCCCCCGGCACCACACCACCAAACACTCCCCCCCCAGCTTGTGCAGCAACCCCGACCCCTCCAACGCCTGCCCGACCGTCCTCGCAGCCCCCAGCCCCACCATCTGCCACCCGCACCGCGCCGCCACGCCTGCGGCCGCGTCAAGGTGCCGCACCGCCGCAACCGCCGCCTCAACGTCAACATCCCCAACACCCCCCCCTGACGTGGCAAGCAGCGCGAGGATGGCCGCGCAGTCCGTCTGGAGCCCGGCCGCGAGCCGCTGGCGCCCCGCGAGCGCGTAGAAGCACGCCGCGCTCGACGACAGCGCCAGCATCAGCCGCAGCGCGTACGTGCGCGTCTCCAGGCAGGGCCGCAGCACCGACGCGGACACCCAGCTCGCGGCCTGGTCCCTGAGGAGGTCTTTCGAGATCCCCAGCGGCCTGTGCACCATGCTCGCTTGCCGTGCCAGCTTGCCGCGACCGGAGCCCGCGTCCACCTTGCCAGCACCCCGGCCGCCCGCATCGCCCCCCACCACAGCCGTCGGAAGCGCGACGACGGAGCTGCTGCGCCGCTTGCGGTGCGTGGGGCGTCCGAACACGCCAGGTGGCGGCTCGGGGACGATCGGCGACGCCGCTGCGAGGGGGAGCTCCCGCGACGCGACGTTGCCGACTGCGGTGCAGAAGCGCACGATGGCGGCGCGCGCCGACACGAGCAGCTCCGCTTTGCTGAGCCACCGCTGCTGCATCTGCGCGACGTCGGCTCCGTCGCGGTCTCCCCCGGGTTCCCTCGCCGAGCCGCGCCGTCCCGCCCCCTTGGCCCCCTGCATGTGTCGTAGCTCTACAACGAGGCCGTAAAACGCCGCCGCTGGACCCTCCGGGTCGAATTTCGCGCAGGTCAGAGCCAGGTCGATCATGTCCGCGTCGACCGCGCCCTTCCTCGCTCCCGCGGGGGACTTTTCGTCCGCCGCAGGGCGAGTCCCCTCGGGGAGCAGCGTGGCGACTTGCAGGCACGCGGTGGCCAGCCAGCAGTCCGACAGAAGCGGGCGCACGCGGCCCTCGGCCTCCGCGGCCATCAGCCGGCCCGCGATCTGCCCGACGGACTCCACGGCGCCCGCCCACGCGTCATCGTCGCGCCCCAGCGCCCGCAGCAGCAGCACCCGCCTCGCGCACGCGTACTGCCGGAACGCCAGCTCCTTCGCAGCGCCCGTCGCAGTGTACCGGTGCAGGAACGGCGCAGGGTCCAGCAGCTGCGCGCAGTCGTCGCCCTGCTTGTCTCCACCCAAATCGAACACCGCGCCCTCCGAAGCGCTCCCGCCGCCCTCGTCGTCGCTGTCGACCCTCGCCAACCGCGTGGGCGACGTCAGCTCCGTGTACAGCACCTCCAGCTCGATGTACTCCCTCAGCGCCTCCCGCATCAGTCCCGTGCTCTGTAACATTTGCCCCAGGTTGTCCTTGGCCTGTAGCAGCGCGCCGACGTCCGCGCCCTCGCTGCGCCGCCGCAGCGTGAGGACCCGCACGTCGGCTTGCAGCGTGGCCAGCCGCGACCCCACCGCCTGGCGCAGCGCCGCGGAGAGCGCCTCCGAGAGGTCCGGGAGCGCCGCCGCCAGCGCCTCGCGCGTCGCGTCGACCGCCTGGCCCGCGCTGGCCGCGGACGCCGCGGGCGCGGCGTCGAGCCGGCACACGACGTGCCGCTTGCGCGTCCCGAAGTCGTCCGTGAGCTTGTCGACGATGCGGCGCACCACGCGCTGCAGGGGATCCTGATTCAGGGGGGGAGTGAAGGCCACGACGGTCTCCGCGTCGCAGCCGGAGCGGGCCGCTGCGTCGATGCGTTCGCGGAGCAGCGGCTTGAGGCGGCTGCGGTACTCCTCGACCGTCGCGCAGGACGCGATTACCAACTGAACAAAGGGGCGCTCGTCCCACGCGGCGATTGCGCGGGACGGGTGCGCGGCGAGCCGGGCCCAGGTGGAGATGCTCTGGCCGGAATCGAGGTACTCGAGCGGGAGGGTGTCTGCGACGGACGCGTGGTCGCTGGCGGAGCCGAGAGTGTCGCCGGGCAGGGCGATGCGGCCCAGGTTGAGCACTGGGAGGGAGATTTGCAGCGCCTGGCTGGCCGCCTCCCATGCTGGTCCGGCATAGTTCTCTGCGGGGCGTTCAGGGGCGCGCGGGAGGGCTCAGGGGGGACGAGGACGGACTGTGATGGCGGCGCTTGGCCGGGTGTGCGTATCTCGTGGCCGAACGGCGCCCGTCTCTGGGACGCGTATGCCTCATCAAGCGAGAGCGTCGAGCTGTCCATGCAATGGGCGTCGTGAGACAGGAAGTCCATGCGCTGACCACGCACGGCGCTTGAAGGCCGCGTGGAGTGCACGCGTCGTACCTACTGCTATACGGAACCGGCCCGAGCGCGCATCCGACCACGGACCCTGCGCTATGTACTGGTCGCGCGGCGCCATATCCGCTGGGTCACGGCCCCATGGTTACGCAAGGACACCGCGCAATTATGTGCCTGCACCCGGGCCTCGCGAGCGGCCCCCAGGGACCGTCGCCCGCTGTTTGCCTCAACACCGGGCACTGTCCTACTTCGGGCAACTGCTCAGCAGCGCAGATGCGCGCGGTGTTCTCGTGAGACCACGAAGCAGCGGATTTTCTAGCTTCAATCACTTGACTTCGTGTGTATGTGTCGCACCGACCCTCAGCCCGCGTCAAGGCCGATCGCTGGGAGTGCATCTGCGCTGCGCTGACCGGGAGCTTTGGAGCGTGCCGCCTGACGTCGCATGCGAAACAACCACCCTCTGACAGTCGCAAGGTAGGAGCCCCCGGGATCTCCGCGAACACGAACTTTCCTCCGTTCACTGCCGCCGCCTGTCGCTGCCTGCACGTTCTTCATCACGTTTTCAATGGCAGAAATCATATTTGATCATCGCGTACGGAGCTGCAGGTGGTGAAATCATCCCCGCAGCAACCGACCCGCGCGCCATGGCCAGCCTGGTCCATGGCCCGCGCTGCAGCCTCCTGCGGTCCGCTTGCAGCGCTCGCTGGTTCGCCGCGCGGTATCGATCGGCTGGAGCCAGGGCAGCACCGCGCCACCCCGACCGTCCCCCGCGCACCCCAGCAGCCTCCCGGGTCGACCCCGACACAGGAGGGGTCCTGGAAGAGCGCGTTCCGGCGACGAGCATGCCAGTCAGACTCGACGCGTGGATCGCGGACCAGGTTCCGGACCTGAGCAGGCACGTGCGGGGCGCTATCCGTCCTGGCAGCACTGCACACGAGCCTGCAAGTCTTGTCCCGCGACGTCACATCGTGACTCGCGCCTCTCATTGATACATGAACCATGTGTGTCTCACAGGGAGCGCGTGAAGGACTCAATCAGGGCTGGCAAGGTCTGGGTCGACGGAAAGACAGCGACAAAGCCCTCTGCCAAAGTCAAGCCCGGGGCTCTGGTCCGGTGCGAGGTGGCCCCGCCACCGCCCGTCGAGGCGCTGCCGGAGGACATCCCGCTGGACGTGCTGTACGAGGACGACAGCGTCATCGTGGTCGACAAGCCAGCAGGCATGGTGACGCACCCAGCGCCCGGGAACTACTCGGGGACGCTCGTGAACGCCCTGCTGCACCACCTGGGCCTCGGCGGCGTGCGCGTGGAGGGCGGGGGGCGCGTGGAGCGCGTCGACGGGGGCCGCGACGTCGAGTCTGACGACGACGACGACGGTTGCATCCCCGGGGGACTTGAGGGCGCCGAGGAGGGTCCCGGGGGGGAGTGGGTGATCCGGCCGGGGATCGTGCACCGGCTGGACAAGGGCACGACCGGCGCGATGGTCGTCGCGAAGAACGCGGGAGCGAAGGTGCGCGGACGCGCCACAAACACACACGCACCTCGAATGTTCTACTCATGCACGTATTCTGGACCTGTTTCGGCGGCCTCGTGTCTGACGCTGCGGCACCGGGCGTCGTGCGGCGTGCAGAGGGCCTTGTCGGACCAGTTCCGCGACCGCACAGTGGACCGGAGCTACCTGAGCGTCACGTGCGGCGTGCCGTCACCCATGGAAGGCCGCATCACGACGAACGTGGGCAGGAGCCCGCACGACCGCCTCAAGATGACGACGTTCCCCCAGCACAGCGCCAAGTAAGCGTCGCGACCCCGTCCATCGCACGAGCCCCTCAGCGATGCCTTCTTTGTCAGGAGGGTCCTTGTCCTGCACATGTTGAGCGCCTGGAGCTGTTGCTTTCGGCGACGGCGTGGTGGCTCGTGGTGAAGCCGAACGTCGGCTGTAGCCGCCCGTGTGTCCTGTCCTGGTCTGCTTGCGGTGTGCCTGCGCCTGAGAGCGTCGCTCCGAGGGATTTAGCGACACCGACAACGTTGCGGACGGCGCCGCATCGTTGTAGGTGTCGCTGAAACTCGGGCGCCGGCACACCGCAAGCAGACCAGGACAGGACACCACATGCCACGCGGGGCACCGCCGACGGTCGCACCGCCGAGCTTCACCACGGGCCACCGCGCTGCCGCCGAGAGCGACATGCTCGAGGCCTTGGAGAGCGAAATGTGCGGGGCTGCAGGCAGGGGACTCTCCTGACACTGATCACGCAGCCACCGTCCACATGTCCCTGGAACAAGAAACCTGTCTCGTGCGATTGCAGAGGCAAGCATGCGTCTAGTAGGTACCGCGTTCTCGAGGAGCTCGCCGGCGGCGCTGCGGCCGTCGTGGAGTGGAGGCTCGACACGGGGCGCACGCATCAGATCCGGGTGCACGCGCAACACATTGGACACCCCCTCGTGGCGGACACGACCTACGGCGGCACGTGCGGCGCAGCGCTGCAGCGGTTCGAGGGATCGCAGGGCCAGAAACGGGAGCTGGAGCGGGAACTCGGCGAGTTCGGGCGCCCCTGCTTGCATGCGCGAACGCTGGGGTTCACCCACCCGGTGTCGGGCGAGCGGCTGGGGTTCGAGTCGCCGGTGCCGCCTGACATGATACGACTGCTAGAGGCTCTGCGCAGCAATGCGCCGTAGCCCCCGCCTAGCCGCGCTCACCATCAACCACATGGAAAGTAATTCGATGATACAAAGTGTTAATTGACCACCCGATGATACAAGTTCAAGCCAAATGAATGCTCACACGCGCGTTCCACGCGCGCGGCACTGACGCCGCGCGCGACTCTACTGTCGGCGCCGATTATCGAGCGCCCTGCTGGCGCCTCGCATCGCCGCCTCCGCTGCTTGCAGTCCCGCAACGATGCCCCGCCCCGCCGCGGCTGGCAGCCCACGCGCCGCGGCTGCAGCCGCAGATGCGATGCCTTCTCCCTGCCGATACCTCCGCACCGGCTCGCCGACCACCGCCCGCGCGGCCGCGTCCAGCCCCTCCGCCAACCTCTCTGACGCCTCCCGCATGGCCTGAGACACCCCCCCCTGCTCTCCGAGCCGCGGCCCGGACCTGTGCCCGCGGTTCCCAGGCGCTACGAGCGTCACCACGCCGTGCGCGATGCTGGCCCCGGCCCCGAGCGCCTCGGAAGCGACGCACCGCACGAAATCAGCGCCGGCCTCCCGCAGGCGCCGCGCCGCGCGGGTGCGGGCGGCGCGGCCGCCCGGAGGGTCCCCGGACGCGTCGTCGCCACGGAGCTCGCGGAGGGGCCGCGTGACGACGCGCGTGGCGGCGGTGCCGAGCCGCCAGAGCGGCCGCATGGGGGGGAGTCCTGCGACGAACACGTGGGCCTGCCGCGTGCCGATGTCGCGGAGCCACGCGGCGCCCGCCTCCATGGCTGCGGCGCTCACGTCCTCGGCACCGATGACGGTCGCGTCACGGAGGGTCAGCTGCAGGTGGCAACAAAACGTCAAACGTTAGAATTGTTCTGTTGTTTCTGTTCTCGACACGTAGTCACTGCTTGCCGCCGAGCAATCCCAATGGCCTTATTCGGTCAAGTAGGATAGGAGAGACTGAAGCCGGCATTTTGCGGTCGGTGGTCACGCTGGTGGGGTGTCTAATTTACCTTGACTCCTTTGAGAGGAATGACGTTTAGGAACTCCGCGACGTTGCCCTGAATCAGCCCCGCGGGATCGACGGCGCGGACCGGCCGGTAGCTCACGAGCGCCGTCGTGCGCTCCGCGTGGAGCCGCGTCGGGCACCACGCCGACACACCCCCCTGCGCCGGCAAAGCAGACTCCTCCCCTGCTGACTCAGGGTCGCCGCCGCCGCCAGCCTTGGGCCGCACGGCCTCCGCTGCGCGCGCCAGGAAGCAGACGAGGCCCTGGTCGACGGACACGCGGATCGGCTGCAGGGCCACGTGCACAGTGCCGCCTACAGATCCCGGCGGCCCATGCGCCATCGCCACGTGGACGATCGGCGGGGCGTTGTCCGGCAACTGATCCCCCTGCGCGAGCCTCCCGACCGCCATGTGCCACAGCGATGACGTGGGATGCAGCAGGTCGCGCACGGCGACCTCCTGGGCCGCGATGCAGGCCCGGAACAGCCTGTCCGAGGGCGTGCCTCCGGGGTCCTCAGCGCCGTCCCCGCCGAGCTTCAGGGGCGCCGAGAGCGTCGCGAGCGTGAAGCCCTGCACGGAGACGAGCACGTCGCGGGCGTCGTCGAGCACCGCGGGCGCCTGCTCGCCGTCGTCCAGCACCCACTCGTCCCCGGATGCCTGCGCGGCAACAAACCCACAAAAGTGGCGCTTCGTTAACCTCGCCACGGATCCTGGCACCGACGCTCATTGAGCGAGGTCGCCGCCCCCCTTGACGTCAAGAATTATCCTTGACGTATTATTCACAACCTGTATAGTACAAAACCTTCCCTTCGTGCACGCAGCTGATCCCCAGTGCCTCCGCATAAACAGCAACGCGCAAGCAGCACCACTCGAGTCGCAGCGCCTCTCCGGCACGAGAATATGCAGTGCGGCGCAAAGCAAATCAGTCAGACAGCGGCACACGCAGCATGCAGCGCACCTCGCCCCCAGCGCTGTCCCTGGAGTCCTCCCGCGCCCCCGTCAGCGTCCACTCGAGGTCCCACGGCCCCACGCCCACCTCCACCGTGTGCCCCGCCTCCTCGTCCGGCAACGGCGCTCGCTTGAAGCACTCCCGGCACACCTGACCAAAATCCCCCACGGTAGGCCCCCGCGCGCGCCTCGCCGGCTCCTGCGCCGCCCCCCGCCGCGGCGTCAAGTAACCAGGGTCGATCGGCCGCTCCGCGCCGTCTCCTCCCGCAACGTCTGACCCCCGGCCCTGTAACTCCCCCCCGCCCACACGTGCCGTCGTCATCCACCGCCCCTGTTCGTCCGGGCCGGCCAGCGCCTGCACAAGCTCGTCCTCGACGTACCCCGACCTCGACGCCCCGCACGCGGCCTCGTGGAGGTAGTCCTCGATCACCAGGAGCCCCTTCATGCCCCTCTGAGACTGCTGCTCCTCCAGCGACAAGCGGCTGCGGTCACTGCCCCTGCGGTCGGGCTCGGGCGCCCCCGCGTAGAAGCTCGCGCCCTCCCACGGCGACCCCGCTTCCTCGACGCCCCTCGCCCGTCGCGCCGGCGCCGCGGCGCCCGACAGCGACGACGGCACCTCTGACGCGCTGCTGCTTGCAGAACTCCCCCCGGGGGTGTCCGGAAACAGGCCCCCGTTCACCCAATCTTCGTCAAAACCGACCTCGTCCTCGCCCTCGTCGGGAACAGCAGGTGGCGCCTCGTCGACGTGCAGCTCCGGCACGGGGGGTGTGGCCAGGACGTCGGTGCCGTCCAGTAGAACACTCAAGGTCTGCCACTGTGGCCGAATGTCGCCGCCCGGGTCCTCGCCGGCCCACGCGCCGCCGGCGGCCTGCCTGTGCAGCATCGGCTCCGCGGCCCCGCGCGGCAGCAGCGCGTGCGCGCCCGGGGGGGACCGTCCTGTGAGGTCCCGGGGGTGTGTCTTCTCCCGCCCGCGCAGCCGCGTCGACGGGATCGACATCGGGACAGCACCGGCCCGAGCTCCGTCTGGTTCAGCCACAGGCGCCGCCGTCGCGCCGTTTTGCGCGTCGGGGGGGGTGTGCCGACCGCTGACAGCTGTAGACACCCCCACGAGGTATTTCAGGTGCTCCGGGGCGGTGCTCGCGACCGTGCGGGAGTTCCGGACGCTCACGGACAGTCCCTGCGGGGAGCTCGCGATGGTGGCGTGCAAGTGGTCGTCCTGCGCCACTTTGCTCCACCCGCGGCGGCGCGTCGGCGCTCCGAGATGCCACAACTTCGAATCGGGCTGCGACGCCGCGTGCGCGCCCCAGTACGCCGCGGATCCCACCCACAACGCAACGGGCGCCAGGCAGATCGCGTGCGTGACTGTGCCGCCCGCGTCCGGCCCGGGAAACTCCATCGCCCACGACGCGCTGCCGCTGGACAACACACCCCCAAAACACCCCCCCCGCGAACCCTGGCCGTCCACTCCGACCAGCAGGGCGATGCCGCTCGCCGCGACGCGCACGGACGTCGCGTCCGGCACGGGCCGCGGCCCCGGCGCCATCGGCAACCTCCCCAGAGGTGCCAGCACCGTGGACCACCAACCGAAAGAACACCCCCCTGACACCCCCCCGCCGTCGACGCCCGCGCCGCGAAGCACCACGTCGGTGTCCGAGCGCAGGAACCCGTCCGCGGCCTCCGTCATGACGTGCAGCACGTCTAACCCCCCTGATGTGGGCACACCGCCCCCTTGCCCACACGCCTCCACCAGGAGCGCCCGCGGCGCAGGCGCGTCCCCCGCGATGCTGCTGCGGCTGTGGTAGAGCGCCACGGAGCCCGCCGTGGCCTGCAGCGCGAGCGAGACCGGCGACCGGCCGAGCGCTGGCAGCACGCGTACGCGGAGACTTGTTGTTCGAAGTAGGCAGCCGTCGCGGTCGGGGCTCGCGATGGTGCTGGCGCCGCCGTGGATGTGGAGGGAGGCGGACAGCGACACGTCCAGCATGGCCTCGCGCCGGGCGGCCGGGGCCGGGCTGGGCGGGTTGCTGTCGGGGGGGGGACTGACGCCAACTCCCACGTCAGGGCCATGACGGCCGCGAGGGTGTCCAGGCGGGCCGCGAGGGCGGCGCACCCGAGCGAGCCGGCGACGACGAGCGCGCACCGCTGCTCCGCGGCGCGCCACAGAGCGTTGGTTTCGGGCCCGAACGGTTGGACCGATGTCGGCACGTCAGGACACCCCCCCTCCCTCCGTCGCTCGGCGAGCGCTGCGGCCCACCGCCGCATCCACGTGCGGTCCGAAATCTTCTGCTCGCTCGTCGCGCCGCTCAGGGACATCTCCAGCTCCACCGCGGGGGGTGTCTCGTCCAAACAACCCATGCAACTCCCCCCCATCGCGAGCGCCCGCTCCGCCTCTTCCAGCCCACCCCCCTCGGCCCCAGGAACGAACACGATCATCTCCGTCGCGGACAGCACCGGGAGACTCCGCTGCCGCTGCGACGGCACAGTCCAGCCCCCCGCAGCGCGATCCGTTGCCTCCACCGCCAACACCGCCAGGCGCCGCAGCGCGACTGTGCCCGCCGGCGTAGACCCCAGCGCCGCCCAGTTGCCGGCCGAGAACGACGCCGTCGCGCCGCGCACACGCAGGATAGCCGCCACGCCGTGCGCTGGGTGCGCAACGCAGCACACCACGTCGTCAACCGCGACGTCCGCGTCCACAAACAGCCGCGCTGGCGCCTGAGCAGCCCCGTCGCTGTCCTGGTGCCGGAGGGCCGGCTGCGATCCCCACGCAGCAGCAGCTCCGGCGACGGTGGCCTCCAGCGTGCGCAGCGTGTCCGGTGTCCACCACACGCACAGCCGGCCGGCTCGGCCGCCGATGCCCGCCCTCGAGAACCGCAGAGCCGTGTTGCCGTCTCGTACTCCGGCGCCCCAGTCCCCCGGAACGTCTCGCTGCACCTCGCACGTCACGCGTAACCCTCCGCACAAGTGCAGCGCCGGGACCTTCTCCAGGCGCGCCTCCGCAGCCCAGCGCGGCGCAGCCTCGCGCACTATCGTGTGCTCGTCGCCGCGGCTCTCCGACAGCGCGAGCATCGCTTCCGCGTGCCCGTACGGCCCGTGCAGGGACCCCAGCACCCCCCCCGACCCCCCCGACACCCCCTGCAGCGCCCACGCCCGCACGTCCGACACCGCAACCTCCACTCGCTGCTCCAGCCCGCCCACGTCCGCGCCCACCTCGACCCCCCACACCCGCGCCTCCGCACCCACTGCGCCAAACGCGCCCCTGCAAGGCCCGCACACCACCCGCACGTCCTCCGCTTTGACCCGGACTCGCACCCTCTGCGCACGCTGATCGCCGTCGCTCGCCGGGGGGGCCTGGTCGTCGCCGACCACGTCGTCGTCGAACACGACTGACGCAAACACCGTGCCGCTGAGGCCTTGGTCACCCGCGGCGCCGCCCGCGTCCTCCGCGATGGCCGAGCGCACCGCAGCGCGCAGAAGCGATCGGTCCGGCGCCAGGCTGTGGCTCAGGTCCAGCACGGACGCCTGCAACGCCCCCGCTGCCTGCGTCAGGCCTGACTCGAGCGCTGGCGTCCCTGCGTCGGTTCGGTCAGCCTCGGCCGCGTGCTGCCCTCGCACGGCGTTCAAGACCGCAGAGACGACCTTCGCGAGGGCTTGAATGTCGGCCGGCTGCGCCGAGACGGCCAGAGTGCCGAGGTCGACGTCGAGGTCCACGAGACCCCCCCCGCTCCCCTGCGTCAGGTTGACGCAGCACCTCGCCCCCTCGACCTCGCCCGTCTCATCCTCCTTGCCACAGAGAACCGGCGAAGCATCGCGTTCACTCCCGGAAGGGCGAACGACAGCGGTCAGGCCTTCGACGTCAAGCTTCCTGCCTCTCGCCCCCGCGCCCCGGTCTGCCGAGGCGTGCGCAACGGGGCCCGACGCGAGCTTGTCAAGCCGCACGACCACCCGGCGCCACTGCTCGTCTCCGTCCACCGGCACGTCGAGCGTCACCGTGATGTCAGACAGAGTCAGTTCCACGTCTGACGCGATGCTCTGGAGCCGCGCGGCCACACCGTCGACCGCGCCTCGGACGGTGGATGCCCCGGCGGACACCAGGCTGCTCCACGTCCACCCGGAAGCCGCTTCGGCGTCGCCGTCGTCGTTTGTTGGGGCTGAGGTTGTCGGGACGTTTTCGGACGGTGGAGGTGTGGTGGCGGGGGCGTCCGCGGGCGAGGATTGCGGCGGTGATGCGGCGGTGCGCGGGCGAACGGCGACGCGCAGGCCGCTGGCGTGGACCCGCGGAGACGCGATGGAGAGGGCGGTGTACGGAATCTGCACCGCCAAGGACGCTGCGGACGCCTCGCACACTTCAAACGGACTCTCCACGCCCTACAAGAACAGCACAATCACGGAGTCTCTTAGAAAATGCTCGTACTTGCGTGACAAGCCCACAAAACGACGGTAGCTAGTCAGCAGGTTGACCTGGCCACGCAGACGCTCGATTTTCACCGTCCGACGCGTCAAGTCGTCGTTGCTCGGGAGAGCAGAGCAATAGGGCGTCGGATGGAAGTGCAATCTCTGCACATGCGCCGCGTGGCAGGCGTGGAGGGCGGGCGCACCAGGAGGTCTTGCAGGCGTTGCTCGTCGAGCGCCACGTCGGACAGGGACAGCGAGCCCCGCGCCAGCTGGACGTCGAGCGCCGAGGAGTCGAGACCGCCCTTCACGAAGCTGCGCGACCGGGAGCACGCGGGGGCGTCGACCGCTGAGCATTCCCGGCACGCTTCATTCGCCCGAACCGACTGCTTGCGCGCGTGATCACGCAGAGACAACGGCGCAGCCGCGTGCCCGAGCTCCACGGCGTGCCGGCCAGAGCGCGAGCGGATTCGTCTGCGCCGCTCCGTGTCTGGCAACGACCACGAAGGAAGGCAACACTTGGGAGGCGGGAGAGGCCCGCGCGAGAACTTGCCTGCCGACGAACTTGCGAAGAACGAGGCGGAGGACGCGCTTCAGAGCCCAGTCCGCCGGATTCATCGTGCCGCCGGGCGCTCCTCCGGGCACATCCGCCGCGGCGGCACCGCCACGCCCGTCGCTCCACTGCCCAGCTGATCGTGGCCTCGCGCGCAGTCGAGTGTCCCGCAAACGGGCCGCTCGCGCCCGAAAATGGGCCTCGAGATCCGCTTGCGCCCAACTGGTCGAACCAAGCGGCAATGTCGCCACCCTGCGCGCGCCACAGGGCCCCAGGGGAGCATTGAAGGACCATGACACAGGCCCGGCGACGTCCATCGTCCGCATCAACACACCCCGCTACAAGCCGGCCCAGGATCGGCGCCACAGTCCGCGGCCGTCAGCGCACGCACGCGGCAACGGCTCCATTCCGAAAATGCGCAATGTGTGAAGTAATGTGTCCGGCGGCTCTCCGTCACAAGAACGAGTACAGCATCGCTTTCCCGTCGTCCCCCGCCGTCACCAAGTCGCCTCCCTGCGCGTCCGCGAACCGCACCGCCGCCTGCCCCGCCCCGAGCCCGTACAGACACCGTCCCTCCGCAGCGTCGATCACCAACAGCGACCCGTCGCCGCACCCGGACAGCACGTGGCGGCCCACGGCGCGCAGCTCGTACACGAAGTCCGGCTGCTGCACCACGCACTCCTCCGCGTACGCCGACCGCACGTCCAGCACGCGCACCGTGTTGTCGGCGCCGCCCGTCGCGATGCGCGGGCCCGAGCCCCAGTCCATGGCGCGGATGAAGCCCACGGCGCCCTTGCCGCGCTCGTTCAGGTGCAGCGGGAGCTCCTCGACGGGCCGCGGGCCCGCGCGGACGTCCCACACGCACACGACGCCGTCCTGTCCCCCGGAGTAATAAATGCTATTGTCCCCCCACGCGACGGACGTGACGTGGCCCTCGTGCGCGTTGCGGTGCAGGACGGGCGTCGCGGCGCCGCCGAGGTCCCACAGCGCCGCGTCGCCGCCGCGGTCCCCCGAAACGAGCGACCTGCCGTCGGGGGAGGGCGCGACGTTCAGTACAGGCGCCTTGTGCCCTGCGCGCGCACGGGAACGACGCCCGCGCCTCTCCGCCAGTACGTTTCGGCTCGACCGTCGCAGCGAGTGGAGTTCGCGATCGATGCGCAGATATGGTCGCGAGCGAGAAACGAGAAGATAGGATTGCGTGGTTGGTTTTGATTCCACGGTGCGTTGCCGCACCTCTCAGGCACTGCGCCTCTGCTCCGCGCGGCCGCGCGCAGTCCCACACGCGCACCGTCTTGTCGTACCCGCAGGACACCCCCAGCTGCCCGCCGAGCGCGTGCACCTCGGAAATAGGCCCCGCGTGGCCCGACAGCGGGAACCCCTGCACGCCGCGCGCGTTCCACAGCCAGAGCACGCCGTCCATCCCGCACGACAGCACCTTGCCGTCCGCGAGGTGGCACACCCCCGTCACCCACTCCTTATGTCCGAGCGTCCTGGTGAAGAGCGTTCTCGCTTTCCGTTTCGCATCGATGCTCACGACATACAACGCGTGGTCCGTCCCGCCGATGACGGCCTCGCGCGTCTCCCAGTTCACGCTCCCGCACACCAGCGGCCGCTCGGACAGCTCGACGAGCGTTCCGGCCTCGTCCACGGGGCCCTGCGCCCACCCGTGGGACAGCGCCCGCACCACTGGAGCACTCGCAGCGGCCGGGGCGCCCCGGGCCCCCCTCGGAGCGGCCGCGGGGCCGCGCTGGGAGGTCCTGGCTGCCGGGGCGGGCTTCGAGAGCACCGCGTCGAGGGACTGGCCGGCCCACGGGTCGCTCGCGGAGCTGCGCAGCGAGACGGGATGGCAGCGTGATGGTGAACGGCGCCACGTGGGGGGCGCGGGGGCCGCGAGGGCGCGTCCCTGGTGGCGCGCTGAGGAGGCTGTGAGCAGACATTGCGCGCAGATGCGCCGGAGCGGCTTGCCTGTGCTTCCCCGGGGCGCCGCGGGCCGCGCTGTGGGGTGGCACGGCGTGAACATCGCGGCCCCGCGCCGCAGCGTGTGGGGCGGCGTCCGCGCTGTCCTCGGCCGGGCGCAGTTCTCCGACACCGGAGGTATCCCACTGCGGGCGCGCGCGGCCCTGAGACGGCCTCGCGGCCCCGTGCTCCAGTGCACGCGCGCCGCGCTCGGCTGGCTCCCGTTGGCCTCCCTGGACGCTGGCTAGGTGTTCGAAGGCCTCCTCGAAGCGCTCCATATACGCATCGTTCATCACGTGGGACTGGGCGGCCGAGAAGCGCCCGGCTCCGCCGCTCGCCCCGCCCCCGCGGCGCTGCGACTTCAGGCGCGCCAGCGCCTCCGCACGACGATCCATGGCGCCCCCTCCGATCCCACTGGAAGTCTAGTATCACAGGACGCAAGCCCGCGGACTCGTCAGGCTGCTCCCGCGCTCGATTCCGCACGTGACCGCAGAATACACCTTATCGCCTCACACCTGCTCGGCGGTCGGTCTGCAGCGGCGGCGCTGCGCCAGCGGGCCCGCGACGCGTCGATCTGCGGCCGGCGCGGCGCGGGCGGGCCCGTTGGGGCCGTGCGTCCCTCCGAACGCTGTGATGTCAGGTACAACAACAGGTCAGGGTGTGGTGGCGGAAAATGCGCGTGTGCGGTGCGGAGAGCGCCCCGCGCGGCGCTCGCCGGGCGGAGCGCGCGGCGGGCATGCCGGCGCGCCCGTCGCCGGCGCGGTGGGGCCGTGGCGCCGTCGCGGAACCACGAGTTGCATTCGTCCTCGTGGCAGAGCCTCTTGGAGGGAGTCCGTTCAACGGTTCTTGACTGGTTCAACCACCACAGCCTAGCCTTTCCCTCTAGTCGTCCCGCGCGGGCGCGTCGGCGGCATTCAGCGGCATTCCGCCGACCGAGGTCCGGCAGAGAGTGTTCCACGATGTTCGCGGCTTTCCGGAAGGAGGCCGTGGTGCCTCCGTGCCCCCGCGGCACCGGAGACGATCTTTGGACTGCGGACCAGAGCGACGACGACCCCGAGACGGTGCACGAGGGGCTAGGTGTGAAGCACCTGGAGCCCATGGACATCACGTCGCGCCTGGCGTCCCTCATGGGCACGGAGACGCACGAGGCGGCCCAGGAGCTGCATCTCCCGCCGGGAGACAGCCCCGTGGGCTCGCTGGCCGTGGCGCGGGGCCCAGGCCGGTCCGTGTACGGAGCAACGGGCGAAGAGGACCAGGCAAGCGCGCGTCCCAGCTCCTGCGGCTCCGTCGGGAGCCGGGGAGGGGACACGAGCGCGCGCTGTCCGCTTCGAGCCCAACCGCTTCGTGCCCGGCTGGCCTGCTTCCGCGCCCGGGCGTGCGCGTTCCGCGCGTGGGACGCCGGTCCGATCGAATGTCCGGCTCGGACGTACCGAAATACGTCGTCCGCGAGCAGCGTCGACGTCGCGCACGTCCGAGCGCCGCGTGTGCTTGTCTCTTATCTTGTGCCCTGCTGGGCCGCGCGGTGAGCGCTTGCGTTTGGAACGTGAATCTTGCAGGGCGCGGTCGCCTTTGTTGGAACGATCGAGAACGCGGATGAGCTCGCGGAGCTGTACGGGCTCGACCTGCCACCCCCGCCTGGCGAGAACAACCACCGCTGCCCCACCGAAACTGGCGCGCAGCTCGTCCATTCCCTCTACGTCAACGGCTTCCAGGACATGTGCGTCCATCCTCGCTGCCTTCGCGACCACGCGCACGCCGCGACGCGCCCCCCAGCGCCCGCACTCGCGCACTGCCCCCACGCACGCACCATTCCCGCGCCCCGCGGCTACGCACCGACGTCCACTGCCCGCGCCGTTTCGCATCGATGCTCACGACATACAACGCGTGGTCCGTCCCGCCGATGACGGCCTCGCGCGTCTCCCAGCTCACGCTCCCGCACACCAGCAGCCGCTCGGACAGCTCGACGAGCGTTCCGGCCTCGTCCACGGGGCCCTGCGCCCACCCGTGGGACAGCGCCCGCACCACTGGAGCACTCGCAGCGGCCGGGGCGCCCCGGGCCCCCCTCGGAGCGGCCGCGGGGCCGCGCTGGGAGGCCCTCGCTGCCGGGGCGGGCTTCGAGAGCACCGCGTCGAGGGACTGGCCGGCCCACGGGTCGCTCGCGGAGCTGCGCAGCGAGACGGGATGGCAGCGTGATGGTGAACGGCGCCACGTGGGGGGCGCGGGGGCCGCGAGGGCGCGTCCCTGGCGGCGCGCTGAGGAGGCTGTGAGCAGACATTGCGCGCAGATGCGCCGGAGCGGCTTGCCTGTGCTTCCCCGGGGCGCCGCGGGCCGCGCTGTGGGGTGGCACGGCGTGAACATCGCGGCCCCGCGCCGCAGCGTGTGGGGCGGCGTCCGCGCTGTCCTCGGCCGGGCGCAGTTCTCCGACACCGGAGGTATCCCACTGCGGGCGCGCGCGGCCCTGAGACGGCCTCGCGGCCCCGTGCTCCAGTGCACGCGCGCCGCGCTCGGCTGGCTCCCGTTGGCCTCCCTGGACGCTGGCTAGGTGTTCGAAGGCCTCCTCGAAGCGCTCCATATACGCATCGTTCATCACGTGGGACTGGGCGGCCGAGAAGCGCCCGGCTCCGCCGCTCGCCCCGCCCCCGCGGCGCTGCGACTTCAGGCGCGCCAGCGCCTCCGCACGACGATCCATGGCGCCCCCTCCGATCCCACTGGAAGTCTAGTATCACAGGACGCAAGCCCGCGGACTCGTCAGGCTGCTCCCGCGCTCGACTCCGCACGTGACCGCAGAAGACAACTTCTCGCCGCACACCTGCTCGGCGGTCGGTCTGCAGCGGCGGCGCTGCGCCAGCGGGCCCGCGACGCGTCGATCTGCGGCCGGCGCGGCGCGGGCGGGCCCGTTGGGGCCGTGCGTCCCTCCGAACGCTGTGATGTCAGGTACAACAACAGCAACAACATCAGGGTGTGTGGTGGCGGAAAATGCGCGCGTGCGGTGCGGAGAGCGCCCCGCGGCGCGCTCGCCGGGCGGAGCGCGCGGCGGGCATGCCGGCGCGCCCGTCGCCGGCGCGGTGCGGCCGTGGCGCCGTCGCGGAACCACGAGTTGCATTCGTCCTCGTGGCAGAGCCTCTTGGAGGGAGTCCGTTCAACGGTTCTTGACTGGTTCAACCACCGCCACAGCCTAGCCTCTCTAGTCGTCCCGCGCGGGCGCGTCGGCGGCATTCAGCGGCATTCCGCCGACCGAGGTTTGGAGAGTCTTCCACGATGTTCGCGGCGTTCCGAAAGGAGGCCGTTGTCCCTCCGTGCCCCCGCGGCACCGTCGGAGACGACCTGTGGACTGCGGACCAGAACGACGACCCCGAGACGGTGCACGAGGGGCTAGGTGTGAAGCACCTGACAGACAGACAGACAGACAGTTACACTCCGGAGACGGTTCCCCCGGTCGGCCGGTGCGGCGCGAGCAGAGGCCGAAGCCCCCACCCATGTGCGCCTGTGGCCTTTAAAGGCGCGTCTCAGGATCCGACGCGGAAAGCCTAGGACGGGGCGCCCTCACCCCGCCGAAGGACCGGCGCTGGTCGCCGGGGTGGAAGGGGTGGCCGAGGGCTGGCACGACTTCGTATTTTATGGGAGCGCAGGCAGGGTGTGCCAACCCAGGACCACCACCACATGACAGACATGACAGGGGCTTGGCGGGTGCGTTGCACCGTGTGTGCTCCGGGTGCTCGATCCTCCGGCGCGCAGGGACCGTAGACGACGCGGGCGTGGGCGCTGATGCCGCCCCCCGTCGCCCTCCGCTTCCCCGGGGGCATCGGGGCCGGGGCAGGGACGTCGGGGGGTGCGCTCGGACGCAGGGGTGTCCGTGCGCGCCCGGGGGATGGGCGCGACTGGCGCTGGCCGTGCCTCGACGTGCGGCGGGGTCGACGTCGAGGTGAGGGTGGGACGACTCGAGGGGGGTGGACTCGTCCCCCTTGGTTGTGGAAGTCCCCGGGGATGTCACCGATGTGGGCGTTATGAGACCCCCACGACCGGCGAGGTGGCGCTCCCCTCCTCTGGCTGCAGAGCATCCGCCCCCTACCCCGGCGCGTCCGGCCCGGCCATCCTCCGGGCCGGCGGCGGGCGGCGGTCGGCGCCGCGGGTCGCGACGGCGCCAACTGGCCGGGGTGCCGCGGCCGGCAGGTGGCCAGCCTGCGGCCGCGACGTGGGGGGGCTCGTCGTGCTGCACGCGTCGCGTCGTCCGTAGAGGTCCTGCGCGCCTCGGTCTTGCCTCCCAGGGGCATGCCGTGCCTGGCGTCTTGTGGTGGGGTGCCGTGCGGGGGCAGGGGGGTCGTGGGGGGGGCGGTCGTGGTGAGGGCTGCGCAGACGGCCCCGGGCGTTGATGGGGTTCGCAGTTGGGGCGTGCTTTTCTGTGAAACGGCCGTCAGGTGGCTGGGGGCCTGTGGCGGCGCCAATGGGGGAGGGGGGGCGGGCTGTGGTTAGCCCTCGTTGTCGAAGTCCGGCACTGCGGCCAGGTCTTGGGCCGCGTCGATGCGGCGCGCCAGGTGTTCGAGGTGGTAGATGGTGCGGTGCACCGCGGTGCCGCCGTGGAGGAACCAGCGCCGGACCCGTGCGTCCCGGGCGTCGTCGCCGTCGCCGCTCGCGCGCGTCGCGAGGTCGTCGAGGAGCTGCTGTGCGTGTTGGTTGAAGCGCTGGACCGACTGCGACTCCGTGTTGCCCCCCCATGGCGAGCCCCACACCGCCGGGGGCGGGGCGTGTCCGAGAGGTGCACGTGCGGCGACGACTGCCGGGGCCGTGCACTCGTCGAGGAGGTGCGCCCAGTCTTCGATCGTGTTCGGTTCCGCGCAGAACCTGCACGTACGCGTGGCAATGGGCGGCGGGACCAGCGCCCGCCGGGGGTCCGCGTACAGGCGGAGGTACGAGGTGCCGAGGCGGATCTGCGAGATGCGCTGCAGGGCATGTGGCGGGGTGTGGACGGCGCGCAGGTGCGGGGCGCAGCGTAGGTACGCCGGCGTGTTCGTGTCGGCGACGAGGTGGACCGAGCCGTGGCGGAACCAGGTGCCCTCCGGCACGTGC